GATGAAATAATAGGCAAGTCATGCGACCCGGAGTATTCTTCCCTACATAATTTCCATTGAAAATTAAAATATGGTGATACTTTTTTGTGTATTGAATACAATATCTAAAGAACAAAGCGGAGTCAAATAGGCACTACATAGAAAATTAGTTTTCTTCTTAAGAAGTGCAGTCATCGAAATTTCTCTTGTGGGCATCGAACTATTTTTGTTTTGGTTCAACATAGGTAGATCAACATTTTAATGAAAATAGAAATAACCGGGTTTGTTAAATGTGTATTATATTATTTGCAAATTCCTTTTTTTTACTAAGAATAAATGTAATAAAAAGAATGTATATTTTAAAGTTATAGATAATGAAATACAATTATGTATGTTTATGAACTTTAGCATCAGTTTTCTCTAGCAAATTTATGTGTAAATGTCACAATAAAATAATCAAATGAGAAAGAAAGAAAAATATGATTTAACTGTCTGACCGACCAGTAGGATAAAGAATTTCATTAGAAATCAAATGATTTACTTCATATTATCAATTACTATATTTGGAAAGTATGACAACGACAATAAAATAAAAAAATCCATATTAACAAGATATCCAGTACTATTATAATAAGATAGTCGTCGATATGTGTCAAATATAAACATCACTTTACTATGGAGAAATAAATTTCTCTTTTTCTTCCAATTTAAAAAATTCAGTTTAGAAAAAACTAAAAAAATGAATATCTTTTTACCTTAATCACGGTTGCATTGGATAATTGTAAAAATTTTACAAAAGAAGAAAAACATTTGTTAAAATCATAATATTATATCATATAGTAATCTTATTAGTTTCTTTTTATTCACAGTAACAGACGAAAACAATGTATAATGTAAATGTAAATGGTCAACCACTTCTTATTGTGGCTAGACCCATACCTATAATGTTTGTTCTTCAAAGATCTTTCTTTTTATTTTGTCAAATTATTCAAAAAATTAAATTTTCTCAACTCAGTATTATTATTGCAAGAAGATATTATTATTGCAAGAAGATATTACGTCACAGAGAAGTGTGTTCTAAGATATTCATAGAAAAAAAGCTATATTCAGTTACAACAATACAATGAATAATGATATAATTTTTTCATATGAAAATATTTAATACGATATGTCTGGGTGTGATATGTCAACAATACTCAGTACTAACTGATAATAATATTTAATTATTATGGAGAGAGATACACAGAAAATGTTACAGTACATCATACATCAGTTAAAATATTGAGGCTTTGAAAAACCCCTCTGAAAGCCTGGAAGGAAAACCGCACCCCACTGACAAAAAAGAAGAAGAAAAGGAACCGGGGAAATTGAAGGTATGGAGCCTAGAAGAATATCGTGGGAACCTGGACCCACCTTGGTGGAAAAGAAAAATGACTGATAGTTATTCAGAAAACAATGCAGAGTACCTTATTTATATTCCTATGCAATCTACAATAAAAAAAATATAATTTTATTTGTTATTGTCTTTTTACATGTCAAGAAAAGACAATAACAACGATGTCAGTGATAATTTCAAGTGCAGTGAAATACCGTACATTCTTGAACAGTTCACACAGAAAATGGCAGAGAATTCATAAAACTATAAAAATATTGCGTAACCTTTAATAAATTTGTACGTATGTTATTATATTTTGACTTTTTTTTTGTTTCAATAACAAAGTTGTTCTCCATCTTGTCTTTACAAATTAAACGTTTTTAAAACAACGGAAGTTGTCGGAACTTATTAAATTAATTGATTTGAAGCGGCTTAAACTCTATATTTCGGAACAGTGACTTGTTCGGAAGGAAAATTTTAAGATCACTCGCTGCAAAATAATTTGCACAGATGGGTCACAGCTAAGCACCTTTTAGTGTTTTCTTACATTTTTCTGTATTTGTGTTATTACACCGGCGACGGGCATTATTTCATCTCCGTTCACCTCTACAATTTTATTTAGTTAACTGAGTTGCATCACTATATTTATTCCTGTCGATAATTTTACGACAAACGTAATAAATAAGCTTATTTTGTTCGATGTGGGTATGCATGTTATACCAACCCTTTTTGGCGGGGGTTAATGTGCTTTTTGTAATTTTTATCCCCGAGGAATTAACTGAGACCGGCTTACAAGAACAGGTTAAGGAACGGTGGTTGCTTTTTTTCTTTGTTTTCCTACATGGTTTTGTTCGATCCCTCAAATATATTTCGTGTTGTTATTGTTGTTGTCTTTAAATTTGCAGACCGGCATCACTTGAACTGGTCATTAAGTTTTCTTTTTCATTGTATAGTAACATTTGTACTTGTTCATGTTTTTTTGAAATACCTACTAATACGGCATTATATGTGTATAATAACTTCAATTTTTATCACAACAAGTGTCTCCATAACATTAATGCGAGATGTTTGTGTATATACTCATTTAATATGGTTGAAACCAGTAATTTCAAATAATAAGGATATCACTTAGAAGTAGATCCATGAGATGGATTTGTCCATAAGTCTTGAACAGCAGTAATACGACTAATACCCCCATTTTCTTTTCTTGAGGGTGCCCTTATTTCCTTTTTTCTTTCAAAAGAGAAAGAAATATTATTAAAACAGTGTTGTAGTCAACAGTATGTCTCACATAAATGGCCCAGCGAATGATTAAATAGGGAAAGAGGGGCTTATTGAACTGCTAATTAAATGGTTTGAATAAAAAATTGAATACTTATACGGCTACGACTACGACTGAACAATTAAATAATGCTTGGGTGTTTAGTGTTTAAAGAAGCTTATCGAAGCTTAAAATAAATGTTGCTCTTTCAAGACATGTTTATTCTTTTCCCCACATATTTGCAACTTAAGAAAATAAACAAACATCTGTGTAGCATAAATATCATAACATCTTATTTCTAGCCGGTGGGGTCGTTCTTTTAATGAAGATGGTTCATTCAGTAAGTATGAATTTTCTTCCTTTTAAATTGATTTCTAAATATTAAATAATTTAATTCGAACTCAACAATATACATATTACATGATTAATATAATATAATATAATATAAAATAAAATAAAATAATATGTATCCGTGAAAATAATTGGCATATTACAATATTTGTGGTTTATTCAATGTCGTTCTTTCATTGGCACATTTTTATTTTATTTTTATATTTGAGCGATGAATAGCTTGGAAAGAGTTCTGTATACATGTCGGCTAGTCCCTCTTAGGCTTTTAACCTTCTTCAATTCCCCTACCACAGCCCCAATATTGTATCTTTCTGAATGCCCATGCGTCCTTCTTCAGTTTGTGTGTGTGCGGGATATCGTCAGCCTGGACGCATCTGTACCTTGTAGATAACGTAAAGTACATTAACTTCCTTGCAGAAAGAGAGAGCATCAGACAGCAAAAGAGACAGAGACAGAGATAGCAACAGATATACCACTCGCTACCCACGCCCGCTTTCATTTCCACCCTTTCCTTCCCACCATTTTCAGTAATATGAGAAAAATCTATCTCCCTCTCAACAAAATATTTACAAAACTGGAAAAGATAAAAACGTTTTTGCTGTCGCATCTCATCTTATGTCTCGAGCCGAAAATTTTACAGGGCCCTGCTGGTCCCTCTGCCTGAACCCCGCCCTCATACAACGATCGTGCTATCACATCTCTGTCCCCTCCCGGGGTCCTGTATATGTTTCTGTACAGATATAGATTACTTTAACGCGGCATCCTACATTTCTTTTTGTCTTTTCTCTTTTACAATATTTAATGGGTTTTTTGGTTTTCTTCTCCCTTCATTGACTGTAATATGTTTGTTTTGTGTTTTTCTTTTCTTTACCTTTACCCCCCTCCGTCCGAGTTGCGCTACCTTTTTGTATCTATCTTTTGAGAAGTCCACACATACATTTCAAGTAACTGACGCAGTGTGCTTATGGGACGCCCTTATTTTTTGCAAAAATTAATTTCGTTATCTCTTCATATTATTTTAAATATATGCAAATTATGAGCTCATTATTAGGCATCTTCGCGATTCTTTTGCGGAAGGGGAAACCCCATATAATAAAAATATAGTATGATGATTATTTAAACATAAGTTTTAGTTTGTCTTTTGTACTACTTCTGCAATAAAAGTGTAAGAAACGAGGGGGTTTCCCTTTTTTTTTAAGCTTTTAATTCGATTTGATTTGATTTGATATCTTTCTTTATTTCACATCTAATTTGCTTTGTTTTTTAGTGTAAAGAATAGTTGTGGCTACACATAAATTTGTATATATTTTATAATCTATGCATTATTAAAAGTATACTCACATTCGCTTACACCGACACATTTATTTTCACACAGAGATACTTGTAAAAGTCTAATAATCTGCAATATCTTAAGTATTTTAATTCGTTTTTTTGGATCGTTTCCTTGTCTAGTTTTTTATTTCTTCATTTAATTTCAAAAATTTGTGGTTTTATACTTTTTTCGTCTCTTAATTAATAAATTAGAAATTAATGAATTTATATCTATATATAAGCAAAGAGACTCGACCTTTTTCAAAGTTTTCCTATTTTCCATTGATACTTTTAAAGTGGGGTAGTTGCTTGGAATTTATTTATTTTCTTAATAATTTATTTACCTTAACTTTTAGTATTTTATACTATTCATCAATTTCTTTTTCATTTATTATTTATTTATTTATTTATTCGTTTTGGTTTAATACGTCAAGAGTTATCGATAATAACTGATACATATTAAAGAAATATAAGGTGCGATTTAGTACCTACAATTTTTATTTTTATTTTTATTTTTTAAAATATTTTAGCTGGTTCTTCTATTTTTATTAAAAATAATAAATAAATAAAAAACACTACTAACATACCTTCATCCACATTTTTAGTTTGTCTGTTTGCTTTAAGAGCATTTTTAAGTTATTACATTACTTTTTCCATTCATTTAAATTATTCGATTTGTTTTCATTCATTTAAATACATTGTATAAAGATCAAACACCGGATTATGACAACAAATTTTTTACATACCAATTCACAAATGAATACAATGTCACATAATAATAAATTACCTTCATCATATAACGACAAATTAAAAAATGAACAAACATACTCAATGGAGGAGTCATCCGATTCAAATTTGCCATTAACTACTATGAATATAGAAAACTCAATGGTATCAACAATTAAAAATGCTAGTCATGTTATCAATGTTGATGCCTCAAATAATCTGAATCAATTGAAAGGTCAAACATTGTTACCTTCTCCAGATTTATCTAAAATATTTGATACTGACTCATTAAAACTTTTAGATCGAAATGCTTTCAAATATAGAGAAAACTTAAATAATTTGATTTATACTAGAAATAATAATGGTTTAGGTTCATATATGGAAGAAAATCCAAGAAAGAGTCAATCGATATCCCTTGGTTCATTAGGGAATCCCATTGTTAAAAATATTTCAATGTTCCCTCCTGGAAACCAATCTATCGCTAGTAGTAACACATCGAGCAGGTCCTCAACTCCTTTCAATTTTACTACATCAGTTACACCTATTAGTCAAGCATCATCAATTTCTTTGAATGAAAGGTTTGCTAAAAATATACATTTTGGAACTTCAATGCAAGACATGTCGATTCCTAGAACTCCTATGGAGTTATCAACTGCAAAGGGAGTTAACGATAATACTGGCAGTAATACAAATACTGCAACTTCATCTCCTGTTTCCTCAATATCATCCAAAAATAGTAAGAAAAGCTATACAAAGAAAAGTCATAAGAAATCCAAAAATACAACCACTCAGGCTATTGGTTCGAAAAAAGATTCATTAGAACAACGTAGAAAATACCGTTGTTCTGTATGTCCGAAGGGTTTTACTACGTCTGGTCATTTGGCTAGACACAATAGAATACATACAGGAGAAAAAAATCATGCTTGTCCTTATAATGATTGTAAGCAAAGATTTAGTAGACAAGATAATTGTTTACAGCATTACAGAACACATTTTAAGAATAATAATGGTGCTCCAAGGACTCATGAAATCATAACATATGCTGAAGCATCGCAAGATAATAGAACATCTGGTATGAACTATTACGACCAACAATATAAATAAAAATAACATACGATTAAAAAGTATAATTACACGTAATGACGCTACGACTAAATTTAATGAAAATAAGAACTCACAGTTTCAAGATAAGAAAGAATAAACTTTTTTTTTTTAATAATAATATCATTCTTTCTTTTGAAGAGAAATAAGAAAACAAAAATAATCAAAAAATATATGTATATTAAATGAAAAGTTTTGAATACAAAACCAAAAAAATATTTGTATTATTATATAGCAAAAAGTTAAATTTTATATCACACTATATATTCTTAATGAAGAACATTTTTAAAAAACACCTTTAAAAATAAGCGTATTGATTTGATCTTAACTGACTGCGATGCTCCAATGAAAACAAAATGGCTCTAAGTTAGCATCTTCTTGAACCCTATAGGTTTTTTGCATATCTGTCTGGGTTTCTGGGTGTAGTAGCCATCCCAAAAAATATGGGAAAAAAATTTTCAGAAGAAAATTTCCGGTTGAGAGAAAAGTATATAAAGTGCGATGCATTCGCATATTCAAAATAAAGAGGCCCCCTCTAAATAGATATATTTGTTTCCTTTCTTTACTGTGTTCAAACATGCAAGTAGAACAATTGACCATTTTCGGAATATAAAGAATATAATGGCATGGTTAGTTGACCATTACTTTACATTATTTATAGGTCGATGTTTCTATTAATAATGACAATTATTGAGTGCGAATAAGGATTAAATATTAATAATTTTTTAATGATGATAAAAAATTACAACAACAACATGAATTTCTTCAACCGAAAACACATAGGTGGAAAAATTAACTTTGACATAGCTTTTTAACCCTGATCTTATTATTAATATTTATTAATCCTTTTCTAGTAAGTGTCATTATCGCATCGTGCTTGGTTTCATGAATTTTGTGACGTAAATGTGACGTTTGACTTGTAAAATAATTATTTAACAAAATCTTAGTACAAAAAATAACTTCGAAAATTATAAGTAGAAAACAAGTTTTTAAATAATTGGTTCCTATTAACAGAACTTGATGTTTTAAAAAAGATAAAATCAATTAATAACTGCATATCAAGCATCTTACGTATAAGATGCTTAAATTACAATATAATCAAAGTATAACATATCTAGTCCTTTCAGCTTCTCAATTTTTCCAAGCTTTAACATTTAAATTAACAGTGAATATCCTTATATTGATACGGTCTATGAGGCAACAAGCCAAGAGAAGTGTTGTTATTCAAAGAAGTAAGCGGAAAAGAAAGGTTGTTGAAATTATTCGAGATTATATAACAAATTGTGCTATCTTATATATGCATGATAGCGATAATTATGTTATGAGAGTTAGCATATGGGGTTCCCCTTATTCATATCAGATAATAACAAAAATTCCGTGTAAGAATTTACCAGATTATAGGAAAGAAACATTAAAAGATTTTACCCCATTTAATTATACGATTCCTGTTAAAAAAGATGTTATAATAAAACCGATTAATATTCTACCTAATAAATTCAAATACATTGGACTACCATCTATGGGGACCTCTCAGGGTTTCGATAGTATTTACTTATAATAAAACAAGGAATAAAGTTATAGCATTGTATATACGATATACCTATTAAATAATGAAAATAATAATATTCTAATTATATCTAAAACAAGAAAAAAATAGAAAAAAAATGACATGTACAGTTTATTTATGTTTATGTACATTAAAAAAAGAAGATAGAATAAAGAATTTTGAAAAGGTGATTATCTCTGTATATATTTACAAGGGTTGAGTGAACCGTTTTAATTACCATTTGTTGTTATTTTTATTTTTCTTTCAATAATAACTTAAGTTTTGAATATATCTATTTTTTAAATTCCGGACTGTTTAATAATTCGAGAACCTTTGCGTTGACTAGGTCATCATCAGTGTTAGGAGTCTTTGATGATAATGTACTTGGTAATCCTTCGTTTTTATCGAAATCAATAGTAATCGGTTCTCTTTTATAGACGTTGCATTTCATACCAATACCTGTCATTGCATGCTTCTTAATATATGATACAAATAATTCCAATACTTCGTCATTTGTATCCCATACTCTTAATAATCTTTTATGAGTGTGTCTTTCAAAATTTTCCTTGGATTTAGCATGAACAAAAGGAGATCTAATAACAGTCCATCTTTCTCTTCTAGTTGGTAATGGTTTGGGACCAGTCAAAGGTATTCCTAAGTAGAATCCAACTCTTTGAATGAAATTAATAAAAAAATCTAAATTCTGATGTTCATATGAGCTTAATTGTATATCTGCAATCAAATGACCATGTTCGATTGGAATTCTCATAGGAGCTTGATATATGGCCTCCAAACTCTTTACTATCGGTTTCTTTTCTGGTTCCTTTAAAGAAGTATTAGTATATACATTGCTTTGTAGGATAGGTGTACTTTCATTATTATAATCTTGTTTAGTAGTTGATTGTAATCTTATTGTTTTCAAAAGGAAGGATGATTTCGCAACAGAGGGGAGTACCCTTATACTTCCACGAGAAATATTTGATAGCATAAGATTTAAATATCTTGAAGAAGCGTGTATGTTCTAGGTGGTTGTCAACAGAGATAGATAGTATCAACAATTTATTACTAATCACTTATGCTTCTTGTTTTCTATTTGTTTGAAGTACCTTATTATATATATTAATTACTATTAGTCGATCGTATGCTTTTGTTTCAATATTGGGAAGTTGTCCGAAATTCACGCCTAATGTTCCAGTAATTTCTATTCGTTTTGATTTTTTTTAAATCTTTACATAGTGGAAACAATATATACTTAATCGTATACAATGATATTATTTATTATTAAAAACTCGATACCTAATGACAGTAATTAAGAAGTTTACATATATATATTTTTGAAAAAGCCATGTTAGTACAAAGGTCAAAATAAGACTTGATAGCAAATTTTATTCACTTAATACAATTCATTGTTTGTTTGTATTTTAAATGTTAAGTTGATTATAGTATATTTCCTCCACCTCGTAAGAGTCCAATAATAGGTAACATATGTGCAAATATATATCTGCAATGACTTTTAACTGAATAAATATTTTATGTGTTAAGAACTACTTTCGAAATGGTGTTAGAGTGGAAAGATATCTTGTTTTGTCTTTTGGTGTTTCGTTACGGGTGTTTTTTTGATTATTTAATTAGTATTGAATAATTCGGAAAGTATACATAAAAACTCTAGATTAGATGTCATATCGATTCAATCGTAAATACGATATGAAAGTGAATTTTCTTCTAGTTTCCGTAAATGAAATAGAAAAAATATATGTAATAACCTTTATTTTATCTTATTTTATCTTATCTTATCTTATCTTATCTTATCGCTTTCTTCTAAATGTATGCACATAATAAACAATATAGATATGAAATATAGATATGTATATGAGTTTCTATTGTTGTTGGTATGGAGAAATATACTTCTCCATATTCTAATAAATTACTTCTAGAATAAGCTGTATCCAATCATTATCGTGATAATACCCATTACTACAATTACCAAAGTTGTTTATCTGTCAGCCATCCACGTGGCTGAATAATCTATCACCTTTATTCATACACCCTTTGCGCCGTACTAAGTGGTCCTTCGCCTCCTTCCCCCTCTCCGCTCTCTGCTCCTCTTCCCCTAAATTTATAGTATATAGTATTAAGAAAATTGTGAGGGGGAGGGGGGGAGGTCGGACTTGCCTCTACTGCGAATCACTTAATATTAGTAGTAGCAGTGGTAGTAGTAGTGATATGATCCTTGGCAGATTAATGATTATTCATCTTAAACATTCTCATCTCTATGATGATAATTAACGGTAAGTACAATAGAAGCCTAAAGAAAACCGGAAGAGATGTGGTCATCCCTCACGAAATCCTTTCTCCGCGGAATGCCGCACAGACATCCAAACTATAAGAATAACTTCATGACCCCTCACTATAACGGTAATAACAATCATTGTCCGAACAATAACGTTTGCACCCTTAAATTTTATTAACTTAGACAACTCTATCTCTTCCAATTTAATACAAGATTACTATCATCATACATATCAACCATAATGAGTTCATTTAAGCTGTATCTCTCTCTCTCTCTCTCTCTCTCTCTCTCGCTACACATGAGGAACCTAGTCACTCTTTGAAATCTTTTTCGAAAAACGTGACTGACTAATCAAAGTCCATTACCATTACCTTTACTAGTGATCAAAAAAACTAGTATTATCACTTCAAATAGGTTATTTATTCTCTTTTAGTTACTTCGCCACCTATTGTGATCGTTCTTCATCACCTATTATCACATATCTTTATAATCGTACGGCTATTATCTCTCGATATTGATTGCGGAATGGTGGGTGAACTAAACAGAAATTGCGTGTGCACCGTCTCATGCGGTGCGGGACCACAAAGAATATGTTGCAGAACAAAGAAAGAAACACCGATGAGTTTCCCATGCTATTATTTTCTCTGTGCGGCAATTATTTGTAAAATAAAGTATATCTATATTCTCTTGGTTGAAAAACAAAAAAGATGATTTCCTTCTCTCTTTGTCTTTTCTTTTTAGTTAATTGTGTGTGGTCTTGGCCGTATATACAATTTAATTATCTATGTAATTACGTACGTTCTTTATTAGGTTGCATATCTAATTCTCTCTCGTTATTTTACTATGATAATAAGCATCGAAAATTTTATAATCTTTTTAGTTTTTAAAAATATATATAAGGGAAGGGTCCACCTTCCTATCTTCAATTACCAAAAGTAGAATAAGTTTCCTGTAACCCTTTTTTTTCCTTCTTTATTAAATATATAATATTATAATATATATTATATATATACATATACATAGTCTCAACCTATTTGTTATATTACATTTATATTATAAGAGAAAAAAATTATTATATAATTTCTTATAAAAAATTAATATTATTATCTTCATTTAATAGATATACAACAACTACAAAAATATTTGTTTTTATTTTTATTATTTTAGTGTTTCTTTTTAAAAAAAATCTACAATTTATTAAATAGATAATATTATCCTTTTTACAAAACAAATTACAAAACAAATTTATTTTTATTAATCTTATTAAAAAAGAGAACAAGAAAAGAAAGATCGATTTTATTATTGATTATGAGCACTTTCGATTATGAATTTGCTGATTTCCATACCTTAACTAAAGATGAAACTTTACAATTCTTTCACACAGATGAACAAAATGGTTTAAACAATGAAGTTGCTAATCAAATCCTTAAAGAAGTTGGTGAAAATAGTCTAGGTGATGATTCAAAGATCGATTATAAAGCAATGATTATTCATCAACTTTGTAATGCTATGATTTTAGTTCTTTTCATTTCTATGATTATCTCTTTTGCAATTCATGATTGGATTACTGGTGGTGTTATTACTTTTGTCGTAGGTGTTAATGTTGTTATTGGTTTAGTTCAAGAATATAAAGCTTCAAAGACTATGAACTCTTTAAAACAATTAAGTTCTCCAAATGCTCATGTTATTAGACGTGGTAATAGTGAAATCATTTCATCTAAAGAAGTTGTACCAGGTGATATTGTCTCAGTGAAAGTTGGTGATACTATTCCAGCTGATTTACGTTTAATCTCAATGCAAAATTTTGAAACTGATGAAGCACTTTTAACTGGTGAAGCCTTACCTGTCTCAAAGGATTGTGATTTAGTATTCCCTAAGGGTGAACATACGCCTGTTGGTGATCGTATTAATCTGGCTTATTCTTCATCTAGTGTCGTTAAAGGTAGAGCCATTGGTGTTGTTATTAAGACTGGTTTAAATACAGAAATTGGTAAGATTGCTAAATCTTTAACTACTGATGAAGGTTTAATCTCAAGAAATCCTAATTATTCATTTTGGAAGAATTCTTGGATTACTATTAAACAATCTTGTGGTGCATTCTTAGGTACCACTGTGGGAACTCCATTACACAGAAAATTATCAAAATTGGCTGTTCTATTGTTTTTCGTGGCTGTAATCTTTGCTATCGTCGTTATGGCTTCTCAAAAATTCGATGTTGATAAAGGTGTAGCCATATATGCCATTTGTGTTGCTTTGTCAATGATTCCTTCATCATTGGTTGTGGTTCTAACTATCACAATGTCTGTTGGTGCCTCAGTGATGGCTTCAAGAAACGTCATCATCAGAAGACTAGATTCCTTAGAGGCCTTAGGTGCAGTTAATGATATTTGTTCCGATAAGACTGGTACTTTAACTCAAGGGAAAATGATTGCAAGACAAGTTTGGATACCTAATTTTGGTACTATCACAGTAAATGACTCTAATGAACCATTTAATCCAACTATTGGGAGTATTAATTTGATTCCAAGACAATCTCCATATGAATTTAAGAATGAAGAAGAAGAAGATGTAGGTATCCTTCAAGGGTTCAAGAATCATTATTTAAAGAAGACTTTACCTGAACAACTAGATCCAAGACTGTTTACTAAATGGTTAGAAACTGCAACATTGGCTAACATTGCTAAAGTTTTCTTAAATGCAGAAAATAAATGGACTGTTCATGGTGATCCAACTGAAATTGCTATCCAAGTGTTTGCTTCAAGAATGGATCTACCAAGATCTACTTTGACAGGTGAAAGTATTCCAAATGGTGAAATGGCTGATGACTTGGAATCTCAATCAGAAGAACAGATTGATAATGAAAATGCTGACTTCCAACATTTGGCTGAATTCCCATTCGATTCTACAATCAAGAGAATGTCTGCTGTCTATAATGATAATAGAAACGACACTACTGAAGTCTTTACAAAAGGTGCATTTGAAGGTGTCTTAAAGAATTGTACCTATTGGTATGGTGATAATCAGGATACTCTACTACATCTAACTGAGACTGATAAGGCTTTTATCCAAAAGAATGTTAATACTTTATCTGCAGAAGGCTTAAGAGTTCTGGCATTTGCATCAAAATCTTTCCACAATGATGAATTGTCCCCTGAGACTAAAGAGAAATTGACTTCAAACAGAGAGTTTGTTGAGGATAAATTGGTATTCCTAGGTTTAATTGGTATTTATGATCCTCCAAGACAAGAAACTGCCGGTGCCGTCAAGAAGTTCCATCAAGCAGGTATCAATGTTCGTATGTTAACTGGTGATTTCCCAGGTACTGCTAAAGCGATTGCACAAGAAGTTGGTATCCTACCAATCAATCTCTACCACTACCCAAAGGATGTTATTGATATTATGGTTATGACCGGTACTCAATTTGATGATTTATCCGAAGATGAAATTGATAATTTGCCTGTGTTACCTTTGGTTATTGCACGTTGTTCTCCACAGACTAAAGTGAGGATGATTGAGGCTTTACATCGTAGGGGTAAATTCTGTGCCATGACTGGTGATGGTGTTAATGACTCACCTTCTTTGAAAATGGCTAATGTTGGTATTGCCATGGGTATTAATGGTTCTGATGTCGCTAAGGAAGCCTCTGATATTGTCCTAAGAGATGACAATTTTGCTTCTATTCTTAATGCTGTTGAAGAAGGTAGAAGAATGAGTGACAATATTCAAAAGTTTGTCTTACAATTATTGGCCGAAAATGTTGCCCAAGCTCTGTATCTTATCATTGGTTTAGTTTTCATTGATTCTCAACATAAATCTGTGTTCCCATTATCTCCTGTTGAAGTCTTATGGGTTATCGTGGTTACATCCTGTTTCCCTGCTATGGGTCTTGGTCTAGAATTAGCCGCCCCAGATTTAATGGAAAGACCACCTAATGATTCAAAAGCTGGTATCTTTACATGGGAGGTTATTGCAGATATGTTTGTATACGGTTTAATGATGGCTGGTGCTTGTATGGCTACATTCACCAGTGTTATTTATGGTAAGGATTCTGGTGAATTAGGTCAAAACTGTAACAATAAGTACAGTTCCATTTGTGACCCTGTCTACAAGGCTCGTTCCGGTGCTTTTGCTACCATGACATGGTGTGCTTTGATTTTAGCTTGGGAAGTTGTCGATATGCGTAGATCATTCTTTAGAATGAAGCCAGAAACTGATGAACCAGTAAAACAATTCTTCAGAGACATTTGGAGTAACAAATTCTTATTCTGGTCTATAATGTTTGGTTTTGCTTCAGCTTTCCCAGTCGTCTACATTCCAGTTATTAACGACAAAGTCTTCTTACATAGACCAATCGGTTATGAATGGGGTCTGGCTATTGCATTCACAGTTGCATTCTGGGCTGGTTGTGAACTATACAAATATTTCAAGAGAGTGTACTACAGAAAGAAGTCTAAGGCTCAAAATCCAGAGAATGATTTAGAAAGTGGTAACATGAAGAACCCATTCGAGGCATACAGTACCTCCACCACCATTAGAACTGATATTATTATCAACCCAAAAAAGTGAAAATCATTGACTGATTTGACACTTCTATTTTTTGCATAACTGTTATATCGCAGTATAATTTAATATACCCTTGCATCTAACATTTAAGAAAAAATGTTCGTTTTCTAAAAATGTCCACATTACAATTTAAGTCAAAATTGTTTATTGCATTAAATTCGTTTTAATCTTAATTTTAATTTTTATTATTACATTGAAGAACTAAAAAAAAATCTACCAAAAAAATACGAACAAAATACAAAAAAAAAAAATTTCTATACAGCGTATAAATCATTAATTTTATATAATATTTCTAAATAATATTCAAAAATACATTAAGTTCCTTCATTTTAATTTTTCTCTTTGCTTTTTGAACAACAATTATATTATAATATTGATTAATTGTTATAGTACAATAAAGACATGGTATATGGTATATATACAGATATATGTGTATATAACTAAATATGAATTATTTTAGGATAGAACTAACTAATGAATCAAGCCTTTTCTTCCTTCTTGGTTTCATCTCTTAGAACATCTGGCTTCAATGTTGGGAACAATAGAACTTCTCTAATAGTGTTAGAGTCGGTCAAGAACATGGCCAATCTATCAATACCACAACCGAAACCACCAGTTGGAGGTAGACCGTATTCTAGGGCGTTACAGAATACTTCATCAACTAATTGAGCTTCGTCATCACCTTGGTCCTTTTGTCTAGCTTGTTCTTCGAAACGAGCTCTTTGGTCAAATGGATCGTTCAATTCAGTGTAAGCGTTACAGATTTCCTTTGTAGCAACAAAGACTTCGAAACGTTCACATAGACCTGGTTGATCCCTGGAGTACTTGGCCAATGGAGACATCATTTGTGGGTGACCAAAGATGAAAGTTGGATTTATACAGGTGTCTTCAAGTTCACCAACCAACTTGTCCAGCATTCTGGCGTTAGTCAAAGGTGGAGGACAATCAAGCTTGTGCTTAATCAATAGTTTCTTCAAGAAATCACCAGTCTCAGCGGTGTGTAGTTGGTCACCGGCTGGGAAAGTAACATCGAATCTCTTCTCTAGTTCTTCAATCATGTTAATTCTCTTCCATGGTCTAGTGAAGTTCAATTCGTAAGTCTTTTCGGTATCGTTTGGATCTGGGTGGTATGGAACAATATAAGAACCAGTAATTTCCTTAACCATCTCGGAGAACAATAGTTCAGTCATGTCCATTAGATCGTAGACATCAGCATAAGCTTGGTAGAATTCACAAGTGGTGAATTCTGGGTTGTGAGTCATATCAATACCTTCGTTTCTGAATTGTCTACCAATTTCGTAGACACGGTCCATACCACCGACAACTAATTCCTTCAAAAACAATTCTGGAGCAATTCTCATGAACATGTCCATGTTCAAATCGTTGTGGTGAGTGACGAAAGGCTTAGCGGTGGCACCACCAGCAATGACATTCATCATTGGAGTTTCAACTTCAATGAAATCTCTTTCATCCAAGAACTTTCTAATGAACTTGATAATCTTGGAACGGGTAATAAAACGGCCACGAGAGTCCTTGTTCATAATTAAATCTAAGTAACGCTTTCTGTAACGAGTTTCTTGGTCCTTGAAACCGAAGTGATCAGCTGGAAGCATATGTAGACATGGGGTCAATAGTTCGATACGGCTAACGAAGACAGAAATTTCACCTTCACCACCTTTCTTTGGTTGAGTTCTACCGACGTAACCTTCAAAACCAACAATATCACCTCTCTTGATCAAATCATGATCCTTTTCGTAATTTTCTTGGATAGCGTAATCTTGTAATTGAGACATAACTTGAACATCAACACCATCACCGTGAATGACGTAAAACTTCAATTTAGAACCAGATTCTCTCTTAGCATGGACTCTACCAGCAATAGAGACTTTTTCTTCTGGTAAAGTTTCACCTCTCTTCAAATAAGCGTATTTCTTCAAGAATTCTGGGTTAGTAATGGAGACTTGGAACTTATGTGGGTAAGGGTTTGGTTCGTTACTCTTTCTTAGTTCTAGAATTTGACGAGATCTAGTTTCGAAGTATTGAGATGGGTCCAAATCAGCTAAAGCGTCATCCTTCTTCTTCTTTGGAGCGGCGACAGGCTTAGCATTAGCCTTCTTGGCAGCCTTCTTAGCTTCAACTTGTCTCATCTTGATACGTTTCTTCAATTCTGACTTGGAGACCATTTCACCTGTAACATCGTCCAGGTGTAGGTTGGCAACACCTTCAGTGACTTTCTTAGTGGCATCAGCTTCAGACATCTTGCTTAGTTTTTATGAGAATTAAGATTCGTTACTTGATGTTAAGTTCTAAAATAAAGACAAATACAACAAAATTTCAAGATGTAAATAAAAAAAATTATTAAATAATTTTAAGTAGGTATATATATGTAACAATAATCGATAACAATATTAAATAATCAAAAAAGCATTTAATCTTTGGTCGACAACAAAAAGAAACTTGACTTCGTGTGTGTGTGTGTCTGTCTCCTCCTCTTTGCGATTAATGATGTGAACATAGTTCTCGCATTAACTAACATTTGCTAGTGTGAGTTGCATCGCTTCGAGATGACCATAAAATTTTTCACTTTTCACCAGACGAATATTATATCGAGTTTCTTTTTGCGGTGGAAAAAGAAATGAAACAGCATAGAGAGGTGTTACCCGGACTTAGAGCGTATTCGTTAATAGTGATAATAAAGTGTGTCGCAATCAATGTTATATATATATATATATTGATATAATAATTACGCTAATGATCCGATCCGATGGTATATATATATATGTTGAGACGGTTCTTACCTGTCACGAAGTATTTTAAGGTCTAGTTGTTCGTTTGTTTGTTTAACAATAAGAGGATTAGACCCTTCCAGAGCAAGATAATTTATAAATATCTGTGAGTATTCCATGAGACATCAGTAATATAATAATGTAAAGATAACTCCTTTACAACATATTACATTAAATTCACCAATATATATAAGGATCAGTTGTTTTTTGAGACCCTATTTAAGTGGTATCACTCTATTATGAGAGTTTATTAGTGTGTTGTACAATAAAGGGCCGCGCATAGATAAACTTCACGTTCGGCGGCAAAAAGATAGATATAGATATAGATATCCATATATTAAAGAAAAGATAAAATGGAAAGTCAAACTTTTTCAATTGCAAGCTACAATTAGAAAATTTTGTCCAGTTGATTTCCAATATTAAATGAGTTTTGAATTCAGATATCTCAATAGGTGTGTTTGAAATGGAAAATAAAATCAGCATCGCAACAAATATCAGTTACGATTAATGTTCTACTTCCCTTAACATTCAAGGAAAAGAATATTGATTTGTTTCAGTATAATTGTAATGATTAGACCGAAGAGGTACTAATAAGTACTGTAGGGTTATTTTAAGACATTTATCTTCTAAAACAAGATGTAATATAAATTGCAATATTTAGATAACGATCCCTGTTTTCATTAAACTTGTTTTAGTTCAGCATACTTTCCAAATTTTTCATATGTGTCGCCAAAGGTTATTTTTAGTAGAAATATGACTTGGGTAACCATTTTTTCTCTGAAATGTTGGAATTTTATAGGCACTGTTACAAATATTGTTTTGTTTTATAATATATCTATTCAGCTTAGAGAACAGCTTTCTTTGTCTCTATTTTTGTTTTTGTTTTTAATTTCAAGATTGCTAAAAAACCTCTGGGCATAACGAGACTGAATGGAGAAGAAGGAGAAAAAAATAGGGATGGTTCGTATGGTATTACCTTGCTCGTGCTTTTCGGCCGTGTTAAAGACTAAAGCGGGATATAATGCTGTTATTATTATAATGTTATTATTGCTATATTCCTGGAAACTGTAGGTTGTCTCTCTCTCAGGGATAGTAATATCGGTAACGATTACGTTTAATATAGATAAAGTAAAAAAAATTAAGAAAGTCGAAGAAAAGAACAAAAAATTTCATATCTATTGCAATTTAATGTTGATAATTCTTCTTTTAATATCAAAAGGTCAATTTAAAATTAATTAAAAATAAAAATAAGTTACATTAACCAACTGAATAGTGAGGTTCGAAAAGAAACAATTAAATCAAAGCCACTGCATTAGTTTCATTTGTTTATAATTGGTCCTTTTCTATTGCATTGATTTAAATATCACATAAATTATTACATTAGTATCATTCTGTCCTTAATATTGTTTGATTTGAAATCAAAAAGAATTGTGTTTCAGTGTATTGAGTTTGCTCTTTTTTATTTTCTTTATAATTTGAACAACCAGTGAAAAGGAAAAGTTACCTGATTGTATATTGGTATTGCCACTTTATATATATATTTTTAAGGCGCATAATTCAAGTAATAATACGACATTTAGGAATATATTAAAGAAACGAGACCATGTCTGAGATGCCTACGCAGAATGCCCAGACAACACAAGGGAACCCTGATGTGACAAGTAAATATAAACCTGGGAAATTGATCTCTGTTGGAACACATCAAATAGAAATTATAAATTATATTGCAGAAGGTGGATTTGCTCAAATATACTCTGTTAAGTTTGTTGAATATTTAAATGAATTTGGAAATGACAACAACAATCCAAATTCGCTGAAACCAGGAGATGTTGCATGTTTGAAGAGAGTTATTGTCCATGATGAAAATGGACTAAACGAATTAAGAAATGAAGTAGACGTTATGAAGAAATTAAAAGGATCTCCAAATATTATACAATATTATGACTCAAATGCCTCCAGGTTGCATAATAATTCAACTGGATTTGAAATATTGCTATTGATGGAGTTATGTCCCAACGGATCCTTGTTAGACTATATGAATCAGAGATTAGCAACAAAACTGTCAGAAAAAGAAGTTGTAAAAATAATGTACGATATAACATTGGCATTGAGCAATATGCATTATTTAACGGAACCCTTGTTGCATAGGGATATTAAAATTGAAAATGTTCTAGTTGATTCTGATAATAATTTCAAATTATGCGATTTCGGTTCAACGTCAAAGACATTCCAAATTGTAACAACACATCAAGATATTGCAATGTTAACACAAAACATTTATGTTCATACGACTCCACAATATAGATCTCCAGAAATGATAGATTTATACAGATATTTGCCGGTAAATGAGAAATCTGACATATGGGCCCTTGGTGTATTACTGTATAAACTTCTATTTTTCACAACTCCTTTTGAGATGACAGGTCAATTCGCAATATTACATTCCAAGTATGAGATTCCTCAAAACAAATTCTGCTCTAAGCTAAATAATCTTATTATTATCATGCTGGCAGAAAACCCAAATTTAAGGCCAAATATTTACCAGGTTTTGTATCAGGTTTGCTCAATTATGGGTGTTACTGTTCCGATTAAAGATAAATATGAATCTGGAGCATATAATTTTGAAAATTATACTCACTTTCAGAGTAAAATACAAAATATTCAATTTCAGATGTTTGAATTGGAAAAGAAGAAGGCTCAGAATTCTGGGAAGTTAGGAAGTACTGAAAATAATCTTTTAAATGAAATGTTTATTAGTTCCTTTGATATTGCGTCCAAGATACCCTTACCAGGGCAGAGAGTATCATCGCCTATATCGACACAGGTGAACCAAACCATTCCGAAAGGAAATCAAAATAACTCATCTGATAAATTAACTTCCCCGACACCAGACACCATTGGCCAAAAATCTTCTCATTCTCAAGATATGAGTTCTCTTGATGATACAAATACTAAACGTGCTAATATGTCAAATGAATCCTATGGAACCAATGACTTGCAAGGGAAGTTAAATGAAATGGATTTAAAGGACGATAGCTCTTATTATCCAAGTGTCGGTGAATTGAATAAGTATATCGACAAGGAAATAAATCAAGCCAATAATGATAGATCTGAAGATATAACAAATATGAGGTTCCCAGATATTAATCAAAATCAGACAGTTATTAACCCTGAAATATTAGATGCAAAGACATCCGCAAGTTCTAACAAATTATTTAAACCGATTCCTCAGGATTCCTTAGTGAAGGAAACTATGATTCAGTCTGAGAATACTACTAATACATTTAGTCAACATAAATCGACGAATCCATTTCCAGCAATTGGGGATGGTCTAAAAAGTCAGCAAATTAACAATACTCAATATCCGAATATTTCTAATGCGATTCCCATAAGTACTCAACAACCTCAAAATTATTCGCGTATTCAAACTCCTGTAGAAAATAATGCTTATGCGAATAGCCCTAAAAATATAGAAAGTTATACAGTGCAAACAGGACAAATACAACAACAAAAGCCTAGTCAGAATGTTCCATTCAGTGTTAATGAACAATCTAGGATGACGCCATCGTTCCCATCATCTGAATCACCGAACACTGGCAACCTGGAATATGTTAGTTCTAATAATCAGACATCATATCAAAGGATCTATAATCAAATAAGTAATCCAGTAGGCACTACCATTCCTCAGGTATCACCACCAGCAAACCTTTCCCAACAAATGAAGCAAAAACCTACTACAACTCCACAAGCAAATAATCCCCAAGGTCAAGTAACACAAACTACAAATGGTTTGTCTCAGGATAATCACCAGAACTATCAAACTAAGCCCACTAAACCTTTAAGAGATGATATGTATGACGAATTAAGACCTCCGATGATTCCTCCCCATCCAAGAAAGAAGAAAGAAGAAAACAAAATATCCTCAAACGTAGGAAATTTTAGAGATCCAAAAACTGGAAAACTAAAAATTGATCAAGCAGATGTAGATGTCGGAACAAGGCATGCACATCATCATTCACAACATGGACGACCACATCGAAATTCTGGACACGATAGTTCTGGGGTGAGGCGTACTGCCAGTATGAATAACAAGCCAAATGTGTTATTGGAGAGACCTACAACTGAAAGTATCGACATCGACTTGGACAAGATAAAAAGAAAATCTCTAGATTTAAAAATGCATAAGATGGGGTTTGTCTCTGATTTGAAGGACCAAAGTATTCATGAGAACGAGGTTGTTGCGAATCATAACAATGGGAGATCAGAACTGGATAGACAAAGACTTAGCAAGCGGAATGTGAGCAACGGTAGTATACCAATGGTGGTAACTAATACGGATGAGATCAAGAAATCTATTACAAGGGCCAGGCAATCATTAGATCTTGACAGGGCACGTAGAGAAGTAATGATGAACAATGACAACAATAAGAGACGATCGTTATTCTCGATGTTCCGCCAAGATAAGAAATTATAGAAAAAAACTGCATATACACCAGTACATATTTTCTTTTACATATTATAAAACGATAAATAAATAGATATAATTACTCATGCTATAAATATTATCCTTCTTATTACATTTAGCATTCCTTGTTGCATCTGAGACTAGGATTCAACTAACATTTAATATCAATCCCCCAATAGATATTACCGCGATGTAGTTCTCCGTCAATATGTAGTTCGAGGCGAAGAAAACAAACCGATTTTTAAAAAAAATAAAATAAAAAAAGAGGTTTATACTAATTGTGATAAAAAAGGGAATTGTCGGGTTTGATTATTGGATATTTTAAATTATTTAATGCATGATTGGGGTATTTTCTTAGTTTATTCAGATATATTTTAGGATTACTCCAATTTGTAAATACTCCACTTATCACTATTTTGTGTACATACTAATTTTAATATAAATTAGCAATAATTCTTTTTCATTTTGTTCATACCCTAATTTAGTATATTTGAAAATGTTGAGAGGGTCGGTAAGGAAAACCTCACTACTAAAGTCCAATTCGATTAATTTTTTAAGAAATACTAGAACAACAATGTTTATGTCTACTAAAGCTTCAAGCGATATTACCGGAACTTCCAATAATGGTTCTACTCCTGTTGAACCACCTCAAGTATTGTTCACAGTTAGAGATACTGCAAGAGTGGTCACTTTAAATAGACCGCAGAAATTAAATGCCTTAAATACGAATATGTGTTCTATGATGTTTAACACTTTAAATGAATACTCTAAGTCTGACATGATCAATTTAGTTATATTAAAATCATCCAACGGGAAGAGATCCTTCTGTGCAGGTGGTGACGTTGCAACAGTTGCTTCATGGAATTTGGCTAAGGATTATAACAAGTCTGTCGAATTCTTCCAACATGAATATTCTTTAAATTTTCAATTATCGACGTTTAATAAGCCAATCGTTTCAATTATGGATGGCATTACTATGGGTGGTGGTGTCGGTTTATCCATCCATACACCCTTCCGTATTGCTACAGAGTATACGAAATGGGCTATGCCGGAAATGGATATTGGTTTCTTCCCTGATGTTGGTGTAACATTTGCGCTACCAAGAATTATCACAATTTGTAACAATCAATCTCAGATGGCAGCATATTTATGCCTAACTGGTGATGTTTTAAATGGTGAAGATGCCTACACATTAGGTTTAGCCTCACATTACGTTACACATGAGAATTTAGTAAACCTTGAGAGAAGATTAGGTGAAGTCACAGAAGTTGATGTTTTCCGTCAAAGTGATAAATATTCAGATAAGCAAGATAGAGGTGATAAGATGATGAATATTATTAATAACTCTATCAAAGAGTATAGTTATCAATTACCAGATAATTACAAGTTTAGATATTCAGATGTACAACTTGATGTTATTGAGAAATGTTTCAACATTACAAAAGTACAGAACATTAATGACATTATCCGTAACTTGGAATCCTTTGAAGGTTCTGTTGATGCCAAAAATTTTGCCCTTGAAATAAAAGATAGGTTGTCCAAAAAATCATTTACTTCCATGGACCTTGTCATTAGATTATTGCAAGATAACTCTAAAGACCATATCGAGTCATCAATAAGGAGAGACTTATACACAGCAGCTAACATGTGTCATAACAATGTTGATGGATTGTCAGAATTTTCAGAGGCCACTAATCACAAATTAAATTTGAAAAATAGAGAGCCATACCCTTGGAAGAATAATTTAAAGGCAATTTTATCGACTCAAGTCACTTCATTGACATCTCCAAAACCATCGATTCCAATATCCCTATTGAAGAATAATGTAGATGTTACTTGGAATAATTATCCGTTCCATGGTAAATACCAATTACCAACAGAAAGTTTTATTAAAAACCTGATATCAAAAAAAGACTTTACCAAGGAATCACTAATTCAATACTTCATGAACAATAATGTCTTTACTAAAGATAAAGTGGGTGTAAGATATATTTTAAATAATATCATTAGAAGAAAGTGTAAACCAACTGAAAAAGCTTCGCTACTGAAATGGGTTGATTAAATTTGTTTTTTTTGCTCATTATCAAACAAAAAAAATCTATTAAATATATATACCGTGTAAATACTCTCTATTAATATTTTTCTAACAATTCAATAGTTGTTTTTTTGCTGAAGATAGTAAAAGAAAATTCCTTTTTCAGTAATTTGAAAGGGGGTGATATAGTTTAATTAAAAACATATGTGTATGTAGAACTAGATACTTAAATAGAATATTACATTAGAAGAAGTAAAATAAAAATTAAGAGAGAGAAGATTTTTCATTATATATCAATCAACTTTCCTCCAAATATTTCGAATTTATCTAATTTATTTTTGGTGGGTCTTTCTTCTGTTTCTGACACCTTCAGCTAATAGTTCTAGAACTTGCTCGGTACTATCCCAGCCAATACAAGCATCAGTGATAGAACAACCGTATTTTAGACCTTCTCTGCCACCTTCTGGTGGGACATCTTGTCTACCTTCAACTAGGTTGGATTCAATCATAACACCACATAGAGCATCTTCACCAGCAGTTAATTGTTCGTAAATAGATTGGGCAACCTTTGGTTGGTTCTTGTAATCCTTATTACTGTTACCGTGAGAACAATCGATCATGATTCTTCTCTTCTTACCATCATTGGTTGGGTCGATCAAGTTAGCCTTCGCTAGTTGTTCCTTAGCAAGCTTAACGTTCTCTGGGTCGAAGTTAGTACCGTTCTTACCACCTCTTAGAATGACAAAAGTGTCTGCATTACCTTCGGTACCGACAATAGCAGTAATACCCGGTTTGGTAACAGATAAGAAGTAATGGTCGTGAGCAGCAGCTCTCATGGCATCTACAGCAACTTGTAGGCCACCATCGGTACCATTCTTGAAACCTATTGGGAAAGATAGACCGGAGGCCAATTCTCTGTGTAATTGAGATTCAGTAGTTCTTGCACCAATAGCACCTAGAGAGAAACAATCACTTAAAAATTGGGGAGAGATAGTATCCAACATTTCACCAGCAATTGGAAGACTTTCAACCAATTTGGTGAACATTTCTCTAGATACCCGCAGACCCTTGTTGATTTGGAAAGAGTTGTCGATATCTGGATCGTTGATTAGACCCTTCCAACCAACAGTGGTTCTTGGCTTTTCTAAGTATGCTCTCATGATGATCAAAAGATCCTTATCTAATTTCTTAGAAATCTTGGCCAATTTGTCACAGTATTCGTAAGCAGCCTTTGGATCATGAATGGAACAAGGACCAATAACGATGACCATACGGTCATCTTCACCATTCAGAACTTTGCAAACATTTTCTCTAGCGTTAACGATTATTTCTTTACCTTTTTCAGAAATTGGGAATTCATGTTGTAATAAATCAGGAGGGGTTAATGGATCGTAACCTTTAATTCTCCAGTCTTCTAGACGGGATCTGTCTCCAGCGTGGTCGTTTTTAATGAACATTGTATTTATATGTGTATGTAAGTGTATGGGTATGACTATAAATGAGTCGAGTAATATGTATGTATGATATACTTTAGTATCTTTAACAGTTTACAATTATTTTCAACTTCGAAAATAGGAATCAATAAATTGTACTTTTATGTTTAAATCAACTTCTTATATAATCTTGTAAATTGGAAGTGAATCAATTCAGCAAATAAATGTTTTCCCCATGAATGTACAGTAACCCAATAAAAAAACAAAAAAGTTTCATCCCACAACTATAATCCTAATTAGCTACTAATTCCAAGAAAGTAACTGGTATCAAATGTTTGGTTTGCTTCCTTACCAGTTTGTCCATGTATGAGTCAACTAAACTCTATTGGAAAGGTAGCTTCTGCCTGAGTCTCTCTCCGTATACTTTTGGCTTACCAAACATGTCCAACCAAAAATTTTCATTGTCACTCTCTTTCATCGCGCACCCAAAAGAACAGCGCTTTGGTAAGCTGAAGAAGAGAAAAAAAAGAAAATTTTTCACTTTTGATATGCAAATGCTATTGTGCCATCGTGGAGGATAGCTAAAGAGTAATTCGTAGTAGAAACGTGGAATACCTGTACTATTCCCTGAGAGAGTCGACAGCATATGACGTTGGCTATATCGAAAGAGATGATGAGCCAACCGATCAGGTTGTTTGTTTTAGAACACATTGTTAGGAACTGAAAGTTGTAACTTTGATTTCTTGCCTAAGAAATGGAAGAACCGGTGCAGTTTAAAATGTCAACGATAGACCTACTGTAGAACCTGCGAATTCTGTGAGTATTTTCGAATTTGTGGGGCAGTGAGTAATACGGTTTGTTACTTTTCTTTTTTTTTTTTTGAATCTTAATCAACGATGTGTCATACTAATTAGTAATTGACTAGTTAACGTCATTTTACGTATATTGAAACATTTACTTAGGGTTGGACTGCGAGTCGCAGAGTTGAAACCTTGTTTTGGTTGCATACTTGTTAAAATGACAGATAAAATATATAGCTAAGAAACTTTCAATTCAATTAAGGGCAGCACTCTCTAATAGAAAGATTAAGGGACTTTTTATTTTAAAAAAAAAGTGTCAAATGGCTTGATGTTACCAATTTTATTATGTAAATCTGCAGGACCCAAAAAAAACAAGAAAATGATGTGACAGTAGACAATTACACCAAGTGACATTATGAACTTTACTTTATAATCCTGTAATGCATCTAGTAGAAAGTAATTATAATGTACAGTATGTTTAACGAAGCCTAATCTCAGTGAATAACTACTTGTCTCGTCGGAGTTCCTAGTGAACCATCTTGGTGTATAATCTTCTAAGAATTGAGAGTAAGCTCTGGGATTGAACATTGCATAAGATATGCTCGTCCAGTGTGATAGGTGCTATAGCAAAGTTTCATGAACGTTGTATGACACTTGCTTCGACACGCTCAGCGGTGATGATTATAAATGTAATATGTGTTTGAAGAAGCTTTTTTTTTAATATATCTTCAGAATGGGAAGATAAGAAGATAGAAGAGAATAAGCACCCACCGATCCACAATATAATAATATTTAGAATTCATATCTTGAGGTCAATAAGCGTTTAGTGAACTAAACTGATTGGGGGGTCAACCTTTTGTAAGAATTACTAACTTATTTGAGAATAGTGAATCTAACACGATTAATCTTCTCAAATGTATATTAAATTACCAGATATTGGCTACATCTCTCTTTACTTACAAATATTTGTAAAAATAGAGCATTCTTTCTTGACACTAGTTATTTTATGGAAAATGACACAGCAGAAAAAATATTTAGTGGTTATGTGATAGACTAAATATATTCAAAAAAATAATGAAGGATGCGAGGTTCGAACTCGCGCGGACACCGTCCAACAGATCTTAAGTCTGCCGCCTTAGACCACTCGGCCAACCCTCCAATGAATTATATTAGATAGAAAAAATAATTCTCTTTTAAAAGAACTTTGATATCCGGGTAATGTTATAATTCTTAGAATAATAATTGAATAATCATAAGGGTTTTCCTTCTAAAATAATTAAAATTTCTTAATTTTATTTTTCAATGAGTTTAAATACAAAGTTTTAATAAAAACTGCCATTATAAGCTGCTTGTAAACCAAAACTGAGACAAATAAAAACATTAAAATGTAAACGTAAGTTTGAAATCGAGAATATACGATTAGTATTCGAGTTGAAATTATCGGACATAGTTATAGATATTCAAATGTATAATCTTGTAGTTTATTTTATGTTATATAAAGTAAGTCTATATAAGGAAGATTGTATATATATAAAATTAGAATATGTGGTCCTTTTATACTTTTGGAAAAGGAAAACAGTCTACCAAATATTGATAGTATTCTTACTAAACATTCTAGAAACATGTTCTAGACACTTAAGAAACAATTAGTAACACTTGCTTACTAATCATTCTTAAAGAATGTTCTAGAATCATATTAAACAGTTAGTAATAATTTCTTACTAAACATAAAATTGTAATAACTAAGTATTGCTACTTTCTATATTATAACATAAAATACTATCCAAAGATCTATCACTTCCTAATATAGAAGTTTCTTATAGTCAATTAGTAACCAATACCTAGTTTACATTTTGTAGAGTTTGTTGATTATGAGTTTTTAGGATTTTCAAAATTTTTTTTCAATTTCTTTTATTTGGTATAAAAGAGGATATAAGTGTTAAACAGTGCTAAACTGCTCAACTTTTGTGCATAGTAGCGTTGGACAATGTAGCTCCAATAAACACAATGTAGGGGAAACGAATACTACATTATACAGTATATACCATGTGTTTTTTTATATATAGGCTTTGTGTCAAAATGTAACACGATTTGTATCGTGACTTATCAGAAATAAGTTTATGGTTATTGTTTTACTGCCCCACTGTTAAAATAAAATATTTTAAGTAGCCCATTTTGTGCACTTTCCAGTTTAGCGCAAAAGTTGAAGAATGTAAACTATGACCTCCTAAATCTAGAAAATCAACCACTCTGAAGGTTAATACCTGAGAAAAAAATAGCTAAGAAGATTGTAATGTAGTATCTCAAATCTGATACACAGCCCATGGTAAATGAAAAAGATATAATGTATTATTATAACCAGTTCTACAAGGTAGCTTATTAATCCAGATGCCGTAAGTATAGTTCCAATCTCAAAGATATTATTTCAGCATTAATAATTCATTAACATTTTTTGTTGGTTTTGAAAAATTCGAATTAAATGAAAACCATTTATGGAGATAAAGTCTTTGCTAAGGCACAATGAATGGAATTTCGGATTGATTCCAATACTAGATAGTAGAGCCTAACAATTAAAAAAATTTCAAGATTAAAATAAAACTCCAACAAAATATAGGTTTTGGATTGTAATTTAAGTAAAATTTAGGATTCAACCACTTGATAAACAGTTAGCTTGCATGCTCAGTTATATCGTCTTTATGTCACCTTCGACTCTCTAATTATTGAATAATATACATATTACCCTTACTTACGTTGGGTTTAGAGATACATATTTTAGCTTAATTCATTGTTATCAAAAATTTCACTTTTCTTCCAAATATATCTATAATTATTATATTAGAGGTAGGAGAAAAAATCGGAAGAATTTGTTGAAATTAATATATTTTTAGTTGTGCACTTCAAACTAAACATTAATTAACTACCCCATGGTGTAAATAAAAAAACAAAAGTGATATTATAAAAAATTGATTTTTGATTTAGTATTCTTACAAATAAAGATGATAAACTTAAATTGTTATTGATATCTATAAATCTAGAATATTACTATCACGTAATATAATATTTTTTCCTTTTTATAAATGTCACCGATATGTTCAGGTAAACAATAAAGTTGTTTCAAAGAAAATTTCAACCATAGATATTGAACTCTTCAGAATATTGTTCTAGAGTTTACAATAATAATAACTAATCCAAGTTAAAATAATAAATTATAGGGTGATATTCCTTTCATTTTGTTGATATTTTTTTATATAAATCTTAGAGATATTGGGCGCTAAGCATCAGAAAGAGTATTTCATTGAAAAAAAATGAAATAAAATTTTGAGATGTGATTTTTTTTAGGAATTTTAACAAATAAGAAAGTAGGTACTATAAAGTTATCCAAAGACAAGGACATTAACCGAGGCAAACACATAATCATAAAGTGAAGATGGATAGACCTCCATTCCTCGATCTGAAACCACCAAAGGGGTATGTGGCAGGATTAGGTAGAGGTGCTACTGGATTTTCAGTTCGTGGTGATAAATTTCAACGAAAAGTGCCAGTCAGATTACAAGATGAGAAACGCAGAGAATTAAAAGGAAAAACTATTGTTAAGGATGCAGCCCAATCTGAAGAAGATGAAGCAATGAAGATATTTTCCATTATTGATTTGAAACGAAATGGAAATAAACTGGCAAAAGTTGATAACGCATTTCAAGATTCTCTTAATGAGGGGTATAAATTCAATGATTTGAAAAGAAATCTTGGTTCAGTTTCTGAAGATCAATGGCTAAGTATACCCGAGGCAACTGATTTTACAAGACGGAATAAGAGGAATAGACTAGAAGAACAACTTAATAGGAAAACATATGCAGCACCGGATAGTTTGATATCTCAAAATGTTAATTTAAGTAAACTTACTGAGGAACGTGAAAAATTATTAGAAATGACTTTGGACGTAAACATTAAGGGAAAAATGGGAGAGATTGACATTGATAGTTCGAAAGAGTCACTATCATATTTAAATCAATTGGAATCTGTTACTAATACGACTAACGAAACACAACTTGAAGATTTAAAAAAGATGCGCTTAGTATTTCAATCATATAGAAAAGCTGATCCAAAGAAATCAGAAGGTTGGATAGCTTCAGCAAGACTAGAAGAAAAATGTAGGAGATTCGAAGCCGCAAAAAGGTTGATTGAGGAAGGTTGTCAGAATTGCCCACATGATGAAGAAATCTGGTTAGAAAATATTCGGTTACACTACGCAGATAATCATAAATGTAAAGTCATAGTCACGACTGCCATTAAATTCAATTATAATTCAGTGAAGTTATGGTTGAAAGCAATAGACCTCGAAAATGAAAAAATCAATAAATATAGAGTCGTTCGAAAGGCCCTGGAAGAGGTTCCAACGAGTGAGGAATTATGGAATTTAGCTGTTGAATATGAAAAGAATAAGAACGAAAAGATTAATATTTTAAGAAAAGCTTTGGAATTTGTGCCACAAAGTTTACATCTTTGGACTATATTAATTAAAGTCGAGGAGTATAATGAAGCTAAGATATTATTAAATAGAGCTAGGAAGTTAATTCCAAACAATATAAAGATATGGCTACTTGCGATCGAATTGGAAGAGACACATGGAAACAATGATATATCAGTGTTTAAATTAATGAAAATTCTAAATAAGGGCTTTGAACAATTATCCGCGAACAGTATCTCTATAACATTTGAAGATGGACTACGTATCTCAAAGGAGTTTGAAACTAGTAATGAAGGACACTGCGAAAAATCCCTTGAGGCACTTGCACAAGTAATAATAATGAAGACAACAGAAGAACATGGACTCAACATTGATAATGAGAAGTTAAAGATGCTTTTGAAGTTTGACGATTCACTCACCAAATTATACTTTATAAGACAAGTAGTATTAGTTAACTATGAACGACTCAGTCTTTGGAATTCATTAAAAGAGGTTTGTGAAAAGCTTGGACGTGTTAATGAACTTTATAATACATTCGAAAAGATCTTATTTAGTGGAGATGAAACTGATCAGAAGAAAATATTAGAACCTAACTCTAAGTTAGTACTAGTATATGCCAAGGAAGTATGGAAGGGCAAAAACGATATTAAGAAAGCTTTAGCTATTATAGATAAATGTTTAGGCATGATTCCAGATAATCTTGATATTATTGCTGCAAAATTAAAATTATTATGCCAGAGTAGACAGTTTGATACAGCTGAATTGTTATTCAAAGAAAAGATTAATCAAATGATAGACCAAAAAAATGTTTCAAACCAACCTGGATTGGAGAGACTAGTTCATAAATATGTGAGCTTCTTAAGACATCAACGTGAAAATGAATTAGCAATTACATTAATATCTGATCAATTCATCCCATTATTCCATAATTGTTATAAGTTATACCTTCAATTGGGACAAATATATTGTCACCTCGAAAATTATACAGATGCAAGATCAATATTAGTACAAGGAACAGAGAAGTTCCCCGGTAATAATAAATCCAATAGTCATAATGCGTTGCTATGGATAGAAATTTCCAAGATAGAAGAAATTGCGATGGAAAAACCGATTAAAGCCCGTGCAACATTAGATATAGCTCTGATTAAAAATTCGGGAAATCCCACCTGTGAAATAATGATTTATATAGCAAGGATACAATTAGAGAAAAGAACAAATAATAATGATCAAGCACAACTCCTTGTATCACAGGGCCTGAAAGCCTATCCGAACAGTGCATTACTATGGACTGAGAATATTACATTATTAGACACTAAACGTTCATCCCAAAAGAAAACTGTGTTCCAGGATGCATTACGAAATACAAAGAATAGTTATCTGGTTATGTTAGAAATCGGCAAGACATTTTACAAGGAATGTCAATACACAACAGCTATCAAATGGATAGAGAGGGCTACTAAAGCTAACCCAGCATACGGGGACTCTTGGGTATGGAATTACCGTTGCGAAAGAAAATTAAACAGAGATACAAAGGGAATTATACAAAAAGTATCATCTGTTGAACCAGTATACGGACCAGAATGGATTTCCATCTCAAAGAATCCTGCATCTCAATACTTTAGCAGCAAGGAAATCTTAAAGACACTCACTTCTAAAGAGAAGCACAATCAGTAGTGTATAATTCTCACATTTTGTAACCTATGCACATTTATATACCACTTTTAACTGAAAAAATAGTAATTTCTACGGTGGTTGTAGCATATATACAAAATCGTAGAGTTTTGAAACTTCCATAGTAAATGTGAAGAAGTCCGAACATGTTCACGTGACTGGAGGGCTCTTTTGAATCAAAATTCCACCGTGATGAGTCAAACATTTCTCTTTTTATTGTGATGTGAGGGTTATCGCAACTTCTTTTGAACATTTTCTAAGAAAAAAAATGAAAAATTTGAGTGAAAAACAAAAAATTCCAACGGGAAAATGGTCGCTCAAATTGAGACAAATCTTGAAAAAAACAACAACATTTAGTGGGCGACTCGCTGTGAACGCAACAACTCACCCAGTGCGAAAGCTGAATAATACAGAATAATTTACCTAAAGTAGAGTGACAGAGGATGAACATAGTACCTATCTATATTGTCATTTTTGAATCATGTTAAAGCTACAAAAAAGTCGCAGAAACAACTTATTATCCCCACTAAGTTCTCAAAATATCCATAGTACCGTGACGCTAGAAGGTCATATTCCATACCAGTTTAATTTGCCAACAATAAGCTCTTCAATTTATTGCAAGTTGAGCAGTGCACAGAGAACGACATCTAGAGAGGAGAACAAATAATTTTTCCTGGTAAACTCATTTTTCTTTCCTATTAGCAAGAGACGTTGGTGGTGATTCCAAACTATCATTTACATAAGCTAGTGCAGAAATTAGTTAAATCAAGAGTTGCATACTAATAATTTTTTTATATAGCCCATCATGATGAGTAATATTGATCTACCAGACACCAGTAATCAGAAAACTGAAGAGAAAAATTTGACATCAATTTTTTCTCCCACCGGAAATTATTTATCACCAGCTTCATTAGACGGCAGAACTCCCTCTATTACCGGTGGAAATTCTAGCTCATCTACAGGAAATAATCATAGCAACAACAACAACAACAATAATAATAACAATTATAGCAACAACGGTAGTTTAACTAGTAACACCGATAATAATAGAAATTTTCGAAACCAAAATCCTATTAATTTACCATCTCCACTATCATTTTTGAACGGTAGTCTTAATCAACTGGGTTTACATAAAAATATGACAACTACTTCGCCATCGGTAATTCTTTTGAATTCTTCTAATACATCTACACCAAATAGTAATACAGGTAATACTCCATCTCATGAGCTAAATAAAATTAAAGAGGATACTTCATTGAAACCTGATATATCTGTTTCTTCTACAGTTAAGGATCAAAAGGGTCATGTAGTGAAGCGGAAATACTCTAGAAATGGATGTACAGAATGTAAAAGAAGAAGAATGAAATGTGATGAGACTAAACCAACTTGTTGGCAATGTGCAAGATTAAACAGAACTTGTGTATATGTCTTAAATCCAAGAAATAAAAAACGGAAGGATCAGAATTCAACTGGTAGTGAATCACATCCTGAAAGTTCTGGGCAATCACCAGAAAATATACTAGCATCTCAAAATGACAACTCACAAGTCCTAAATCCTTCTAGTAGGGGACCATCTTTAATAGAGAATATGTCGGGAGATACTCAAACCAATCCATTGAATATGAACCAATGTGATGATCATATACCTGATGTAACTAGTGAAGTAGCCAATTCAGCACCAATAATTGGTGTGGATGGCATTGATACCAATTTATTAATGCAAAATTTAAACGATATCGTTAACATGAAGTTGAATGATGCAACTATGATAAATGAGAATATGAAAGACTTAGATTTCCCTGAATTAGATATTCCTGAATTATTAATGCCTTCTTCAAACCACCATAGTTCTGTACCAATATCATTCTTGATGAATAATGTTATACAGTTTAATATTAAGATCACCTCTTTTAAGTTAGGTGGTATGCACGATGAATATCTAAGAATATTCTATAATGATTGCTTGGATTCGATTGCTCCATTTTTCCAAAACCAAGGCAACCCGTTGAGAGATATACTATTATCATTTGCAAGAAATGAATCGTATTTACTTTCCGCCATCCTAGCTGTTGGTGCATCTATTTCACATCGCGCGACTAATAAGTCAGAGGATGAAAGAAACTACTGTGCATACTTGTCACATTGTTTAAGTCTTTTAGGTGATCAATTCCATAATGAAGCGAACGTTCTGAATAAAATCGAACCTATTATACTAACAGTAATGTTGTTAGCATGGGATTGTATTAATACCATGAACTCCCAGTGGAGATCTCACTTGAAAGGTGTTACCGATCTTTTTGCTAAGATTAACGCAGGGAATTCTTCTAAAGTATTAAATGTAGCCAAGTGTTGGTTCAAAGTTATAGAAACTTTCGCTAGTATTAGTACTGGTTTAGGTGGTTCTCTTTTCGATGAAGATTTAGATATCATATTCAATCCGTACGACTATCAATATGTTGATTCATTGAAATTTTTGAACGTTATGACGCCGTTAAATGAATTTAACCTACTTAGAGGTCACAAGGAAGACTTTGATTTAGTTATCAGGGAGGTATTAAGAGGACTGAATTACGTAAGAAGATGCAGGCAAGGTACAAATGCTACACGAAAGGAGAAAGAAGCTGCTTCGAAATCCATTGATTTACTGAATTTTGGATTAAGTTATTTGAAGTATTCTGAATCCACCAAGGCCAATAATGATGAATCTAACCAGTTAAATTTTTTCAAAACCCAAAAAATTCTTGTAGAAATCGATAGACAATTAGAATATGAATTTATTAACAAGACAGGTATTATACCGAGAGAGAGTCAATCTCATCCAGATAATAGTCATATCGACGATAATGCTATCGATATGGTCAAATTAAGGAATGGTGAAACAATTGCCATTAGTTGGTATGATATATCACATCAAACTCAGGTATTATGTTTCCTGTTGATTGTATTACTAAATTTCTTAGGTCTTCCAAAGGAATCCATATTGATCCAACAAGTTATCAAGAGGCTAATGTCCTTCTTCAAATTCTTAGACAGTGATAACCCGCCTCATAATGCCAGAACCTGTTATTCAAATTTTGCCGTGTTATATGCGGGTCTACATGCAGTGGATGAAGAAACTAGAGATATGGTTAGAAGGTATTACGAGATCAATGGTGATACATCAAAGAGATTAACAGATTATAACTTGCACAGGTTAGAGAAAGTATGGTATGGTAAAGAAAGTAACGATAATTTGGAAAACCAAGATGTTCTGACATGGTGAATAATAATATCTGCATATTCGCTTTCTCATATCTACTCGTATTAAATAATTGACATTTTATAGAATTGGTAGCAAATGTATTATAATAAATAGGATTTCACGTGAGATAAAAATTATATCAAACACAACCAACTTAGTTTTTATAAAGATTTGCATATATTGAAAATAAAACTTTATATGTACTATATATTATATTTAGCTATATATTATGCTATAAAAGTGTTTTTCGAGATCTGGAATCTTTTATTTCTTTGAAGAATAGAAAAACAATCTTCTACCCACCAATACATGGTATCTATATGAATTACCAACAACTAACATCGAATAGAATCATCACTTCACAAAAAACAGAAGGAGAATTAACAGAAAAATTGCATCAATCTTAATACCCAAATTATAAAAAAAGAAAGATGAAAATTATGATTAAAAAAATTACGAACAAAAAAAATAGTATACGTTACGATGATTATGGAATAATTAGTAATTAGGGTGTTTCGGAAAAAGTTAAAATCAATGACATATTTTCTATTCTCATTAACTTTTGTTCGATGGTGATTTATTCCAAGTTTGACATTAAGAAAAAACGAAATGTCGAAAAGATGTTGGAGGTTTGTATATGACAGGATACAGAAAAAAAAGAGAATTGAACTCTTGATCATTGAAATATATCACAGCAAATATATGTGTTCGCGTGTCTTATTATAATAGATCATGGGGAATCAGAAAAAATAATTTGTAATGAAGTTTTAATAAAAAGGTTTTTGGGGAAGTTTGAAATAAAAAGTTTTGTAAGTTAAAATCAAGTAATAAACAAAATAATTTGTAATAAATAAATAAAGATTAGCTCTATTCGAGAGATATCATATTATTAACAAGTTTGTTTATTTCTTAGACTTCTTGGACTTCTTTAATTTTGGAGAAGCAGCACCGGACTTTGGAGACTTTGGAGACTTTGGAGACTTTGGAGACTTTGGAGACTTTGGAGAAGCTGGAGACTTGGCACCGGCAGATTCATGATCTTCTTGGTGGAAGTTGTAACCAATCTTTTCAATACCAACGTAGTTGGCCAATGGTAGGAAGATCAATGGACAGAAACATAAGAAACACAAATCTAGAATACCGTAGAAAATCATTTCAGAGTCAACAACCAAAACGTTACCACCTTCAGATAGACCGAAAGAGATTGGGTAGATTAACCAGAAGAAGAAGATTATAGAGACGTAGATCTTAAAGACAGTGTAAACATCGTTACCAGCTCTAACACATAGGTTCTTGGTGGTGGTTAGGATGGAGGTCATAACAATCCAACTACAGAAGACAGCGAAACTGAAGTAACCCCATTTGTAAGTGGTATGGACCAAAGCAGCTAGCAACATACAGACGACGAAGAATTCGGTCATCACAATGTTGAAGAACATTTGCCATAGAGGAGTCTTACCAAGAATAGAAGCTTGGATAACTGGGAATGGCATAGCTAAGAACCAACCGACGTATCTAGAGTAGAAGACTTGTCTAACACCTAGATGAGTAGTTTGAGTAGAGACTCTGTTGTGGTTGTACTTAGCCTTGACACCGGTCCAACCTAAGTTAGAAGCCATGGTGAAGTAAGCAATGGTCATAAATAAACATGGAGCAATAACGGTGTAGTAAAGGAATCTGTCGTCAACTGGTTTCTTGAACATTAGGAAGATCAAGATAATGGCTGCGAATAAGTTGACACAGAAGATGGTCCACAACCAATCGGAACCACGAGCGGTTAAATGGAAATCAGTACCAGTTGGCTTGTTGATGTTGATGGCTTCGTTACCACCTCTTTTGAAGAATTGAACAGTTTCTGACATTTTTTTTTATTGTAAAATTTGTATTTGAATTAAAAATGTTCCGAAAATTGTATTAAGAAAATGATTGTCTTTGAAGATTAATTAATTAATTATTAGAAATTATTATTATTATTATTATTCTTTTTCTGGTTTTTTTTGAATTGATATATTTTTAAAATGAATTTAAAGTAATATTAATAAAAAAATTGGTATTATTGAAAAAAAGAGAATAGAAGTATTATATGTTAATTATCACTAATTCAGGTACAATTGTATGGAAGTAATCGATGATATAGGGAAAGATTATTAAGAAACAAAAATGATAAGACAGTAATAAAAATAATAATTAGACTAAAATAAGAAGTACTTAGAAATTACTAAATGAAAAATGAAGGGAATAGGGAAGGGAAACTAAAGGAAATTTGGTTTAATTACAATCAATTGAGAACATTAAAGTATTTATATATTTGCTACATTTTTGAGTGAAAACTTTTTTTTTCTTTTTTTCTTAAATTTAGGATTCCCTTGTCTTAATGATAATAAGCAAACATTAAAAGACCCACTTATCAAAAGGAAAGAGAAGAGTAGAGCTGAGAGATTGACTATATTTGAGTATGAGAGATATCGAAAGAGGGATAATTAAGACAAAAAAAATAATAACATCACAAATATGGTCTATTCGGGTATATACCTCTTCGTAAGAGAAATTTACTACAGTAAGTTGTTAGTAGAAAAGGGATTGATTACATATTATTATTTTATTTAGAATAGAATAAGAAAATTGAGTACAATTCAGTTAAATTATAAGGAAAAACAACAACAAACAAAACCGTTTAACTAAATTGTTTTTTTTTTTACTACTATTAGCAAATTCCAAATAGTAACGGACCGACGACAGTAGTTAAATCATCAACATATCCTTAAATTTAATTTTTTTTTCCTCATCATCTGTATTGTTGTTATTATTACTAAAAAAGATTACATGATACAAATACGTATAATAATGCGGTAGGAACATCGCCGTAAAAAAACGTTTGAAGGGTGAGATTATTTATTTAATTATTTAATTAATTCATATTAAAATGAATTTTCCTTAGTGATAAAGTAGTAGAAAAGAGATCTTCCCACGAAAGAATCATCATCACACTATAATTAATTTGATTCATTTCAACCTGAATAGAGAAAGAACAATAACAATACAAACGTAAAAGTAGTGTACCCTATACAGAACTTACAACGTAATTTAAGTAGCCCTTCAGTAAGAATTGCTCTATTTTGAGAGAGTATTATTTATTATTTACTGAAAACAGTTCCGTATTAACTAAATAATGTCGATCCCTTTTAGGAAAGATAATCTGTTTATTTGTTGTGGTTTGCTCTATTTGGCTTACCGGTAGACGGATAATATACATTTTTAGTATTTTTTATTGTATTTTGTTTTGGAAAAACATAAACAGCTCTTTGTGCGGGCATTTTTTAGTTCAGGGTTATTCCTTCTGCGCGCTTTTCTCTGGGGAGGATCGGTCTAATTTGAGGGATTTGCTAGAAGAAGAGGTGTTTTTCCCAATTAAAAACAACAAAAATTGATAAAAAAAATAAATAAATTTCGCTTTTCTTTTCGTAAGGAACTTTTAGTTTGGTTTCAATCTAACAAAGGCAGAGAAAGAGAGCACTATTTAATAATATTATTATTTAAATTGAACGACGAGGAAAGAACATGTCGTAGAAATAAAGAGAGAAGAGGAAGAATAGAACCCAATTGGGTTCCAAGACCAATAAATAAACAAATATATAATGTATTGGACCCCTACAGTACGTCGTCTAAATCAATTCTTGCATAATATACGTAGTTTGAAATAATTAAATTAAGAAATGAAAGCACCAGACTAATGTCATTCGTCAAATATAATTATTCAATCAAAGCTGTATAATAACATCCGTGCAATAGTACTCAAATTTTTTTACTGACTGAGACACAATTATTATTCTTTTTTCCATTTTGTGTTAGAATGACAACAACAACAACAAGAAGATTACTATATTCAAATTGAGAAAATTATATACGCACACTCATAATTGAATGAAATATCTATTTATTTTTTTATCAATCAAACAATTGTAGGACAATCTATCCTCTTTCTTGGGTGTCCAATCTTGGAACTCATTCATTATTTCTATCATATGATCAATGGATAGGGTTAAAAGTTAGGTTCCTTCAAAAAAGGAGAGCGGATAAAAACGAAAAAGCAATTGAGAGAACTGTTATGTAACATTTTCTTCTTTTTCTCCGCTTGTTTACTTGTTTGTATATATTTTGGATACCCATTAGGGGTATTATGTCGTAGAACGGGAGCTAAAGAGTGGATGTCCCTTATTACTCGTTTTTGCTCTTCAAGGATAAAGTGGGTACCCTTTAATTTTTATTTTTAAAATTAGGAATATTTGGTGATGATCACCTTTATCTTGTCATACTTAAGAGGAAAAACCACCTCACCTGTTTTCATTCTATACATCCTCTCCTTCCGCATTTTTCTCTATATCTTGATAAGTTAAGTAACTTAATTAATTAAAGTGCGTCATTCACTATGTAGTATGAATTGAATACTACTATTATATATCCTTCTAAGGTAATCAAATTGAGGTTTTCCTAAACCCTTCCATCTCCCAAATAAGAAATTTATCCATAATTTACAGTACATATATATCTATAATATTCATATAGAGAATCGCTTGTTAATATGATTGGTTAATTTCAACAATAACATGTGTTTAGTTCTGGCGAATGTGTATATGAACTCGCATACTTGTTTGGGAAGCAATAAAATAAGTATTATTATGACCAGTCATGCTTTTCTTTTTGAACTTCAACCTTAGTTATTATATAATAGGTTTTATTTATATAAAACAATAGAAAATCTACCTTTGATGATGAACAATAGAAAAACACACTCACATACATACACAAACAAACAAACAAGATGGAGCGGGGCCATAAACGCATATGTATTATCTTTGCTTACTTGAAATTGGTATATACACATTAAGATATATTGTCTTGTTCTTGCTAATAAGATGTTCAAATGTGGTTTTACATAAGAGACCTCCTCTAAGCATGGCAAGATGCAAGAGGTAACAAAAGTCTACTCAGAGAAATGATACTTTCAGAGAAATGATACTTTCAGAGACATATTGTTTTGTTTAAGATATCACAACTTCATAGATAAAATTCAAAATGAAATTCTTCCTCAGGATTTATTACTATATTAATAATTTGTTTTTATTAATAGTTGTAAAATCCGATAATAACTAAGAAATTTATATACTTATTTTTACTCCAATTAACCACCCACTTTACCGAGAAAGGTTATCTATCATCTGTAATTCAAAATGTTTACAAGAGTTATTGGGTTAGATATATATCATAAGTAAATAAAGATCAATTATTTTAGTGTATATTGATTTTTTCTGAGTTTCCTAGTACAAATTTGTCCATATATCTGTAATACTGATGCTACTGAACGAACGAATTAATGAATATCCAATAATAAAATAAACTATGGATGTAAGGGATACAGTAAAAAAAAAGATGAAAGGAATACCTCATTAGTTTAATGTTTTCTTTTCTTGTTAATATTGGCTCTTTTTAGTATATGAAGATAAGAAGTCTGACATAAGCCTTTTTGGAAAATAACCCGCTCCTAAAAAGTACATTTTCGAACGTTTCAAGAAATTTTGTTATAATGCTTACTATTTTTAAGGCTCACCTTTACCTCATCGATGAGCTTCATTTTACAAGACATTATTTTGAAACATAATATATATATGAGACAGTTTATAAGTCAAGATTGACATACCGCCGAACCTGAGATATATAATGATGGACATAATTACATTTGCACACAAGGTAATACAACTGTGAGTGTACATTAATATAAATCCATTGAAAAAACTAAATATCTAATCTAATGATAATTCCTATGTCACTTAATAGGAAAAAAGAAAAGTATTCACTGCTTCTTTGGTTTTGTGTTGATCCTGAAAGTGTACATATCTTGGAGGTTGCTACTAATATTACTAACAAACGGTAAAAGTTATTTTCTCAAAAATATCTATTGAAGTTTGAAGTAATTATTCACTAGACCTCTCTCATCTCCAGAAGTTCTCTACCTATCCCTTTCAAATAGGAATCTCTCGAAAAAATGTAAAGGTCATCCATAATAATGTTACTCATCATTCTGTGTTTCAGTGCATGCACGATTCCCCCTTTTGTCTTTATTGTCTTTGTCTCTCCTCCCAACCTAACCCAAAACACAACTGACTGAGACATATATTCAAAAACTTCTGTTGATGATGTTGCATCTCCTATTGGAGTCACATGAAACATATTAAGGAATATATGATATAAATTGCTGGAATTATGCAAGGCTCTAAAGCCAAAAAATACAATTGGAATAGTCCAGGATAAATAATTGTCTCCCATCAGTCACAGTTCGTTTTCTAACGTAGTTTCTTTGGTGTGTAAAGTATATGGTAAACTTCCTTATGATTCAGTTCTTCAACGAAAATTGTTGTATCTTCATAGCAAAGAATTAGAATACCCCACTTGACTCATTTCCACGAACTATAGTCATATGATAGTCCTGACGACATCATGGTATTTCACATATCGACTCTTTCTTTGATGGAAAAGAGCCTGCTGAATCTAAGATCCCTGGTTATATGTCATTATGTTTTCCCTATATTCAGGGAGTGAAGAATGTGATAAAAGAGTAAGCAGCATTCGAAGAAGATATTTTTGTTTACTCTCTTCTTCAAATGCTGGGTGTTTTCAATCGGAGATCCACTGTAACATCTTATATTGAGTGTTATCTTAATTTTCTATGGGTAAACTCTAGTTCGTTTTCTAGCTTTATCTTGTACTAGTGAAATTCATTCTGCAAAACGCACCACAGACTCCTCCAAATTTACAGAAAAGATGAGAACGAGCATATAATCGGTACACGTATCATTGAGCCAACATATAAGAAACCAGACGTATTGATATAACGATGATGATGGTCATTGAAATTTCAATATAAATATTCTTTGTCCTCTCCTCTCTAAAATGTTGTCCACTATTTTCTTCGCGCCGAAAACTTTAAGATGATTTGGTGCGGCTGATTGAAATACATGACAGCGTAGAATCGTTGTGACTATAAAGAGAAGCGATATAAGACAGATGAATGATTCACGTACTCTCTACTTTCACTTAAAGGAAACAGATAATTAACATTCCATCTTCTCTTTTAAAAAACTGTATTTAAAGTTATTTAGCCATTTCTTGTAGGTTTTCCTCCAACTTTGTGACACAGTTCATTTAACTTATTTCTCTTTACGTATTTTCTCGAACATTTTTTAAATATATAAATACATCATGAAATATATGTTTTAATTAAAAATAATCATACCTTTTTAAATTTGATTTTTTGCCTGTTTAAGATCTCAAGAAAGGACTACATCCTCACGTATAATATTTGACTCAATCAAAATCAAAATCACATAAGATTAATGGAAATTTCCTAAGTAAACCTAATAAAATATTTCGGAAAATGTGACAAAAAAGGGTCAATTGACTATATATAGAGTTCACTCCCAATAAAAAATGAATTCACTTTTGCAAACCTTTTATCGTTTTTAAACATTTTGTAGAATGATTTCTTGTCTATGAAATCCTATTCTGGTAACACAAGATCCATCAAAAAGCCTTATGGTAGTAGAAGAATAGTCCATAAACTCCACAAGAGTTTACGTTAATCAGATTTTCTATTTCAATTCTAGCTCTTGTTTGTCATCGACAGAGCTATCAACCATTTCAGTTGAATATATATCTATGCCTGTTTTGGGCTCTTTGCAAGTCAAACCTCACCTTAAAAATGGTAAATTTTTTGATCTTCTAAAATCATACCAGTGAAGCTCCATCCATATTGGCCCTCTTTGTAGATAAATTATGAGAACTGAACTATCCACAGTTCATTTCAATTTCCTTTTGGTCCTGGATTGTTCCATCATTTTCCTGTTTACCCAAACAGGAAATGGCCGTTTTAATTGGCGGAAAAACTGAAAAAGGACAAAATTCCCAAATTAGGAACAAAATCCAGAAACGGTCAAGAAAAGAAAAGAAACAAACAAAGAACAACAAAAATCCCGCTAAACGATAAAAAAACAGAAAACATCAATAGGGCGAAAACATAAACAATCACAATACGGTTAAGGAAATCAAATATTATTACCGCCTTGCCTTACATTTAATATATGGTTTCATTGAAGACATAGAAAAAATGAATAACAGATGAACAAGAAACTCAGAAGAGGTTTCATTATGATGATGAGAGGATTCAGAACATAATAATGAAATATGAAAATGAATTTTAGTATTTTGAAAATACTGTGAATTCTTACTCAATGCTCACGACAGTTGTTAAATACATACATATATATATATATACATACATATCCTTATTTTGTTTGATTAGATGAGCATGGTTGAAATAGGTTCTTTAAGGACCACCATTCATTTCGAAAACAAACCATATCAATCGCATTCATTTCGAAAACAATGTTTTAATATTTTCCATTATTTTTTACTCAATTACCGGGAAGATGAACATCATATATTGTAAATATATTTCACGATGAAAACTCCATTTAATGTAGTTTTTTTTTGTGTATCGTTGAAGATATATTTGGTTATTTTCTATTAGTTACTCCAGTCCCAAAAGAGTATGAAGTAGAATCAACCAGTTACAAGAAAGAAAGAGGAAGAACTAGCCCTGTATTTGTACTATAAAAAATATAACATTGTTCCACTACTTAAGTGTTATCGGTCATAACTATCTGTGAAACCTCGTCATCTTCCTTATATTTGTAAACCTATTCTAGTTTTGAATTCTTGAATATACACTATATATGTGTTTCAGCTTTACATAATAATGATTACGTTCCACAGATGAAGTTAAGTTTATTACTCTGACACATACAAAGTCGTCTCTGTATCTCTTAATGTTTACTGTGAGTGTGAATTGGTTATAAATGCTCTCTTCCTGAGTCAGTTGGAGTGTGGTATGCTTATTTTGAATCATAAACTTGAAAAATTCTGCTCTAATTACACATTCTACACATAAACTTACTTGAGACTAATATTTAGATTCTATGATAATATCAATAATCATAATCATATGTTATTCTTCTAATCAATGTGACTATTGTCTTTTCTATCATCAAAAACATTATTTCATGTACTATACATAAATTTGTTCCATCTGCGGCTTCCCCTCAATTTTTCAATGAAAAAATTTATGATTGTCTTTATTCTAGCGGACAAATATACCACTCAATTAATAAAAGTAAACAAATAGTATAAACAAATAATATAAACAAATCATATAAACAAATTATTTATATCAATTTAAAAAACTAATAAAATTCCTTCTTCTCTTATATGCTTGTATTTTCATACGTGGATGAATGCATTTACTTTAGAACTTACCTGTGGGTTGAGGAATATTGATGATATACAGTCAATAATTCAGCGTACTCAATGGGAGAAACTGTTAGAAAATGCTACACAGTTTGGTGGTCCACGGAATGTGTATCCCTTAAGAAATTCTTTCCAAAGGACTAGTTGTATTGAAATTAATTCATATAGTAACGGTAGATATTATTTGACTGGAACAAATGATGGCTCAGTAGCATTATGGCAATTCGATACTGGTATTACTAATGAAATGGAACATGGCAATGGTTCGACACAAAGACGCTTAATTAACAAAAGGATGAAAGAATGCAAAGGTAAAGCACCAACAAATGCTACCAACCGTAATAACAATACTAAGACAGGAGTTCAACCATCCACATACAATAATAACATTGACAGTTCAAGATTAGTACATAGTTTCGAGACGAAATATAATAAATATAGATTATATCGGGGGAATAGCGGTGATTCTTCCATGGGATCAACTAATTCTAAACAGTTCGAAAATAATATGAATCAGCCATTATCATCACATAGTCTAAAACATCACCAATATGGTATTACTTGCATGAAATGGTATGGAAATGATGATGGGATGTTCTTCACGGCAAGTCATGATAAAATGATCAAGATATGGGATACAAACACATTTTCAGTGGCTCAAGACATTGAATTTAATTATGATATTCATCAATTAGATAGTGTACCGAGTGAGATGAATTGTATATTTGTTGCATCAGATGATTATTATCCCAGAATGATAGATTTAAGGAGTATGAATTTGGGTGTTACAATATTTGGTAAAAGTAGTAAAAATAGTAAATTAACAACAATGAACTCTGAAATATTATCGTGTAAATGCAATCCAATGAAGGATCATATTGTAGCTTCTAGTGATAATGATGGGAGAATAAAACTTTGGGATCTACGTATGAGAAACCGACTGTTAATGGAATTGCAACATCATGATAGTCGATTCAATAATAAAGCACACGTAAAACCGTGCAATGACCTTACTTGGACCGAAGATGGTAAACATCTAATATCCATTGGGTTGGATGGGAAGATCTTGAAATGGGAACCATTCAATATTGCAATATCTAATATGGTGACTCAAATTGGTGATACTGATGTCTCAAGGAATAAATATAAAAATAGAACCTCTCAAAGATTATTATCATGTAATAAATATTTGATTGTCAATACAGATTATTCGGAGTTGCAAATCTTTGATATTGTACAAAACAAATTTTGGAATAAGATCGACTATCCTACCGATTTATTAAATGAAGATGATGGAAATGATGGAATGTTTTGTGGTATGTCAGCGCAAACAGACCTATCTAATTCAATGGGACTTCGATTATTAGTAGGTGCAAACAGTGTTCATAGCACCAAAAGTGATTTGCGGAACAATATTCTTGAGTTTACTTGCTAAGTCTACATCGAATATTTAATATTATATAAAATACGAAGAGATACCATATATATTTATAGAAGTACAAATCTCAAACTAGAAATTATAATACAGAAATATCTAATATCAACTATATCAATGAAACATTAAATAACTGACTCATTCTTCAAGTCTATGAACGAGTCATATTAATTAACCTAAGCTAGGGTCAAACTTACTGTATATTACATATCTCACAACCCTTCGGATTGGGCTTGCTGTCATTAATAATCAAAAATGATGATTCGATTTAAATTCAAATCAAACACACAAGTTCTATTGTCGCGAGTTATTCTTTATGTAAAACTCTGTATCTGTCATATCTAAAGAATCTGAGTGACAGTTGCTCTGTCTGTCACTTAATCTCCCTTCCTGCCCTGCCCTGCTGTCATTGCCTCCACTTCTTCTTCGACCTCCCCTCCCCCCGGTATAAAAAAGACCAGCAAATGCGCACTCCATAAAAATTAAAATCAAATTAATATGGAGAGAGAGCGAGGAAAGACTTCTCTCACCGCCCACTCGCTCATTTTCTTGCCGTGCTTTTTCCTTCTTTTGCAGAGCAAAAATGTACATACTATAAATCAAACAGAGTTAAAAAACCAAGTAAATATAGCTATTGAGCGGAAATGTGTGCACACAACGTTATAAAATAGTAATAAAGCAAGGAAAAAAACATAAAAAATTAAAGAAAAAAATAAAATAAAATAGAAATTAGAAATTTTGACAAATTTAACAGGAGGGATACTTGAGAAAGATCAGTTACAAACAATAACAAAATAAGCAACTAGTTAGAAAATATCTGATATATAGATAATCAATATCAATATACGCTAGACATTACAATACTTTTGTATTATCGTTTGTGTGTTTGTGTGCTAGTTTGTTAGTTCATTTTTCTTCTTAAAAAAAAGGGTTAATACCTAAAGATCTATTAACGTATATTTTACCACAGGCATCTATCTCTATTTATATACACAACTAGTGTGAAATAAAAACATTATATTATTTACCATTCCATACAGGAACAAAAAATTTAACAATCAAAGTGATACTGGACTTACATTTCACCACTATTGCAATTTATTTTTACTTTTTTGATTTTCTTCTTTTTAACTATTTTGCATACTAGAGTTTTTCATTTTCTATTATTTGAAATTTTAAACTTGGAATAAGAAGTGATTATATACTCAAAACTGTTTGATAGAATAAGTGGTACACATTTTAATCTGCATATACCAACCAACCTTCTCTCTCTCTCTCTCTCTCTCTTTAAACTTTGTTTTAGATAACTGACAGAGATTTATTGTCAAGACCTTCCATTTATCGATTTACCTTTTTAAGCTTTAACGACTACCATAGAATATTAAACATAAACACTATACCCCCCTTCAAAAAAGAAAAAGAAAAGTCAGTCAATTATGTCCAAATATAACGATGTTCCTGACGCAGAAAATGATGGTAAAGCACAATTGAAAAAACTGTATAGTCATACAGATGACGATGATATGGGTCCATCTGTATCAATGGCTAAAGAAGCAGAAACTAATGAAGATTTTGAAAAATCAACTTTTAATCTGAAAAGAACAAGATCAATGGGTTTATTAGATGAATATATAGATCCCACAAAAAAATTATTAGAACAAAACAATGCTAAACAAGATAGTATAAACGCCAGAATCGAAGATTCTAGGGATTCCCGATATAAGGAGAATAAGAATGTCGCATACAATTCAGATTCAGACTCCAATTCGGGTTCTACGTATTCAAGTTCGAGCTCATATTCATCATCATCATCATCCTCATCAGGTTCCGATTCCTATTACTCCGATGAATCATTATCCGATGATAACCAACAAGAAGACCAAAACATGACCTCCACGTCAGTTTCACCACCATCTGTAAACAATGACGATATATTGATCCCTCAGGATGATAATGACGTCGTGATAGAACCAGAAAGACATGTCGATTATCTATCACATAATTGGGATGAATCGGAAATTTCAAATTCATGGAAGTACATTATATTAAAGAAAAAAAAAAGAGATATAGACCTTGTCAATGCAGCTAGATTAGAAAATGCATCATGGAGAACTTGGGCAAAGACTAGAAATCATTTGAAAACAGTAACACCAGAGGCAGTAAATTGGTCGAAAGACTCAGATGTGACTTGGTTATATGGACCCATCGTACGTGATGGTCCAGTAGATGCACAACAGGTTGAAGATATAGATGACACATACAGTGCAAGAGGATATGGTTCTGATGATGAGGCGTCCAAGATGCTACCTGTAATCAATCCATCAAAACCTACCAAAACTTCAAGGACTTCAAAATCTAAAAACAAAAATAATGATAGAAAGACGTTATTAAAACCTATATTAAAGAAAAGAACTGTCCCAGAGATCATAGAAGAAAATTCTCAATGGAGACTTAATGAGGCTAGAAAACATTATAATGAAATAAAAAATATAGCATCTAATATGGACCCTAACACAAATTTTCATGATTATGACTACTTAGCTGCAAAAGTTAACGCTCAATATTTTCAAAAACAAAAAGCTAATCAATCAGAAAATAATAAGCAGACAAGTTCACAAGAGGCTGTAAGTGATAGAAATAATCCAAATACAATAGTGTCGTCTGATAATGTTGACGACAATAATGATAACGATATTACAAAAAATAGTCTTTTCAAGACTGGTGATGATCAAACAACATCTTCCATTTTAACGAATAAAGCAAAACAAAACGCTAATAGTGCCACAAAACCGAAAAGACACATCCATTTCAACGATCGTGTTGAACAATGTATGGTTGTCAAGATCCCTACATCCGATAACAGTTCCTCTGACTACGAATCAAGTGACGATGACGATGACGAAAATACTTCTGTTGTTAATGCACGTGATAGCAGCAAGAATATACAGTTTCAAAGAAATACATCAAGAACGTCATTTTTGTTGAATTCAGACGATTCTGATACAAGCTCGGCATTAAATTCAGATTCCGAGTCCAATGATGAGGGTGGCGGTGACGGTTTATTCATAAATGCAAGATATGCTAGAAGATCAGGATCAATAGTTCATTCACCCGTCTCCTCCGAAACATCATCCCTCAGTTCTAAAAGTGAAGGGAGAAAACACAAAGTGCGTCCGATAATCAAATTAATGCCAGCAACTACTTTAAATTATGGATCGGACGAAGAATCTGATAACTCAGACTATAGTAGTTACGGTAATGCCGTATCCCATAATGTTAATACACAAAGAGGTTATGATTATATATATGACTACAATTCCGTGTATACTGGTGATACCTCAAACTTTTTGCCAATTGATAATTGCGATATAGTAGATGTACCAGATGGTATCAATCTCCAAACATCAATTGCTGATAGTAACAAGAATAATTACAATTTTGATCAATCAACCACCTCATTGAATCTAGATATAACACAAAAGAATGACATAGCAGTTCCTCAGGATAACACCAAAAATACAATAGACAACGATTCCTTTAGTAGTGATGATCAATATAGCCTTTCCTCTAATACAGACGATGACGAATTTATTGAAGATTCAAATTATCAGAGTTCAGATGAAGATGATGGGAATTCTAGTTCAAATGGAATTAATATTGAACATACCAACTGCTCTAATACGGGAGACCTTAAAAGAACGATTTCTCTTGGAAGAAGTACAGACTCATTAAAAAATTTATCTCAAGTAGCAATGAGCCCAGGTACAACTGTTACGCCACAAAATTTTATTACAGGTGAGAATATAACTAATGAAAAGAAAAATGCAAACCCTGTAAGAAGCAGCTCTAGACCCAATTTATCACAAAGGAGCTCTAATAGAAGTTTTATTTTTGATTCTGATAGTGAAGATAGTGACAATAGTGATATAGGAAAGCCTCTGGTAAAATCTCCTGTGCTATCATCTCACCCTATAACTGAATCTAATAACAGGACTACCACCCATAAATTGACGCCTCCTAGTAGGACGCCTAGTTCGTCATTCTTAAGTCATAATAGCGATCTAAATAACTGATCCTTGAATAAAGTTAATATGCGATGAAACAGTTTAATATTCCATTATAACATACCCATAAAAATGAAAATATCATTGTCAATTTTCAAACCTTCAAGAAGGAAACAAAAGGCGTGGTATAATGTATCAACAATTCTGCATTCTTTTTATTATTTACTTTAGTAACTACTTATTGTTTCACCATCGCATAAACAGTTAATTGCATCTAATATATTTTCTTTTTTTAATAATCATTATACAAATGAAATAGCCATGTAATTAATGTGTAATTATTAAAATTTGAGATTTGACATCAACCAATTGATTTTGGGAAGATCGCTTTACTGAAAACCGGTCCTGGTGATATTTTATATAATATGGTTTCGTACATTATGATAAAAATCATACTGCCTATAACGTACTCAGTACATAACAAATAGTAAATAGGTATACCCATAACTGTTTTGAAAAGATAAGTTCGAGTAAAAGCAATAACTATCGACTTAACTATAGAGCTACTGAGTAGTGTATGTACAAAGTAAAGCAGAAATTATGTCAAATACGAAAGGGGAGGAGCCATTTATACGACCATTGATTAAAGTTGAAACAGAAGAGCCTGTTAATAGAGATAGGGACTCTAGCGATGTAGCGATAAGCCAGAGAACAACTACACCAGTTACAAGTATTCCTCGTAGAAGTGTTGACTCAATTGCATCTCTAGGATCTGTTGCAACAACGACAACTGCTGCCGGAAACCACAGATTTACATTCTCAATGGATTCGAAATCAGGTTCCCAAAATTATTCGCCCCTGGGAAACAATTCAATATACGAAGTTATCATGAATACCAGATATAAACATTGGCTACAGACACCTACTAATATTGATATTACACCTGTTATATTAAGTAAAAATGAATTGGCAGAAAACTGGAACGACTCTGTTACAAGCTATGTTAACTCCATACAGGATGATGCCGAAACATTTGTTAATCGGTCTGATATTCGAAACATAAACCGTATTGAGGAAATGAAATTATATCAAGTTACAGACGATTCTGATCAAGATGGGTCTAAGAGGAAATATGCTGATGAAGAATTAAGCATAATAAACGAAGAAAATGACGCTATTAGTCAAGTGCCAAGTTTTTATTTCGACAAGTCTTTCTCTTTAGATAACGAACGTATTTTTAGGAAGGTAATAGAAGGTATCGACCTGAGACTGAATAAACTGAGTGAAATAAAGAGTACCAACCAACAGGACTCAGAGGCTAGCAAAATTCAACAAGAGGCACCATACACAGAACTGAAAGATAAACTAAGTGATTATTTAGATATTGTGGAGACATCTTTGGTAAGTGAATTATCCAAAGCATCACCTCAATTTTTCTACGCATTGAGCGAGGTTGATCATATACAACAAAAAGTGTCTGATACAGTTTCTGACTTAGATAAACTCAATATTACCTTAAAGGATGACAAAAGAAAAGACATAAGTGAGAAAATAAAACATCTGAAAACAATCTTCAAAAGGAAGAATATCGAAAAATTAGAACAAGGTCTACTTCAGGTTAAGCTTGTCCTAGAGAAGGTTGAAGTGTGCAAATCATATTATAATAAGGATGAGTACGATGATAGTTTAGGAATGATCAAATCAATAGATTCTTTGATCAGAGGAAACAATGACAACGATGAAAATGTTGCTGAATGGACTAAACATTGGCCATACCAACTGGTTGATTTAAAATCTGTACCGGCCTTAATTGAAACCAGGGAGTTTCTGACTAACATGAAAATTGAAGTTGGTGGAAAATTGGCTATTCAACTCTCTGACATCTTGCTAGGCGATGTACGGTCTCATTATGAAACTATCGATGTAGGAAAAACATTAGAAAGATTACAAAATGGGTTCGATACAAAAACAAACTATACAGAATTGAATCCCGAATTACAAGAATCGATTAAAGAAATTATTGCAAAACTTTACAAATGTGAGGAATTGGCAAGTGGTTTTAACCTATATCAAAACAAGAGTCTAACAGAGTGTAAAAATATAATTAAAGAATATCTCCCTTCTGGTCGTAACGCAACAGACTCAATGCCCGTATCAACTGCACCTTCTTCTGCATCACTGACTGGGAACCAGAAGGACAGTTCCCCAATTGGTGATACTTCATTAACTGATATTAAGCAATCAACTACTGGAGGGAATGCACCAAAACTTTCGACATTAATTAGAGAACAAATGCCAATGGAGTTCCAAAATATGATAGTTGAAATATTTACACGATGTAGTGAAGCAATTAGAGTATTATTCCAACATCAAAAGATTTTACTCGATGTTGCATTGAATGTTATCGATGCTGATGGGGGTGAAAATAGAGCCTCTGAGAATCAACATAATATGATTACACAACTAGATATACGAGCAGGAATAAATGAGATTATTGGTGTTATTCAACTAAGAATGGGTAAAATATTAGCTGTCAGGAAAGAAATAACATCTACTCTACGTTATGATCACTTTTTACAACTGTATGCCATAACGGTTTTATTCATTCAAGAATGTGAAGCTCAAAGTGGTGAATTTTTAACCAAATATTTGAGTGATTCGCTGGCGTCTCAAATAAAACATTGCATTTCTTGTAGGGATACAAAAAATACCAGAACAATTCAAAAGAAAATCGAATTAGAGAACTGGCAACCTTTCATAGTGAATCCATCTTTCCAAAAGGACGTCAACGAGATCGTTTCATGTGTCGACATTGATCCTATTGCTTGGACCAATCTTCTTCATCTAAGCGCGAATGATAAAGAAAACGTAAAGCCAGAGACAACAAGTAAGATCCAAGGTGACGCAGGGATCGACACAGCACAATCTGGTAATAGAAAATCTGTTGTTGTCGGTGATAATACATTTGTTGCAAGTGACTCATTGTTAACAGCCATTACTTTAATAAGAGAGTTATTGATTTTATCAATAAATTTACCATCGATATACTTGTCATATTTTGAGAAGTTGTGCTTTAACCTTTTGAAATGTTTCAATACGTACACAATCGGTACAGTTACTATGCCTGGAAGACCAATGAAGAGCTTTGGTAAAAATTTATCGATAATGGCCGAAACATTAGATTGTCTGGCCGAATTTGTTGGAATAGTACAAAGATTCTATCAACGTGTATCTGATACTACAAGAGACTTTGTACCATATGACCCAAGCAACTATGCATCTTTACTCAAACAATACCATTCTTCTACCGAGAGAATATACGCTGCCAATGCCCCACCGCCACCTACATAATTGTTTTATAGACTACTTACATTACACATTACCTCAGTATCAAATAGATATCTTCCAATTAGTCACATTCTCTTTACTTTGTAGATGAAATTGGAAATAGTTCAACATAGCATATATACAATTTCAATGCTTGAACTCACACTATATGAACTTTAGAGTTACCCGGCTTACAGTATTTCATTCACGTGGAAATTGATTCTTTTCACCCCCAGAAAAATTTCAAAAATTTTATACGTTAAAAACAAAATGGAGAAGAAAACACTTTCGATGGTTTTTAGCGAAAAAAAAATAAACAAAAAATAAATAAAAACAACGAGAAGGTAACACCTTTGAGGGTATGGGTTGATTAAAATAACATTACCCTGATTCGTGAACTATCGTGAACTAAAGAAATTATAAACAATCAGTTTAAACAATACTGAACTTTTGATATCTACTCTATCGCTAATCTAGAGACTATTAGTTTATCGAAGGCTTTTTTTAGTTGCATTTTTTTTTTGAGAGATCCCCATTGGAAGGTCCTTATTTATTCTTAGTGATAGAGATCTAGAAATATTACGCCAAATAAATTTCTGACATATTTAATTTAATTTGATATGCCATCACATAACGTGAAAAGAGAAAAACATCTCAATGGATCGGAAACAAGATCTGATACTCAAGAAAATGGGGTAAGTACTCATGATTCCGTAGAAGAAGCTGTATTAAAATATGTTCGTGATGGATTTCAACAGAATGATCTCCAAAAGATGTCATCGGATAATGGTAATGGTGGTAATGACCAAGGTGATGACGAGAACAACGAAGGTAAGAACAATGGCAATACAAGTGCTTCAGCTGCTACTAATGATGATATGAGTTGGTATTTAAAACATGATGAAGATATAAACCAATATGATCGTCAAGGTGCTAGTGCAACAAATGAAGACGATTCACAGGCTGCAACATCAGAATCTGTAGCAATGGCTGCAGTCGCCGCTGCATATGCATCATCATCTTCAACTTTAGGTAAATCTGAGAAACGTAAGCACAAGAAAACTCACCGAGACAATGATGGAAAGAAATCCAAAAAACACAAGAAACAAAAGAAGAATCCTGAAACTGATATAGTTAAGGAAGATGTGACATCAATTGCCGTTGATCCTGCGCTAGCTACTCTTGATAATGACGAAGGTAATGATCCATCCAATAATGCACAGGATCAATTAGTTCGAAAAGCTATAATAGATACGGATAGTATAACTCAAAACCCTGATTTCCAACAATACTTAAATACAGATATATCAACAAAGGATGAACCCCTAACAAAGAAGGTGACTACTGAAAAGACCAAAAAACCAAAGACAAAGAAAAGCTCCGATGAAAGTGACAGTGCCACATTGGTTGATCCCGTTTCTATGGAGGAGCCTGAAGTGCCTACCAAGAATTACAATGATTTGAGTAAGGATTATGAAGGTGTCCTGCCAAAGGGCGTTTCTATTACTAACGTAGGGCTCAAAACTGACAAGGATACTCATTTACTTCAAAGTGCCGCTACAGATGCATCGAAGATGATCCGTGAAGGTACACAAAGTACGGGTAAGGTATTCGATGCTATTGAAGAAAGTGCTTTGGATCAATTTATTGCAGAATATAGTAGAATTAAAGGATTCTCCAGAAAAGAAACATGTGAAAGAATTTGGACAAATGGCCGCCGAAAGGATGACTTTTGGATAAATATTTGTAAGGTATTACCTTACAGAACAAGGTCATCCATATATAAGCATGTCCGCAGAAGATATCATATATTTGAACAACGTGGTAAATGGACACCGGAAGAAGATGCTGAGTTGGCCAAACTTTGCGTAGAAAAAGAAGGGCAATGGTCTGAAGTTGGTAAATACTTAGGTAGAATGCCAGAAGATTGTAGAGATCGTTGGAGAAATTATATAAAATGTGGGTCCAAGAGAGCATCTAATAAATGGACTCCAGAGGAGGAAGAAAAATTAAAAGATGTTATTGCAAGATTAATATTCGATGCTACTGGGCAAAAAGGTGACTTTCCTGAAAGAAAAATTGACGAAGTTGATGAAGATGGTCTGGAGATTGAAAAAAGTCTTCCAACTATGCCTAAAACGAAAGAAAATCAGAAGAAGTTTCAGGATATTATTAATTGGACCCTAGTAAGCGAACGTATGGATGGTGCAAGATCTCGTATTCAATGTCGATACAAATGGAATAAACTTGTAAAAAAACAAGCAATACAGAGAATTCAAAATATATCAGAAGACACCAAAAAATGGACTCTGGAGAAATTACGAGATCTTGGATTCACTGAAGATTCTCAAGTTGACTGGGATGAACTTGCTACTCTTTGCCCTGATACAGAATGGTCTGGTTTGGAACTCAAGCTCTCTTATGAGAAGTTACGCACTTTGGTAAAAGATCACAAATCCAAAAATATAAATGAAATATCAAAGGAATTATTAGGTATCATAGACGGTCCACTACAGGGTGACAAAGACAGTTAGATTATTGATTAAAAATAATGTTCGGTTAAATATATCAATGGAAGCGTAAAACTACACTATCCCTAAGGTTGTATTATAGTTTTTTTTTGAAAAGTATGGTTCAAATTTATAGTAAGTATATAAATATAATCCAAGACTCAGTAACATGAGAAGTAGTCTTCTCCATTCTGTTTTTTTATTATTTGCAACTTGAACAGACTTAATTGCAATTGTCTTATGGACATTTCTCCTCTGTTCCTAGAAGAAAACTATTTGATATAAATATGGAAATGATTATTGAATTTATATTTCAAAACTACGTTATACAAAATTAAATTACATATAAGGTAAACATATCGTATTTCAATTTTTTTTCTTTGGGTTTACTACTAATAAAGGGTAAAAAAACAAAACAAGGCTTCTATGAGAATAGTCCAGTTAACTTAGAACTTGGAGAATTGCTTGTTGGATTTACCTGGAGCGGCAGCAACCTTGATGACGTTGAATCTGACGGTCTTGGAGATTGGTCTACATTGACCAGCAGTAACGATGTCACCGACTTGGACACGGAAAGCTGGAGAAACGTGGACGGAGACGTTCTTGTGTCTCTTTTCGAATCTGTTGTACTTTGTAACGTAATGTAGGTATTCTCTTCTGATGACAATGGTTCTGTGCATCTTGGTAGAAACGACGGTACCGGTCAAAATCTTACCACGGATGGAAACTAGACCAGTGAATGGACATTTCTTGTCAATGTAGGAACCTTCAATAGCGGTCTTTGGGGTCTTGTAACCTAGACCAACATTCTTATACCATCTCTTGGTTCTTCTAGATGTCTTGAATTTTGGGTTGGTGAAGATGTGAGGTTGCTATTTATATGAGACTATGATCTTCATAAGAAGATAAAAATATTATTGTTAGTAACTTGAAAGTGGATAAAAGGTTAAGTACGCAACGATAAATTTACATTTCTGATTTAATTGTATGTTTGGTAGTATTATATCCTTCTAATTTCATAAACATTTGCTCTTTCTTGATGATTGTTATATATATATCGTCATATTATTAATATATTTGTTTATAAGGCCATACTTTAGTTAAATAATTTGCTCCAACTTTTGAGTATTGCGATGTAATTCAAACTTCATTTCATCCAAGAGTTGGTATGTCGTTCTATCATATTATCCAAAAGCAATCAATGGTCATATATCCTTTTTGATTCATTCACAATTTATTTTTTTATTCATTTTTCATCTTTATATATTGTTATCATTGCAATTTTAGAGGTTATAATGCATACCTTTTGGAAAGCTTTTTCAGCTTGAACAGTCAATTCAGTGGACATAGTGCTAGTTTCTTGGTTCTCTTTTTTTGCTAACAGTCAAACTATATAGTACTAGCTATGTTTATATGTATCTTAAATGTGCCGCTAACAACTTTAGCTATTATTGTCTAAGATATTAAAGACATCACTAGTATGCAATGAGAGGTTCATTGAATTCATTCCAAGGTTGGATAATACTGAACCGTCAGAGAAATTACGTGCAAGAGTGCATATAGTCCCTACAATACGTGGTGCTACCGTATTTGCTGATTTTACCAATTCACTATTAGGTGAAAAATTCCAATCAATGTGACCAATTTTGTATTTTCTTGACAATTTCCATGTTGCTTGTTTTTCTTTATAAAAATTAATTTTTCATAAAAAATATTTATTACTATCAGTTTATATAATGTGTGGTGCACAGATGTATAAAATAATACTATTGGGTGTACAGGTGAAAATGCAGTCATATATCTGAACTTCAGGTAAACACAAGTGACACAATATGTGGAAAATGTCAGTTTAAATAATATTACGCTGAAAGCTCCACCGATTTGATATTCGATGTTCGAAATTGCGGAAGATAAACTTATTTTAAAAAGCGGAGCAGTTGAATGGTATGCTGTTCATTATAAAGACCAACAAGCATAGTTCATTGTTTTTATCATGCTATATACTTAGCTAGATTCTTAACGATACGAAAGCCATCGGAAGAAATACTATTTTACTATCATTCTTTAATTATTATATCATATATTATTACGTAGAAAAGCCAGATGATTTATACATAATCTATTTCTTCTTGTTGGAAGTAGAGTTCTTTGGCAGAGCCTTAACGAATGGTAAGAATTCTGGTTCACCTGGAATGAACTTTCTTAGAACTTCTGGAACAACCAAACCGTCTTCAGTTTGGTAGTTTTCTAGAATACAACATAAAGCTCTTTCAGTAGCAGATAAAGTGGAGTTCAAACAGTGAACATATTTCTTTTCTCTTTCACTCATCTTCTTAATACCACATCTAATTTCTAGATTTCTAGATTGGTAGTCAGTACAATTGGAACAAGAAACCAGTTCCTTGTATTCCTTTTGGTATGGGAACCAAGCTTCCAAATCGTATTTTTTGGCAGCAGCATTGTTTAATTCACCAGAAACAATACCAACAACACGGTATGGTAGTTTTAAGTTTTGATAGAATTCTTCGGAGTAGGCAATCATTTTATCAAATTCTTCCCAAGACTTTTCAGGTTCTGTTAGAACAAATTGTTCAATCTTTTCGAATGCATGAACTCTAAAGATACCCCAAGCATCCTTACCATGAGAACCAGCTTCTCTACGGAAACAAGAGGAGTAACCAGCATATCTGATTGGAAGTTGTTCTTGTGGTTTTTCGAACCATTCACCACTGTGATAAGCGGAGATAGGTTGTTCGGAAGTGGCGATCAAGTATTTTTCGTCATCACCATCAATAACCTTGTATAATTCTTCATCGAATTGAGATAATTGTGCAGTCTTAGCCATAACTTCTTTGTTCATCATAACTGGAGCTTGCATTGGAGTGTAGCCCTTGGAAGCCAAGAAATGAAGACCGTAGTTAATCAAGGCTTGGTTCAAGAAAACACCACAGTTTCTTAGAAAGAAACCTCTGTGACCAGAGATCTTGACACCACGTTCTGGGTCATAACCATCCAATCTCAACAAAATTTCGTGATGAGATAAAGCGGCTGGCTTACCAGTGACGGAAGCAATTGGACCAACATCCTCTAGACCTTCTGGTTTCCAAGTACGGACCAATTCGTTGTTTTCTTCATCGTTAGAGACAAAAACAGATGGATGAACAATGTTACCGACAGTACCAATCTTTTGCTTTAGGTCGGCATCTTCTTTTTGTTCCTTTTCAGTCAATTCTTTCTTCTTGTTGGTTAATTCATCCTTTTCCTTCAACAATTCTGAGGCATCTTCTTTGTTCTTGAACTTCAAACCGATGGCCTTTTGGACTTTGTTCAGGTTCTTGTTCAATTCATCAAGATCAAATCTAGTCTTGACCCAGTCCTTGTATTCGGCAATAATGTCATCGATCAGTTCAACACTGTCACCTCTAGCCTTTTGGGATTGTCTAATAAGCTCTGGGTTACCACCTTTTTCTTCAATAAATAAGTTAATATCCAACATTATGGTATTCAATTGATTTTCGTCACATTTTTAAAAGTATATTAAAAAATATATATTTAAGAAAAGTGTCAAAATAATCTCTCAGACTAAACGCCACGAGCATCTTTAAATCATATTGTTAATACCATATAGGTTTCAAACAGAATCATAGATCAGTATTGATGAGTGTAGTCAAGAAACTCGCTTTCGCGATACGTAAGCTGTTTTGCTCTCAGTAACGAAAATTTTTCATATTTTTTATTTTGTTTAATAATGTGAGCCGTAATAGTAATGATTATGACAATTGACAAGACCGCAACCTCGCGTCGTCCGCCACGATGTTCCGAAATTCTTTGGTATCTGGCAGAGTTGAGGAATAATGAGAGTAACTTGAACTGGATAACTTAGATAAGAACAAAAATGTCACAGTGACATTTCTTTTTGGCAAAATGGCAGAACAAATAAAACAACAGTGAGTGATACAGCAAAGTATAGAAGGAAGCGATTATTTGACTACTTTTGATCATATATTGTGTTTATTATTATATTAGATATGTATTCTGACATTAAGGTGGCAGGAGCTCTTTCCAATAAGGACAGTTCTAGAGAGTGGATCCCTTCGCTTTTTTTAGAAATATGATTTCAGAATAGGGGTACCCCATGGTTATAAAACGTGTCGTCTAAAAATACCAATACCGGCCGATATAATCCATATAACTTGTCGATCATGAATATGATAATACATTTTGCAGTGTAGATTATGCTAAATATATAAGGTCTACAACTTACTATAGATACTGCTTAATATTAATTACTCTCAGTTCAAGATCATATATGGTAATATTAACCCTTCTTAAAGATGCGACGATTTTGCTTCTACAAACCAAATGTTAGACTAAACAAATAGATTGATGATCTGGAATAACATTTTCTTTACAGCGAATGCGGTTTGTTGAGCTGTAGGTAGCACTATAACTAAAATCCATGAGCTGAACCTTGTATAGTAGAGTCACATCTCAATTCGTTCAGTTTACTTGGTAGTAGGTAGAGAGGTGTAGGTGTAACGTGAGTTCTTATTAGAATATTTGAGATATCTTGCTTCCACATAAATTCTGTCACTGTCAGAAATTAAGAGTAATATGAATCACACTTAATTTCAATAGGTAAAGAAATCCTTTAAGCACAGTCACTGATAAGAATCAGCCATTGATAAGAATCAAACTAAACAGAGATGAAAGGTGTGATTGAGGAAATAAAAACCTTTAAAGAAAATGATATAAAAGGAAGTTCTTAATATAATGTATAAAAAATATTAAAAATTCTACAATACGTAAAAATCTATATAATAAAAGAGACCGATCGATTATGCTAAATATAGCGGCAGCACTAAAAAGGCTAACATTAGCTTAACCTATCTGAAGGTGAAGGTAGCTAATATAAGTAGAATTTAGAGTGTGCTGCACTACCGTATATATAATAACACATGATATATACTGCACAATGTAGTATTCGTTCCCCCTACATTGGGTTTATTGGAGCTACATAGTCCAACGTTAGTATGCACAAAAGATGAGCAGTTTAACAACAACAACTCTGTTTAACACTGTTCACCAAATCGAAGACATTTCTAAAACTTCGTATAGAGTTGTATATACCCTCATGTTAAATCGAAACGTGAACTAAGAGTGTTTTTATTAGGAACAGGTCCAATGGTCCAGTGGTTTAAGACGTCGCCTTTACACGGCGAAGGTCCCGAGTTCAATCCTCGGTTGGATCATATCCTTTTTACCCTATGATAATTTTTTTTTTTGAGAAATTTAGTACTTATACCTTTCAACTGTGACATATGTGCCAGCTTTTTAATTATTTCTATTTTTGTTTTTAAAATAATTTATGGTTTTAATAACACTTAAACTTCATAGTTAAGAGGTGTTTGATCTTTTACAGTTCAGTTCTTCCAAGCGTTTCATTTTAACTATTAAAAAAAAGTAAAATAAAATTGAAAAATCAAGGAAACATTGGAAACCAAGAACTAATCAAAAGGGGTATTGTTGATTAATGTAACATGGAACCAATTGTACTGTCTGTGTCAGACGAAAATATATTTTATGAACTGTCTAGTAAGAAACAAAATGGAACAGATCGCTCTGATAATCGACACATAATATATCCAACACATTTTAAATACATATTCGAAGATCCCGAAGAAACAATACCATCTTCAGCTGAACCAATTTCAGATATTAATGAGGATGATAGTGTTGAAAATGTTATTGTTCTAAATTTTAATGAATCTCATAAATTATTAAAAGTTGAATTATTAAGCGAAAATGCTGAATTATTATCGTTCAAACTAAATAAGAATCTGAATTCTCTAACCAAATTGGAAGATTCGCAAAATGAAGATTCTAATCAAGTTTTAGATATTGAACTTGATGTCGTGTCAAATTTTAGGAACATTGACTCTTTGACTGATGATTTACCTTTGGATAAACTTATTAAATTGTATAATGTTCAAAACGATCAGATTCAAAAGATAACGGATTCTATATAGTTAAAATGAATAAAAAATATTTATTATTTATGATTATGCTAAATCAGAAAGATTAGCTGGCATTGCTTTTATCTTAATCTTATACACTTTTTCAATTTGCTTTAATAATCTTATATCATCTTTGGTGATGAAATTAATTGCTATACCTTTTCTTCCGAATCTCCCTGATCTACCAATACGATGAATATAATTTTCCATATTTTCAGGAATATCATAATTGACTACGAGAGATACTTGCTGGACGTCAATACCTCTTGCCCATACGTCAGTTGATATTAAAACTCTAGAATGACCAGATCTGAAATCATTCATTACTTTATCTCTATCTTCTTGTTTCATATCTCCATGCATTGACACTACAGAGAAATTAGATTGTATTAACTTAGTTGAAAGCCAATCAACTTTCTTCTTGGTATTACAGAATATCACACATTGGTTGATACTCAGGGAATCATATAAGTCACATAATGTATCGAACTTCCATTCCTCTTTATCAACATTAACATAAAATTGCTTAATACCTTCCAATGATATTTCATCCTGTTTAACCAAAATTTTTACCGGATCTGTCATGAATTTTTTTGTTACTTCTAGTATATCTTTATTTAGAGTTGCACTCACCACGACAACTTGACAGTTTGTAGGTAAATGTTTAAATATGTCATAAATTTGTTGTTTGAAACCAAGGGATTCTCCTAAAAGTTCATCAGCTTCATCCAGTACCACGATCTTAACTTTTTTTGTATTAATGACTTGTTTTTTTATCAAATCCAATACTCTACCTGGTGTACCACTGACCACATGACATTTATTTTTACGTAACAAATTTAAATTGTTTTTAGATTTACTATCCATCGAAGTAGTACCACCTACAATTGCAGCACTTTTGACATTTAAATAATCGCCCAAATTTCCAACAACTTGGTTAATTTGAGAGGCTAATTCTCTGGTTGGTGATAATATTAAACATTGTAATTCAGATTTACGTAAATTGCAAACTTGGAGAAGTCCAATGGTAAACGTTGCTGTTTTACCTGTCCCGGACTGTGCTTGTGCAATAGTATCCTTTCCCGCTATAATTTGGGATATTGCTCTGGATTGAATAGCCGATGGTGCTTCAAAACCATAGTTATATATACCTTGAAGTAACTCAGAGTTTAATTTCATCGATTCAAATGATGGGCATATCTTTAATTTCTTGGAAGTCTTAAATTTTAAAGATTTATCAGATTCTATATTAAAAGACATTATGAATATTGATTAGATTGATGGATTTCTAATGCTGTATACTATATTAAGATATATTTCTTACGTGATATCATTTAAGTCTTGTGTAAAATATAATTCTGTATATAGCATATAACATATATGGTATTGAAAATTTTTCAATATATTTAAAAAATTAAAAATTCGAGATGAGATGACTTGAAAATGTAAATATTGAATGTAAAGCGAGGGTGAAAAGGAGATCTTTTAAAGGATATTATCGGTATACCTAAAGCTACAATAAGAAAGGACAGGGTATGAACAATATAATTATATGCTATATTTGTTTGCTTGCAAATAAATAATGTTGGATTGGGATAAATGGTTACTTATATCGATTGGTGGAGGACATGCCACTGGAGTGGATAAAGTAGCTAAGAAGTTAGAAGAATCTATTACTAAGGTGTTTACCAATGCCTATGTTACAATAATTGATCTTGATAAAATAATGGAACAATCTGACTCTAAAAGAACTTATAGTGATAAGGATATCAATTTTGAAGAAATATTTTCAGGTTTAAATGGTATTTCTCATAAGGGTATCGATGTCATAATATTATGTGGTTGTTATGCGCTATATAATAAAATGATCAATAAGAGATCAAAACTAAAAATATTTTTAGATAGTGACAATGACAAAAGATTAATTAATATTATCAAAAGGTCTAAGACTGGGACACCTGATGAATTATCAGTAATAATTGCTGAATATATGGACCATTTACGACCTGAAATGATGAAGTATATAGAACCCACGCGAGTATATGCAGATATGATTATACCTTATGAAAATGAAGCTGTTGGTTCTGATATCCTTCTGGATGGTGTTGTGAAGGCGATTCAAGAAATAGACGGCGGTGATAATAGATCAAAGACCGTTCCTGTTTGGAACTATGAAACTGAGCAAATGGATGTCCAGAAAGAAAGGTACTACGATTTATCTTAGTATTTCTATGTATACATGCCTGTGTAATAAAACAAAAATATGTGGTATTGGAATAAATCTTATCAAAGTTACAGTTACAATTGTATGTATTTGTATGTGTATGTGTGTGTGTCTCTCTCTCGGCTTGTCATATTAAACTCAATCACAATAGCAAATTGTGACTCCGTTTTTAGTTGTGACTCCGTTCCCTTATCGCGGGGCTATTCCCCATACAAATTGATAAGTGACGAATGGATGTTGTTTTTTCCTAAAAGTTGATGATCTTTTGCTCTAAGACAAAGATGGAACGATGATTGAGAGGATTAGGAAGTCATCTGCTTAGGTGTATTTGTTTTGGAAAAGTAGTATATTTATATTGATATATATAAGCCAGAATGTGTGAAGTAATGGTGTGGATGTTTTTCTCTGCTTCTTTTGCTGTATCCTTTTTTGAATTTTACATACATGGTATTTTATATAACTAGCTGTCTATAATATTAATAGTGATAGAGTAGATACGTTTCATCTCAGGGACCCTTAACACAAAATAAGTATTGTTACGATGTTAAGAATTGTCAAAAGGTTTAATTCTTCTGTGGTATCTCAAAGCATCAAGAAAACAGCATTATTTAATCTGCATGAAGAACTTGGCGCAAAGATGGTCCCATTTGCAGGTTATAGTATGCCTTTGTTATATCCAACATTACAAAGTCATATTGAATCTCATCACTGGGTAAGACAGAAAGCAGGTTTATTTGACGTATCTCATATGTTACAAAGTAAACTTTCAGGGGATGGGGCATTATCATTATTAAACAAAGTGACACCAACTGATTTTTCAGTAATGCCAGTGTATAATGGATCACTTAGTGTATTATTAAACTCTAATGGTGGAATAGTTGATGATTTGATTGTTATTAGGGAACCTGGATCAGAAGATTCCTTCCATGTAGTGAGTAATGCAGCAAGAAGTAAAGAAGTCACTGAATTTTTAAATGATGAGATTAAGAAATTATCAGGTGGACAAATTGATTTTACAATAATTAATAATGAAGCATTACTAGCCTTGCAAGGTCCTTTAGCTGCCGAATCTCTAAATAAGTTGATTGAAAATAGTGAATCTAATAATAATTTAAAGGATTTGTATTTTGGTCAAAGAAAACAATTTATATTAAAAAATGGAATTGTTGTTAATGTTATGAGAGGTGGGTATACTGGAGAAGATGGATTTGAAATTGCAGTTTCAAATGATGATGCTTTGAAATTTGCTGAGTTGTTATTATCCGATTCAAATGTGAAACCAATAGGTTTAGCCGCCAGAGATTCTTTGAGATTAGAAGCTGGGATGTGTCTCTACGGTAATGAATTGGATATGAGCACAACACCTGTTGAAGCCAATTTGAATTGGTTAATCTCTAAGACAAGAAGGACTCCATCCGAATCTTCGTTCAATGGGTTTGATAAGATAATGGATCAATTAAATAATAAGACTTGGCAAAGACGTAGAGTAGGTTTCCAATATATTGATGGTAAGCCTTCGCCAGCAGCAAGACACAACGATAAGATTTTTACTCAGGATAAGAGTACAGAAATTGGTGTTGTTACTTCTGGTAGTATATCGCCCACGTTGAGTTTGACTGGTGGTGGAACCATCAATATTGGACAAGCGTATTTAAAGAAAGGGTATACGAAGACCGGGAATCAATATTTTGTCCAAGTGAGAAAGAAGTTTTTCCCCATTGAAATCAAGAAGATGCCGTTTGTGCCAAGTAACTATTACAAAGGTTAGCTACTGGTAGTTCATAGTCGGATACAGATCCCCATCGTATAAACCTATATATATACATATAAATAATGTAGCTATTTTGTGAATTTTTAAAAAGAATAAATATTATGATTACTGCACGTGGTGACATATATCGTCGACCCTTGATAATAATCCAATAGCAATAAAAAACTGCTAAGCACGTATATATATGAGCAACAAAACGTGCATTCCTCACAATTGAGATAGTCCTATCTATTTACCTTTATCTATCTATCTATCTATCTATCCAAATCACCAAACGGCCCTTGTCACTTTCTTCACCGTGAAGATAAATCTCCGCGCCGCTTTCTTCACCCAAAAATAATACGTAAGCGGTGGATGGACACATAATCTGACACCGCTGTCCGTCTGTTTCTGTGCGAGGTGCCAGTGCTGTGCTGTGCTGTTCCCACCCCCACATGCTCAACAGCGAGAGAACATTTCGCCGGTTTCAGACGACGAGAGAAAAATTTATAAAGCGAGAAGAACGATTCTTTGGAGTTACCGTAATTGTAATTCTTATAAATCACACACACACACACACACATATATATATGTATAAACAAAGGTTGTTTTGTTTACTAGTATTACGATCACTATTTACTATTGTTATAGAGGAACGTTAAGACTAGGGTGTTGGGAAGCAAAAAATACAACAATATCGCATATTGTATCATCATTATAAGAAGAACGCTTTTTGTTTCTTTCTCTTTTTAATACAATTTTTATATTCAAGTAAACAGGGATCTTTCTATTTATCTCAATAGGGTTTTACAGAGGACAAGAAGATACTATTAAAGATATCATCACTGTTCTGTTCTGATTTGATTCTATTTGATTTGGATCATAAAGAACGAAAAACAAACAGAAGAGGGTAAAAAAAGTAGCATTATTTTATATAATCTATATATAAGAAACAGGAGATTAAACTTTAGTTATTCTCTGTCTCTTTTTACCTTTTTTTTTTCTTTCTCTATCTTTGTTTCTGTATCTTTCTTTATTGTTAAACGCACTATCCCCAATATTTCCAGGAACTGCTATATTCATTATTTGATTGATTGATTGATCTTAACTAATTATTGAGTTTAACAATATTAGATATTCATTTTTTAGCAATATTTTGTTATAATAAGATAAACAAATAGACTCTCTTACAGCTATTATTATTTTTACCTTTCTATTCCTATCCTTTTATTTTTTGCATAATATCCCATTATCTCATCTAAATTTTTTATCTGTATTTTTCATCTGTATTTTTTTTTTCATTCCATTGATAACATCCTCGAGCATATTCTACATTGCATATACCCTATTTTTAAGACCATTTTGGGAAAATAAGATAATCATATTCATCCATTTATTATTATTATTATTCATAAAATAAAAACAATGATGAATGATACGACAACTACAACTACAACAACTAATCATAATGCAATGATGATGGATCCTCCTACAGATGATACAACAACTACTACTACAAAGTCTCAAATACATTCAAATACGATGAAATCGTTAAAGGATTTAAATGTAGCAGACACTAAACAATTGAGTTCTGTTCTATATGGAAGAAAAGCTTCTACTTTCTTAGGTATATTTAGAGATACCGATACTTTAACGACAAAGAATAATGAAATTGAACAAATGAAACAGACTAGCACTACCCATGATTCATCGATTAAAAATAAAGACATATTGATAGAACAATCTTCTGATAAAAAATCGATGTCGTCGTCGTCGCAGGTGAAAACTTCAAGAAGGCGTGCGATGTCAAGGATCGATGATTCGCTTCGGATATCTCCAATCTTGACACATCCCACATTGGCTACAAATATAATACCGACAGCAACAGCAACGTCTAATAGATCGTCATCACAACATAGAGGTAGGCATAATTCGCGGCATCGTTCTCTTTCGAATCATTCTGATTTGACATTGAAACCTGTCTCGTCAGCAACTTATTACCCACATAAATCCAAGACGAATCCTAATTCTAAAGATGATGCATCCCAAGATGATATTAATGTTGATATGGATGATCATAATAATAATAATAATATCGATCGTTCTAATCATATTGATAATGTAATTGAAGGAACATCACTACAAAATTCTATATCGATTAAAAATGATGATAATACTGCAATCTTGCCATCTAATTTAACTGCAAATGTTCAATTGAATAACGTAAATCAAGATCAAAATAATAATTTAATGGATAAGCATCCAAAAATAAATAATGATTTGATCGTGAATGAACAAAATGATATAAATATGGATAAAATAGATAACCAAGAGGAAGCCATTGATGATGCAGATGATAATGACTACGATGAAGAAGACGATGAAGAAGATGATGATAAAGAATATCCTCTTGCAGTAGAGTTGAAACCTTTCACCAACAAAGTTGGTGGTCATACAGCAATTTTTAGGTTCTCAAAAAGAGCAGTTTGTAAAGCGCTAGTGAAAAGAGAAAATCGTTGGTATGAGACGATGGAACAAACAAACAATAAATTATTGAAATTCATGCCGAGATATATCGGTGTTTTAAACGTTAGACAACATTTTAGTTCAAAGGAAGATTTCTTAAGTCAAATTCCAACAACAAATAAAGCCACAGAGACCAAAGAGACTCCATTAGAAGCACAATCGACTGGAGACAATCTTATGGGGGCTCCATTGCATCATGTTCATTCGATTGTGACATCATCACCTCATAGGGTCCTTGAAAACCCAAATCGAGGTATCCCAAGTCTTTCAAGGACCATGTCATCAGCATCGGGCTACGATTGTTCATTCCCAGAAGTTGTCATAGATGATAATAAACATATTATGCCGGACTCCCTATGGGATAGATACGCTCAATCTTCAGATTCGAATTCTCGTAGAGAAAGTTTTTCTGAAAAACAAGGAAATGGGTTTCGTAATTCAGATTCAGGTTATACTACAATTAATACAAAATTAAAAGATTTAATTCTACAAGAAGTGTTTGCACCAGTTCATAACGTTAAAGGTCATGAAAACAAATTTAATAAAAGGTCGGCTTGTGAAACTCCTACCAGAACTGTATCTGGTAAGTATATGAAGAAAAAAAGTAGATCATCCTCCTCATCATCCTCATCTTCATCTCAAGGCGCACGAGCTTTAAGAAGTTCTTTAAGACGTGACTCAATTTTTTCTTTAAAGGATGACCAAGTATCTACTTCACCTCTGATGAATAAATCTACAAAAGACACAATCTCGAATGCCATTGATTCTTCTCATTCCATGATGGATTTGGAGCAATTCCATAAAAAGGCATCAGCAAGGGAAAATGCAGATAACATTGAGGATGAACAATATACTCGTAGGCATATACATTCTCACTCCCATTCTAATTGTAAAGGTGGCACTAGACGTAATTCTAGACATCGTCATAGCATAGATGAGGGGTGTCCCATTCAGGATAGTTCAAATGGTAGAAGTGAGCACCCTGAGGATAATAACAACAATAACGTTGATTCTGGACCTCTCTCTGAATCTATTTCCTTTGAAGAAAACACAGATACTATTGTCTCTAAATTTATTTTATTGGAGGATCTAACTAGACATATGACTAAACCATGTGTCCTTGACTTAAAGATGGGGACAAGGCAATATGGTGTTGATGCAGCTCCTACAAAGCAAAGATCTCAAAGGAATAAATGTCTGAAGACTACATCGAGGAAACTTGGTGTTAGAGTATGTGGTCTAAAAGTTTGGGATACCGATTATTACATTAAGAAAGACAAATATTTTGGACGTCGTGTTAGAATTGGATGGCAATTTGTGAGGACTCTTGCAAGGTTTTTGTATGATGGAGAATCAGTAAAAAGTATTGTTAGATTGATTCCAAGACTTGTGAAAGAGATCGACCAACTGGCTTTAGAAGTATCTAATCTAAAGGGATTCCGGTTATATGGTGCATCCTTATTATTGATGTACGAAGGTGATAAACAAGAACTTAATAATCAATCAGTTGATGGAACTAAAAAAATGGTTAAGATAAAAGTAAACTTAATTGATTTTGCCAAATGTGTCACAAGAGAGGATTTAGAAGAAGGGATTAATAATAATACGTTTGCAGTTCCTCCAAGATATCCAAGTTCCATAGATCAAGGATTTTATAGAGGCTTGAAAAGTCTAAAGTTTTATTTAATGATCTTGTGGAGTTATCTTACAATTGATGAACCTATGGTTACTAATGAGAAGGATTTGAGGAATCTGTTAGATGAGAAAGCAGAACTATTTGAAAAATCTTGGGATTGGTTAGATGAATTTGATAAAGAAAACGAGCAAGAGTTCAACGATCCTGAAAGTGAACTTAGAACAAAATGGCGTAAATACGAATTAATCTTCGATGTTGAGCCAAGATACAATAATAACGAAGAAGTTAGTGACTAGGAAAATTACAAGTCTCTAATGCCATACAAATATAAACATATGTAATTTAGGTCCTTAACATAAATAATTTACGCATTCATTCTTTTAATCAAATTGATTAACATATTAAGGCTATATTAAAACACGTTTTACAGCATTCTATAATCTTATTTGTTGTTTACTTTTTTTTGGCTTTGTTCGCCGTATACGCATTATCGTTTTTGTTTGTTTTTCTCTTTGTTATTTACAAAGCCAGAGAGAGGTGGGTTTGGCCAATGGTAACTGGGCAATAGAAAAAGGATACCAACTTGGATATTAAAACACAGAAAGATAATCCCTGTATTCCATATTTGAACATTTTCTGTTGATTACAAGGGGACGTATTTATATATACATTAAACAACAAGTGTATACTTATATTGTCAAATACATACATATACAAATAAAAAATATGAACGATAGCGAAAATACAACATCAAAAAACTCTGGTGTCACAGGGAACACAAACACGTTTCAATACGATGCAAGTCTCAGTAGTGGCGATAGACATTTTATAGAACAACGAAATATTATACTACAGGATGTAAATGGTACGATGGATTCTATATTGAACGGGTTGAATGAACTGAATATATCACTTGAGAACAATATAGCTGTTGGAAAGGAATTTGAGGTTGTGACCAAACTTTGGAAAAACTTTTATAATGGAACTGATTCTGTAACTGACGGTAGTGATAGTGAAAAAGAAGATAAAGATGTGAATATGGATTAGTTATTCTGAGATTTTTGGTGTTTTCGTATCCTTTTTTGTTCGATTTTCCTGAAATTTGGGTAAGGCTACAGGGTGACGTGTTACTGATTAATTTTTCTTTTAATATGGATAGTACATATTGAACAGATTGTTTGTTATAGTTAGCTGTCAGTTTCTTAAAACAGAAGTTTACAAAAAAAAAGTCTTTTAGATTGTTGAGAAGAAAGAAAATGGATAATTTTGATGTTTATATTCATGAAGGATCTTCCTCTTTTTTTGGTTAGTCCTTTATATCCTTTTGTCTATAGTAGACATGCTATCTGGTTCTATTAGGATGCAAACTTGGTATACCAATCATCGATTTTGATAAACCAGCTCTATGTTGTACCCTACTAGAATCAACGTTATATAAATTCCTATTTGTTTGGTAAATAAGTTGTTTTAATGGTTTATGAATCAATTTGTGATGGTTAATGGAGAGATCATGACTATCGGGTTTATCCTCAGAGGTCTTCTGTTCTGTTAATTCTTGAGTTGTTTCCTCATCATGGGATAGGCAGCTATGGTTGTCTATGTAATTTGAATCGCATATAAAGGTTGTATCACACTCTAACTGAATGTTAAGTGGAGTTTCTTCTTTGGTGGGTAATGAATCAGATTGATAAATCTGTGGTTTTGATATATGTATATTTTCCTTTTCTGGTGAATTTTGTATATATGCCTCGGTAGTATCAACAATGCAATTATTAATGTTGGCTGTTTGGTTTTCGATTGTATCGGAACTATTGCTAGAGTAAGACTCTTCTATCATTTGCTGACAACTATTTTCCATCAAATCCAGGTTCACAGGTTCATCTAAAATTGATACCTTAGAGTCTTGATGTTCACTTGAGGTGTCTATTTTTTCATTATCAAGTCTTAAACTAAATATCTCCACCTTAAGATCATTTATGCTAATCGCGTCTGGCATTATTGTTGTAGCACGCCTAATTGGGTCTCTCTTTTGAATTGGTCTTTCATTCAAAACTGTAGCACTTCTTCTACTCATCACGTTACTGTTTATTTTTGATTTTTAATCTTTTCAATAGGATTTTAAATATGTTTTCTATGTAGATTTATACATGAATAAATAGATATTCCAATGATTCTGGTAAATAAATGTTTTATGAAGTGGCGTTATAAGTTGCCGCCGAGTGTTTTCCAAATTAAATTATTAAAGAAAATGTGTTGCACTACTACCACATAAGGAGAGATACAAATATAAAGAAGAGAAAGTAGAGAATGACCAACTTGATAGTGGTTTTATAATCATAGGTGGTAATGTATTTACAAGACAAACGAGAAACTGGAGTTTGTCCCAGGAGACTCCATGAGACTGATGCATCTACTGCTTAATGATAAGAATACTAACTGTCAATATATTTATAATATCTGAAATAACACAAAATATCAGTGTCTGCAAGAATAGAATGCGACAGTTAACCACCTGCCTTCTAATGTTAGTTTAATCTTTCAGATTTTATAGGTTTATTGATAGCGTTTTATGACTTCGTTGACAGGCAAAATCTAAAAATATTGCAGTTTTGTTGATGCCCGCGAAACAGGTGCGAGCGTCTCGATGAGTAATAGCAGAGTCATACAGTCATCGGGACACCCTTTCAGTAATCACTTTCTAACATTTGCAACATAAAAGAGAGGGGAATTCTTGGGTTTATTCCTGAACAATATTTTTCATTTCGAAAGTTTTACAACAACATTGAATACCCAAACTTATAATCTCAACAAGTCCTTCCATATTCTTTTTCAAAATGGCTCAACTAGAGAAGACAGAAACACCAATTATATTTGCTCCTAAGACATTCCAATTCGATAAGGATGCATTAGATGAATCCAATTTGAAAGATAATCCAATTGAATTATTTACAGAATGGTTTAATGAAGCTAAAGAATGTCCTACTGAAAAATTACCTGAGGCTATTACATTCTCTTCTGCGGAATTACCTTCCGGTAAAGTAAGCTCTAGAGTATTACTATTTAAAGAGCTTGATCAGAGAGGGTTTACAATTTACTCCAATTGGGGGACTTCTGGTAAAGCTCATGACATAAAGTCCAACCCATATGGTGCTATTAATTTCTTCTGGAAAGATCTACAAAGACAGGTTCGTATTGAAGGACCAGCAGAATATGTGAATAGAGAGACATCAGAGCGTTACTTCAATACTAGACCAAGAGGTTCTAAGATTGGTGCATGGTCATCTCCACAATCTCAAGTAATTAAGAATAGAGGTGAATTGGATGAATTGAATAAAGAAAATACAGAACGTTTTGAGGGCAGTAAAGACAACGAAATTCCTTGTCCAGAATATTGGGGTGGACTAAGAATTGTTCCACTAATAATTGAATTTTGGCAGGGTAGACCAAGTCGTTTACATGATAGGTTCCTCTACACAAGAGAATCTGAAAATGATCCATGGAAGGTGGAAAGAATTGCTCCTTGAATAGATAACTGTTGTTGTAAAATAGTTTACAACACTACGTAAACAATGTCTACAAAAATATGCATTTATTTCTTTTTGTATTACATATTTTTTACCTCCGATATAGCATATGTAACTTTTTCATCTACAAATTTGTTAATGTTACTTGTATCAAATTTGAATTGTTCAAGTGCCTTTTTCATTTGTACTTTTTCTGTATCTGACAACAATGACGCACCATTAGACGTCTGTGTTTTTTTAATAATTGTCAGAAATGCAAAGTTCAGATAAAGTAAGTTTTGTATTATTGGTATTTGAACTTTATGTACATCGTTTTGGAAAACAAACTGCTTTAATTGACGCCACATAATATCCGGGATAGCTAGGTCTGTATGACTATCGTTAATGATATTTAAACAGAGACCTAATTGTAGAATCGCATTATTATTGTTGTCCTTCGATTGCTCTTTCAAATGTTGTATTATACTATGAAGTATTATATCCGTAATACTTTTAGCCGTTTTAAGTTGAAATGCTTGGACTGTTTTTCTATCATTTGTAATAATGACTATACATTTTAGGTACTCATCATTATTAATCAAATCAGGGTGGTTCATTAACATTTTGCTTATTTCTTGTTTTGCTCTAAAAATAGTATCCTTTTCATCTCCATTACCTTTTAATGTGCCTAGTAGTGTTTGTAAAAGACCAAAATATGATAAATTGCAAATAATATTTCTTGTTTCCTCAGTATCTACCATTTCTATCAATAATTGTAATACCCTGGTCATATATTCTGTAGAAAATTTTGTAATATAAGTATTCCAAATATTTAGTGCGTAATCTAAGCCTGTATTTTTACCGTTCACCTTAAGAAAATCTAAGTACATCAGTTTTTGCATTTTTTTGTTAGTTCTCAACCCTTTTGACTCCTTTGTACACTTCGCCAAATTAAGCAACATCTGCTGTACATTTTCTAAATCACAGAAAAAATCAGATTCTTTATGAAATAGGTTTAAGATATACCCTTGCAATAACAGTAACTCATGGTTTCCTGTAGAATCTTGTTGGAGACACCATTTACATATTTCATCGCTGTGGTGTCTCAGTATGTACAATAAAAATTTATCATCACCATTAATGGCTAATATTAACTCTGATAATATGGATATAGTATTACTCAATGGAGTGTTTTTTTGCAAAGTAGTGGTTAAATAATCATAATCTTCCTGATACTTCAACGAATTACCTATATTTTTTAATTCATTGAACGTGTATGTTTTATCATTCCCTTTTGGTATTATAGATCTGATAACATGAACAGATGTATCATTTCTTTCTGTATCTTTATTTAGATTCTCTTCTATCTCATCTAGATACTCATCCACCATACTTTGTTCCCCATCTTCAGAGGTTCCGTTTTTCACTAACAGTGTTCTTCTACTATTGTACACCTTTTGTCCCTTTGTAACCCTAGTGTTGTAGATATCTTCTTTATCACTGGTATTTTTTTCATCATTAAACATATCTTCTAGAGAATGATCATTTTTTGGCTCAAGGGTCAAAAGAAATTTTCCGACATTTTCGAGCACCTTATCCATTGAAGGGTTTATTCTTCTTGCATCATCTATGACATTGGCATCTTCACTTTGTTGTACATCTAAGTCGTATACGACATGTTTGTAGTAATTAGTTTTGCGACGTTTGGTAACCGTTTTAGGCATGTCAAGGAAATCAAATGCCTGTAATTCCGGTAGAGCTTTTTTATCTTTTTCAATAATTCTTTTAGGTGACATGTCATACTTCTGAGAATGAATATTAATATCCGACGAAGGATCCAGTTCAATTGCCCCAAAATATGAGTTAAAGTCATCATCTTGTACAGCTATATCACTGGATATTGTCGTTGTTCCTATGTCCCCTACAGATGTATCGGTTTTGATTGGGGGGTTTCCAACTATTTCGTAAGAGGTTGTCCTTAGTTTAATCCCAGATGGCGTAGGTGATGTGTTCACTCCACTGTGTGTTTGCTCAATATTAGAGTTGTCGCTTTCCTCATTTTCACTTTGACTAAAACTGATATCTGGAGTCATCGATTGTGAAATCGATAAGGCAGGTGCGGTTCTACCTCTTCTCCCATAAGCTCTCATCTGGATAGAAGGTTAAGTGCAGTAATATATGAATGTAAGTTGTTGAATGAAGTTATTACTTGTATACTTTCACATCTATATCCCTATTATATTGTAATTTATTACAAATTTCTGTATGAACCGGTTATTGAATGACAATGTCATCGTTCTTATAATTATTTGCCTATTTCTTGTCTCACTCGTTATTTTCTTATTATTGCATCATTTACGCGTTTGTTGGTTAAACAAACAAAAGAACCTCCACTTTCAAAGATGAGCATGACTTAACATTGACTTTACCGGGAGAAATAATATAATAAAAAAACTTCAATATTAATGACAGTAGTACATCACAAGTTCATACGTTGTTGTTTTTTGTTGTTTCGAATTACTGCAAGTCTATTAGCTGAAAGATAAGCCTTTGTATTTAAAAATGTATTGCGAATTAGCAAATAAGTTAGTGGTGGAGGCAAAGAGAACCGAACAGTTAAACAGTAGAAACAACGCAAGAACAACGTTACCTGTACACAACGATGAATTAGTAAGAGATATCTTAAATGAGGTAACTCAACTGAAGAAGAATTTGGAGTTTTTTAAGGAACAACAAGATATTATGTCTATGGACGGTGCATCAGTAGATAGCAACGTAATGAAATGTCAATACTTTGTGAATCTATTGTGTTTAGAACGTAACAAAAGATGTCTATTGGGTTACCAGAAACTGAGAAGTGATATGTTGGACTCCATGGCCTGGGAGAATAACGGTATGGATGTTATGGGGTCTGACTTAGGTGAAGAAAATAGTAACCTTACACATCAAGAGCAAGAATATTTGAAAAAGTACTCTGAACTAATTACTGATATGAAGAGTGGTGAACTAACAGATATAGACCTTTCTGGATCTTTGACACCTCCAAGAGAGATTTTCATAGATGTGAGAGTGTTGAAGGACGCTGGTGAAATTCAAACGGAATATGGTGTTTTCAATCTAATTAAAGATTCTCAATTCTTTGTAAGACAGTCCGACGTTGAGAGACTTATTCAACAAGGTTTCCTTCAAAAGATATAGATTGCCGTCGAATATTTGTTTCTTCTACAATAATAGTTGATGCTCCTAATCCTAATGTGGACAAATCAATTTTATCATGAAATATTAAAGGATAGAATAACAACCGACTCATAACTGGCAAACCAGATAGAACTCATACTTATAACAGTTGGAAACTGACCTTCAGATGCAAAGAGCGAGATATTTGAACAGTTTCGTTATGAACTACAGATTATAATTATTTTATCTTCTTGACCGTCGCTCACTTGCAGATGAGGAGATAATAAATCATCTATATTTGTAGCACATTGTAAGACGATTTGCACCTGATGGAGTATATGAACGTACCTGATTCTTTAAAAATTGCAAAAGGATTATTTCGTCTGGTTTTTATCATTTGTAACTTCATACTGGTTAGGATCAAGATATGATTCTCCGTTATATTATTGTTATTATTTAGCGATATTAAAATGTATACGTAATGATTGTTATCGATATAGACATGTTCCTTACTAATTGTTTCATTTTCAGAGAAAGTATGAGAGAATAGATGATATATTGTGGGACCCATAAATAGATCAATATTATATACCTCATGGAAACATATATTATGAATGTTTATATTATAAAATTAAATATAAGACGAAACAAAACACGGTTTTGAAAAAATTGTTGATTAATAGAGTATATAGAAAAAATATTTAAGGAAAATATATATTTATAAAATTAATAAATCAAACAGTTTAATCGTGCTTCAAAGTTTCGGTGAAGACAGCAGCTGGCTTGGTAGCAGCCTTTTCAGCCTTCTTGGAACCTAGCTTTTCAGCAGCGAAAACCTTAGCGTATGGGTTCATTCTTAGTAGAACTTGCTTGTTCTTCAATGGGTTCTTCTTTTGAACGTGAGCACGCTTTTGAGTTGGTTGACCAGCTGGTCTAACAACAGATTGGATTTCAGCAGAGTTGATAATTCTGGTAACATCGGAGGTGGAGATGATGTTAGATGGTAGAGAGTAACCGACCTTGGAAGAGGCAACGGTTTCGGAACCCCAGACTTGGTCTAGCTTAGCGAAAGCACCTTCAGTCCAGATAACGAATCTACCTAGATGAGCACCTGGAGCCAATTGTAGTAGGTTCAAAGCGGTGACATTAGCAGTTTCAACACCTGGGACATTTCTCAAAGCCTTGACTAGACCATTGTCTTCAGCGTAGACCACTAATGGACCCTTTCTTTGAGTCCATCTTCTGGATCTGTACTTACCCTTACCGGCTCTTAGCTTCTTAGACTTTAGAACCTTTAGTAGATCAGAGGAGGCACCAACAGCCTTTAGAGCAGCGATAGCTTCCTTGGTCTTTTGAACAGATTCTAGATCCTTGGAAACAACCAATGGAATTTCTGGAATCTTTTCGACTCTGTGACCTCTAGCTAGGACAAGAGAAGCAATAGCGGTAGCAGCGATAGCGGAAGCAGTAGCGTAACGCTTTTCGTTTTGGTTAACCTTGATGTTCCATCTTCTCCAGGTCTTGGTTGGAGCAAACATACGACCACCACGACACATGTTACCGAAAGCACCTTGACCGGATCTGGAGGTACCACCACCACCAACTCTTGGAATACGGGCAACAGCACGACCAGTACCCCAGGATTCAGCAGAGGTTTGGTGACCGGCCATTTCGGAGACGGCGTAAGCTTGTCTCTTGTTCTTGTTGACAGACTTGAAAACAGAGTGAACAATATCTGGACGAATTGGAGCAGAGAAGACAGCTGGTAGAGGTAGAGCAGCAGAAGTAGCTTCACCGGTTAGGGCGTGAACAGTAACTTGTGGACGAGACATTTTACTTGTATGATGATGGGGATCTTTTAGAATTGTTTTTTAAATAATAAAATATAATATAAAAGAAATATAATATAAAAGAAATATAATAAGAAAATTAGAATTTAAACATTAAAATAATTAAATATAGTATTAATATGAAAAAAAAAACGTGAATTAAGATTTAAAAGTACTAAGTTACAGAATATGCTGTCAAGTAGTGTATTTTCGTTATGCTTATATAAAATGGTATTCTCAAGAAAAAATTTTCAATAATTAGTTTTCGGTCAACTCTATGACTGAAATTTCGCTCTTCATCGCTTCTTTCCTTTTTCTTGTCGGCCATCTCAAAATTACATTTTTATTTTTCATTGAAAAAAAACTGTTAGGGTTTCGGGCTTTTCTTTGATATTTTGAGGAATTTCTTGAAATTTGTTCTTCATTTTGAAATTTGTTTCTCGTATATTAAAGGATGTTTGGGTGTTATTTTAAGGTCGTCACAAAAAACTCCGAAATTTCTCTTTTAATTATTCTACTGCGAAGATTGATTCCAGATCGAAAGCATTCCATTAATACAAAGATGATGAGGGTCTATCTATATTTATATATGTATTTTTAGAAATGGATAGTACTTAAAAAAATTTAATGAATAAATGTCAGGGTTTTTAATAAGGTAACTGGACCTTTGAAAGATAAAATTGATGTTTCTGTATATAGGACCGACAATTTGGATTGAAGGAATTTTGATATCTCGGTTTCTATTTATTTATCTTCGTTTAAATTAGAGGTAAACTTTTCCAGTATGGTATGTTCGGCCTCAATAAGGGCTTTTACACACTCTTTTTGTTCGCTGACTATATTTGAAGCTTCCATATTGGATAAATCTTGTAGACCTTCGCGATATTGTTTTGCAAGTTTCTTAAATAGAGCATTCGTTTTGGAATTGTCTAGCGCAAGTAGAACCTCCATTTGTTCAGGCTCTTCATCGACTTTTGCAGAAAACTCCGAAAATTGATCAGACCCCATGCTGAATAAATTGCATGCAGCCAAAAGAGCAGGTGTTGGTTCGCCGTGATAATCAATTTCTAGGTCTGATAACCATGGTTTATCTTCTTCTTGCTCTTCTTCTTCTTCTTCTTCTTCTTCTTCTTCTTCTTCTTCTTCTTCTTCTTCTTCTTCTTCTTCTTCTTCTTCTTCTTCTTCTTCTTCTTCTCCCTCATCTTCTACTTCCATCTCATCGTCATTTTCATCCTCATGTCCTTCGTGATCATGATCATGGTCACAGTTTTCGTTATGCTCATGGTCATGTTCTTCAGGGAATTGCTCGTTGAACCAACTAACATATCTGTCATATCCCGTCTCTGACCACCATAGTGCACGTTCTTTCAAATCATTATCATTTCTGACTAAGTCTAGAATTCTAGATCCTAAATGTACTACATCATATGGATTCTTAGGAATTGTAAAACCGTACCTAGTCAATAGGAAGACATTAGATAATTCACCGTATGAATTGAAAATCTCATCGCCAGCAGTTAGATCTCTTGTGGTGGTCATATCAACACATTCATCCGGATCCAATTTTTTCTCTTTCTTAGCTTCTTCTTCCTTTTCATTAATTTGTTCTTGAAGATCTTTTTGAAGATCTTTTTCCAATTTAGCAATTATTGATTCATCAATATTTGTCGATCTTTCATTGGAATTTTTTTGACCTTTTTCAATCTTATCCTTATAGGATTGTTCTTTCTCTAATTCTTTTGCTTCTTCAATTTCTTCTGCTAGCATATGTTTACACATGCCAGGTTCCCCACATAGATCACACACATCAAATAAACTTATAAATTTTAAGTCAGGTGTGACAACATGATGATTGAACAAATCAGCGATGGGTACTAATGCACTTTCATGGAAGGCATCAATTTCAAATACTCTAGCAGAGATAGCATATGCAACTGCAACAAATTTATTAAATTTTGTCCTTATATCTTCGTCATCTTGAATGTCAACATCCAGGTAACCCTTCGGGATCTCGAGACCAAACTCTTCGTTCCATTTCTCAGCTAAATCAATAGCAATCTCGAACCCTCTTTGAACTTCCTCCTGAGGTGTTAGTGCATCGAATAAAGTGTCTAACGTAGTGCCACGTAACAATTCTTTATCCTGTTCATTCCAATAAGCAGGTGGCAAGTTGACTTCATCAGTCTTCTCATCCTGGATCTTGATACTCTTTAAATAAGGATACCAATGACTCTTATCCTTAAATACGCTAGTTTCGTATATGAACGCAATATTTAATGCAAGAATCCCATCAATTTCTTCATCATTTAATAAGTTTGCAATGGTACTATTAGAAGCCGAAAATATACTATTTTTTTGTAACTGCAACAATGTGGTACCCTTTGGAATGTCTTGCTTTGCAAAGACACCTTGACCACCTAAAGGTGATTGTTTCACTTCACACAAATCTTGTGCAAACTTTCCCTCTGCTTCCTGTACGAATTGGAAAATTGCATCCAGATCTGAACTCACTGTACTAGACATGATAATTTATTAGTTTGTACCCCTTTTGTTTCAGATCTGAATCTATTCCTAATTATTATTACAGTAAACTCATTTTTATCTCATCTCATCTCATCGATGTCTTATTACTATAGTCTTATTATTTACATAAAAATTTTCAGACATTTTCCATCCACGTGACCGCTGCAGCTTTTTCCATATATTACCAGCCCTAACCTTTGGCAGCCCTAAAATCTTCACATTCACAAAATATCTTTTACCCACAAAAAAAATTTTGTTAGTTTTTTGGCTCTGAAAATTTTTCAGTTTTGAGTGATCGCCGAAGCGCTGCATAGTAAACACTGTCAAATACGAAGGTTAACGTGTACACGTAACAATAAAGTAGATGGAACAACTATAGCATTGGCACTTTTTACACATTGGCCTCTCATGGAAAAGATCAACAATAGGTTTAGTCAATTGCTTATGACATGTCTTATTCAGTTTGTGGGGGTAGTGCGAACAGAGTAAGCGTAGTTTCTTAAGATTTAGATATGTTTTGAAATGTCTTACATCTTGCAGGTAAATAAAGCTTTATAATTAATATCTTGGTAATACTAACGCTTGTTTATATTCTCTTTAATAATTGTTTGAAAGTCTTGTTACATCTCTGTCAGATTCGTTGAGGCAAACATCGATAATAAAGTGAAAGAACAATTGAGTTTTCTGTGAATACAAAATAAGAACAGCATATTTCTTACGTGTTCATATATAAATCTTTGAAATAGAAGCACAATTGATTATCGTCCAGCATTGAAGTATTTGAGATTCCATATATTTTAAGGTGCTCTAGTTCGAATTAAACGAAAAGAAACGGGTAAGATGGCCAAATCATCTATTGCAAAAAGAGGAAAGGGTTCCAAGAGATCCTCTCCTAAACCAACTAATAATCTGGTTGGTTCTGTTGCTACCAATGGGGAAAAACCAAAAACTGAAAGTAGAAAGTATAATTTTATTATTAGAACCATATGGACATTTGTCATGATTAGTGGGTTTTTCATAACTTTAGCATCTGGTCACATTTGGTGTGTTGCCCTAGTATTATTATGTCAAATCACCGCATTCAAAGAATGTATTGCTTTGACAAGTATATCCAGCCGTGAAAAGAATTTACCTTTAACAAAGACTTTAAATTGGTATTTCTTGTTCACCACCCTGTATTACTTATCAGGTAAACATTTATTCACTTTTTTCCAAACTGCTGTCTTTGAAAACAAAATATTGACATGGATGGCATTGAACCATAAGTTTGTTTGCTACTGTCTATACGTTTTAGGTTTTGTCCTATTTGTTTGTAGTTTAAGAAAGGGTTTCTTAAAGTTTCAATTTGCCTCCCTATGTGCTACACATATGGCATTATTATTCATTGTGTTTCAAGGTAATTTAATTACTAAGAATATTTTAAACGGTCTATTCTGGTTCTTAGTACCATGTGGTCTAGTCATTGTCAATGACATTTTTGCTTATTTATGTGGTATTACTTTTGGTAAGACTAAGCTGATTGAAATTTCACCAAAGAAAACTTTAGAAGGTTTCATGGGAGCTTGGTTTTTCACTGCCATTTCAAGTGTCATCTTTACTAGATTATTGTCACCTTACATGTATATGACATGTCCAGTGCAAGACATTCATGCAAACTTTTTGTCTAATGTCACTTGTGAATTGAATCCGATCTTTTTACCTCAAATCTACAGAGCTCCACCTATTATTTTTGAAAAATTTGGTATTTCATCTATTACAATCAAACCAGTTTATTTCCATGCTTTGAATTTGGCTACATTTGCTTCATTGTTTGCTCCATTCGGTGGTTTCTTTGCTTCAGGTATAAAGAGAACTTTCAAAGTCAAAGATTTTGGCCATTCTATCCCAGGTCATGGTGGTATCACTGACAGAATTGATTGCCAATTCCTAATGGGCTCCTTTGCAAACCTTTATTATGAAACTTTCATCTCAGAACATAGAATTACTGTTGAAACTGTCTTGTCAACCATTTTAATGAACTTGGATGACAAAGATATCTTAGAATTGATCACTACTTTGATTGATGTTTTGTTTAAGAAAGGTGTGTTGAGCAAAAAGCAACACAAGAAAGTGGTTCAAGTCTTTGCAGAAGTTATCAAAGCTCTAAATTAAGAAGTTTTACAGTCTTCGATATTTTGTGTTTTAGCAATACTTCCTTCATATTTTACGAACGACCTACACTATTATCATGTAATTTTATATAATTTATTTTCCTTCATATACCATATCTATATTAAAGAAAACGAGAAACAAACTCTAGAAATGAGTAATGTATAATAATACAATTCCTTCCATTTTGTAGACTATTTGAATGTATTTGGAAAGCTTCGGGTTTACGCACTATTATGTGCCAATAAATGTTCCTTGCATAACATTTCAAAAATTTTCAGTCGAAAGAAATGTATCAATCAATACCAGCCGAGCTGTTTGCACCGCATGGGCTATAATGTTTGGTTATTACGTAAACAAAGATTATATACATATAATAATTAAAACGGGTTCCTAGTTCTACTATGTGTTTATCAATCTATATTTTTACAGTATTACCTTCTATCTTAAAGAACTCTGAATACCGAATAGCCAATGTACTTTGAGAGTGTGTACTAAATCCTTTGCAAAATTATACCGAATTCATTATGGTTTTCTCATTGGATGAAGAACTTAGCAACGTGACATTACATGATGATGACGTTAACTATAATAACGGGATTCCAGTAACTAAACTCGGAAGCAAAAATGAAGATCTACCATCATTTGAATTTAATGATAATTTGATGACTATGGATGAACATTTAAATACTCAAACTTCACCTGAGGAGAAAAGAACCAGAAGACGTTCATCAGTTTTGGCCAAATTTCCTGTACTTTCACCCGTTCATACTAGACGTGTATCTATATCTAATAATTCCCCGAACGTTGTCAGTCACCTAACAAGTTCCTTTAGGAACACACCTTCTGATATTGCTGTCCAAAAAGAAAATATTAATACAGGTAGTATTATTGGTGAAGCTATTGATATGAGACCAACAACCGTCAGAACGATTCAAGATTTCAAACCAATTAGAGTCTTAGGGAAAGGTGCGTATGGAAAAGTTATCTTGGTTAAAGACAAATATTCCACCAAGTTGTATGCCATGAAACAATTAAAAAAAGCTGAAATTTTAATTAATGATAATGATAAAAAAAATACCGACAAAGAAAATGATAATATTGAAGTTACTGATGAATTGACCATGAGAAGAGACCTAGATAAAAGAATAGAGAGAACTTTTGCAGAAAGAACGATTTTATCTCAATTAGAACACCCGAATATTGTAAAATTGTTCTATTCGTTCCATGATCAATCCAAATTATACCTAATCCTTCAATATATTCCAGGTGGTGAACTGTTCTACCATTTAAAAGAACATGGGACATTAGAAGAGGATACAGTCGCATTTTATGCTGCCGAGGTAAGTTGTGCATTAAAATTCTTACATGATAATGGTATTGTCTACAGAGATTTAAAGCCTGAAAACTGTCTTCTTAATCAAAGGGGTCACTTAGTTCTAACTGATTTTGGTCTAAGTAAGAAAGGTACTACAGATCCAACTAATGATTCTACATCTTCTGATTCTGATCTGGAAAAGGATGATATATATACTTTGCATTCTATTATTGGAACACCTGAATATGCTGCCCCAGAAATTTTACAAGGGTTAGCATATAATAAGAATTGTGATTGGTATTCACTTGGTTGTTTACTTTACGATATGTTGGTTGGTAAACCTCCGTACACAGGGAACAATCATAAAGTAATTCTGAATAAAATCCAAAAGGATAAACAAGGTCCAAGAATTCCATATTATCTAAGTGAAGGTATGAAGGATATGTTGAATTGGTTGTTGAAGAAGGATAAAACGAAGAGGTGGGATGTAGACAGATATTGGAGGGAGGAACCTATCGTTAAGCAGAAGGGTGCTAACAATAATAATAACAAGAAAAAGAAAGCCGGTAAGCAGCGTGTAACTAAATTTCAATCGCATTTTATATTCAGGAAGATTAATTGGAAAGAGATGGAAACTGGGTACCTTCAAAAGACAACATTAGGTCCAATTGTACCAATTATCACCGATTGGGAATTAGCTGAAAATTTTGATACTGAATTTACATCTATGTCATTCGAAGAAAATCATATGGATGATGGTATTCCAATTGCCGAGAATAAGAACCATTCTTTGACTACTCCTGATATATTTAAAGGATTTAGTTTTAAAGCGAGTGGGAGTTATCTGGAGAGGCATTTCTAATATTCGTTTTGAAACTAGGATTTTTACCTTACTCTTAGGAATAAAAATATTTTTTATGGAATCTTACATGATGAGTGATGTTCATAGACATGTATTAGCAAATGTGTCTATGTCTTATCATAATATTTTGTTTTGCATAAATGTAATGATTTACATTTCTATATGTGTGTATGTATATAAGTAGATAGATGGTGTATATATAATTTATGACTTTGTTTATAATTTTATTAAAAAAACAAAAATCCCATAAGATCTAATCTGATGAAAGAGCTTCTTTGTGTGTTGCCTCCATATGATCAGCTCTGTCTGAAATATATTTACACATTTTTGCATATTCTTCTTCATCATCGTCCAAAGCATGGTTTAAATATGGGAAATAAATTCTGTTTGAACAAACGAATTCTTTTAGGGTGCCCCAAACACACAGTTCCAGATCGAAATTGTTTATTCTCTTTAAATTGTTATAAGATCTGAAATGATCCCCATTATACATAAAATCCTTTGATTTATAAAGAGACACAGGGTCGAATTTTGGATAATTTGCATGAATAAACATAACATCCACTTCTTTTGTTGACTTACTTTCAAAATAATGAGAATAAAATGTATCTAAAGTGAATGAACTGACTTGTTCTTCTGTAAATGGACCAAATTTCTTATCCTTATAATCTTCAACTGCTTTTTCATATCTAGCATTATCCTGGATGAAATTATGTTGTAATATACCAACACCACGATAATCATTATTATCTTCTTTCTTAAAATAACCGTCTACTCCTGGACCTGTTCTAATTTGATAGAAAGGTAATTCCAGATAATGAGCCGCAGCAATAAATGTTTCTTTGTCACCTTCTCCTGCAGCTCTTTGTGAGAAGATAGAATAATACCAATTTGGACCATTAAAATTATAATATAACGATAGAACGATTGTCTTTAAATGTTTATTTTTATTGATTAATAATTGGCCTGACTCTGTGGACATATCAGGTAAAGTACCTTCGAAATCATGAAATGGGATATTATCAAGATCGTTTTCTCTATTATTATATATCTCTGTGGGACTTACATCATCGATCGAATTTCTAACACGGTTAGATGGATTATAATTTATCCCAGCAATATCATAATATTTTGGAGTTGTTGTACGTCTCCAAAAATCTGGCCATAACACTAACCCATTATCTTTGAAAACTTTTGATTCAAAAATATCATCCAAGTTAGTAATAGCGAAATTATCGGCATCTAATAATAAAACATTAGCAAATGAAGAAGTTACGATAGCCAACGATTTATATTGATACCCTTGGAATTGATTTTGTTCGATGGTCTCTTCTGATAAAATATCCGAAAGATAGATACATTTAGCATTATATTGCGGTAAAAGATCATTACAAAATTTTCTATCATAAGACTCACCATTTGGAATGAATACTTCGATTGGTAAAGTTGTATTAAATTCTCTCAAAGTCTTAATAGACAAAAATGCCAACAAAGTATATTTATCACCTCCAACAATAACGATACCGTCATTCTTATAATAAGAATTAATTGAATTATCTTCACTTAATTCTTTGGCTGTAGTTAATTCTTGAAGATCCATACCAGTTAAAGCCAAGACAAATTCTGCATGTTTATCTCTTAAATGGGCTAATTCATCATCTGATATTTCTAAACAATCACCTAAATTGTCTTTTGTTAATTTATACCAATCTTTATAATTATCAGGTCTTGTACCAATATCACCATTCAATAAACAACTCTCTTTATAAGTCTTTGAATTTTTTAACGTTGGAGAATAATTTATTATAGTTTTAAACATATGATGAAAGAACTCTGAAACAGACTTTATTTGTTCATTTTCAGTAGGATTTTCTTGATCTGCAAACATATCATGTTCAAATTCATCATCATTTCCCTTTTCAATATTTTCAAAATCCAATTCTATATCTTCTAGGGCTTCATCGTCGGACTTATTATTTTCCTTATCTGGTAAGATATAAGTATCCACATATTCTTGTACACTAGTTCTATAATATGCTACAGCATCATTTGCAGTTTCACTATAGTTAGTACTTACTATAATAATAGATATTATTAATAGTAAAACCAAAGCTAGTTTCACGAATTTAATCACTCTTCTAGAGATACTCAACATGGTCACTGAGTATGGAGATTGTAATAATAATCTGCCTTAGTGTGATTCAAAGGTGAAGTTAATATATATATTAAGAAACAAATAAATCATTGTATTATGTGTAAACGTGTATTGGCAGTATTACGCCAAAATATTTCAGATTACATAAAAAGAGGCACTGTATAATATTTTCTTACTTAATTTTTCACTTTCCGCAAATAGAAATTATGAAATTGCTGCTGTTTCGCTCTCGGTCTGTCTGTCTCCACGGCAGTAGCAACATTCAGTATCGCGCAGCAGTCATTTGAACCTCTATTGATGTGGTGTGTGGGTGGATGGCTAATTTCATTCACATCGCAAAAGCACGTCATGTCTTAACGTATATACTGTAACACAGTTGTAGAGCAGACATTGTTAAGCTACAAAGGTTGTATTTGGGTGTTGTGATTGCATGGACATGTATGGTTTGTATCATATCTGGTATATTAAATGAAGCTCTTGCGAGTATATGATGAAAACAATATTATTTCATGTTGCAGGAACAGGCACCATACCTGACTCAATTTGTTTTTGTCGGTATCATCATCACTTTAAGCTATAAAATGTGAATACACATCCCATCCCTTGATGTATAGATATATACTGGTAGACTCAATACATTCTCTTGTTCAACCAATCCCACACCCTTGTGAAGAGTTCATCTCCTCTCACTGCTTGAAAAATATTTTGTTTGTTTGTTTTTTGCCATTGGATACGTAGCTGCGGCGCATGGCACGAAAATTAAAGATATATTCATCGAAGTGAATCGGGACAGGAATCGATGAACTGATTGATATATAAAGCAACAAGGGTTGGTAGGTAGGGACTTTGTTTTGTACCAACAAAACGAAGACTGAATAAAACAATCCGTATAATTAAATTCAGTTATTCAACTTGGGTACTTACTGCGAAATAGTTCATCCCTTCTATCCCATATCATAACTACCATGTCTGACTACTATAACAATAACGATAACAAGGCTCAAGTATGTTACTGCTTATAAAATATGATCTTCTCACCACTAGGTATGTTTAAATTTTGTTCACAAGATTTAGATATACAGTATTACTGAATAGTTGGAACATGACTAATATGATTACTAGTGAGATGCATATATATATATATTTTTTTTCACTTTGTTTGCTAATTTACTAACAACTTTATTTGAATGGAAATAAAGAAATAGAGTTGAAGAGGAGTATCTTTGATTGATTTTTTTAAATTTTTTTACTTCACTCAATTAATAATTTCACTCCCTTTTCGTATTTCCTTACTTGTTAAGTGATGTAGTATAGCCGTCCTGCTGCTCCACCTCCAGGTCATCCTGCCGCAAGAGATTATAATAATGACCAAAAACAAGATTATTATGATAATAACAATAGCAATAATAATAATAACAATAATCAACAGCAGCAACAAGGACAAGGTCAACAACAGTATTATCAGCAGCAACAGCAACCGCAATACTATCCTCCCCAACAACAACAACAACAACAACAACAACAATCGCAACAGCCGGTCTATGTTCAACAGAAACCTCCAAGTAATGGTAACCAGGATTGTCTAGCTGGGTGTTTGGCTGGTCTATGTGTATGCTGTGCATTGGATATGCTGGTTTGAGCTGCCCTCTCGATATGTTCATACATATGTTGTATAATTTTTACACTCTTCACTATTATTAATCATTTATATTTTATGATTTATATTTAAAAAAATATTGACATAATTCATTTTGTTTGTAAATAGATATATATATATATATATATATATCAACATTTACAAATACATCTCTCTCATCTTACCTCTAGCCCTTATGAATCCTCCGCAATCCTTTGCTGGACAATTCCTTGGACCATAATTATCGGGATGCGATGAACCTTTCAACGCAGCAAGTTTTTTCTTGGAAAGTTTACTTTTACTCTTAGCATTCTCAATCCTTACATAACAACGACCACAATAAGTATGACCACATCCAGCCACATATGTTCTTCTTGATAAATCACGATCTAATTGGGTAGGCTTCAAAAGACTTTGGTAAGGACACGAATATCCATACTCTTCAACTAAATATTCAAAGGATACGCCTTGATCCTCCGCAAATAATCCTTGGAAAGAATCAGGAATACCAACACCAAGTTCAATCCCACATAACGTACATGAGGGAACATCCATCTCGGTATCTAATGTCATATCATCATCTACAACAACACTCTCCACATTACCTTTCTTGACTATAGTCATTTTCATTTTAGGTGTACTATCAAAATTCGAACTATACCCCTCGGGCAATTTACTAGCTGTATCCTTAAATTTATTTTCTGTTTGTTTGGTCTTTTGCATAAACGTCTTCACACGTGAATCTCTTTCTCTTTCTTCTCGAGCTTGAATCATATTGATAATGTTTTGTGTACGTTCTTGTTCTCGTCTCTCTGCATCAGGTCCAAATCCAAAACGTGAATCTTGTTCTTCTTCATCATCGTCAGTAGTGTAAAACCCATGCGCCCTTAACATTTCGTCTTGTTCTCGTCTCCATATAGCATAACCATCATAATCATCATCATTATCGGATGTAGTACCATCACTACGGAAACGATTCCATTGTTGACGTCTACCATTTAAAACTCCACGACTATTCCGTGATCTTCCTCCTCTTCTGGAGCCACCATTTGGATGTCTTTCACGGTTCCTTCGAGCCTCTTCTGTTGCAGCTTGTACTCTACTTGTGGCCCAGTTCTCCATGACGTGACTTCTATATTCGGTGTAAAGATTTGTTAATGTGCTACCACATTCTTCTAATGTTACAGGTGCTACTCTCTGTAAAATTGATCTAAATTCATGCAATGATTGTGCATGATCAAACGCACTTCTTACGTCAGGTGGGTATGTTTGAATATCATGTCTTATTTGATCCAATAATGGATTACCACTAGAAACCCCTTCTACACTACTATTCGTTCCGTTTTGTAATCGTTCTCTTCTTCTACGTTCGATTTCTCTCATCGTAGCAATCTGTCTTCTTCTTACGGCCATAACACCTGCCGGTAATCTTGTACGGACCTCTCTTTCATTGGCATCTTCGTTGTTACTATTGTTATAATTATCATCCGAATCCTCAGGTTCAAATAAGTTTCTTATCATGTTCCCTACTCTTCTCCCACTTCTTCTTAATAATCTATGACGAGACTCTGGTAACTGTACTGCCCATTCGAAAGAGCTCCTCATTGGTGCATCTCTATTTGTAGCATCAATTCTTAATTGCTCACCACCCGGCAAATTCAGTAATACGGTGGGACGTGTGGTCCTTTCCTCTACTATAGCAATACCATCGTCATCACCATTACCACCTTCATCATTATCATTGTTGTTGTCATTATTTGGATTATTATTTGTCGAACTAGCATGATCAACGATCATAACTGGCCGCTGTATTGATCTGGCTGGAGTAACTACAGTTTGTTCTTCATTATCCAAATCGATATATTCACTTTCAGGATAGATAGGACCATCATCATAATGTGGCCTATCAATTGCAGATATTATTTCCAAGTCATCATTATGATTATTAGTACGGGTATTATTATGACTATCCTCATCATTATCAAGATTTATTCCAAAATCTTCTTGGTCCTCGATAGCACGGTTACTACCATTTGTATTAACAAATCTATTCATCATATCACGCGGTCTTCCTATCCTTCCATCGGGTATCAGTCTTTCCAATCTATTTTCATTTCTAATACGAGTATCTTCCTCGTCATCACTATCTATCGTTATCACACCATCATCACTATGGTGAATTCCTTCTGAAGATGATGGTTGCACTTGTGAATGTGGTTGTTGTAGACCTCTATAGTTTAATAATACGGGTGGCACCCTTGAATCCTCCATCCTCGATCTCGTCATCGCTTCTATATCATGGTTTGATTCACTGTCTGATCCGTCATCTCCTGAGCCCCACATTATTCTTATTATCACTCTTGTTCCTATTAGTTTGTCTTACAATGAAATATTTTGTTTATTTTTATCTGTTTATTTATAAAATCTCTTTTGCAAATATATACGTCTGTGCATGTATATATATATATATAAGTCAGTATCGTGCGAATGTATACTACTTCCTATAGCTATGCAAAAAGATAATCAAATTATCCAGTGGTGTAATTTTTTTTTAAAAATAAATGTTAGTTTAACAATATGGACTACTTGATTTAAATTTATTTTCTTTTTACCTTTCCCACCCAACTATTCTTAATATCAATCATTAACTAATTTAGGTATTATTATTGTTATGGATTCCAAACGTTTGTTTGGGGTTTTGTCTCCGTTACGTGTGGAAATTTCTTATAGCGAGAAAAGTTTTGAAAACTTTGAAGAATTTTGTTCTGAGTTATTATTATTATAAGAATTTGTTTCTATTAATAATAGTTTATTAGACACTTGACTATAACAAGTTTTTAGGAAGTCTAGTTTGTTGCAACAAGTAACATTTTTTCGTAATCGTAGGATTCTCGATTTGTCACACAACAAAGTTTAACTAGAAATAATGGGTATTATGTTAAATAAGAGAAACATCAGAGTGCTGAGCATCACAGCTCTGATGCTACTGTTAGTGTTCTTTGTCGTGCAGAATGCTGACAGTATGAGTCTAGCTAGTGATAATGTGCAACGGACACAAGTGGCTACTGGTTCTCAACAACAAGATCCACATAGTAACTTGGTTCAACAAGCTGTTGTGGAAGGTGGTAAGCCAGGGTCTAATACAGAAGCTACTAAAGAGATCGATAGAATCAAAGAGAAAGTCGGCATTCATGATGAAGAAAAGAACGGGAATAGTGCTGTAGGCGTTGCTGCTGGTGCTGCAAGTGCAGTAAGTACTTCAAGTAATGCCCACGTTAATGGAGGTAACGTTCCAGTTGATGATTCATTAACTGCTGCTCAAAATAGTAAAACTGGGAAGGATTCAGAAGTGAAATCTTTTGATGCTAAAGCTGAATATTCAGAAATGTTAAGACTTTCTCCTGTGATCATTTTCAGTAAAACATATTGTCCTTACTCTAAAAGATTAAAGAGTCTGTTGGAACAAGAATATGAATTTACTCCTGGATATAATGTGATTGAATTAGATATACATAGTCATGGAACAGAGTTACAAGAATATATCAAGGAAAAAACGGATCGTGGGACAGTACCAAATATGATAGTTAATGGCATCTCCAGAGGTGGTTCCGACGATATCATAGCACTACACAAGAATGGTGAGTTACTTTCCTCTTTGAGGGAATGGTCCGGAGGTAGTTTCGAAGTTAAACAAACGGATAAACCATCTAATAATTAATTAATTACCAAATAGCATTTTTATTTTCTTCTGTCTTCTGTTATATAGAAAATCATTACGTATAACCACTTATATCCATTCATACTAACACATATTTAAAATATATTGTTCTTTCTAATTTATTTATGTTTTTCCAATTTTGATTTTAATGAGTTACTTCATAGTTTGTGTTTTTATTTTTATTCGTTTTTTAATTTTTTCTTAAAGGTTATTTACAAAAAAAGATGATTAGAAATATTGAAAGTTTTACCACAATAATAATCTAATGAATAATCGACTGCCAGAATTTAAACTCTTTAGGTTATTTTATATTATAGTGTCATGAAGGTATCAGTTAAAGAGGTATATCCGGTGTTTGCATGGTCATGGGATACTGATACCGGATCGAAGGCATTCTTTCATAACGATCCACAACATAATGAAAGGCCAGATTTTAATAATGAAACATATACATTCCTAAAAAATTATAGAAATGACGAAGATGATGTCTGTGGTATTTGTCGTGTAAGTTACAATGGTGTCTGTCCAAATTGTAAATTGCCTGGGAGGTCATGTCCTTTAGTGGTTGGACAATGTAATCATAACTTCCACGTTCATTGCATATATAGATGGTTAGATACAGTGAATTCGAAGGGTTTATGCCCGATGTGTAGACAAGAATTCACTTTGAAGGAAGATGTCATAATTAACACCAAGCATTGGGAACACTTTATGACCCTTTTAAGTAAGAATCGGGAAAGAAGATTGCTAATGGAACGTGAAGAACAAGATTTAAACAATGAAATTATGAGGGAAGAAGATGCAGGTGAACAAGACGGGACTGAAGGACAACAGGAATTAGAAGAAGAAGATGACATGCAATATGATGACGATGATGATCAGGAAATATGAACATATGGGGCATTAGTGGTTCGTGAACAAGAGGATTATTCAAAATTATCGATTGGTATATTTTCCTAGCTTTTGTAGGGTCGTTGTGCATTGTTCAGTAATATAAATAGAATCAAGTACTGTCCTGTAAATGGAATTTATTGCGATAAAATTTTATACAATGACATATTGTGTAAAAAATTCTTTTTTTTCTACTTCGAAAATTATCGAAAACTATAATGGTAAGATTTCAATGTGTTTATTTTTCGAGTCTACGATTATCGAAATATATTGTGGCTGTTCTCACATAAATTATCAATGGACAGGAATGGTTAGTGATTAATTGCACTGTTTTTTGCATCATAATATGAATCAAGACAGATTTCAATTGTATCCATCTTTCTGTATATACATTTATAGTTCAAAGAATTTGCTTATAATAATATTGGAACTATAACATCGATTTAAAATAATATTTGTTTTTTTTTATCTTTAGAACATGTCCTATAGGGCAATGGAAAGTTACTTGAAGTCAACAAAACAACAAAAGTGATAATAATATCAAAAAAAAGTTTCTTAAGAATCATCTCTATTTTTAATAAATAGTGATAAGCTACTAGATAAATGATATTTTTCACTGGTTTACGTACTTTTTATATAATTTAAGAACTAGTTTTACCAAGAAATCCCACTTTCATATGACATATACGGATTGAATTGTAAAATATAGCGGCAGCACTAAAAAGGCTAACATTAGCTTAACCTATCTGAAGGAGAAGGTAGCTAATATAAGTAGAATTTAGAGTGTGCTGCACTACCGTATATATAATAACACATGATATATACTGCATAATGTGGTATTCGTTCCCTCTACATTGGGTTTATTGGAGCTACATTGTCCAATATTACTATGAACAAAAAAAATGAGAAGTTTAACAACAGCACCTCTGTTTAACATGAATCTCATTACTGCCTAGGGTGATCTATTTCAAAACAACACAGAGTATATACTATACAATTATAAAAAATAATGCTTTCACTCGGAGTTGAACCGAGGATCTCCACATTACTAGTGTGGCGCCTTACCAACTTGGCCATAAAAGCTTGTTTAGTTGTTTTTTTTTCCAATATTTATATCCATGTTCCAATTGATAAAAGAAAATTTCTATTATAATTTATGTAATTATACTATAACAGAATTAATTGAAGAGTATATTCTGTTGAAATGTAGCGGCAGCACTAAAAAGGCTAACATTATCTTAACCTATTTGAAGGAGAAGGTAGCTAATATAAGTAGAATTTAGAGTGTACTGCACTGCCGTATATGTTAAACAGAGTTGCTGTTGTTAAACAACTCATCTTTTGTGCATAGTAACGTTGGACAATATTGTAGAGAATCTGAGATAGAGTGTTTGCCTCTATTAGTCTCTTCAAGCTTTACTTTATTTAATTCAGATATTTTTTAATACTATAATCGATCGGTCTCTTTATATTATATATAATTTATAGAACGAATAGAATATAACTTCCAATGTAAGTTCAGAATTCTTTGTCTTTATATATTATTTAATTTTACCGATATTTCATTTCTTCTTGCTACCTAAACGATTGTTATCTAAACGATTGTTAAGTAGTAAACTGATTACCTAAACGATCATTGGTTAAACGATTGTTAAGTAATGAACTTATTACTAAACGATTATGACCTAAACGATTATGACCTAAACGACTATTACTTAATAAATGTTTAGTTCTTATTAAGACGTTTTAGATATCTTGGTTCCAGATATTCTCTGTCATAAAGGTATTTCTTTACCTATTGAAATTAAGTGTTGTGCATATTACTCTTAATTTCTGACAAATATGTATTTAAATAAGTCAACAGAGCCATTGAATTAGCAAGCCAAATGATTCGGAACGTATCTCAATATTGACAGAAATTATGTGGGATCAATATATCTCGAATGTGTTATGAAGCGCGTTATAGTATGAAACAAATATTACGTAATGATTAGGTAATAGGAGAAACCGATTGTCGAGAAAAATAAATAATATATAAAGACAGAGAATTCTGAACTTACATTCTGAGTTAGATTCTATTCGTTCTATAAATTATATATAATAAACAATCACTTACAAGTATAAGAAAAATATAACAAGTATATTTTGCTTACCTAACATTAAAACTTAAGCTATGCCATCAACCTCTCTACCTGCCACTATATAATATGAACGAATATAAGTCTAACCACAGTATGTCTGCTTCACCTCAAATATATAGGAAGATAATATGATGACATATATGATACCACCACCCCAAAAACAGTTCCATTATATATATATTTGAACACTAAAATATAAAAAAAAGTTGGTCAATTAACATAGATTAAAATTTCTTAGTCAAAAATGTTGGAAACCGGAGTATTGAGTCAAAAAAGTAAGTAGTCATATAGTTTGACTCATTACCTTAGTGATTCTAGTAAATATAGTGTACTCCACATTACACCTTTTTAATTAAATTTAATTTGTTTTCGGAGTGGTTCTTCTTATCCGAACGTTATGTTTTTATCGTTTGCTGTAACAATCTTTTGCTATGATATCAAAATAACCAATACAATTCTAGCAAAAACATACGTCTCGGCATACAACCCCTGTAACAATACTATATATCTCGAATGTTCTTGTTAAACAGTAATATGGATATCATATCTATTAAATAAAATGTTCAGAAATATGGAACATTGACATAAATTCTGTAGTAGTTTTATTAATTCATGAGCACGTGAAATGATGACTGCATGCACAACGTAGACAGTGACAATAGTACTGTCCAAATTGAATATGATTGGATCAACAATATAACAGCAGACTTGGAAGAACCTATCCACATAATATTACATATTTACTATCAACACTGTAGAATATGGCCAACCTTTCAAGATATTAATGGTATTATCCTTTAAGCAATAATGAATGTTTGCAGCCACACCTTCCTTCACTCTTCTCTCTGCCTCATTTTTCTTATAGTCGCAGTTACCGCAACAGGATGAGAAAGAGCGAGAGAGAGAGAGGGCGAGAGCGATAAGAAAAGAGACGCCTTAGTCGTTGGGACGAGAAAAGTTGGACGAAGTGAATTGTGACGGCGAAACATTTGGGATCTATCCAACAAACCCACAACACATTACTTAGTATAAATACTCGATTGACAACACATAGACCCTACAAAAAAGGAACAGCTCATTTCACTTCGTTTCGTCTAACTTTTTTTTCATAAATCGTACATACTTATCCACCCACCTATCTATATATATCTATACAATGGTTTACACTACCAGACAAATTGGTGCTAGGAACACTCTTGATTTCAAAATTTTCATTGAGGAAGATGGTAAGCCAATCTCTGCTTTCCACGACATCCCATTGTATGCTGACAAAGAAAACAACATCTTCAACATGGTTGTTGAAATTCCACGTTGGACCAATGCCAAGCTTGAAATCAACAAAGAACAAGCTTTGAACCCAATTGTTCAAGACACCAAGAAAGGTAAGTTAAGATTTGTTAGAAACTGTTTCCCTCACCATGGTTACATCCATAACTACGGTGCTTTGCCACAAACCTGGGAAGACCCTAACGAAGCTCACCCAGAGACCAAAGCTGTTGGTGATGATGATCCAATCGATGTTCTTGAAATCGGTGAAGGCATTGCTTACAGTGGTGAAGTCAAGCAAGTCAAGGTCCTAGGTATCATGGCTCTATTGGACGAAGGTGAAACCGACTGGAAGGTCATTGCTATTGATGTCAGAGATCCATTAGCTCCAAAGATGAACGACATTGAAGATGTTGAAAAATACTTCCCAGGTTTATTGAAGGCTACTAATGAATGGTTCAGAATTTACAAGATTCCAGATGGTAAACCAGAAAACCAATTTGCTTTCTCTGGTGAAGCTAAGAACAAGAAGTACACCTTGGATATTATCAAGGAGACTCATGAATCCTGGAAGAAGTTGATTGAAGGTAAGTCTGTAGATGACAAGGGTATTTCCTTGGCTTCCACCACTTTGAAGGATATCCCAACTTTCTCTACTTCTGTTGCTGGGACCATCCCAGCTGCTTCTGCTCAAGCCGATGCTCCAATTGACAAATCTATTGACAAGTGGTTCTTCATTTCTGGTTCTGCTTAAATAGAATCCCAATGAAGTGGAACAATGTACGAATGCGTATACCACCCCTATGACCAAGTATATATATATATATATACATATATATATTAGGATTTAATAATACTAGAATTCAGTATCTGCGATCGGGTATCACACTGCCGATACACATCTTCCTCCTCCCCCTTCTTGTAGTAAGCCCTCCACACAAGCTATATCAACAACACACTTATATACTCATAGTAATAAGCACCACACCTCATCATGTATGTGCAGATACCAGTTCTGATACTCTTGCAATCACTCCAAGACCCTCATCATCGATCTATTGCCCACCCACAGAACCACATCACTCTACACGAGATGACAGGATTCTCCCCATCCCCCAATCCCCCTTTTCACTCACAATAGCAGAAACCGCATAATAGAAAATCACATAATAGAAATTGCATGTTCGTTTTGCCATAATAGAAACGATTTTTGCTTGATGATCAGCAGAGTTTCTTTCGTTTCCATTCAGCGGGCGGCGGACAAATTTTTCTCTGATTTTGATATCCGAGAATTAAAAGAGTGAGGAACAAAGAGAGAGAGAGAGAGAGAGAGAGAGAGTCAGAAGAAGGAGGAACTGTTTTCTTAAAGAAAGAATTTTTTTTCTTAGAACAAAGTTATCTTATATAGGATTTATTAGTATCGTTTCAGTGGTAACACTTACTGTACTTCTATTCTTTTGATATATCTATATATACTAGAAATTCACTTATTGCAAAACTGTCTACAACTTTCAAACATATATATATACGCTCGTATAACGTTGACGTACACTACCACTGCTACTGAGACAAAAAACCCCACAACCCTGAAACATCAACCATAATAATAATAATAATACCTAAACACATACATATATAAGAGAAAGAAAATATCAGATACTCAAATATGGAACACCCCAGAACTCATTCGGCTACTGCAACTGCAAACACCCCTTCAAGTACAAGAAACTCTTCAACATCATCAAATCAACAGTCGGGACAAGTGCCGACGGGACCTGGAACTAGTGGGAATGAAGTAACTTCTGATACAGCTACCGTAGTGGCTGCAGCTGCAGCTGTTATGAGTGTATCAAATGATAACGAAGAAGTAGAAGAAGATGAAGAAGAAGAACAAACATCGTTATCAAAAATAAATGATCCTCAACAACAGTTACATCAGACTCATAATCATACTCATACTCATAAAAATGAGGTAGTAGATCCAATGGAGGCCCCACTATCTGGTGTAGGAACTCCAGGTTCTTGTTCAGAGGGACTTACTTTGGCAGATACGGCTACAACAACAACAACAACTACTACTACTACTTCGACTTCTGATAATAATAATACCAATACGATAACTACTATTAATAATAGTAATCTATTTAAACAATTTGATTCAAAGACAGGCCAATTTATGCGTACGTCAGAATTAGAAGATAATAACAATGATATATTGTTGTCACAACAAAGAGAGAAAAGTAAAGAAGCTGTACCACCAACGGAAAATACCTCAACACAACAACAACAACCCATACCCATGATAAAGACTGCACAACAACAACAGGTAAAACAGAAACAGATTCAACCTTCGTTCCATTTATTATCATCCTTCAAATCGAGATCAAACTCAGTGCCGACAATCCTACATTCTTCTTTGAAGAGACTTTCTAATCATGGCCATTATTATGGGAACAACCCAAATCATCACAACAACAACAATAATATGAATGGTACTCAAAACATAACTACTGGTGGCAATATGATGATAGGTAATAATGGAGGAAACAATCAAACAATCATGACTCACCCAATGAATCCTTACGGAATTATGAAGAAAAAATCAGTTAGAACACATCATCCACATATTTTACAATCACAAGGCCTTGGAAGCTCGTCGTCCGGAATGTCATCTTCATCTACAAACGCATTGAGTAACACAACGTTGAGACAAGCTATATTATTAACGCAGGAGGCTTTGAATAGTTCAACAAACAGTTCAAAAACACAGAATAAAACTTTCACTCAAGATAAATACACAAATATGAATATTCAGAATGATAATAATTACAACAACAATACAAACAATCTGGATTCATTGGTGACGTTTGAAGATAGAGTCAATTATGTCAAAGCTACAAAATTGCCTATTCCATTACCACCTATCAACTTGCAATGTCTTAAGGAAATCGATCTTCAGGAGATTGTGAAAAATCCGCAACTGAGACATGATATAATTTTTGACCCCCTATTGCAATTTAGACCAAACCTTGATGGAGAACGTGGTATTAAAAAGAAACATTTGTCAGATATATACTGGAAAGATGTTGAAAACGAGTTAATTGTTTATTCTAAGAGGCCCGATGTTTTCAGATACGACCATACAAGACTAGTTCCATTATTTGATACTTTGAGAGAAGTGTTGTTAACAATCGTCCCTCAAAAAGAGACTCACCAAATCAATAATATCTTAGATACAGAATTGAACGTCCAAGAACTGATAAAGGGATCATTAGTGATGTCTAATCTATCGGAATGGTTAGCTACTCTTTTTAAACATCATTGTGCACCAATGAGAGATGCATACGTGGATAAAATGAGTAATAAATTTAAAGAAGCAGATATGGAGGCATCTTTATCGAAATTTATGGAAGGACTTAAATTAGTTTTCCAAATTTTGGAGGCTATGAAATTAGATATTGCTAACCATCAGATTCGTCTACTAAGACCCGCACTATTAAGCAATGCAATTGATTTCGAAAAACAATACTTTAATTCTTTAGTGACTGCAAGAAGTGTGCTCTTAAAATCATCATTAACTTGGTTCAGAAATAAAATGACCGAATATGTCAATTCAGGAGAGCTTATAGTACAGGATAAAAATAATTTAAGCATACAAGAAGTCTACAAAGGTTGTATCAGGAGTATTATTAGTCTATTATCATGTCGTAAGATGGTTAGAGAATTTCCGACATCACTTTCGTTTGACCATGCCAGGTTGATCCTATTGAGGGCAGACATCCGTCAACTAGTGTGTCTATTAGTATGTCGTCTATTATTTCAACAGTTAGTAGCCAATGACAATACCATGGACAAAGCTACCAAGGTGTTTATAAATAGCACATACACGAATAAGAAAATGAAGGAAGAAGTAATTAGCATAATTACTGATGATCATGGCAATTGTAGATGGACTAAAAATACATTATCCATTGCCGTACATCTATGTAAAGTGATCGAGGAAAAGAAACAAGAATATTTGACCAAACCGAAGTCTACTACCCAAACAGAAAATACTGATGAAGACGTCACAATGGCTGATACTGAAGATGACACTACAAATACATCGACTGGTAGTGTATTACCTATTTCATTAGACAATGAAAAGATTAGGTTTGCAAAGGCATGGTTATCGAAACAGACCCAACCATTAAGTGAAGTGTATGGTGTTCTAGAGAATAGGGTCTTTAAGTCTCTCGAAGAAGGTATTTACAGTAGATCCAACTGTACTGTTGAAGGGAGGGTGAAGCAAGATTTCGTATACCTTTACAACAGCACTTCAAATGGTACTGGTAATAGTACACCAGGAACAAGTAACGAGGAAAATACTGCCACATCTACAACAATCTCATTTAAAAACCAAGACAATTCTTCTAGTAATGCTAACGAAAACACACCACGCCAGGAAGGTAGAGGGTTGTTTGCCTTTACTGATTCTGAAGAATTCGAGAACATTTATCGTCATTTATACACAGTCATCAACTTACATTGGTCTGTTTTTGGTCAACATTACTGTGACACCCTGAGCGACAGAATGACTACCGCAGCATAAACAACACATCTACCTACCCCCTATATAATCACATTCATATATATCCCACCCACATAACAATCATCAAACAAAAACAACAATTAATCATCTCGTTAAAACCTTTCCCTTCTTCTACTTCCAAACTCCGAATGCTCTTTACATTTGCATTTGCACTTGCATTTGGCTCTTGCTTTACCTGCCTCTCCCCCCCCCCCACGGCAAATGCTTTTTTGAGAGTATCAGCAGTGAAAACCTCAGCAAGGCGTGGGGTGCAGGTTGCAGTGCATATCACCGTGCACGGAGCTCGCATAGGGGTGTCTCGAAAGACAAAGCGCGAACTAAAAACGTGCTTTGCGGGAAAGAAAAAGTAGGTGACCAGAGTTGGCCTACGTTGTAAGGTTGTAAGGTTGAGAATTTTCAATTTGTAAATAAACTAGTCTTTGTTGTCAGAGCAGGTTTGGGTCGAAACTTGCAGGAACGTGGCTCTTGCCGTATTTGGAAAATATTTTTAATTGTACCTTATGAAACATTTATCTATCTGACTATATATATTCAGAGAACTTAAAAAGGATTAATAATTTCACAATATTTCTTACAGTTATTTAAAGGAAAACATAAAGATATAAAGAAAAAAAACAATATTAATAGCGCTATACAATTATGAAGTTCATAGATGAACTAGATATAGAACGAGTCAATCAGACTCTGAATTTTGAAACATCAGATTGCAAGATTACTGGTGGTTGTGATATCTTCACAACAAAGCCTGTTGCTTCAGATAAGAAACTATACAAGACTATTGACCAGCATTTGGAAACAATATTACAAGAAAATGAAAGTTTCAAAGCTGCCGTACATCACCAACAACAGTTACAGTTACAGTCGTCTCCTGTGGAAGCAAATGCTATACCAGTTACACCTAATGACAATACTCGTAGGGATAGTTCCTCATTTTGGGAACAGAAGAGACGTATGTCTATAACAGATCCACTGTATGCTATAAATAACAATATTGTTAATTATACAAACAATTTCAATCATAATAGCAATAACAACAGCAATAATAATTCAACGAATAATGTCTCCCTAACAAATGCTCCGGTAATTAATGGCTCTAATGGTAGTAACAATGGACCTTTAGTGGCTAGTCCATTTATTAAGAGTGTCAAATTGAATGACCAGAATCTAAAAGATTTGGTAATGAATTCCGAATCTGAGTATGCGAGCTCTTCGTCTATGGAATCAACGAATAGAGCTGGATCCAATAGTGGTATAACAAAACCAGGTTCAAAGAGAAGGACAAGTAGTAATTCAAGTTTACAGAGTTTTAAATTGACTTCATTGAGAAGACCCTCATTAAAGGATGCCGATATGAATGTAAATATTGGTCCATTCGGTCCCATTCGTGAACCAGCAAGTAGAAGGACGTTTGCATATTTAATTGCAATCTTGAATGCATCTTATCCTGATCACGATTTTAGCTCACTAGAACCTACAGATTTCATAAGGAGTTCATTGAAGACATTTATTTCAAAATTTGAAAACTCACTGTATTCACTAGGAAAAAAACCTGAAAGTTGGATTTGGGAAAGTATAAGTTCACATATGACGTTGTCAGATTGTGTTGTATATCAATTTAATCCAACAAAATCGTTTTTGGAAGATGAACCTGGATATCTATGGAGTCTTATCGGATTTTTATTTAATAAGAAGCGTAAGAGAGTGGCATTCCTATATTTGATTTGTTCAAGAGTAAAAGCCATATCAGGGGACTACAACGAGGACACCATGAAACCGATGAGACAATTTACTATCGACTATGATGACGGCTTTGAAGGTGAATATGACCTAGCAAATGATGATGAAAATGCAATTGCGGATGATTCTGAAGATGAATTTTAAAGAAATTGAAACAATGAAAAGGGCAAAAAAAAATATCAATACCATTCCTTTTTATATGAAGCCATAATAGTCATCGTATTCGATTGAACAACTTGTATACCCGATTATAAGTGAACTTTAATTTTTTTTATTTTATTTTTGTTTCTCTTGTCGCATTATAACGTATCTTGAAAATCGATGGTTCCAGTAATAGCCGAATCATCCTGGGATCCTTGCTCATATCCCTCATATATCTTTACCTCTAGAAAGAAGAATAACATTTATAATACAACGCTACATATTAAATATGCACATATATTATATATATCCATACTAACAAAAATGTAATAATTAATTAATATTTAATTGTCCTAAAATGTTGAAATATCAACAATTTTTTTTTAAATCATGTAGACTCTATACCCTTTTTTGTGATAACGAAAGATACTTCTCCTGGTTTAGCAAAAGTAGAATATACAAGCTGTAAAGTTCTTTTTACTTGCCAAAATGAGGCCGGATCAACACCTTGATAGAATTTAACTTCACCACGTTTGATCATTGGTGATGCTTTATAGGATTTCTTCAACAATAGCCTGGTAGTAACATGATTAGCCCAAGAAAGTCCCAGATTTGGAACTCTAATATCCAGCCGTCTTTTCTTCTTCCGAGGAACAAAACGATTTGAGTTAACTGTCTGGGATCTTTTAGTTGTGGATGTTGGATTATTTGGTAAGTCATTATTTTCTTGTGAGGTTGATTGTGAATTTATAACTTTATTAATTTCTCTTTCAATGAGACTATAATCCTCATCATCTGATAGTAAATCTTCTACAGTAGAATTTGAATCTAATGTCGTACTTTGTGTCAGTCGTTGACTCTGTTGATGATTCCTAATACTTTTATTTTTTGAATTATCATCTGTATAATATTGTCTGTACATAATCGTGGAGTCTCTCCAACCAACTAACCATCCTAATTGATAATCATAATCCATGAAATGATGAACAAAATCATCAGGTCTATCCACCAAAGGTTTATCACCAACTTGGTTAGCAACCACGACTGCTGTTGAATGTTTTTTAGCTAATTGTAATAAATTTTCTGCCATCTTATCCACATAATATCTATTATCTTGAGATTCACTAAATGATTTAGTCTCCAATTCCACACGCATATGATGAGATATTGAATCAATAATAATCAATTTAATCTGACCTTTATTTCTCTCCAATAACACGGGCAATTGAACATTCAAAATATGTTCTTGACTTATCAAATCAAAACAACTCACGGTAAATATATTTGCCTGAGATACTCCAATACTCTTCCAATCAGGTCTTGAGTCTAGTATCCCGTTTAAACGGGGTGTCGGTAAATCACCTTCTGTAGTAATATAGACACATTTCCCTTCTAATCCACCTTTTGCAATTGGTAATTGAACATTTAAGCATAATTGCATTAATAATTGTGATTTCCCAGTTGAACTTTCTCCAAATATTTCAGTAATACTTTTAGTATGAATACCACCTCCAAGTAAAGAATCAATTTCCATATCACCTGAAGTAAATACTTGTGGTGGTTCAACTTCCTTTACAGATTGAATCTTATCCTTTTCGACAAATTGCTTGTCGAACTCGTTCAAGAGTAATCTTTTAACTTTTACCACTTCATTAATAGATCTTTGAGAAATCTTGGCAAGTTCTCTTACATTCAAAGTAAGGAAATCTATCGTAGTAATTCTATATCGTTGACATGCTTCAAACAATGCCGTAAATTCTGGGTCGCATAACAATGCACTTGCTGGCAATTCATCATAGAGATCCATGAGATAACACTTACTGAGATGTGTTCACTGTGAACTAATTACTATTATACTCTTTTCTATCTGTATGTATATATATATATACATAGTTTATTATCCAATATCTTTGCAATCTCATCGTGTATATCTTAAATGCCATTTATTTTTTTAAAACACGTTTTACAGAGGGAATCAGCGCACTACTAACTTAATATGTATATACATTTTTCAATGATTTTGACAAAGAAGTGGGGCTGATGGCGACTTGGCACATATAATAAATCTAACTTAGTGAGAAATAGGATGTTAAGTAGTTGAATGTATTATGCACAGATCTGTGTGTTATAAAGAAATTAATAATAATAAGTCTCTGGTGTATGTAACGTAAACGAATATATATATATAAAGAAAAGGAAAATTGAATGAAGAAAAACTGTACAATAAAAAGGGAATGCAAAATAAATGTAATACTAGTTCGACAAATAAAGAAAAAAAAAAAAATAATAATAACGTGTGGGTATTGTGATGTTATAAATCTTTACATCTATCTAAAACTCCTTAACTTCATCTACAGACACAAATTTCTTATCCTTAGACGATTCTACTTGGGTATCATCTGCAGAGGATGAAGAACCAACAGTTCCAACTCTATCTGTGTGTAGTTCATTGTTAGTATTGTCATTGTTGAAATAACCGGGGAAAGTATTTAAGTTACTGTCAGTTCTGTAATTTGGTCTACTGAAATCCAATCCTATATCAGGAGTAGAAACAGTACTAGTATCTCTTAAGACAGCCGGTGAAGGTCTCTCCAACAAAGGCGATCCACTTAGAGAATGTGGTTCATTTGCAGTCTCCAATTTAGGTGGTGGTATATAGGTAGTCTTATCATTTGTATGGAATTCACCTCTTTCATCGTAATAACCCAGATCATTCTCATTAGCCTCTTCAGTATACTCTGGAACGTAATCCACCACCGCTCGTTGTGATGTTCCTACATAAGTATTTTCTGACTGTCTATACGATGGAGGAGTCAACCATGATGTTCCTCTAATTGGTGCTACACCTCTAACATACCGTCTCCTATTAGCTCTAGCAGTGGCTATAACCAAGATCAATATGAAAGCGACGAATATGACAAACAGAATCCAACGACCCCATCGCCAGGTTGATGACCCCCATGGATCGTCTATTATTGTAGTCCCATTATTATCTGAGTCAGTTGTGTCTCTTATAAAAAGGAGTATTTTATTGTCGATGATCATCGTGCTTGTTGGGTGGCAAAGACTAAATAAGTTGCGTATGTTTAATCTTCCGACCTATTATATGTATATATATATATCCTTTGAGAGTGTTAATGGAAACAAATACTAAAAACACACACTCAGCACCCTTCAAATAAGCTAATAACCCTTATCACTATTTTATATTTATATCCGTAATGTGTCTTATCCGTCTTTATTACCAAGTTCGTTTATCCAACCGTCGTCTACCTTTCCCTCTATATATCCTTCCTTGTAAAAATAGCATCAGTTACTGAACCTTCCCGTCTCTTTCTCTCTCTTTTTTTCTCTTCATTTGCAGCGACAGCGAAATTCCCTCTCTGCGTGTCCTACTTACTTCAGCCTACTTGGTTTTGGCGTATCACGTGACACAGGGCTGGATGATTAAGGCTTGGGCAGTGAGGGGAGGAGGCACAGCTGTAGCTATCAATGATGTTGCAGTATTTACAAGGACGTTAAGAATTATATAGGTAAGGTGCATGTGTATGCATGTATGTGTATATGTATGTGCAAAATGAAGCTGTTTGGAGGGTGGAGGGGTTACTTTCTCCTGGTAAGTATGCTGTTGGTCAAAAACTCTAGCGCTGAACGGGAGTCTGACTCTGGCAGAACATCACGTAGACATTTCAAAGCCATATCTCTGTAATTCTCAGCTAGTTTCTTTGTCCTTCCAACACCATCATGTAACTCCACCGATTTTAATACCTGTTGTATATCGCCTTGTTGACTGAAATGTCGTTGGATCAATGGACCTAAGCTAGGGTCTTCCTTCCATGCATATAGGACAGGTGCAGTAGAAATCCCGAGTTTTAAATCGGCTCCTGAAGGTTTACCTAATTCCTTAGCTGAGACGGTGAAATCTAACATATCATCAACAAGTTGGAAACATAGACCTAGATTCTTACCAAAATTATAACAGGATTCAATGACTTCAGGTTGTGCTCCAGAAAGGATCGCTGTGGCGCGACAGGATTTCGAAATTAAGGATGCCGTCTTAAGGTAGGATTTATGTAAATAATAACGGAACGCATTGTTAATAATCTCTTGTTGTTGTTCATGAGTAAGTGTCGCCATCATACCATCACGAGTAGTCGTTAATGGTGGGCGCAATACAGGGACTTTATAATCATGAGTCCTTAAATCTAATTTCCCAATAGGTGTCGTCTCTGTCAATAAATCGTTATTCCCAGAATCTGTAGCAACGTTGTGTAATTGCATGAATTCACCTTCTACTAAATTAGCTATACTACTGCTCATCAATTCAACAACCTCAGGGTTCTTTAATCTAGAAATAGATACTGTGGCACGACCTAAAAGGAAATCACCAGCTAGGACGGCCATCTTATTTGTAAATGCAACGTTCCCACTTGGCCTACCTCGCCTTGTATCTGCATGATCAATGACATCATCGTGAAGCAAAGACGCAGTATGGATCATCTCTACGATCTCTGCCAAACGTCGTTGTTTCGGAAGAATCCCACGCTCATTGTCGAATTGTTTCTCGGGGATTGGTGCAGCTTCTTTTGTTAATGGATTCATAGATTGGATACCATGAATAATTTGTAAAGGTGAAAAATTCTCTACTGGTTTCGAAGCCAAAAATTTCTGTAAAGGATCTCTACCGACAGGAACAGTCTCGAAATCTGTGAAGTCAATCTTGATATTATTCCGTTTCTCAATAGGGATAGCGGATACAGCTCTCGACAATAATAATACAAGCATCGGACGTACTTTCTTCCCTTCAGCTTCGAAATAGTAACTAGTGACATGATTCAAAGTTGGGTGACCAGATCCAATTAATCCCATAATATTCTTTGCTAAAGTGTTCATCTCCGTGGAGACCAACGACACCGGATTGTTCAACATCCATTTCGGAGTCACCAGTCTACTCGCTGTCGCCAACGCTATACCAAACGAGGATTTACTCTGGTACCGTCTTTGTAACAACCTCCTCACTATAGTTCTACCGCTTTGCCCTCTTATCATCGTCGCTTATCCTTTGGCTATTTTATTAATTAATCAATTAACGTCTTGCTATATCTCCTTCGAACTGTATGGTTCACCCTTTATATATATATCTCCCCTCCCCTCCACCATCCTTATTATTCTTATTGAATATATATGGTTTAACGCCTTTTTTGTCTGTCTGCCTTGCACTAATAACTGGCCACTCATTTGTTGTGCGAAAACGGAACAACTACTAGAAAATTTGTATGGAAGAATTTCTGCTCTCATTTTAGCAGTGAAAATTTTTGGAAAAGCCAATCCAAATGCATCGATGACGTGAAATAAGAAGCAAACGTATTGTTGTCCTTTGTAGATAAGGGATTGTTTGTGTGGATGCTGAATGTTCTTTACATTAGTGAGCAGATAACTTTAAAAAGAAACAAACATATAATGAGTGAAGAAAGCAAGATCCCAGGTCACTATTTTGTGTTGTCACTTCTGAAGAATCTCTTCTCTAGAACATTACGAGCCTCTAACAACGTTCCACGCCATGTAGGGTTTATTATGGATGGTAATAGGAGATGGGCTCGCAAGAATGATATCGAGGTGAAGGATGGCCATGAGGCAGGGTTCCATAGTATGAGTCGTATCCTTGAGTTATGTTATGAAGCTGGTGTTCATACTGCCACGGTATATGCTTTCTCTATAGAAAATTTTAAGAGATCCAAATATGAAGTCGATTCTTTGATGGATTTAGCACAGAGGAGAATTAGACAAATCACTGAGAATGGTGAATTAACGGATAAGTACGGGATACGAGTTCGTGTCATTGGTGATATATCCTTATTGGACAAAGATGTGCTGAAGGATATCCAAGATGCTACAGAGAGAACGAAAAATAACACAAGGGCTACATTAAATATTTGCTTCCCATATACAGGACGTGAAGAAGTTGTGCATTCAATGAAGGAAGTCATTACAGAAAATTATCCATTAGAAGAGATCAATGAAGGTTTGATCGATTCACATCTATACACCGGTGGATTACCACCATTAGATTTGTTGATAAGGACTAGTGGTGTGTCTCGTCTAAGTGATTTCATGATATGGCAAGGGTCTAAAAGAGGTGTTACAATCGAATTATTAGATTGTCTATGGCCGGAGTTTGGTCCCTTGAAAATGGGTTGGATTCTACTTAAATTTGCATTCAAAAAGTCATACTCTAATAATAAGGAAGTCATCGATGAAGATGATGGCGAGGAAGATGAAGAAGATGAAGACGAAGAAGGGAGTGCTGACAAAAAGAAATATACATAGATACCATTAATGATAAAACGCGCCAAAAATATTGATATAATTATGTATCTTTTTAATATTATAGAAATTGGAAGTAGTTCTAGAAGTTTTTCTACCTAAACAGAACAGTTCATACGCATATATTCATTCAGTAAGAACTACACCATCAACGTACATATATTTGATGACTTTTTCCGATTCAGTCTGTTAATTAGTAACAAAAGGATCGACCCCTGGTTTCACTAATCTCATTTGGCTTGCCATCAATTACGCACAATAGCATCAGATATCCAAGAATATTATGCTACTAGAAGTTGACACTAGCAATAGCCACACACATACGGACACCCCCTTTCATTACCAACATAAGAACCCCATAACGGGGACCAACCTAATAGTGTCAGAATCCCTAGTAGGTGTCTCTGGTTCTCTATTTTCTATAACTCATTTACTTCCAGAAAATACTGTAGTCTGCAATTTAGAGGGAACGCGAAATGTTTAACGCGAAACGCATCGCACGATTACATAACAAAAGAATTTTTCATATATCAACAAATAATTATTTGGATTACTTTCTTATTATATATATATCTAGATCTACCACTTCTATGTTGACATTTATTATTTTTTTTCTTTTTTTTCTACCCAATAATACCCAAACCACAAAATATCCCATCCAATTGCTATTAAATTTGCTTGTATATTTACTTAGGATAGCTACTACACTTAGATATGTTGAAACTAACAAATGACAGTGGGCCTCTGGCCCAGATATGGCTGGCATCAAATATGACAAATATTCCTAGAGGATCTGTTCTTCAGACTAGTATTGCCGATTCGGCAAAGGAGATTGCAGAAGTATCTGGTTGCGATAATCCTGAGAATACCATAGATACACAGGGAAATAAATATGTTACATTACGTACGTCAGGTGAACTGTTACAAGGTATTGTCCAGGTATATACCAAACAAGCTGGCTTCTTACTTGGAGATATAAAGGATATATTAACGAAGATTAGTTCTTTATTTAAAATGAGTTCTAGAGTAGGAATCACTATCAATAAATCGAATACCATCACAAGGATAGAAACAATCATTCTGGAGGATACTGTTACAGAAAACGAAGTTTTGCTTACACCAAGCTTAGATTTTTTATTTGAATCAAGTTTATCTGCGACAGAAGGAAATGGTAATAATAGGAGATATATACAAGGTGTGGCTACCAGTACGGCAGCTGCTTGGGATACATCTGTAGAAGTTGGTAGACAATACGATTTAAACAATAATGAATATAGTAGCAATAACTCAATTCTAGATTTGAATTTTGATATAAATGATGGTCCATTAGCCATCGGAGATGAGGGTACTAGAACCACAAGCACAGGCGAAATGTCTTCAATGGGTACCAGCCATGTGCTTCCTAATAATGACGATAATTTACCAATCGATGACGATTTCGCAAATAACTGGAACTTTGGTATTGACGGTGAAAATCTGAAGGATTCCTCTATTGAAGTTGGTAGGAGAGCTGAAAGTTCGGTCCTGGAAGAAGAACATACAGAGTTTGGATTTGATCTTGGTCTAGATAAAGAGCCCATGGAAGCTGGAGATGATGAAGAAGATCTTGAAATACAACCTGTTACATTTACTCAATCACGTGTAATGAGGTCACAAAACCTGAACCCGGCTCTAACCAATACAGCAAGAATCATAGTAGACGATGAACGTGCACTATCCAAAAAGGAATTATATATCATCACTACCAATACGGAACTAACACAAAACCATAACAACCGAACTACAAGTAACCATTTGACCAAAAAGAGGACGTGGACTGAAGTCGATCTAGATGTATCATATCTAGCTTCAGGTATTGTAGATAATTTGTTGTCCTACAGAAACATTAAGAAACCAAGAATAGAAAATGAGGAGAATATAACGGAGGAAATCCACCCTCTTGATTTACAAGAAGAATCTTTTAATAACTTCGAAATGATTAATGACAACTTTGAAAATATGGATGATAATATGTCGGCAGAACATGACGAACTCATCTCTAAGAGTGTACCATACGACAACCAAGAGATCCTGAAAGATAACGCCAATACACGTATTCTTGATGACCTTTCACAATCAGCAGAAAATAGTTATATTTTACAGTCAAATGATCCGGTAAAGCTAACCTCAGGCGAGATAGCAACCAAAAATACAATCAGCTTGGCAAATACATTACGTAACGAATTTACAGATTCTGAGGTAACTTTTTCTACCATTTTAACGAAACAGCAAGAAGTAGCAAACAAAGGAAATTCACGTGATTCTGTAATTCCAAATAGAAAAGATGCTACTAAATGCTTCTTTGACATGCTGATGCTGGCTTCAGAAGACTGTATCACCCTTCAGCAGTCAGAATCGTTCGGGGACATTTCATTGACCTTGAAAGATTCGCTATACTACAAATTCATCCTTGCATAAACTCATATAGTTATATATCTGATTGTTAGCCTATTCTTAAGCATTTAGTACATAAAATGTTCGCCCATCATCAACTTCAAATTAATAATGTGTCTAGCTCTCTATACTATGCACTTTTATATAATCTAATTAATCAATGAAGTTAAGGATTTATACGTTCTACGAGACATTATCTGTTCCCTCGTTGCGAGAGCGAAAATTTTTTAAGAGTGCGAAGAGCTCATCTCTAAATTTTTTTCTTCTAACTTTTCAAGTTGTGATGAGATGAGTTATAACATATAGCATAAGTATAAATAATACTCGATAGATTCACTTTTAATATCTGTATTTAAATTTATCTACATAGAGAAAATATCAATACATATAACTTTGTTTGTTTGGGGCCTAACAGAATAAACCATTGTACAATAACTCAAGAAAATATGGCCAAACAGAAAGTCACAACGAAAACAACCAAGAGGTTCAGATACTCCTCATTTAAAGCTAGAATTGATGATTTGAGAATCGAACCTGCTAGAAATCTGACCAAGAGGGTTCATGATTATGTCGAGACCTCCCATTTCCTTGCTTCGTTTGATCATTGGAAGGATATTAATATGAGTGCTGATTTTACATCCTTCTCATTTGAAGTACAAAATATTGTCCAAACTCTACCCCAAATTCTTTATCATGCTGATACTATATTTAATAAATTAGTAGAACATATTGACAATCAGGATGATAAATCATTACAGCCATTATTAGATCTGTTGGCCCAATTTTGTCATGATTTAGGTCCCGACTTTACCAAATACTATGAAAGAACAGTAACGTCATTAATCAAACTTCTAGACGATGCCATTAAATTTGAATCTCCTGATGTCTTTGAATGGGGGTTCAACTGTTTGGCTTACATCTTCAAGTATCTATCAAGAGTCTTGACTGATGATTTGATTCCAACTTTCGATATGTTGTTACCTCTTTTATCCAATCCGAAGGAGTATTTATCTAGATTCTCTGCTGAAGCATTATCATTTTTAATTAGAAAATCAAGTGCCAAAAAGCTCTTAACATTAACATCTCATTTCTTCGATAAATTGGATGCCGATGACGAAAGCTCTAACTTATATGATGGGTTATTGATTCTATTTACGGAGGCCATTATTTCAACTCCAGGGTCACTGCATTCCAAATCAAACTCTATCATAAATGTTCTTATTGAACAATCGTTTAATAAGCCAAACTTGGAATCATGTACCACTTTAATATGTGATGTTTGGATGAATATATCTAGGCATGCGGAAATGGATGCATTGACACCTGTAGCGGCAACAGTTGTTGAATGCTTAACAAAATTTTCCAATCAACAAAATGGAAGTCACATAATAAAAATAGTTTCCACAATGGTATATGCTGAAAGTGGTAGAAAAATCGATGATTGGTCGATGATAACAAAACTTGTAGATAGTGTGATCGAAAGCACAGAAAAGGGATCTTTACAAGCTGATAATATTTCATTTTTATTTGCTGTACTATTACGTAATGCGGATGTTAGATGCTTAACTCAATTTCACAAAACCATATTTGAAACTATCCTTATGGATTATGCTTCTCATTTTTTGCAATTCTTTTCGTTTTGCCAAGACCTTACCTTAGACAGATTAATCTCGTTTAATGGTTCCAAATATCTTAATAAGTATATTGAAGACAACTGGAATAATGATGAAGAGGGGATTTCGCTATACCTTCTACAACTACATAAAAATGATAGACACTCATCTAAGATTACTGTAAAATTACCAACTGAGTTCACTAATAGCACTTTAGAATCTTTGAAGAAATATTGTAGAGATGTGTTATCTACAGATGATTTGTACGAGATCTATTGGAGATCCATTGTGCTAAAACACAGTGTATCTCTTCCAAATGGTGTAATTTTAGAATTGATCAAGATCTTATTAAATTCCACTGATTTTGCAAGTAATAAATTTAACAAAGATGTCATTGGTTGTCTTATCCAAATTCTTTCAGATACAAAGTGCGAAGAGTTTGTGACATTATTCCCAACACTAGTCTCGAGAATATCACAAAATATCGATAGCATTTTTTACATCAGAGGATTAAACCATCTACTGAAGATAACCAAAAATGATGATAAATTACAGACCATTCTATCCAAAAATCAGGACACATTTGTTCATCTGGGTGATAATTTATCTCTTCCTAACCCCCAATTGAGATATGAAACAATTAACCTTTTAATGGCTGCATTTGAGATTCAAAACGTAGAAATTCCACGTTATCTACAGGAAATAAAACTGTTAGAGGATATCCCACTAACTTTACAAAATGCAAGAGATATTACCACAAGAATAAGAAATGCCGGTAAGGAGTTTTCTAAATCCGAACTTGGTGACATTATGGGTAGCTTTTTCATCAAATACTTGTTTGGATTACTCACTATCAGGTTTTCTCCTGTTTGGGACGGTGTGTACGAAATAATTCCCGATATTTATAATAAGGACGCAAACCTTACTTGGAACTTCATCTATAGATTTTTGAATATCACCCAAAAAGCAGACGAATCGACAGATATCGAAGAGACACTTCAAGATGATGAAAAGAACATATTATGGATTTCGCACATAACAAGATTAGACTCCGCTCTGCAATTATTTAGTACCGCCTGGAAAAAATATACATTCAACAGGGACACCATAATATCTGTTACTAAAGAAAGTAGAGGGCCAAATGAATATCCACCTCAAATCAGAATGCAAGTATTGACTCTATTGTCCAAGATACCAATGTTAGCAGAAAGAAATTCCAAGGAGTTTGTTCCCTTCTTATTTAATGACGTAGAATCGAGAGGTTTGTTCGAAGAAAATGAGATTGTTCTTACTTCAACCTCAACATGGTATGAGACGGATAAGAATCTGTTGTTAAAAATCTTAAGTAATTTCAAAAACATTAAGAATATTTTTAAAGCCAATGATGTATTTGACAAACTGATGAAACTTTTGGGTAGTCGTACCGTAGACGTCCAGAAGCTTGCTTTAAATGCGCTATTTTGTTTTAAAAACCCTACAATTGTCAAGTATAGGGACAACCTAAATAGTCTTTTGGATGACACTCTTTTTAAAGATGAGGTTACCAAATTTCTTTCCGATAATGACACAAGAACAATAAGCAAAACCGAAGAAGATGAAATCATGCCATATATATTAAGGATACTTTATGGTCGTGCGCAAACTCCACCTACGAGTGGTATCAAAAAGAGTAGAAAAGTAGCTGTTCTTTCAGTTCTACCAAATTTAAGGGAAGAATTCATAATTAAATTTTTCGAACTGGGAAGTCATGGTTTTTCCTTTGATTATTTCTTTGAGAATAACTACCAAATTGAACAATCAGAAGTAACTGCATTGAATCTGAGAAGAATGACTGGTTTTATAAATATTATCAACATGTCTTTAGCATACCTCGGTTCGAATTTTCCTGAAGCTATTGGAGCAATTATTAAACCGCTTCTTTACAGTATTGCGATGTCCTATACTTCTTCTCCTGAAAGTGATAATACTGAATTTGAGGCTAAATTAACTACAAATTTAAGACAACAATCTTTAAAATGCCTAAATACCATTTTCCAGACTTTAGAAGACAAGTACAATTGGTCTAGTGCCATCCAAGAGATTTATGAAATAGTACTGAAGCCAAGATTAGCGTTGTTTGCAACAGAGAACTTGCAACAACCATCTTCATTATTAAAGTTGATTATTTTTTGGACGAAAAGTCCATCATACTACAAATTTTTATACTATGATAACTTTGCAGTTACTAGAGTATTAATGGAAACTTTAACTAACGAGCATGCTAAAGAAGCTGTAATCAATATCATTCTTGATGGTTCTAATGAAATTATTTCAAAACAATCAAAAGAAGACCAATACATAGATCTCGTATCTATAGTCGCTAGTTCCTGTTTACAAATTCTGCCTCAATTATACAACCGTATGGTTAATATTGAAACAATGTCAAAAGCGGTTGAACTATTATTAAACATGACAGAAGCAGGTTACGTCCAAAATAACGAAACAAGAAAGTATCTCCTAGATGCACTACAGTTAATTATTGAGAAGAATTTCAAAAATCTCAAGAGTAAAGACACAATTAAGATATTAAGGGTTATATCAGTTCTAATTTCAGAATATGATTGTCCTTGGGAAGATGTGGAACGTCTTTATAAGGATTTATCTGCGTTATTCATGGTTTTCACGGAGAAAGACCAAAGAATTGAGTTGAGTGATATATTTAATAAAATTGGTGGACGTTTCAGTGCTTTTGTAGATGTTGCTACTTTAGTATCTGACTTTAACTCCTATTCGTCAAGACGAATGAATGAATATGATTTCCCAAGAATTCTATCAGCTTTTAAACTTTTTACTGAAACACAGTATAAGCTTTTCTCTAATCTTCAATGGCTTCCAATCCTTTACAACTGTCTATATTTTATTAATGACAAAGATGAACTAGCATTGAGAACAAATGCATCTCATTGTCTAAAACTATATGCTGATTACTTGAATGAGGAATATAAGACTACTGAAAAAGTTAAAGACATATCAACCTTTAAAGAAATCATGCTGCCTGCAATTTGTAATGGTCTAAGAAGATACACGGAAGATGTTCAAAATGAATATATTTCTATCGTATCATATTATGTAGAAACTGTTACATTCTACCCAGGTCTTGATGACATGAAAGTACTGCTATTTAAGGGTGATGAAGAAGCCAATTTCTTTACGAACATTACTCACATTCAATTACATCGTCGTCAAAGAGCTGTTAAGAGATTAAGAGAGTACTCCTCCAAATTATCCGACAACAGTGTTTCACATTACTTGATCCCAATAATCGAACACTATGTTTTCAGTGATGAGGATAAGTTCAGAAATATTGGTAATGAAGCTCTTCTAACTATCGGGATACTTTCTGGGAAGATGAGCTGGAAACAATATAGGGCTCTTTTACGTAGATATATTTCATTTGTGAAGGCGAACGGGGATAAACTAAAACAAGGTGTACTATTAATCAATGAAATATCAAAAGCCATGAAGAATACTCTTCTATCACTAAAAAACCCTGACAACACATCATTTGGTACTTTTTCCAAACTTCCAAAGAACAGCGAAGATCTAATTTCTTTTATTAAAGATGATTTATATCCAACATTAACAAAAATTGTTGCAGTTAGAGATGAAGAAACAGTAATTGCAAGAATTCCACTTTCTGAGGCATTAGTTAATTTTATACTTGGTTTGGACCATGATGATATTGTTAATTTATTACCTGGTATTTTAACCAAGATCTGCCAAATATTAAGAAGTAGGGCTAGTGAATTACGTGATGCAGTCAGATCCAACCTGGCCAAAATTACAAACAATGTGGGAGCAAAGTACTTGTTTTTTATCATAAAAGAACTAAAATCTGCGTTACAGAGAGGTTCTCAAGTTCATGTATTAGGTTATACTGTGCATTACATTATTAGATCTATGTATGATCATTTAGGATCTGGAGATCTTGATGATTCAGCCGCTCTAACTGTTGCAGTTATCATGGAAGATATATTTGGTTCTACTGGTCAAGAGAAGGAATCCGACAACTACCATACTAAAATGATTGAAGTTAAGGTTAATCATAGTTACGATACAGGTGAAGTCTTAGCCTCTAATATCAGTCTAAGTTCTTTTGATGACATTCTGACACCTGTCAAAGCATTATTATCAGAGCATATCAATTTAAAAACTCAAAAGAAGCTTGAAGAATTATTGAGAAGATACGCATTAGGTATTAATCACAATAAGGCATGCCAAACACAGGAAATATTATCATTATGTTATGAAATATTTGAGCAATCAAAGGATGAGAAGTCAAACACCCGTAAGAAAAAGAATGTTAAAGTGATTACCGAGAAGGAAGAATTTTTCCTAGTGAGTCTAAATGCGAAAAAGGCAATGATACATAAAGAAGATACCCTATACACTGATGTGATGCAAAAATTTTCGTTAGACTTGTTACGTACCATCCTATCAAGGAATAAGGAACTTCTAAATGTACAATACCTAGCTGGATTTATCCCATTGCTGAGTGAAGCACTACAATCCGAAAATGAGGATGTTTTAACAAGTGCGCTACGTGTATTAGTTATCCTAATCAAATTGGATTTTACAGAAGAATCTGAAGCACTCTTCAAAAATTGTGCACGTAAGGTATTAAATCTAATTAAAGATTCACCATCCACATCGAATGATCTATGCCAAATGGGTCTTAAGTTCTTGTCCTCATTTATTCGTCATAAAGATATTAAGTTAAAGGATACCGCGTTAAGTTATGTTTTAATGAGAATCCTACCGGATCTAAATGAACCAAGTAAACAAGGGTTAGCTTTCAACTTTTTAAAGGCATTAGTTTCTAAACATATCATGCTTCCTGAACTTTACGATATTATTGGTTCTGTTCGTGAGATCATGATTACAAACCATTCCAGAGATATTAGGAATGTTGCTAGAACTGTTTACTATCAATTCCTAATGGAATATGATCAAAGTAAAGGTAGACTAGAAAAACAATTTAAATTTATGGTAGATAATTTACAGTATCCATCACCTGATGGTAGACAATCAGTCATGGAATTGGTCAACCTTATTATCACAAAATCATCTCCTGAATTACTGTCAAAGTTATCGTCGTCTTTCTTTATTTCGTTAGCGAATGTATCATTTAATGATGATAACGGTAAATGCCGTGAAATGGGTGCAGTTCTATTAACTCGTATGTTTTCTGTTTTAGACGATAAAAATATGGGAGATATTGATAAGTATATTGGCACATGGTTGAAACAGTCCGATAATCCAACTTTCCTAAACCTTGGGATGAGGATATATAAGATATATTTATCCAGTTTAGGTACAGGCAGAAATCTTGAGCTAGAACAATTGGCCAGAGCTAGAATTCAGAGTGTTCTGAATGACACTAATGTTGGTTCAGAAACAAATTGGGATTTAATATATTCAGCCCTTAACCTATACACTATTTTTATCGAAAAGGCTCCAGAAGAACAATTTAAGAAAGAAAACAAAAATCTGTGGGATGACGTAGTATCGTGTCTATTGTATCCTCATGCGTGGGTACGTCAAGCAGCTGGACGTCTGGTATATGAATTAATGAGTAACCTAGATTATATGGATGATACATTTAATGAAGAAGATATTCAAAATATTGCGTCAAGAGTGTTGCATCAACTTGCAGCACCTTCTATTTCCGAAGGTTTATCGTCAATTGCTATTAAAACTTTGATTAAGATAATTATGTTATGGGATAAGAATAATACAGCTTTCTACCAGAAGAAGGATGCAGATGAAGAGCAAATTAGTGAGAATACGTATCTGAATGCTATCGATTACATAATTGTGAGAGTTTCAAAGATTATCAGAAGTGAACATAACCCAGCAGATTCATTTATGTCCAAAAAAGCTGGTATTCAATTTTTTGCGTTAGTGGTCCAAATGTTGTCAGAAATGCAAGTTACGCAAGAAGCTGAAAAAATTATTCTAGCCCTTTATATGCATTTGGAATCAGATAGAGGTAGATTATCGGAAGAGCAGGAAGAGTTATCTAATCTATCTCAAGAATGTCTACAAATGGTTGAATCCAAAATGGCTGTATCTGCATTTACCGAGGCATACACCAATGTTAGACAAGTAGTTATTAGAAGAAGGGAAGAAAGAAGGGCCAAGAGATCAATTATGACCATCAATGAACCTGAATTAGCAGCACAAAAGAAAATGAGAAAACATACTAGATCTAGAGAAAAGAGAAAACATGAAAAGGATGACAATGGGTTCTATCAAAGAAAAAATAAGAGAAAGAGAACCTGATTTTTCTTGTGGAATCCAATATAAAATATTTATAACCAAATGGGTATCCTATAATAAATATGTGTATATTAGATTAATAAAAATAAAATATTATTATTTAAAAAAAAAAATTGTATTTGTTCAGGAATAACTCTCATTGAGATAATTGTAGAAAACGATAATAGGTACAATCATGAATAATGTTGATATATAAATATATATAAGGGTATATGTGGGTCCTTAAAGATGGGTGTGATGATACTAGTAATACATATTAGTTAAGGTGTTTCATATCTAATTATAGGAACTGTCTACATCAATTTCCTGAGTCAGATTCGACGTCAGTTTCCTTAGCTTGGGTTTCGGTCGTAGATTTTTCTGATTTTGAAACATCTGTGTCATTTTCATCTTCATCTTCATCTTCCTCTTCATCATCATTGATTTTTTGATCACTAATTTTATTATTACTTCTCGTTTCGCTAGTTGGAGACTCGGATAAAACTGAATCTAGTTTCATTTTAGTGGGCATTTGATCAAGTTTATCACTGTCATTAACAATACTGCTTTGATCTTCAATATCATCTGAGTCCTTGTCATCATGCGAATCTGCCGCATCTTGGTCTTCTTCCCTTTCATCGTCGTCCTCTTCCCCATGTGCATCAGCATCATTAGCATTCACGTTCCTTTCATCCTCCTCAACGTCATTTTCTTCCTCCTCTTCATCTTCTTCATCTTCCTCCTCTTCTTCATCTTCTTCTACTTCTTCTTCTTCTTCGTCCTCACCTTCACTGTTATTTTTTGTTTTACCATTTTCAGATCTACTCTTATTATAAATATCCATCTCTTGTCTATAACGGTTTCTATCTTCATTATATAATTTGTAATAAGGTGCTCTTCCTTCTTCATCTAATGCTTTCCAACCTTCAGTAAGATCCTTTGTAACATCTGATGAACCTAGACTCTTGACTTTTTCTTTATTCATTTCACAATAAATCAGATAGGCATTCGTTGGTCTCTTAGGCATGTTAGGATCTCTTTCCTTAGCCTTTTGTCTCTTTGTTTTCGCCCTCTTCATTGGTTTTTCTAATAATTCTTTCTTGAAGGAAGCCAACGTAGGTAATGGATTTTCAAAACGTAATAAAGGATCTAACTCAATTCTACTTTCTAATCTTTCTAATAACACACCATACTCTAATTTCAGTCTCTTGACAGCATGTCTAGATCTTTGAATGGCCAACCCCAGAACTTCATTCTTATCCCGAAGGTCACCAACCTTACGTTTCAAATCAGTGTCACTAGTTCCGTCCATTTATGTATATATTCGTGTATATTTGTTTAAAACTGCAATTGAATTATTTGTGTATTTAATATCTTTAAATACTTCCTCTGAATATTTTTAGATTTTAAAGATCAATGCTAAAATAATATAAAGAACTCGTTTCGTCTGTTGTTGGAAATTCTTAAGTAAAAAGAATATAGTTATCACAGGTGCCTTTAACGTCCCGTTCTTTCCTATATTGAATACCTGTTACAATATATTTCTGCTCTGTGTTTAGGAAAAATCCTTGAGTTCGCTGAATGCTTCTCTTTCGCTTTCCTTCCCTTGCTTTGCGAACTTTTCAATTTCCTAAAAATTATGAGTTTTGTTAATTTTGAAGAAGTTCTGAGAAAGTCGTTCGGCTTGTTAAAACTTTGAGGCTGTTTATTTTTTTTATTTGTTAATTAGCATATTTGCTATGCACCTTAGCTAGAAGGGAAAAGAAAAGAATAAAGTAACGAGTCTGTTAGAGGCGATGGATTTTAGATACAGTATCATATTTTGGCAAATATTTATGACATAGAATTAAATTTGCTGTTGAGTTGGTTAGTTTAATATAATAATAAAAAGGGCAATAACATAATTATAGCGAGGTTATATGTCATCATCACATAAGTACCCACATGGGTCAAAACCTGAACAGAAGCCTCTTTTATCAAATGTGGAAAGTCGAAGAATTTCACCGAATACAACAAATGCTAATGCATCTAAATATATTCCTAAAGATAGTGTGCCGTTAATAAAGACAAAAAATGACAACATACCTAACACTATTTCAGTCACTGGTAATAGTAATAATGACAGTGATGATGATGATGATGATGATGATGATGATGATATGATAAATAGAGAACGTGTGACTTCTTCGAGATATCAAAAGGGACATGTTAAAGGGAAGGTTGGACCACAACGTACGTCTCGTACAGCTCAAAAATTGAAACTTTTACCAGAGGAACCATTTCAAAGAAAGACTTTAAAGAAGAAGAACAGTAACAAATTCCTGAATAAAACAAATTCAACAGAGGATCATATACCTTCCATGAATACAGAACGATATACACGGGAAGGAGATGATAATGAGGAGGAGGATGACAATGATCAGCCTGATAGAGATGTATATTCACAAGTCAATCGTATCAAGGATAAATCTGCAAGAAGAGATGCTGAAAAGTTAGGGAAAAAACATAGGAGGTTATTACCAAGATGCACTGCATACAGTTCTGCTAGTAGTTATAATATGCGTGAATTGATGTATTGGATGAAGGATACAAAGAAAATACACCACACACATCCAAAATTATTTGATGAATGCCTGTATACACCGTTTATGTATACAGATTGGCGTGGTGATGAACGATTTCAACACGAGAATTTAATTAGAATTGATGATGAAGGTGGTGAAATAAATGTCAGTGATAAACAACCTGATTTATTTATATTTGAATATGGGGTCGTTGTAATGTGGGGTTTTACTGAAACTGAAGAAAAATCTTTCTTGATGGATATTGAAAGGTTTGAAAAGGAGAAACTCGCTGAGGAAGATGTCCAAATCGAAGAATTCAATTATTATGTCACTCAAAGTTATCAACCGAGAATATATAATGATTTTATTACATTGAGAGATGGTTCTAATTATATGGTTAAGTTGTCCATATCTCATGCAATCGCACAAAGTGTTAAGATATCTTTATTTGAAGAATTAGTTGAAAATACCATTGATGATACACAAGATATTCCACAAGAGATTGCATCTAGCGGTAAAGTTTCGATGTCTAAGGAAGATATTATGAAAAGCATAGGTGAACTATTCATTTTAAGAATTAATATCAATTTACATGGGTCTGTTCTTGATTCGCCGGAGATTATGTGGTCGGAACCTCAATTGGAGCCTATCTATCAAGCTACTCGTGGTTATTTAGAGATCAATCAAAGAGTGGCCCTTTTAAATCAAAGATTAGAGGTCATATCTGACTTGTTACAAATGTTAAAGGAACAATTGGGACATTCTCACGAAGAATATTTGGAGTTTATAGTTATTGTATTGGTTGGTGTTGAAGTTCTGATCTCAGGTATAAATATTGCAGTTGATATGATTGCCGGTAAATAATTATATAGTTCAAAAATAAGAAACAAAGAAAGAAGACGACTTACAATTAAGAAATATTCCGAATATTGTAAGGTTCTCTCAGTTATATTTATCTCTTTCGAATAGGTATTACTATCCCTTAATAAAAAAGGTATTGAGGTTTGTTATTGTTTTTAATAATACAAATGGGAAATATTCGTTGAAGTTACTTCCTAATAGATACAAATTGTGATATATATGAATATATATTGTTGTTGTTAGTGTTTGTCAAGTTATAAATGTAGTAACTTATAATTCCTGAGAAGCCTTTGGCTTGGAAGACTTCTTTGGCAACAAGTTTTGGTGAATATTTGGCAAAACACCACCTTGAGCGATGGTGACGTTACCTAGCAATTTGTTCAACTCATCATCATTTCTGATGGCTAATTGTAAATGTCTTGGAATAATTCTGGACTTCTTGTTGTCTCTAGCGGCATTACCAGCCAATTCTAGAATTTCAGCAGCTAGATATTCTAGAACAGCAGTCAAGTAGACTGGAGCACCAGAACCAATTCTTTGAGCGTAGTTACCTCTTCTCAGAAGTCTGTGAACTCTACCAACTGGGAAAGTTAGACCAGCCTTAGAAGATCTTGATTGAGAAGCCTTAGCAGCAGAACCTGCTTTACCACCTTTACCACCGGACATTATGTATATATGAATTTATTTGTAGTTGTGTACCTAATGTATACAAGAGAAAATAACAGCTGAAATTAAGAGAACCCCTTATGAAATACTTTGTTTTAAAAAACTTCATACCTTTATATATATATATACTTATGCTAAATGCACAACTGTTTTCATTCGCTTATAATCCGTGTTGATTATGCTACCTTCCCAGTTGGGTCATCGACACGCTCATGTTCAATCGTTACTGAGACTAGAGTTGCAGAACAACATCCTGGTAACATTGTATCGTTGTACCTTCGCTCCTTGCTGTAAACTTTCTTATGTCTTGTGTTTATTTTGAAATTTTATTGAATAATCAATCTTCTTCTTATGTAAAGTGAGTCGCGACGCGACGCGAAATTATGGTGCAGTTCATCAGCTGTCATTCTGATATTTTCGCGCGGATTTCACAGCGACAAGATCAGTTAACTATGGTGAACCGTGCCCATAGTTTCGCACTCGAGAGTATCAATTTCACGTAATACGATTATTACAAACATTATCAACAACAACATCAGCATCAAACAAGAAATAGGATCATCGGTTTGTTGATTTGGATTGATTATCGTGTTTTGGCGTTTGTTTATTTTGCAATGGTAGAGTGGAAGGTAGACAGTTCTTGCATATGTAGATATATATATATATAATGGAAACAAATAGCTAACAATTCTTTCTTACTTATTTTGATTATTGTTGGGTCTGTTCTTACACTGAATTTATTTTCGAAGTGTAAAAAGTACATATACAAATACCTATACCCAGAAATTTATCTACAATGTCTACTCAAGCCTCCAAGAAACCTGCCTCCAAGGCTCCAGCTGAAAAGAAACCAGCTGCCAAGAAGACCTCTTCTGGTGTTGAAGGTAAGAAGAGAACCAAGGCTAGAAAGGAAACTTACTCCTCTTACATCTACAAGGTTCTAAAGCAAACCCACCCAGACACCGGTATTTCTCAAAAGTCCATGTCTATCTTAAACTCTTTCGTCAACGACATCTTTGAAAGAATTGCCACTGAAGCTTCCAAGTTAGCTGCTTACAACAAGAAGTCTACAATTTCTGCTAGAGAAATCCAAACTGCTGTTAGATTGATTCTTCCAGGTGAATTGGCTAAGCATGCCGTCTCTGAAGGTACTAGAGCTGTCACCAAGTACTCTTCCTCCACTCAAGCTTAGATGTAGCATCGACATATTGATTTATACCAAAAACCGATATATATTCCATCTTAATTTGTCTTATTTTCATTTGTTTTTAAATACAATCTTAATTCTTTAAGATTATAAAAGCAAAGTAGGAAATAGAATAAATGAAAACATCAATCTACGTATATAATTTTTTGTTAAAAACAGAAAAAATGAGAGAAAGATCAATATAAATATTTTAGCTTTCTTTTTATATACTTGTAATATTAATATTAATATCTATTAAAATAAAATATAAAAACTAATATTTGTCTTTTCACCTTTTCACTTATTTATTTATTTCTGCTCTTCTAATTTCTTCAAGACTTTATCAACTTTGTCCTGAGCAGTTTGATGCTTATCAGTTCTAGTTCCAACTCTGATGTCGGTTTGAATTCTTACAATGCCCTTTGAATGTGCATACTCATGTACTTCACCAATCAAACCCATCACTTCATCCCATGGGCCTTCGATGGTGGTACCAGCACTGTGTAATGTACTCTTTAGGGGGCTTGCACGAATTTTAGCTTCGATCAAAGCTACGAAGTCAGAAACACTAGCACTGTTGGTCCCAATAGGAACCATACATACATCAGCCAAACAGAAAATCTTTGCCATCTCTCAATATTGAATTTAATACCCTGTCGTTCTGGTCTTGAATCCAAACTCTTCAATGTTAGGGGAAGAATACTTCTCTCCGTTATCTCTATCTCTCTGCCTTCTTAAATATATTATGTAAGTTTGTATAATTCACGACGCTTCATAAAGGAAAACCTAAAATTTAATTATCGCAGCGATATATTTTTTTTTGCTTTCAATTCTTTTCAAAAATGTGAAATAGTTTGATCAAACATATACAAAGACAAGAAGAGAGATTTAACACAAGAGGAAATCTGGTTTGTAGTTGATTGCTTTATATCAGATCATCATAGCGATAGAAACGTGGTTGTTGTTATTACAAAATACGTCAATAATGGTTGCTAAGAATTCTGTAACGATCGAGAACGTAGATTCACCTACTGCTCAACTTCATAAAAATAAACTTACACAATGTTTTGATGATATGATGAGAATGAGTTCGCAAATGTTGGTCCAAGAACAACTGAAGACAATCCAATTAGATAATGGTATTACTAACGGATTTTCTGCAACTCATCAGAAGAATTTAAAGGAGAAATTCCACATGTTTCATGGAATATTAGACGATCTGGATATCACCTTAGACAAATGTGCAGCATATGTAGAGACTTTAAACAAGATTGGGGTGGAGAAAGAAGCTTTAAGAAAGAAAGAGGAAGAACTTGAGGCTGAAAGAAAGAAAAAATTGGAAGAAGAGAAGGAACAACAACGTATCGCTAAGGAAGAATTAATTAAGAAAGAGAAAGAAGAACAAGAGCAAAAGGAAAAAGAAAAACAGGAAAAGGAGAAAAGAGAAAAAGAGAAGAGAGAAGCTCAAGAAAAGGAAACTAATGCGGCTGATAATGCATTAGATCTGATGGACGATATGAGACTTAGCTTCAATGATGATGTTGGTATGAATGTTGATGCTAACCAGAACGATCTCCTCACAACGTTTAATACTAGCGATAAAGGTTCAAATAATACACCTGGTATACTAACTGCTTCAGCTGGTGTAACTGATATATCAGATCCTTTACAATCATTAACTTCTATGGGAAAGACTGATGATAAGAGTGACAACAATAACAAGAGTAATAATAATAATCGAGGTAACAATACCAACCCTATTAGTAATATTAATGATACAGGAGCAAATAATGTATTTAATGATCTCGATACTATGGATATGTCTCTGTTCACAGATCTTGATAATGCAAATTTTGATCCTCTTTCTGAAACTGTAAATGGAACTAATGATATCACAAATAAGGATACTTTCGCAAATAACAATAATGCTAATACTAATAATAACAATGATAATAACAATAACAATGATAATAACAATAACAATAACAATAACAATAACAATAATAGTAATAGTAATGATGACAACAACAATATTAATAACAACCAAATAAATACTGATAATGGGACAACGGTAGGAACAGCGACGGCAGAGGTCAATAATGAGAATAACGGTAATGTTATGGTTAACAATAATAATGATAGTCTCAACATGATGGATCCATTACAGGATATGGGTGATGACTACTTAACACTAAATGATTTCAATGATCTTAACATTGATTGGAATGCTGGAGGTGATTCAGGAGATTTGGATCTTAATGATTTTAATATATAATAAGATTGTAATATTTACAGTACATCGGTTGGCCAAACAGAGTTTTTGGAATTTATTTTTGTAACTATTTCTATTTAATAGGAATAAGTAGTAAATAATAATTACAATTGATATTTAACTATACGTATTAAGTTTATATGATAGTATTTTATGATAATAAAACCACCATCACAGTTATATTGTCTGTAGTCCCATTGTCTAAGGCGTATTTTACTAAAATGCTAGCAGCTTCATCAGGGTCATCTATATCCTGTATCAATTCACAGGCTTCTTGGTCGTCTATTACGTCCCAAAGACCATCACATGCAATAATAAGGAACTTATCTTCAGTGGTTATTTCAACACTTGTAGTGAATGGATTACCTATCACTAACGTATCGAAGAATTTGTCACCTAAGGATCTTGTCACCGCTAACATACCATTTACTCTACTCTTCATGATTAATCCGCCAGCAGCTTCGACCCTTTGCAACTCTAAAATATCAGATGCTTTATGATCATATGTCAACCTTATACTATTCCCATTTCTGAATAGCACTATTCGTGAATCACCAACATTTGCTGTGTATAATTTCCTTTTGTGTTGATCCAACGACATTACTTTACTCTCCAGCTCATTTTCATCTGGTAATTCCCAACGTAACACACATACTGCTGCTGTACATCCACTATTTCCCTCCAGTTTTGTGTTGATTTGTTTGTCTATTTGTACAAATGAATCGTTTAAGATTTCTCTGATGTCCTTAGTTTCATCTTCTAATATCTCCTTTTCAATCATTGTATGTAAATGAGACCCACACCATTCAGAAGCCTGGATACCTGCGTGGCCATCAAATATAGCAAAATAACCCCAATCCAATCGCGATGCAAAGTTCTTCACATAGGTATGTACATCTTCCATCGATCGACGGAATTTTAAATTGGTATTTTCAGCTACGCCCACTCTATACGTCACGTCGCATCCTGAATCGGTCGAAGTCGCTGAAGAACGAGATGTTGTTGATTTCAATGGAGAATGTATATTTCCAGTGTCTTCAATGGTAGAATTACTAGTAGCAATTGATTCAACTTGTGGGCATTCACCACGGTCTTGTTTTGTACTTATCATTCTTTCAATATTTGATAATGTTCGTATCGATTAATAAAAAAATAAAAAGAATAAATTTTCACAGATAATAAGGGATCAGATCTCAGTAATAATGTATATGCTTATCTAACCTTATGGTTATATCTGTATATATTGTACTTGACAATGTAATTATTCTAACAGTTTCAACGAACTCTATTTATAGCTTTATGCGCCAACAACCACACACACACACGAGAGAGGGAAAACAAATATATGCTAAGTAAGAAAAATAATCTTATATAACAAAAATCAATAAGTTCAGTAAATAACTTCAATGGTGGTCTTCCTTGAGAATATATTGAGTTCATTCACTTCTTATCAATTTTTTGTATTTATACTTTACGTTCATCTATGGTGAATAGAAGATGGACTAATTTTGTATCGATTGTCTCTCTGCGCGACCAAGCTAATAACGATTTATTTTTATATTCCTATGTTGTCCCTCCCTGATTGTAAGAAAGAGAGAGCATAAGCCAAACTTCATGTTGAACAAGGCAAATACTGAGTATGGAGATCTTTGTACAGTCTTCAGGCGTTACTTATCTAAACTTGTGTTGTGGGATGTATTTATAGCCTAACCTATTATATGCTGAACTTGTCATGGTGTAAAAAACAACTGATTCGAAACAGACGAACAACACGTTGGTATAGAGTAACAATGTATTCTTCAAAATTACGAAATTCATGTTGATTTTTATACATGTTTGTATATATGTGTATATATGTTGTTACAAGAAGATCATAAGTACAAACCTTCCAGATTTTCCTCCACTTTGTTCTTCAAGACACGTTCCTTGGCCTGTTTGAAATCTTCTGCAGTGACTTGCATTCTTCTTTCTCTCAATGCCAATAGACCAGCCTCAGTGCACATAGCTTGGATATCTGCACCAGACAAGTCATCTTTACTCGTGACAAGTTTTTCTAATTCTATGTCTTGATTCAGATTCATCTTGGATGTATGAATACCCAGAATTTTTCTCTTTGTCGATAAATCAGGATTCTCGAACAGAATCTTACGATCAATTCTACCGGGTCTAATCAAAGCAGGATCTAAACTTTCTATTTTATTTGTAGCCATAATAACTTTAACATCACCTCTATCGTCGAAACCATCCAGTTGGTTTAGTAATTCCAACATAGTTCTCTGGATTTCTCTTTCACCACCACTGTTAGAATCATATCTCTTTGTACCAATAGCATCGATTTCATCAATGAAGACGATACTAGGTGCGTTTTCTGCAGCAACTTTAAAGATTTGCCTACATAATCTTGGACCATCACCAAGGTATTTTTGAATTAATTCTGAACCTACGATTCTTAAAAATGTGGCAGATGTTTGGTTGGCAACGGCTTTCGCCAAAAGAGTCTTACCTGTACCTGGTGCACCATATAGAATGACCCCCTTAGGAGGTTTGATACCCATTTCTTCATATAATTCAGGATGTGTTAGAGGTAATTCGACAGACTCCTTAATTTCTTGAATTTGGGATTCTAAACCACCTATATCACTATATGACTCGGTAGGAGATTTATCAATCTTCATAACAGAAACCATTGGATCTGCATCGTCCTGCAATACACCAACAATAGACATTGTTTTATGGTGTAATAAGACAGAACAACCGGGTTCTAATAGTTCCTTATCAACAAATGAAAGAATAGAGACATAGTAATCTGGCATAGTTGGACTTGTCACAATGGCATGATCGTCGTCAATAATTTCTTCCAATGTACCAATACTTAATGGATTACCTCTAATTTCTAGTAATTGTTTCTTCTCTTCTTCCTGCTTCTTTTCAAACGGTTTCAGAATTTCAGAGTTCGTGACAAATTCTTCTTCTAATAACAAATGATCCTTAATTCTCTCGATTCTTAACAATTTCAATTTACAACGAGTACTTGGATGAACATTTGGTAACTTTTCAGCTGTTGCTGGACCTCCTCTTCTCTTCTTACGTCCGAACTTTGACTGCACTGGTGGTTCATACTTTGGCTTTTGATTAGCACCCTTCTTACCTTTCTTCTTATCTTGTCCTTGAGAAACACCTTGACCCATGATTAGTGTAATATATTAGAATATCTCTCCTTGCAATGTCTAAGAATAATAAATTAATCTGACTTAATAGATTAACAAAACGCAGGAAATGCAGTGTTTACGACTTCTGTAATTATATGTTTTGAGTCTCGACTACGTAAATCAAATGTCTGGTACCCGTGCTTAACAGTTTCTTTCGTTCTCTTCGTTATACGTTAAAACTTCCCTTTTCCACTTTAAGTTAGTCTTATTTCTCACTATCTCTTATTTTTTTGCCACCGCCCCAGATTTCTCAACAGCTAAGATTTTTTTTTTCAATACTGCTAACAATTTTAAGAAATTATAAATTAATGCTGAACGTATATAATTAAATGACATAGATGGAATCTCCTCAATTCCTGAAGAACATTGCCAAATTTTGCAAACACATTGATTGTTAAAGTATTATTACTGTTTTGACTAGATTATATTGTTATATAAGTTTCTTATTTATAAAGTAGGAAGAAGAAAATAAATTTCTGTAAAGTTGAAAATAAAAAAAAAAGATTAATTAGGTAGTGTAATTTGATTTCTATCGTTTCATTATATCATAATTTGAAGAGTAACTGCTTACAAATTTTCAGTGTAATGATGAACACCATCCAACTTTCTCAGTCTATCAGCGGCTTGTTCAGCGGTCAAATCTCTTTGAGGTTCACCCAACATTTCAAAACCGACCAAGAACTTTCTGACAGTAGCAGATCTTAGTAATGGTGGGTAGAAATGCATGTGGAACCAAGCATTATTCAATTCATCGCCAGTAGCATTCAATGGAGCTTGATGTAGACCCATGGAGTAAGGGAAGGAGGTTTCGAATAAGTTATCGTACTTAACAGTCAATTGCTTCATCATAGAGGCTAGATCATTCTTTTGCTTGTCAGTAAAATGGGCAACACTTGGAACCTTAGTCTTGGAGACAATCATGGTTTCAAATGGCCAGACAGCCCAGTATGGTACAACAACTAAGAAACTGTCGTTCTCCAGAACAATTCTGGTTCTTTCTTCCATCTCTAACTTGACATAGTCACCTAACAAGTCGGCATTGTGAGCATGTTTGTACTTGTCAAAGGACTTGAATTCTTGAGAGACTTCGCTTGGAACAGATTCTAGACACCAAGCTTGACCGTGAGGATGCAAGTTGGAACAACCCATAGCAGTACCCTTGTTTTCAAAGATTTGTAAATATTTGAATGGTTTCTTTTCTTCAACAGCTTGCTTAGATAAGTCGTTGTAAAGTTGTTGCCATGTACTGATAACTGTAGAAAGGTCCTTTATTTCCATTTGAGGAATGGTTAGGTTATGTTTTGGACTGAAACAGATAACAAAACAGTTACCTCTAACACCTTGAACCTTGATCAATCTGTCCTTTAGGGTATCCTTACCTGAGTTATAAACTTCTAAGGCTGGTTGGTCGGTCTTAACAGCAGCAAAATCGTTTTGGAAAACGTAAGTTGATTCATACTTTGGGTTAGAACCACCGGTAACTCTCTTGTTACCGGGACATAAGAAACATTTTTCATCATATTCTGGAATGGTAGACTTAGCTGGTGTTTCTTGTTGACCTAACCAAGGTCTCTTAGCTCTGTGAGGAGACACAAGGATCCATGAGTCAGTCAATGGGTTGAAACGTCTGTGTGAGTTGTCAGTGAAATCGAATTCTTGGGACATGTTTATAAAATGAAGGAGTCTTTGATTAGTTTAATTAAGTTACTGTTGTTACCTAATAAACTTGCTATGATATTTTTATCTTCGCAATGAAAAGAAGTTATATTAAGTACAGAAAAACCCACAAGTTTATTTAATGGGATGAACCTTTCAATGATGTTTGTATGTCATACTTATATATAAATTGATTAATGTATATTTTCTATATTGTTTGAGGGATTGTTTTGATTCTTAAATGCCATCCTAGTAACAAGCACTCTCTACCAGGTCTGTGTAGTCACAACGCAACTAACTAAGTTGTATATTGCGTAAAAGATGAGGTCCCTATCGCTTACTGTGATAATGAGGGGCCTTGCTGTTGTTTTGTAATTACATGATATTTTGCTGGTGGATTTAATAGTAAGATGAGCAGCTTAAATTCTAACTATAGTAGCCGGCTCGGAGGGAAGCGCTCCGGGTTCACATTTCATTGTTAAGCGGATGAAGAAGAGCAAATCGGTGACTAGTCTCCCGTTGGCCACGGGGTAGAACAAGAACACGATGGTGACACTAAATGTGTAAGTCAGGTTTATTTCTGCAATTGACAATATTGGGCTGTCGATGTTAGTCAAAGTTTCTTATATGGCCCACATCTTGTCATGTTTGTCTTACTTTGCTATTGTCTCGATGTAAATTTTTAACCAGTGAAATTCAAAACATTATTTAGTATTATAGTGACGCAATCTGGTGAATGTTCTCCGAGAGTGACCTTACTCAAAGGAATACCTGATACTACTTTTGTGTTCCGAAATTAAGAGTAAGTTTATAGAAGTCCAATTAACTTGACCAATTCTATTAACTTTCGATGTTTCCCGATATATATGAGGGGAAGGACATAGTTATGCCGTAAAACTGTCAATGAATATCTTAACAACCGTTTACCCAGTTGCGGACGATATCCTAACGTTAACGACCAGTCCCAAACTGGAAAATAATAAGTTTAGAAGTCTAAAAACCTCACTTTTCAAAATGTTTAGTTAAGTAGGAATAAGAGAAGTTAGCAAGTGGACACCACACCTTTTGTAAAAATATACAATTAAGTTTAGGAAAATTTGTAAATGTCACAATTCTTGAACACATTTTTCTCTCGCATATACAACTACATTTGAACTATTACGTTTTCAGATAATGAATAAATAAGAAGCCAGAATGTAGAGAAATATTTCTTTACATATTTCAGAATTTCGCTTATTGTATTTGAACTATGCGAATAACGAAGCGTTCAAGTCATAATATCTTAAGCGGTATATATTTAAATTCCTCTATCTTAATTATAAAAAGAATTCAGTCATTCTTGACAAGTTTTCTTGATAATGTTTTTAAATATTTAGTTGATCTCTCTCTCTCTCTCTCTCTCTCTCTCTCTCTGTCTCACACACACACACACACACACATACTCACTCACATACTCACTCACTCACTCGCTTAGTTGAATCAAGATACTAATTGAGTTCATAAACGTCTTTATTATCCAACATAGAAGGCAAAATAAATATCAAATGCAATAGAATATCCCTCATTTCTCTTCAATATGTTGTTTTCTTAAAAAAATTATTAAGAATTAAGAATTGCGAACCATCCAAAAGTCGAATGCATTTGAAAATAATATATGTTCAGTACAGTCACTTTTGGCAGGAAATTAATTCATCGTGGGACACTACCTTGATAGTTTCAGCAAGTATTTCAACAGTTTTTCAAATCTTGAAGTGTAGAGAAATGTTACCCAGAAATAATTAAATAAAGTTGTAGAAGTAGTGTCACCCCACTTCCAAACCCAGTTTAACATTGTCTGGAACAACGTCTGTATAGAAAAGAAAACAGATAAATATCTTGAAAGGAATTCCCGATCTGAAGTCCGACCTGCTCTTAATAGTGCAAGTTATCTCAACTTTCTATGGCAATTCACAACGGATCTCTTAGCCCCACAAATACTTGCTTCAAAGTACATAGCAATTTCCTGTCACTTCTTGTCTCTTTGTCCGTGGCCTTACGATAATAAAATGCATTAAAGGTTTCTTTCCTCATAACCCGGGACACCGCTGACCGAAATTCGAGCGGCGCAACTCTCTCCGTTTCGCGGTGGAGTTGAAAAAATGAAATTTTTCAGCTTTCGTAATAAAAAATAAAAAAAGATTGTCAGGTAGGAAGTGGGGGTTGAGCCCGGAATACAGTTGTCCGAAACTACGTTACCAGTATAAACAATAGTAACACCATGTTACAGGAATTGATTTGCCCCTCGTCCGCAAGAGGAGTGTTGGTGGTTGTGGCATTTGGCCGCACCTGGAATCGTTTATACCCCAGATGAATTTAATTTCGTCGTCTTCGTTATGAATTCAGTGACATTGGTTGTTGATCCAATAATCATTACTTGTCTACCTGAAATCCTGTGAGGAATGCAAAAGACCGGAGGTTGCTAATCTTATGGATATGTAAGGTACTCTCTCCCCTCCCCCACCTTTTTATGATGTTACCTCCCCTTAATTCAAGTAAACAGTTGCGTTAGAAGTTTAATTCATTAGTCGAGAAATAAAATAGAAAAGAAAACATATATAAGCGATAACTATTTGTTTCCAATTGATAAATTTGATCACCTAAACTCTTTTCCTTTTGTTCAAAATTAGTTTATATATAACAAAAAGACCAAGAAATAAGAAGAATAACCAACTTTCCTCTTATATACCTCTATTTATAAAATACAAACAACAACAATAATGTCTGTTCCAGAATTTAAGGTCGGTGACAAAAACATCCCAACCTCTCTACAAGCCAGATGTCCAGAAGTCATCAAGGGTTTCGAAGCCACCTATGGTTCTAAGCCAGACTTCGTCTCTAGATCTCCAGGTAGAGTTAACTTAATCGGTGAACATATCGATTATGCCGATTTCTCCGTCTTGCCACTAGCTATCGATGTTGATATGTTATGTGCTGTTAAAGTCCTAGATGAAAAGAACCCATCTATTACTCTATCTAACGATGACAAAAGATTTGCTCAAAGAAAGTTCGACTTACCATTAGATGGTTCTTACGTCACTATTGACCCATCTGTCTCTGACTGGTCTAACTACTTCAAGTGTGGTCTACATGTTGCTCATGAATTTCTAAAGGAAATCGCTCCAGCTAAGTTCGCCAATGCTCCATTAGCTGGTCTTCAAGTCTACTGTAAGGGTAATGTTCCAACCGGTTCCGGTCTATCCTCATCTGCTGCCTTCATCTGTGCCGTTGCTCTAGCTGTCATTAAGGGTAACATGGGTGACTCTTACCACGTCTCCAAGAAGGATCTAACCAGAATCACTGTTGTCGCTGAACATTACGTCGGTGTTAACAACGGTGGTATGGATCAAGCTGCTTCTGTCTGTGGTGAAGGTGATCACGCTCTTTACGTTGAATTCAAGCCAGAACTAAAGGCTACTGCTTTTAAGTTCCCAGAATTGAAGGACGATGATGTTTCTTTCGTTATTGCCAACACTTTAGTTGTCTCTAACAAGTTTGAAACTGCTCCAACTAACTATAACCTAAGAGTTGTCGAAGTTACTGCTGCTGCCAATGTTCTAGCTAACAAGTACGGTGTTGTTCTAAAGCACGTCGGTGCCTCTAACTTAAATAAGGGTAACCTAAGAGATTTCATGAACGCTTACTACGCTAGATACCACAACACCCCAGAACCATGGAATGGTGATGTCACTACTGGTATTGAACGTCTAACTAAGATGGTTGAATTAGTCGAAGAAGCTCTAGGTAACAAGAAGGAAGGTTTCACTGTTGAAGAAACCGCTGCCGCATTGAACTGTTCCAAGGAAGAATTTACCAAGGACTACTTAACCACTTACCCAGTTAGATTCCAAGTTCTAAAGTTATACCAAAGAGCTAGACACGTCTACACTGAAGCTCTAAGAGTTTTAGAAGCCCTAAAGGTCATGACCGGTACCAAGTTTGATACTGATCAAGATTTCTTCAAAGCTTTCGGTGGTCTAATGAATAAATCCCAAGATTCCTGTGACAAATTATACGAATGCTCTTGTCCAGAAACCGATAAGATTTGTGAAATCGCTCTAGCTAACGGTTCATACGGTTCCAGATTGACTGGTGCTGGTTGGGGTGGTTGTACTGTTCATTTGGTTCCAAGTAGTTCTGTTGAAAGTGTCAAGAAGGCCTTAATCAACGACTTCTACAAGATCAAGTACCCAAACATTACTGATTCTGAATTGAGCGATGCTATCATTGTCTCTAAGCCAGCTCTAGGCTCTTGTCTATGTGAATTGTAAAAAGTTTGCTGAATGATACGTCAACAATCTTCTTTTTAAACTTTTCACCAATGTCTAACGAAATATTATGATCTAATAATTTACGACTGTCAGGATTTAATATAATAAAATATAAATATATAAATTTTTTATAAAACGATACTAATACTAATAACAATACAAAAAAATACTTTTTTAATTTCAAAGCAAAATTATCAACAATCAATAAAATTAGTTACCAAAATTAATCTTTTTTTATTGATAATAAAACAATAATGGAGTGTAGTTACAATGTTCTCATTGTCTTTTCTGTCCTATAGAAAACATACATATATTGCTATCTATTATATGTTGAGGTACAATTCATTCCTTAAGCCCTTCATCAATTTAAGTATCTTATCGCCGATTGCGACAATATCTTTCAATTGTCTAAAGTATTTATGTATATACACGGTATTTTCAGTTTCTTTAGGTAGTTTACTAGCTAAGAAAAAAAATAATTGTGTCACAAGAGAAATGTCCTTATAATAGACATTCTACGCTTCTTTGTCTTTTCTTTTTTTCTTCTTTTTTCCTGTTCTTATCAGGAAATTAACACAGAAAACGCGGAGAGAAAGAAGCAAAAGCTAGGATTTACGGTCGAGTCCATAATGAATCCTCCTTTAATGAATATTATCAATCTAACTATATGGTAATAGATTGGACGTTTCTTTTCATAAACTCACTTAAATGGTCTATACTATGGATAAGAGCCAAATTAAAAGGTTGTGAGATATAGAAAGCAATCCCTCTTATACTGTTACCATATCTTTATCCCAGGACGATACCTCCCCCCCTCAAACCCCCTCCCTCCGGAACAAAATTTACAGGCAGAGCGGGAGAAAAACATGGACGTTCCCCTTTGTTCTGTGAAACCGCTGTTAAATCGCATATTAAGATTTTGTAGCTCGTTGTTACTGATTGACTAGAAAGAAGCGAGGCTGGCTTTGAACAGTTCTTGTGGGGCAGGAGCTAGGGAGAGAGCGAAAGACAAAAGAAAGTATTTCGCAGATCTTTTGTATGGAATTAGGACGTTTTTGGGAACTTTCAAAGGAATAGTTTTTGACACGGAAAACTTTTCACCGACGCAGATAAATTTTTCATGAGATAAGCGTTATTATAGATTATATTATATATAAAACTGGGGCATCAATTACAAAAATGGGAAGGTCATCGCAATATCACTATTCTTTTTAAAAATTAATACTATTTTACAGTTTAAGGTTATAGAAATCTTTTATCTTTTCTTATTTTTATCTTGCATTTATAAGTAGTAGGATATTTCTGATATATTCTTTTAAGGGATTGGGTACTGGATTTTATATACATATATATTGATATACTTTCCAAGATCCTATTGCAAAACTTAAAAAATAAAAAGAATATATATCTACATATCTTGATTTAACTACACAAGATCAACTATGCCTGACGATATTACTGAATACTTTGCCCATACAGGGGTTAGTCACACACAATCTCAAACAGACTATCAATATCTTAATAATAGTCGGAACTCCCTACGGAATGAAGATGAAGATGAAATCGATAATAAAAATGAAAAGGCATTTCATGTCTCTGGGAGTAAAATGTCTACTAGAATGGTAGAGGAATCCACTTTTGAAGAGCCTATCCAAATACATGGTGACAGTAGTAGTGATGAAGAAAGTGGTAGTGATAAAAATAGTAAATTCAACCGTTATGATGATGATGAAGACCTTAAGAAATACTCTAAATGGAGACGCTTTTATTTAAAATATGTGATTCTGGATAGAAATTTTGCAGACATATCCATTTTGGATTCCTTTATGTATAACGCAGATCTGAAACCAGTAGAAGAAGAAAGAAGAGTATGGTCCTGGTATAATTTTGCATATTTTTGGTTAGCTGAATGTTTCAATATTAATACTTGGCAAATTGCAGCTACCGGTTTACAATTAGGTTTAAATTGGTGGCAATGTTGGATTACTATTTGGATTGGTTATTCCTTCGTTGGTGTATTCGTCGTTCTGTCTTCTAGAGTTGGTACTGCTTATCATCTTTCTTTCCCAATTTCCTCTAGAGCCTCGTTTGGTATATTTTTCTCTCTGTGGCCTATTATTAATAGAATTGTCATGGCCATTGTGTGGTACTCTGTTCAATCGTGGCTAGGTTCTGAACCAGTTTCATTGATGTTAAGGTCTATATTTGGGAAAGACTTACCAGATAGAATTCCAGACAATTTCGGTTCTGAAAATGCAACTACTTATACATTCATGTGTTTCTTCATCTTTTGGGTTGTAGAATTCCCATTCTTATTGATTCAACCTCATAAAGTTAGACATTTGTTTACTGTTAAGGCTATTTTAGTTCCATTTGCATCCTTTGGTTTTCTGATTTGGTCTGTTAGAAAGGCCCATGGAAAGATTTCTTTGGGTAGTTTGACTGATTATCATCCAACAGGTAGTGCGTTCTCATGGGCTTTCTTAAGAAGTGTAATGGGATGTATGGCTAATTTTTCTACTATGGTTATTAACGCCCCGGATTTTGCAAGGTTCTCAAAGACAAAGCATTCTGCTTTATGGTCTCAATTGGTTTGTATCCCACTTATGTTTTCAATTACATGTCTGATAGGTATCTTGGTTACCGCTGCGGGTTATGAAATGTATGGTGTCAATTACTGGTCTCCAGTTCAAGTCCTCGAACAATTTCTGGTTAGATCTTATACTAAAGGTACTAGAGCTGGTGTATTTTTGATTTCATTCGTATTTGCAATTGCACAATTGGGTACTAACATTTCTGCTAATTCTCTATCATGTGGAACTGATATGACTGCTGTTCTACCAAAATATATCAATATTAGGCGTGGTTCTATTTTCTGTGCATGTTTGGCATTATGTATTTGTCCATGGAATTTGATGGCTACTTCAAGTAAGTTTACAATGGCTCTGTCTGCTTATGCGATTTTCTTATCCAGTATCGCCGGTGTTGTCTGTGGGGATTATTTCGTTGTTAGAAGAGGCTACATCAAGCTGACTCACATTTATTCCAACAGAAAGGGATCCTTCTATATGTATGGTAATAAATATGGTATTAACTGGAGAGCGTTGGTTGGTTATCTATGTGGTGTTGCTCCAAACTTGCCAGGTTTTATTGGTGACGTTGGTGCACCAAAGATTACAGTTTCCATCGGTGCTATGAGAATTTACTATTTAAGTTATTGGGTGGGTTATTTCATCAGTTTCTCCGTATACATTGGCCTGTGTTATTTCTTCCCAGTACCAGGTCAACCAGTTAAGAACATCTTGAGGGACAAAGGTTGGTTCCAAAGATGGACCGACGTTGAAAACTTCGAACAGGAATGGAGAGAATCCCTAAAGAAGAAAGATCTCCTAGATGATAAGGTAGACGTTTACGAGTATTCCAGAGGAAAAACGATCTTTTAACCATGTTTCGCAAAGAACAATATAGTTTTCTTTCTGTTGACAACAAAAGTTATTACAACACCATTAATAAAATTAATTCATTCTTTATTTTTGTATAATAAACTTTAGACTGCATATTAACTCAGGTCATTAAATTAGACCCGTTGTATAAACAAATAAATTCATTAATTGCATATTTCATTCACATATCCTTTCATTTATAACGTTTTCACTATCTTATATGATCTAAATGGCTTCACTCATTGCAGAGATACTTTCTGGCCTTATATTATTTCCCTTTAAGGAGGCAATCACGAAAAAACGTAAGCTTCGTGGTGAAAGTGAAAAAAAAGTAAGTGTTTGATTTAAAAATAAATTTTAGACAATGAGCAGTGAGGCTTAAAGATCTGTTACTATAAATATGTTAACTAGTTAACGATTTATATTAAAATTTCTATAAATTGTAAAGGTATATTATTGGAAATTTGATAGGTTATTCCAAATTAGTAAATTCCTAAAATATTATCTCCTCATCGAGTTTCTGCAATGGACGAGGATAATTACTATCTGCATCTAGATGATGAGTATTTGATTAAACCAAGAGGAGGCAGTACATCTTCCTCGCATCCTAGAAGGCAAGGTTCTTTGGTCAGACCTGAAAGAAATAGATTGGATAATCCTTCGAATCCAAATTACTACTACGCTCAAAAGACAGCTGAACAAAAAAATAGATTAAGTGTGTTACCCTCGAGTACAGGTGTGAATCCAACGATTCCTAGAAATAATACAGTTAGATCTCGTCGCACTTTGAGCACCAAGAGGGGCCCTAGTATTGTTGAGGAAGAATATCCTCTTACAGATATAGGTAATGACGTTCCTTTTAAAGATGATACAAAGTTTAACGAACAGCAAAGTACGTTTGATCGGCAAGAGGACGATTTTAATGATTATGATGAAAATGCATTTGATCCATACATCCCAGATCTGAGGAAAGATTTTAATAAAATATCAGCAGCACACAAAGATTCGAAGCCATCGATATCGCTATGGACCATGTATTGCAAAATATTAACGTTCTGGATACCAGGACCTATTCTTGCACTTTTTGGTATGCCGGACAAAGAGAGACAGATGGCATGGAGAGATAAAATTGCATTGCTGTCCATTATAGGGTATATTGGTGCAATTGTTGCATATATTACATTTGGTTTTACAAGAACAGTTTGTGCAAATGCAACTATAAGATTAGAAATTAAAGATATAAATACAGGGTTTGTCTCCATTAATGGTAAGGCCTATTTATTTAACGGAACCGGAACTGATGGTAGTGATTTAGAGGTTAAAGGAAAATACGTTGTTGGGCCATGGCAAGATGCGGGTAAAGACGCCACATTTTTGTTTCAAAATGTCAACGGGAACTGTAAAAATGTCATCGTACCAAAAGATAATTGTTCTATCCCATACAACAATGATAACGAACTTGCTTGGTACTTTCCTTGTAAACTGAAAAATACTGATGGTTCTTCAAAACCAAATTTCACAAATTCTGAGCACTATGATGGTTGGGGTTGTCACACATCTGATAGCGAAAGAAAGGCTTACTATAGTCTAAAAAGCTACGCATCGGTATACTTTACATGGGAAGATATTAAAAATTCATCTAGAAATCTGGTGGTATATAATGGAGATGTTCTAGATTTGAATTTATTGAACTGGCTAGAATCGTATGATGTAGATTATCCAACCGAATTTGATGATTTAAAAAATTCTGATCTTCGAGGTTATGATTTATCTTTAGTGCTTTCTACAGGTCATGACAGAAAAATTGCAAGGTGTTTGAATGAAATTATAAAGGTCGGTGAGATTGATTCTAAAACAGTAGGTTGTCTTGCTTCAGACGTCGTTTTATATGTTTCGTTAATTTTCATTTTTTCTATTGTTGTAGCTAAGTTTTTGGTGGCAAGTTACTTCCGTTGGTTCGTAACTAAGAAGCAGGGCGCATTCGAAGTTGACAATAAGACCATGGACAGATATATTAACACTATTGAGGACTGGTCTGATAATATAAATGCCCAAGGGCCCATTAAACAGGTTGATCCCTCGATGAGACCTGTGAAAAAAGAATCAGGTTTGTCGGCTCTAAAAAGGAAAACCTCAAGAATGTTACAACTTAACGACTCGGTCATAGATTTAGAAAGTTCTCTAAGTAACAACGCCATAGCTTCCTCAGGTACCATTAATGGGTATACCACAATGACTTCTCAAAATGCCTGGAAAGCTAATGGTGAAAATGAAACAAATGACCAGAGACAAAATTTCGGCCGTAAATCAGAGGGTTTAACTTCATCATCACTTCTATGGAACTCTACAACCATATCGCCAGCACCAGGTAAACTATCTGTAGTATCATCCCTGGATCCCACTATTATTCATCCTGATATAGTTCAACAGCCACCAATAGACTACATGCCATATGATTATCCCTTAATTCATACTATTTGTTTCGTCACATGTTATTCTGAGGATGAAGCTGGTTTAAGAACTACGTTGGACTCCATAGCTACAACAGACTATCCAAATTCTCACAAGATGATAATGATTGTTTGTGATGGTTTGATCAAAGGGTCAGGTAATGATAAGACGACGCCAGAAATCGCCCTTGGGATGATGGACGATTTTGTTACTCCGCCAGAAGAGGTTCAAGCAAATTCGTACGTTGCGGTGGCATCTGGTACCAAGAGACATAATATGGCAAAAATTTATGCTGGGTTCTACAAGTATGACGATGGAACTATCCTCCCAGAAAAACAGCAGAGAGTTCCAGTTATTACTATCGTCAAATGTGGTACACCAGAAGAACAAGGATCTGCAAAACCAGGTAATAGAGGTAAGCGTGATTCTCAGGTTATTCTAATGTCGTTCCTACAGAGAGTTACTTTTGACGAGAGAATGTCTGAATTAGAATTCCAACTGCTGAAGAATATTTGGCAATTGACCGGACTAATGGCAGATTTTTATGAAACAGTTTTGATGGTTGATGCTGATACAAAGGTGTTTCCAGATTCTTTATCCCATATGATTGCTGAAATGGTAAAGGATCCTGCAATTATGGGTTTATGTGGTGAGACAAAAATCGCAAATAAGGCGGACACTTGGGTTACAGCAATCCAAGTTTTTGAGTATTATATTTCACATCATCAGTCTAAGGCATTTGAATCCGTGTTTGGTTCTGTTACTTGTTTACCTGGTTGTTTCTCTATGTATAGAATAAAGGTGCCAAAAGATGCAGACGGTTATTGGGTGCCAATTTTGGCAAATCCAGATATTGTTGAAAGATACTCTGATAATGTTACAAACTCTTTGCATAAAAAGAATTTGTTACTTCTGGGTGAGGATAGATATCTTTCATCCTTAATGTTGAGGACTTTCCCGAAAAGAAAACAAATATTCGTTCCTAAGGCTGCTTGTAAAACTATTGTTCCGGATGAATTCAAGATTCTACTATCACAACGTCGTCGGTGGATCAATTCTACAGTTCATAACTTATTTGAACTTGTACTAATTAGGGATCTTTGTGGTACATTCTGTTTCTCAATGCAATTTGTTATTTTTATTGAATTGATAGGTACCCTTGTTCTACCATTGGCAATTTGTTTCACCGTATATGTCATTATATTCGCAATCGTATCCCATCCTACGCCTATTCTTACTTTGGTACTTCTGGCAGTAGTGCTTGGTTTACCTGGTTTACTTGTTGTTGTTACTGCCACTAGATGGTCTTACTTAATGTGGATGGCGATATACATCTGTGCTCTGCCTATTTGGAATCTGGTTTTGCCTTCATACGCTTATTGGAAATTTGATGATTTCTCTTGGGGTGACACAAGAACAATTGCTGGTGGTAATAAAGTCAAGGAAGCTGAAGAAGGTGAGTTTGATCACTCTCATATCAAAATGAGAACTTGGAGAGAATTCGATCGTGAGGAACGAATGACGGCAGAAACCAGTGGCATCGACGTTGATCCATCTAAATATATTTGAAATATTGCTGTATTTTAATACGTGCATAATATTTTTTATTATATGAAACTACAATGTAAATAAATCAGTACTGCATTAAATAATTTATTATTTATAATATTAAACCATACTCAATGTGTTTCATAAATTACACAAGTTATAACTGATAAACAGTGAATTCCATCTTTCCTTTGAAACTTAATAGTTCTTGTTCAGTTAACTCCCAAGGGACTCCAAAAATACCACTGTTTATCATTGGCATTTCTAATTTATAATTGTTGAGTTGGCTGACCCCACCATATTTGGTAACGGCGTCTGGAATATTGATGAGGTTGTACATATCTTCCAGGGCGTCTTTTGTGTATTTCAATATACTTTCCTTTGAACCATGACCTGAACCACCTAAACTAGATGTAAAGAGACAGGCAATTATCAGATTATCCTCAGAGTAACTTGGGATTAAGACACATTTACCTAACAGATCAGATCCACTTTCTTCACATATTTGTACGTAGTCCCTTTCACTATGAGGATAACGAATCGACATTTGGTAAGCTATACCACCGCCCCATGACCCATCACAATTACAAGAATGAATTAATATATGTGGGTAGTTTTTTAATTTTAATATATTACCTTTTATATACTGTAAATTGGACATCTTGACCGTTGTTTCCACTACTTTTTTTCATTATGTTGTACAGGTTCCCTAAAGAAAAGTTACGAATTACGTTTAGTTTATATAATTTCTCACTTTTAGTTTTCAACATAAATGCTACAAAACTTTAAATTTAACTCGAAATGGTAAACAAAAAAATGATAGTGATAATCTTTTATAGAGGGCTAACATAGGTGGTTTAGAATTTTTTCAACAGTTCTGAAATCACTTATAAGATTCGAATCTAAGCTTCATACCAATGGTACTTTAACAGCATCATAGTACAAATATCCCAACTTAATACTCTATTCTCCTTTTGAAGTTCAATAGGAGTTAGTTAAAGTTAAATAATTTATATGAGGTATCGTATATTGAATTATTTAAATGTGATAATGTACAGAAGAAAAATATATGAATAAAGTCTTACTAATTATGGTTCGCCATTATATATTGAAAATTATTTGTCTTTATGGAATGGGTTCAAGTTTTGAATACCCCAAGATCCCGTTTCTTCAGATTTGTGTGTATAACTAACAATCATACGGAGGTATTTCATGAATAAGAAACCCATTGAACCAACTACTCTAAAGATGGAGAGTGCTGCAACAGACCATAAAATGAAGATCAAGTACCCATTATTGGTCTCTTGTGGATCGAAGATCTCAATTATAGACATAATCAAAATTAAGTTGGATAGCATCCAGAACATAACAATTCTAGTTCTGATATCTCTGTAATAATCGTTACGTTTTTCTCCTTCATCAACCATAACAATTTCGACCTCTGGCTCCTTTAAACGACTTTTAATTTCCAAATATTTTTTATCAACCTCTTGTGGCCAGTCAGTCTCCACAATCTGCTTGCCATCTGGACCTTGTAAGACAATCGCCTTGGATAATTGCTTAGAACCTCCGGTAGAACCTTTTGTACCCCAAGAGACATCATGAGTATTACAAAAAGCATAAATTTGTAGAGTACATGTGAAGGCTGGTAGTGTAATAAAATATTGAAGTGAAGATGTAAATATGTGCCATGGATCTAAGTACATGAAGGAAGAAAAGATGTAGCAACCATATGTAGATAGCATAGAGACAACAATATTAACAAATGCCGAGTGAGATTCCTCCTTTAAGACCAATGACCTAATAGCAAATGTAAAACCACATATTAAAGAATATAATGCACATATAGTCAAAATAACCATGGATGTAATATATAGATGTTTACCACCCTGAGGTCTATTACCCATAGAGATAATAAACAAACATGCTAAATCACAGAATATCAAATATTTTAAGAATATGAATAGTGCCTCACCATGCTTTACTACTTCGTTAAGGGAACCAGCTAGATAATAGAAAGTCAGTACGAAATTTGCAATTGAGAACCAGGAAAATAACATTTGAATAAGTTGATACGCAAATTCAATTTGTAAAAAGAATAGCCTTGTAATAGAATGTTTCGTCTTCCAAATTTGGAAGAAATGTAGCTGTGCGTACAAAGCAGCAAACATAGCACCATTCAACCAACGTCTTCTTTGTGAAATGAATTCAGGGATATCTTCAGGAACATCAGTGGCACCAGTAGCTTCTTTGACATACTTTAATACCCATTTTGCGTCTCGTTTAGCCACTAATTCCCAACATAGAATTCTATCTTCAGCAAGATACATATTAGCAGTAAACACGTCATGATCTCTACCTTCTTGAGTTTCCCCTAAGAAATAAGAGTGTAGTGGACCAGTACCATCAGCATGATTTTGAAGAGCTCTATATCTATATGCTGATAAAGCACCTGGCAAGACTGAAATATAACCAAACAAACTTTCTAAAGGCTTATCTAAAATATTTGATATTTTATATTCAAAATTCTGGGATGCAACCAGAGGATTAAATAATTTTAGACCGTATTTACCTTTAATGGTTTTAATTTGACCAGCGGCACCTGCAACATTTGAGTCATTGTCAAATGCTTTCCATAAATGATAAACTGCAGTATGGTTAAGTTGAGTACCAACATCCACTAGAGTTACAACTGTTGGCTGTAATACGGGACAGAAAGCATTTAGTAACCAACGGTGGGAATTAATCTTTTTCTTGTTTTCTTCTTTTAAACAAAATACTAATTGAACAGGAACAATATCTTTGGAAACATAATCTAAGTCAGCGTTAATTGAAATTTGAGTGGTAAGTTCAAAAATATGGGCTTTCACCTGGTCACCATTGACAGATGCTTTGGCCATATCTTCTTGGTATACACCAAGAGCAGCCAAATAGTCCAAAGCCCCTTGATTGACTTTACTTCTACCATCACTAATTAAGATAACTGAAACTTTTTTCCAACCGTCAGGACCCCACACCTGGGATCTCTTACGGAGACACAAATGTGTTACATTCTTCATTATCGAATGTAATGTTCTTGCCAAAGCATATTTGTCTTCGTTGTACATTGTGACACAAACAACAATTTGACATTCACGGTTCATCTCTGCAAACCTCAAGGAGTAACCTTCATTTTGAAATTCATCAGGATCTACTGTACATGCAGTATATCTCATTTCAGTAAACTCTAATTTATCTCTTCTTGGTAGCGTGTTCAATAACCCTCGAGGTATTGGATTATCCAATTTTAAGATTGCTTTCTTTAAAACCTCATTAGTAGCAGGTCTTCTTTTACTCTCTGAATTAGCACGTCTAACATAATCACGACGAACTGGGTGATTTAGTTCGAATTTAGTCTCTGTAAATGTGTCACTGGAGAAAACAGTAGAGTTATCATCGAAGGATTTACGGAATTTTTCTTCTGAATCGAATGATGATCTTACTTCTGTACTTGAAGTTGAGACTGTTTTTTTGGAAGATCTAGAATAATTTCTGTTAGTTTGATTCTGATAATTCAATGAATTCGTCGAAGAATGGTAGTCGTTACCCATGTCTACATTATAGCTACGGGCCATATTATTGATCGATAAATCATCTTCATCATCAGGGTATGAATGGTTAATATTTGGTAACTGTCCCTCATTCTTTCTGGGTAATTTTTGTAAGTTATCTGTATAGCGTTCAGGTAGTGGGGATTGTTTAATAGGACTTTCACTAAACTGTAATACTACATCATTACCTCTTCTAGGAGATTCATTTAAGTTGGTTGCATATCTGCTATTACTAACTGGTGTACCATGGTTACTGTCACGATAAAATTGAGATCTATGGCGACGGTCTGGAGAGTATCTCATTGCAGCTCTTGAGGGTGATTGGGGTATGGCTGGTGGTAAACCTTGGAACTGTTTTGATTGAGAATAATCATCATCGTCATCGTATTCATCATACATATTGTTATAAGTATTTCTATTCGGACTAGCCATACTTCCATCATATGAACTACTGTTATTTGTAGTGAATCTTGTTAGACCGGGTCTTTGTGGGGACTTAGTTGGCGATCCATTAGATGATTCTACCATAAATGGATTTCTAGTCATGACGAATTATTTTAGAATATTACGTCTTATTTTCGCTGGATTGACACTAACGAGAAAATGTATAAGTATCAAATACCAGAGATTGCAATAATATAATTACTTGAAATTAATCGTTTATTTTGTTAATTGAATGCAATATTTCTTTTAACAGTTTTCTATATAAATTCCTTATGAAAGGGATGTCAGCAGTATATAAAAACCTAACTGTGTCTTAAAACATCCATATATATAATATATATATATAAATAAATAAAGAAGAGAAAAGTTCTAGTATACATTTATAAATACATCAATTCCTAACTGGTTGAATCAAACAACAATACAGGAGCTTAGAATTTCCAACCCCCTCCAGCAAGACTTGAATGCCTAGCCTCAAATGAACTTCAATGTATAACCTATTTGGGACTTCAAATTGTTTTCAACTAATAATTCAATCTGATTACCCAATTCGGAAATATGTAAACAATCTCGATGAGTTTTGAAAAGAAAAACAAACATTGCGGTGGTGGTTACCCGCATTTATACAATTTCTAATCACGTGATACTTCATTAGAAATTAGGGAAGGACGTACATAACAATTGAAGTAAAAGTCTCACTGATCATTAGACAATTGTTTACTGATATTCTCACAATTGATCAAGATTTTTCAGCTAGATATTGTTAAATTTTATGAAGAAATATAAATAATTTATGTCATAGCAATAGGGATAATTAAAAATATAGGCGGCTCTTCATATCTCAATAGGACAATGAAAAGTGTCACAATATTGTTTGTATCTGCATTAATATAATTTCTTATTATGTGGAATTGAACAGAGAAGCTTTTTGTTATGCAGAAGACTGAAGTCGCTATAGTGTTTTAGGGTTGAGAACATTCAGACCGCGGTCTGAAAAATAAAACCCTAATTAGCTCAAGCATACCTAACAAAAATTTTATAAGCAATGTCACCATCCCTTAATACATAGTAACCCAATTTAATTCTGCGGTAACATATATGAAGTTTAACTAAAAACAAAATTGAAATATCAATTATCTCTTTAAATTAGTATAAGTAACAGTTTTGATTGGAATATACTGTGTCAAATACAATTTTTTTATTGATCGAGAAATGTCTGCATTATTATTAAAGTCCTTTGCAACAAGATCTCTGGTAAGGTCTACATTAAGATTTGAACAAAAAGCACTCTTTTCTTATTCAAGAAGCGTACTAATAACCAAGAGGCCAACCATCGAAGATGATATTCTTAAAGATATTGGAAACATTTCGTTAAGTAGTATTAAAATTAACAGAGATATTTCTAAAGGAACTCAAAGTAAAGCTGGGGAGCAATTAAAACACGTTGAGACAATTGATAATGTCTTTCAATTTAGTACATGGAAAGGTGCAGCAGTGATAAGTATAATTGCAGCAACAAGTTACTATTTTATTAAAAAGGAGAAAGGAAGATTGGAAATTGAAAAAGAAGCTGAAGCAAATAGACCTGTCGTTGGTGGACCATTCGAGTTAATGGATATGAATGGGAATAAATTTACAGAAAAGGATCTTTTAGGTCATTTCACTATTTTATATTTTGGGTTTTCTCATTGTCCCGATGTTTGTCCCGCAGAGTTAGATAAATTAGACATTTGGTTAGGGAAATTAGAGAAGACTCAGAAGGAGAAAATACAACCATTGTTCATCACATGTGATCCAACTAGAGACACCCCAGAGGTTCTAAAGGAATATCTGAAGGATTTCCATTCTAGTATCGTGGGTCTAACCGGTACGTATGATCAGATCAAAGAAATGTGCAAGACTTATAAAGTATTCTTTTCTACCCCTCGGGATGCTAACCCAAAGAGCGATTACATTGTAGATCATTCAACGTTCTTTTATCTGTTAGATCCCGAAGGGAAATTTATTGATGCATTAGGTGATCTCTATGATGAGCAGGAGGGTTTTGATAAGATTCAAGCTCAAATCAATGCATATTTACCACAAGCAGAGCGTCAAAAGAGAATGAACAGATGGTATTCTTTTCTATTGAAATGATATAAAACTGAAGAACACAATCTATAGACACCTGTTGCTTTTAATGTAAATGAATCTGTAAATAAAAAATAAATAAATACTTAAATTTTTTTTATGGTTGGTTCTTATTAAAATATTTCTTTAAGATCAAAATATATGGAAAATACAAAATAATTGCTATACAAAATTAGATAAACTTGATGAAAAAACTAAATCTTTTAATTTTTCCTTTCTTCTTTCAAAATCTAGTTCTTACCAGCACCGGCTCTAAAGTAGATAACATCACCGTCTTCAACGACATAGTCCTTACCCTTTTGTAGGACTTTACCAGCTGCCTTGATAGCTGCATCATCCTTGTATTGAACGACATCATCGTACTTCATAACTTGAGCTAAGATGAAAGTGTTCATTAGATCGTTGTGGATAACACCAGCTGCTTGTGGAGCCTTTGTACCTCTTCTAATGGTCCATTCACGAACTTCATCTGGACCACATGTAAAGAAAGAAATCAAATCCAACTTTTGTCTCATGGTGGTAATAATCTTTGGTAAAGCAGGAGCGGCACCAATTTCCTTCAATTCAGCAGCAGCATCTTCTTGGGACATATGAGATAATCTTTCTTCCAAACAGACGGAGAATGGAATAATCATATCACCTGGAGAATGAGTGTCAACCCATTCCTTGATTCTTAACAAATGCTTGTTCTTCTTTCTAATGTAATCTCTTTCAGATAAGTTAATTAAGTAAATACATGGCTTAGCACTTAATAATTGCATACCGTTAATAATTTCAACTTCCTTGGAGGTCCAAGTTTGGTTAGCAACTCTTTGACCGTCCTTCAATAAAGCAATGATTCTTTCAATTAAAGCACATTCTTCTTTCATTTGCTTAACTTCTAAGGATTGACCACCTCTCTTAGCAATCTTATCAGCAGCATCATAAGCCTTCTCACAGAATTCAATATCCTTTAGACCCAATTCGGTACTAATAATTTCCAAATCACGAACTGGATCGACATCACCTTCAATATGAATAATTTCAGCATCATCGAAACAACGAACAACTTGATAAATGGAATCAACAGCTCTAATATGAGACAAGAAAGCGTTACCTAGACCTTCACCAGCAGAGGCACCTTTAGTTAGACCAGCAATATCGTAAACAGTCAAATGAGCTGGGACCTCGGAGGCAGATTTGTAATCTCTACACAATTCGTTGAATCTTTCAGATGGAACAATAACACGAGCTTCTTCTGGATCAATGGTAGCAAAAGGATAGTTAGCTGGGTTACCTAGAGGAGATCTAGTAATAGCTTGAAAAAAAGTAGATTTACCAACGTTAGCTAGACCAACAATACCAGCCTTTAGATTGTTACCTGGACGACCCAATAGGACCTTCTTTTCTTCAACGACTTTCTTTGGAGGCATTTTCTTCTTTTTTTTTTAACTTATAAATATTTCAATATAATTGAATGTATATCTATCTGTCTATATGATATTTATCAATTAATATATAAACGAATATAACAAGATAGTAGAAAATTCCTTTTATTAATAAATAGAATCTATATATATAATAATAATAAAGTTAGTAAAACAATTTCACACATACATTTTACTATTATATTATTAAATTTCATAACATCAAACAAACTATTGCCTATTAATTCGGCGAGTTTGCAACCTTCAAACTTACGAATATTAAACGCAACAACGATAGAATTCAAATTAGCCCAAATTAGCCCAAATTTCCATTAAGGCCACTCCAATTGCCCAAGGCCCACCAAAGTCATCGTCCTCACAAAAAATTTTTCACTTCACAAAATGAACAAAATCTGCTTCTTCTCCCTGCGCGCTCTTCGCTTCCCGTCAAAAACTGAAAAACTTTTTTTTATTTTTTTTCGCTGAAAATTTTTCTTTTCTTTTCTTTCTTGCGGGAGCTGTACAGCGTCGTGCCGAGTGATTATGTAGCGGCGGGAGCACGTGATCTCGGCGGTCTCTGGGTCTTACAACTGCGACTCTTTTCTCAGTGCTTACATAACGTGCGTACCATCCACCATTGCTAGATCAGACAATGGTGTCTTCTAGCATGTGGACGATACAGGCTTATGTTGCAACGAAGTTGCAACATAGTAGTGTCTTGTGAAGGGACGCACTGACGATTAGTTCATCAAGTCTGTACGCACCACCGTCCACCCCAGTAGCAACCATTTTATCTATATAACAGTTGGTATATATATATACATCCATCTACACCCATCACAAACCTGTGGTCCAGGTTTGTGTAACAGCAATACCCTGGCAGCAGCATCTTATATCCCACCAATTAATTGTATCAGGACCCTCTACCACCATAGAAAAAAATGTCGTCATTTTCTCACTGTTTCTCGCGTTATTTATGGTAGTGGGCTCCGGGGGTGGGGTGGTCAGAACGACGCGGTGCCTCTCCTCGAGATCTGTCTATGTAATCATTATTATTATTATTATTATTATTGTTATTGCTATTTTGCCATTGTTATATTTAAGAAACAGTTTGAATACGAAGACTACACCTATATCTGAAGTATAGTACTGTGATTCCCCTTCAATAACAATAAATTACACAATCACTACAATATGTCGATCAGTTACGCATGGTTTGGAGCCGTGTTAGGATACGTTGTACAGACGAAATGTCTTTCCATTATACAATCGAAATTGTTAGTACGAAGTTTAGCCAAGATGAGTTATCAAAATTCAAAGAATCCTCCATCTCGTGAAGAAACAAGCTACATCCTCACAATATATTTGACTTTTATTTATTGTGTATCATTTTTGTTTGTTTTACCTTTGTCTCAATTTATTTGTGATAGAATATCTGCTATACGGATGGAATCCACTATTTCTTCAACTTCTTCTTCTAATGATGATATTGAAACTGCCTTTGGTTCTCACAGTATTGACGACGTGGATCGTTGTAATGATGATAATAATGATAATAATAATAATAATACTGATAGTACTACTACGAATAACAATAGCGCTATGGACATAGAAGATTCTGCATTTGAAATGAATTTATTAAATGATGCTTCTATGCCTCCTCCACGCAATATAGTTATTGCACATAATATGACACGTAGAAATGATCATAATACGGTAACGTATTTAGGAAAACTTATAGTATTAGCATTTTGCCTCATTGTACCAATCTTCACTTATAACTACGCATTATCGTTATCCCCAGCGTTTGATGTTTCTTTGATACAAAATACAGCTGTATTTGAAATAGTTTCCTTGTTGCTGGGTGTTTGTAACATTTCACGTAAACAAAGTCTCTTTAAGAATTTTTTGGTGATGATGAGTGCATTAATTGGAATTTTAATCGTGTCATATACTAAAGCTACATGTGATTTATTATCAGGAAAACTCTCCATCAATAAACATACAGGCGAAGTTGCCGATCCATTCTTATTTGATAGATTAAAGGCAGGTTTAATTTGTGGTCTTGGTTCATTGTTATTAGGTCCATTTGCTGTATTATGGCATCGTTGGTTTGGTTTGACTAATACACATTCTCTAATGGGGAAACCATGTATAGAGAAGTATTTGTTCAGACAAAGTACTCACGTGTCTTTAATTGGTACCATATGTATCTTTATGCTTCTACCATTCATTCCAAATTTAGCTAATTCATTCCAAATCATCTCATACCTATATATGGATAAATTCTTTTGGGTGACAATTATGGGATCTATCTTGTTTGGTACATTACCAAACTTATTCTCAATCATTATCCTAACAAATGAATACTCACCAGAGTTTATCACAACTTGTAACTTGGGTGCAATCGTGTTTATGGGATTAGCCGATTGGATTACAGAACCGGGACAAACCACTGTCATACAATGGGAAGTCATCGGATACATGGTTCTTGCATCAAGTTGTATCTATTTATCCATCTCCCTCAAATGATATATATACATACACAAGGTTTGTTTTCTCTCTATAGACATACATACATACATACATATATACATGCATATATTACCTCTTACGAACTTTTTTTTATTAGCATTATCAATTATTGAATCTTCGTTTATTTTTTGTGTAGAAATTTTAATTTACATTAAGTGTAATATATACATCTATATATATATATCCATATATACTAATCCCATTTCAATACTACCACCTTCTTTTTACCATTTGTGGAGTTGATACCTCCTTGAACCAATTTCAATACATCATCATCATTAAATTTCTCAGTGTCCCAAGATAATGTCTCGATATCTTCCTTAGGGGATACGAATTCGCCAGCCTCATACAGATTAATCAAGTCATGGACAGTGTCCACCTTTCTTTGTGGATTCTTCTTATTCAATTCAGTAACCCAATACCCAGCAGATGTGATATTCTTAAAGATCATTAAAGAAGTTGGAAGTGTCACAGGTTGTTTTGACATACCACCATAAGTTAACATTAATCCGTCTTTTTCCAATTTTCTAGCAATTGAAGAACTCGATTTACCACCAACAGAGTTCAAAGCAAGTCTAATACGCGCATCTTTACCTAAAATTTGTGGTAACTCTTGCTTACCGAAGACTTTATCATTATTTTGAGATTCTGAAATAACTTTTGTTGTACCAAATGTATTTTCTAACATCTTAGCCATCTCATTAAATTGTTCCGGTGTCTTACGATCCCTAACAACACTTAATGTCTTAACATTGTTGACTTTAGCAATCTGAGATACCATCTTTGATACGGTAGAATTCCCTGCATTCTGTATCAACCAATTATTTTCATTTCTTTTCCAATCCACAAAATCATTCACTAATTGATATGCAGTGACACCGTTCACTCCAATTGTTGCAGCAGTAAATAAGTCCAATCCATTTACTTTAATTAATTGAGATTCATCATAGAAGACTTGATAATTAGTCCATGTACCAGTATTTGCCATTGTAGGAATAACCCAGTCTCCTTTCTTCAAGTTTTGAAATCTGTTTGGTACATGAATAACTTCATAGACACCTTCATTACCAGCAATCGCAGCAGGTTGTAAGGTCTGGTAATTCAATGATTTATTCGGTAGCGATGGATAGACACCTTGTAACTGATTGATATCTGAAGGGTTTATCGGAAATGCTAACATTCTCAATACAATAGAATTTTCTATCTCTTGGATAGGTTTATAGTTCTGTAAACTTAAGATAGATGCACAGTCATCGACATTATGGCTCGAATATACTAAAGATTTGAATAAACCAGGTAAACTTGCCATATTTCTCCTTATAACTATAGGGGAGAAAGTAGAAACAGCAGCAGCAGAAGACACACTTTTAATCTTTGTAAGGTTAGATAAGCTATTTTTAACTCCAAACATATTTAACTAAATTTAATTTCAGTAAAAGAAAAAAGAATTCTAGTAAAACAGGTTTAAAACTCTCGACGTAATGATCTAGAAACTAATAAATATAAAAATAGATGTGTTCACGGTCTTTTATATATATTTTCACAACGAAAGAATTATAGTATATTGGAGAAACTTTCCCTAAATAATTAGTAATCAATAGTATTTTCCCCACAATTACTTCTTATGGAGTCCGAAAGTGAGGTTCTTTATATATATCATGAATACCTTAATTTATACCCCATGTGTAATAGCTTAATAGCTTCAATAATGGAAATAGTCATTAGATTCAACGATCGGCTATGCAAGAATACCGACCGAATAAGAGTTTCCCGGAAACGTAATTGGAGAAAAATGGCGGTCCATCTTAGTCAAATACGCAGAAGATAGCGTAGAAAATGATGGACAATAGAAAAAGAACATGAAGAAAATAGCACGTGATACGACTTAGGGTTTCTATTGTACAGAAGTAGGGCTACATAGACACATATACGTTATAGAGTAATAATATTATATAAGAAAGAGTGATGAACATTAGACAAACTAACGAGGTTATCATCGGGAAAGAATATGATCTTAAAGAGTTTTTTTGTCTCTCTGTTAGACCTTTTCTTATCTTTTGATTGTTCTTAGTTATGTTAGTCAATGCACTCCATTGTGGTTAGTGAATGATGCAACCTTCTCTCTTTTTAAAGCAAATGTATTTTGTCAAAAAGAAAGAAAAAATAATAAAAAGAGAAGAGGATGTTTAGTAATAAAATAAGTGACAGAGAAGTAGAGATATCTTTTTTTGTTTTAAAATAAAAAAATAATTTGAAACTGAAATTAAAAAATTGAAATTAAAACAAATTTAATTAAATCTTGCTTAAAATTTCGTTTTCTTTCGTTATTGTTTCAGATCTTCTCCTCTATTTCTTCAAACCACTTCTCATGTATCTACCGACAACAATACAATGGTCTCTTTCATAAGGTTCCAAAGTCAATTGTTCTAGAGGCTTGATTCTTTCTTCACGCAACTTTTGGACTTCTCTAGCGAAAACGGTTTCGGCATCAACAGTAGAATCGATACAGTTAGCCTTGATGGAGATGACGACACCACCTTGGTCCTTCAAGAACATGTGGGAGTTTAATGCAATGATACGGGCTTGATCCGGTTGAGCAACATCCGCAAACACACAGTCGACCATACCGACCAACATTCTGTACTTTTGTGGGTGTCTAGCATCCTCAATGATTGGAATGATATTTGGTCTCTTCTTGGCCATAGAGATCAATTCTCTACCTGGTCTGTGAGAGAACTCAACAGCGTAGACAACACCTTCTGGACCGACAACATCGGAGACATGGGAGACGGAAGTACCGGAAGCGGCACCTAGATATAGAACCTTCTTACCTGGGGCAATGAACAATTCGTCTAGACCACCCATGATACCGGCAGCCAACTTGGATCTGAAAGGATTCCAAACACGGTATTCAACCTTAGTTGGTGGGACACCATCTTCCTTAGATGGTTCTTCAACAGAAATTCTCTTTTCACCGTAGACAGATTCACCTGGAGCCATATTCTTAGTGACCAATAAATCTTCTTTACCTCTAGCAATGTAGACACCGGCATGCTTATGTGGTTCAATGACGACCTTAGCACCACCTCTGGCACCACCACGAGCACCACCTCTGGAGCCACCACGGCCACCACGGTCACCGAAGCCACCTCTGGAACCACCACGGCCACCGAAGCCACCTCTGGAGCCACCACGGCCACCGAAACCACCTCTGGAACCACCACGGCCACCGAAGCCACCTCTGGAGCCACCACGGCCACCACGGTCACCGAAGCCACCTCTGGAACCACCACGGCCACCAAAGCCACCTCTGGAACCACCTCTGCTACCTGGTCTGAAAGACATTGTTATTTATTAGATCTGTTTTTTATGGACTTGTTCCTAATATGTATATGAGTTATTCTAGTGAATACAAAACTATTACTATTTGAATGGTAGTAACAATATCAGCAAAATCAGAATACTTGGAGTCTTTATCAATTATAAATATTAAAAGATATGAAAACGTATAGCAATAATAACTCTTTTATATATATATAAGTAGTTGAAGTTAGTTAAAAACTAGTTTAAATAAGAAGAAATTAATTAAATAAGAAATGAACAAGCTCGATGACCACTGAAAATTTTTTCTTCTCCTCTATTTCTTTTGCTCCTTGCCCTGCTCATCTCTTCTTTCTTCACAGATTTTTATCATGTTGAAAAAAAGCGAAAGCAAAAAAAAAATTTGAGAAAGAAAATTTTTCACTGAAAAATTTCTTCGATGAGATCATGATGCACGGAACATTCACGTGATGCACAACTAATATCACTGTTCACGAAATAAATTTCAAAAGTGATTCAAAGTACCGTTACCTAAACAATGCGGGAATAACGATACCCTGAAACTGACACCCAACCAATGCCTGGAGAGAGAGAGATAGATGGAAAGGAACATCATTAAAATCAAGATATATATAAGATTGCAAGAACCAAAAACTTTCTTCTTTATATGGTAGTTAATTGTATTTGAGTTGAAGTTCACAAAGAGGTAATATTGAGGAGAACATTATATATTTTCTGTCTGCTAACAATGGTCGCCGTGAAATCACGTTCAAAATCCCTAAGGGATACAGAAATTGCTATCAACAAGAACTCTACATTGGAGTCTGTTTTAATTGCAATCTCTAAAAACAATAAAGGTATCAGCAAGTACAGATTAAGAGTTACGTACTTGAAGGAATCTAAGCAAGTTCCAATTACTGAAGAATCATTTTTTAATGAGGGTAACAACAAGGACATCGAATTGTTTGTAAAGGATCTAGGCCCTCAAATATCATGGCGTTTAGTCTTCGTTATCGAGTACTTGGGTCCATTGCTAGTTCATTCACTTGTCTACTATCTATCATTGAACCCTAAATTTATGGCTAAATTTGGTACTAGTAAAATAAATAATGTCGATCCTGCTTTAAACAGAATTGCCTTCTTTATGGTTATGGGTCATTATTTGAAACGTGAAATTGAAACTTTGTTTGTTCATAAGTTTACTTTGGCCACTATGCCTTTGTTCAATGTGTTCAAGAATTCTTTCCATTACTGGATTCTAAATGGTATAATCGCCTTAGGTTATCTTGGTTACGGTTTCGTGGTTCCAAATTGTTGTTATGAAAAGACTTTAAATTACGTCGGTTTAAATAACTTGAATACTTTAGTGAGTCTATTTGTTCTCAGTGAAGCATGGAATGCTTATATTCATATTAGATTAAGAATCTTTGGTGATCAACAAAGAAAGATTGGTAACAATACGAAACGTGTTCCAATCTCTACCGGTATTTTCAAGATCTTTGTTGCTCCAAATTATACTTTCGAAGTTTGGAGTTGGATTTGGTTCGCTTTAGCTTTTAAATTAAACTTATTTGCCGTATTCTTTGTTACTGTATCTGCTACTCAAATGTACCTATGGGCTATGAAAAAGAACAGAAGATACGGTACCAAGAGATCCTTCATCATCCCATTCATCTTCTAGAAAGAAAACAGTCAATGCATTCGGGCTTGAAAAGATTTTTTTGTTCACTGGAATGTATAAATATTTTTATTTTATATACATCCCCCTATCTATTAGGAATTGATTATGAGTTTTTTTTTGTTATGTGTTTTTTGTATGCAAGAAATAATATATATATATATATATTATGATTCAAATTATGTAATCTATTCATCAGGAATCAGTATCACGTCGTTGTCAATTAATTCATCTTCACTAGAACTGACAACATCGTCATCATCAGTGCTTTCAATCTCTGTATTGACATCTGACTCTGACATTTCATTAAAGAAAGCACTTTGTAACAACTCTGCAGCTGAGGACCGTTTACGTGGATCCATCTCGAAACATTGTTCCAACACTTGGAAGCACCAAAAATGATCAGTCCACAATTCGTCATGATATCTCTTGACATCATACATATTCAAAGTAGAACCATCTTTTAGACTACGGGCTTTACCGTCAGACATCTGTGGCTCAATGGAGTCTCTTTCATATAGTTCTTGACGTAGATAACTGTGGGTTTCAAATGCCACACTGTACTCTGGGAATGTACCTGATTCACATTCCTTATTTAACAGTTCATATACAAACCCCTTTAATCCATGAGGATAAGCATCTTCTCTAAGGTAATGTAACCCACTGATATCAAAGCCTAAACCATGCAAAACCGCACAACTACGAATATTTTTGGAACCAAAAACTGCGCATAATTCCAATAGAGAATCTGTATCGTCCAAACTCTGGAACATTGGAAATCGTCTAGCCAATAAACTTAATAAGATCACACCAACTGACCATATATCGATCTTCGTTGTTTGAGAACTACATTTCATTAATACCTCTGGGGCACGGAACCCACGAGTACCAGCTCTATTAGCTCTTTTCACTCTACGAGTTTCATTCTTAGGGTAACCTTTAGTCAGATCAACACCATTTACATTACTGGAACGTACAACTTTCCCGTCTTGAATAGATAATACACCACCATTGTTTTGAACTACATAAGATGCAGTAAAATTATCTAGAATACATGGACAGAAATCTTCTTGAGTTCTTAAATTTTTCATTGATTGTGATGAATCTACTACACCTGTTAGATTTTCTTTCATTAATGCTGCTTGGTCTAAAGTATGGGTATTAAGATAATCAACTTGAGTCTCTGCCAAACCAAAATCCACAAGGACACCTCTACCTAATTCTGGATTAAATAAAAAATTCGTTGGCTTAATATCTCTATGGATTATACCATGAGAATGAACAAACTTTAAAGCTTGTAGTAGTTCCCACATATACATCTTAATACCTTTGATAGGGAGATCTCTATAAAAATTTCTAAATTCTTCGTGAGGATAATAAGGTAACACTGCAATGACTTGATCTCGTATCCTAGAGGCATCACATAAAGGTGCTACACGATTGGAACTATTCAACATATATAATAGATTTAATTCGTTGTAGATACGTTGAGGCGATGAGGTCACATAAATCTTCTTCAATGCAACATATTTTTTACCATTAGCTTGAGGCCAAAAATGGGTATTATATTTAGAAGTAACTTTACCTCTGATATCCTTAGCTTTGTACACGGTCGAGAATGTACCTTCACCGATCTTATCGAAAATATCATAACTAGACTTTAATGTTGGGACATCATGATATAACTGAGCAATTTCCTCTTGGATTTCTGCTGGAATCGATGGATTTACAAGCGCGCTCATGATTGACTTCGATTTCGATGGATAGTCTTAGGTAGCTTTAATATATATCGTCAGTATTATAATATCTAGATTCCTATAACATATATGTTACTGCTTTCTTATGTGTAAGAATAAATATTATTTTTTTGTTTCTCTGATTTGGAACACCTTTTTCTGATTATTACATCAATGGTGTGTATGGGGGTGGGGTGTAAACAAATAATAGCAAAAACAAAGCAAAACGAAAACACGATATGAAGGAAGAGGCTACTAAAAAACAGGTCGAAAAACACAGTAATTAAACAAGAACAGTATGACACAAGATGGGCATATATCTGCACTAATTCTATTATTATAGTGTATATATATGTATATTTACTTATTTCACAAACAGATAATGTTTATAATCAAATAATCAACTACAAAGCGCAGTTGCGATGAACTTTGCACGCGACCATAAACTGAGGTATAACTTGCACTCCATTGAAAGTGAACAAGATGTAGTCGATTATGTCTCCAATCACTAATTCAAGACCACACCATTTCTTGGTGAATAAGACAGGCGAATGCGCCTCTGCCTGTCCACACTTATATATATATATATACATAAATCAATAAATCAAGAAGTAAATACAGCTTTCGTTCCTTTTCTTTGCGCTTTACGTGTAACATTTTCCAAAATTTTTTTCATCAAGAGAGAGATGAGACGCGGACGGACAGAGAAGGAGAGGATACACGACATGTAATTCTGTTAGCAACTGGCAAAGGGTCACACGAGAAACAATAACAAACATTCCATAATGGAAAGAATTTGTAGGTTAGGTACTTTAAGATTTAAATAATTCACGCTCAATATTCCTATATCAAAACAAGATAACCAAACAAACACATAAATATGAAATTGAGCAGTATTCTATTGTCGACATTATCTGCGCTTTCTCTAAGTCAAACCGTGGCTAGTACTCCATTAACCTTTGAATTGAAGAAAGGTCAAGATGAATGTTTTTATACTTTGACCTCTGATATCGATTGTGATATCACATATTATTTCTCTGTTCAAGATGCTCCAAAGAATGATTATGAGATCGGTTATAAGATCTATGGACCAGCTAACCATCAACAACCTATTATTGAGAGATCTAACGAACGTCAAGGTGAATGGGAATTCTTAGGTGATGATAAAGGTGAATATAAATTCTGTTTCGAAGGTGGTAAACACGGTGATAAAATTGTTGATTTCGAGATCAAATACGACTGTAAACAAAACAATGATGCCAGATCTAAGAATCGTGAAGAGAGAAAGAAATTAAGAAACTTGAGAGAAGTAAAGACTGATGCTGAGGATCTACAGACGACTTTAGATGATTCTATTGACAAAATTGAAAGACAATTGCACATGTTAGAAAGTAACATGAATTATTACCTAACAAGAAACAGTAGAAACCATCTAACTGTGAAATCTACTGAAAGTAGAATTGGCTGGTTCTCCATGTATGGCATTCTACTAGTGGTTGGTATGAGTGCTGCTCAAATCTTAGTCCTACAATGGTTCTTCAAACAATCCAGAAAGAATAGTGTCTGAGGCATGGTCCTTGGTTTGCTACTATGCATTTGGCTCAAATATAATTATATATATATAAATATAATGTAATATGTTACATTTAACATAATAGATACATCATTTTTAAACATCTAAATCCGCACTCATTGATAATAAAAGAATCATAATGTCATTGAATTGAATAATAGCTATAAAAGTATGTATATGTATATGTATGCTGCAGAACACCTATGAGATAGAAACAGAGTTCAAGTTATCCAGGTATTTAATTTACCTAGAAGATCATCAACTTGTGTGAAGACAGGTGTATATAGATGTGCAATATATGGATGCAACGAATCATTTTTAGTGTTAGAGGGTTCAGTTAATAATGATGACAAACTTTGACTATCTGTCTTACAGTTTCCTATACTTGCAGATGACTGTAGTAAATATTTATCCGATGAAGATTGTGATGAAGATTGTGATGTAGATTCTGGGAATACAGAAAATTTTAAGGGTTTTATAATATCTTCTTCTTTATCTTCATCATCATCATCGTCATCTTCATCATCATCATCGTCATCATCATAATCATTATCAAGATCTTCTAACACGTTTTTCACCTGGACACTACTTAAAGTGTCATTCGCATATGAGACTACTTCACTAAAGCTCACCGATTTGTTTCCGTTTTTATAATTTTTCAACTGTTGATGATTAGGTCCATAACGAATTTGATTAAGTAATGCTTGTTCATTCTTCCAGGAATTCAACCGAGCTAATCTCTCACAAAATGTTTCTAACAATTCTGCAGGGGCAAACCCTATTATTCCATCCTTACACCGTTTAACCAGCCACCAATAAGCATCTTCATCGTTCAACAATATGCAATCTTCATCCTGTGTCAATTGACAATACGATGGATCAGATCCAGTGAATGCATATAGAGCATAAAGTTTATCGGGATCCAATTCCTTTGGTGGCGGCAATGGTTGGTAGAATTCCTCTTCATTCCCAATGCTGTTGTTGTTACTATCTACACCATGTGGCGTTGCCGTATACGATTTTGATTGAACATTTTCCAACATATCTAAATCTGAGTTTGAACCAGACTCAGAGACTGCATCCTCCAAATCATCTGTATTATAATTATTTATATCGAAGGAACTATCATGTGATTTATTGCTAACGAATTCTTCTGAATGTGAATGGTTCCAAAGCATTTGAGATATTTCGACATTATCATTTTCATCGAGCGTCAATTGATCGACACTAGGACTATGTGACATCTCACTCATACAAAAAAAAAGAAAAGGATTCCTTTTCTGTGAAATAAATAGATCGTAAACGTTAAGATACTGTGAAAACTATCAAGTATCTATCATCCCATACTTTTAATTGTACAAATCAATGAACCCCTAATCTAGAAATGTGACTATCAATCCATTAAGAACTTTAATCATTGAAAATGTCAACAAATTCACCGGAGCTTACTCGAATAATTCAAATTCATACGGTTTAACGCGTGTAGCTGGGGTGTATGGGTGGTCAGAGAGTTCCCTCACAATATTTCAATTTACTCCAGCATATATTCAAATTATAAAATGACATATATATAAGTGGTTTAATTTAAAATATAGGTTACTTCTTAAAAAGAGAAGATACAAGCTAATAATGATTAGAGATGTTATCTTTGTGTACCTGTCTGTCTGCACATACAAAAGAGGTCATCGAGCCTTCTGTCTGTCTGCTAGTTCATTTCACAGGAGTCAATTTTGAATATAAAAATCGAATGTATGCGCGTGCGCAATGTCAAGCAAGAATCAATCAATATCAAAGCCTGGTTGTTTGTTGAAAAATTTCATAAGCGATTCTTGACTCCTGCGGAAATTAGTTAACAGGGGACATCTCACGACATCTCCTAATTAATGTTAATATATATATAAAGTGAGGGAAAGTGATAAAGTGGGAGAGTTTTTCAAGTGTCGTATGTCGTCGTTATTTATACAGTCAGTCATAAATATCTACAAACACACACACAAGAGAAAATGGCTATTACACAAACTGAACTGGATGGTATCTTACCATTAATTGCAAGAGGTAAAGTTAGAGATATATATGAGGTCAATTCGGAAGTATTACTATTTGTAGCAACAGATAGAATATCTGCTTATGATGTGATAATGACAAATCCCATCCCAGATAAAGGTATTCTTTTAACCAAATTAAGTGAATTTTGGTTTAATCTTTTAAAAAACGATATAAGAAATCATTTATATCCAATTGCTAGTGGTAAGACCATGTGGGATTATTTACCAAAACAATTAAGTGAAGATAATAAATATAAAGAACAATTAGATGGCAGAGCATTGTTAGTACGTAAATTTAAATTAATTCCATTAGAAGTGATTGTTCGTGGTTATATTACTGGATCTGCATGGAAAGAATATAAAAAACAAGGTACTGTTCATGGTGTATTACAAGAAGATTGTCATATGGATGAATCTCAAGAGTTTAAGACTCCAATCTTTACACCTTCGACTAAGGCCGAACAAGGACAACATGATGAAAATATATCTATAGAACAAGCCGAACAACTGATTGGTAAAGAATTATGCAAACGTGTTGGTGATCAAGCTATTGCCTTATATACTAAATGCAGAGATTATGCTCGTACTCATGGTATAATCATTGCAGACACAAAATTTGAATTTGGTATTGATGAAACTACAGATGAAATCGTACTAGTTGACGAAGTATTAACACCAGATAGTTCTAGATTTTGGAATGGCGCACTTTATACAGTTGGGAAACCACAGGATTCTTACGATAAACAATTCTTAAGAGATTGGTTAACTGCTAACAAATTGAATGGTGTCGATGGGGTCACTATGCCTGGAGATATCGTGACACGTACTAGAGCCAAATATGTTGAGGCTTACGAGGCATTAACTGGTGATCGTTGGTCTCAATAGATTTCATATTGTAGTCATCCATATATAATATATAATAATAATAGTGTGTATAACCCAGAACCCAGAACCCTACACCCTAAACCCTAAACCCTAGCCCTTATACCTTGACGTTGCACCGTCTCCGGCCGATCGGGGAGAATTCCTTTTCCAAAATTCGCGCAGAGAGAGAGAGACTATTTGAGGGTTTGACTGTGTGAGAAATAAAGGAAACAGTGGAAGTGAATGACCTGTCACGGCGTGTGACTCTCATCAACACACACATTATCTGCTCTGTTTCTATAATATTACGTACAAGATAATGATATTAAGAGAGGAACCTCGATAGTGGAGAAACTAGACAGCTTTTGGAGAACTGGAAAAATAGGAACAATAACAGGATAATTTCAAGATAAGTCATGTTGTGTTCAAGTAATGTTGGGGAACATATTTAATTTTGATAAATTAAATACATTGTAATTCTTCTTGTGGATCTTCCATGTAATGTTTAAGTTTTAATATATATAGATCATCACATATATAAGGGAACAGGTTTAGTCAGGGAACCTTCTAGGTGGTAGAATTATCATTATTATAATTTTACTTTCTTACTATTTGAAGAGATCACTAAAGATAAACAACTGTAATAATTATGACTACTACAACAACCAACAAACCTCCAAGATTACCAATCCCTCCTTTGAAAGATACTCTGGAGAGATTCATAAAGAGTACAGAACCATTACAAGATGATAAACAAAATGCAAGAACTAAAAAAACAATATATTCCCCAGAAAATTTGGAATTATTGGAATCCTTACATGAAAAATTAATTAATTATGATAAAGAATTAGCCATTGAACAGCCAGAATCCTCATATATCGAAAGATTTTGGTATGATTCTTATTTAGAGTACGATGCATCAGTGGTTTTGAACGTTAATCCATTCTTTCAATTACAAGATGATCCTACCATTGTAGATACATCTGCTACAGATTCAGGTCCTTATGGTTATAGTACCGTTCAAGTGAAACGTGCCGCTAAATTGACTACATCAATCTTAAAATTTATTAGAGAATTACGTCATGGTACAATGAAACCAGATGTCATTAAAGGTAGACCATTATCAATGGACCAATACGGAAAATTGTTTGGTTCTTCAAGAATTCCACCTGGTCCAGGTGAACAATCATGTCATTTACAAACAGATACAACTTCACATCATGTTATTGTTATGTATAAATCTCAATTCTATTGGTTTGATGTTTTAGATACGAATAATAACCCTATTTTTTCTACTCCAGAAGAAATGGAATGGAATTTATATTCAATTATAATGGATGGTAAAGAAACTACTAAAAAATCTTCTTCATCTCATCATCGTCAAAATCAAAATAGTAACTTACCATTTGGTGTTTTCACTACTGAGAGTAGACGTGTTTGGTCAAACATAAGAGATTACATATATAGAAGTGATGATCCAAATAATTGGAAAATCTTAAAAATCATCGAAAGCGCCTTATTTGTCATATGTTTAGATGATGTCTCATTCGGTGATTCTCCAAAGGAGAAAAGAGAATTGGCTAAATCATTATTATGTGGTACTTCTAAGATTGAATTGGATTTCAAAAAGACAAATGTTCCATTGAACGTTCAACATGGTACATGTCTAAACAGATGGTTCGATAAATTACAATTGATCATAACAAGAAACGGTAAAGCTGGGATCAATTTCGAACATACTGGGTTCGATGGTCATACTGTCCTTAGATTAGCTATTGACATTTATACAGATTCAATTTTAAGTTTTGCTCGTGGGGTCTCAAAGAATGTCCCAGATATCTTTCATAATAAGAAGGCTCATGTTATTAAAAGTGAGGACCAAAGTTTGGATGACGTTGTATCGTCTTCATCATCTTTAAACTTGGCCAATCTTATTACCATCCCAAGAAAATTGGAGTGGAAAGCTGATAATTTCTTATTATCATCATTACATTTTGCTGAGACTAGGATCTCTGATTTAATTTCTCAATATGAATTTGTTACATTAGATTTTGACAAATTTGGAGGAAACCATATTAAATCTCTGTTTAAGTGCTCACCTGATGCATTCACTCAACAAATTTTCCAAATTGCTTACTATGCTCTATATGGGAAATTTGAAACCACTTATGAACCTGCAATGACTAAAGGTTTTCAAAATGGTAGAACTGAAGCCATTAGAACAGTTACAAAAGAATGTAAGAAATTCGTGAAATCCTTATTTGATAGAAATGCCACCGATGATGATCGTAAGACATTTTTACAACAAGCTTGCAAAGAACATTCTACTATTACAAGAGATTGTGCAATGGGTCAAGGTCAAGACCGTCATTTATATGCACTGTACTCTGTTTGGAACTTATGGTATAGGGACTCTATGCCAATGCCACCAATATTCAGCGATAAGTCATGGTCCATCTTAAACACAAACGTTATCAGTACATCGAACTGTGGTAACCCTTGTTTGAAGAATTTTGGTTTTGGTCCTGTCACTGCAAATGGCTTTGGTATTGGATATATCATTAGAGACAATTCCATCTCAATTGTAGTATCATCTAGACATAGACAAACTCATAGATTTGTATCTTTGATCGAGAGATCATTTTTAGAAGTTGAACATATCTTCAACAGAGATTTGGATGATGTTATGGATGAGGCTACACGTGTTACTCCAAACCAAAGTAGTGATTATTTAGTAGGTATGCACAGGGACGGAATCAATGGTAGAAATGGCATCACTCCTGCAGCGAAGTCGAAGGATCTAAGATTCTTACTTGGTGGGTATGATTACTTTGACGTTAGTGTATCTGGTTAATGAGATTTCAAGTAACGATCAACGTCTTCAAATTATAAACAAAAAAAAATTCAAATATGAATATAACTACGATAAAATTAAGTATATGAATACACTTATATATAACGCAATACAATATAAACTAAAGCATTATGAAATAATCGGAAAAACAACAGGAAGAATATATTTCAGATCTTGAAAGAGCAGACTTTCACCGTCAAACTTGTACGTTTCTTCTTTTTTGTTTTTCTCTTTTTGATATCTTTATTTACCCTTCGTACATTGGAAGAACAAATTATACGATGCTACCAATAAACGAAAAATAGGCAACAGGCACCAAGAAAGAAAACTACTACAAATGACAACAAAACAATAAGTTTTATAAACACAGTTCCCTGAATTTAAGGAGGTACCTCATCATCCAATGTCACAAATGTCTACTCAATTATTCAAATAATTTCTACTAATTCCTTACATTTGAAAAGAAAGTATTTCTTTAGTTAGTATTGAATCTTAGTACATAACCAAATCACATAGAAAACCGAGCTTGTTAACAAGATTACGTACATCAGAGATGCATATCTTTCGTATATACGAACACTATTCATTCCCCCTGAGCTGACTACAAAACTGTGAAAAAAACAACATCTAACCGCAAAGAAGAGAATGGTGATAATATGTACTCTTGTCTATTGACGAGAGGTTCAAGTTAGGGATAGACGTACAACACAGCATCATATTTTCCCATTCTTATCTTTCCATCCTCTCTCATATTTTTACTGCATTGTAGTCTCTCCTACTTCCACTCTCTCCCCCCTAACGATGTGGACGTTGTGTCGTGCACGCAAAAAATAGTGAGGGAAACATGAAAACAAAACAGTAAAAATTCACATTGGGTGAGCGAATAGTCGGCAGGAGAAAGCTCAACCCGTCAATTACGATTATTTAATTTATATGAATTGCTTATACTAAATAGTTGAGGTTGAGCAAGAAATTAAATACATTTTCTTATATTATCTTCTAGTTTGTAGAAATTGTCAATGTCAATCTTATATTATCTCAGACATTAAATACTATATATATTTATATATATATAAGGATTCCTGTTGCTATTTTTAAGTACGGTGAAATTATTTTTTCGTTGTTCTTCCGGACCCAACATTTTTCAAAAGGACCTCCTCCTACCCGTCAACTTCAAAGTGATTACGTTCTTCCCTTTCACAATCATCACAACAATTAGTTCGACAGACAAGCATACAGTTCGCCAGTTGCATCGTTATATCCATTATTTTAAAATAGAATAGTTTTTAAAAAAATATTGAATTAGATTCTCATTTTTTATATCTTTTTGTTTTAGGTTGTTCTTAAAAATAGGGACAAAATATAATTAAACAGGTAAATTGTAAGCACTGCTATTGTACCATATTCCTCCCCCTTTTCGGAAATTTTTTTTGAGGTAAAAATACGGCGGTTAAAAGAGTAATACTCCACTATGCCAAATAAAACTCCCGTTATGAATAATCAGCATCCTGCTCAGGATACCCATGTCAAATTAAGAGGTGATACAGTTGCACTTAATAATGATTCCAAGACACCCGTTTTGAAATTAAAACTTTTGGAAGTTTTGACTAATGGTAGCTTCCATTCGTTGGAGACCTTGATCCAAGAAGAACAAAATAATGACACTTTTAAGCAATTGTTACCATTGCTATTGAATGCGTCCGTACAAGTTTCGCCATTACCTTTAATTCAAGATATTGTTGCCAAATGGGCAAATAATCCAGCTGCTCCATTCCCACTAAATATTAATGAAAAGGATGAAGATGGGAATACTCCGTTACATTTAGCTGCAGCTCAATCTAGATCTGATGTCCTTGAATTTCTACTTGATCAACCAACTATAAATGAGTGTTCTGTAAATAATGCCCAATTACTACCATTTGAAATGTGTAAAAATGTTAATATTGCTCAGATGATGCAAATCAAAAGAGCTAAATACACTTCAACTATACAGAAAGAAGCACTAGAAGCAATGAAAAATAATGATTTCAAAACTTTGGACAATCTATCTAAAAATAGCAGAAATTCAGAGTTCCTTCGGACTAAATTCATGACTAAGACTCATATTGAAGGTGCTAATGATGAAGGAGATAATCTCTTACATTATTACATTGAGAAGAAAAATGTTAAAATGTGTAATTGGTTATTAGATCATGGTGCTGATCCAACTTTAAAAAATAGTAAAGGTCAAACTCCCATCGACTTATTATCCGAAACGATTAAGAAAAATCAGCAACCAGGCCAACCAAATGTTGTACCTTCAAGTCTAAAAGTCTTGCATGAAAAATTGACAAACGAAAAATTAATTCTTGCAGCTGCTAATAAACTAAATGAGCCGCCTACTTATAAGGGGTTCCTAAAGAAGTTCACTAATTTTGCCCAAGGTTACAAACTACGTTGGTTTGTCTTATCTGCAGATGGTAAACTATCTTATTATAAGGATCAAGGATCATCAAAAACCAAATCTCATGCACGTGGTACATTGAACTTAAAAAACTGTTATCTACACTTAGATTCTACTGAAAAATTAAAATTTGATCTTATTGGTGGTCATGGTAATACTACTAAATGGCAACTAAAGGGTAATCATCCAGTCGAGACAAACAACTGGGTTTGGGCCATTCAAGGTGCTATTAGATACGCTAGAGATAAAGAAATGGTGAATAAAAACAACAAATCAAGCAATGTATCTCCAGCATTTGTTATGAATAGAAACGCAACACAAACTACCTTAACAAGTAATGCAGCAGGAACTTCAAAATCGACTCCAATACCACTGGCTCATGGACACACAGATAATCAATTAAAAGAAAGTACAAAGGTACTATCTCATACCAATGCAAATCATAGATTCAGCACTGCAAACTCTATTCATTCTGCTGATATCGAACTAAGTGACAAATTGACAAAATCTGGGAAGGACTACGTTAGCAAGATGATCGAGACTCGTCTTGAATCAACGTCACCAACGGAACAAAGCTCTCCTGCACCACATTCGCTAGATCCAATGGGAAACAAGACACCTTTACAAGATGACATCACGAACAATATGGATTCAATTGTAAATGACGCCATGTCAGGATCTTCAAAAAAGTCAGCCCATGCAAGTGTGCACCACACATCCGCTAATAATACTACACATTCTGGCTTCAAAAACTATTACACAGATGGCGAAGATGATTCAGAAGATAACCAAGATGAGGATGGTATTGCAATTAAGTTCGAGAAGGACGAAGAATATTTAAAGATTGAATATGGACCATATATCGAGAAGCTAAACGTTTTCCAAAAGACTATTGGCTTTGAATTAGATTCTATCGATGAAATTCTAAACAGTAAGGACTTCTTAGAGCAAAAGAATCCAGAAACTGTTGTAATTGTTAGAAGATCTTTGAAGAAAGTATACCAATTAATTAATAATATGAATAGGTTAACATCTCAAAGAGATGGCAGACTCATTTCTATGCTAACTAAACGAAGCGATGAAAATAATGTTTGGATTCAATCGGTCAGAGACTTAGAGGTTGAACTTGGTCAGAAGAGTGAAAGATTAGCCTCCTTAGATAAAGAACGTAAGTCTTTGAAGAAGACATTGCATAAAAAATTAATTGAAAGCTCCGAAGTGGATTCACAAACGCCTGAATCAGAAGCTTCATCTTTCCTAGCTGCTAACTCAGCTGCTAATAGAAGGTCTAGTATTATAAAGGCTGCTGGCTTAAACAACACTGGTGATACCTCTACAGATACTTTGGCACAAATTGCCAAATTTATTAGTGCCACCAGACAAGAAGATGGGAACAGCGACGATGATGAATTTTATGATGCAGAAGAATTAATGAATGAAATTGATCAATCTGCTGCGGAAGAAACACCAAAGACCTCTGAAAATGTTTCTATAATTCAAAACCCTGAGGAAACTTTGAATAATGAAACGGTATCTACTGCTATTAACGAACCTATGGATATTCCAAAACTTGCTACACCTTCACCAATACCTGATATTCCAAATATTGCTATTAATGATACTGAAATCGCACCAGCCAATATCGACGAGGAAGTAAGAGACCTAAAGAAGGTTAAGAAGACCAAATCTTCTAATCTAAAACTTGCTAAGACTGTTTCTTTAGCTGTGTCTGACATTGCCAAGACCGAGCCTCAACAAGAGAAAGCAGAATGTATGACTTCTGAGAAGACTTACAATGGTTACGAAGATGGAATAAGAAAGAGATTAAAATTAGATGAAGATGATAGACCAAAAATCAGTTTATGGGCTGTTTTAAAGTCTATGGTTGGTAAAGATATGACTAGAATGACATTACCAGTCAGTTTCAACGAGCCAACTTCTTTACTTCAAAGAGTGGCTGAAGATTTGGAATATTCAGAATTGTTAGACCAAGCTGCCTCATTTGAAGATTCTACATTAAGATGTTTATATACAGCTATATTTACAGCATCTTGTTATGCGTCTACTACAAAGAGAGTTGCCAAACCATTCAATCCATTACTAGGTGAAACTTATGAATATGCTAGACCAGACAAACATTTTAGATTCTTTACTGAGCAAGTTTCTCATCATCCTCCCATTTCTGCTACATGGACAGAATCTCCAAAATGGGACTTTTGGGGTGAATCTCATGTGGAGACTAAATTTAATGGTAGATCCTTTGGTGTTCAACATTTAGGTCTATGGCATATAAAAATCCGTCCAGATTGTGATGGTCCTGAGGATTTCTATACTTATAAGAAGCCTGATAATACTGTCATTGGTATCTTAGTCGGTAACCCACAAGTTGATAACCATGGTGAAGTCCGCATTACTAATCATGTTACAGGTGATACATGTATCTTAAACTTTAAAGCTCGTGGGTGGAGATCATCAGGTGCCTTTGAAGTTACAGGTGAAGTATTTAACAAGAAGAAAGAGAAGGTCTGGGTCCTTGGTGGTCATTGGAATGATTCTATATATGCTAAGAAAGTTACTAAAGGGAAGAATGGTGCCAATTTAACATTAGAGAAGACTAAGACTAATAGTTCGCGTATCACTAATGGACCAAATTATGATGGTAATAAGTTTTTAGTTTGGAAGGTAGCTCCAAGACCAGATGCACCATTCCATTTAACTCCCTTTGCCATCACTCTTAATGCACCACAACATAAACTAGTACCATGGTTAGCACCAACTGATACACGTTTAAGACCTGATCAAAGAGCTATGGAAGACGGTGAATACGATAAAGCTGCGGTGGAGAAGCATAGACTAGAAGAAAAACAAAGAGCTGTTAGAAAAGAAAGAGAGATAAAGAATGAAACATATTCACCAAAATGGTTCACTAAGGACACGCATCCAATTACAAAACAGATGTATTGGAAATCTAATGGTGGATACTGGGATACTAGAAAGGACAAGAACTTGAAGGCTGTTAGTTATGAAATTTTCTGATCATGGAACCATCTCTATGTATGCCAAAAAAACAACAACCCCCGTTTTGTTGGCTATTGTATAATTAAAAAAAAATAACATTTATTAGATTATTATTGTTATTATTATTAGAGTAATACGAACTAAATAAAACATTATGACTCAACTATGAACAAACAACTCCTTAATCTGATAATATGAAAACGCGCAGAAAATCCTTACTCTCTTATTACTCTACTCTCCAGATAAATCATTACCGAATTAGGGCTTAATTGATAAATTCATAGTTTTGGCCTTCAACAAAGCCCATCAACAGCGAAGCGGGAAAAAAGGAGGCTGACAACCCCGGCTCGGAAATAAATTGTCAAATATTTATCGAAATATTGAAATTTCGGCCGACGTAATCAAATTTTCTCTCTTTTCATCATTTTCCGCGGATTACTAATTTTCACGTGACCAAATATATACCTCCCCTACGACTTCATCTGCGAGTCTTTCTAGAATGTTCCATTCGAAAGTGCCGTAAACCCCAAAAAAGAGCATTCTCAACAAGGAGACGGAATTAATTTGAAGGACAATACGTAAAGTAAAACTGATTATCATAATTGATGAGTAACTAATTTGTTTGATAAACAACGAACTTTATATAGTGGATATATATATATACAACTAAGCAAAGACGGTATTATTTCTGTAAGTACAACTTGAAGCATTTCTGATCTCGGTTTGTATTTACGACTACTATCTATCCTTTGTACGTTTGACTTAGTAATATTTGTAATTACGAATTACAACTTCATTTTTATTTTTATTTTTTTGATTGATCCATTTAAGAAAAGGAAAGAGAAAAAAGGAAAAAATATTATTATATATTTCATTTTTATATGATTGATAATACATACACGTATATATAGACTAGAGATATTACTGATTACAACTTCGGTAAATTATTTATTACACTTCTAGTACTACAAAGTCCACACTAATTAGAACACTAATTATTATTACTAATACCTCCAACCAAAAAAAAGAAAAATAAGGAGATTTCAGAAAAAAGAGGAAATTTACTGAAGAAGAAAGAAAAAAAAATATATATATATAGGAGATTTTCTTTCATTTTTTTTAAAAGAGGAAGTATAATACAACAACAAAGAAGTTTTGATAAAAGATAATCAAGAATCAAATAACTGGATCGATTATTGGAAAATGGCATCCACTGAATTAGGTTTGAAGAGAACTTTGACCGATATCCTTGAGGATGAGTTATACCATTTAAATAACAAAAATAGTGGTGTATATTCTTCTCATTATCAATATCCTGTCTCTAATAAAGCTTATATGGCAAATTTAAATCAAACAACCTCAAATAACAATAACCATTTAGATGAAACACTTATTACTATTGAACCAGAAAAGTTAAGTTATATATCAGAGAGTGGGAATTATGTGACTGCTAGTAATCTAACATTACCTTTGAACACTAACAACAAGAAAGAAACTGATATTAACATATTTCCTTATCAAAACCATCAACAACAATACGATTATAAGATGTTTAACAAATATGCTGATCCATCTTTAACTACTACTAGTACTACTTCAAGAGCTAATAGTAATAGAATACCCACTCAACTAAATACCCCCGTAGTGGCTACTATTAACATGAAAAAACTTTTGAAAACACAATCTCCACATTCTACAACTACCAATTTTGTTTCTAATCAAATAAATGCTAAAAATAATGTATCATCTACAACTTCTAGAGATAATCTAGAAGTTAAAATCTTAAACGATTCCATTCAAACTCAAGAGATAAATGATTCGTATTTGTACTTCGATGATGAATCATTTGTTCCAAAAGTGCATTATACTTTGGAAGATAACAATATTGCAATGAATAATGAAGATGCAAAAATTATATTCGATGATGAATTTTCTGACGATGATGATTTTGATGATGATTCTAAGGAATATGATATTGATGATGATGAAGTCATTAGTTCATTAGATATCGAAAAATCGAAGAACGTTATGATTAAGACTAATAATTTATACAGTTTTGTTGATACACACCAACAAACAGCTCCAAAATTAACTACCGAAGATAATGAAATACATTTACATAATAATAACAGTGCAATTCTAGATGGAGAAGATCTAGATGATGATAATACTTTGTTAGATGAAGATGAAATGTATCAAATAAATTCCATGGGTAAGATTGTTGTTTCTGCAGATGAAATCAAAGAATTGAACAGATCAAAATCTTTGTCCTTGAGTACTAGACCAAATATATGGGGTAGCTCCACAATGGGGCAATCTAATAAATCACGGAAACCATTGACACATATCAATGGTAATACTTTTAACAGCTCTACATCGTCGCTATCCTCCACTTCGATAACCAAGGCAAATTCTTTATTGTCGTCATCATCCTCATCAATACCATCTTCATTATCAGCTTCTGTGGTTGTCAACAAAGAACACTCAAAGAAACACAAAACATACCTTGGTAGTGATCTGTCTGGTACAAATACTAATGAAATATTTACATGTCGGTTAGTTAATTTAATTACCAAAGAGCCTTGCTCAGCACAATTTTCAAGATCATATGATTTAACCAGACATCAAAACACCATTCATGCTAAGAAAAAGATTGTTTTCCGTTGTTCTGAATGTATGAAGATGTTAGGTAATGAAGGTTATGAAAAGACTTTCTCTAGATTGGATGCCTTGACTAGACACATAAAGTCTAAGCACGAAAATCTAACCTCTGAAGAACGTCAACGTGTAACCAAATATGCCAAAGAAAATATTGGTTACGCAATTGCATAATTGATGATGATGGATCATACTAAAATTAAACAGAAAAATATTATTGCACTTGTCCTGCTTATAAAGATTTATATAGATGTTGATAAATATATATGTATATGCATATGTATACCCGTTTTGTATTGTCTAATTCATATTCAAATTTTTTTTTTTTTAATTTGTTTATCAAAACATCGATGAGACCTTTATTAAAGAAAAATTTGTCCAAATAAGAATATTTTCAACGTCTTGATTGAGATGTGGCTGTTTACGTTGATCAGTTTTCTCAACGAAATCTCTTGAAGTGGAAAATAATTCTTCAATATTTAGCCCTATTGTTATGATACCTTCATCATAGTATTCTTTGCGTGACTAATTAATTATGTTTGATGATGTTCCTAAAGATTCATTGTAGAGAAACAAGCAAACAAAAAGGTGGATTTTCATCTCTTTTTTGGTTGCAGTCACCAGGAAATGGTGGGCGACATTCTTCAAATTAATCGGAAAAACATTTTTTTTTGTTTTTACAAGAAGCTCAGTAAGTAAGCTGTAGAACCAAGTAACATGATTGAGAAGTATACAGAGGGTTCTACCTATTCCTTATTAAAAAACATTTATTTTTAATTTAATTTATTTATTTGATTCTATAATATTATTTAGTTGTAGTAAAAACAAAACTAATACTTAGTCAAACTCGTTGTGAAAGGTTAACTTAATATCTAATAATGTTTGTTTAGTTATTTTAATTTTTTTTTATTTATGAAATGGTGGGATATTGTTTTATTGTAAAGATAGCTAAGGATGTAAAAACTAAAAACAAAAAAAAATTATTTACTGTAGTTGTTTTCTTTTTCCTTTCTTTTCTTTTTCTTCCCTTAAGTTATCGTTATTATGTTGCTTATGCTAAGAAAGCAGCCATCTAATTATTGTAATAATTTTACGGCATCTTTCGTTTTATTTTTATTGTTATAATTGTTGTTGTAGTTGTTGTTCGTTAAAAAATTTCAGATTCATAACAGTACTAAAGTACTGACTCACAAAAGGGTTTGTTACCTTATGATAGAAGGGAAAAAACAGAAAGAGATTATAAAAAAGAAAAAAGGCTCCTAACGGAAAACTTCTAATTCATCGATCATGTCCGGTATGTTTTCCATTGGTAAGTTATTGTAAATAATTTGGAAAACAGCTTCGAACAATGGGAATTCGGAAACGGAATTACAAGTTTCTAACCATTCGTGGACTTCTTTACAAGTAATAATACCTTGAGCAGATTGACCGTTCAGTAGTTTCTTTTCAGCATCTAGAGCACTCATACCACTTTCGGCCATCAACTTGGCAACCTTAACATTTCTACCACCAGCACAGGTAGTGATCAAATCAGCGACACCGGCAGATTCTTGGTAGTAAGTTTCAACACGAGATTCTGGGAAGAACATTTGACCGAACTTGATGATTTCACCAAGACCAACTCTTTGAATAGCAGCAGAAGCGTTGTTACCCCAACCTAGACCTTCGACGAAACCACAACCTAATGCGACAACGTTCTTCAAAGCACCTGCGACAGAGATACCAGCAACATCTTCAATGACACTGACGTGGAAGTAAGGTCTGTGGAACAAAGCCTTTAGAACCTTGTGGTCAACATCGTAACCTTCACCTCTGAAATCTTCAGGGATGTGATAAGCAACGGTAGTCTCAGACCAGTTTTCCTTGGCGACTTCAGTGGCAATATTAGCACCAGACAAAGCACCACATTCAATACCTAATTCATCGGTAACGTAAGTAGATAATAATTGCACACCTTTAGCACCGACTTCGAAACCCTTTAGACAAGAGATTGCACGAACATGTGAGTCGACATGGCCCTTTAATTGTTGAACAATCTTAGCTAAGAATTGATGAGGAATGTTAAAAATGATAATATCAGCATCCTTGACGGTATCTAATAAAGATGGAGTAGCGACCAAATTGACTGGTAGTTTAATATCTGGTAAATACTTAACATTTTCATGATCTGTATTTATGATTTCAGTTAAATTTTTACCATCAATTTGTTCTTCGAAAACCCACATTCTTACCTCGGAGGCAAAAAGTTGAGGGTTCAAAGCGGCATTTTCAGAGACAACTTTAGCAATAGTAGTACCCCAATTACCTGAACCAATGACACATATTTTGAAAGGGTGATCAAGGGCAGTTAGATGCGCTATACTAGATGCTCTTTTCATTGATTTATGTAAAATATTGGAAGTTTGATTTAATCTATCAGTAGCGACCATTCGATGATAGTAGTAATTATTCTTTTTATTAATTTTTTTTTAAATTTAAAAGTAAAAAAAAAAAAAAAAAGATAGAGATGATTAGTGGGTTTGATTAATGTATGCAAATAAAACTAGGTCTTATAATAATATTACTAATTTAATTTAATGTGTATAGTAATAATGCAAAATCTATTGATGATATATTGTAGTTTCTTAATTATAAAAAAAAATATTACAAAGAAATAATAATACTATATAAGATTGACTAAAAGGGAAGAAATAAATCATAATTTTTCAATCAAGGGAGAGATGATCCCTTATATATATAATTGAATTAAATTTCAGTTTCGGGGGTAAAGAGGGGTATTCTTCTTATTCTTATTCGATAAGGACAAACGAGATTATAAGTACTAGTAGTAGTGTTACTATAGTCTAAGGAAGTCCTCTTTGTCCCACTCACAATTGTCTGTATAAAGAAATCTGTTCTCTCTTTATGTTCTGCGTAGACGAGTCCCTTTAAAATACAGCAAAAATACAGCAAAAATACAGCATCATAATATATCTATAATAGTCAAAAATATAATACTAATTAAATAAATAGTATTACGCAGCTCTTTGTTAGCCCCAAAGCACAGATGAGATTGTAAGAAAGAGAGAGACACCCAGTGTGTGCGATCCCTAAACTGGGCAGAGAAGGCAGAAACGCTTATTATCAATACTATTATTTTTGTCCAGCGTCATACTAAAGTTCTATTAGATGGATATTCCTTGAGAAAACCTCTGAGAAGCGGACACGACTAGTATAGTAGGGTCAGAATCCCTCATCTGTTCAAAATTGGAGATACGCAAATTTGTGCGTTCAAAATTTGCGTATTGTTATAATTTGTTATACCTCACAATTTTGCACGCAGATTTTATTTGGTAAAAAGAGACGATTTACTCCAACTAATTATGCTGTAAAAACGTTACGTTACACAAATTTTGTCCATTCGTGCGAATGGATGCCCCAAATCAAATCAGTATCATTATTTTACATACAAAAAAAACTTAACAAAACGTTGCAACAGCAAACATCAGTCAGTTTTTTTTGACCTTCATTTGCTAAGTGACTTTCTTTGTTACAAAGAGTAAGATAAATATTATGAAATAGGTGGGACAAGGCTATGGGATTCCAAGGATCTGCGCAGAGTGTGCGCAAAAAGACGAAAACAAATTTTGCGGTGGGACAAAATATCTTTCTTAACTTTTGGTTTTTTGGTTTTCTGGTTTTTTTTGAGGAGTCCCAATTTTCACACAAATTTTGCGTGCTTTTTGGTTGTTAATTTTTATTACTTGAAAAACACAAATGTGTGCGCATTTTCTGCGCGTGACCCAGCAATATGAATATTTTTTAGGGGGAAACAGACAACCATCTGAGCCCATATTGTTGTTGTTACATATTGTTATAATTTTATACATATATATATATATTTTGTCCCACTATACTTTCTCTTCTACGTCTTTATCTGTTGTGGTTAGTTGTAATATTTTGTCGTTCCATATAATCGGAGAAACAATTGACAAAACAAGAAAAAGAGCAGCATTGTCCAATATTTTGTTTAAAATATCTAGTTTCCATCTGTATGATATTTTCTTCTTATGCTTCTTTTTTTGGCTGATCCCTCTCTTCTTTTGCAAAAATATATATATATTTACATACTGTAGTTGGGTCACCACCACCTGTTTAAAATCGATTTTATTCTTCACTCCAATATTGGTGGCTTGTAAAAAAGATTGAGAGAGTCGGACCTTTCGTTATTATTCCCATTTAGATAAAGAGATTAAAATTTTCAATTTCTGTCTTTTCTATTCTGAAAACTACATGATCTTGTTCATCGCGAAAACAAGTTGTGTCGTGGTGATTGACCCTATTTTATGTTTCTTATTGCTACAATCAAGATAAGAAAGATAACAAGGAACTATTGTTACCGTTATTGCTTTTTTAGTAAACGTATGCAGCCTAAATTGGCATGGGACATATTGATTGTGAACAAATAATAAAATAACAAATAATAAAGGATACAAACTCTATGGGAAAAAAGGGAATTGATTTTTAATCCCATTAAAATACTTATTTTCTCGGATTTAAAAAAAGAAAGAACGAAAGAATTAGAAGGTTTAACTGTGCTTCTCCGTTTCTCGGAAAATTTGGTTTTTGGCCCGTAGTTTCCGACGCAGAGATTTGAAATTTCTATTGGAGACAAAAAAAATTATTTCCCCCACCCCACCCCCTCCATCGAGAAAGAATGGGCCAAACTCACTCTTTAATTGTAGATTAACGTACTTGAGTTACAAATGAAGATGCGATTCTGCGCAATACTTGCTTCTTGCACGTCAATCACTATGTATGTTTACAAAGGAAATTTGAATGGATATCTTTTCACTTTGGGAAGACCCAACCTACAAAACCAAAAATGTAACTCTTAACGAGGTCAAGTAAAAAAGAAAAGGGGTCCAAATACTATTGTACTACTAGGTTGATGCCCCCTGCCCCACTATATTGACTCCTACATTATAGTCTTCAACTACATGCACTGACGGACCAAAAAATAACAATAAGAGAAACGTCATCATCTCATCTCTTGTTAAGGTGACAGTACTCGATTTACCTGTATTCTTGGTAAAATTAGTGGTGAATTATATATGAAACCCGGACATTTTCAGATCAAAGAGAATAGGCGATGTTGTATGAACTCTCCTACGTTCATATAACTGTGTGAAGATTCGTCAAGATTTTTGATAAACGTAATTGAATCAAAGTCAAAAGATAATATCCTGTGATTCCCCATTACTAGGTTGTTCCTTATCTAAGTTTTAAAAATGTATCAAAATCGACCTGTCAAAATTACGTAATTTATGAGTTGTTGGTTGTTTTTTTTCAATAAAGACCATACAGAAATATATCCTCAGCTTATTCATCTTAGCTTCTCTTCTACGGTATAATTACTCCCCGAGCGAGAGAGAGAGAAAAATTTCATTACGTCAGTCCGAAAGTAGGCGAGAAAGACATCAGTACATTTAATAAATAAAAGAAAAGAGAATTATGGGTCAAAATATATTTTATGTATGTCCTACGTAATTTTTGTTACACTTGACTAATTAGATATACGTCTAATTAATTCAGCAAAACAGACTTGTTCTGTCTGTCATTGGCTGAAACTAACGTCACATCATCATATTTGCTTTTCCTTTTTTTTTTTTCTTTGTCACATTTTAAACTCTTCGAGACGACTTAACACATCATTGGTTAATTCTTCAATTTTATCATCCGATACATACCTCTGTTTGGCACCAAATGTCACTGCATTCTTAATTAAATCCTTAATGAAAAATTCTGTTACAACCACAGGGTTTAAGAAGGGACATCCTAATATTTCATTTACTGTGCAACGTTTATCAGGGTCTCTAATGAGACATTGCTTCATTAATTCTAATAGAGACTTCGGAACAATAGATTTACCGTGATCGGTTTTCTCGTTAAAACTAATTTTGACGTCGGGATTCATAATTGCCAATAATCGGTTTTGCCCTTGAAATCCCGCATAAGGTGGTTTCCCATATACCATTTGATACAAAATGCAACCACATGACCAAATATCCGATGGTTTACCAACTTTCCATGTGTTTTTTGGTAATTTTTCATTAGGATCATTTTCTGACGTCTCTTTAATATCAGAATAATTCATTGTAATCAATGCTTCAGGCGCCATATAATTTGGTGTACCAATTTGTGTGTCTCTATATATGTTAACCGTATGATCGGGTACAGCGTTAGCAATACCAAAATCGATAATTTTCAATTTCCCTTTAACAACAACGAAATTGGCAGGCTTTAAATCAGAATGAACAATACCAGAATCATGAACAACTTTAATACATTCAATCATTTCTTTGGTATAATATCTAATAAATGACGCATCAAATGGATCATTAATTCGTGTATTTAGAATTTGCGAAAGATCAAAATCACCACATTCCATAATTAAATATAACAATCCTTGATTCATCATGTAATCATATAAATGAACAACTCTATCCTTCATATCAAGTTTCTGTAATAATTCAATTTCTCCTTTAAAACCATTCACACTTGTTTCATCAAACTCATCAAATATAACTCTTTTCAAAGCATACACTTTATTGCCTGGACCTTTAACTTTATAAACTTTAGATGAACCACCACGACCTAACATTTCGATCCGTTCATATTCAATATCATTTACCCTTACAATGTTGTTGCGTTTGTAAGTGTGTGTCTTTATCGGCTCTTGAATTTCTACTTTCTTTGTTTTCTTATATTCAGGTTCTTTTTTATTTAGACTAATATTCGATAATGCTTCCCTCTTTTTATTTTTAATGGAAAAGGTGTCTACGGGTACTTTCAATTCGGTACCAACATTTTCATGCTCCCTTGGAGTTATAATTTTATTAACTGGTTCTTCGGGTCTATCAACAAGAATAGAATTCCTTTTATCAATTGCTACATTGCGTCGGTCTGTCTTATTGCTTCTGATATCATTGTTACTGTTGTTATTCTTGTTCTCCTCTATATATCTTGTCCTATTCAATAGTATGTCCTTTGAAGAACTATACTTTCTCAATGCTGTACGTCGTATTTCTTCTTTTCTTTTTTCAAAGTATATCTTTGAGATATGTGGTAACTCACTCGATGGAAGATCATGCTTCTTAAGATATTGTAAAGGATTCAAATCGCCAAAGTTAATGTTAGAATAATCGTTCAATGGTTCTGAAGGGAGTACAGCCTCAGTGTTGCTTGGTGATAGTACAGGTTTTGATGTAGAGATTGTACCACTAAGACTTTTTGTTGTGAGATTACCAACATTACTGTGGTTATTACCTGTATTATTGGCAAATTGATCGTTCATATCTACACTTTGCAAACTAGATGTTCTTTTTGCAGGTCCTAATTTACTCATTCTATTACTGCTTAATAATAATCTGTTAATTCTACGCTCTGTATATCTTGAGGTGAGTTCATCCTTCATATGCTGTTGCATTGACCTTAATTTTTCACTTGGTGAAAAATTTCCTGTCTGTTTACTAATATCTTCTTCTTTGTTATTGTTGTTTCCGTCGTGTACCGTTGTCATGCTCAGTGGTCTACTAGTAAGGTTTACATTGTTATTATGATTCATAGCAAAAAGTGATGACTGTGGTGAATCCTGAGTCTGAGAATATATTGTATGTGATATTGAATGTGGGTCAACGGGATTGGTCAGTGTCTCGGCCATTTGTAATCCAGTGAGAAAGTTGCTCTGACCTGTATCGTTACCTCTAGCTAATAATGCTGATCCGAAATTACTCAGTTTTGGTGGTCCAATATTATCTTCATCTTCCCCATAATCAGAATTATTGTGGATTGTGTTTATGGTTTGAGGGGTACCATCACCATCTTCTTGTATTCGAGACCTTGAGTGGTGTTTATATTTTGACATGATACTTCGAAATCAAATATATTCAACAATGTAGTATACTTCCTCAAATATAGTATGTCTCCAACCTAATTGAATAGAAGTACGTTTAGATGATAAGAGTGGGATGGCCGCAATAAACTTTTTATGTAATGTATTGTACTTTAATTATGTAGCCTCACGAAAATTAATATGTAACCTCTAATTTCTTTGTTTACACTTTGTTAGTGGCTCTTTAATTTATTTTTTTTGTTTGTTTTTCTTCCTTGAAGTTCACGAAGTTACGCAAAGAAAACGCGAAAGTCACGTGCAGTAAAAATTTAATGGCGTAATTATCAATTATTGATGACTATAAAATAGCCATCAGGATTTATGTACAGAACAGAATTTTATTATTAACTTTATATATCTAAATATTTTATTCAATGTCTAATCATCCTTTTCAATAGTGAACTCTCTGTGTCCGTCTGAGGTAGTTCTTACCTTATATTTTCCATAAAAGTGTCCAGTCTCACCAGGGGTAGAAATAATGTATTGTTGAGGGAACAAGAAACTTGACGATTGCACTGATATAACCATCCTACAGGTTGCTTGCGTTTTGGATAATTCAAAGATTGTTTCGAACTTTTGGTTCCTCTTTAATGAGTCGTCTAAGAAAGTGATAGCAACATCAGCAAAATGGTTATTCTGTGCCCCTTCAACATACATTAGTGGATATTTCATACTCATAACGAAATTACCGTCAATTTTGGAGCCGAATGTATTTAACTTCATGATATCTAACTTCAGTACATCATTAAATTGTTTGACATTATCCTTACCTGGAAAATAATGAGATCCGATATCCTGTTCATTTTTGTTGAATGCCTCGATGACTCTGTTCTGGATCATTCCCATCATAGCATCGGCATCACTAGTGTTAACGTCAAATTCTTTTAAAAAATTAGTTGGAAAGAAACGATACGCCAATGATTTTAAGGTCTTGTAGCTTACTTGGATAGAACTATTTGGTAATTTTTTCATAATTGCGCGATAAAAGTTGTTAGACCTCCATTTTCTAAATTGATATACAGCTATTCCAACCAAAGCAATTGGAAACAGTAACTGGAATAAGATAGGTATTATCATAAAGAACAACGTTAGAATTACAAAAGAACCTAAAAAGACTGCTGGATAAGGTATTTTGAAGACTCTAATTGGGGATGGTGGTGGACGTCCATTTTCAAAAAAGGAAGAATTCCTGTTTTTAGTGTTTTGGAACTTCAATAGTTTTGTAATGTGGATGTTTCTTCTTGATAAAGATCTATGAATATTGTTATATATGTTTCCCTTTTTAATATATCTTGACAAGCTGGAATGACAGTTCCATGTGTTATATTGGATTGTTAAATTTTCTTGTTTTTGAGATTTTAAATTCTGTTGTAGAAAGAAATTAGTAGTAGTAGTGGAAAAACTTGCTCTATTAAAATGAGTCCCAACAGGTCCATATACTATAGGGCTCGTGATTAGCCTAGAACTTATTATCCTCGATACTGGATTCAACCGTGTAATATACGACATTTTTCCCCCTAACATTGTATATTATTATTTAGGTACGATTGAAATTATGGCTTTAGGATTCAATTTAGATGGATATCGCTTGGTTGATGTTTACTTGTATACATAAATTGTATTTAAGTATGTCCCCTTTTAGAGAGAGCTGATAATCTCGGAAAATATTGAAATTTAATTGTCAGTGTAATCGTGTGGAAACGAAAAAAATATGTAACGATGAGCCAATACGATCCAACCAAGATGAAATATATATATATATATATATATATATATGTTGGTACGATCCATTGGATAAAATTTATTGGTTACCTATATTGTGATGTTGAATAATCTATATAAACCATCCTTATGCTGTTAAGTGGATCCTCTATGTATCTATTTAGATTTGAATATATCTTTTTTTCCAGTTACTTCTGATAAAGTTCCTTCTTTCTCATAAAAATTTTTGTAATTCCTATCAAGTCCAATTCTAAATCTCTTAATTTCCCCACACTTGCAAGTTATTACAAACGTTTCATCCTTTGGATTCATTTCTTTGTGTTTGTTTTGTTTATTCTCCATTTTATATGTGCAAGTCTTAGACGGTATTAAGATACGTTTACATCTTTTGCATATCGTTCTCTTTGTATTTGGTAACATATTACTCTTGGTCTTTTTACTAATTATGTCAAGGTTATGCATGTATTTTTTGGATAGTATCATACTTATTGAAGATTCATTTTCTAGGGTATTAAACATTCCTAATTGATAAAGGTAATTTAATCTTTGGAAATGATCTTTGTTTCCCACTGTCTTTGGTGGAGGTATTATGATACAACCATGTTCATCTATGTTTTGGCCTTTCTTCGGCTTTTTGATTTTCTTATCCTTATTCTCCGCCATTATTTAGTTCGGTTTTTATTATTGTAATATACTATATCTACTTGTCTGACCTTTCCTGCCTTGAATAGATTTATTTATTCTATACTAGATGTTTATTATACTTGAATATCATTTTTTTTTCTTTTAAGAACTCTCTTAGCGCCTCGCCTATGAAAGTTATAAAAATGTATGTAATTCTTCTAAAAAAAACTTGAAAAAGTTAGGAAAAATTCCTATCTGTTAGCTTTAATAAAACCAAAGCAATAGTCCAGCTCTAGCTTTAACTCTAGCTCAATTTTTTAGTGTATATTGAATATCAGAAAGTTCATTAATACTAAAATAAACTAAGTTTAGTGTATGCGTATGTGTGATGAATACATAAATAGTTTATATAGTTACCCAAGTTATGTAGATGCTTTAAAATAATATAAACAAAAAAAAAGATACAAGACGATAATCATTTATTCCACTTATTGCTCCTCTAGTGGCTTCCCTTTATTGTTTATATCGTCTTGTATCGGTAGATGGTGGATATGATCGGAGCCCTTATGAACTAATCTCCCAGATCTATCTACTTCACAGCAATGTATACTTTGTATCCATTTATCGTGTAATATATCCTCTGTCCTGATTCTTGTCTGAGGGTTCAATTCCATCATTTGACCAATCAATGGTCTAGAATAAGTTGGCAATAATCTAAGTATACGCAATGGACCCTTTGATACATCATCTTCATCATCCGGATCCTCTGAAAATAATCTAAAATTATTAAAACTTCTACGTGGGGCCTTCCACGGAAATTTTCCCATTATCAAACAATAATACATGATAGCTACAGCCCAAACATCTACAGGTCTTGGATCATACGATTTACTATGACCAGATAGTAATTCTGGAGCCAAATATGGATCCGATCCAACGATCCCAGATGCGTATAGTAAAGTTCCGTGATCAAATATTGTCACTGCACTACCAAAATCTATTATCTTTAAGATCCCATCCTTTGACATCACACAATTATCTAATTTTATATCACGATGTGCAATGTCTTTTGAATGTAAATATGCCGTACCGTTAACTAATTGCTTCATATAACAAGCAGCTTCTTGATCAGTGATTTGCCCATCCATTACCACATTAAAGAAATCAAATGGAACGTATTCCATAACTTGAATCAAATGTACAATATCTTGTGAAAAATCATCAATTTCAAATACTAGATCTATTGTTTTCATAATATTTTGATGGTCAAATATAGACCCAATGCAATACTCTCGAATAATGTTTTTTTGGAAAGTTGATAGTACAGGTCTTTCATTTGAATCTGAAGTAGTTATGATATTCGTACTGGCAGTGGTCATAGGGGTACGATATAATTTAATTGCGAATACTTGGCCATCTTTAGTATTACATTCAGTCACAGTTCCTGAGGCGCCTTCGCCAATTTTTCGTACTGGTCTACCATAATCACTAAGTAATTTATGTTTCACTGATATGCAAGTGGTAGTTTGATTGTTTAATCTATTAATTTTTTTTAATTTTCTATTTCTTCTAAATATATATTCTTTTTGGATATATTCTTGCAAAACATCAGCTGGATGTAATTCTGGATCAACTTCGAATGAACTCATTGATGATATTGAAGAAACCTCTGAATCCATGTAATCTGCCGTTATATCATAATTTTTTTTTAAAACTGGAATCTCTGTATTACTAGTATTATTATTGTTGTTGTTGTTGTTGTTACTTCCTGACCTTGTCTCAGCCACCGATATTGATGTGGTTTTGATCTTATTAAAACTCTTAAATGGTAATATACCATTTAAAGAAGATGAACTACTGTTATTACTTGATAAATTAGTATTACTATTATCTCTTTCCAAAAATAGTCTTGATATACCTTTAAATTTACTTTTACCAAATACTGAAGATAACGAAAGATTTGATGCATCATTCATGTTATTGATATTATTAGTATTAGTATTAGGTGTACTACTACTACACCTTTCTTTATCATTACCATTCCCACTTGATGATTGACTCATTTTTGGTTCATATTGAACATCTTCATTAGCTATCATTATCAATCCTTTTCCAAAGAAAAATGCTTTATTATCAATGATACTTCTCAGTTATCCTTATTTTATATTTCTTATCACAAACACTTAGTGCTATTTACATCGACTTATACTCCTTGTTAATTGGTAATATCAACTAATAACAAATAGGTAAAATATCTTTTATCACAAAACAATTTTCGATCGGTGATAGTTACTAATGGCTATGTATGTGTGCGTGTATATTTGGTCCTTACTTCCTTCCGAAACAAACAACCATGCTATAGTGAGATATACATATATATATAAGATATAAGATATAATGTTGCTTTTCAATTTGACATAAAATCTGTATAGATTATTCTATTTTGTTAGAGCAGATAACCTTGCATAGAGATAGGAAGAACTAAATTTTTGCAACTCGATTCGATGCCCGCTGCAAGTTAGGAATCGGTATTACTATGATTCTTTTTTTTTACTTGCTACTACTACTACTACTACTACTACTACTACTACTACTACTACTACTACTACTACTATAAAGTATTGATATTATTTCTCATGCACACACAGTGAAAGAGAGACAGCATATTTATTTTAGTTTCACGTAAAAGGTGTATATGAAGTGTAGAGCTAAAGCAACTATCTTAAACAACTCATTGAGTAATTTCATATGATAAGGCTATTACAGTCGGTTTTATCCTAACTACGAGAGATGGATGGAAACCAAACAGAAAAATTGGGTGAACGAATCAAAAAAACAATAGATAAATGCAATCGCTAATTTTTCAATCTGAGTTTGTACGGGGTATTGTTATTAAATTATAGAAATGTAATGAATCTGGCAGTCACGTGACTGAAAGTTTTTAAGAAAATTGAAAAGTTAGAGTCACATAACGCGATAAGTGAGGATACAAACAGTTCTCTACGCGGGAACTTGTTCCACAATATTTTCTTTCTTTGGGAAAGAGAAAGAGTCAGAAATTCAATAATTTTCTTTTGTTTTTTGCTCAGTTTTTCAAATTGTTTTTCTTTTGGGGCGTTGCGCAGAGAAAATAGACAGGGTTGTTTTATGGCGGTGATATTTCTCCGCTACAATTTTAAAAATTTGGAAGAAATGTGTCATAATTCTTACTTTCATTTTAGGGTTAAAAGTTAGGGTGTGTTGGAAGTGTACGTTTTTCACTTTCAGTAATTCGCATATAAGGGACAATTATAATATGTAGTCAGTCACATTACATTAAATAACAGAGAGCTTGAAGAAATTAAAATAGGGTGTAAACTATGTAAAAAGGTTGATAATATCGTTAACGATCGAATTACTTCAATCGGTTTCTTTCCACTAACGGTTTAATATTCTTGCTTATGTAAACTGATACTTCGTCAGTAAATCCTCGGTTATGTGATGATTAAAATAAAATGCAATTAATATCGTTATTCTTGATGATACCAATAGAAATAAATTATGTTCAAATATTATCTATAGAAATATACTCTTGTTAAATTTTTTGTCACTATGGATCTTTTGTTTATTTAGTTTTAGATATTTGCTAAATGTGTTATCTCTAACAGAAACATAAATTTTAATACTTCTTATTTTCTGACAAAAAAAAAATTGTGGAGGTTTCTAAAACATAACTCTACTATTTCTAACAACATCTATATAAATAGATTCCAATTCTTGAAGGAGTGTTCTTCTCTATACTTATGTGTACTATTCCAGTTAAAATATATGATTTCTAATTAACTTTCTACATTTACAACCTTTTTAAAATCGAAAAATTTTACCAAGTAAACAACAATAATACTAGATCGATTTGATACATATCATGGTTTTCATCAACGGTTAAATGAAACTTGACCAGTTCATGTAATTGTAAAATATAATGTGTCACTTTCTTTTCTTTAAAATCTGTATCACATTATACGGAACAGCCTTTCCCAGAATTTAAGGTTCTCCCGAAGATTAATAAGAGAAACCTGCACAACAACACAGAGATATCCAATAGACAGAACATGTGATATCACAGAGATGTGAAACACACTTGCTATCATCTAAAATTATATTAAGGAGGAACATATATTTATACTTCTAGCATTTTTTGTTTTGTTTTGCTTTGTTTTATACACATGATTTAATATGTCGCTAGGAAGATTCGATGTAGTGGCATCGAAGTATCAAAGTTTGGTCAAACAACGACTTAGTGGACTTAATCACTGGATTCAACCCCAACCATCGAAATTTGATAATGTCGTGATTGCAATGTCGTCAGGTGTGGATTCTTCAATGTCAGCAGCATTATTTAGTAAATATCCGAATGCTACTGGGATATATATGAGAAATTGGACTAATGCCAATGATTCGGATGAAGATGTGAAACATTGCGATGAACAAGATTGGAAAGACGCAATGAAAGTAGCCAAATATTTAAACATTCCATTGAATTTAGTGAATTTCGAACAAGAGTATTGGGTTGATGTATTTGAACCAATGCTTAAAGGTTACCAGTTGGGTTCTACTCCAAACCCTGATATTTTATGTAACAAATTTGTCAAATTTGGAAAACTGAATTCTTATTTGGATAAGAAGTATGGCCTGAATAATTATTGGCTTGTAATGGGCCATTATTCAAGAGTGTTGAATCAAGATAATGGAGATTCTTCAAAGAAGAAATACGGCCTGTTTAAAGGTATTGATACTCATAAGGATCAAAGTTATTATTTATCTCAAGTGAATAGCAAAGTATGGCCAAATACAATATTACCCATGGGCCATTTGTTTAAGAAGGAAGTGCGTGAAATGGCATCGGAATTAGAACTTCCTAGCGCAGAGAAACCAGATTCTCAAGGGATCTGTTTTGTAAATAATTCTCAAACTGGGAAATTCAAAAACTTTCTTAAAGAATATATACCTACCGATTCTGGTAATATTATTACTTTAGAAAATGTTGATAATAAAAATATAAAACGTAAATGGGGTAAACATGATGGTTTATGGTCTTATACCATTGGTCAAAAGATTGGAATTTCTATGCCTCAGGCAGACCCTCAATATAAAGGTACATGGTTTGTTAGTGAAAAGATTCCAGACACAAATGAGATTGTAATCGTCAGGGGACGGGATAATGCCCAATTATTTCATAATTGTCTGAATGTAGGTAACTTTGAGATTATTGATGACTCTATATCTGTTACTAATTTTGAAGAAACTATAGAAAATGGAATTACAGATGGAACATTATATATGCAATACAGATCATTGCAAAACCCTATAAAAGTGAAATCTTGTCAAACGGTACCTGCTATATCTACAGACACAGACCTTACAATAGAGACAAAATCTCCTAGATTACAATTAAAACTAGAACTTTATGAATCACATAGAGCAATGGCTGCGGGACAATATTGCTGTCTTTACAACGGTGACCAAGTCATCGGTAGTGGACCAATTCTAAATACTCGTAACGAGGTACTAAAGACATAATGAACTAATTCACGTTTCAAATATAGGAGGCAGCAAGAACCAGTTTAACAGCAAAGCAAAAAAAAAGAAAGTAGGGAGAGTAAAATTGAAAGGAGGTATATATCCAATATAAGGGCATGAAGGACATTTCAAAGTTTCACAGGTCATCCCATATTAATATATAGGTTTTATAGTGCAAAAATTATTAAAATTTTTATCAAAGATTAACCGTATTGTCCTAAAAGGTGGTGATTGACTAGATTCATCATAAAATAAATTTGTAAAAAGTTTTGAATCGTTCCTCGTTTTATCATTTATACTCTCTTATTTATAAAGCTGTACCCCTTGTATCTATCCATATTACTTAACTTTCGAAATAAAATACACAAACACCTATATGTATAAGTGACAAGGAGAATACTATCCTTACATGACGCCAAGAAGCCTGTAACTTTTTCCACTTATGCTGCTAATCAACCAGGGGTCTTCATTAAAATCAAGTTAGTGGATGAGAGTTCACCTACAGTAGTAACTGAAAAAAGTACAGGAAAACAATTGACTTATATAACAATACATATGAAAAATTGGTGAATCTATTCACTATTCAGTATCTGTCTATTTTAATTAGTCCCGAATATCACTGTCCCCATGCGAAGTACCTACTAACACAATATATATATAATTCAAAAATTGCTTAATGTTTATTATTTGAATGTATTGAGGAGTTGTCTACGTATTGATTTTCTCAATTAAACGAACCTTATTGAACAGCCATGAGGTGCATTCCACATCATAATTAAAAAAAGGTAGTACCCTGTTCATCCTAGCATTATTTTATCAACGATAGAATGCAACCACCACCAATCTCAAGAGAATCAAGAAGGGAAACAATTCCTGTTGTCAGATAAAAGAGTACTTTTCAAAATCTCTCTCTTTTCCAAACTGGAATTTGAACTGCTTTTTTTCTTTCACCAACACTCTTCTTTTGCTTCTGGAATACTGTAGGGCAATCCAGGAACCGAAAAGAGATTGACTTCAACCACCCCCACTATATAACTTTAAATATCAGTATCTCACTGCAATCCCAAGAAGAAACACGCAGATCAAATATCTGCCTGCACCAACAGTTTCAGAGGAAACAATAAAAGCCGTTCCTACTCTGGCTTTCTTGGTAAAGAACTACACGTACAACAGACGATCAATGTTCATATAAATATAAATATATTTCCTGTTTCTGTACTCATGTTCCTCGAGAGATGAAGCAGTTGATTATATAATATCAATGAGAATCTATTATATTCCAGATAAATAATTGCAGAGAGAATTCTTCTATAAATCAATTAAAACGACATCATTGATTTTCTCTGTTCTCAGAGTTTATCGTGTAAAATAACCCACCATAATTTAATAATTTCACCGGCGCGATGTGGAGCGGAGCGGGGCAACTGAGAGACAGCGAAGCCCCGTTACTATCGTTGTGAACGAGGCGGGAAGATCAATAACACAAGTTAAAATAATAATACTGAAGAAAAATCCGAAAAAAGTTTGATTTTCTGTTCCCTTCACCTAAGGAATAAACACAGATACACAATGAAACTGCAATTGATAGTTGCTATACAATAAGGAAAAGTTGTCCCTTCTCTTGTTCTTATTTTGCATTAAAAAGACCTAGTGAAGGGACAACTTCATACATATTCTTTATTTTAAATTTAAATTTTAATTTCCTTTCCCTCTCTGTCTTCCTCATTTTATTTTTTGGAAATTTATTAAGTTAATATATATTCATTATGTATTAACTGATTTTTGGAGTGCCCTCTTATATATATATATATATCTTGAATTGTTTAACTGAGTTTAAATAAAGACGAAAAATACACGCAACTATACATTACAAGAGGTAATAACAGTAGGAGTGGCAGAATACATATTATTCATATTCATATATTTTTAAACACAAACACAAAATATATTTACTTGAAGATACTCGCTACGCACTATTTTGTTCCTCATTGTTAAAATCTTTTTAATCTATTACATTCCAAACTATTGTTCTAATAAAAGAACATTCATTATATTTTTCTTCAAAATTTTTCAGTTTTTCTAAGGATAATTTTTTTTTAATCAAGGAAAAATAAAAAGGCAAAACAAACAATCAAATACACCATTATTTAAAGTTATCTGTTTTTATTTGCATCGCATCATAAATATTCTACTCAAAAAAGAACAAAAGTAATATCATTTTTCGTTGTTGTTATTATTGAGAAGTCTTTTCAAAGAAAAATAACAAGTACTACAACAAACTGTTATAAACACCATATGAATTCATACTCTAATACCATTAATAAAATACAACATTTCATACTCTTTAAAACAGTACAAAAGAAAAAAGACATATATTATTATTAATTATCACAAATACACACAGAAAAAGAAGAAGTAAGAGATTCCTTTAGAAGTTTTTATTTATTTTAAGCTTTTATTGCTTTAAAACGTTCATTAAGTGACCTCATTTTTGGGGTGACTATATCATTTATTACACAACACACAAACAAAAAAATAAATAATCAATCGAAAATGATTTTAAATACAACAACAGTTAATGTTGCATTGGGTCTACCCGGTATGACCTCCACATTTAATGGATTTCAACTTATAAGGATGAGAGTTCTAGCTATTGTAGCCGCATCTTCCTCTATTGTGGCAGGTCTTATAGGAATGCATTATTTGATGCTAGCAGATAGAAGGAAAAGAATGTTTAGACATGAAATGATTTTATTCTTAATCGTATGTGATTTTCTTAAAGCTTTGGTCTTAGTCATATACCCAGTCGTTATCCTTATCGATGAATATCATTATTCAAATCCGGTGTTTTTCAATATTTTGGGATGGTTCACAGCATTCTCTATTGAAGGTGCAGATTTTGCTATTATCTTTGTCGCTGTTCATTTCGGATTACTAATATTCAAACCAAATTGGAGATGGAAGAATACAAGAACAGGAAACTTAGAAGGTGGTCTTTATAAATATAAATTTATCATTTGGCCTGTAACTTTTATTGTTCCTAGTGTCATGGCATCCTTAGTTTTCATAGATTACAACATTATCAATTATGATATGGTGACAGATAAAGTACGGATCATCCAGGATAATAACAATTATGATTTCAAATTCGAGCCTAGAAGGGGTGGCTACAAACCATGGAGTGCTTGGTGTTACTTACCTCCAACACCACTATGGTACAAATACGTCTTGTCATGGGGTTTGAGATACGTCCTAATTCTTTCTATCTTTGGAATCTATTTTGCAATCTATATATATGTAATACAGGAGACCAAGAGAATTAGAAAACAATTGGGTGATTTTAATCCAAATGATAAAGATGGAAGTGGATCAAGAAAAGTAAAGAAAAAAAGACCATTCTGGCAAAAAATAGTATATGTTCCCTTTATCAAATTATGGGATTTAGTCATGGGGTTCTTCTCATTATCAATTGTTGATCAAATGAGTTCAGATTCTGACAGTGACTCCAAAAGTCTTGGTATGGATTTCATCAAGAAACCATTACAGAAAAGAAATACACATGATAATGAAAATAATAATAATAACGAAATTGGCCAAAATAGTAATAAACATAACGTTGATACAACAAGTGATTCCTATTCTTTGAATGACCAAATAACATTCCCAGATTCCATTAGAAATGAATTTTCAGGAAGTAACAATACTGCTGCAGATATTGAAAACTCACATGAACATGGTTCTGTTCCAACCACACCATTTAGATCTAATCATGATAGTTACGAAATGACAAATATGACACCACCAAATGATGCTAGAACGAATTCAAACAGTGCAGACAAAGTCGATTTGACAGACGTTAGATTAAACTTCCAACGTGAAACTTATAATAAAATGAAAAGAAGAAGAATGCAAGTTCAAAAGAACTTACGTTTCATTTTCATTTATCCGTTCTCATATTTGGTCATTTGGTCATTTCCTATTGCATCTGATATTTCACAAACAAGACATGAAGTGGTCCATGGTCCAATAGTTTGGTTAACATATCTTGACACATTTATTAGACCATTAAGTTGCTTAATTCATACGTTTGTGTTTATCTTTAGAGAAAAACCGTGGAACCTTGCATGGAATGTCGTTGAAACTTCTTTTCTATTTGATGAATATAAAGGCAGAGGTAAAATGACGGAAGAAAAAATTATGGCTCTCTGCAACAGTGATTTAGGAAAACGTGGTTGGTTCTACAGAGGTAGATGGTCAAAACTAGGCTGCTGGAAACATCAACCACAATTCTGGAAACGAGCCTTATGGTATATCGGTATAACAATAAAAGGAATATTCCAATTTAAAATTGTTTACCATGATAACTGTAATGATTCCGAGTATTGGAGCCGTTACTATTTCGCCGAAGATACATCAAACATCATTACCACTAATTCTCATGGGAATCAAGGCGATATGGAAAGTCCAAATTCAAAACATCCAACACGTCCAGAGACTGTAGTTTCATTTTCAACTAATACGTCAAATGCTATTAATAACCACGAATTTAACGAAGACAAATTTACAATCAACGTTCCATGGTATTGGAGAGTTCTCCATTATTTCCCTATGTTGCACGGTATTGATCTGGATGAATTAAACAGATCTTTATATCTGAACTACGAAAATGATACCGAACTGATGGGACCTGGCTTCGAGCTAGCCTTAAATAAACTTGCAAAGACCACCACTTCAAACACTTCAGAAAATAGTCAATCTCAAGACAATATGAGTGAAAATCCATTTAATAATATTCCCACACACAACCTACCTGAATCTTTTAATCATGAATCTAATAATAGTATTCATTCAATTAGTCAGGATCCACGTAACAACCGTCCTTCAACAACTCTGCATTTCGATGATTCAACAAATTTTTCGACATACCCTACAACGAGACGCAAACGTAGAGATAGTCGTTACGATCAAGATATTCTTGAACAAGATGGCGACGGCATGGATATATTGACATTCTTAAAAGGTCCAGGGGTTTAATAATATTTTTACAAGTCCAAAGTAGACTTGTTCGTTGCATTTTATAAAAACAAACTAATGCATTTATAAATACCTTTTTTTATCATTTCATATATAAATAAATGTATTATAAAAGTTTTATCATTCATTCATATAGTAATGTTTTCTATTTCTTACATAACAAAAACATAATTACGGCTTGGAAAATGCTAAAGAAATCTAGGGCATTGCAAAAATTACCGAGATCAACGAATAGGTACTAAAAACGATTGAATTGTTTTGAATACGTCCTAATAATCCAAGCTAAATAAGGTTAAGCTGCGAATGTTTGTACTTGCACGTAGTTTGGGGTTCAAGATAAGTTTAGAAGGTACATTATTTAGAACAAAGATGCCCCATATTAAAAGAGGGTTAACAGAAATTTCAGCATTTGACGAATTGCTTCAGGCAGAAGTTAAACAGGCAAAAAAGATACAAACACAAAAGTTGAAAAGAAGGAAACTAGAAGATACTAATAGTCTTATAAAAAAAAAGGGAATCAAGACACTTCGTGATGAAAAAGGTTTTAAACTTAGGGCTATAGAGTCTAGCAAGGACGGAAACAAAAAGAAACAAGAAGATCCTGAATATGAAGTTTCAATTGAGGGTGATCTTAGAATTGTTAAACCATATTATTTTACATACAAAACTTTTTGCAAACAAAGATGGAGAGAACGAAAATTGTTAGACATATTTGTGACTGAATTTCGAGACCGAAAGGAATCTTACTATAAGAAATGTATCGACGAAGGCTTTGTTTTCATTGACGACCAGGTTGCTAACATAGATACAATTGTTCATGACGGAAACCTTATTACACACAAGATCCATAGACACGAACCACCAGTAATGGCAACACCTATAAATATCATTCGTGAAGATGATGACATACTAGTAATTAATAAACCTAGTGGTGTACCAGTGCACCCAACTGGAAGGTACAGATTCAACAGTGTTACAAAGATTTTAGAGAAACAATTAGGATACACAGTACATCCATGCAATCGTTTAGATAAGCTAACCAGTGGACTAATGTTCTTAGCCAAAACACCAAAGGGTGCAGATATAATGGGAGACCAGTTGAAGGCGAGAGAAGTGAGTAAGGAATATATCGCCAGGGTAGTGGGCGAATTTCCAAAAGGGGAGATTACTGTTGAAAATCCACTAAGAACGTATGATCCAAGAGTTGCTTTAAACAAGGTCTGTGATATTAATGAGGACAGTGCTAAACATTCCAAGACAGTATTCCAATGTATTAGTTTTGATGGACAAACAAGCATCGTTAGGTGTAAGCCACTTACTGGAAGACAACATCAAATACGTGTTCACTTACAATATATCGGTTTTCCTATTGCCAATGATCCTATTTACTCGAATGTTTCTATTTGGGGATCAACTTTAGGTAAGAATGGGGAAGCAAATTTTCAAGAGATTAGTGAAAAACTTCATGAAATTGGGAAAACAAAGAGCATACAGAGTTGGTTCTATCGCGACATAAAAGGGGAAGTATTGTCGGAAGAGAAGTGCCCAGAATGTGACACTGAATTATGCTCAAAACCAGATCCAACCGAACTAACTTTATGGTTACATGCCTTCAAGTATGCATCGAAACTTGATCTAGATTCAACTGTTAATACTAATGAATGTGGTTTGAAGAATTGGAGTTATCAAACTCCCTACCCTGAATGGGCGCTAGAAGGACATCGTAAATTTACCGAACAATTACAGTCTTCAACTGATGAAAATTATCACTCCTTGTTAGTCCACAAGGATAAAATATTATCCGAAACCTCAGTAAAATTGAGATCATTGCAGATCAACCCAATTGATAATATGATCAATGATTATTTGAGAAAAGCTGGAAAGGACATTTTACCCGAGGGGTGCACTATATACTCCACATCAGTAGATCCAATTATAACAAGCAAAGAAATACAAAAGTACCAGTCCAATATAATCGCGATTGTCGTAAGAACCGATAAATATAGAGGAACACTGATTCCAGATAGTTCTGAACATTTGCTGGACAAAATTATACAAGTTCCAGACCTCGTACATTAGTGTCTGACCATATGTCATATTATTTTTTGTAGCACATCATAAATAGTCACTAAATTGAAAGTAAAAAATGGCCCATAAGGTGCTTTGACCTACAGGTTGACCTCCAATTGAACATCTCCCTCTTCTTCCTTTTCGGTCTCGGAAGAATTACCCTGAAAGTTGCCTTTATCTCGACCAATTTGAAATTTTCCGTTGAAGCTGCCAGTCGTGCAGTCAGTGTGCAGGGCAGCGTACTGAAAAATTATTGATATTTTTTTTTTCAACGCAGAAGCCTCACTCTCTGCACAGTTCAAAGAAAGAGAGATGTGAGATTCATGGACACCTATCTATATAAGCAAAAAGGAGATGAACAAAGGAACCTATCTGATAATTAGTTCCGGTTATTAATTTTATTAATTGAGTTGTTTATATTAGAGACAGTACCCATTACACCAATTATAACACAATGTCAAGAAGAAGAGTAGGTGGTAAACCAAAACCAGCTGGTAAAGCAGCTGCCGGTAAGGATCACCATACCCAATTTTTGGAAGCTTTGAAATTGTACGAAGGAAAACAATATAAAAAGTCTATCAAGCTTTTAGATACTATAATGAAGAAACAAATTACTCCAGATTTTTTGGCATTGAAGGGTTTAAACCATTATTTTCTTGGTGAAAAGGAAGAAGCTTCTGATTATATCGGGCAAGCCACCAGCAAGATTGATGGTACAAAGGCCTCTGCTATCTGTTGCCATCTTCTAGGCATTTATAAGAGATCGGTAAAGGAATACAACGAGTCAATTAAATGGTTCCAAGCTTCTCTTGATAACGGTTCTACCAACAAACAAATTTACAGAGATTTGGCTACTTTACAATCCCAAGTTGGTGATTTTAAGACTGCGTTGAACTCTAGAAAGAAGTACTGGGAATCGTTTGTCGGATATCGTGCTAATTGGACTGCTTTAGCCATTGCTCAGGATATCAACGGTGAAAGACAACAAGCTGTCAACACTTTATCTCAATTTGAAAAACTGGCCCAAGGTAAGATTAGTAATGCTGAAATGTATGAACATAATGAATGTTTGATCTATAAAAATGACATTATGTATAAAGCAGCTGGTGACAATCCTGATAAACTGAAGAATGTTTTACATCATCTGGATGATATTGAACCAAATGTATTTGATAAGTTTGGTCTTCTAGAAAGAAAGGCTTCTATCTACATGAAGTTGGGTCAAACCAAGGAAGCTTCTTTAGTCTATAGAACGTTGATCAAGAGAAATCCAGATGACTTCAAATATTACAAGTTATTAGAAGTTTCCTTGGGCATCACAACCAATAATAAACTAAGAAAGGTTTTATATGAAAAACTTGCATCATTTTACCCAAGATGTGAAGCACCAAAATTTTTACCATTAACTTTCATCCACGATGAAGAAGAATTAACAAAAAAATTAAGAGAGTATGTTCTACCTCAATTGAAACGTGGTGTTCCAGCTACTTTCTCTAACGTTAAACCATTGTATTTGAAGAGGAGAAATGTGGTTCCAAAGTTATTAGAAAATATTGTAACCCAATACTTGTCAGAGCAAGACTCAAGGGAACAACCAATCCCATATATCTGGTCTTGTTACTTCCTGGCTCAACACCACTTGAACCTAAGGGATTATCAAAAAGCTCAAGAATACGTGGAAAAAGCCATCGAACATACCCCAACTATGGTTGAGTTCTATCTGATGAAGGCTCGTATTTTAAAACATACCGGTGAATTAGAGAAGGCTGCATTGGTTTTGGAAGAAGGTAGAAAGCTAGACTTGCAAGATAGATTTATCAATTGTAAAGGTGTTAAATATTACTTGAGAGCCAACCAAGTTGATAAAGCCGTTGAAGTTGCATCATTATTTACCAAGAATGACGATTCTGTGAATGGTGTTAAAGACCTTCACCTTGTCGAGGCTTCTTGGTTTATCTCTGAACAAGCCGAAGCTTATTACAGAATTCACATATCTGCCCAAAAAAAATTGGATGAACTGAGAACTCAAACTGTGGATTCTGATAAAGGTGACTCAAATGCTGAAATTAAGGATTTAGAATGGTCTGTACAGAAATATAAGGGCTTATCCTTAAAGAGATTTTATGCTATCAGTAAATTCTATAAACAATTTGAAGATGATAAATTGGATTTCCACTCGTATTGTATGAGAAAGGGTACTCCACGTGCTTACTTAGAGATGTTACGTTGGGGTGAACGTCTATACACTCAACCAATGTATGTTCGTGCAATGAATGGAGCATCTAAGATATATTTCAATTTGTATGACAATTCATTGAAACGTAAACAAGAAGAGGGCAACGATGAAACTGTAAAATTAACTGAAAATGATAAAAAGAAGGCCAAGAAGGAAGCTGCAAGTCTAACAAAACGTAAAAATGAGGAAAAGAAACAAGTACTTTCATATTCGGAAGAAGAAGATCCTGATGTGTTCGGTGAAGAGTTATTGGCCACCAAGACACCATTGCAATCTTTCGGTGATAATTTCTACCAAAATTATAGCAAACAAGCAAAGGACTACGAAAGAAATCATGTCATCGATTTTGGATATCAATATAGAAATGGCAAGCTTGCATTATGTCTAGGTGCACTTTCCAAATTTGAAAAGAAATATAATCAAAAATCTGGATTATTTGGTGCTATGGCTATTGTATTGTTATTAGCTACCAAAGAAAGTAGTTCTATGGATATGATTGCTAAGAAAGTAGCCACGAAGGGATTAGAGACCGATTACTCCTTTTTACCTTTAAATGAAGTTGAGAATGAATCATTTGATTGGTTAAACTATTTCAAGGAAAACTTTAATAGTCTTGATTTGAATGCTTTAATATTTTTAAAACAGACTTCTTTATTTGAGGATGCAAGAGTTAATGAAATGATTTTGAGTGCTATCTCTCAAGATGAACCTCTATTACAAAACTATATCTTACAATATGTCTTATAGATAAAACTATATAAAACAATATAATATATATGTATGTACCTCTCTCTTTATATTAAGAGTCATTCAGTAATTGACTAAAAATTATCTACCCCAAAATACGAAAATAAAACAAAATATTCACAATTAGCGAACTGGTTAGAAAAAATAAAAAAAATAAAAAATGGCTGAAATAAAAAAGGTATACAAAACAACCATTAGAAGGAACCTCTGTCGGTTCAAAGGAAACATACAATAAGAAAGAGAGAAAGAGAGTATTGTCGAGTCGCTATATACAAACTTACCATAATAACAATAGGCTTCAATTCAAAACACGCACACACGCACACATAATTATTCCAAATCAGTTCGAGTTTAACGAAAAGAAAATGACTGAAAAATTATCAACTTCGATAAGTTCGAGTTCAGGAAATCCTGCTTTTCAAAATGATCGTAGACGTCGAGATAATATAAATGAAAGAATCCAAGAACTTTTGGATATGATTCCTGAAGAATATTTTGATAGTTATTATGCTAAAAATTCAGAAGGAGGCACACCTGGTAATACACCAAGTGGTGGTAGTAGTTCTGCAACAACGCCAGCAATGCCAGCAATTCCTAACGTGTCATCTACATCAGCAAAGGGTAAAGGCTCTGGAACAAGGGATGGAAAACCAAATAAGGGCCAGATACTTACGCAAACTGTGGAATTTATTACAAGATTACAAAATGAAGTCGATGCTAGAAATAGAGAAGAAGTTGATCTAATGGCTAAAGTATCCAGTCTCAGTAAGAAGACCGGTACTATTGTAAACGATATAAACTTAGAGCATACCAGTGCGGAAGTCGAGTTATCCAAAATCGGCGTTGGTCCTCTCGTAGGGATGGTGCATGATCAAACACTATCTGAAAATATGGAACAACAACAACAACAACAACAACAACAGCAGCAATCACAACATCAATCACAGTACGATTATGGTGGTTATTCTGAGTATGCTACCTGAACTCAAAAACAAACAAACTAATTTTACTTTACAGTATGAAAGGTATAACTTACCTAACCGGGGTTTATTATATCCGATGACAGAAACTCAGGATTTTGTTTTTCTCTCAACCTTCAGACATCTATTCTCCAAGTTTGAAAACCGGTTGCTTAAACCAGAAACCCCAACAAGGATCACTGAGAATGAATAGAATATTATAGAACGATGCGAAAAAAACCAACATTGAAATTGATATCACACATGCGCGCGACCAATCCAGCAAGCAAGCGATGACCCCATCAAGCAATCCCCTCACTCCCAATTCTTAAGAAAATATCAAAAAAGTGCAGTTTATTACCAGTAAATTATCACATAAATTTTGGTGAGACAAGGCGAGAAATTTGTATCGAAATTTCGCACATTTTTTCAAAAAAATTCAGTTAGGGCAAAGAAAAACAAATCCAAACAAATCAAATCACACTAAGAGGAAAATTTTTTTATTATCTTTCCTTTCTATTCACTGCTTCACGCGATTTCTAAAAGTTAACAGATAGATGGAATATCATTAGCGAGACGTGAACATATCTGTATCCAACAGGCATCGAGAGGCTAGAAACTCATATTTAGTACTTCTATCTCTCTCATTTTGATTATTATTTATTTAAATTTTAGTTCAGTTCAATAATTAGATAGTTACATCATATATATACATACACAATTGATTTATTACAACGTTCTTTATTTTAGAACTAAGTTCAAGAGATTCACATATATTTTCACTAATTTGATTTAATTTTTAAATTTTTAAATTTTTGATATTTTCAATTTTTGATATTTACATATTTTTTTTATCTCTTCCCTTAATAGAACAGAAAAGACTTAACAAACATAATACTTATATATAAATAAAAGTGATAATCATAAAGTAATAAAAAGTTATCAAAATAATAATAATAATCCAAAAAAAGAAATGGCAACAGCAACCCCTACTTCCAGTACTAGTACCAGTAATAATACTAATGACAGTAAGAAAAGAACCAATGAAGATGTAATTGATAACATTTCATTGACTAAAAGTAGTAATAACAGTCTATCGATAAATTCGCCCAATGAAAAAAATACAATTAATCCTAAAGAAATAAATAGCGCCATGAGAAAGAAAATGAAAAATGCTGTTTCGAGTGTTGTAGGTCCTCGTTCCGCTTATGCATTTTTTTTAAAAGAACATAAAGATAATATTGCAAAACAATTCTCCAACATATCGAAGAGTGAGCATCGTAAATTGATTCCAAAAGTTTGGAATCAATTAACATCTGAAGAAAGACAAAAATATCAAGATAAAGCTGATTTAGATAAAATTAGATATACTCAAGAAGTGGATTTGAAAATAATTATGGAACAAAATGCTGCTGCTAATATTGCTAATGCAGCCGCACATGCTGAAAAAGATGATAATCCAAATAAACAAATTGTAAATACAAATATAAATCATAAAATTTCAGGTCCTATTGCCCCAAATAAGCCAATTGGAATTGCTAAAAATTTAGTAACAAATAAATATATTTTCCCGAAATTCACTAAAGATGATACATTAAATGCAAGAATGTTTTTAAAATTTTATGGATCAAGAAAATTCTTAGATTCTTATTTACCAGAAGAATTAAATTCTTTATATTTATATTTCTTAATTAGATTATTAGGATTTGAATTAAAAGACAACGAATTAACAAAATCTATTTATAAAGCAGTACAAGATGAAGATGTAAAAGTAGAATCATCATTAATTTTCGTGAATATTGATGATCCATTATCAAAAAAACAAACTATTAGATTGATAAAAGATCTTCAAAGAGCAATTAATAAAGTCCTATCGTCCAGATTAAGAATTGTCACATTTTCTACTATAGATAATTTCGTGACACGTTTGCACAGTGCTAAAAATATAATTATATTGACAGGGGCAGGTGTCTCTACATCCTTAGGTATCCCAGACTTCAGATCATCTGAAGGTTTCTATTCTCGTGTGAAGTATTTAGGTTTAAATGATCCACAAGATGTGTTCAATTACGAGTTGTTCAAGAAAGAACCCTCTATTTTCTATAGTATTGCAAATATGATTTTGCCACCAGAAAATGTTTATTCCCCTTTACATTCTTTTATTAAGATGTTATCGGATAAAGGGAAATTATTAAGAAATTATACTCAAAATATTGATAATTTAGAATCATATGCACATATTCCAGCTGATAAACTTGTTCATTGTCATGGTTCCTTTGCATCTGCTACATGTGTCACATGTGACTGGAAAGTGTCAGGTTCCAAGATTTTTAAAAACATTAGAAATGTAGAATTACCGATCTGTCCAAATTGTTACAAAGAAAGAGTCAAAATGATGAAATTATACAATCCTTACGTCAATGGGAGTGCAGATATTAATGTTAACAATAAAAAATTCACTTCAGCTGAAATAGAAACGATATCTAATATCAAATCATATGGTGTTCTTAAGCCAGATATAACTTTCTTTGGAGAGCCTCTACCGGAGAGATTCTTTCAGTGTCTAATGGCTGATATGCATAAATGTGACTTACTGATCTGTATCGGTACCAGTTTAAAAGTTGCACCTGTATCAGATATTGTAAACATGATCCCAGCACAAGTACCGCAGGTGCTAATCAACAGAGATCCCGTAAGACATGCGGATTTCGATTTGTCTCTCCTGGGGTTCTGTGATGATATTGCTGGGTTAGTAACAAACCGATGTGGCTGGAAGTTTAATCATAAGGATTGGGAAAAACTTTCTAATGGGAAATACGACATTTCTGAACAAGAAAGAGGTGTGTATTCTGTTAAGCGTGAAAACAATTAGACCTGGTGTCTTATTGAGAGAGTCACACTAATATATACATCCCTATACATATGGTATATAATATATACTTCTTGATTGAATAAGGAAAAAAGGCATTAGAAATGACATTTTTAATCTTCAAGGGAAAAAAGACAATATTTATAATTAATTAGGTCGAAATTTGAATAGTGGGAGGGAAGTCATCGCGGAGGCTAAATAGAGAGCTAACTTTTTTTTTTTCAATATTAAAAATTGTTATTATGGATATCTAAGAATACATTTGAAAGTTGTGGATAAAAGAAGAGAAATAGCAATTAGATAGAGCATTATCGAACACACATAGTTTTATAGTTAGTAATAATGGATTATCAAAATCGTGTCGGGTCTAAGAAAGGTGGTGGTGGTATTGCCTCTGACTCACAGGCCAATTTAGCACGTAGAAAGAAGGTAGATGAGCTACTAAGACAAGGTGTGGAAGTACCATTCACATTCGATGAAGACAAGACCCCAGGTGAAGAAGATGAACAAAACGAGGATATTGCTAAAAAGACCAATACCAATCCGTACATATACAAGAACCATTCCGGTAAACTTGTTTGTAAACTTTGTAATACGATGCATATGTCATGGAGTAGTGTAGAACGTCATCTACAAGGTAAGAAACATGGTTTGAACGTCCTAAGAAGAAGTAAACTAGATAGCAAATATGGAAAACATGGATCACAGGGTAAACAGGAAACTGAAAAGACCCAGTTTGACCTAGATGTACAAAAGGAACGTGAGAATATACAAGATAATGGTGCCATACCGCCTTGCCAAGTAGTACGCATCATGGATGAGAAATCTGACCTTGAAGGTGTATGCATTAGGGTAGACTATAGTGGAGATAATACCATCACTAAGGAAGTAGATGCCGAGAATCCAATATTGTATTCTCCATTCGCTCGAATAGTGTCAGGTTTAGAACTTACATCGAAAGAAGAAAATGATAAGAAATATATAGTGGTAGCATACCCACCATTTAGCAATGTATCTATAGAGATACCGAACAGAGAGATATTATTCCGGGCAGATAACTATGTAGGGTATTCAGTGGATGAATTTAATAATAAATCTACTTATTGGGACAAAGAGCTTGGCTTTTTCTTTGTTCAATTTTTTTTCAAAAATGAGGAAAATAAAGAAGGGATATCATCTGAAAATTAAACAACATAATTTCAATGCATTTCTCACACCGTACTATGATTCATACATATCTAGATAGGTTATAATTTCCAAATCTCGCCTGGATGGGATGTCACACATCCAAATTTAGAACTGTCCTAATGTCACAACTCTGGCCTAACTCATTAATTACGAATACCTAACGTCACTATCTAATATATATATATATACACTAACAACAAAATCGTCAAGCATATATAAAGTTCATGATCGTTGTTTCAAACTACACCAGTATCATCTCGCCAGGCTGTTGACATATTTCCTTATTGGGTCCAAATGACCAACACTTTAATTTTGTCAAATTTGACCTCGCGGCGGAAGTTGCGCAGCTGAAATGAACAACTCGTTGATTATTCATGCTGGGCTGTTCGAGTACTGGGCGATGATATCCAATTGTATGAACTGAAACTGAAATGGTAAACAGAATATTAATGAATTTTGCAAGAAGGGGAAATTAATCATCTATTAATTGAACCTACCATGTATATTCGTATTGTTTGTTTGATCGAATGACATCTTTTAAGAACGATTTATGTCATGATCGAATTCTAATTTAGACACGTTTATTAAAACTATTGTGATCTACAAAATTATTAAAAATAATATATATTTCGATATATAATTCCATAGTTAGATAAGAAAAAAGAATTCCCGTTAACAACAATTGAAAGAAGTGGTAACTTTGGAAATAAAGTGGTAAAAAGATTATATAAACTAGCAAATTTACATATAAGAATAATATAATCAGAAATCAAATGTCAGAGAAAATGTCTACAGAAGGATCTAATGAATCCCCATCGAAGAAATCCATCAATACTACTAGATTATCCGCTATGATGAATTCGTTAGATGGATTTAATACAAACATGACTACGGATAGTAGTAAGCCAAGTGAATTCTCCGCTGTTGCACAAGAAGAAGAAAATGGACAACAACAGCAACAGGAACACATAGAAAGCACAGTAGTTGCACCAGCATTGGTACCTCCACCATCTTTAGCTGACCTACCAGATGGATCTCATACTCCAAAGAGTTTTCTATATACTAAATCACCTGGAAATAAATCACCTGGCGTGTACTCTCAATTTAGTCCCGCTGGTACAAGATTAAGCATGTATTCTAACTATTCAGGTGTCATCCAGGAGGGTACAGGTGTGTCGTACGTCGTGAAAAATAACGTGAACAGAGATACCAATAATACGAATCAGGTACAAACTAATACTGAGTGCGGAACCACTCTTGAACAACCGCCTCATATTGAGGTATTCTTGGAAAATCAAGATGAACTTGACATCAATGATGATTCCCCTTCTAAGAAGATGAATAAACCTCAAAGGTCAAAGAGTAACTTGATTATTGAGACTATACCGAATGCAAAACCAGTAAGTCGTTATAACTCCTTAAACTCCAAACCAGAAGCAATTACAGCAACTGATAACGTTCCAACGTTACCTATTTTGCCCAATGAGGAGAAAACTATAAGTTACACAAACGATTCTATCCATCTATCTAAAGAGACAACAAAGAGTATCAGTAAGAATCTTTCCATTGGTTCAGGAAACCTTGCTAGTGAGAGTGGATCATCTGCATATTATCCATTCAACCACCCATTAGAAGATGTATTGCTAGAAAAAGGAAGTGAAGAAACTACAAGAAATCACACGCCTGGTAAATCAATAGATAATATATCCAGTACTTCTAGTGAATTACCACCTTTACAAACATACCAAACATCTAGTGTCAAATCTTTAACTCCTGATAGGTCTGAAATGGCAGATTACAACCCCACTGTTCCCTTAAGAAATAGAAAGAGACCAGTCTCCAGGAGTTTCCTAAATAATGAACTTGATAAGATAGAAACAGAATTACAGCAAGAATTAAATGATACTAATCAATCACATGTAACAGTTCATACGAAAGGTGGTGATTCATACTTTTCTGCTGAGAGTGATGAGCCAAATGAAGTAGCTGATCAATTATACAGGGAGAGAAGGGTTCCAAGCAATCCTACCATGCGAAGTAATAATAATAATCAACCAAAAATCCGTAGCACTCTACCCCATATTGCTAATATTGCAAAAACCAATAAGGATGATGGATTTGAAGATATCGAGGAAGGACACATATTTAGTAACCACCCATCCAGATCATCTAGAGATACACACAATCATAGACAGAAACCTGGAAAATCATCAAGGCATAAAAAGAATTCCTCGAATTCATTTGATACAAATACGTTATCTCAGTTATTGATGATAACTAAAGGTACGCTTGTTGGATCGGAGTTTTCCAACCTAGGTATGAAACTAGAAGAAAAAAGATCTTTAGAAAGATTAGTCGACTCTCTTTCTAGATTGACTGCTGATATGATATTAGATCCTGACCGTTATGATGAAGGTATAAGGAGATTAAATAATGCTGTAAAAGCTTTGGATGGCTTCTAGGAAGAAATTCATATATTTTTATTAACAAAGCAGCTACATTTGTCATATTGATATTTTGGAAATTTATTTATGAACTTACCTATATCCACAATAAAATAAAGCATTCAAACCACAACAAATAATTGATTCGGTAATAGACAGAATCTTATACGCATTAAATATATATATAAAATTATCTAAATGAACATTCCAAACCGTTGTATTCCATTATCCATGAACAAGACCAACTTAGACTACATCAAAATTACTGTAATATTATTTCTGTATATTTTCTACTGTCTGAGTATATACAAAAAGTAGAGGCATGTACTAAGGTGAATATATAGTTCGAGTTTAATACTCTCTTCTTTGCATTTTGGTCTTTGGTGTCTATTTTTATTTTCTCCGATAGTTTATTAGGACACTGAAAAAACAACAATGAATCTGGTAGCAGCTAAAGGTTCATCCATTTTGAAAGCCTCAAATAACATATATATTCACAAACTGATAAAATAGACGAAGGACGAATAATTAGACTAACCTACATTTTCGAAAAAAATCCTATATTGTTTATTCCTATTGACATATAACAACTGGCACTAGAAAATGTTGCGTTATAGTAGCAGTAAAATACTACAACTTGGTACTCGAAATACTGCACGCTTACTTCATACAAATGTACAGATATTACAACAAATAAAATTAGAGACTAACACACCACTGTTGGATTCAACTACAGAAAACCTTAAAGAAGATGAAGTTGAGGCCAGTGTGAAAGAACGTATGATATTTGGGAGTATATTTGAAAGAATGCAACGAAAGGAAGAACTTCGAAACCAGAGAATGTCTGAACTACTAGACACTGAAGGAGATAAAAAAGGAAAAGATATTGGTGAAGTGAAGGTGAATTTTGGACAAAATGAACAATATGAAGATATAGATCCTGAAGATATTAATCTGGTAGAATATTTCAAACAAGAAAGTGAAAAAAATAAGGAAAATGATGATTTATTTTCCAAAGTGGATAGAAACAAGAAAGGTGGAACAGGTAAATCGTCTATCATTTATGACCTTTTTGAAAATATAGAGAAATCTATCCTTCAAAATAAAAAAAGAACTTTAGAACAAGCTGATGCTATGAAGATCGTCAATTTCTCGCCGTCATCATTACCAACACCGAATGTCATACAATCTCAAAGTTTAGGGATTGATGTCAAAAAATTGGAAGACGAAGAACGGTATAAAGCAGCCATGGATAGCGCCATGAAACCATACACTGACCAGTTAAAATTGAGTATTTCATCTGATTATGATGTCCTTGAGAAAATAAAGGAGATGATTAAATTGTTTACAGCAAGAGATAAATCGCTTGATAGTTTAAATAATAATCAACCTGTTGATATTATCAACACAATAAAGGGCTACAGTGAGAAAAATTCCGAAGTTATCCCTGAACCTTATGTAATCACAATACCGTACTGTATGCTTAGACTCTTAATAGGCCCCGAATTTAATATGTCAAGCGAGAGGAAATACAATATAGCAACTTACGTCTATCACGAATGTAAGACATGCCAGGATTTATCATTGTATTTAAACATGTGCAATGTAATTTTCTATAACCAACTGCTGAGACTTTCATGGGAGAATTTCAAAGATATCAAGCGCATATTGGACTTGACCACCGAGATGAAAATCAACGGTATCCTTGGTGACATCGAGACTGTAGAACTACTAGGTACATTGATACGAGATATAGATGCTACTTACGATGATTATCTTCCAGTTGAAAATAATATTGAGGAGAATAGTGGAACAGCTAAAGGTATTTTATGGACACACCAAACAAGAATATACCTGAATGAAGTGAGAAAATACTTGAAACAACTAAAACTTGCATTAACAGCCGAACAATCGTAGTACCGAGTCTTCTAGTTGTCCCTCTTTTTCTTCTTCTTTACATTGTTTCAACTAAATAGCATATATATACATATACATATTTGACGTTGGATAGTCACCGACGACCTGTACATAAAATCAAAATATAGTCTTCTGGCTATTTTAATCCAAGGGTGTGACACCTTTTCGATGTAAGGTCGGTTATTTATGAGCTGTCTATTCGGTTCAATCGAGAGGATGTATGAAGATATAAACGTTTATATTGGTTCAAAAGTGTTTGTGCGTGTCTCTTTCTGGCTGTTTCGCTTACGAAGATCACTGCGCCGCCCGGTAAAATGCAGTACTTTCACAATTTCGATTATTAAGCAAATCTTAGGCTACAGAAGAACGACGATTTAAAGGCAGATGCATTGAAAGAGAGAGATAAAGAGAGGGTCTAGGGATAGGAAATCTATTTATACCAACAAAGAGTATAAAATAATTGAGGTATATTCTGTTTATTGTGATCTGTTGGATTGTTCATTTATATTCTTATCTAAGATACATACCACCCCTGTAAATATACGACACTAATCTGTCCCGGTACCAATATTATAAAGCACGAATCAAATTAGGACCTTAGTACCAGTAAAAGTCGAGATAATCTAAAGTTATATTGAAGAAAAATAATCAAACCAAAAATGTCATTAGGTGAAATTGCAGAAAGGTGTTATAACATGACGACATCGTACCTTAAGGTCTCTACAAGTAGTATAATAATTAAGGAGACCCAAGATGCAGTAAGACTGACGAGACAACATCTCCTCGAGGAGGTTTTTACACGTTGGAGTCCTCTAAATGGTGAAATTTCCTTCTCTTATAATGGGGGTAAGGATTGTCAAGTTTTGTTATTATTATATTTAAGTTGTTTATGGGAATTCTTCATAATACAAGCAGAACGGTCTCAATATGATTTCAAATATCAAAAGTTCCCAATGAATAATCTATTTTCTGTTTACATTGATCTTGCCAAGACATTTCCTACGTTGGAGAATTTTGTGAATTTAACATCGGAACGATATCAATTGAGTCTTTATTCGTCAATGCGAGAACATGGAACTAAGGCATCGAATATGTCATGTGCATTTGGAGATTTCTTAAAACGATATCCTGAGACACAAGCAATTTTGATAGGTGTTCGTGCTACGGATCCATTTGGTGATACACTTATGGCGATACAAAAGACAGATTCGAATTGGCCTGATTTTTATCGGGTTCAACCTATTTTACATTGGAAATTAGCCAATATATGGAGTTTCTTATTATATTCCGATGAACCGATTTGTGGATTGTATGGTAATGGTTTTACATCGATAGGTGGTATCGATACAACAATTCCAAACCCATATTTGATCGATTCCAAAGATAATCGTTCAAAATTATCTTTAGAATTTCAATGGGAGATAGATAATGCATTCGAAAGAGGAAACGATAAAATCAACGTATTAGAGGTTGATCCTGATGATCAATTATGGTTGAAGAAACTTGGTTCAGAGAAATACTTACCAGGATGGTATTTAATCAATGATGAAATAGAAAGAGCCGGTAGAATTAAGAAATAGTACCGTTTCTATAAAAGACAAACGTATGATTGTAATATGCATGTATTTTTTTTTTTAATTATATTAAAGATATATATATATCTAGATAGATGGATAGATGAATGGTTGTGTATATACAGGAATAGACCTTAAACTGGGATATGATGAATAAATGAGCATAGAATATATATGTGATGAAATATATGGGAGAATGATAATAGTATCATTATAATAATTTGGATGCTACATTTGGATTTCAATCATGTGGTTTACCGCTAATCTTACCATATAGTCTAGCAGCGTGATAGTTGATATTACTCTTTTGTTCTTTGTTCGTCTTCCCTAGGGCAGTCTCCGAAGTGCATGCCTTCAACTGTGCTGCTAGGTCTGCACAAGCTGGGTTCATATGTCCATTAGAAGACCAACATTGTAGAAGATTTGACATTAATACGAGACATCTGTTTGTCTCTTGTTTAATAACAGGCTTTTTCACTCTAAGACGAGGTAAAGGTGGTAGACGATACACGGGAACTTTTCCAGACATTATTTATTGATGATATGACCTCAGTGTATCAGGGATAAAACTATTAATGTAAATGTAAAATGACTTTGTTATTCACTGCACTTCAGTTTAAAGTTATACTCCCTTTACTCTTGTTCGTTAAATGCGTTTCACGATTTCCAGCTTTTTATTTTCTTAATTTCGCTGTGAACCCAGAAAGAAGGTTCCAAACAAAGAAATTGTCCGGGAGGGTAAATATTCTCTATCATCATCGATATAAGAGAGGGAGAGCTCTGTAAAATTATATATTAATTATTTTATTATGTCCTAAATAGAATCTAATCAATACATTAAATATTTTTATTAAAGATTATGTAGCTGATATGTATGTGTAATATTTTTATTATTCTCAAAAAGGGAAAACTCAAATACTATTTTCTCCTTCTCTATTTAGCGAAGACCATATTATAATTAAACATTATAATATCGTTCAATTACAAAGGAAAGATAACTTCACCTGTAATGCATGTTAATAAGTCGTTATCTATAGTATATGCTCTTGCTAAGATAGTGTATTTACCAGGTGGTACTTCATCTGGGATTTCCACTTTTTTCTTCAAGTCATATACACCTGGTTTCACTGGACAAGTCAAACCGTTAACATCATTCTCCTTTAACACCTCACATAAATCAAAAGTCTGTGTCAACAACTTTATATAGCCCAGTCTTACTTCAACATCGACATATGCACCTTCTTTGATAGTAGTCTTGACTTCACCGGTAGCGGTAATCAACAATTCGTTACCACGTTCTGGTGGATTTGGAGATAACACTACTGCAGATATGTCCAATAACTGTTTTTCCTCTAGGTCACAAAGTAATAATGGTGATTCACCTGCGATAGGTTTAGTGGTTCCAGGGATTCGTTCTGTTTCGAACACCACTGAGGCACTGACAAGTGCAATATAAAACGTAATAAATGTAACGATATGTCTAATGGTAAGCATATTTATATATATAATGTGGGATTAGTAGATATATTATGATTTAAAATGACACAACTTCTAAATTTATATATATATCTTCCTTGCTGTATCCCTTATCTTGATTACATATCGACTTGTGACTTCAAGTGTCTTCTTCGTTTATATACAATTTACAAAAAATTGGCTCAAACGGAGTTTCTCAACTGATTTCTGCAATTTTGTGTTGAGGCGATAGTGAAGCTAGTGAGTTGAAGAGGAATGTGCACCGTCAAAGTCAGCCCCCATTGACATAGGTTGCCAACGAATAAATGAATAACTTTAATTATTATTAAATTGAATTACATTATGCCCTGTTGGAGGGACTACAAAATATATATGAGTTTATGCATATGTACTGATTATGAAAATAGATAAGGATAGGGATAGAGAGACAAAAAAAAATAATATTAGAAGAAAATAATAAAACATGGCATCGACGGAAACTGTTTGTTCTTAGATTATGGTACAATTTATGGGCAAATAAACATGTCCAATGTGTAGGTTTGTTTAGTCCATTCTGAAGGTGAAGAAATATACGTGAATATATATATATTATCATCATAAGTTCTGCCTTACAAGAAATAGCCTGCCCTTTGATTATTATGATTGACTGCAGCTTCCTGTATGTAATCGTCAGGTACCGCACTAAATATCTTGAATGTAGGTTCTAAATCTTCATCCACTTTCATCACACTTGCAACATTACCACATCTGTAACAATAATTTGGTGCAGACCACACAGTAACAACATCCTTTTCTGGGAAATGATACTTGAACCCTTCCATAACCAACTGATGAGCTCTTGCAATCAAATTTAGCCCATTGACATGGTTGAATTCACGTGCAACTTTACTACCAAATAACCACCCAGCACCTCTAGGTGATACTTGCCATGCTTCGACATTATCAGGATCTGACCATAATAAATCAGAGAATCCACCTTCATGTGGTACTTCTTGAGCACGAGAAAGTACTCTAATTTGATCTAACATTCTAATCTCTGGTGATAATCCACCATGTACACAAAGTATTTTCCCATCGATAATAGCTGCTAACGTCAAGAAATCAAACACTTGACAACAATATTTCCATACAGTAGTAGAACCATATTTGTTTAGACATTCTTCATAAAACCCATAAACTTGAGTAATTTGACGAGATTCATGATTACCACGCACTAAAGTGATCCTTGACGGATATTTTACTTTCAAACACATCAATAATGTAAAAGTCTCTAAACTGTAGTAACCTCTATCAACGTAGTCACCTAGAAACACATAGTTAATATTATCCGGGAATCCACCTGCTGTACGGAACAATTCTAAAAGATCGTGGAATTGTCCATGGATGTCACCACATACTGTCACAGGTGTCTGTACAGGTTGAATATTACTTTCTTCCATCAACAGTTCCTTCACCATTTCACATAATTGTTTCATTTCGTTTTCAGTCAGTGACTGACATTTCTTAACTGTCTCTAGCCAGTCGTCGACACCTCTACTACTCACACTCATTTCAGTTTCTTTTATTCAAATCTTTGTTGTTCTTTTTCTTCCAAGCCTTGGTGGATATAGTATATATATATATATATATATTGTGTAGTCTCTATCACCTCTCTTTAAAGACCTACCCACTGGATGTGATTAATGTTCTGTTGGGTCATCTATCTGTTCACCCATCAACTAACTCATTCAATTATTCATTCACACCGTCTTCTCCTTATAAATTGAAATATTTTTTTCTTCTTTGGCCGAAAACTTTTTTTGAGTTTTTGGCTGGGGAGATTAATGAATTGTACATATTATATCTTAAGATGACGATAAAGGACAAGAACTAGAAGAAGAAGGTTATTTCATTGGAGACAAAGTTGGAATAACATTTTGAACATTTTTGGGAACTGAACAAGTGTGTTTTGAAGGGATGAAGCTGGTGAATTTTTTAAAGAAGTTACGGAACGAACAAGTAACGATAGAGTTGAAGAACGGTACAACAGTATGGGGAACGTTACAATCTGTCTCGCCACAAATGAATGCAACACTCACTGATGTTAGATTGTCTGTACCATCTAACGCTAGCAGATCACAAGCCGCTATGTCTAGCGTATATCTATCCGGAGCCACCACTGAGAGGTCAAAGGATGGAGTATCGGCATCATTACAATACATTAATGTTCGTGGAAATACTATTCGACAGATAATCCTACCAGAATCCTTAAATTTGGATTCTTTATTGGTCGATGATGCACAATTGAATCATTTACGGAAGAGTGGGCAAGTTGCTGATTCAAGTACTCGTAAGAGAACTTGGGATTCCGATACACATACAGCTAAGAGAGCAAGAAGAGGTGTATAATAGAATAGAATAGAATAGAGAAGGATAGAGAAGAAAAGAGGACCGTATATGAAGTGGCATCAATAGAAATTGTTCTTCTGGATATCAGCCTTATGTAGCGTTTTGTGGTATTTGGAATAATGACAAAAATTTATGATATATGTATACATATGGATATATATTTATTTATTTACAAGGGGGAAAGGAAGTGTATGTATCTTTTTTTAAAACCATGAGACTGTATTTTTCTGTTTCTTCTCTACACGTCTAGCAAACTTCTTACCTCTAACCTTTGCAATGGTATTATCAGCCTCCAATAATGCTTTTGAAATAGCTTCTTGTCTAGCGGCTTTACTTAGTTCATGTTTGTGTCCCTTTGGTAATAGGACACCCTTCATAAAGGTCTTCTTCTCGTACTTCTCTTCAAAGAATAACTTGTCCTTTATTGGTGGAAGAAACTCTGTCACCCCATAACGATGTGCTAGTTTGAAGATCTCACTCATGCGTCTCTTAGAGTAAACTGGATCGTGATAGTTCTGTGTTACCGGATGTCTATTGGCAATAAATGGGTTAGCATCCAGAGCATTTGTCGATACAGAACTTGAAGCATATTTCACATGAGGTGGATACTTAAAAAAAAATTGTTTCAACAGTTTAGGTAATGCCTCAAACTGTTTCAATGCAGACATGGCAAATTATGTAAAAAAAAATATTCAGTGTTGCGTGTTCACTTGTTTGTAACCTAAGTAGTAACTAATATGATATCGAGGGCAGTTAGTTATATCTTCTTCTGTTAATATCCTATTTGTTCGAAGTCAATTTTTGTTTTCTGTTTCTTGATAATGAAGAGACTACCAACTTGGCTGGTCCTTATTTTGTAATATTTTTTTTTCATCTATTGGCTCCCCCTACATGCGAAGAGATAGAAACTAAGAGAGTATAAACATACATACATACATACATCCATATATAAATAAAAAATTAGAGAACTAGACACGAAGAAGCACTTAATTGCAAATGTTTTATACACTCATGATCTATCTATACAGCATATTATATTATGTATTATGTAACGCTATTATATGGAATGGAATGGGTTGCTTTCTTTTTTATTTATCTATATCGCAAGGTTCTTAGTACCTTCTTCTGCCTCGCGCAACGCCTTCCTACGTTCTACATCCCAGTTATATAATCTTGCACAATTGACTTCCATTGTAGTAATATTCTCTCTTAGAAATTCTACATCTTCCAGAGCTGTCTCCAGACCCTTTTGTGCGGCTTTATGACGTTCTTGTAACAATACAATTGCCTCGTCAACGGGATACTCTAGCATCACGTCTGCACCTAGCCATAGGCCCACTTTGGCATCCTTTGTATCTACAGTAGCCTTTGTATATAGAGTATCGTTCAATTGATAATGAACTTCCATTTCATTATCATCTTCATCGGCTGATAAGTCGTGGTGACGTTGTAATGTCTCACACACTTGTAAAGTGTGCTCAATGTCTGGAATACGTACACGTAATTGTTTCACCGTCGAACCTTTCGATTCTTGCATATACTTATACATTGACAATCTGTCTTGGAATTTACTAAACACTAGATCAAAATCATTGGGGTCCTTAACAAACTCCTCCACTTCCGCGACAAATGGAGCAGCTGGAATTCCTCTAGCATTCTTCTCCGTACTGTTAAATATCGTATCCATCGTTGCTTGTCGACTTTGGTCTACCACACATTCTCTTCTCCCTTCCTAACCGTTCACTACTTAATAGTTGAGTAATCTCTTTTCTTCTGTTAATTTTAATATGAAAACTTTTTTTCTTAACAGTGGGAAAATCAAGCGTTACCCTGAACGCTTCTGAAATAAATTTATTGATAGTGCATAGCTAGCCACTGAAAGGTAGAGCTCATCTCTTATCCACTAGGATACTTTAACGTAGTGATAGAATATTTTGGAGCATTCAACTATGTTAAAAAGAGGTTATACTACCCAAATCTCTTTTCATTGTCTGTCTCTACCTGTCTAATTAAACGTACTTGTTATGCCTATGTAGATGCATATCAATTATCTGCATGTATCATTATTAGTCCAGTAGCTAGCAATGGTCCCATACACAGGCCAATTTTTATCGTGACTACGTTGTTGCTGTCGAACCTACCCATTATCAATAACGTCGATGTTAATAACAATCATCACGCAACATGAAATGTACCAACAAACTATACACTAAAAACTACAAGAAATGGTCTTATCTCCTGTCCCAAACACCGACTGAACTCCCCGCCAAACTCGCCAACTCAGCTCTCTCTGCCGTGGGAAGCTAACTCCGCTCGCTTGCCCCGCCCCCGACTGGCCCCGCGCTGTCAAAAGGGGAAGCTCACCAAAAGTTTCATTTCACGTTTTCCTGCAGACTTGGGAACTTTCTTAAATAATCACCATCAACAATACAAATAATATATATAAAAGGGGACAGTTGCGTTTGGTAATGATCTGTGGTTTCAACTCTCTTTCAAAGTTCTTGGTAATCATTCATTCCCGTCTGGTTTCTCTTAGTTCAACTATACTGAGTATACATATATAGGTATATACATTTGCTTTCTCATCATGATTAACAATACAAGAGATATCTCCATTTTACAACAACCACTGGATGATTACTTATCCAAGGACTTATCCTTAGGTGAACTAGAGGTTCTGGAGTCTCAAACAAGCTTACCAAAGTTTGATGATGAGACCGCTTTTGAATTAGGTTGTTTTATTAGAGCAGAAGCTCGTAAAATGTTCCCTGACAAATGTATCACTATTGATATCTCATTGCCTTCTCGTCATTGTTTATTCCGTTGTACTTCCATCAATGGATCTTCTTTGGATAACACTAAATGGGTTGAACGTAAACAAAATACAGTGTTCCGTTTCAATCATTCGACTTTCTTTATTCGTCAAAAGAAGGGTGATATCCCCATGGAACAAAGATTTTTCATCTCTGCTGAAGAATATGCTTTCCATGGTGGTGCTGTTCCATTATTCGTTGATAACGTTTCTTCGCCAATTGCATGTTTGACTATTAGTGGCTTGAAACAAGAACAAGATCATTTCTTGGCTACTACTGCATTGCTACATTTTAAAAAATTATTATGATTATTGCCTATTACATCCACTTCTATAAATATATAATATTATTATTTTAATCTATTTATCAATGTATCTATTAGTTTTATTCGATTAATTAATTATTGTTCTATTCTACGCATGAAGAAAGGTACAAGTCCATTCGTCTGCCATTGTAAGTGCAATTTATCTCTTGCTTCAAGAAACCACGCAAGACTAGGTTTAATGTTTTCAGTCTGTGGGGTTTGATAATACCGATTCCTTTCAGATTGTGACACTTGTAATTTTAATAGGTTAATAAGTTCAGGTGAAAAAGTTTGTCTTCCATCTTGACCACTAACTTGATTACTGTTACCAACAGATGTAGTAGTCATAACAACATTATCTAGTGAACTCTCTAAATCACTCATGAAACTTGAACTATTATGACTCTCTCCAGAGGTCTCAAATTCACAATTCTCAAATAATTTTGAAGCATGCTCATAAGCATACGTACAATTTTCACACACAATCTCTTTAAATTGTTCATGATGAGATAATGTATTGACCAATTCATATAATGGTCGCTCACAAATAACACATTTTCGTAATTGTGGAGTTCCAATTCCTAAATCAGATATATATTTATCACCATATTCCGAAACGCTATGATGATCCTCAGGGTTTAATAATTCATTCACCATATTACACATTCGTTTTCGGTTATTATTATTACTATCTTCAGGGACATTTGGTAATTTACTATTACCTTTCTTAAATTTTAATGGGATATGTGAATCGTTACGTTTATTCATTTTACTCCGAAGATCAGACATTGATACACGTTTCTTAGCACCATTCTTAGATAATTCATTGTAAGGGATATAGTCTTCTATCATCACAATAGGTTGTCCCTCTTCTTCCTCACCTTCATCAATACCATCTTGTGTGATCATCAATGGATTGGGAGTTCCATAACTAATATATCGATTCCCATTTTTATTATGTATCCTGATCTCTTCAACAAGGTTTAATTTTGATTTTTGAATTCTTAGGTTAGGTTTGACGCATTCATTCGGTTGATAATGACATAATATATTAGACTCCACACTGTTTCCACTATTAGAGGACGATGATAATGAATATTCAGATCTGTTTTGTGGAGGCGGTACCAATGGTAATGTTGTAATCTTATCCACCTCTAAGAGGTCTAATTTTGAGGTTGATTGTGCTAATTTTGATTGCATTCTTCTTTTGGCACCAATCAATTGTGATTTACGTTTCTTAACCTGTAATAATTCTGGTCTACTTGAACTAGATCCGCTAAAATTATGTCTTTTCTTTGAAGGTGTACTATTACTATTAAAAACGAAATCTTTCTTTTCCAATTTCCATTGTAACATTCCATTACCGTTTTCATCATTGTGAGGCAATGATGGGGTCGTTGGAGTTTTATTTCCCCGATGATTCATAAAGCTATTTGCATTCGATTTTAAACCACTTAAATTTGTGGATGATGCGGATGAGATTATTGATAATGAATTTGTATCTAAGGGCTCAAATACCCTCAATCTAGTCTGTTCGTCCATTAATTTATAACGTTTGTTTTATTCCTATATTAAGATTTTGTTCCAAATCAAAATTAGTTTTTAAAAAGATTGGTATATATGTTTAACAGATATTAACTATAGAAGTGAAATCGTAACCTGAAAATTTGTTCCTCTTTTCCACCGTCGAAATAATATTGAAAATATGTTTGTGTATATATTATTTGTAAATTGTAGATAAATAACAACTCAAATTAAAATAAAAAGACCCTTCTTTCACTTAGTACTGATAAAGAGATGCTCAAATAATATTTATAAATATAAATAGATAGATAGATATTTTGATCATCGTTAGTATTATTATTAGTATAAACGAACTCCTTCTTACGGCTCTGTTGTCATTTTACCCGATTCGGGCTTTTCTCCATTTTTGCATTACCAAAGCCGCAAAATAGATGTGCGATGACAACGCCGTATATTTCTATTAGTTTACAGTTTGTCTGTTTCATTGTTTTTTCACTTACAATCAATTCACCAATTTGGTGAGAATGAGAGGCCATTCTTGTTCAATTGTTTATAAATTTCTGATCGCTTTTTGAACTTCCACAATACTGGCAGTCAGATTTTCAGGACCCAATGGAGAATACCCTAACGATGTAAGGATATCATGTCTTTCACCTGTTTTCAAACTGGCACAGGCAGAGACAATTTGTTCTTTATATGTTTTGAATAACTCATCACAATGGTTTCTCAACTCAGTAAGCTTCTGTTTTATCCGTGTTTTCTGTTCCTTATCTTTGATCCTTTTCATATTATCCAGAGTCTTTAAAGTGGATATATGAGTTAGATACGTCTGTCTCCCTCTCCATGTAGTAGGATTAATATTCTCGGCGGAAATATCATTTAATAAGCTGGGAAGATTTAATGCATTATTGTAATATATATCATTGATAATCTTAAACGAGATGTTTTCTGCAGCAGTCATATGTTTTGAAACGTCTGAACCCTCAGTTAACATACCTAGTAGTTTATTTACCATATCTGATTGTTTCCCAGTTGGAATAGCATCAATCATGAATATCTTGATTAAATTATAAATAATCCACTCATTATCTATTGATAATACAGATAAACATTCTGGAACATTTGTCTTATCTAATTCTTCTGATAATCCATATATTGACCAGTCTCTATTATCAGATAATTGAGAATCACCAGTAGATTCAATTTGTCTTAAAATGCCACGTAGGGATTCGATTAAAGCAGTACGTTTATCGTTACAGATATATGTCATGTTGATACCGTCACATAATTTACTAAATCTTCCAACGGATTTCAATAGACGGTCTTGGAATTCAAACATCCCAAGGATTTTACTATATGATTTTCTATCAAACGAAATACTAATAAATTGAGATATTCTACTTAAGGAATTATCATATAATGCATCGTGTTCTGGTAGAGTCTTATTCAAATAGTCATGTTGCTTATGTGGAAATAAAGAACTGAAACGGGAATATATTAAATAATCCATGGAATCAACTTGTACATTTTTCACACTTAAGTCTTGATAATATGAGTATGCCATTGGTGTTAAACCTAGATACATATACATTGCAATCAGCCATACTTTAGTGTCATAATTATTAGGGTCCTCCTTTTGATAGTTTTCTAGCATGGATATAACAAAGATAGAATCCTCTAAAGTCATTGAAGGGCCAAGGATATCTTTTTTAATTAAATCAAGAATAAATGTTGAACATAGAGAATAATCAGTTTTTGGTTTATTTTTCATACCAGCTTTGTGTTTATTGTAATATTGAACTTGCTTATTCATCTTTAATCCCAACTTAACAATGTTTGAATCGTGTATTTCATCATTTAATTCTTTAAAGGAATCGAAAACTTCAGAAATTAGCTCTGCATTGGAAATTTTATTTCTATAGTGGATGATATCAGTTACACAACATGGTCTATTGTGGAACCTCTCCAAATAATATTTCAAAGATTGTTCACTAATAATTTTATCATACATTAAATCGATCTCAAATCTTATTAATCTTCCATTTCTGGATTTAGTACTAACCAATCCATCAATTAAGTCATATAGATCTTGTTGTGATTTTCCTAATGCTTTTCCAGAGGTCACTATCCGTTTCATAAGTTCATAATCATCCAAACTTTTTAAAATCTTGGAGCAAGTATCAAAGATTAAAGTGTGATTATTCTTTTCAACATGTTTCAAAAAAAAGTTTTTTAGATATAAATCTACAGAATCATCAAAGTAAGGTAATATTTCTTTGCAAATTTCTTGAGATTTTTCGACATCATCTGGGAATAATGTCTCACAAACTGTACAAAACACAATTATTTCTTCATTATTTTTAAATGGTTTTACATTGCAAAGGTTCTTGTAAGTTAGCAAAGGTAAAATGCATTTCTCTTGTGATGACAATCTGTAGTTTTGGAATTTAAACAAGGCTACTGTAGTAATGGCATTCCAAAAATAATATTCACGAGGCTGATGCACACTATCCTTAGGAAACTTTGATAATTGTAATGATGCTTTTCCTAAATGTTTAAAGTTACAATCTTGTAAAGCACGATCAAACCACAGGTAACTAATTTCAAAGCCTGGCTGTTTAGCATTAGACTTCTCAAATACATGTAATGCGTCTTCGTATTTTTCCAATTCGAAGAAAAATTTATGTAATAAATTTAGCGCATCCTGATCAATGGTATATGATGTTCCTTTCTCGCCATAGGCAGCCAATAATGAAGTCTCGAAGTTGAATTTACTTGGAGATTGTTTATACCTCACATAAGATTCTAAAATCTGTAGATAAATGGATTTTGGATATCTGGCCTTGTATTGATCAATAGTCTGATAACATTGTTTGAAGTTAGACTTAGCTATAAGCTCGTTTGACTGATCTTCAAGTTTCTCCCAAACACTCATCTTAAAGATTCAGAAATAAAAGAATATGATAATTATGCAGATAAAGATAAGTTTTGGTCTGGAGCTTATATAACCTCTGTGCAAATAATATTTGATAAAGATATAGATTCAGTTCTAACTGAAAATTAAGCTCATATAGTTCTCATATTTCTTTGAGATGTATATAATTGCAAAGCAGGAACGCTCGAGAGATCGCCAATTCTTATTTTTCATTTTCGCTTGTTGCTGAAATTTGACGATGCATTTTTCCAGCTGCCTGCAAATCTGGCATATTATGTCAAATGAAACAGCATAGGCATACTATCAAATAATTCATTACATTGCTTTAATTGCGTTTGCTATAATTGTTTTGTCTAAATCAAAAAATTGTATAATAATATTTGACTATTCGTCAAATTATTTAGTTCTCGCTAATAATAAAAAGTTCGAAGTGAAATTAATTTTATACCATTACAGATGTTCAGTTATATTTATAAGTACATCGATCTATTCTACATTCTTCTCTACATATTCCCATAGACTCTTCAAGAGACTATCAGGTAAACTAAATAAGTCCATAGTGAATTCACCTTCTTCGACGTCATTGGTAATATTCATTTCTGCTGTTTTGTTATCCGTTATCATTTGTACTACACCTACTAAGTCATCCTCTTTCAATTTAGTTAGGCCAAATGCTAGCTTTTCAATATCAATATCCCCTTTAACCATTGGTGTAACTGATAATTTTACTCTCTTCGTCTTTGGTTCAACGACACTTGGCGCAACCGTAGCTTTTCTCTTAGAGTTAGATATAGCTGCGATTTCTTCTTCTATTGGGCCACTCTTCGCCAATTCTTCTACTAAAGTAGGTTTGGTATGAGGAACTTGAATTTCGTGGTCTACTTCATATGCATCCTGTAAGAAATTTAGGTCATGAGTAATTTTTCTTTCTCCACCTTTGTCTATTAAAAATAAGCTAATATTCAACGGGAATCCACCCCAACCTTGTTCTGTAATCTTGAATGGGAGTTCGGTGAATGTTCTGTTTGGATTATTAAATGTTGGATGTAAGTGATATGTTACTTTTTCGAAAAGTGATGCAGGTATTTCATTACCGTCTTTATCCAATTGTACTATTTCAATGCTCCATTCACGCATAGGAAAATTCTCCACTGGTGGTAAATCTGGTAAGACATGTTGAGAAGTCTTCACTCTGACAGTTCTCTTAATTGCTTGTTTTGGCTATTCGTAAAAAAAATATCGAAACTTTTCAGTATTTTCTTGGCCTCGTAGAGGTCTGAAGATACAACGATACCAATTAGTTAGTAACAAGTCCAAAGTGAAAAATATTGTAATAGTTTATATCTAAAATTCAAAATACATACTGGTACCATGTCCGATGTTTGTTGATCAATGGAGGGAAGAAAGAAATTGGTTCAGCAGGTCTATGAATAGTTATGCGTCAGTCTGGTTATAAGAAACAATAGATCTCTACTGACTAAAATTCAAACTATATTATAAGCAGATGTTTAAATAATGTATGAAGCTCTTTAGCACTTAAATATTATACTCTATAGACTGTACGAACTATATTCAAATAGCTGTTAGTTGTACTTGTTTATTTATTTGATAATTGCTGTTTGTTGTGCGAAACCGAAAAATTCAGTTGTTTTTGCATTTGCTTTGTTTTTCAAAATAAAGTGCGTAGAAGAAGAGCTATTCTTCTCATTTAATGTTAATATTACACAGAATTATCAGTAAGTATATCATTTAAATTGACATAATTTGGTTCTTAAGAGATAATGAATGTATCATTGTATTATTTTATAAACTTATATATGAAGTGATTGTTCTAAGAATCACTGGTCAAAAATTAATAACACTAAAACGGAAAGTAAGCCAATCAAATAATACGGTTTAAATATATTGAATCGTTTATTTGCTTGACTATTATTTTCAATTTCTGGGATAGTGTTGTTATTATTCTTAAATGTATTGGGATTATTTTTACTAGTTACGACAAACAGTCGCGAGGGGAAATGAGTTGTAATGACCTGTGGAGTTATTGAGAATGATTTCTTCATTTTTACAGTACTGATATTGTACAACATTGAATTGCTACTATCAAAGAACGGAATGCGTGTGGCGGTAGTAGTTAGAATCGTTTGGGATTTTAATAGTGTAGATATAGGTAAATCCTGAGTAAAGTACTTATTATCCTTTCTCACAAGTTGCTTTTCTTTAAGAAAATAAAAGTCTTCGTCATTTTCTTCTTGATCATCATCATCATCACTATCGCCCTCATATTCTTCCTCACCTTCAAAGAAGAAATCGCTAGTATCTTCTTCGTCATCCTCATCCTCATCTTCATCAATATCTTCTATGATTTCTTTTATTATATGTCTGACATTTGCAAATCTACCATCCTTCATTATGATATCCATGAAATCACTAGGATCATCCATCTTAGCCAAAGAATCTGGGAACATTCCCTTGACAAGATCAAAGTCAGTTCTTGTATTCTTTGCTTTAAAAAATGTAGGTGAATCTGGGACATCTGTAAATTGCAATGAGTTGGCTTTAAATATTTCTTGTAATAATTCGGTAGAGTCCGTTCCATCTCCAATATGGATAGAAACCTGATTGTCTACTTCTTGAGGTGTAGAACCTTGTATATTATCGGAGTCACTTTTATAATCTGTGTCTTCGGATGTAATTGTTATAGAATATTTACTTGCCAAAACTGTGGCACAGTATATGGTAAGTAGTGTAAAAAGGATTGTTTTTAGAAGCATGATGTTTGTTTTTTTTATTTATATTTACTGGTTTAAGTTACTTATTGAACTTAGCACTTGTCGAGTTTGATATATTCTTCTATGGTACAACAAAATTTCGAGACAGAAGAATATTTAAGAAATCTTTTGAATATATAATTCGAGTGTTATTATTGTTTTTATACAACACAAAATTGTGTTACCTTTTGCTGACACCAACGAACCTGAGAGGAAATATTTCTTCCGATAAAGGAAATTCGTGACGCAACGAAGAACAACTGGGCCAATTTTTCAAGAAGGTAAACTGACGTCTTCAAACAACAATAATTTATGTTTTGAAGTTCTAGATCAATATTTAAATATTTACACGTGTGATATCATTGATTTTTATTTACGAATATGTTATTTATCTTTTTTACGAAGCTCATTGAAATACAGATTTAAAATGTGTAACAATGCTGCTTCTTACAGATTTTGAAGAAGTTTTCCATTGTTCAGGTGTAGTCTTCCAATTAACTTTACCAAACACTTGCTTCAATTGTAAAGTAGGTTCTTCCTTTCTAATGAATTTCAACAACTCTATAACTTTCGCATCAACTTCTTCTTGAGTGGAAACAGGTAACAAGTTTTGGTACTTCTTTATAATATCGATCTCCTTTTTCTCTTTATCAGCCATATCTTCTCTTTTATTGGCAAGATAGTTCTCGACAGAATCCTTTCTTTGGTGAATTAACTTTGAGTAGGTGTCAAATAACAAAAATTCATCATTATGATTACTCTTGTTATCTATTTCGACATTTTTAATTTCAGATAGTAAACCTTTTATAGTATTCTTTTCAAGGTCATTTTTGTTAATCATTGATGTCTTCAGATCCTTTTTTAGGTTTGTAATAGCGGCTGTATAAGCCTCAGTACTGTTGAACCTTAGGGACTGTCTAATTCTTATAACGAGTGCAGAAGAACGTCTAAGCATTGTTAATTATTATAAAGAGGGAAAATAATGTGTTTTTCAGATATTTAATAAATATCTTCAGTTAATGCTGAGTTGATTTCACTTCGTAACCAGTCGCTCTCGTATATCCCAATGTCTATCTCTCTTCTGTCCCCTTTCGTCTATCCTTTATTTATTTTCTTTAAATTTTGAAGTAATAATTATCTTCTAAGATGAATATTAGCGCTTTGTTGGTCAAGAAAAATGGGACAAGCTCTTCGAATACCCAAAACAGAACCAATAACGGATAACAGTGTCCATTTTTCTTGTATTATTTTAAGAGAAGTATATATGAGGTTAATTTTAATCACTATCATGTATCCGATTCTATTACATATAGTTTTTGTCTATCTTAAATAATGCATATATGTGTAACTTTCTAAGTAACCAAGGGTTGCAGTTAAGCTTCCTTTTCACTTTCTCTTTCTAGGAATTCTGTCCATAGAGCAACGAAACTTTGAGTCTTGGAAGTAGCCTGTCCTGAATTACCATTATTATCAGAACTATATATTAGCCCTGCCTGTCTCTTTTTGTCGTCATCCCAATTCAAGAAACTTGACAAGAGTTCAAGGACTTCGAATTTCTTGGGGTCAGCCCTTGGTATTGATACAAAAGAAATCAATAGATTCGATATTAATTCTTTATCCACAGTCTCGGAATCACTAGATTGTTTTAACATTGCTAAGGCTTTTTTTAGATGTTCGTTAAGTATAATGGCTTCATGTTTCAATTTGCCGATTTGTAATACTTGATCCTTAGTCTTCTTTTCAAGTTGTTCATTTTCAGATACATTATCTTGCAAAGATTCGATCTTTGATTTCAATATTTGATCTTTCTCTTCCAGTTCTTTGATAGTTTCCTCACGGCTATCTAACTGAACTCGTAACGCTTTGATTTCTTGGTCCTTTGCACCAATATTAGATTTTGAAGAATTGTCGATGGACTCAAGCTCTTGTTCTAACTTCTTTATAGTAGTAATTTGATTTTTTTGTTCTTCTTGTGTCTTGTCTAAGCTTTCTTTTAAGTCATCTCTTTCATTTGTCAAATCAGAAATACTTTGTTTCTGAGTATCCAAGATTAAAGTTAGATCCTCAATTTGAATAATTAGCTTATCATTACGATCTGTCATCTTTTTTAATTCAACATTGTTAGTTTGAGATGCATCTTCGATGTCAGATTCAATTTTTTTCTTGTAATGCTCCAGAGTTTTTATATTTTCATTTAGTGATTCATTTTCTTCCTCCATATTTGAAAATTCTTTGTTTAATGTCACAACAGTTGCTTTCAATTCTTCATTCTCTGTATTTATGGATGTAATTTTATTTTTAAGTTTTAAATTTTGGGATTCATATTCATTCAATTGATCTTTTGTTGTCTCCAATTCCAATTGTGCTTCTTTCATGTTATTGAAGATCGTTTTCATTGCTGACAACCTATTCAACAAAGTATTATATTGTTCTTCAAAATGATCACGTTCTTTTTGCAACGTAGTAATATCTGGAGAATCGTTGTTTGACTCTTTTACATTGTCAGTTTTCTTGTTTTTCATTTTTTCTTCTTCTAATTCTTTTTTTAAGGTATTTATTTCATCATGTAGTTCCTTGACTTCCTCACCATTGGAAGAAATTGTATTATTTACAGAAAAAGATGTAACAACATCCTGTTCTTTTTTATCAATTAATGGTTCGTCGACAACAGCAGTATCTGTAAGTTCAGCCTCTATTTCTACAACATTCGTTTTATCGACGTTGTTAGATTCGGCCATTTGAATCGTGGATTCTGTTTCATTTACAGCAGAACCATTGTTATGTTTATCAGATTGTTTAGCCTTTTTATTGGCCTTCTTCTTATTTTTACCCATGATATATTATTGTGAATTAATGTAGAATCAGAGCAACACTGAGTTGTCTTCAATAAAGTGATGGATATCGTTATAATAGCAAATGACTCTAAAGCTCTTAACCGTCAAATTCTGTTGCACAATTAACAAGGAAGAAAGGTGGAATTGAAGTGGAATCAAACAAATCTACTTTCAAAGAACTCTTATAGCCACGATTAATGGATGCAGGCTCTTGAGAGTTTTCGAACCAATCTACCTTACTAGTGAAACTTGTCGTTATTTGTTGGAAGTCAAGAGGTCTATCTCACTTCTCGATTAGCAGGGCAAATGAAAAAAAACGAAAAAAAAAGATGGTGCAAGTCGCGTATTTTTAAAATTTCGAAGTATTTACTCTGGTTTAGTGCACGGTACGATTAAAATGAATGAGCCATAACAAGCCATTCTATAACTTCGTGTTTCTCTTAAGGAATACAACGTAATTAATAGAAAACCATTGAATAATTCAATGCAATCAATTGGAATATTAACTCAATTAGAAGTCAGAAATGGATATTAGGGATTTTTTCGGAAAATCAAAGGTGAATAAAACCCAACAACCTAAGAAAGTTGTCAAACCAAAGAAAACCCTAGAAGTTATCGAGCTGGATGATGAGGATGACCTGGATGATTCTTCATTGATGGAATTAGCTTCTCCACCAAATAAAATACATACTAGGGCTACCAGGAATACTACACCTAAGCCAAAACCAGAAACGAAAAAAGAATTATTTACTAAAGATGAGGACGAAGATTATGAATTGTTAAATGAATCACCAAGTAAGAAAAGACGTATGGATGCTAGTCCTGTGAAAGATCCTCCTAAAAAGAATTTAACGGTTAAAACGACTCCAAAAAAAGAACCTGTTATGTCCCCAGTAAAAAAGATTATTGTTACTAAAGCTGCAACCACAGGTAAAAGTGTTACAGCTCAAGAAGTTCTTGCAACTATACCATCTGTTGATTTGCATAATGTCACAGTGAAAGAAAATATTACATTTGGCGGTGCAAAAGGAGATAATTCTGCCAGTGAACCACAAGAGCCATCTGATTTCCCTGAGGGTGCTCCCGATTGTTTACTAGGTTTGACTATTGTTTTCACTGGTGTCCTGCCTAATTTAGATAGAGCAACTTCAGAGAACATTGCAACAAGGTATGGTGCCCGTGTCACGAAATCTATTTCAGGTAAGACGTCCTTGGTTGTTCTGGGTGACGAAGCTGGTCCAAAGAAACTAGATAAGATTAAGCAATTAAAAGTTAAAGTAATAGATGAGGATGGTTTCCGTCAATTGATCAGTGCAATGCCTGCAGATGGTGGGGATGGTATTGCTGCAGAAAAGGCACGTCAAAAGAAAGAAGAACAAGAAACACTTGCTGAAGAACAGGCGCGTGAAATGGTTAAACAGGAGAAGTTAAAGGAATCTAAGATTAAAGCAATGAGAAAGGCTGGCGAAACAGTTTCAAAGGATGAAGAGGTCAGAGAACAAGATAAATTGTGGACTACAAAGTATGCTCCAACCAACTTACAGCAGATATGTGGTAACAAGTCTGCAGTAAGCAAATTGACAAATTGGTTGACGAATTGGGAAACGAATAAATCCTTATCTTTTAAGAAGCCTGGTAGAGATGGTAGTGGTGTCTTCCGAACAGCAATGCTTTATGGTCCACCAGGTATTGGTAAGACAACGACTGCACACTTAGTTGCTAAACAATTAGGTTATGATATCCTGGAACAGAATGCATCAGATGTCAGGTCTAAATCTTTACTAAATGTAGGTGTAAAAAATGCTTTAGATAATATGTCTATTATTGGTTATTTCAAGACTAAAGATGATGATTCAGATAAAAATGGGAAGAAGTTTGTTATTATTATGGATGAAGTAGATGGTATGTCAGGTGGTGATAGGGGTGGTGTGGGCCAATTGGCAGCTTTTTGTAGAAAGACCCAAACGCCAATGATATTGATTTGTAATGAAAGAAACCTACCGAAAATGAGACCCTTTGATAGAACATGTTTGGATATTCAATTTAGAAGACCTGATGCCAACAGTATAAAGGCCAGATTAATGACCATCGCGATTAGGGAAGGTTTCAAATTGGACCCAACAGTTATTGATAAATTGGTTCAGGCAACTAGAGGGGATGTCAGACAAATTATTAATTTATTATCGACCATCTCAAAGACTACAAAAAACATTAACCATGAGAATATAACACAGATTTCCAAGGCTTGGGAGAAAAATATTGCATTGAAGCCATTCGATATTGCGCATAAGATGTTGGATGGTTTTATTTATACAGATGCCGGATCAAGTACATTTACCTTGAATGATAAGATTGCATTATATTTTGATGATTTTGATTTTGCTCCGCTAATGATTCAAGAAAATTATATTAACTGTAAACCTTCTAATTTACCCCATGGTAAGACACCACTTCAGGCTGTAGCGGAAGCTGCCGATATAATTTCATTGGGTGATCAAGTTGAAAGAAAGATTCGTAGTTCGGAGCAATTGTGGAGTTTATTACCATTGCATGCCGTTTTATCTTCTGTCTATCCTGCTTCTAAGGTTGCGGGTCATATGACTGGGAGAATTAATTTCAGTAGTTGGTTAGGTCAAAATTCTAAGACAAACAAATACTTAAGATTGTTACAGGAATTACAATATCATACTAGATTGAGTACTTCCACTGATAAAATAAGTCTTAGATTGCAATACTTGCCTACTTTAAAGAATGAACTATTGACACCATTGTTGAGAAATGGTGCAGAAGGTATCCCTAAGGTTATTAGTACAATGGATGACTATTATCTGACAAAAGAGGATTGGGATACAATAATGGATTTCATGATTGGTCCTGAAAAGACAGATGTCCTATTGAAAAAAATCCCGACTGCAGTAAAGAGTGCGTTCACAAGAAAATACAATAGTACAACACATCCTGTTGCAATATATAAGACTGGTAGTACAGTGGCTGTTGGTGGTGGAAAATCTTCATCAACTCCTGATTTTGAAGATATTGTTGATGCTGACAATGCAGTTGCGCCAGCTGACGATTCTAGTGCAGCTAATGAAGATAATGATTTGAAGAAAGATAAATTAATCAAACAGAAGGTAAGACCCACTAAGAGAAAGGCTGCTGCTTCTGGTGCCAAAGGTTCGACAACAAAGAAGAGGAAAGCAAAGGCTTAAAAATAGCAAAAATAATATTTTGTATTATTTTTAGCGAAATATCCTTGTTTTATAACTTATATGGATATATTGAGTATAGTACATATCATTAAACGATATAGCATTGTTCTATTTGGTTATAATTCCAAATAAACGTTTGAGCAATATATATATATATATATTTAGAAAGGAGGATTTCATTTTTCAGTACAGCATGTTATAGTTTTTTAACACTTCGATGGTGAAAACACTTGACATAAATAGCAAAAATAGGAAAGCTACTCCAACATAAACGTTGCATCGATTTAACCAAAAACGCCGTTCTTCTAATTTAATACTCCTCGAAACGTTATTTTTATATGGATGTTCTTCATTTTGTCTGTAATCCTCATTGAACTGTTTCTCTAGATCAACTAAAGTTGAATGACAATTTCTTTTTGTTAAACGGAACTCACATCTTAATATTGGGAGAATTGATCTTTGAAGATTTATATGTGTTCGCAAATTATCTACGATAAAGTCATCCGTTGCAGTCTGAATTGTTCTAGCCACAGTTATCATTGATCAAATAGAAAATAGAAAAAGAAAAAGAACTCAGGTAATTCCTGAAATATACGCCTTCTTTTTTTGGTCTTCAGTTGAATCATATTAAATTAACAGTATAAGGTAGTTCGATTGAATAAACATGTTTCTATTCAAATGATCAATATGTTTTAATTAATAAAAGAATAATTTGTGTCGTTCTTCGCCTAGTGCATGCGCCGCTTCACATGTGCTCTACGAAGGAAGAGTTAGAGGCTGAGCCTATTATTAGTAATAACAATAAATTTAATGATTTGAAACGACCCTCACGCATTTAAGAAGGTTCTCAGACCACTAAATTTATTTGATTATTGATATCTTCTATGAAGTAATGAACTTGCCAGTAGTATTGTATCAGCCTCACATATAGTTTAGTTAGAGTTTATTGATCTGTTAGATAGTAAATTATTTGCAAGTTATAGTTACGCCCCTTAAGACTAAATCCCCGTGGTTGTACCTTCTTGTGTAAGAGGGAATATTAAGATTGTCACTTGCGCCATCATAATACGTCAAGTTTATGTACCTATATAAAAACCTGTCCATCTACAACCGAATGGTATATATATCTATTAAACATATGTCAGTCTATATTCTAATTTAATAAATTGATAGATATTTTTAATTTATCGATTAAAAGTTTGATATCGTTTTAATTGTAAACTGGGATCAAATTCATACAGCTAAAGTATATAGTTGCAAAAACAAAATTCTGTTTTAAGTAAAACAAAAATAAATTTTTAGAAGTGATTGTTACTGCCACAAACGTCTTTTATTTGAAATTTAGAAGGGGAGAAATCAACAGGATTATTTTCAATTTTCAATTTAAGCGAGAAACAAAGCTGAACAAATAACAATAATTCACTATAAAAGAAAACAGGGATAACTTTAGAAGTATTTTCTTTGTATCTTAAAAGATTAAAAATATATTATTTATTCAAATTTCTTTTAAATACAATTTCAAAATGTTAAGTATATCAGCAAGAATGAACCAACCAAAGACACAGATTTTAATAACAGGTATCCCAAAGATAAGATTCACTAAGAAATGGCCAGAATCGCTGCAATCCCAATTATTTGAAAAATATTTCCCTGATTATAAAGCTAAATTATCATATTTTACACCATTACCATTTATGAGTAGAATAATAATTATTTTAGATGATGAATCTTCTGCAAAGGACATATTTGACTATTTATCACCAATAATAACGAATGAAGGGGACGATATGAAAATATTCTTGACAGAATCCTTATTATTACCACGTTCTCGATCCTTTGATGATACAGATAATATACATCAAACAAGAAGGAAAAGTTCTATTGCTGAATCGTTATTAGATTCTGGAAAGCCAATCCTATCGTTAGATACAGATCCAACTATCACTGGTGTAAATGCAACTTCGTTATCTATTGGTAGTCCCTCATTGTCTCCCGAGACTGCAAACGTTGATTGTCCAACATTATTAAAATTTTCAAATGATTCAAAACCATATTATTACAAAGAACCTCTACCCCAATTTTCATCTCAAACAAATTTGACATCTATTAGTGATAATTCTTTAAGTCCGAGTAGCAGTGCGGTACAGACAACATCAGATAACCTTGGAGATAAAAAGTCTACCTTTTTAAGGATCGATACATCTAGTACATCTGTGACAAATCAGAAAAATGATGGATTGTCAACCCCAAAGAGTCCTTCGATTACTATCAATCAATTTGTTCAATGATCATGATATTTTATTTGGTTTTATATCCAAAAGTATAGGTGATGGGGAAAACTATGTTCTTTATTTTTTTTAAGAGTGTGATATCCCTCAGTGAGGAATAGTCATTGAGGTTTCATTATATATATATGTATGTAAATTTTGTATATTTGTTATTAATGCATCTTTTTATTAAATAAGAATTCGTTACTTGAATATGCGAAAATAAGAAAGTGTATTAATTATTAATTTAAATATTATCACATTAAGCTAGAATGATTTATATCGACAATAAAATATATATAAATTATGTCTTCATTTTGAGGAATTATATTTCGTTCTCAGCACTTTCTTTCGCTAAATTATCCTTAATTCCTTTCAATCTTTGAAAATCTGTCTCTTGGAATTTATTTACAGTATCTAATGATGAAAATTCATAACAATCTAAATCACAGTTTCTTTTAATCAAATTATAAATCACATTACTGGGTCCCATATTCACTGCACCATCTTTAATCTCTAAGACTTCATTAATCGTATCGTAACATTCTGTGAACTTAACAGTACTACTGCTACATCTAACAAATCTTTCGATTGCATGATGTACGAAAGTAGAGATTCTACCATCCAGATTTCCTATTATTGGATAATTCAATTTAGTTGCAGTATGATTTTGGTTTAACTTCAATATATCCCAAATATAATCGTATAAAGGTTCTTGGATGGGTCTCAGTACGTTACTATTATGGAATGCTACATTATTTGGATTGGTTAATTCAGTGACACGCAGTCGTGGGAATTTAGTTTGTGATTCTATTCTCAATTTTTCAAGGTCCTCCACTAAACCTGTCACGACACATTGTTTTATAGAATTAACATTGGCAATATAGATTGTTGGAGCTGTACTTCTTATATTATTTATCAGTGATAATACTTGTTGTGGTAGGTCATCTGCTCTTGGTGAAGATAAAGCCCACATTTCAAATTTTGTAGAATGATTCATCTTATGTGCAACAAGGTATTTTTCTGTATATTTCACCATTAATTCGTTACGATAATTTGCAATATTGAATAAATCTCTAATTGAGAATAATTGATTAATACTTAAACATGTTAATTCCCCTAAAGAATGTCCCAAAAGTATCAAATCCTGAGTGTCCTTTTTCATATGATTAGTATATTGTAATTCTTTATAAGTTTCATTCAATTGAATATCATATAATTGATAGAATAAATTCGAACAAACCGCAATACTCCCGGGACTCGACGGATGTTTATATATGAATTGTAAAAGCTCGTTAGTCTTTGGACCATTCCTACTTAGTATTTTCCCAAACTCTTTCGATTTAGATTCGATTATGGACCTGAGAATGGGAACGGATATTGGAGTTCCCTGACCAGGAAACGTTATTAATCTCATTGCGTGTATATGTATGATTCTATCCTCTATGTTGTTGGTTTGCTATATATAACTAATGTTATCTTCTTGTTACTATATGGACTATCTCCTTATATTAATTTTGTTTCCCTTTGAGCTTTTGACTATTAAATTTGTTTTGAAATTGTCTCTGATAGGGATCCCTCTTTTCCTAAACAGATGATCTACTGATAAAAAAATTGAATTAATACACATGCAAACAAAAGAAATGAGAGAGAAAAGAATAAATTATAGATATATATATATGTGAACTACAAGAGAAAGATGGAAATTGGTGTCAAATCAAACGTAATGGGAGAACCACTATTCTCACATCCATCCCGAATAATAAAGAGAAAGACAGGAACTTTTCACTTGAAAAACAGATGGTCCAATATGTCTCACTCTCTGCCATTAATGAAGTATCACACTATGAAGCAAGTCAGAGTATGAACCATCCATCCATCGATCCATTAACTAAAGGCAGCAAAACCCGTTAACACATATCATATTATGTGTGTATGCCTGCTACACTGCAATTTTAGTAGTGAAATTGTTTTGTCTGGTTTTGTTTTGAGTGTATTTTTCTTGTCTCGATGGAAAATAGCAATGAGCGTTAGTTAATGCCCGATGAAACAATAAACTAAAAGTGACTTGTCCCAGCAAACTCTGAGAATAACTCTGAGAATAACTCTGGGAGTAACTTTGGGATGAGGAACATTGAAGCTTATTTTGCGATTCCAATGGAGAGAAAGAGGAACTTACTTGTTACACTCGATGACTGATATATAATCTGCCAAAATATTACTTTACGACATGGCTAACGAATTTTAATCGGACATACGGATTTCAGTTTATCGATGACGAACTACCGATACTACAATAACAGATAATAACTTTTAGTTTCTTACATATTATATTACAAGATTTCCTTAAGTTCACGTATGTATAAATACAAACAGTAAATAAAAAATAAAAAAAGTAAAATTAGATGTGTGTCCTGCCAGCCCTCCCACTAACTGTTGCAAATAAACAAAGAGAATTCAGAACTCTCAAAATCTATCACAAACAAGCAATAGTACGAAAAGGGCATTAAGATGAACATAGATTGATCTCTCCGATGGACTTGACGCTTGGGATCCGGATTGAGCCAGAACAAGCAACACGGTTTTATAGTCCTGGATTATTAATCCGCACGATTAATGATACTTTTTTATATATCAAGAGTTAAAATAGAAAATAAAACAAAGAAACAAAAAATTACTGTAACTTATCATAACTTGTGATCGCAAAGAAATCTGTCTTCCTTTTATACTACTTTAAGGAAAGCTTCGGAAAAAAAATTTTAGTTTTTCTCTCCTCTGTTGTTGAAGCAGGGAATATTACCCTCAAATTAATTGTTTTTTTGATAAAATAAGGACATTCGCAATATAGGGTACATTTCGTAATGTTATATTTGTATTAGTATTAGTATTAGTATCAGTATTATTAGAGCAGGTGAAATGGTTACATTTACATTCTTAGTTTCAGTAGTTAATTATATCATTTCACTTATAGTTTCAATAGATTTCTATTAATCTCAGTCGTATTTTTTTGACTGGAAAATACTATTTATTTGTTTTGCAATAAATTCAATATAATAACACAATATGTCAAGGGAACCACTTCTTCCAACGACAAACCCTGTCGAGAATCAAAAATATATTAAAGTACTATTTACAACTGAAACAATAGAACCTATTTTATTGGATATTACAACTGTACCGCCATCAGATCTTTCATTAAAATCACTTCGGCAAACGATACGAAATATTAAAAGTAATGACACCAAAGATCGTACATTAAGATTCTTAAGATCTGGTTCCATTATAACAGCGTCATATTATCAGACACAGGTTAATAACTATTTGAAATCTCAAAATAATGAACCTTTCTTTATACATTGTGTCATTGGTGTTGATCGGATTAGAGATCCCTCAGAGATTCAAACGTATGAACAACAAGATGATGATGGTGTGAGCCATTTAGGTGGGGCTCAGAATCAAAATGGAAACTCTATGGGTGCCATTGGGTTCGATAGGTTGAGATCTGTCGGTTTTAGTGATGAAGAGATTGATCTATTGAGATCACAATTCCGTTCTACATATGGTGATCTAGAGAATCGGGGTAATGATAATGATAATGACACTACAGAAAATATAAATGTCGACGGTAATACTAATAATAATAATGCTACAGATATTAGAGAATTAGAAGAACAATGGATGGAGAATGGAGTGGGTGATAATGATGATAGATTTAATTCAGTTCCAAACGCTAATTTTAAACATAATATAGATTTATTGGTTGGAATATCTGTTGGATTTACATTTGGAGTCTTTAGTTTAGTCATTATGAAATTCGATGGATTGTTTAATAAAAGACAGAAAATGTCAATATTTGCTGGATTAATTGTCAACGTAATATTTTCATTATTAAGAAGTACAGATGAATAAGTTCGTTCGTTTATTGAATAATAATAATATACAAAAGACGTTTATTTTTTTTTATTTTTTTTTTTAATTATATATTTATGTATGATGATGATCATTTATTTCATTTTATATTTTCTTTAATGGATACAGCGTTTTCTATTATTCTGATTGATGATGACAATAAAGTTTATTCTAAAATATTTTTAGAATGTATACTACTCTTTTTTTTATTGCTCTAACGACGGATCAATAAATAAGCATTTTCTTGTTTCAAATTACTCAAGTTTCTGAAATTACCTTCCAATCTCATCAATAGACCACCGAATGAGTAATATACAGCGATTAGATCTTTACTAACTTCTTCGAATCTATAAGCTGTACCGTGCATAACGTATTCATAATCATCTGCCAAAGATCTTTCACCAGGTTGTTGTGGTCTCCAGCTCTTTGTAGTGGACTCTGCGGCGGCAGCTTTACCATCTACATCTAAAGAGGAGGCTACAGTGACAGTCAAGTACTCTTGAGCATTCACTGGGAATAATTCTGTGTTTATATCCAATGTCAATTTACATTGTTCTTGAGTGGTAGATGTAGCTTCAATACGGCCAATTCTATTGTAACGACCTGGGTCAATTTCTCCTACTTGGAAGATATCATCAAAGAGTATATTCGACATGGTGAGGGTATGTATGTATGTGTGTGTGTGCCTTAGCCCGTTTTATCTTCTATTTTAGATGAGTTAACGTTGAACTGGATATATATATTTTTTTTTGCTTGTGGGTTTCTGTCAGTTTAAATAAAAGAGGAAGATAAATTTTTCAGTTGGTTATTGAGACGGCCCCAGGAAAATCACAACATACGAGCGCGTACATATATGGTGAATAGAATAATATGATCTGATTGATATCAACTTTCTATAGCGATTTCCCATGTTCAAGAAAGATATAAGCAATATAGAGTATTAAATATACGAGGTGACATATATATTTATTTTAATTAACTTTGTAAAAAAGAAATAAGAATGTATGAATTTTTTTTATTATGTAGAATAAACTTAAGATAATAATAATAATAATAATAATAAAAAGAGGGGAAGGGAAATATATAGTTAAGTTTGTTTTTTCTTACAGGAAGGAAAAACCAAAACGAATGATGCTAGATAGAATGATGAGAAATAATAGTATTAATAATTGCCATATTATTAATTATTTATTACCTTAATAAAAAAAGGAAGATGGAAGAGAGAGAAAAGGTATATTAATGCAGAACGGTAGAATTTCTCTTAGTCTTATAATCTTTAATAGCTGCTTTAATTGCATCTTCAGCTAACATCGAGCAGTGTAGTTTCACAGGAGGTAAAGATAATTCTTTAGCGATTTCCGTATTTTTAATCTTTGCAGCATCATCGATGGACATACCATGAACCAATTCAGTCATATATGACGAAGAAGCAATAGCCGAACCGCAACCAAACGTCTTAAACTTGACGTTTTCAATTATGCCAGTCTTATCATCGACCTGAATTTGTAATTTGATAACATCTCCACAAGCAGGAGCCCCAACGATCCCTGTCCCTACATCCTTTGATTTTTTATCTAGCGAACCGACATTTCTTGGATTTGTGTAGTGTTCAATAACTTTTGGATGGTATGCTCTTCTTGACATTATCGTCATCGATGTTGTGGATCTCATCATATTGAAAGAAGCTGCACGAGCAGTAGTAGTGTTAAATAGTCTGGGTATTAGTGAATTCATATCGTGTGTTTGTATGCGTTTGTGCGCGTGTACGTGAATGTGTATATTGAAATATGTCTGTACAGTAAGTGGTTTGAATAAATAAATACAAATATAAATATGGGTATATCTGATTGACGTATGATCCCTTTCTTATATATATATATCAAATTTACCAATGAAATAACGAATGACTAAGCACTAAATTGCAAAATAAATCCAGACTTTCTCTTTCTTTCACTATATATATTGCGCTGCAATTTATCTCATTAATTGTTTGTTTGCACGTCGTCTCCTCTCTCCATCACACTTTTCAGGGTACAAAATGAGCCAATAGCAATAAAACTAGCAATAACAGGTGCACTCTCACACACAGAGCAACAACGACAACGACAGCAGCATGGAAAAACGGGTGTGCGTGTGCGCATAACGCGGAAAGTGATCAGAGCGAGATGCGAAACACCCGAAAACTGCCATCCAAATTCTGTTTGTCACGGCACACCAGCTGCCCGCGATACCGGGAAAGCTTCCCCGTTGCCGGCAAGAGAATGTTTGTTTCGGAGGCTCTTATTCCCGTGGGGATACCCAGGCAAGAAAAGGGGCGGGTAAGCAAAACAAAACTAAGGGTGTTACCCCGCCACGTCACGTGCGTGGGTGTGTGGGTGAACAGAGCATTCTAAATATACACAAATATAAATATAGTAGTAGTAGCTATCGCTATAGCTGTGTTCAGTTGGGAGAGCGAAAGAGAGAGAGGAACTCCCTTTATATTGGTTCCCGCGCCCCCGCGTGCGCATGGGCACTGTCGAGGGCAAGGGAGAGAGAGAAAGAGACACTGCGCGACTTAGCGACACAATGCAATCATAGTAAATAGTGCTAGCAGATAGTAAATAGTGATAATACAGGGGAAAGAGGGGCCCATTCACACCAATAGAGGTTAGACGATATGATTTGGAAAATTAATTGAATGTACCATTGGTTAGTAAACATACGTAATCAATATTACATTACATTTCATTACAATACATCGAAAGTAATCATTGAAGATGGTGGTATTAAATAATAGAAGGTTTTTGCTTGTATCTTTTTGAGTGTATACGTTCTTGAAATTTCAAATTTTGTTTTCCACTATTATACAGTCCCCTTAAACAATATAATTTTATTGTTATAACATTATTGTATTATTAGTACTATTATATTTTGAGAAAGTATAATTGAGTTCCCCCCCCCCTCACCCTACGTAGAAACCAATTAACTAAAAAATTAACTTTTTTTTACTTAATAGAAACAAATTAAATCAAATCAAATCAAATCCATTATATGGAACATACACATTATATCATAGTCAATCTGGAACAATTATAATATATACACATATTGAACTGTAAGTGATGAATTATCCTGTAAGGACAAAGGATACAGCTGATCATTCTGGGTTCGATGTACAATTGGATTGGTTATACAAAGGGAAAAGAAGAAGTAAACCAAAGGGACTGAACGCCTTACCTATTAGGAAGAAGCCTCCTACGGCATCTTCTACTCCTACTCCTACTATTACCATCTCAGGGAGTAATGATACCACTACTACTAGTGCACCTAGTACTAGTGCACCGGTGTCTAAAATTAGAAGTAGATCGAAATCTATCTCTAATGGTATGTTATCAGAAAGTAAAACATCTTCAAATGAATGGAGTACAGTGAAGCAAGATATCTTGAAGAAGAACGGTCATATCTCTCCTGGGAAAACCAGTAGATCAAGGTCAGCTACAATGACTGAGAATGGTAGTAGTATCGATTTAAAAGAATCTACATTGAAACAAATTCCTAGTCCCAGTACCAATACTAATGCTAATACTACAGGTATACGTAGAAGTAACTCTATGAATGAAAAACCAAAAAGATCAATTTTCAGTAGTTTATTTGGGAAAAAAACACAGGATGCATCACCAAATTTAACTGTACAGACTAACAATTCTTCTATATCGACTGCTACACCAGTTAAAGTCGATCAGAAACAAGAGATTATCAATGAAAATGTCTCTGAGTTGTCTCAATTGGCAAGAAATCGTTTAAGAAGAGTTAGGTTTGCGGTCGATAAGATAGAAGATGATCCACCACAACAATTACCTTCAAGGAAACCTAAAATGGGAAATATTCTGATCCCGGAAGAAATGGTTAGTAGTACACCTCTAATATCCGTTGGAATAAGTAATTCAAAAGGAAACAATGGTAATGATGGTCAAACTTCGGCTCCTTCTTCTTCACAACAAATGAGGAAGTTTACTAGGGACTCAAAAGAATATAAAATCGTCTTGGAACATTATAAGAAAAGTTTAAAGGAATCTGAAAGAAGACAAATGGAATCTCATGAAGCAGCAGAATGTGTTGCTAAAGAAGTTAGAAATTATAAACCAGGAACTCCCTTGAAAAAAATTAGAAGTAATGAGTCTCGTATGAGTGCTAATAGTGACGACGGATTGGAAAATGATGCTACGATCGATTCAACTTTGATGTCAAATGTAGAGATTGATAAACCTTTACATGTAAATGCACATCCTTTCCAAAATTTACAATCAGAACCAGCTTCTCCAAACTCTAAAAGTATTAATAAAGAGATGACTTTAGATGTAATATATACAAGATGTTGTCATTTAAGGGAAATCTTACCTATTCCATCAACATTAAGACAAGTGAAAGGTAAGACTGCACCGTTGCATGTTATAAAATTTTTAAATCCAAGACCCACTTTGATTGATATTCTCTCATTTTGTGATTTTATATCTATTGTCCCCATTCATATTGTTATCTTTGATAATGTTCTGTTAAGTTCAGAAATGTTTAGAATTTTATTGACATCCTTAGTTAATTCAAAAGTATTAGAAAAAATCGGTTTAAGAAACGTCGTAATTAATCAATCAGACTGGAGATTTTTTTGTAATTTTATGTTTCAAAATAAATCTGTTATTAAGTTGGATATTTCTCAAACAAAGACAAGAAGTGAACAAGATTTATCCACTTATAGAGAAAATATGAATTGGTCTCTCTTTGCAGAGGTATTGAATACAAGGAAAGGTCGCCCATTGGAAGAATTGTTATTGAATGGTATTAAAATTTCATATATCCCATTGGATGAATTTATGGCACTTTTAAATATTTTCGGTAAAAAAAACAAAGGTAAAAATAAACAAAGGTTAGGGATGGCAATGACAGATATTGATGCAGATCATATTAGAAATTTGTTTAATTGGATGTCTCAATTTGGTATTCAAGGGGTGGACTTTGCATTTAATAATTTAACTCCATTGCTAAAACCAATTATTGATAAACTTTCGTTATTAAATTATGATCGTTTGGAATATTTTACATTGAATAGTACATTTTTAAGTGATATTGATGAGGTGACTCGTTTGTTGAACTGTTTGGCCAAATTACCAAATTTACAATTCTTAGATTTGAGTAATTTACCAACTTTATTTCCAGCCATCTTCCCATCATTAAATGAAACATTACCAAAGTTTAAACAATTGAAAAGAATTCATTTGGATAATAATAATATGGATGATAAACAATTGACTTTATTATGCAATATCTTGGTTAAATGTAAATCTTTATCACACATATCATTGATGACTGTGATAGCCACGCCAAGCCCTGTTGAAAAGATACCAACAGGTCCCGATGAAGTTATGGAGTCGAAATTGGGAATGACCCCATTTAATGCTGAAGAAACAAAACCAATAGATGAGAAAACGAACGAATTTATTAAATCGTCCTTGTGGGGCCAATATTATAGTTTGGCCCATGATCTACCAAACTTATTAAGTTTGGATATCAATTACAATGAAATTCCAGATGAATTACAATCTCGTATTGCTTTGTGCCTAATGAGAAATATGAAGATGACAATGGATTCTACATTCCAAATTGATGAATTGACCTCCCAGGATGAATTGTTATTCGATGGTTCCTTATTAACAGATACTGCAGATCAAGTATTGAAGAGATTTGAAGAAACTTCTGTTGATGGTACAGTACATACAGGAGATTTGGATGCCAGTAGAAAATATATGTTAAAGAAATATATTGAGAAATTGGACAATGTCTTGAAGAAGGTTCAAATTACCATAGATTTGATGCTAGAAAAGAGTAAAAACGATCAATTACCTGAAAAGGAAAAGGAGAATTTATTAAGTTTGTTGTTATTGAAGAGAAACCTTTCGAATATCTTAGAGATACTATTGGATGTCCCAAGACAAGCTTCTGAAGTCACTTCTCCTGTATCACAAACTGTATCATCCTTCGACGCTAGAGATATTACTACACCTACGACTCCTATGAGACCAGATTTAAGACATATGGACTCTGCAAGATTATTATCTCAAGCAGTGGGTACTGTGGTAGAACGAGCCACTGATCATACCAGGGAACGCGAAGAAAGAGAAATTGAAGCTTCTCGTCCTCATTTGATGGCCACTGACTCTGGTAGAGTCATTGATGTTCAAACGGGTCAACAGGTGCTACATAAGTCTTCTTCCAATACCTCACTGGCTAGCAAATTACAAGAACAAGAAGAAGGTGAATTCCATAAATGGGGTTACTTCAGACAACACGCTTCATTGTTAAATGGTGATTCGTCGTCACCTACCATCACAACACCAAATAATGAGGAAGAAAATGCATCAATGGGCACTACGACACCTAAACAGGAACAAGACATAAATCCAGGAACGGATTCTAAATTGAGGGATACAAAACCAAAGATTTTACCAAAGATCCCTACTGGTTCTGAGTTGCGTAAAGCAATTATGAAGGCAAAGGGTGTTGAATCTATTGATGATTTGATTAAGAAGGTGAGTGACAATAAATCGGAATTAGAATCTATTTATAATGCGGCTTTAAACCTAAGTCAAGCATCTACTATTGATGATTCAATTAGGGACAATATTGTTTCCTCATCTTCTTAGATGAAGCAAATATACGAATATCACGAACCTTAACAAACATTAAATTGCATGACACATATACATATATAATACATATTTATTTAATTATTTATTTTTAAAAGAAGAACAGTTCCATATATTACTTTTTTCTCTTATTGTTCCGGAAAAATGTACGTGCATCCTAATTATCCTTAATTTTAATGGTTATAAAATCGTCCCAAGCTTAGACGATTTCTTCGGTAAATATTAACGAGAGGGGTGGCACACCCGAGATTTAGGTGTCAAATGCAAAGTATCACCTTGAGTTCACGCTCCTCATTAGGTAATGCTTATTAATTCCAAAGTAGAGAGAGACCCGCAAAACTGAAAAACTGACGATGAACAGGATGGCCGTGGGTTAGTTAATAACGAATGGACGACCTTCTCACTTTCATTTCATTCCAACAACCCAGAGAGTCTAATGTTCATTCATTTAGATCCCACTATGCCAGGACAGAGAACTCCCGCACAACTATGATCTGAAAATTTTTGTATGGTATAACTAAGAGAGTTCATCCTTCCGCTACGAGGATTTCTATGAAGCAAAATGAGGCGAACAGAAAATAAAATAAAAAACAGAGAGAAGTTCATCCTCGAGGTCCCCGAAAAGTGAAATTTATTGAAGGCAAATAATTCTAATTTCCTATTGCATGTAAAACAGAGGATTGCATTATTCTTCAGAAAGTGATGACGATGGTGAAGGATGGAGTTTTCGAGTTGTAAATTGGGTTTTGTTTTTGTTTCTTCACTTATTACTATTGAAAATTGAAATTACAAGAGAGAAAGGTGAATTTATTCGTTATTAGTAATCTATTTATTAATACAATTTTGAATATCAAATTCGTACATTCATACAATCAGAAGTAAGAAGAGTATATAAACAGGACATATTGTTAAAACAGTCCGTAATGCAGAGAAGAAATACACCATTTAGAAGGGGAACCCCATCACTATATCATCATCTATCAATGTTAAAACCTTCATTTGTTTCACGTGTAGACAACGTACTACATTATGATAAGACTATTACATTTAGAAGTGAAATTATCCCGGATAAGGCAAAGGGAATCTTGAGTACTAGTCTCTTGTATTCTCAAGGTAGTGATATTTATGAAATCGACTGTTCTTTACCATTAGAATCCTTCTACCCTTCATCATCGAATAAGAAATCTACAAAGAATGAGAAGAAAGACGATAATAAGGATACAACTACAAAGGATAACGGAGATAAAGAAAATAATGAGCAAAAGAATAAAACAGCAAGTTTTGACGATGCTTTTGCTGCCGTCGAAGGGAAGAGATTATCTCCTAAATGGGCCTATCTTGGGGAAACAGTTTCTAAGATGAGTTATTTGGATAGTTCAGACGATAGTACAATGATTGCAATGTCAAAAAATGGTTCTTTAGCATGGTTCCGTGATGGAATTAAAGTACCCGTTCATATTGTTCAAGAAATGATGGGTCCTTCCACATCATATGCGGCTATGCATTCTCATGTAAGGCCTAATAATTTGGCTGTTTCGGATTTTGGTTTATCATCTAATTTAGATACCTTAGTGAAATCTCATAGTAACGGTTCTGAAGAAGATAGTATATTAAAGATTATAGATAATGCAGGAAAACCAGGGGAAATTTTAAGGACATTACATGTCCCTGGAACCACAGTTACACATACAGTACGATTCTTTGATAATTACCTTTATGGGACATGTTCTGATGACAATACATTAAGATTCTGGGATACTCGTACTGCTGAAAAGCCCTTATTTATATTAACTGAACATCAAAATGGTAGATTAAATTCTTTCGATACGTCACAGGTCACTGGTGAATTGTTTGTAACTGGTTCATCTACTGGTGTTATTAAATTATGGGATATTCGTGCTGTAGAGAATGCCACTACGGATTTAACACATAGGCAAAATGGTGAAGATCCAATTCAGAATGAATTGGTATCATTATATCATTCTGGTGGTGATTCTGTAGCGGATGTTGCATTCTCAGAGACTTCATCGTCTGAATTCATCACAGTAGGTGGTACTGGCAACGTATACCATTGGGATATGGAGTATCTATTTGGACGTAACGATGATGATAATGAGGATGATTCTACGACGCCTGCCGCCCCAGAAGAATTACAGGGTCAATGTTTGAAATTTTTCCATACAGCTGGTGGTAGACGTACCTCCGCACAACAAGGTAAAAGAAATATTGTGGCTATGCATCCAGTGATTGATGATCTAGTATGTACAGTTACACCAGATAGTCAACTCTCCTTATATAGACCACTGAAACTAAGGTCAGTGTGAGGTACAAAAATTAATATATATTTTTAAACACGAATACATTAACAGGGTCCTGGTTACGAATAATTTCTATGTAATGGAGGGATATTTTAATCCATACATATATATATATACATATATTAAGAAAGAAAGAAAATTGTACAATAGATAACTATAATCAATGAATGTCTCTGTTGTTGTTTTTTTGATTGATAGTTGTAGAAGTTTTGACGGGGATATCTAGCCATAACTAACTCAAATAAAATTCATGAGATTACTCTCATATCGGACTATTTATCAATTACTTTCCTTTTTCTAGAATAAGGTTTTACATATAACAGAAAATAAATAAGTTTGAAGTATAATCTCACTTACGTCTATTCAAAGAAACTTTTGATATACGGTGTAATACTATGAGAATTGTATCGAGTTCGTCAAAAAATTATTCCCTCCCTTAATCCTCTAAAGTAAACTACAATATCTATTAGGAAACAGATGAAAAGGGATGAATCTCTTTTCTTTCCGCCTCTATATTGAAAAATGTTATGAAATATCGGAGAATAACGAACTGAAGTAAAGACTATTCTTATTTTATCATCACCGATCCCTCCTTTAGACGAATTGCTTGTTACAAGATTATTAATTAAGAAACACAAAAATAACTTGAATTGAATAACAATAACAATAAGAAAAAAGGTTATGGAGGAACTCAGAGGAAGTTAGAATACAGATGTGAGCTTATCAACTTTCCATGCATGTTTTCTCTTTTCTTTTTCCGATTAATAATTGAATAATAATTATAAATTTTTCAATAAGGAAGTATATACTACGAAGTGCGATCACTTTGATGATATGCAGAGAGACTGTTGGACCACGAAAAAAACCCAAATTTATCTACGAAGCAACTCTCTCAAGTTCCTGTTAGTTAATCCAACTTGCGTATACTTGTAGTCGATTTGGAATACCGTATAAGGTCTTTTCCAAATTAGAAGTTCCCCTAAGAGAAGAGTAACTCAGAATCTTTTCTTTTTTGGGACCTTCTTCTTCTTCTGCTGCTGCCTTTTAGTAGGATCGGGGTCTCACACCCATTCTGTAAAATTTCGCTTTCTTTGCTTTACGGGGTGGACGGGCACAGGGCTGAACCCTTGTGTGGGATATTTGGGTTTAATTTCAAAAGTTTGGGGCGCTTGTTGGAGATTCTTGCTAAATATTTCTCGACCTTTTAGGGCAACATAGTATTTTTAAGGGCGGGGTCAACCAGAGTATATTTGTTTTGTTTTTATTAGCTTGAGGGTAAAAAGTCATTTTAATGGTAACTCTATTTGACGAAAGGAATAAGTAATTAATTAAAATATTGATTCATTTCTTATAAGAATATTCCAATTATTAAATATGTAAAGAAAGATAATTCATGGAGTATATATACTCCAAACATAATATTCATTAATAGATGTACGCACCAGTATTAGTCTATTTGCCGCCAATTCCAACAAAAAGAAACTCGTCTAACTCGCATAGTTATTAATTTACTACAAAAGGTAATGTATATTTCAAAGAATACTTTAATTATATATGTATTTGTTACACATGTCTCTAAAATTGAAGATCTCGGCCTTTGTATTCATATCGTTTATTAACAAACAATTTTATAGAATTGAAGTGTTCTTCTAATTATTGTTTTTTTTTTGACATCTATAACATGTTCAGTTGAAACAGAGATTAAATCCATGGTAGTCTACAAAAACTTTGAATATGTTTTTATTTTGTATTAGAATATCTACTTAAATTGTCTCAATAATATACATATATACAAGTATACAAGCGTGTCATTAAACCTTTTTTTTTTTGTTGTATCCACTCTATGTCATAGTTCAACAAATTAACCTTTTTTTCAAACGTTAGAGTATAATATGAACATAAGTTGACTCTGAATTCCTTAGAAATCAATTTAATTGAAATATTTCAAATTTTCACATTATCACTTTTAATGTTTTGTTTACAAAACTATATACTTTTCTGTCATTTTAGTTAAACGGATATAACATAAATTTATAATATTTTCAAAAAAAATCATAGAAATTAATTAAAAAACTTCTATTAACTTCATCATTCTAATCACTCAAATCCAAAATGGATACGGACAATATAAGTATCAACGCTATTAGAAGTCTATAAGAGTTGACCAATGTTTCAATAGTTAAAAGGTTAACGACGCCCTAGCCCACCTTTAGGGCTGCTTTTTCTGGAATTGCCCGAGACTTGGGGAAACCAGGAGGGGCAGAGGCCAGGTTCACCTGAGGGCAAAACGAAATCCCCCCTTTTCCGGAGCTTCTTACAATTCAAATTCCACCAAAAACGAAGAAAAGAAGGACAATTCGGTGGGTGCCCAGCAGAATCAGCTAGAGAAAACCAATCCACCCGAAAACTACGCACTAACAACAATTTTTCAGATTATATAATTAATTGTAAATTGAAAATTTCAGTTAGGGCAATCACAATCCAGTTACTTACCTAACAGAAAGGAAGCTAGAGGGAGAGATCACCCATAAGGGGGCAAGCAGGAAACACCTAATCTATCATTATTCAATGCCTCCCTTTTTTGGGGGGTGATGACCGATGGGATGCAATAAAATTTTAATTTAATTCTATATAAAATGATCATCTATCTTGTTCGAAACATCTTCTCTTGACTTTTTGAAAAACATTATTTGGGATAAGTATCATAACTTCTATATTTTTAATAGTTTCATAATAAGATCTTTAAAAGAAAAATTAAACTGATTTTCTTTTCTCTAAAGCACAATTGCTAACCCCCCAATCCCTAATAGCAACTATCACAAAATAAATAAATAAATAAAAAATGGCTAAGACTTACAAACAAAAATCCTATGAATATATCTCTTCTCTAAAGCCTAGGTTCACTCAACGTGTGGACAATGTTTTCCACCACGACAAAGCTTTCACCTTCTCTAACAAGATTATCCCACAAGAAGGTACTTTAGGTACTTCTGTCATTTACTCTCAAGGTTCTGATATCTACGAAATGGACTGTGCTCTACCTCTTGGTTCTGAATCTGATGCAAAGCGTCAACCACAAACTGAATACGGTGATGCATTCAAGTCCGTTGAAGGTAAGCCATTGAGTCCTAAGTGGGTCTACCAAGGTGAAACCGTCGCTAAGATGGAATACTTAGGTAATGGTAATGAAACTACTTTGTTGGCCATGTCAAAGAATGGTTCTTTGGCATGGTTCCAAGAAGGTGTTAAGGTTCCAGTTCACATTGTTCAAGAAATGATGGGTCCAGCCACTTCATACGCTGCCATGCACTCTCACGTTAGACCAAATAACTTGGCTGTCTCTGACTTCACTTTGTCCTATGACAACGAAACTGTTGTTAAGTCTCAAAGTAACGGTTCTGAAGAAGACAGTATCTTAAAGATTATAGATAACGCCGGTAAGCCAAGTGAAATTTTACGTACTATTCACGTTCCAGGTACGACTGTTACTCATACCGTTAAGTTCTTTGACAACCATTTATACGCTTCTTGTTCTGATGATAACGTCATTAGATTCTGGGATACTCGTACTGGTGACAAGCCATTATTTATTCTAGAAGATCCAAAGAATGGTAGTTTGAACGCTTTCGACTCTTCTTCTGTCTCTAACAACTTGTTTGTTACTGGTACTTCTACTGGTTTCGTTAAGTTATGGGATATTAGAGCTGTCGAAACAGCCACTACTGATTTATCTAAGAGACAAAATGGTGAAGATCCAATTCAAAACGAAATCGCCAACTTCTACCACAAGGGTGGTGATGCTGTCGTTGATGTTCAATTCTCTTATACTTCTCCATACGAAGTTTTCACTGTTGGTGGTACTGGTAACATCTACCATTGGGATATGGAATACGCTTTATCTAACTACGATGACGAAGACCCTGAAAGAGTTCCTCAAGACGCAAGTGAAGAACTACAAATTCAATCTTTGAGATTCCTACACACTGGTGGTTCTAGAAGAAACCCTCGACAGAAGGGTAAGAGAAACACTGTCGCATGGCATCCAATCGTCGATGATGTTATCGGTACCGTCGATGATGACAGTCTGGTCACCATCTACAAGCCTTTCTCTTTGGAAGATTCTGCTTAACTCTACCAAATATCATTGATATACACAATGGTACCCTTACTACTATGTATAATGATATATATATGTATACACATATCCTTATTTAATGAATATCTTTAAAAAGTCTATTTTGAGTCAGTTAATTGTCATGTAATAATTTGACCTCTTCTATTTATTTATCTTCTGCGGGATTTTTTACCACCACATGCGTGGAGGCGCAAATTATCCTCTTAAGTTAAAGATGATGATAAATTTCAATATTTATTATTACTATTAAAATTAGATGACCCCATCAATAAATATAAATTTGAAACACTACTTTGTAAATTACCTAATTCAACTTAAAGCAAGAGTTATCAACTTATTGGAAAACATTTTTGTTAGTATATTTTCCTTTTTGATATACATCTCGCTATTTTTTGTTTTGTTAAATCGTTTTGCATCAGATCATATTGTAGATATAACATCGAATTCATACATGGAAACATTAATAAGCATTTTCAATCTATATTACTGAAATATAATTAAATCACAAACGTCTAGCTATATATATATATTTTTCGTTGTTTAGAGCAGCTCAAGTTACTTAATACCACACATACATTTCGTGCTAACCTGAAACAATGGCATCTCTCTTTAAACCACCTGAATCAACAAGGCAGAACCCTAAGATCCCAAAGTTAAAATTGCCACAAATTCAACAACAGGAGGCCACAACAGGATATCCACATCTATCAAATAAAAATACAAACATATATAATGTAAACAGAATAAATGGTCAAGTAGGCGGGAGTACGACGACGATGCCACTGTCATTGAACATTCGTAATACCAATTCTGCTTTACCACCACTCCCCAAGATGAATATGAATATACCTTCTGTAGGAGGCCCAGCATCTGATAGATCTCGTTCAGGCTCTGTGACATCATCAAAGACACCTACATCATCAGGATCAACTAGAAGACGACCCGTACCTCCACCTATCCAAGGGATAAGTATGAAAGAGATTAGTCCTGCTTCTAGGACAAGACCACCTCCTTCTATGAGCCCCGTCGATATACAGAATTCTTTAAAAACATTAAGCATCAATACAGAGAGATTGAACCCTACAGATGGGCAACCTGCAGAACCTGGTTATGATACACCTTGCTCGCAAGATTCTTATATATCAAATTTACTCTCTACTTACGAGGAATCCACCAGCACATCGACAACACCTTTAGTAAACGCAAACAATTACCCATATCCAGATTCTAACACCTCAACATTATCGTCGGAACGTACGATATCAGAGCATGCCATACCACCAAAAATGGATGTTACTGATCTTGGAGAAAATCTATGGCACTTCAAACATTTAAAAGAAGAAATTGTCACACTAGGTGTACTAGGTGAAGGTGCTGGTGGTTCTGTTGCGAAATGTAAACTGAAACATGGATCGACAATATTTGCATTAAAGACTATCAATGTCTTGAACACTGATCCAGAGTTCCAAAAACAAATTTTCAGAGAGTTACAGTTTAATAAAAGTTTTAAATCTGACTATATTGTTAGATATTATGGTATGTTTACAGATGAAGAGAATTCGTCCATATATATCGCGATGGAATATATGGGTGGCCGATCATTGGAAGCTGTATACAAGAACTTGATGAAAAGAGGTGGGAGAATTAGTGAAAAAGTGTTAGGAAAAGTATCAGAATCTATATTACGAGGGTTATCCTATCTACATGAAAAGAAAATCATCCACAGAGATATTAAACCACAGAATATATTGCTAAGTGATATCGGGGAAGTTAAGTTATGTGATTTCGGTGTCAGTGGTGAAGCGGTCAACTCTCTTGCTACAACATTTACTGGTACTTCGTTCTACATGGCACCGGAGAGAATCCAAGGTCAGCCATATAGTGTTACCTGTGATGTGTGGTCTCTTGGTTTGACTGTTCTCGAGGTAGCTCAAGGTCATTTCCCGTTTGGTTCTGATAAGATTACTGCAAACATCGCACCAATTGAATTGCTAATGTTAATTCTTACATTTGAACCACAGTTGAAGGATGAAGAAGAAAACAACATCAAGTGGAGTGGTTCTTTCAAGTCTTTTATTGCATACTGTCTGAAAAAGGATCCAGCAGAAAGACCATCACCTAGACAAATGTTACAACATCCATGGATACAGGGTCAGATGAAGAAACGGGTTAATATGGAAAAATTCATCCATAAGTGTTGGGAAGAATAATTAACCTATTATTAAATTTATAATACGTACCTACCACATAGTCCATTAAATAGATATATCAATATACGAAGGTCACGATTGATTATGATATGTTCTCCTCCCATCGTGTTGAGTGATGTTTTGACGACTTCTACACTGAAATTTCCTTCTCCGTTGCCGGTGGACGCTCAGAATTTGGAACAGTCACCTATGTCCAGAAGTAGAAACTTTGAACTACTTAACCCATATTTAAAGAGCAACGATTGTTCTTTAGATGAGGTATAATCATAAAATAACTTTATCATTACTTTAACTACAAATTAAAAAGTAACTAAAATAACATCAATAATTATAACAATAAGAATGAGATCCATGTACAGATCAGTCGGAAAAACCCTTCCACGTTCCAACATGATGCTGAGAACCGCACCAAACCAATACACTCCTATAACTGTTACCAAGTTCAACACTTTCTCCTTTAGAAATTTTGCAGACGCTGCTAAGGACAAATCTGGCGAAAGCAGTAAAACCTCAACTGATGCAGAAGATTCTTGTAATTTGACTGGCGATCAAAAGATTATTAAGGATCTTGAGGTTAAGTTAGAGAGTAAGACTAAGGATGCATTGGAATTAAGAGATAGATTGTTGAGATCTGTTGCTGATTTCAGAAACTTACAAGAAGTCACCAAGAAAGATGTTAAGAAGGCCAAAGATTTTGCTTTGCAAAAGTTTGCTAAGGATCTATTAGAATCTGTAGACAACTTCGGTCACGCTTTAAGTGCATTCAAGGAAGAAGATGTCAAGAAGTCAAAAGAAATCAGTGACTTATACACCGGTGTCAGAATGACTAAAGATGTGTTTTTAAGTACTTTGAAAAAGCACGGTATTGAAAAGTTGGACCCTCTAGGTGAAGCCTTTGATCCAAATAAGCATGAAGCCACTTTTGAACTACCTCAACCAGACAAAGAACCAGGTACCGTCTTCCATGTTCAACAACTTGGTTACACTTTGAATGAAAGAGTTATTAGACCAGCTAAGGTTGGTATCGTTAAGGGTTCCGACAACTAAACTGTGATATGATTATTTTCTTTTCTCTATTGTGACCTCTTTTTCTCCCCCCCATTATCCATAGTATTATCATGTCTTTTTTTATCTTCCCCATTAACTACAAGCTACTATTAATATATTAAACTGAATCAATTGTATGACGTCAAAAGAAGGATGAAAGATGATAATGCAACGACATACCATTTTGAAAGGAAAGTTTATGATAGCACATGACTGATTATACCCCTCCAAAAGTTGAAAAGGTTTCATCATCCAGATATAGTTTGTTGTTAACTCACAATCACATATGTAAGCAATTAAACACTAATATTTCGCCCTGTATATATGTATTTTATAATTATAGTTCACTACCAACATTTAATACTCAACGAATGAATGAATAACTTTAAATTACAGAATTACGACAAGACAAGACACGATTCGACTTGAAAACATACGAAACGTACATCATGCAACTATTGAATTGCTCCATTTGGGCAAAAAAAAACAGTATAGAAACTGCATCCCAAATCAGGGAAAGTATAAAAAACATAAATACTAGTAATACTGGCAAACTCTAAGTCCTGTAATGTTTTAGTTTAATATTATTATTAATCTTCAAATGTAAACGTTACAAAATCGTTTCATTCGCCATCTAAACATATCAACTTAGAAGACTTCATTACAAAAGTTTGTTTACAAACAACCAAATTTGCAATGCATGTTCTATTTTTATATATTCAACTTTTTTTTCTTTCCTATAAACACAAAGAAGAGCGTCGAACTTCAGTAAGAAGTGGCCCTACATCTATTATAAGAAAAAACCAAATAACAGAAGTATTTTTATTGCAACAACGGTTGAAACATAACAGATCATCATATCCAATCAGCACATCGTTGCTGATTCTTGTTAACTTGGTATTATTGGAACAAATAGCACCACATTTATTATTGACGTAATAATGCAAAATGACACTTCTCATGATGACTTTTGCGAAGCTAAGTGACATGTGCTTTAGAGTTACATTATAATAAATTGTAAAGTAAAACTGTTCTTTCGCTTATATACATCTTGATAATATTATTTAATAATCTGACAATTAGATATTGAGAGTGATAATTAAGGATATCTTTATTGTTTTGTTTCTGAATTTATCTAATCATAAGTTTCAAAAATTTGGCGTTCTGGTACTAAGTTAGGTATTTATTTTTTTTATTTATTTATAAACAAAAAATAGAACAAAAGACTAGTAAAATTAATTATAATAAAAGATAACTTTTGAAATATATCGTAAGTTCGATTGGTATTGAGTTGATCAAATATAATATATTAGCAGTGCTCTCATATATATATATATTTTTTGAGCTGACTTTTTATTGAAATAAATTTGACAAATACTTTATTATTCAATAGTTCTATTTTTAATTGAGGAGGAAAGTTATTCACAAGAAAATATCCAGAAGTAGTCTACTGATTGAAAAAAAGCAGCAGCACTTATAATATTGATAGGGTAAAAGCCACATCGGTATCTAAGGTTACAAATGATTTCCACATCACCACATATGCCATCTCATACATCTAAGAGTACATCATCGGCAAAATCACCCACGAGGCAAAAGAAGAAACATGTCACATTTGGTCCGTATCTCATCGGTGCAACACTAGGTGAAGGTGAGTTCGGTAAAGTAAAGATGGCTTGGACAAGACCTGCTAAAGGGTCTAACGACGTGTCAAAACAAGTAGCAATTAAGCTTATACGCAGGTCATCTATAATACAAAACTCTGAAAGAGAGATAAAAGTATACAGAGAGATTAATGCTCTTAAACATCTTACTCATCCAAATATTATAGGACTAGAAGAAGTGTTACAAAATTCCAAGTATGTAGGTATAGTACTTGAATATGCTTCAGGTGGAGAATTTTACAAATATATACAGAAGAAAAGGCGGCTAGATGAACAACGAGCCTGTAAGATATTTGTTGAGTTGATTAGTGGTGTAACATATATGCATTCAAAGGGTTTAGTACACAGAGATTTGAAACTTGAAAACTTATTACTTGATAGTAACGAAAACCTACTAATCACGGATTTTGGGTTTGTTAATGAATTTCGTCGAGACCATGAGTTGATGCGTACCTCATGTGGGTCTCCATGCTATGCTGCTCCTGAATTGGTTGTCACAACGAAGCCATATATGGGTCGTAAAGCTGATATATGGTCATGTGGCATTATTTTGTTCGCGATGCTAGCAGGGTATTTACCCTGGGATGATGATCCCTCTAACCCAAAAGGTGACGACATACCGAAACTGTACCATTATATTACTAGAACAAAATTAAAATTCCCCAGTTATGTGTCTGCTGTACCAAGAGATCTTTTGAGAAAAATATTGGTCCCTGATCCAAAAAAAAGGACAGATATGACAGATATAATCCAGCATCCATGGCTAGAGCCATACTTTCATCTTCTTTGTGTAAGTGCTAAGGAATGGGATAGAATCATGCTTCAGAAGAAAGATAATGGTAAATTAAAACGAAATTCGACAATGGTTGCGTCAAGTATAGCAAATAGTTCCACAACAAAGAACTCATGTGTTGTGCATGAAACACAAAAGAAACGTGCAACATCATTAATAATGGATACCACATTTAAAGCATCAGTAGCAACACAGCATACATACCAAGATGAGGTCTTAGGGGGCCATACTGTTCATGAAAGAAAGAGATTGGAACCTCTAATAGAAGAAGAAAAATCAAAAAGAAACAGTTCAGCAGCGTCTGCGGCACTTAGAGCTGTAGTCGAAAAGGATGAGGACTCCAATTTAGATATCATATCAAAGGAAAATAATGTAGTTGAAAATCTAAGAAGTGGTGAACCTTTTAATATTTCCGATCGATTCGCTTCACTTCCTTTGAGCCAACATCTCGATCCAACATTCGACATAACGAATAACGAGAACCAGGATTATATTAGAGCTATTGATCCGAAGTCATTAAATAAAAATACGGATCATATAATTCATACTAATAAAGATCAAAATAGTCATCATAAACCAAGGCCCGCTACATATCATTTAACACTACACTCTACAACTCCTGACAACTTTTCTACGTCAGGTGAAAACTTAGAAAACCAAGATGACTCCAAGCATACATTAGTGTCGGAGAATATCCATCCAGTTCGTTCTAGTTCCTTAGTACCGGATGATATCACAGCTTTGACATCCTATTCAAAGACAAATATATCTCAAATGTCAGGAATTATTAAGAAGAACGATGTTGTTGTATCGAATGATACATATCCTTCATCACCAGTTAAAAACATAAGAATCAGACCATCTGAGATATCCAATAATTCTTCTAATAACGAACATGAAGCTTTAAGATCACCAATTAAGGACACATATGGAAGTTATCAAGGAATAAATGAGAATATCCCTATGAGAAATAATCTTAATAATTCAACAGACGAAAAGGACAAGAAGAGATTTAGCTTTCTGTCATTCTATTCTTCTTTCAATAGCTCTAAGACCACCATGGAAACCGAAGAAACATCTTCGACATCAGTATTATCTCTATCGAATCATCAAAGGAATAATTCACATATTAGAGATAGATCAGGAACTACGACATCCAGCTATCGTACGGCTGTATCTACGATACCGACATTGAAGGGTTCTCAGCATTCAAAACAAAATGTTACAGACGAACGTTCAGCCATAAAGAAGGAAAGCACTGAGAATTCATCTGGATCTACATCTAGACAAGCTATAAGAGCGTCAGTAATGGTTTCCAGCCTCTCGACACGTGCGACTCCTCAAATCCAGGAACGAGGCAATGCTTCGAATATACCACCACATCGGGAAGTTTCTAAAGCAAGAAAAGTTTTGGATTTCTTTAAAAGGAGGAGTATGAGAATTTAGAATTTCTAATCGTTAGCTTTATAGATATCGATTTTGGCTAATATTATGATTATTGTATTTCCTTTTTTTTTAAGTTATTAATCAAACTCATAATAAATACCCTAGAAAAAATCACTACGAATCGTAATGATCAATTTTCTAATTTGCATTTTTTTCAGATATAATAACATTAAATAATTATGTATTATATTATTGTATTATCTTCATATTAATTATATATCGGTAAATATCATATGAATTACCATTGACCTTCTACGAAGGATTATCGATAGTTAATAAAACATTAGCGATTAAAATGACGCTTACTTTGAAACTCCAAGTCTCTAATTATATGACACAAATATCTTCAAAAATACATTAATGTTTTATATCAATGAATTAGCGAAATAGACTAAAATGATACTTGTATTAAGTTATAAAATGTTAAAGAATTTACATAAAATATATTATAACATCTTGGCGCTTAAATGTTAGATGGGTACAAGAAGATTCTGACGGAGGCACCGAAAGTCTTAGCTGGTAGGTTGTTTCTGAACTTAGCTCTGACAATACCGGAGTTACCGTGAGTTCTTGTGATCTTACCCCACATAACTCTAATCTTGGAACCTCTAATTTCCTTGGAGGCTCTGTAGACGTAGGCAATACGCTTACCTAGGTAGAATTGAGCATCTTGTGGGTTAGCAACGTTTTCAATTTGGATCAAAGAGACGTTTGGGTTGTTAACGCTCTTAGATCTTTGGTAGGATAGGTGCTTACCTTTGACGTACACTATATTTAATGTTAAAATGTTTGACGGTAGTTTTTTAGAAAATCACGAGGATTACTTTCAAAAAAAAGAATGATCAAAACAATTTTAAAAAATGTTAGTATTCATGTATTTATCAATGGGAATATATTTGGATCAAAGATATTAAAATATTAGTTTATTTCTCATTAAGAGTTACTGTTATGCTGATATCGTGAAAAGTTTCGAACTTAAGAGTTCATATATTTTTTGTGGATATATGTCATATGAAACAAAATTCGAGTACAAGCTGACCTCAAATAGTCATTTTGCAAACATATACTTTCTTAATTTTCTAAATCAATGGGTCCTTTATAGTTTATTTTTGAGTCTTGCTCTTGCGAGAATTGTATAAACGTACAACTAAGTTGTATATTACTCATTAACAATCATATGATTCATACTAAGTTAGACGTATCTTCATATATTCTTTTCTTTTTTATATTTCGTTCTTGTTATTCCTACGGATAATATTCCCTTTATATTTGTTCTATTACAATAGTACTGTTCATTCATTTATTCTATCTTGATCATAATGTCCTCTTTTTACTTTATGATACTTCAAATATATTTTGTCAACATTTCCACAACTTAATGAAAAACTCTCTTAAGACCTAATATCATATCTTTAATTCGTATTAATTAGTGGTTCAACATACATCTGTGGGATTCAGCCATTTTGTGTTTGGTTTGATATATCTTGTGTATGATTTTAAGAATAACTAAAATAAATAGGTATTAATTATATATATAGTACTAGTATATACTTATTTCAAAAATAATAAAAGTTAAATTTTGAAAAACAGTGTTCTACAGTTCATAGTAGTTTCACCAATGTGACCTACCTTCTCCCTCCTCTCAAACTTCAGAGGCTTTCTCGATACTGTGATGGGGATAGCAATATCTTTGCGTAATAATTCCAATGAAAATTTCAGAATTACCAGTAAAGACGACCATTGGGACTGTTACATTAAGCAGCTAGAAGGACAGGAGACTAGGAGAGGCTGCCTAGAAAGATACTATATGCAGAGTGGAACCGAGAATATCACAAGGGAAGTAGAACGAACCAGACCCAGCTTCTCTCCACCCAGGGAGAGTGGGTTGTTCTCACCAGGTAGAACAGATGTGCCCTCCACTTCCAGGAGGGACTGACCTCTAAATGATGAAACGGTAATACTTTGGAATCAACGCCCCGTCTCCTATATTTTTTTCAAAGAGACCGAAACCTTGTCTTTATGTGAGAAGGATACGTTCCTGTGGATGTCTGGATGCAGGATTAAAAATGCACGGATGTTGCCGTCTCACAAAATAACTGAAAAATTTGTCAAACAATTTCGTTTTTGTGGGTTTGTCGTGTTTAAACCCTATAAGAAAAAAAAGTTGTAGTGAGAGAAGGATGAGATATTTGAATAACCCATGCACCACATAGGGCATCCTTGAAGGTTCATTTTAAAATGAGAAGTTTTTTTTTCGGTTAGGTCATCGGGAGTTGCGAAAATGTATGAGAAATTTCAATGAAAGGAAAAGTATAAAAGGGGAGGTAATTTCATTACTTTTATATGTATAGAACTTTCTTCTCTTATAAGTTTTATTTTAGTTCCTTTCTAAAAGGGTTGTCGACGTACTTCAGTATGTTTTATACCCCTAACATTGGTTTTAATTTTTTATTTATATGATAATAAGAAGATAAAATATCAAGAATCATATTTTATCAATTCAAAAAGGATCTACTTATTGTTATTATATTTTACAAAAACTAATTACATTTTATTTTTTTTACAAAGCATGGAAGTTTAACTAACACATTCTACAGTAGGATCATTTCTATAGGAATCGTCACTCTTTGACTCTTCAAAAGAGCCACTGAATCCAACTTGGTTGATGAGCCTCATAACCTTCATACCCTAGAGTGAGAAAAATTTATCCCAATTTAGCTTGGTCCGCAATCCTTAGCGGTTCGGCCATCTACTTTATTTTAAATTTTGTTTTTGCCGGTTTCAGTTATAACTTTCCTTCGGGATCACTTTAACATTACAATTGGCGCGATGATCTTGACCCTTGCTATGAACTTCTTTATTGAAGGGATGGTACATTGGGCGGGAATGAATGGCAGTCTGACAAGTTTTAACCTTTTTTTTTTCCTAATTTATTCAAGCAAAGGTTTGGTTGATATTTTAGAAAACAAAAAATTTAGTTAATATGTAATTTTTTATATATGTATTGGGTTGATGGATATCTGAAGAATGGCTTGGGGGATATTAATTTAGTTTTGAGCGTAAAGAAGGAACTTTATTCTATTAATTATATATGCTATTTATAAAATTGATACAATTTTTTAGGACAAACATTTGATCCATTGAAATTGATGTCATATCTGAAGGTTTCGTTGTTGACCATGAAACATAACATGGCACTTGGTATTTTTTAGCTGTAGCATTTGCTAGTTTCCGTGAGATACCACTGACCCAGTCGTTATTTGTATCTAATAATGGAATGCCAATTACGGGCTCATCACTCTTTCTACTTTGCAATTTATTTGGAATAGAATAATGATAATATTGTAAAGTAGATGGTTGTACCTTCGATATTAAGTTGCCCTGATCATCAACCTCAGGTTTTTCCTTTTCATAACATATAGTTAAACTGATCGGTATTTTCTTAATAGATGGATCTTTACCAATAGTAGCAATGATTTCTAAGGAGGTTCCCCCCAGTGGCGAATCCTCTGGAGTAATGTAGTGTGTGATTGTTCTGGTAGCCATCTCGATTTCCTTCTCAGTTTCTCTCAATGTACTGATTCAGTGGTTCAGAGAAGTGATGAGCAATGTAGTATCCATTCCTTAAATATTTATTTATTCTTAACGGGTTTTTTTCTTCCATGAGGTCTCACTATATTTTTCAATACCGCGTAAATTTAGAGATGCTCAAACGCGTACACACGCTAATTACAAAAATTGTTCCTTATACGCAATTAAATAAGTACATTTGACAGATTCGAAACAATGAAACATCTTATCCTCGACAGTTAAGGAACCATCCCTTTAACTCATCCTATCTCCTTGATCCCAGTTCATTCTAGAAACATATCGAAAACAATGCCTGTACCTAAAATCGATGTTGTTAGTGTCGTTGCTACATTATTACCTGACTTTGGAATTGGTTGCCAAGGTGGTCTGCCATGGAGGTTATCTAAAGAGATGAAATACTTTAGACAGGTGACATCAAGTACATTTGATTCAAACAAACAAAATGCCGTGATTATGGGTAGGAAGACATGGGAATCGATCCCGTTAAAATTCAGACCCTTGCCTAACAGAATCAATGTGGTAATCTCCAGAGGGTTCGACTCTCAATTAACTCTAGACACATTAACGGAGGAAAAACAATATTATAAGATTAATTCATTGACATCAGGTATAGACCAACTAAAAGAACAATTAGGTGAAAAATTGGAGAGGATATATATTATTGGTGGTGGTCAAATCTATTCCGAAGGTATTAAGATTTCGGATAAGTTGTTGATTACTAAATTGGAAATTGATTCTCCAGAGTTGGATATACTGGATATGGATACATTTCTTAATGTAAAACAAATCCAAGATGATTTTGTCGAATCAAAAAATGGCTTAAGAGATTTTTTACCATCAAAAGTCGAATTGCCAGAACCATTTACACAAGGAGAATACGTCGAATACGAAAAGGGTTATAAATGTCAATATACCCTGTATACTAAGACTCATTAACCAAACATCATACTTGCTTGTTTTCAAATAAAAACTTTTTATATTGTTTATTACATTTTCAGTCATTTGAGATAATACTTTCAGACTATTATATACCCTTCTCATAGATTACAAAAGAAAAAAAAGGCTTGCACAAGAATGGTTCCACATTACCATGGCATTGCACATTATTATATATAATCTACCATTACCGTATAACTCCTTTCTTTCGTCTCGCCCCTCTTTATATAAATACATGATTAAGTAAATATAAAGCATTGCAATTCCATCTATGTCGGTTAGATCTCGAATTAAGACAGCGTACCATTGTTCAGAGAAGTTATACTCTGTCGCAATCAAAGCACACAGTCCCTAATTACGACTGGCTGGATAGTCGTCATAGTTCATACCCTAACTGGACGAGTACGACACCAACTTGCCCAGAGAAGTTGATTGATTTGAGAATCGCTTACTTTATAATACCATTTGTTGAGCGATACAAAGAAAACAACGTACAAATAATAATAAAAAAACAACTAAAATCACGTAATAATATTACTCTCTGCGTGTTTTTCTCCGCAGCAGCTACCAAAATTTCTTTAGAAAATGTGATGTACGTAATTTCCTTGGTGGTCGTATAGGCACCCAACCATTCATTCACGAAGGTTGAACGAAATCCATACAGAGGTCTTATTCGTTACGTCAAATCGACGTCTATTATATCGTATAAACACAGGTTGTATTTCCATTGGGGAGAATTATCAGGTGGAGCGAGAAGATGATAAGAAGGCTATTCAAATCCTGTGCAGTGATGTCGACTACATTACTTGTTCAGTACTCTCTTGAACTTGGAACGAAAATATATACGCCGTTTTACATTTCCTCTCTCAAACTGTTTTATCACAACAATTGCGGTTGGCTACCAATTTGTTGTCGTTTCGCCAACAAAATGACAACAACGACGTGTAACACGGTCGCTCGTTTGGTGATCCATTAACATCATATGGGTCCAACCATTTATCTTAAAGCTCTTATTTATTTTCCTTTAACAAGTCGTGCTGTTACTAAGAATACGTTCTTTCATTCTACAGGAATATTGCAGTACTAGACTACTTTTTCTCTTTTTCTTTATAGGATGGCTTTGTGCATCGTTAAATGCCTATGTTATTCAATTATTTAGATAAAATTTCAATCTTGATTTTGTAAAAAAAGCATGCATCTAACATACAGGTAGATCCAAGACAAAATATCAATTCCTACACCACGCGTATATATATATATATATTAATAAACTGAGTTAATTGGTTATTGGAAGGTATATTGTTACGACCCTCTTCCTCTGTAAGTTTTCTAAATCAACTCTGATATTTATTTTCTTCCTTTTCAAACTTGTGTTTTGTCACATCCAAATAAAGTATTTACCAATTAAACACCATTTAACAATGACTGATTATGCTTCTTCTTCCTCATGGACATCCTTTTTGAAGTCTGTAGCATCCTTCTCAGGTGATATTTCTTCATTAACTGCACCACCATTTATTCTATCAACTACTTCACTTTCTGAATTCCCACAATATTGGGCTGAACATCCGGATTTATTTCTGGAATCAAGTTTCATTACAGAAGAAAACTACAAATCAAAATTTCCTGAAGTCACTGATTTGGAATCTGTTGATGTAGCACGTATGCTTTCTGTTACTAGATGGTTTATTGCTACTTTAAAGTCTCAATATTGTTCTCGTAATGAATCAATGGGTACTGAAAAGAAACCTTTAAACCCATTCTTAGGAGAAGTTTTTGTTGGCAAATGGGATAATAAAGAAAAGGAAGAATACGGTGAGACTGTATTATTAAGTGAACAAGTCTCTCATCATCCTCCAAAGACTGCATACACCATATTTAATGATAAGAACGATGTGAAACTAGAAGGTTATAATCAAGTTAAAGCTACTTTCAGCAAAACTTTGATGCTTGGTGTCAAGCAACTTGGCCATGCAATGTTACATGTCAAAGACGAATCATTCCTAGTAACATTACCAGCTCTTCATATTGAAGGTATATTAATGGCTGCACCATTTGTGGAATTAAATAGTAAGTCAATGATTCAATCTTCTTCGGGTTTAGTGACCGTTATCGAATATTCAGGTAGAGGTTATTTCTCTGGGAAGAAGAATACATTCAAGGCTAAATTATACAAGAGTGTTGAAGATTTAAACGCTAACAATTATCCATTATACACTATGAGTGGCCAATGGTCTGGGGTTTCTAAAATAGCAAACGGTGAAACCGGTGAAGAAAGAGGTACCTTTTATGATGCCATAAACCACCCAACTGAACACATATATGTTAAACCAATCGAGGAACAAAACCCATTAGAGAGTAGAAGAGCATGGGAAAAAGTTGCTGAAGGAATTACCTTTGGTGATATGTCTATGATTGCCCAGGAAAAAGGTAAGATCGAGAATCATCAAAGAGAATTAAGGAAACAAGAAGAAGAGGAAGGTACTGAATGGAAGAGAAGATGGTTCAAAGAAGTTGACTATTCTACTATATCAGCTAATGAACCTCTAGATAAAACTGACGATAAATTCATCCAATTGAGTGCAGAATTGAACCTTTCCACAAAGAATACTCCTAGTGGGTCCGTTGTTGGTGATAAAGATGATCTAAAAGCTGAAACTTGTTCTCACTGGAGATTCAATAGACAAGCTTGGGATGATGAGAAGGAAATCAAAGTATGATTCAATTCTTTGACAATATATTATATAGAAATAAATAATCTAAATTTCTGATATGTAATTTTTAATGCATAATGTATAAACTACGACAAGTAAATATTACTATTACCCTTTACCTTGTTGCAGTTTTTTTAACTTTAAGCAACAAAAAAACAAACTTACTTACATGACAATATATCTTGAAATATTTCAACTTTGGTCCAACAACACGAATTAGACCCATAAGAATACTAGAATCAAGGGAGTATCAATAGAAATCATAAGTTATGCCAACCAACATTAGCACCAAAACAAAATTGATTATTGTACCTTGCCATTCCGTATGGAATTTTACTGAACAAAACAAAACATCCTCGAATTATCACTTAGGTGAAACCACAGATCAATGGTCCCTTGCCCCTTTCCAGTATGAAGGTAACGACCACATATCCTTCATCAAACATTGTTTACGTGCAATTGTTGAACTAACCAATGATATTGAGAATAATATACTTATTTTTAGTGGTTCTCAAACGAAGCCAGAATTAGGTCCCATATCAGAGGCTCAAAGTTATTATTTTTTAACATATAAGATAATTCAACATTGGAGAAACACAAATGACATACCAGATAATTTTGATTCTGAGATGATTGATTACTTAGAGTCTATTTCTTCATATATCGACTCTAATGGCGGGAATATATCTACAATTTTTAACGCATACAATGTATCAACAGAAGAGTTCTCTTTAGATTCATTTGATAATTTGTTATTTTCTATTGCCAGATTCCAAGAGATATTCTTCAGTTATCCAAAGGATATAACTATTGTTGGGTTTGGTTTTAAAGAAGAAAGATTCGTTAAATATCATGCCAAAGCAATTGATTTTCCTCAAACCAAAATAAATTATATATCAATCGGTCCAGAACCAACTAGTTATACAAAGGAACAATTAACGGAATATTTTTCTAATATTACTAAAGCAGAAAATAAAAATGCTCTTAATCATTTTGCTAAGGATTGGTATGGTACCTGTGAGCCACTAAGAGAAAAGAAAGAGAACCGTAACCCATTCTCCAGAACTCCTCGCTATGAAACCTTAAGTCTTCTACTATTGAACGGTGAAATAACCGATTGTGAATCACATTTTAATTTATATATTCAAGGTAAAATGCCATGGTCTGTACGCAATTGATTGCGATGTGAAACAATGACTCAATATAAGTACTATATAGACTCCAGTTCTTTCTTCAAAACTACTCTTTCATTTTCCCAATCTTCAACGTTTTGAAGTTTTTCTTCAAGATCCTCCATTTCTATGTCTATGGTGACTATAGCTTCATCCGTACCCAAATCTTGTAATTGCCATGCACCATTCTCACCTGTTATCTCTAATAACATGTCATGATATTTAATCAACGATGGACGTTGAGATATAGTTAGAAAGTTAAAGTTATATGTTCTCAATAGTTGGAAAAGATAATCTTCCATATCCACACTAATTGCATTTGTAGCTTCATCTAATACGACAAATCTTGGTCGATGAAACAGAATACGTGCAAAATTCACTCTTTGCTTTTCACCACCACTTAGGACATCCTTCCAATCTGCTCTTTCATCGAAAAAAGACCAACCTTTTGATCTTTTCAATAAATAATCCAATTTTACTTCTTTTAATATATGAACCAACAAGTTGTCTTTATACCCACGATCAAAGAATTCATCAGTTGACATTGGATAAATTATTTGATCTCTTAAAGTACCAGTCTTTGTAAAATAAGGTCTTTGAGGAACACAGAATAAATCTTTCTCAGGAGGTTTTGATAAGAGTCCATTTTTATTATAAATTGGCCAAATTTCTGCAATAATTCTTTGAATAGAGCTTTTCCCACAACTGTTTGAACCTAAAATCAAAATACTTGATCCAGGTCCATTAATGAAAGGTGTTGAAATATTAGCCATATCAGTCATATCTTGAATAGAATTAGTCTTTGAAGATGTTGGTTCAATTAATCTTGGAATTTGGAAAGTTAATTTTTTCAATAATTTATGACCTTGTTTTCCTTTATTGGAGGGAACAATGACATCAATATTTTCAAATCTTAAACCATTGAAATTATGTTGAATTGTACCTTGAATGACATCTTCTCCATTTAATGATCTCGATATATTACGATGATGATGATTATTAATATTATTCTCTCTTTCTGAATCAAAATTTTCTAATTGATGTTTATCTTTTAAAAATTTCTTACTAGCACCATAATTAAAATTAATTGAATGTACTCTATGTAAAGCACAAATTAATGTAAAGATTCTATTTGTATAACCAGTTAATTGTGAAATATCTTTAATTGAATGCATTAACCTTGATCCTGCATCAGCCAAAGAAAGCATTAATCTTTTATTTACAATAAAATCTTTCATATTTGATTGTTCTGAATTTTTCTCGAAGTTATTATTATTATTATTACTATTACCACCTGACATTACAATAGGAATTGAAGCAAATATATAACCTAAACCTGACCAGGTGTATTTTAAAATATAATCTTCAAGCATAGTATAATTAAATTTTCTTTTACTAATATTTAACATTTTTTCCATTAATGTGTCATATAATATTTTTACTTTAATTTTTTCCACATCAGTACCATGATAAAATGCAATTTCTTCATTGTTATTAATTAAACTTAAATGATAATTATAATAATTCCCATCTGCAGCAGAACTTTCACTACTTAATTTTCCTAGTGGTGGTGTATAACCTCTTAAGATATAACCTGATATAAAATAATTAACAAAAATACCTGCAACACCTAAAGTTCCTAAATTATCTCTTAAATAAAATGAAAAAAATATTAAATCAATAACAGGTTTAGCAATATTTGCAAAAACAGAACAAGTAGCATCACAAAATCTAGTGACATCATTAGTTATTGAATTATCAATATTTTTAATAATTGAACTTGAAGATTTTGAATCAAATATTAATTTATAAAAAGTTTGTCTTTTATCCAAATAAATATCATGAATGTATCTTGTTAAATTAACTCTAAAATTTAAACTTAATTTTCTTTGTAATAATTTAATTGCACTATTTGTATATGAAGCAGGTAAAGCAATTAAAAACCAAATTAATAAATCAATTAAGAATTTTTTTGGTTTTCTTGAAATAATATCTCTTACAATTTGTCCATCTAATCTAGCAACAAAGAGAGATAACCAAGTTCTTAATATTAAGAAACAAACTTGTAGAGTTAATAATAAAGAATTTTTATCAAAAATATTTGGAATTAATATTCTTGAAAGACAATTCATTTGATTTAAAAATTTTGAATAAAAAATATTTGATGAATTACTATCACTCATACCAACAACTTTAAATATAAAACTATCATGTTCATAAAGATCATCATTTCTTGGTTTAATAAATATTTTTTTTTTCTTATCATTAAAATTTTGTAATTGTGTCATGATATTTTCATCATTATTTAATTTATTTGTTAATTGAGTATCAGGGATATACATTACTCTTGCACCCGAGGCAAATTGCATTTGTGATCTTGTTCTTCTAATTGTTGTTTTACCATATTTTCTAAAATTCCAGTTTAAATTATAAAAATTGATTAATTTTTGAATTAATTTATAACTACCGTAAGTTGCACCAGATAAAATTGTTAACGACGATAAAATTATTGATAATAAAATATATTGAGCTCTTTTCTTTTGTAACAATTTAGAATTAGGTGATTTAATTAATTTTAATAAATGTCTTAATACTATTGGAATATATATTCTTAATGGTACCGTTTTTAACGGTAATCCAAAATAAAATTGTGTACTCATTTTTATGTTTAATTTAAATATACTGTATTGTATATTTAATACCAAGAATAACAGTCTCAAAGCAGAAAAGTAGCACTACGATCTATTAAAATATTTCAAAGGGAAATTAATAATTCCAGCTTATATATATATAATCCCTTCCTCACTTCACCGCCACCTCCCCTTAAACCAGCTTCTTTAGCCGCCGAATAAAGAATTATCACCACCCTCCCCGCATTCAAATCGAAATTCATTTCTCCAATAATTGGTTGGGGAGGGTTACACGTTTAACTAAGAATACATCTACAATGGATAACTTCAAAACGAAAATTATATATTTTACTTTCGACACGCGTCGTTAACTGTGATATCTGATGGGTACACGTTTCTTTCTGTAAAGCTGAATTTCTTTAGTTTCGGGTATAATGAGATAAACGCCATTGCCATAGCCATCTTAGATCGTCCGTTTGTTCGTTCGTCATGATTAATCAAGATCTCTGTTTTTGTTATATAATATTAACTGTTACTGATAATCAACATATATATATATATATATGTGTTGATGAACCATTCAATAGCATCGCAACTTGAAACAACTTGAAACATGTGAATTCTTTTCTGATGATTGACGGTAACTAATACACCCATACACACACACACATAAATATTACTATCGTTAAAAATGGGCCGTACAACAAACGATTTGTCTAATTTCTATATCCTGACTGGTTATATATAGATATAGATATCTATATCTATATTTTTTTCATTTTTTTCCATCTTTTGCCAGAGTAAAAAAGAACAATGAATATGCGAAAAATTTAATCTAACCTAATCCGATCAAGTAACAATGACACATTTCCACATCTATCTCTAACTCCATATTGTTTATCTTATCTAACAGCTTGCTTTCCCAAATATTTATATCTATAATATTTAATATAAATACTTCCGATATATAAATTCTTGTACTTAGATTCTCTCTTCTCATTGTAAGTTTTATTGATATACTACTATACAAACAAACAAACTATTTAGACTACTTCTTTAAACCAAGAAAATGACTAAAGAGGAAATCAACTATTCTACTTCTAATCTACACGATGGTCCATCTTATTTCAAACCACTTGTCGATAAGATTGAACCATTTCAATGTAAATTGAAGAATTCTGATACTATTGCTACTGCATTCCCAGTATTTCATCATTCTCAAATCCCAAATTCACTTGTTGAATTCTTACAAGATGCGTTCAATAAGGAAATTGAGAGAGGTGATACTTATCCTCAGGACAAACCTCTCTCAAAGGATGAGTTCTTAGAATATTGGTTTCATTCCTTTACTGTCATCTTCTTGGAGACTGATAAATTAATCATCCCCGGTAATATTACTAAATCAGAAGATTGGTCTAAATTGGTTCTAGGAACTTTCTACATTAAACCAAATTATATGCCACGTTGTTCTCAGAATTGTAATGCAGGTTTCCTCGTCAATTACAATCATAGAAGTAAAAGAATTGGTCACAGATTAGGTCAAATCTATTTAAAATGGGCTCCTTTATTAGGTTACAAGTATTCCGTCTACAATTTAGTCTTTGTTACTAATGTTGCGAGTACAAGAATTTGGGACCATTTAAAGTTCGATAGAATAGGTTTAGTTCCAAAGGCAGGTATCTTAAAAGGTCACGATGAACCTATTGATGCTATCATATTTGGGAAAGATCTAACAAATATTGAACCAGAGCTCTTTGATGATCTAGTTCAAGTTTGAGATTTGAAAACTTCTATCAACTTCTTTTCTATTACCATCATTATTGCATTGGCAAATGATCATTTTTACATGACACCCTTTGGCCACTTTTCAAAATTTTTATTCCCCTTTTTTATTTAATTTCTATTTCTATTTCATTCTTATATCATCGTACTTTAGTGATTTGATTCATAGTATGATATAATATCGGTTTTTCAGGGTTTCTACTATTTAGTAAAAGTTTTACAATAGCATATACATATATATACATTTTTTTTTATTTTAATAAATATTACATTTAATTTTCTTAGCATATTGAACAATCACATCATTCTCTCCATCTTAACAACAATGGAGAGTGACACATATTGACATTCTTCGAGGACGAATCTATCTGTCCTTTGTTGTTAGCTGTTTTGTTTATGTTTCAATTGTGAAACTTTCAATATTATTGTCAGACCTCCCTCTCAGTCAAATGCACGCACAGAAAATTTTTCTTACCATTGGAAGGGGGCAGAACAACGACGACGTTGGCCGTATAACGAAAATCCTTGAAAACTTCGAAACCATAAACAGAGAGAAAGAATATAAACATAATCTTATTTAATTATAATTTTTCATAAAACGTTAGATATATTATTATATCGACAACTGCCACGATTTTGCAATTTTTAAATTACCTTCGCTACATAATCAGTAACAGAAGAGAATTATAGTATACGGAATATTGATTATACAATGGGTGTAGCTGATTTAATTAAGAAGTTCGAGAAAATAGCTAAGGTTGACGATTCTGAATCAACTGCCTCTCCTCAAAGGGAAGCTCCTTCTAAGGTTTTTATTCCGGAGGAGATCGCTAAGGATGATAAGTTGACTGCAGAGGACGAAGAAATTGCCCCAGCTGAACCATCACCAATTGAGGAAGGGGTAGAAGAGGCTGTAGTTGAAGATGCTCCAATTGAAGAGGCTGTAGTTGAAGAAACTCCAATTGAAGAGACTCCAGTCGAAGAAAACCCAAAAGAACAAGGGCTCGAAGAAGAAGAGCCAACAAAAGAAGAATCCATTCTAGAAGAAGAGCCTCAAGAAAAAGAAGAAGAAGAAGATGCACCAATAGAAGAAACTGTCGAAGAAACTAAGGTTTCGGTTCCAGTTGAAGCTTGTGAAAAGGAAACTGAAGAAACAGTGGTAGTTGAAGTTAATGCTGCGACATCAAATGATAATGATCAACACCAAGAAACACCAGAAGTTACTCAACAGCCTGATTCTGAAAATAATGGCAGCAAGAATAAGAAAAAGAATAAGAAAAAAAACAAGAAGAAGAACAAGAAGAAGAACAACGCAAACAACAACGAGGAAGGTAACAATGAACACCCTTCTGAATTGAATACTGCTGTCGACGATGTCAATAACTTGGAGGCTGTTGATGACAGTTCACTTAGGCCTTAATCAGAAGCATAATTCAAATGAGCTAAAGGTAATGGCAGACGAAGTGAAAGAAGAAACCATGAGTAGTATTGCTCACGAAGTGCGTCGTAACGATGAAGAAAATGTTCCAGAAACCTCCGAGAAAGATGAAAATGACACCGAAAATGATACCGAAAATATTGACGCATCTACTAATAGCGCAAGCCGTATTGGTCGTGATGATCCATTTGAGTTCGGAAAACGTAATTTAACAGAATCGTCAGATGTGTGGGATCATAATGCATGGGATAATATTGAATGGGGTGAAGAACAAATAGATCAAGCCAATGAAAAAATATCCGAACAAATGAAATTTCCCGTATCAGACTTCGACAAAAAATTATACAATGGGAACCCAGCCAGATATTGGGATATCTTCTATAAGAATAACAAAGAAAAATTCTTCAAGGATAGACAATGGCTTCAAATAGAATTTCCAATTCTGTATAGTTCTACTAGAAAGGATTCAGGTCCAATAACAATCTTTGAAATTGGTTGTGGTGCCGGGAACACTTTTTTCCCAATTTTAACCCAGAACGAAAATGAAGATTTGAAAATTGTTGCTGCTGATTTTGCTCCAAAGGCTGTCGAACTGGTCAAGGAATCTGAACATTTTAATCCTAAATACGGTTCTGCATGTGTATGGGATTTGGCTAATCCAGATGGTGCTTTACCTGAGGGTATCGAACCTCATTCCGTTGATATTGCCGTTATGATTTTTGTTTTCAGTGCATTGGCTCCAAACCAATGGGATCAAGCAATGGAAAACATGCGCAAGATTATGAAACCGGGTGGCAAAATCCTATTCCGTGAATATTCCTTCGGTGATATGGCTCAACTAAGATTCAAGAAGAACAGAATTCTGGATGATAACTTCTATGTAAGAGGTGATGGTACCAGGGTTTATTTTTTCAGCGAAGAAGAGCTAAGAAGAATTTTTACCAAGAATAACTATTTCATAGAAAATAAAATTGCCATCGACAGAAGATTATTAGTTAATAGAAAGAGAAAATTGAAAATGTACCGTTGCTGGATTCAAGCAATGTTTGAAGCATCTGAGTAAAATACCCATATTCATAGCCTTAATTAATTACTAGTATTATACATTATTAGTGATAAATCTATGTAAGTCATATATATATAACAAGCATACCAAATAAAAAACATATATACAAAATATACCATTCAAGGTGAGGGAAAGGTCGATTGAGTTCAAGATGTATAATTGCAAAAGGGTAGTACTCTTGGTTGTATCCTTTCATTCCACAGTTTTGTAATTACACGTGTTAAGCTGACTCTGTCGAGTTAACTTCTCTTTCTTGTTATCAAGGGAAAAAATAAATTATGCAGAGAAAAATCGCTTTCTCTCTACTTCTCGACAGATGTGACAAAATAAGTCATCGCGAACTATGTAAATTGAAAAAAGTGTGAAAGGACGATAATGATATCGAACGATTTATGAGATGAATTTGACATATTCGACGTTATATATATATATATATATAACGTCTTGATACCGTTACTGTCGTTGAATACCTTAGTTACCAAATACGACCTTTCTTTTAAGTCACACTATCCTCATATTTCCCTTTTTAGATGAAGATAAGTATGCCCCTAAGAATGGTAGGAAAAACGTATAGCGATGCAATTAACGCTTTGAACTCTTTACAATCGAACTATGCCAACATTATGGCAATCAGAGAGTCTGGAATTCGTAAGAATGAGATGGCTCTTTTAGAAATGGTAGAGTGGACTAGAAGGATTGGTTACTCTACATCAGACTTTAATAAATTGAATATAGTTCACATCACTGGGACGAAAGGCAAAGGGTCAACTGCAGCTTTTACAAATTCGATACTAGGTCAATATAAAGAACAATTACCTAAAATAGGTTTGTATACATCTCCACATTTGAAAACTGTGAGGGAAAGAATAAGAATTAATGGTAAGCCCTTATCTGAAGAAAAATTTACCAAATATTTTTATGAAATCTGGAACAAATTAGATAAATCTTCATCACCTTTGGATAAATTTCCTCATATGACTCCTGGATCCATGCCAGGCTATTTCAAATTCTTGACGTTATTATCTTTTCATACATTCTTACAAGAAGGTTGTAAAAGTTGTGTTTATGAAGTTGGTATTGGCGGTGAATATGATAGTACAAATATTATTGAAAAACCAGTAGCATGTGGCGTTTCTTTACTAGGAATTGATCATACATTTATGCTAGGTGACACTATAGAAGAGATAGCCTGGAATAAAGGTGGAATCTTTAAACACCACGTTCCAGCTTTCACTATTGAGAACCAACCAGCAGCAGGTATGAAGGTGCTGAAAGAGCGTGCAAGAGAACGTGATACAATAGTTACTACAGTTCCGATTTTTGATGCATTGGATAAAATTGAATTAGGGATCGCAGGTAGTTTCCAAAAGACAAATGCGTCGTTAGCAGTTGCCTTAGCCTCACAAGCCCTAACCTCTATGGAAGTATTGGAAAACCCCCTGGGTACTACTGAAAATACATCACTACCCAAAGAATTCTTGAGTGGGCTAAAAAACACATTATGGGAAGGACGCTGTCAAACTATAGATCGTGGTAATAATACATGGTATTTAGATGGTGCGCATACTAAAGATAGTATAGAAGCTGCATCAACATGGTTCAGTGATGTAGTGAAGGACTCACAGAAACCTAAAGTTTTATTATTTAACCAACAAAGTAGGGATGCTAATGCTTTAATACATTTCATGAACGGGAAAATAGCCCCAGAGGTTCGTTTTGATTATGTTGTCTTCACAACAAATGTAACATGGGATTCTGGTAGTTACAGTGTCGATCTAGTATCTATGAATACATGTAAAGAAGATGTAGATGAATTAAAGGTCCAAAAATCTATAGCTAAGGAATGGACTAAAATTGATAATGATTCAAAAGTATTCGTTTCCCCAAATATCGAACATGCCACTAATCTAATTGAAGGTTTATGTGATGAATCCTTAGATATATACGTATGTGGTTCACTTCATTTAGTGGGTGGATTATTAGTAGTATTTGACGGGAAATGATCTCTTGACATTCAAGTCTAGATCATATACGTACTTATGCCAAATAATCTAAAAATAATTTAAATATATACATTTTATTATATAACAAATAAAAAAAGCGATAGACACCAATATTTAAGTGAGACAAGGTTGTTCCGTTAAATCAGGACCATACCATATAGCCCATGTTTTATAATATTTTTTGTGTAGGAAAGAATTAATATCCTGTAAGCTTCGCATCGCTTGCATTGCACTAAAAACATCCATAAAGAGTACAGATACACATAATTTTCTTGATATAATAGGTGTCAATCCCTGTAATTCTCCAAAAACGGAAAAGTCATCCAGAATTTCTTGGGGGTCGAAGGGTAATAAAGAATTGCTAGAACCATTACTATACCTCTTAACAACCCGTTTTTTCCCATTCTTTTTTAATATTAAACATCTAGTTATTTGTGGGTCCTTATTTTTAGAAGTCAAAGAAAGAAGATGTGCTAAATTTTTTTCTTTTGTTTCGTTATCAGTACACAAACATGCTTGTAAGTGAATTCCATTTACTTTGAATAAGTTTGTATTAGCATATTTCAAAAATTCTGTAGCATCTTGAGGATATATAAAATCAATTACTGCTTCCTTATATTCTTGTGGAGTGTCTATACAACTTATCTGTCTCAAGGGACCTCCTTTTATTTGAGAGACCACATTATCGATGCCAATCTCTTTTGGAATATGTTTCACCACTACTCTTGTAGGATTATTTTTTAATAAACTGTTCTCCAAAAAGTTGTCAAACGAATAGAAAATGGATGTATCTGAAAATCTCGAAAAATCTAGAGGGGTTTGGGAACTTGTTGTGTAGTCGCTACCGACAATTAATTTTTTATCTTGTGCATTTTCTGGATACAATTCTTCCTTTAATGAAATTGCATGGTTATTCTTTCTTACCTGTGGGCTATACTCCTGGTTAGTTACCCTTTCTGAATCAACTATACTACAGTATATATCTTTTGTGTTATTTCCGAATGTCTTCGTGTGTCCATGAAAATATGCCTTAGTTAATTGTCTAAAACCGATATGTTTAGTTTTATTATTATTTAGTTCTGGACAAGTTGTCCTATTTTTTTTATAATTGTGTTGATGGGCCAATTCCCTTTGTTTTATCATTAGTTCATCGGTACAAGATCTTTTATATTTGATATTTGATTGTGTCATGTTATATTATTTATGCTATGTGTGCTGTCTCACGTAGTTATATATTGTAATCAAGTTCTTCCAACGTTACCCAGAAGAATATGTTACAACTCATATTCTTTTTACAGGCTATTCATTCCAATTAATATAAATTTTCCTTTAGTGACAGAGTTTCATTGTGACAACCTTTCCGCCGAAGATGAAGTCCGCAATGTTCGGCCTGGCGCTTTCAATTCAAACATATATATACTTGTGAACTATGTATGCTATTTCGAGACTCGCTATTGGCCTAATCCTACGTCACATCCGCAAGATACAATATACACTAAGAGTCGTAAATACAATATTTAAATGTTTTTATTATTATTAATATACAAGCTTGTATGAAATACATAATATTATAGAACTTGAGATTTCAAACCTTAACATCACACATATCACCACGACGAGAAGTTTCTAATTTCATCAATTCACGTAGCGCCATGGTTGCATAGGCAGAAGTACCTAATTGCATCTTTATCAAAACTGCTGTTTTTTCACCACCATTATCTGGCATAAATCTCTCTAGTTTGGTTTTCATATATTTCTGGCCATTTTCTTTGCCAATTTTATTATTTAACATTTCAAGATCAGTGTTCAATAATTGCTGTGTTGGTTCATTGTAATGGACAATTTTGTACTCCAATTCAGTTGGTTTTTGGATTACATTTCTATACGAACCTGCAACAGAAAAATCACGAACCTTTCTTCTCATTTTAAATGGATCCATGTTATCCTTCTTCATTATATCAACGTAAACTTGCTTCAGAGCTGAATCTGATGGGTAAACAATATCAAATCCAGGCATTGGTAACACTACATCGGACATCGAATACTTCCCGGAGTCAATATCTTCTTGCGATAATGGTTTAGCTCTGACAAATTCTTGGGTATTTAAATCTTCGTCAAAATCATCCAACTCTTCTTCTTCTTCTTCCTTATGAGATTCCGGAGTGTCAATAACCAGGTCACCTGGCATCACCTTAAGTCCATATAGTTTGATTCTTTCACTAGTAACAGCATTCCAGACATAACTTTGATAAGCGTGGACGTACATTGTTCTTAGATTTCTTGGGACTTTCATAAGAGCTGACAAATAAGAGTGTGCTGAATATGTTCCATCATCCTCCTTTCTTAAATTAGACAAACAATATAAAATTGAATTTTCTGCAACACATTGTCTTGGCATTAGTTTTAAAGCTGCTGCTGCATCATGTGTACTTGCCCACAATTGCCTAGCCTCTTTAGATTTTGGTAAGACATTATCCTGATCTGAAAGAATTAATTCAACAGCTTTTTCCCAATTTTCTAACAAAATTTCTTTACCGACTTGATGGGTAGAAATACTAAATGTACCAAATCTTTGCATACCGAAATAATTGATAAATCCATTAGAAGATAGCGACTCACAACCCTTTTGTAGGATATGTTCTAATTTAGAGTTTGGATCAAGAACATCGACATCTCTTATGGCAATAACAAACTCATTACCATTCAAATCACCAAGGCCCAAAGATGAATCTTCAAATTTAAATCCACCAATGATCATTCCCTTCAAAGTTCTGTTCAATGCATTCAATCTGTCGACACCGATCTTAGATACGCATAATCTTTGACAGGTTACTGCTCTTCTATCTTTGGTACCAGCGAATCTCATGGCCTTAGTTGGGAATCTCATTAATTTACAAATGGTGTTGACTGCATCCATGGTATCCTTATTCTCCTTTTGTAAAGTAAAATGTAAAAACTCTTTGGTTGGTCCAAAGCCCCAGTTTTCGACACCGTTGGCATCTTTTGTCTGATCATTTCTCACTTGTTTGTTTACTCTGGAGTTTTTATTATTTCTTGCAATCTTGAAACTATTTTGGTCAGTAGTAACTGACTCTAATTCGTCATTAAATGCCGCACGTAGTAATTGATGAATCTTGGTTCTTGTTGATTTATCTTCAAATGATTTTTCACTTTTCATTGTGGTAGCCATTTTATAGACCTCTTCAATCTTTTGAACATCACTCTCGCCAAATATTTCAACTAATTGGAGTCTCAATTCAGAATTAACTTCAAAATTTTGTCTATGTGCAATATCTTCTGTAGCTTTAGCTTCTCTTTCGGCCTTAGACATCTGGGGTTTCTTTGGCATCTTAAACCCTTTGTCAGTAAGGTGAATAACATTCCCAGATTGGTCAATTTCATTAACCAAAAAATCAGTATATCTTTGCTTGATTTGTCCAGAAAATCCGGGCAAATCTTGGGTTAGATACAAGGTAATACCAACAGATTGTTCTGTTATACCGTTATCAGATGTTTGATTTTCTTCTACTTTAGATTTTTTGATAACAGGAGCGTCACCTTCGGCGACAGCTTCATCAACGTTTCTCTTCAGAGTTGTTTCTTGTTCTGACATAGCTTACCTTATATTCTGAATGGTTTATATACTGTTAGTGTGATAATATTTCTATTTATTATCAATTTAATGTTTTACATAAATCGATGAGTTCTTTAATATCCAAAAAATTTTCAAATTTGTTACAGGAAGGAGATGTTCATGATCGCGTTGAAAATTTCAGTGGGCCATTCAAAGCAAGCGCCTTCCAACAATTATGTAAACAAGAAAATGTAATTAATTGAATGGATATTAAATTTCACTAAACAAATAGTATTACTTGGCTTACCACAGACTAAACAAGCACTTGAAGATAACCTTATTTTCAATATTTTACAATATAGAAAACCTAAAACTTTAAAATGTCGGCACCTGTAGAAGTAGAAATTGAAAATGTCCCGAAAAGGATCGATGATGTTAAGGACCTTATCATAAAGGCTCAATGTTGGGTTAAAAAAGGCGATGAAGAAAGATTGGCAGAGATTTTATCTATTAAATCAAGACGACCACCTCCAAAATTTTATGTGCATTATGTGAACTATAACAAACGTTTGGATGAATGGGTTCTACCCGATAGAATCAACCTAGAGAAGGATGTGTTATTACCTGTACCGAAACCGGCAGAGGAATCCAAAACTAAACAGAAGAACAAAAAACAAACACAGCTAGAAAAGACCATCCAGTCTACAACTGCTCCAACAAAAGAAAATACACCTGAGGTTTCGGATATGATGGATCTGGATGATCTGAATGTTCAGGGGATAAATACTGACGATGTTTCACGAGAAGATGAGATCAAGAAGTTACGGACTTCGGGGTCCATGACGCAAAATCCACATGTTGTTTCACAGGTTAGAAATTTAAATAAGGTAGTAATGGGTAAATACGAAATTGAACCGTGGTATTTTTCACCTTATCCAATTGAACTTACAGATCAAGACCAGATATATATCGATGATTTTACATTACAATATTTTGGATCAAAAAAACAATACGAGAGGTATAGAAAGAAATGTACTTTACAGCATCCTCCGGGGAATGAAATATATCGTGATGATTACGTTTCCTTCTTCGAAATAGATGGAAGAATGCAGAGAACATGGTGTAGGAATTTATGCCTTTTATCTAAATTATTTTTAGATCATAAGACGTTGTATTACGATGTTGATCCATTTTTATTTTACTGCATGACCAGAAGAGATGAGCTTGGTCATCATTTAGTCGGATATTTTTCTAAGGAAAAAGAATCTGCTGATAATTATAATGTTGCATGTATCTTAACACTTCCTCAATACCAGAGAAAGGGTTATGGTAGATTGTTGATCGAATTTTCATATGAATTGTCAAAGAAGGAGGGAAAGACAGGTTCACCAGAAAAACCATTATCAGATTTAGGTTTACTTTCATATAGAGCATATTGGACTGATACGTTGGTGAAATTATTAGTGGAACATGGGAAAGAAATTACCATTGATGAAATTAGTACTATAAGTTCGATGACCACCACAGATATTTTATTTACAGCAAAATCATTGAATATTCTGAGGTATTATAAAGCACAACATATTATATATCTTAGTGACGAAGTTATTGAAAGATTTGAAACATTGAAAGCCAAAAAGAGAAGAAGTATAGACCCTACGAAATTAATTTGGACACCACCGGTATTCTCAGCATCCCAACTGAGATTTGCGTGGTAGATTCAAAATATATCTCCAGATAGTTATATAGATATATAGCTACTTTACTGTATAGTGCATTGATTTTTTTTTTTCATAAATTCATATTTATTACAGGATATTTACGGAATACATTTTATTAAGTTGCAAAAAGATGTTAGTTGTACTAACTGGGAGGAGAAAGTAAAATAATGAGAATGTTGATGATAAAGAAAGTACTAGGGAACAGTTCGTTTTACCGTTTAACCAACAATATTAAAGTCTACATCGGACATATCATATTGATCTCTATAATCACAATAGATATTTTTCAATTCCTCAATATAGAGTTCATGATAGTGATTTACAATATCCTCTGATGGATTATTGATTTTTTCTTTAATATAGATTGGCTTTCCTGTAATCACAGTCAATGGAGTTCTAAAAGGTAACAAGCCAAAATCATAATTGAAGAGACCTCGAGCATAGAAAATTGGGATTGTAAACCCAAAATTTGCCTTGATCCACAATTGAATGTTTCTTAACCATGAATTTTCCCTAGATCTAAATATTTGATATGTATTATTCTCACCAAAGACAAATGTAGGGACCACTCCGACATTTCCAGTCTCTAATGCCAATTTAATAAACCCTTTCCTCTTATTTAAGATCAATTCCACTTTATTCGGTTCAGTAAGGAGGGATTCCCTTGCTCCTCCAACTACGATACATATCGATTGATTGTTCTGCAGTACTTTCAAAGCATTTTTCCTAGAGACTGACGTTATTCCTAAAGCCAAAAGATAGTCTCTATACAATGGAATGTGAAATTGTGTAACTAAAGTCATCAATGAAATAGGGATACCAGGAAACTTCTTTGACCAATGACAACCTTCTGTCCCAAAAGCGCCAAATGCTCCTAACGCACCTATACCATGTGGATGATACCCAAATATATAACGAGGACCTGTTGCTTTAATTTCCCCTTTGGGAGTCTGAGAATCATTGTTTTGAAGTCTTTTCTTAATGTTGATGCGATAAGTTGAAGGCCAAATTCTAATTTTCCATCCATTATTGCTGGCTTTATCAATTTTTGATGTGTTTTCATTATCATCATTAATAAGTTGTTGAGGTTCCCAACTAAAAGTCGGTTTCAAATCTGCAGATTTGATCAAAGACACTGGAAAATATTCACAATATAAATCCCATATATACAAAGACCTGAACCAGAGGGAATATCTATTCACAACGTTCCCATTGGCTGGGGACCTATCATTAAAGAAATATATTAGATAAGGAATCATGAATAACCAACAAAATGGTGAAGATAATAAAAATAAATTTATTAAAGTGAATACAACAAATGATGAACAATGCCATGCTACAGCCATTGTTTGCAATCTCCTATGCATTGGTGTTGCAATGGAACAACAGGAATCTAATGTCGGTTCATCCGCCTGTTGTATGTGCTGTTTCGTTATATGTGGTGTCTCTGACGATATAAGATCATTTTCTGTCTGAATACTTTCACTAATCTTAGTTTGCTGACCAGTCATCTAGGTTTGATAGAAAATAAAACTTGATTTAATTTTGTGTGCTGTTTACTAATTTTTCTGAATTATAGTAACAACCTTGGGATTTTTGATAAATTTGATAGAAACAATAACGTCAAAACAACTGTATCTTACTTCTAACGTAAAGTAAAGGGATACTGCATTTTTTTAGTGTTCCATAATCTTGTTTAATCATTGAAGTCCATTGCCTGTCTTGTATTTAAACCAAGACTCCTCATCTTTCTTGTTGCTGTTACTGCATGAGGCTGCTTCGGCGAAACGGGCAATGCCCGATCTTTTCTGTGTGAAAAACGAATGTGTGCCCTTCAATATAATTTGGCAGCAAAAGGAAAGAATGGCTAGGAGAGACACACTAAGCTAGACGCACAGTAACAAATAGTAAGTAAAAAGAGATATATGCATTCCTTTCAGAGTTGAATAATTAATTACCAAGAAACAACAGTATCATAAATTTATTTGCACAAGATGTTAAATATGTTTAGTTATTGTCAAGAAGTTTAAAAAATTAAAAGAAAAAAGAAGAGCACAGTAAGAAAAATTTGTTAACAAAATGAAATCATATTTGAAAGAACATAATATGGCTCTATATTAATTCGAGCACTAGTAATGTTCTATCATGGTTAATTTCTATCCTTTTTGAAAGAAATAGAGACTAACCCACTGTCAGGTGAAGTAAGATCAATTATAAAGGATAATAATCCTTCACAACTGATTTTACTTCTAACTTCCTCACTATAATATTAATAGACAGTGTAGCAAGGAAGTATATCTAATGTACATAATTTAAAAATAGAGGTTTTATATATCTCCAAAACAAATGATGAAGTTCTGTTAAGCCCATTGGATACCGATGCAAAAAAATTTGAGTGATAATGAAAAGGAATGAAGATCTGAAAAGTATTAAACTTACAATTCTTCAACAACGTTACCCTTGGAGGAAACGTAGATACCATCCAAGAACTTACGGATATCCTTGTTCCTGGCCTTACAGATTTGTTGAATGTCAGCAGCATTTTGAGAGACTTCTTCAACAGAGTTACCAGATAGAACGATTTCATCCTTTTGGTTGGTAGAGAATTCAATAGCAACACCTTCTCTAACTGGGACTAATCTAACCTTCTTGTCACCTAGATAGTTTCTGATTTCGATGAACTTCTTACCATCGTTTTCAACAACGTTAACGTTGATTGGGAAATGCGCATAGACGTATCTCATCTTGTACTTGTAACCCTTAGTGACACCAGTGATCATGTTGTCAATCAAAGACTTGACGGTTCTTAGAGCAGCAACGTGCTTTCTGTCACCGTTGTGAACAGCAACCTTAATCAAAGTGTTGTCAATCTTGTTGAAAGTAACATCAATGTGCTTTAGGTTCTTGGTTAGAGTACCTCTTGGACCAGTGACCTTAACGATTCTGGCCTTGATGGCAACAGTTACCTTTTCTGGGATAGCAATGGATTGTTCAGTTTGAATGTACTTCATTGTAGATGGAGATGTATGTATGGGGTAATTGCTAGAGTAAAGAGAATGATATAACAAAAACAAGATTTTAAATTATAGGCAGGAAAGGATATACGTCAAATATACCGAGTTGCTCTAACTTGGATATTTATATACTTTTTCCTTTTTTTTCTTGGAGTCGACGAAGACGACGAAAATTTTTCAAATTTTTCATTTTTTTGGAATATTTTTTTTGCGTCGGTCATTTCGTTTTTTTTTCAGTTTTTTTTTCAGTTTTTCTTAAGAGGAGTCGAAACTAGGGTTTTTAGGTTAGGGTTCGTGCGTGTCACATTTTTGACAAAATGAAGAATGACGGTAAAGGATAGTTAGAAAACATATCAATCACAAAACACAACAATAAGTTACACATCAAGTTAATATCATTATTGCAACTGTTAATTGACTGTTCTGTTTCAAACATTTACTCTGAAGCTTCTTGGAATTTTGTTTTGGAAAAATGTAGTTTTGTTAAATACATATTTGTAGAATGTATGAGTGGTCATTTTAAAATGATAGGATATCAAACACATAATAATCAATATCCCCAAGAAGATCCATGTATAATAGTTATATCACGCTGTAAAATTTGTTATTTTTTGAAAATATACTGCATAGTTTGTTTTGTTTTGTTTTTTCTATCTTTCTCTGTACTGCTACTGTGACCCTCTCGGTGCAAATTGAACTGTAATTTTTGTAGAAAATAATTAGAAATGTCATATATTGTGGCGTACTTAATATTTATTATTGACTTATTAATGATTTATTTTATGAAGAAATAAAAGCCCATTCGAGAAAATAAAAATATTTGGTCTATTATATGATATTAGTAACCTTTTCTTGTGCCTATTTCCAAGAATTAGAGTTTTAGTCTTTATATTTTTCTTTTCTTTTCGTTCAGTTCAGTTCAGTTCACAAGTATCAATGAATTTGTTGTTACTTGTGAACTTCTTTATTTTTGCTCTCTATTTTGTAAATGGTTCAAATAATATTATTTCAAACACAAACCAAGTGGTTAAAACTCCAACGGACGCTTTCTATGATATTGTAAATGTTTTTAAGGAAGTTCGTAAGATTCAAAAGCATGCATATATGGACGACCTATTTGCATTGAGAAAGGAAACTGACTTTGATGAAGAATGTAAAGAAATTCTATCTGATATTATATCTACAAGGGATCGGGTGACTAACCTAAAGAGTGGAAAGAAAAAGAAAAGTCGTTTAAGAACCAAAACATTAGAGAAATGTGTGGAAACATATATAAATCATCAAATTCATGATGTCAATAATTCAAACAAGGATAAGTTAGCAAAAACTTTATATGCCCTGAGAGCGCAAGAAGTAACTATGTCCATGGTTACCGAAAGAAATCTTTGGAGTATTCTAAAACATATTAAATTTAAACTTGAAGAATATGGTTTGGTAGAAAAGCGAAGTGAAAAAGAATTAGAAGCTTTTCCAACAGAACAAGATGGGGTACATAGTGCGAACACATTGCTCTTTTTGGTTAAAGGTATGTTTGGGTTGGGAATTTGTGTAGTTTTTGGTTCGGCCATTTGTTTAACAGCGATGGGATCACTAATTTCAATTCAAATAATTTTATGGATGTTAATTTTAGTCAAGTACCTAGCAAGATAGGACTTGGAATTTTATTGATGTTAACCATTGGGATAATAATTCATATTGATAGATTCAAAATATGTGACCGTTAAATATAAAGTAAACAAATAACTGGGTAGATCTCATATGTTCCTTAACAGAAAACCATATCGTGATATATTGTTAACCAAAAATTGGTTCAATTGATCACATCCATGTCATTTTTGGGGTATAATATAAACCGAATTCTTAACTTAGATATTTATTGTTACAATATATATATAGATAAATATACGTGTATAATACTATTTTTTGTTGTTTTTATTTTAGGTTCAAAAAAACAAATTCTAAACTTTATTTTCTATTTATATGATTCTTTTTTTAAAAAAAAAAACTATGCATTGTCTTCTTATTGATTGGTCTTGAACCATTTATCTGAGAAACTTTTCAACGAATCAGCATCATTATATACCCACGAACCCTTTTCATTATAAAATTTGGCATTGGTATACATGGTCTCTAGATCTTCTTTAACTTCATCGAGCGATTGGTATCCTTTCTTCTTGGCCTTCTTCATAATTGTATCGATGGCAATTGGATTTGATATCAATACAAAATAATCAGGATAAAGTTTCTTGGAAGGTAATTTTTCAAACATATCTGTACAAATATGGTCATCATCCTTATCTACAATAGTACGCAATTCTTTTATTAAAGATGCCACCAAATCTGAAATATTACGTTCGGGTTGGGTATCCTCAGTAATTGGAAGGGATTTATTTGTACTTCTCCTTCCTCTTTTCTTTGGAGTTGGTTCTATGGCGACAACTTCCTCTTTAATTTTCTCCTCTTCCTTAGTGATCTCTGGGGCAGGCTTCTTAAGCTTCAAAGTAACCTTGAACTTTTGTTTTTTCTTTGAAGGTTCTTCCTTTGACTTTTCTACAGTTTGATTAGTAGTTCCGTTTTCAAGTGGAACAATACTTTCAGGAATATCGGTAGCCGCCTTTCTCTTTCTTGTTCTTCTACGACGTCCGGAAATGGTTGTATCTTCTTCCGCTTGTACTTCTTCAACAGGTGTAGATTCTACTTGCTCAGCCTGTTCTGATGGTATAGAATCTACTTGCGCATTCTGTTTCAATGGTATGGACTCTATTTCAGGAGTATTCTCTAAAGTTGGAATTTCTCCATCCTGGTCTGCAATTTTTTCAATCTTATTGCGTGTCCTTTTTTCTCTTTGTTCACGTTTCTTTTGAATAGTTTCTTCCAATGTACTCTCTTCATTTTCAACGGCATCCAAAAATTGTTCTTCAGTTAGGCCATCATCGTAATACACTCTTTTAGTTTGTCTCATCCTTGACAATGCAACAGGTTCTGTGTACAAATGTTTTTCAATATCTTCTGTAAACACTTCAGGTAATTCATTTTCTGTTATTAATCTTGATAGCGGCGCCTTTAATCCAAGAGTCTTAGCTTCCGCCTTAGCTTCAGCAAGTCTCTCTTTATCCATTTTGTTAAATAATATTTTCTCATCGTCTGAACGCGCAAGAACTTCATTTAGTTCTTCATCGTCTAGTTCGGCCTTGTCGTCATCATCGGCAGTAGAATCATTCTCTATCAATCTTCTTAGGAATGCCTCTTGTTCTTCGGCAGTAGATTTGTTATCGAATTTACCAGCTTGAATAACCTTACCATCAATATCTAGTTTTTGCATGGCTCTCTCTAGAATAACTTCTTCAACGGAATCGGTAGTAATCAGTCTTAAAATTCTAACTTCATTCTTTTGACCGATTCTGTGAGCTCTATCTTGCGCTTGTAAATCTTGATGAGGATTCCAATCTGTATCAAAAATAACAACGGTATCAGCAGTTTGTAAATTCAAACCTAGACCACCAGCTCTGGTAGATAGCAAGAAGCAAAAATAATCAGAATCTGGTTTATTGAAAAGTTTCAACATATCAGTTCTTTCATCAGCCTTTGTGCTACCATCTAATCTCATATACTTCAGGTTCCTCATTCTTAAGAAATCTTCCATAATATCCATGACTTGTGTCATTTGGAAGAACATCAACACTCTGTGGCCCGTTGCTTTAAACTTTGGTAAAACACGATCTAATAATTCAAACTTACCAGAAACACGATAAAGCAAATCAGAATTTCCTCTACTTGGGTTAATAACACCTTCCACTTCATCAAACACAAAAGGATGGTTACATATCTTCCTCAGTTGCATAATTTTGTTGTTCAGACCTTTGATACCTGTCTTAGTGGCACCTTCTGTACCAGCACCGACAAATAAGGCATTATGTTTCAACATTTGTTCGTATAATGTTTGTTGTAAACCTGATAATTTACATTTTACGACAGTCTCAACCTTGTCAGGTAGATCCTTCTCGACTTCCTTCTTCAAACGACGTAACAAAAACGGTCTTAGCACTTTATGTAATCTTCTGATAATAAGTAATGTTTCTTCCTCTGTCAACTCTAATTTTTCTTGACCACCTGTGTTTGCAAAAGGCGTATTAAACCAGTCATCGAAAGTACTCGCTGAATTGAAAATTTTAGGTAAAACGAAATTTAGCAAAGCCCATAATTCTGGTAAGTTATTTTGCAAAGGCGTACCTGTTAGAATTAATCTATTTCTAGTCTTGTAGTAATGTTGAATGGTATATGAAAGCTTTGATTGAGCATTTTTCATTCTGTGACCTTCATCAATAATCATATGAGCCCACTCATGTTTACATAGTAAAGCTCTATCCTTGATAATATATTCATATGTCGTTAATAATACATCGAAATCCCCATTTCTAATCCTATATTGAAGGGCACGTCTTTGATTTGGAGTACCCTTATAAATAATTGTGTTCAAAGTTGGAGCCCATTTTTCAAATTCTAATGTCCAGTTTGTTATTGTTGATAATGGAACAATGACTAAATAAGGACCTGGGTTCTTTTTCTCTTCGAACAGATATGCTATTAAAGAAATAGATTGAATAGTTTTACCTAAACCCATTTCATCTGCAAGGATACCATTTAGATGATTGTTATATAAGGAAACCATCCATTCCAAACCTTTTAATTGATATTCCTTTAATGAACCACCAACAAGGATAGATGGTTGCTTATCAACAGTTTCTTTGATAGTATGGGCCACTTCGTAGTAATCAATTTTTTCTCTTTCTTCATCGCTATTGACACTGATTTCTTCACCTCTGGCAACTTTGGCTTCATTTTGTTGCACTTTAACAGCAGATGCTAAAGTATCCAAAAAAGTATTAGTTTGGCCCAAAAGTTGTGTAATTCTTGTATCTTTTGTTTGATCTAACAATTTCAAATACGCTTCTTCATCGTTCGATTTCAATGCAGCCAAACGTTGTTTTGCTGTTCTTTCAATTCTTCTTTGTTCTTCCTTTTCGATTTGACCATGTGTTGAGAGCATTAACTTACCAAATTGCGCACAACGGTCACGACGAGTAAACGTACCTTCTTTTTCCTCCTGGATTGCATCTCTGATATTATTAATTCTCTTCATATGAATATTACGTTCTTTCTTTCGTTTCTCCAATAATTGTTGTCTCTCAAGTTCTTCGGCAATTCTTGCGGTCTGTGGAACGATAACTTTCCCTCTAACTTGAACAGATCTTTGTGCCGCTAAAGTGAATGGAGAATCACGTAAATAAGGTATGATATGATGTGCTTGAGTAGAAGTGTTGGTAATAATTTTTTGTCTAAGAGATTTTTGTTTCGTTAACAATTTTAAACATTTCAATTCGACTAATGCTTTGATTTTCAATTTGTCAATACCAGAAGGTAAATCATCCTTAGTGATAAACTCTAAACAATCATCTAGGGAATATGTACCCAAGTTTGCTGGTAATCGTTCTAATTCGGCAATTCTTTTGGCAATTTGTGTTGATATAGTGGTTTCAATTTCAGGGACTCCCAGTTGAGATTGGGGTGAGTTTTTGAATTGAGATTCCAAATCAAAATTTTTAATGGTTTTGTTAAAATCTCCAAAAATTTTCAAAATTTCTAGTGTTTTACTCTTGTTATCCCCATTAGTTATATTTGAGTCTTCGATAAGTTGAGTGTTATTATTGTTTAATAAATTTTCAGGGATGTCAATATCTTTCTCTAATAGTTGCAATGCTAATAGTTGATTTGCTAAAATTGCACCATCATAGGATTTGGAACGACTTGCACGTATATTATCTCTTACTCTTCCTATATCTTCATTAAATATGTCTTGATCCTTTGACAATTTCCCCAACAAAGTTTCAATAGAGTTAATTTCTAATTCATTTTCTTTAGGATTATGAGAAATAATTTTATAACGATATATCAACTGTTCAAGTTGTTCAGAAGTAGTTGGTTTAGGTATTGAGATTATGGATTGAGGGACTTTTGATTCTTCCTTTTCGAAGTTATCCCCATTTGAATTTGGAAGGATAGTATTTGGTGTAGCGACTACAGCGCCAGTTGATTCTAACATTTGTTTTGAATTGTTTTTAACCCAAATATCACTTTTTTAGTTTGCTTTTTTTTAAAAAAAAACAGAAAATAGTAAAAATAGGATAGTTAATGTTTTTCGTTTTGCCACGTCTACACTTTTCTTTTCTCTGTTTATTTTTCAACTTCACTAATAAGGTTCTGTTTTTCCCCTCTATTTATTAATTTTTCGTTTTTTTTCTGTCAAACGTCTTCCTAGTCGAACCTTTACGTTTTCTTAAATGACTTTATTTACTATTCTCAAAAAAATTATATAAATTTATTGAACATCGTTAAAACTTGTATTTTATTTTTTGGTTCGCCACTTTTTTTTGGTTCTTTCAAATTCGCCGCTTAATTTTTTTAGTCTTTTCGCGTTTAAAGAGAGATGGGTGTGCGGGTAATGCTGTGGTCAGGTGAGTGTCACGTGGCTGGGAGTGAATTATATACCAACTCAGTTATACATATATATTTATAAAATTCTTATTATATATTTTCAATTATATAAGTTACCATTACTAGCTTGTAAGGAGACTATGTTTTTAAAATTTTTTTTTACTAATTTACTATCTAATTTGTTTACTTTACTAGTGACATTTGTTCTTTTCAAAATTATTGAAACAGTCACAAAACTTTAAAATTTTGGAACTTTTAAGATATAAATAAGAATATTTAGAACGTATTATAATTATCCATTTCCAATATCAAACATAGGAATGCATTCTTGGAGCTATAGCAATCTATAATAACGTCGATTTACAAGTATTCAACCCCAATACTGAAGGATAAATGATAGCTTTCTACACATGTGTCGCAAGTCTTGAAACAATAATAACCTCTCTCTTGAAAAACACATCTACAAATAATCAATACTACAAAATTACTCGAAACTTGGCACCACCATTCATGCAACCGTTGCAATCAAACGAACTTCACCTTCACCATCACAGATCAACTTGACTACTCTCAAACGGCTCAAATTCCACATTACTTATCCTTCATCTACAAACAAATAATAAACTCACCGAACTATTATTACAAAGCACAGAAAAAAACGGAGGGCAAATACAAATATTTGGAACCTCGGTCAAAAATAACTTTTCAATACAATAAATAACCATTATACTAGTACATACATATTCGGAAGTGACAGATGAGAAACAATATTAGATATCGATTCCTCTGATTTACTCATTATCAAATTGTTTTGATAATTGTTTACTCCTTTCCTCCACCAGTCATTATTTAGATATATAGTAAATTTTACAAGACAGAAAAGAGTAACCTGATCTATTACTGAAAGTAAATTGCAATTGCATCACATTATTTTTACAGATCATAATAGAAATAACTAACGGTATTGATCCAACAACACATATACGGTGAAACTAGATACTTCAGGGAACAAATAAATATGATGAATTCTGGGTTTACATTCCCTCCACCTTTATCGGAGGAAGAGACTAACACATACAATAATAACACTATACCTCCCATCTCTGAAGATCAACCCGCAGGTGGGTTTACTTTCCCCAATACGAGACATGATATAGAAGCAGAGACTAACCCTAATTTTGTAGAGATAAATATAACACCACAGTTGGAAGGGACGCAACAGTTTAATACTCCAGGTAATCTTAGTACAACGACAATGACCACCCCAATAATCGATATCCCTTCCCCCATGGAAATACCGATTAGTTCATTCCCACCTAAAAAATCGAAACTTATGGAATCCTTCCAAGAGCATACCGTTCAAGAGGAAAATAATAAGGAACAAAACATTCCAGATACCGTCCAGAAAACTACTGAGTTAGGACAAGACATAACCCCAACAGAGACTACAAATAAATCACTAACTGAAGAATATGTAATAAACCTCAGACAACAAATGGCAACTGATTGGAAAAGCCCGTCAGAATATGCTCTTCACATCCTCTTCACAAAGTTTATTCGTCATGCTGAAAATAAGTTAAATGTATGTTTGGAATATCCACTGAATACAGAACCTCCCATCATTGAAATATTGGGAGAAGGTTTAGACCCTGTATTTGATAAAATTATTGAATCTCTAGGACATATCGCTAGAAACAATCCCAAACCTGTAATAGATGCAATGATGTATTGGAGAAAGACTAAATCAGAGGCAGCCAATGCAGCTGCTGAAGAAGTTCAAAAATTTATTAAAGAGAATGAAGATGACCACACACTTCCACGAACTGTGATATCCAGATCATCTTCAACTTCATCTTCAATCTTACACAAACATAGAAAGAACAGTTCTGATGGATCGAATAGTTTTTTACCAAAAAGAAATGTTTCTTCTCGAGCACCTACTAGAGTGAAGAACACTCTCGAGAATCAAAAACTAACAGATATGCAAAACCAGGTGGAAAATTTGAAAATTATTGCCCTAACAACTGATAGAAAATCTCTAATAAGTATATACATTCTTTGCCGAGTTCTGATAGAGATTATAAGGCAAGCACCTGAAAATGGAGATGAAGACTTAAGTGACAAATTGGAAGAGATTGTCTACGCTCAACTGAAGACTACAGATCCAGTTTCGTTATCGTCAAGTATAATAAAATCATCTAACTGGAATTCATTTGCCGAGCTTTTAGGTTGCATGTCTGAAAAGAAGTTCATTTCAGTAAGTGACCGATTCATTGCAGACTTAGAAAAGATTCCGAAAAGGGTCAAGGTAGAAGATGAACCATCCGTACACTTATTAATATTGGGTATGAGGTACCTCGTCCTGAAAAATTATCCTCTGGACAAGTTTGAAGAGAGTGCTGATTTTGTGAAAAGTTTGGCAAAATTTTTCTTAAAAACACAAAATGACACAGTGAAATTGGCATATAGCGAGGTTACCAACCAACTCCTGCTACCACTAGCTGGCTCACTCAGTGCAGAGGTAAACCATCCAACATGGGTGGACGCCATGGAGACTCTTTTGAAAGCTGGAAAAAATCTTTTACCCGATAATCGTTACTGGGCTAATGGATTTAAACTGACAGTCTCTATATTGTGTGCATCTCCGCCTCAGGTGTTTTCAGAACACTGGGTGAATATAATCGAATCGAGTACAGGTAAAATTAGAACAAAAAAACTTGATGATCGTATAATTTTTGCTGTCGGTGTATCCCGATTAGTTTGGGTGTATCTATACAGGTGTTCTGATACATTGAACAATACGACAAAGACCCTAACAAAGTTATTATTTTTATACCTAAACAATAAGAAGAAAGAGAATTGGCTAACTACAGATATCGATTTAATTAGCCCTTTAGCTGACGCTTTAATATCTATTGGCTACTTATATCCCAACTTTCTCCTAGAGGATACGCTCATTCCCCTCGTTAAACAATCGTTTAATGGTAGCACCCTTGAAAATATTGGCTATGATAAACTGATACTTGCAATTAAGACATATAAGGGTTTTGTACTTACGAATGAAAAGCCAGAATTTCCAGAGAATGATCGTAGAGTTTATTCAACCGATTTGAATAATATTCCATCGAATTTAAATGAGGCTCTGACAGCGAATAATGAAGAAATGTGTGCTATCATTTATAAACTTTTTTTAATCCTTGACTCTAATATTGGGTCTGAAGTATGGTCTCCAGAAAATTATCATCAAAAACAAACATCTACTCCATTCGGAACCTTTTCGTTCGGATTTTCAAATGATAGTGACAGTAATGTACAAAAAATTTCATTAAATCTATTACTGTTCTCTACAATTATAGAGGCAATACCTTGCTGCTTGGCAATTTCTAAGAATATTCCATACAAGCCCATAATTGAAGTCCTAACAAGAAATGCAGTCCATGCAGACAATTTTATCTCCGAGAGTTGCAGAAAAGCACTTAAGGCGTTGGCAACAAAGAACAATGCATACACTTTTATTACATGGTTTGCCAAATATTCGTTCGATTTTGATGAGAAAACTCAATCTAGATATAATATGTCATATCTTAATTCGACCGAATATATTACACTACTAATGCTATATGTTGAACTATTAGAATGTTGGTTAAATGAATTCCAAACTTCCAAGAAGAAAGAATCGAAAAAAGTCATGGGGCTGGATGGTATTCAACTTCTTCCTAATGAAGATACAAACAACGAAACAACTGGAACTGAAAAATTAGAATGGAAGAATATTATAACAGTTATCGAAGAAGTTGAAGGGAATGGTTTATTTTTTCTATGTTCACACGATTTTACTGTTCGAAAATTGGGTATACAAATCTTAAGAATTATCTCCAAATTTGACGAAGCAATGGCAGAAAAAACTGAAAAACTTTCCGAAAATGGTCATTCGAGATCATCATCCTTCCACTTTTCCGCAGATCGTGGTAACAGGTTAATTGATTTCATACATGAAGCCAGTATATTCTCATTTATAAACCCACAAAAAATCTCATTGAGTGTAGTAGAGAAACAACGTTTATCAAAATTGAACTCCAGATATAAAAAGGGTCTAATTGTCAGGTTAGCAGAATCATCATATGGTGTCGATGCAGCGTTATGGCAAAGAGCCTTCCCTAAACTTTTAGCTTACATTTTTAAAACCTGTCCTATTACCATGGCTCTTTGTCGTTCAATAGTGTGCATTAGACTCGTACAAGTTCATGAAGTGATTCTTCGCATTTCGAACGACACTTTGTTTAAGCCCCAAAATAGTCTTCCCGAAACAATTATTAATCAATGGAAACTTTACCTAGTGGCTGCTTGTACATCACTTACGTCGACTAATGATCAAATTTTACATATTCCGAGTAGTACAAAAAAACATGGAAGAAAGAAGAGTCAACAAATTTTTACTGTTCAACACCAGAAGATAAAATCCGCAAAATCGATTTTTAAGATGGTACTTCCTTTATTAAACTCACAGAGTATTATGATCAGAGAGGCAATTATATCTGGACTGAGTTCCATGAATATAAACATTTACAAGACATATATAGAAAGCGTTGATAGCTTCCTTATTGGGTGGAAAGAACAAAGCTCAAACCAAATCAGGGTTGAAATGTTTCAAATTTTGGCAATTCTATCCCGTTTCTTGAAGGAAACTTCCATTTCAAATGACAGATGGATCCTTCGTAAATTGTCTGAATTTATTAAACATGCAAAATTATTTCTTCAAATCGATTCTGTTCAAAAATCGTACGAGTACCAGCCACTAAGGTGTTATTTTTCCGAACTACTACTTAGATTCTATTCTAGCACAAAGGACCATGAAGATATTGATAAGTTATTCCCATTTCAGGCCCGTGCATCCTGTTTTAATTTTCTTAAGGAATGGTGTGGTTATGGGGATAGTGCTTATCTCTCCAACGAAAGATATACTTACATGATCAAAAAAACTGAAAATGATAGGGACAAAACAGCAATAACAGCAGGCATAGAATTTCAAAGAAATAGACTTGAAATAGTTGTTTTGGAAACGATGGTGATATTATGCTCGGAATCAATTACCGAAACTTTGTACGATGTAGGAGAAACACCAATAATTATATCCTTCGACCTTGAATCATTATTATTTTGGATCGAAGGTATGTTCAATTCAGAAAACGAGGTCGTACGAATCCTAGGTGTTACGGCATTAACTAACCTTCTTGAGCGTAACAATAAAAATTTGAAACTTTTCCAAGATGTGTCGACACAATGTATTTCACATCATAGTGATCCATCGGTGTCTGTTTTATATTATACTACATTGTGCAAGGCTGTTTTGAAACTTGATAATTTGATTTTAGAAGAACATGAGTTAGTCTCACTTGGTTTATACGGCCTGGTGTCAGATAAGGAGGAAACTAGAATTTGTGCAGTGGATCTATTATCTGTTGTGGAAACAAAATTACATGACTCGTCTTACACGAAGGTATTTAAGGAAAAATTAGCTAACTCATCAAAAATGGTGTATAAATCAACAGCACTTGAAATTTCTAGCATATTTGCTGAGTTACTATCTCAAGAATTGTGTTTAAAGGTCTTTTCTAGTTTGGTTGGTGTACTAGATTTATTTCCGTTTGAAATCCAACGAGATCTTCTGGTTTTAATGGTTCCATGGGTAAATAAGTTTGTCCTGAAATCGATAGATGAATTAGATACATTCATGGTATTAAATAATCTATTCTATGTTACAATGACATTGAATGACAGTCTACCAAACGAGGTTGAACAATTGTGGATTTCTTTAGGGAAGGGAAATTCTTTCCAAAATATCTTAGTATCACTCGAATATCTATTGCAATCATCAACGGATTACAAAAATTCACTTTTCGTTCAAAAAGCAAGAGATATTGTATTGTACCTTTCAAGTGTACCAGGTAGTATTGGATTGATTGATACACTGCTGAGAAACCTCGAACCAAAATCAATGATACCAACAACAAAAAGACAAATATCAGAACCTATTAATAAAGACAACCGTTACTCATTTATTGCAAACATTTGGGATATATTGGCACATAATACGAAGAAAGTTACATTTTCTAAAGCTCAATTGACAATTATATTTTTGGTAAATTTATCTACTGATATAAATGATTCGTTGAAATCATCGTTACCAATTCTGTTGCATATTTGTATCTGTCTTTTAGATCACTATGTCCCACTGGTACAAGAAAGTGCTGCTAGAATAATGTGTAATTTAATCTTTGGAATCGCCCCAGAACACGAAAAATCCGAGACTACAGTAAACCTTCTACGTAATAGAACATCCCTCTGGTCATATGATAACCTAGTCAAGGATAAAAGGGGAGCTCGGTCACCAAAGGCAATGGATATGCTTGTTAGAAATATCATCGAAATATTTAGTGATGATATTAATAATATTCAAAATGACTGGCAAAGAACATCATTAAAATGGGCTACAACCTGTCCAGTAAGACATATTGCATGCAGATCTTTCCAAGTATTTAGATCCCTTCTTTCATTCTTGGATCAGGAAATGTTACGTGACATGCTTCATAGACTTTCAAATACGATAGCTGATGATAACCTTGATATTCAAGGTTTTGCTATGCAAATTCTAATGACATTAAATGCAATTATGGCCGAATTAGATGCAACTGATTTAATTAGTTTCCCCCAATTATTTTGGTCAATTATTGCATGTATGAGCAGTATACATGAGCAAGAATTCATCGAAGCGTTATCATGTATTTCTAAGTTTATTTCAAAAATTGATTTAGATTCTCCGGATACCGTTCAATGTCTAGTTAGTACATTTCCCTCAAACTGGGAGGGACGTTTTGATGGTCTACAGAAGATTGCACTTATTGGTCTACGCTCATCCAACTCTTTAGATGTTACATATAAATTTTTGGATAAGATAAATCTACTGAATGATAGTAAAATTGTCGCCGACAACGAAACTAGACTGCTATTTGGTCTAATATCAAATTTACCAAGATTTTTAGATGCGATGGATAAGAAGGACTATACAAATGTTCAAACTGCTGCTGATTCTTTAATATTCTTGTCAAATGAAAAAAACCAACCGTCCCTTTCCAGATTAGTTGATTCATTAGCAAAGGATAAGTTTAGGTCGAAAAAAGACTTTATGAGTCAAGTTGTTAGTTTTATATCGCGCAACTATTTTCCAAAATACGCTGCCCAGACATTGGTTTTCCTATTAGGTTTACTTCTAAATAGTATTGATTGGATTAAAGTTCAAACGATGGAGATATTGAAGTATGTATTTCCTCTGGTAGATCTAACAAGTTCAGAATTCATCGGTGTCGGTGCCGACTTGATCTCTCCTCTGCTGAGACTACTTCTAACGGATTATGAGATCCAAGCGCTTAGTGTCTTGGACTGTGTTCCTAATGTTTCTGGTAGCAAAATGGATAAAGATGTTTTAAGAATAAGCATGGGGAATACCGACATAAAAAACAATCAAAACACAACAACAACGTTGTTTGGGTTACCAGATCAATCTGGATGGTCTGTACCAATGCCTACCATGACAGCCGCTATGACAAGACATAATGTCCATACAGTGTTTACTTCGTGTGCTAACAGTGCTGCATTTGAGCAAGATCAAAATAATATTGATGATGTCGTTGAGTTCCACGCAGATGGTGATTACCAGTTAGGTAGAATGGATACGATAGATTCATTTTCAGTTCCTGAAGAAAAAGATGCCACCCTAAGCCATATGTGGGCAGAATTAGATAACCTAGACAGTTTCTTTACCAAAGATATATCAAATAGAATATCAAGTGCTCAAAAGGGAAATGATATAGGAGTTGGACCTCATGAAAGATCAATGTCAACTGATACGACTAACACTGATCAAACGTTTAATCTCGAATCAGCCCCTCAATTATATGATAAGAAAGTTTCTGTTCTTTTAAACAGAAGTCTTTCGAGAGCACCATCCAACGTATCCTTTAAAAAATATTTAGCTGATTCATTTGCTACAAACACGAGACGAATTGATAGTAGAACTAAATATGGAAATGACTAATAAGTAAATCAATAAACAATATATAAAAAGTATGTAATATTATTCAATGGACATTTTTCCTTTTCGTGCTTCTAAAATTGATCTATAAGGATTCTACGTTGATTCGAATCAGAGGTTAACACTATTGCAAGATTAGTTCTTTCCTGTAACAATTTCCAGTATATTACTTATGTTTGTATAATTTTATTTGATCAGTCTTATAGAAGTATTTATCAATGGTAACAAGGCTGCTTCCTTCCCACGAATTATATGGGACGATTCAAAATAGATAAATTGGAAATTGTAACGGTTAACTTGAACCATCCAAGTTAGTATCTGGAACATATTTACCAAATAATTGAGCATCTAACTGATCAAAAACATTTAAAACATCCATATTATCATTATTTTCAGGTTTAGGTTTTAAGTGAGATCGATCGGACGATAAACTAGATATGGTTCCTGGATTTCCAATTGGTGTGACGTTTTGCATATTTTTGAAGTTATCATCAGACTCCGACTGTGTCAACAATTCATTGGTATTAGAATTATAGTTAAACATAGTAGGACCTTGATCGTTATTTGTTACCTTCGAATTACCAGTACTGAACTCTTCTTGATTTGGTTGTGGGAGGGTCTTTATGAAATTTTCGAGGTCCAGGTCTGCCTTTGAATCATCATTTCCTGGAAAGTTTAGAGAATCTTTTACTATTTCATTATCATTATTAATATCTTTGTCATATGAACTACTCTCCGGCGACACATTACTAGAATAATTTATATTACTAGTTGAATTAGGTGTGGTATTATTATTGTTAATAGTAGTACTACTACTATTATCCCAAGGATAGAGCAGTTGAATAGTTCTAGTGTTTAGCTTTTCAAATAATTTGTTCAGAATGTTGTATGTTCTATTGGCCGCCATACTTGAGTCCTTTAATCTTAATAATAAATTTCTTCCAATCTCAGCATCTTTCAATATATCATAATATTCGCGTGCACTGTCCTTATCGCTTGGTTCAGCTTCATGAGTGTAGAACAGTAGACCAGCTACTGAATAGAAAATAGTATAATTAGCGTACCAATATGAACCTGCAATAAGCGACTTATCTAACATATCTTGACCAAGTTTTACTACTGTTCTGGAGACATTAATACAATTTCTTGCCCTTTGCAAAGACAGAGGATCTGGTGCCGAAGCAGCGTATTTGTGCGAAACGTAATGAATAAAAGGTCTATAGAGTATAATTTGAACATGTAAAAACGATAAATGCAATAGTTTATTTGCTCTTTCACATCTTTGTTCTAGACCAGTAGCATTTGGTTTCATTTCTTTTGGTAACTGATCAACCCAACTTCTCAATTTTAATTCCAAATTAGTCACAGTTTCATGCGATATAATATTATTAGTTCTCTTAACAGGATATAACTCGGCTACTATTTCACTTAATATCATTATTAATTTTGTGTGATGATTAGAAATAGCCACACTCGACAGTACCGAATGCTGATTCTCAGGTAGATATGCATCAACAGTAATGTTTTCATCTGAAAGTTCTACTGGTAATGTTTGATCGAAATCATCTACTGATATGGATCTAGGTAAACCTAACATTGCATTAACGTAGATATCCAGTTTGTAAATTGTATAGAATAATCTCTTCCGCACTTCAATTTCAATAGGGTTCAAACCGGAGTTGGCTGGTGTTAATCTATGATAACCTTCTCGAAGGACACTTCTCATCGCGACACCAATATAAGCATAACAAGTAGATAAACGTGCAGAACATTGCAAGAAAATAAACAACATGACCACTGTTTGAATAGAGTTCAAGTCTCTGGTATTGGTGATATCTATCAATTTTCTTGCTGCAATAAAGTATTTATACCCTTCATCTTGTAACAATTTTCTTTCAGTTTCGTCTTGCTCACGAATATCCTTATTTGGTGAACTACCTGCACTACCACCTGATAAAGATTTGGAAAATAAAGCACCTACTGCCATTATCGAATAACACAATGGCAAGAAATTAATTTGCTTCTGGGTGTAATTAGTTGGATCGGTATCATATAATTCATTTAGTTGTTGAATGAAAAGAGGTCTATGGTAAAATCTTAACAAGACACAACAATACTTCCAAGTATTTTCCACAAAATGTAAAGCAATATTTTTAGGAGGTAACATAATTTTAATCTCTCTTCCGATATTTGGTGTATTAGACATTGTACCTTCTACAGATTCGTTATTTGAATCAGCTGAATTTGTTGAAAATATTTTGACATTTTTTGACATACCATCTGGACTAGTAATCCCTGGAGACGTACGATTAACTAGTGATACCGAATCTCCTGATATTAAATGATATTCTTTTACGGCATCTTCCAAATAATTAACTGAATGTCCTTTAAAATTTTGTACTATTTGTGAAAAAGTGGGAATATCTAATGTTTCTACTTGTGGTAAATTTGGTAGTAGTACACTAAATAATTGTTGGTATTTAATTAAGTCATTTTGAAGTTTTCCAACTTTTTTTGTATTTGTCTTTTTTGTATTACCTGTACCTGATGAACTCGTTGTACCTGCCATATAAGACGAATTATTTGGAATTACTGAGAAAATGTTGATACCACTATTACTATGACTATTATTTGAAGTAAATTGTTCTGTTGGGGTGATATTCATATTGGACATTTCTTGTGGACTAATTCCATTATTATTACTACTTCCATTCATACCACCCAATGCTTTCATTATCCCCATTTTATTTGAAGGATCATTTTCTAGTTTAAGCTGTATCGTAGAATTATTTCCACCTAATACCGCGGCTGAAGGATTCATCATATTTTGATTTAGTCTTGTACTACTATTACTAATAGTCAGTCCATTATTATTATTAGGAATGGTAGTAGTAGAACTATTATTACTCCGCTTACTGGGTTGATTATAAGTACATTCATAAGCATAAACTGTACAATGTATACACGGCTGTTGACCATCACATTTAACCTTTTTCTTCCTGCATTCGTCACATGCTCTAGTGACTCTTCTTCTCTTAACTTGTTGTTCTGACATCACTTCTCTGAACGTCTCCACACTTTTATTTACTGTGTGTAACTGATGGGTATTCGTTAACAACTGTGTTTGTTTACAAATAATATGGTTTATAAATAAATATCTAATGAGAATTGATATTACCAAGAGAACCCAAATTTTTAAAGTTACAGTAAATCTGCAACCCCAGAAAGGAAAAGAAAAAAATTGAAAAAAATCAACAAAGAAACTAACAACAAACAGTAGCAACAGACAGTGTCAGTCAAAAATAAACAAAGAGTAAACAAATAATATAAGTTTGGCTACTCTTATGTTGAAGTTGGTTCATTGCTAATTATTAATTTTATTACAATGCACATAAATAAATAAATAAATAAATATATATATATATATGCTCCATTTGTCTCTTTGAATAACCAGATCACATCTTGAAAAATTGAATTATATGATACCACATAACATATCTCCTAGGGAAACGATAATAACAAATTTTTAGAATCGAATCTTTTACACCAAGAAATAAACAGTGACAACAGTAACTGCTCCCTAGGAAATCCAAGACCTTGATATATGTATTGGAACAGTAAAACATTACGGCAAATAAATGATGATTTATGTGTATAAATAAGTCCTGTAGATTATACATTACAAATGAGGATTGACGTTCAAAGAATGAGAAGAGAATATAACCAGGTTGTTATAGTGGATATATTCATGTACTACCACTTCAAGGTGATAATACTTGTCTCTTGTCTAAGTTCTAATGGCCTTGTGTGCAAAAGATTGTGACAACGAGGTAATTACTACTAAATTCGCACGTAAAACATTTCACAGAAAAGGGAAGAAACATCGATTATAACTTGGACTTAACATTATCTAATATTTCAATGACAGATCCTCGTATCTTTGGTAACTTTCTATGGGGAGCAATGAATAGCTCAATCACTTCCCTTACAATTTTGAAGAAATAAAATAGTTGCACATACTTATAGAAAGAGCATAACCGCCAATCGATTAAAGGTAATTACCTCAGACAATCTGCAACGGATGTAGGCGATGCCATCCTGACTTTTATATAACCATTGAGTCACCAATTCAGTAAACATTACGATTCATATATGTTTTGAACTTTATATGCCAAATTTGTTCACTTTATTTTTTCATTCGCGGTGCAAAATGTGAGACGCGATAAAAAATGCCAATTTTATTTTATTTACGTATTTTATTTATTAAAATTGAAGAAATTATAATTTATACGTGTAAGACGAACTTAGATCCAAACACAAGAGTGTTGCAATTATAACTAAGCTGGTTGGGAATATATCGATACCGTCGTTTGCTCATAAGAAAAACGAATTATGGCATCCCCACAAAATAAATTTACCAATGGAAGTTACATAAATGATCCCAAGTATACCCCAGAACAATTCAACAACCTTGCTAGTTGTGTCACATCTATATTAAGCTCTGTCGACGTCGAAATTGCAGCCTCGTACCAATATAGCAATGGTAAGAACAAAAGTAAAGAGATCAAAGCGTTTGCCAAACTTTCTGGGAATAATTGGACGTACTTTATCAAGACGTTAAAAGTAAGTATTGGTCGTAATACAGATAAGCTTGATCCCATAGAAGGAATGGCCGCAATAGAGACCGAACCAAATAATGTTACTACTGATTTGAATGGTTCCAACATTGATTTGGGCCCTGCAAAGACAGTATCGAGAAAGCATGGTATAATTGAATTCAATAGTGAGACTGGTAATTGGGATTTAATTATTACGGGACGTAATGGTGCTAAGTTAAATTATAAAAAGATTAAAACACACAATTTGAATAAAAGAATATCTTTAAATTGTGGTGATGTGATCGATATGGGTGGAATACAAATGATTTTTATCTTACCTGATACGGTGCCATTGATTAATTCAAACTGTTTAACACATTTTATTCCTAAATTAGTAACAATATATGGCTTAAATGGGAATAACAACCCTTTGATGCAAGACCTGATTAAGGATTCAAGTTACGTTAAACAACAAATGAAAATTGGTCATTTAGAAAATATACCTGTATTAAATAGTATCTTATTAGAAAATCAAAGGTTTTCCCCAATTGAACCATCTGAAAAAGTCTCCGAAATTTCTAATGATTATGACAATGATTTGGATAATAAAGCAGATGAAACAATAGCAATAATTACGACACCTACTGATCCTGTCGTTCCATTATCGCCTGAATATAATCACAACACTTCAGAGTACAATGCCCTCAAAAGAACATTACCTGAAAAAACTGGTACGTTACCAAAGAAATTTCAGATATCATCCATATCCAGTAACAAACAATATGGCGCCATGCCTACAAAATTACTTGAGTCACAACCAATTGACCAGCTTGTGCCGTCACATATGCATCCTGTTCCTAAGTCAAAGGTTACCAACCAACCAGATTTTAGTTCACAGACAATAATACCACCTTTGCAACCTAGATCAGAATCTTTAGATAATAAAAAAGAAATACGGAAGGAAGTGTCTCCTAGTGAAAAGGATATTGATAAGTCCGGAAAAGTTGCCAACAAACCTCCATTACCATACGGTACATTAATAGCACAAGCCATTCTATCTACTGAGACTGGGATTATTTCTTTATCTGATATTTACGAATTTTTGTTAAAAAAATACGAATATTTTAGAAATACAAGTGCAGATTGGCAAAATTCTGTGAGACATACATTATCTTTAAATGCTGCATTTCAAAAGATTCCAAAGAAAAAAATATCATCAAAGGGGAAAGGTATGGTATGGTGTATTGATAGAGAATATAGAGCTGAGTTTTTGAAAAAATGGGAAAATGGATATGCAAGTAAGACTAAAAAGAATGCTGCTGTAGATAAACAATTGCTTCTTCATATGTCAACTCATAAGTTCATTCCAGAACCTTATGATAATGAAATAAGATCACATGAAATTGAGAAACAAGAGATGTCCCAAGCAAATGGAATTGCAGATGATGTGCAATAATTTTTAACGAAAGTAATATCACAACCCTACAAACCTAGCATTTTATTTGCGATCAAGAAACTCAATTTAGATTCCCCTCAATTACCAAAACTTATATAATATAATATAAGATTATATAAAGACTATCGTAGCATAATTAAAAAGAAAATCCTTCATACAGCAAAGATAGTAATCTATTATATTAAAATAGACATTGAATAGTGGATATACTTGCGTTTAAGTAAACATATCAGTATCGTACCGTTATAGGAATCGTAATATATAAATAATAGTATTGCGCGAAAATTCAGGTATTTTATCATATATTAACGGGGGAATTGAAATAACACAAGGAAACAACTACAAACTAGCGATTACCCCTCTGGTTACCATTGAAATGCAAAAATATGAAGAGCTCCCTAACATACTTATATGGAAATCATTTAACAAAGGGACACTAGCGAAAGGGTTATGTGATTACATCATAACTAATAGAAATGTACACAATACGGAGACCGAATTCATCATGAAGAAACTTTATTATATTGATTCTGTGAATTCTTTCCCTCTTGAAGAATTCAAGACGATGATACCAATAAATATGCCAATTAATAAGAGTATATACGATAATGTTATTATTAATCAAGCTTTAAATTTGAAGGAACTCAATGAAATAGTCATGAAGATCATAAGAACCGACAAACAACGTGTTGTTAATGAAGAAAATATCAAACAACAGACACTCAAATCTCCACAAATAACGAAGGATAATATACTTGTAATTATAAACGGGTTAGACATTATGTTTCAAAACAGCAGCATGTCTGATTCAAGACAGGCTCACAATCATTTGAACACAACATTGCTACAATTGCGAATTACTGCAAACAGAAGAACCAAATCTTTCAGGAGTGTAATATTGTCAAGAGATCCATTAAACTCGGGCACTTCTACACAACAGTTTAAAAAGAGAGCTAGAAATGAAGGTAATTCTGTGTACCAATATGTGTCAAAGTACTATGCCGATTATGACCTTTGAGATGATCTGTTCGAGATCTCGAAATATTTACGACGATATCTTGTGAAACCCATACACCCGCTACACCCGTACATTTATTGTAAAATTTGCTTCTGCAAATCCAAGAAAAATGAGACTTAAAATTCTTTTTTTTCCCAAAATATTTGTTAAAAAAAAGAGAGAAACTTTGGAAGCGGTAAACTCGCTGTGTTGGTTTACGTAGTACTATTCCAGTTCGGGCATTTTACAAATCTGTGAACAAAGCGAAGGGGAATACAGACAAACAGACTCAATTTACGGATGATGATGATATTGCAATACTGAGAAGCTTAGGAAACTTTTCACCTTGGTCTATGCAATGCGCGATAACTAATAATGCCAGAGATCGTTAAACTGGTATATTGTTAGTTAAGAAAATATTAAAGGGCCATATCATCTATATATATACGTATTTTGTAACATTAACAGTATAGTTTTATTTCATTTAAGTGAACCGTACACGAAACCAATAAGAATCGATATGTCTACTTTTGAACCAGTTGTTGTTATTGACGGTATGTTTAAAATAAAGAAAATTCAGGAGTTTATGTGATTACACTAAGATGAAAGATTAGAATTTTGAAATAAGAAAAATTAATGAGGAATAAAAGGAAAATCTTTAATATATATATGATAGCTTTTTGAATACAGAATGAGCCTTACGTATATCATTGATAAAGAAAAATAACGAACGATGAACACCTATTTTAAAATTATAATTTACAAATATATTAAACAATATATATTTTTGTTCAACATTGTAATAACATAAAATCCAGATTGCCAACAAGTGAAAAATGATTTACTAACAAGTTTTTATTTTATTTTTAAATTATTATTGTCAATCTATTTCTGATAATATATAATATGAGGAATAAAATATTTATTTCCAAATAGGTAAGGGTCACTTACTAGGTCGTCTAGCTTCCGTTGTTGCCAAGCAACTATTGAACGGTCAAAAGATCGTTGTTGTCAGAGCTGAATCCCTAAATGTCTCTGGTGAATTCTTCAGAAACAAGTTAAAGTACCACGATTACTTGAGAAAAGCCACTGCATACAACAAGACTCATGGTCCATTCCATTTCAGAGCCCCATCTAGAATCTTCTACAAGGCTGTCAGAGGTATGATCCAACATAAGACTCCTCGTGGTAAGGCTGCTCTAGAAAGATTAAAGGTCTTCGAAGGTATCCCACCACCATACGACAAGAAGAAGAGAGTTGTTGTTCCAAACGCTCTAAGAGTTCTAAGATTGAAGCCAGGTAGAAAATACACCACTCTATCCAAGCTATCTTCTGCTGTCGGTTGGAAATACGAAGATGTTGTTGCTAAGCTAGAAGCCAAGAGAAAGGTTTCCTCTGCTGAATACTACGCCAAGAAGAGAGCTTTCAACAAGAAGGTTACTGCTGCTTCCGCTTCTGTCGCTGAAACCGATGTTGCCAAGCAATTGGCTGCTCTAGGTTATTAAATGATACCAGAATAAATAAATGATATAAAAAGAAAATAGTAATACATTACATTACATTGAATCAGTATATACATATTCCTGATATATTCTAATGGTTGTACTTCTTTTCTTTTTCTTTTCCTTTTTCTTCTGTTAACATTTTTTTCCTCCCTTAGCACATAACATATTTCATCAACATCTCTCATATCAAAGGATATATCCCCTTTCTAATTTTATGATTTATTTTTGTTATCTCAATGAGTACTAAATGAATAATAAGATTGAAAGATATGTATAACAAAATAAGAATATAATTCACCCCTCAAAATAAAAAACGATACACAACGGTATTTTTCTAAACATTTAAATTTACATATATATCTATATATATATAGAAATGATAGTAATAAAGACCAAAGTTTAAGAATATTTACAAAATACAAGTTTGCTAGTATGATATTCATAATTTATATATAACCTTTCATTGCTTCATATATGCAAAACGTGATACAAGTTGTGGGCACAGCTTTAAATAAATTTGTAGCCAAACCATTGTAGAGACCTCGTATCCCTTCCCTTTTCAATATCAATTGAGTCAATTTCCAAGTTGAAGAATTACCATGGATCATATTTACACTTTGAAGATTTGATTTTAATAATTGTAATGGGTACACAGTGGTAGTTGAAACCATTTTACTTATAGAAGTAATGAGAATAGTATCTCCTGTATTCAAATGTTCTTTTGATCTTTGTATTGGATCATAAATTTTCAATCTATTTTGTTTTAAAGTATCATAAATCATAAAATATAGGGCACCTTGAGATACACCTAAGATCGAAGGTGTCAACCCTTTCAATAAAGAACGATAACCTTCCTTTGACACTAAAGAACGAAACGTCCCTTGTATCGAATCATAAGATTTATTGAAAGTATTTTGATTTGTTGACATTATTCTTGTCTTAAGAACCCAAATTGGGTTTGTCACCACCGAGGTGAAAACACCAGCAAGACCACCTGAGACAAGATACATCATTGATGAATCCAAGTTTATTAACTTAGACTCATCTGATCCTGACAACTTCAAGGTATCCTGATTTGAAGTCGATAATAATGTTTTAAAGGCTCTATATGAACCAAAATATAATGACCAAGCAATGGAATTACCAAGGACGTTAATTGTCAAACCTCTATATAAACCTGCAGTAGTCCAATGTCCATTCGCTTTAATACTTTGAAGAACATGTTTGTATTTATTCAATTTTGATACTGCATTAGAAGAATCAGTTGACAATAATTGTAATCTTAATTTAATTAAATCTAAGGGATGCACAATAGTAGAAGTGAGGCAACCTGCCACTAAACCTGAAATGATTTCTTTTTGTAAGATTGAATATGAATATTTTATATTGTTATCATTTTGTTTAGAAGTATCACTCATTATATATATATATATATATATTTGCCTACTGTTTAACTTTTACAAATAATTACTGCAGTAATAATGAAAAATTTATAGCTCATCAACTGAAACTAGTTTTTATATTAGTTAATGGGTGAACAGATGCCCTTGAAAAATTAGTACGTAAAATTTTACTACGAGAGAAAAAACACATTTTATAAAATAAGATGATAAGAAGAACCGAATGCATACATTTCAGAAGATGTTGTTATAGTGGTTTCCTATTGAACTAGTACTTAAACTAGCCCATCAATACGATAACGCAGTATTAATATTCATCATTTGTAAGCAGCAGAAATATAATATATAAAATACTAAATAAAAAATGGACACAGTCAGTTCAGCATATAAACACAGATATCTATATTCCAACTGTTGAAATACACCTTATTCCAAAAGACTGCCTCACAATCATTTCTACCTGATCAATTGTTTGACAATTGATGTCCTATACATATGCACTTATATAAAACATGACTGGTGAAGCAGATCTCTTGCATCAATGGCCAATTCACTCTCTCTTTATATAGATAGCATAATATTTATATATCCTGAAAAAACAACAAGCAGAACGACAACTGCCGTACACAGTGACCAACCCACACACCGAATTCCGCTCGCAATTATTTTCTGTTAGGGCTTTTCACCCACCGGAGAACATCGGAGCGACTTTTCAGACACACCGATGTTTCCCGACACACCTGTCATGTGACACAACATCACTCTGCACGGGCGACCCCCGTCATCTGATGCCCCCGTTAAAATTGACACAGAACTACCCGTACCATTGGGGTGGGGGCAGTGCGTGCCTACCACGACTCCTTCTGAACTGTAAGACCTGGCACTGCGGGCTTTCCGTCTGCAGCCCCCCGTGCACTCACGGACACCCACACACCCACACATTGTATGCATTTTTGATTTATATTTAAATGTGCACACAATCCCCGGAGGCACACCATTTATTGTTGCTCGCTGCTGCTGCTTCCTGTGGTAATCCTGGGGTAATTCGCACGGTGCATTTACCACGGGAGTATCTCTCATACATATATTGGAATTGTATTTTGCAGTGATGTTACATAATATGGAACAAGGGCATTCGCTATACTGCAAACTCAACCCCCCCATTCTTGAATTCAATCTAATTCAATCTAATCTAACTCAGTTTCAGTGAGTATTGCCCATTTATCGAATAACTTGGTTTGTATTTTGCTTTTGGAAAAAGGCCAAGAACTTCTGGTTAAACTCATATAACAAGATATACTTTAGATTTGATATTTTTGAGTCCTTCGTTAACTTATTATCTAAGAAACTCCCTCTCTCTCATATAAGGATATCAGGAATATTTTTAATTATTACCTCAAAGGCTCCCCACACCCCAAAGTATTAGAAATATAGAATGAGTGTGATATCAAAGACTATATCAAACTCAAGTAATAGTACAACAGATCATCCATTATGGTCAGCAGCTCATACACAATCACACTCCAGACTGAATTCTTTCTCACAAGATAAAGATCCTAATGCGTCTGCATCTTTAATATTCGAAAGAAACGTAGAAGACCCGTTGTTTCTTTCTCAAGGTTCTAGACCGGTCTCTAGACCGGTCTCTAGAGCTATATCAAGATCAGTATCAAGGAATGCTTCTAGACCGTTGTCAAGAAAACCTAGTCAAGCTACGATTGCAACTTTATCAAATACAAATAATAATGGAGGCGGTACTGTGACGAATTATACGAGTGCAAACATTATACATAAACCATTACCTACAAAACGTAATTCTTCGTTCTCATTTTCAAGCCCTTCGACAGATTTAAGACGGTATAATACAAACCCTAACAATAACAATAACAATAACAACATCAATAGCGTGACTAGTTCACAGATTAGACGTGTAAATACTGGGAACCCGCAATTATATTCACCCAGTTTCCCAGGAAATACAAGCTTTAATAATAATAACTATAGTAATTATAATGGGGGAACAGGCACTCCAACACAATCAAATGATAATTATTTACATAGTTTAGAGAATTTTGTTCCACCTGCATTGGATGAAAGTTGTTCTATTGTCACAGACGTCAATACCAAATTAGGCGATGTAGATATGATTTATTCAAAGAGACCCTCTACGTTAGGTTTGGATATGGCATTAGGTAGAACTAGATCCTCATCATTTGCTACACCAAGAGCTCAATCGACTCATGATCTGGGTCTTCAATCAAACCCTTCAACTAGACAAACTTCTGATGAATTCCCATCCTCGTCACCTTCTCCACCATCAAGATTATTAAGATTTTATTCGTATGCAGATATGCTTTCTGATGAAAATATACAACAACAGCAACAACAATATCAACAACAAATACAGGGTCAGAATAGTAGTAGCAATTCAACCATGCATCCAAATCAACATAGACCCGATTTATTAAATCATAATTCATATAGTAATGATGACAAATTCGATGATAGGAAAGAGGCTGGATTTGGAACCGAAAGATCTACGGTGCCAAGAATATCTCCATCTCCACCAATGACAGATACTCCATCATCTTTATCAGCTTCATCATTTTTCATTAATCCTTTCACCAGGACGAAAAAAGAGCAACAACAACAACATGAGGCTGATGCAACAAAGAATAAGAAGAACTCATTAAGGAGACATAAAAGTCCCGGTACCTTACAAACATTGAGGTCGAAATTCCATTTACATTCAGATAGTAGTGGTAGTCAAGACGAATGTGATGATAATGAATGCGATGATAATGAATGTGAAAATGGTCCACAATCGAGACAAAAATCCATTAGGGAGAAATCTCCAAAGAGTGTAGGGAATATTGGATTGTCTTCAGGTCCTAATTCTACCAGTACGACAGGATCCGATCCTTTGAAGGAAGATGATTTATATCCAGATGGTGATGTTGCAACAATTTCTGATAAGAATGGTATTGTGAATGATTATAATTATGAAGATTCCGGAGATGAACGATTACAAAAAGAACGTGTTACAGATATTTTAAGAAGAAGAGTCACTGAGACAAAATCCCCAACTACTCAATCATATGGACATGGGTATTTAGATAGAGGTACAGATCGGTCAACAGCTACATCTCCAATAGAACAAAATCAACATTAAAAGTCAAAATAATAAAAAATAGATAAATATTCATTTAATTATATTTAAGTATATAGAACCTTTCTTGTAACAATAAGGGAGAGGATATTATAAAAAAAAAAATAATTCAAACAAGTTAAACAAACTTAAAAAATAAATAAACCAAAGAATTTATCTGGTTGTGGTTGGTTGACTTTGATAAGATGTAAGAATATGAATATATATATATATATTTAATTTTAAAAAACAACTTATGTAAAATTAAATATAATAATAACAATAATATAATAATAATTTTGAAAGATAAATGTAAGTCTCCAAAAATTAACATTTCATAAAAAGTATTTTCCTTTTATTGAATCTTTTACTTCGTTTGAATACCATTAGACACTTTATTTTCAAAAGTTCCAAAATCTTTCATAGCTTGATCATATTCATGTTTAGCTAATTCATAATTTTTCACAGCATTTTCATGAATATTTGAATCTTCATTTTTCTTTGACCACCAAGAACTTTGAGATTCTTTTAAATTCAATTCTGCATCATTTAATTTCTTAATTGCTTCATCTAAATGACCTGAACTTGATTGTTTTAATGTACCCATTTGTTCTTTCAAATCTTGCAATTCTTCACGAGAGAATTCTTGAGCAGATTCACCCCAACCACGTAATCCTTTTGCTGCATTTTCTGCCATCTTTTGCTCTTCAGTGGCATGTTCATCATTAAATGTAAACCAACCATTTTTAGTCAATTTTTTCAATTCATCCAATCTTTTTTGAGCTTGAGATGAACTTTCGTTCTTATCATTCGTTAAATTTAAATTTTCCTCAATTGCTTCTTGTCCTAATTGTTGAGCAGTTTCTCCCCAACCATAAACACTTTGTCCAGCGACAATATCTGGGTCCACATTCTTCTTCAAACCATTATTTGGGGTGATTGCATCAGTGAGTCTATTGAAATTTGCATCTTTATAACTATTAAATTTTTCAGAGGCTTGATCCAATTGAGTTTTCTTTTCTGCCAATTGTTTCTCCAGCTTTTCCACTTGATCGTTGAAACCAGATGTTTCTGCATTCTGTTTAATTTTGTTCATCAAATCTGTATATTTACGATGAACAGTATCATATTCATTAATTGCAACAGCTTTTTGTCTTTCAATATCACCGAAACCACGATTGAAAATCGTCTTTGGAGCATTGACACTGTCGTCAGTGGTGCTAGTCTCTGAAAGTACTGACATGACGTCAGACCCGCGTCTAGCACCCGCAGATGACTCCTGATTAGTGTGTGATCCAGTGAAAGCTGACCAAATAGCAGTAGTATCATCCTTGATACCGTTAGATAAGTTATCGTACCAGTTACCTGTCATAACAAAATATGTGTATGTGTGTATGTATGTCTCTGAGTGTGTATGTGTGTATATATGTGTGTTATAATATTAGAGAGTTATGAATACATGAATTTAATAATAATAATAATAATAGAACAAACAAATAAATAATAAAAAGGATGTTGTTACAAGAACTGTGTTTTAATTTGAATAAAAAATAACAAAAATAGAATGATCAGTTAACTCTCTCTCTCTCTATATATATATGAATTAATCGTTGATAATATGAAAATTTAGTGATCGCATCCCCACCCACACATACACCCCCTTCAGTATTCCCGATTTACAAGAATTATGCATTTTGTTCAAGTTGTTAACATAACCTAAAGAGTAATTCCTTAACTAAGACATGCTAAGCATCAAATAAACCGGAATTTCATTATTCACATTATCAATCTGACCATTAACTGCTCCCAAGTTACCCACTTTATCTCCTTAAACTAAATTATTATAATCTATTCATTATAATTGACAATATCATACTCTCTTAACAACAAATGTAAAATTGATTTTACTATGCAATGATAGAATTATAATACCGTGAATTGACACTAATTACATACGTTAATAACTCAACAACCGCAAATTTAAGGGCTCTCTCCCCTCTCCCCTCTCATTGGGTGTGAGCGTGAATGAGTATCTGTGAGTCTCCCTTAATAAATAACGTAATCAGTTATTTATTATTGTTATGATCGGATGCCCGGAGATTTACGACTAATTGTAATTTTATTTGGCAAAAAAACGAAATGCGTCTCGGAGAAACGGAAAGGCGAGTGAGAGGGTGGGCGAGCGGGGTCGAAGTGACTTTATCATGTGGTACGGAAAGTCTCGTGACCCAAATGGGTGTATGGGTGCATCGCTTGGCACGGCGGGTGTGTATGGGTGTATGAGATTCATTAGACCCATCTCGATTTTTGCAGTTTGCCTCATTGCAAACAGAGTAATAAATATATCATATTGCTTATATACATAAATGTTCAATGCTCAATTAATCAGGTCTCGGTTAGTTGTAGAATTAAGAGCAATTGCAATTCTAGTAAATATTACAAGATCAAATATAATGAAATTATTATCCTTAGAGAATCCATTGATTCCAAGTCAATATGATTTAAATATTGAAATTGATCCGTTAAATACAAAATTTAATGGTATTATAACAATTACTTTAAATAAAAATAAAAATATTATTAATATTAACGAATTTAGTAAATTTAAATTGCATGGTAAAAACTTATCAATTACATCAGCTGTCTTATTAAATGATGATAATACTACTATAAATTTAAAAGTAACACCTGTAATCGATCAGGAACAATTCTTATTTGAATCACATGAATTATTATCGTTAAACGATAATAAATATCGTTTAACGATTGAATATCAAGGAACGATTAATCAAGTAAAGACTCCCAATGATAAGACGCATGGTTTATTTATTTCAAATTTTATGAAAAATGATATAGCTAATAATTATATCTTGGCTACGCATTGTCAACCTTCGTTTGCAAGATTGATTTTCCCTTGTATCGATGAACTTTCAATCAAAACATCTTTCATACTAACAATTAAATCTTTAAGAAGATTTAGTACAGTTTCTGTATCAAAGATAGATTCAATTGTTGAAAATGATGACGAATCTTCTAACATGAAGACAACTGTGTTTGAAAAGACAGAATTGCTACCAACTTCACTGTTTGGATTTGTCATAGGTGACCTAGAAGAAATTCATTTAGATTTACCTTCCACTTCCAAAGATTCAACTAATTTACCAATTACTATATATTCTCCATTAAAAGTCACTCAAGCAACTTATACTTTGGATATTGTTCAAAAATATTTACCATTATTATCAAAATTTTTCAATTGTAAATTTCCATCAAATAAATTGGATTTTGTATTATTACCTTTCTTAAATGATATGGTTATGGAAAATTTTACAATGATCACGGTTCAAATGGATTTCTTATTATTCACTCCTCAAAGCTTAGCTAATACTTCAGTAAGAAATCAAACGATTCAATTAGTCGTTCATGAATTGGTTCATCAATGGATGGGTAATTATATTTCATTCAATTCGTGGGAATATTTACCATTCAATGAATCCTTTGCTACTTTCTTAGCTTATTATTTGATCTCTCAAAATGATTCAGATAATAATGTTTGGGCGACTGATAATTATTTGCAAAATGAATTAGGGATGGCAATGATCCAAGACTCTGATTTACCAACCTCAAAGAGTATTCATGACAGTTATCATCAACGTACCAACTTCACTACCACTACCACTACGGACCTTACTACAAATGACTTGTTTGATCCAATCTCATACCAAAAAGGTATTGCAATGTTAAGAATGCTACAACTTTCAATGGGTGAAGATTTATTCCAAAACGCAATGGCACAGGTGTTCGAGGATAAAGATACGTTTCATAATATCCCAGTAAAACCAATGGACATTTTCCATAAGATGGGTCAAGTATTGAAATCTGAAAATGTTACAAATTTTGTTAGTTCCTGGACTAGATTACCAGGGTTACCTATTGTATCAGTACAGACAGAAATCGATGAAGCTTCAAAATCTTTAAAGTCAACATTGACCCAACATAGATTCTATTCTAGTGAAAACATTGATCCAGAGTTTAATCAGGATACCATTGAAGATACCCCATATCATATTACTTTATTGACTCAATTACCAGGTAAACTCAATGACACAAGGAATACATTGATGACTGATAGATCCTTGAAACTGGATTACCCAGTAACTTTATTAAACTGTAACTCTCAAGGATATTATCGTGTGTCTTACGAGACTCAAGAATGTTACGACGAAATTTGCAAGGAATTGACTCTTGGTAATATTGATGATATCAGTTTGTTCAAAATCTTTCAAGATATTTCATTTTTCCTCGGTAACAAGTTTTTCCAAAAATCAATCCATATTTCTGGTACAATGCAAATCTTGAACCATATCGCTTCCTCACCTAAGGATATCACTTTGAAATCATTAACCCTCTGGAAATCATTATCCGAGGGATTATCTTTATTACAAACCATAGTCCAGGCTGCCGTAGTTCATAACAGAAGAGCCATCATTACAAAGATAACAAAACTTGTCACAAAATTATCTGAAAAAGTGGATGATTGGTCTGTCGAAACACTTTCTCAAGTCCATGATTCTTATGAATTGAGTTCTTTATCTAAGATCATCGCACTAACAAGTACCACAAAACCAACAGAAGAAATTTGCCAGGAATTATTTAAGCACATTAGGCAAGGTCCTAAGGATCTAATTCCTATAGAATTGGTCAGCAGCATCTATATGACTGTCAGTTACCAAATGACATCTATCAAAGATTGGAAGAAATTATTTGAATTGGTAAAGACATCTTCAGGTATTGCATCCCATATTATTGATTTTAACTCTACATCGGAAAATGAGAAGATTATTACTTTACAAAATTTAGCCATCACTAATTTAGGATTTGTCACAACAGAAGAATTAATTACTAGATTGTTAAATTTCATTGATACAAACATTGCAGCTGGAGGAATTGAAAATGCATTCATTGGTGCCAATTACAATGCACAAGTGATTATAAACAAGAAGGATAACACTAAAGTTCGTGATGCAGTTTGGAAATGGTTCAAATTACATTATTCTGGATGGAAGAGAAACCTAACTAAAAATGGGGCCAGCGATGGACGCGGTGAAGAGAAACTAGAGAAGATCACATTCATGGTCTTACAAATGTTTGTTGAATCATCAAAACTGATTGAAAAATACGAAAAATTTGAAGAAATCAAACCCGTCTGGGAAACATTGCAACGTGAAGATCGTTCTAATTGTACTATAATTTCTGGTTTCTCTAAATAGAATTTACAAAAGAAGAATAAATAACATTAGAGAACGTGATATATGCAACAATATATATATAGATATAAAACCTCACTAAAAATAAGCAAGCCTTCTAAACATATAAGTTTACTCACACAAAATTGTATATTTCTTCCCACCCATGTTAGTATGCAACTAAAGGAGAGTAGCCACGTTGTTATTGTTTTGATCCGACCTTCCTAACTCCATGCACTTTAATATACATATATTTTAATGTATATTCACTTGTATCGCGAAACAACGCGAACTAGCTTCACACATGTAGAAAACTTGTTGATATAATATTAATATATATATTTAAATGAACGTTAAAGAGGGAGATCGAGAATTTAAAGGGAGACACTTAACCATCTCGAAAAATAAACACACACAAAAAGGATTATCTTACGTCTTGATAACCTAATATTTTAGTACTGTTATTAATCGACAAACAAAAATGGATAGAATAAAAGAAAAAATTGCTACGTACAAGGCAGAAGCCGAGTCATGGCAAGATAAATACGATGAGTTGAATAATAAGTTAAAAGAACTTGAACAAGATAATACTGAAAAGGAAAACTCGATTAAATCATTAAATGCGAAGAATCAACAATTGGATACTCAAGTAGAGAAATTGGAAGGAGAATTAGTTGAATTGAAACAAAGTTTGAAAGATTCCACTACTTTACAAGCCCATAATGAATCATTTAATAGAAAAAATGAAGAATTAGAAACAAATTTAGATGAGACTGATACCAAACTAAAAGAAACTCAAGAGATATTGAGGGAAACAGATTTAAATGCAGAGAAATTACAAAGAAAAGTAATGGCGTTGGAACAAGAGCATGATTTAACGGAACAGAAAAACGAAGAATTAACCATTAAATATAATGCAGCTAAGAAAGAATTAGATGAAATTGCAGCATCGTTGGAAAATTTATAAGTAAGAACGGCGTCATGAAAAACCGTATGAATATGACATTTAAACACATATCTCCTTCGGTTTTATTAAAACTAAAGCAATCAAGATATATTGGTGTACAACAGGATAACAAACTGTCGGAAACTAGACAGTCATATTGTTATTATCTGATATTGTTTCTACTGTCATCATTTATCATAGCAATCTCTTATGTTTATATAGTCTATTCATAAATACCAAATCATAATCATTTAAAATTTTGTGAGAAATAATGAAAACAAAGAAACAAATTCAATCTTTATGTGGTAATTTATTTAAACAACTTTTTCCAGATTTATTTTGTAAAAATAATTGACAGTTTTCTTACCTTCGTATTATCATTATTCATCTTGTTAAAAATGTCGTCATTTTGGCAAAATTTATGTCGGAGTCTCTTCAATAATAATATTGTTACAAATTAAAGACGAAAATCGTCCAATATAATATATAAACAACATTTCTTTGCCTAGAAGAAAAGAACCCAATGAACAAATGGATAAAGAAATGGCTTCAAGTGTACTTGAAGTGTTTCATAAACCTTATATTATACTATAGAAATGTGTATCCTAAGACGACCTTTGACCTAACAACATTCCAAGGATTCAATTTACCACAACATTTACCTATAAATAGAAATGATACACTACAAAACTACATAGAGGAACTAATATCTGATATAATTGGTAAGTTGAACCATATTTATAGAGTAGGAATTTGTATTATGAATATTAAAAATGATTATTGTATTGAAAAATATGTATTAGACTTTGGGGAATTTAAACATTATACAGATAAAAGTGAAGAGGAGAATAGCACTTCGTTACTTCGTGAAACAGACGTATTTGACGAATTCAGATCGAGTTTGAATAGTCTACAATCAAAATTAGAGAAAATGGATAGTATTAAAGATGAATATGTCACTTTTGAAGTAGTAATAAATACTTTGGAAATGAATTTAGGTCATGGTGTAGTTGATACTATCACAAACGAAGAAGTTGATCAGACATTACAATTCGAAAGAGATACTAATTGGACTAAAATGAAAGAAGATGATAATCTACCAAATTTAAGACCTAAAGAGTTATCGATGTTAGAGGACGATGGTATTATTGTAAGTCAGCCGGAACATCTTTCTCAATTTCAGAAACCAAAGATTAGAATTACATCCTTGATTGGTTGTGACATAAACCCTTTTATCATCCATAATTATATAGAAAGATTAATCTTTCATGATGGATCATCTGAAAGTGCTTATGTAGACCAATCTATTGTGTCTTCACTTTAGAGATATACATCTATTATTTGAATTTTTATTATATTAAATATTATTAAAATGTGTTTTTTTGGAATAAAAAACTGTTAATTATACAAATAAAAGTAAGTTATGTAATAAAGAATGTTGTCTCATTTTACTTTTTTTAAATTAGTCCTTGGGGTTACTTTTATTAACCTTGAATAAAAGCATGCAATTCTAGATGTTGATCAAATCATCTCAGGTTCCTGTCCTTCAATACTATTTGCTTGACCGACGTTAATCTTACCTTCACTTGTAAGGTTAACGAATCTTTTTTTACTGGGTCTCCTATTTGGTTCGTTACTATGAACCCATTTGTAATCATCTCCATTTTTCATCGGTATGAAATCATCATTAGAAGAATTTGATCCAGCACTAGATAATTTGGAAGTATGTGTACCTGTTACTGTATCAGAAGCATCTTTACTATAAATATGCTCAGTCAAAGGGGATAGCGTATTTCTATTTGTAACTACCGGAACAGTTGTACCAAAAACTGAATCTCTTAGACCCAATGAGGATTTTCTTGGATCTTTCTTCATTGGTTCATCCTCTTTGATCTCTGTATTGAACAAATCTGCTGTGGTGACTGTATTCAGTGATAGTGTACTTTGCCTGTTATCACCTCCAACACCAGTAGAATTATATCTCCATGATTTTGTGTTTGCAGGCTCAGCGTCCATATAAAATGATGATGTTCTATCATACGGATTGAAAAATGCAGATTTCTTATTGCTTGTCGTGTTTTGATTATTTGACAACAGATTTTCTCTGCTTTGTGACTCAAATACATCTGAAAAGACATTTTCGCTTGAAGATAATTCGTTTGATGGGTGATGACCCATTTTTTCTTCTCTTATAGTTGAAAAATCCGAACCAGATTGCGACTCTTCATCATCACCAACAAAAGGATTATGCATAGCAGTTATGGTATCTGGTGATTTTGTATCTGATCCTCCTGATGGACCTGTAGATTTTTCAACATCATTACTAGAGTTTTCTACATCCTTACCATTCGATCTTCTACGTCTCCACAAGATTAATAGAAGAATGATAAAGGAACCAACCACAACTACAGGGATTACAACACCACATGCAATTGCAACAGTCTTTTTATTGCTCGAATGCGTTTTATGTTGGGTTGTAACTGGAGCTGACGTAGCACTATTTGTAGCTGACGTAGATGTTATGGAAGATGTTATACTGTGTGAGGTAGATGAACTTTTAGAAATACTTGAGGTAGAAGATGAAGAAAATGAAGTTGTAGTAGTATTAGTATAATTATGATGTGTGGAATTTTGTAAAATTTTAGACATCCCTATTATTTGGAAGTCCAACTCTTGAGACTGTGCTTCGTATTCCGCTTTAACACCTATATTCAAAGATTGAAAACTATTTGGAACGTTACCATACAATGTCAAGTTTGATGATTGAAAATTCAACCAATCATGGGACTGAGATGTATTTGGATAGATTATCGAAACTGTAGTATTATCATAAGAAGTGAATTGGGAAGGTAAGAAACTATATTGGAAGTATTCACCACGAGTGGCATTGATATTTGGTAGGGAGTTTGTAGCAAATAAATCTTTTGTTGATAAAACTTCGAAATTTAAATAAACAACATCTCCGTAATCATCGTAAATTGCAACTGAAAAAGTACCACCTCTTGTTTGATTATCTAAGCTACCCGTCAAAGTATCATTATTTAGAGTCACCCATGATGGACTATTATCTTGTAAAACGATACTTTTCAAATTGGTAGATGTGATGACATTATTATCAAAATATACATAATTCAAGGGTAACGCATAACTGAAAGACCCAGAATCAGTGACATTGATAAGAATTGTGTTTTGAACAGATGTCGTTAACTGATGAGCACCAATGACTAATTGGAACGGAATTTGAACACCCATATACCCATTAATATCTGTTGCAATCAAAGTAAATTGAAAGAATGCCTCTGGAGCAATTGCTGAATTAACCGTTGGGGCGGTACCACTAAATTTTAAAGTATTAGAATCAAAGAACAACCAACTTGGTAATGGTGCATTATACTCCGCAGAACGACCATAAAACGATGTAATCGATCCGTCATTTGTGAATGATGATCTATCGAAAGTAACGTTAAAGATTTCATTTGGTGTCAATATTAAAGCATCTTTACCATTTGTATTACCGTAATTTTTCAATAGGGCTAATAAATTGAAATTACTAGCTACCGATATACTCGAGGTTAAAGTAGCCACCAGGGTATAGGTTTCGTTTAACGAGGAATTATCTGAAGTGTCTGTCCCCTGTAGAATAAAATTGAAATATTGAATGTTATTAGTGACATCCTCGACAAATGAGGATGGCGGAGTACCTGAAAAAGTACGTGAATTCGAATCAAATGTTAACCAAGTTGGTAGATCATAAGCGTTATATGTGATTTGTGCAGTTTTATCCACACTTGATTTATAAGTATCGTTAGATATCACGAAGGCGAATTCTTCGTTAACTCTAGCAACAGGAGGTAATTGTTTACTCACAGGATATGCTTCGTAAGGTGCACAATGCACAACCGATATAAACCATTGTTGGAATAATAACCACACAACTATGTACACAGACGTGGTTGTGAGGCTTATCATCTTTTATTTTTATTTTTGTTTAAATAATCTAATAAATAAATAGTTGAGGTTCTTGTTCTTGTTCGTGTTATCTTATTTGGGATATATGATTATTGAATAGTGAAAAATATATGTTTGGATCGTTAATTATATTAAACAAACCAAGTCTATAACTTAAAATAATCCTTGGTAAATTAAAAAATACTATTTCAAGAGACATTAAATTTTGATAATTCAAGACATTATGTCAAGTACCTCTTTGCTTTTATTTAATTCCTAAGAGAACCATATCAATGTTTTCTTTTTAATGTTACTCTAATAATAAAACATCGAAACTTATTTCTAATTTAAAATAAAATGCAACATTAAGAAAATGTTCAGACATCCCCAGACAGAAAGATGACTTTAGCCTTATTATTGTAAGATGCGAAATGTTTGTCCCAATTGGGAAACTTAATTTGATGAACAATCTGTCCAGATTAGTTATATTTGCATAAAGTCAGAGGGACCTCGATCCATGATGTAAAATGTTATATTCTAAACGGGCATCAAAAAACGAAACAACTAAAAGCTTGTCGAGATTAATGTTCTGAGATCTTGTCTTCCTAGAATGAAGTACAGAAGGTCTTGAATTATCTACCTCAACTGATAGCACGCCAAATGTTCACCGTGAAAGAGCGTTTCCCTTCTTTGACATTTTCATCATTATGAAGTCAATCCTTTTCTGTTGGGATTTCAGCAAGTTAACGCGACGCCAAATGTCTCGTGCAGTTGTCTCTCTGGGAAACCACGAAAAATTAGTTTTGATCAAGTTTTTCATATTTTTTTCGTGTGTTTGTGTGTTCCTCTCTATTTTCACCAAATAATTAGCTGTTTCACACACGTAAAGAGAAAGCAGACAGCCAAAAGGATTAGGAACTCTCTAAGACTTTTACTATTCTTTACTTCAAACAATTCGAGTTTTTGGCGTTTGCAAAAGAGTGCACTCCCAGGTGAGAAGGTAGCCAGAGGGTCTGGGGAGAATATGCGGGGAGAGAGAATAGGGTTCTAATCTTGCATGTAGCTAATTAAAATAGACTTTGCGAAGTTTCTTTAAATGGTAAACAGATATATACAATACATTATTAACTTTATTATAAAATCAATTGATATGTTTATTTATTTTATTGTACTTTTGCACTACTGTTACCATTAAATCCAAAACACAAACCTACTTATGCATTTTAATTTCTATACAATGCGTAGATATTTATTATATTTTATTATTATAATCTATTTATTCATTTATTTATTTATGTATGCATTAAATAAGGTTAAACTTATAAGAAAGGAACAAATATAACATCGCAAAATCACATATGGTAGTTTGTCAAATTTATAATATTATCTGCACTCCTTATTTGTTTTCCATTTATCTATTGTAGATCCCCTTATATGTGATTTTCAGATTGGTATGCATTTTATATTTCTTCTAAACATACATCTATTGTCTGTTTGCTGTTCTTGGCTTGGCACGAATAATGTTATCAACTCTTAATAACACTTCAGCAGCCTCTGATGCAGAACTGACAACAGCTCTCTTTAGTTTATAACTCTCTATTATACCCAATTCTCTCATATCACCAATGATACCGCTGTTTAAATCTAAACCAGCTGTAGATATACCATTATAAATACTAGATCTTAGTTTAGAGACTAACTCACTGCTGTCATAACCTGCATTATCAGCCAAGATGGTTGGTAATTGTCTTAATGCACGAGCAAACGACTCGACGGCCAATGATTTCTTACCGTCGACATTTTGTGCAGCTGTATCAACAGCTTTAGACATCAACATTTCTGCGCACCCACCACCTAGAACAGTTCTTGTTTCCTTTGTAGTTTGAGATAAAACCGATAAAGCATCATGCAGGGATCTTTCAGCTTCATCTAATAATTGATCAGTAGCACCTCTTAAGATAATTGTACAAGCTGCACCAGCTTTACAACCATTAAATTTTGTATAAGTACCTTCACCAATCATTATCTCTTCAATGGATTCACATTCACCTAATTTACATTTTTCTGGATTATCGAAAGTAGAAACAACTTCACCACCAGTAGCCAATGCTAATCTTTCAACACCTTCAAAATCAGCATGTTCGATGGAATTAATACCGTGATCGGTCAAAAGTTGTTCAGGGTAATCATAGATCAGTTGTCTGTTAATGAAGACATTAATATCATATTGAGCAATTTTTTCAATCTTAGTCTTCATCTTTTCACGTTCAGCTTTTTCAAGTTGTGCTAATTTGGAAGTAGAATCCACTTTAAATTTGGTACCAAAGATTTTAACTTTATCTGTGTCAAGGGTAGTATTAGCAATTAAAATCTTTGCATTTTCAATTCTCTTAGGTTGGTTATTACCAAATTTCTTCTCTAAAATAAAACCTTCATCCAAGAAAGAATCTGATAATTGACCACCATGAATCTTGATAACTTGAATATGGTCTAAGTTTGTAGAACCGTTTAATCTAAGAATAGCGTTTGTTGCCAATTCAGCAAAATGTTCTTTATCCTGTGATAGAATCTTGGACGATAATGTAGTCTTAGCAATATGAATCAAATCATTACGGAACTTAACTTTATCATTCTTATTATCAACAGCAACACTTTCTAATGCCTTCAATGCTGCATGCGATGCAATTCTATAACCTTCAATAATGGTTTGTGGATGGATCTTCGATTGTTCAATCAACTTTTCAGCTTCTCTTAATAATTCTGCACTTAATACAGTGACACTGGTGGTACCATCACCAACTTCATCGTCTTGAACTTTACTAATATTCACTAAAACCTTTGCTGCTGGGTTATCCAAAGGAATAGACTTCAAAATAGTGGCACCATCGTTAGTTACCAAGGATCTATCACTAGAAGCACTTTGTAATAATTTATCCATACCCTTTGGGCCTAATGTTGTCTTCACCAAATCACCTACGGCAATGGCACCGACAAACGCTGACATACGAGCGTTTTCAGCTCTTTCTTCTGTGACTTGATCACCAAAAATTTGTACACTCATTGCTTGGCTCTATTATAATGTCTCAATACAGTCAATTCCAACTATTAATAAAGTTTCCTGTTCGAATACTTCCTTCTAATATGGCGATTCTCACAATTGTGCTTCTTAAATTTGAAATTCGATGTGGTGAAATTTACCGTTATTGAATTTCGTTGCAAAATAAACCGAAAATTTTTTGCCACATTAAAAAAATATGTAATGAACGGAATACTACTAACCCATTTCCCCCAACTTCGGGTCTAAGAATTAAGGTCTCTCGTTCATAGTGATCTCATTTACAGCAATAAATGACCTTTCTATGAATTTATATGCTCGACACTAGTTCGACACTATTTTATCTAATATGCTTTTATATATACTATATTAAATAAACAAACAACATCAATTGAAGACATCTTTTAGTTATTTGATGATAATATTAGGACAAATTGACTTCAAAAGTACGGCCAAGGATTGACAGAAGAAAATATATGAAGCATGCAGATCAGATTCTCCGCTATCTTCTTTATCTAAAGAACTTTCATCGCCCGAATAGCTACCATCACCGTTTTCAAGAGTATCTGGTAATAGTTTTGGAAACCATTCAACTGGGAATATCACATGGAATACTGGGACTGCATCACCTTTTATGTATTGAACATATATTCTCTGATAATAAGGTTTGTGCAGGTCATCAGCAGTTTTGACATATTTGACCCAGTATGCGCTGCCATTATTATTCCTTAATTTACTATAGTACATTGTATTATCAAGCAAGGTCTCTATTAACTCGCGAATAACTTTAATTCGATTATCGTCTGATACAGAGAGAAAGATTACTTGTTCCCCTTTCAATTAGATCTGTGACGGTTTCTTCATTAAACCAATAAAATGCTCTTAAACTAATAAGGTGGGTGATCTAAGTCAGTCATTTCTCCTATATTTTCGAATATTCTTGAATAGATGTCAACTACATGTCTGAAATATGCCAGTACCATATGTGTGAGAGATAGCATCTGTGTTTCTTCTATCTTCATCTGTGATAAGATATTTGAAATCATACCCTTGCTCTATAACAACCCTCAAGAAGCTTTCGATACCAACTTTGGAAACACCATTTTCTGGGTAAAATGGTGTTTCCCACAGGATATCCTTGACCTCCATATTCAGCTTAATAGCATGTCACTGTATTAAGATATTAGTGAAACTATAAGTTCCATCTATCCCTGCCGAAGTTAAATTCTTTTTATCAAAAGCCCTTATACATGAATTCAAATACTATAGAACGGTCTTGGATCGCATGTCCAATAGATTACTGTCGGGATCGATGCCTTGTTTACATCGGTATACAGCTCTACGATAACGGCAAATATATTTTCTTCTTCTCTTGTGCTGACGGAAGACGATTCCTTATACAAATAAGATTTCTTCTACATGTTCATCAAATAGTTAATTAGTTTCGTCAATAACAGGATTACTGCATATATCTAATGAGGAAAAGTGGAAAATGTGGTGCAAAATCAAAGACTAGATAGTTTTCATCATTTCCTTCTTCTTTTAGCCTATCTAACAACTCTGCTTTAGAATGAATAAAACTATCCACTGAATGTCATTGAAGTCCAATTCAATGTTCTTAAGATAAGATTAAGTATAGGAAATTTTTTAATTGGATCAAAAAACTCTTTAGGTGACGTAATTTTAAGTTTTTTTCCTTCAAGGATTATATGTAAGTATATGTATCTGCAGAATCTACCGGCCAAACGATATATTCTTAAAGTACGAAGAGACTTACGCACAGAAATTAGGGCTGCAGGTACCGAAGAGAAAATTTTAGGTACCTAAGCAATCATCCCTGATATAAAAATAGAAGTCAAACTAATCTTTTGAAAAATAATAACAGGAGTTGTTTCCAATACAAATTCGTTTGGTTGGTGAGATCCTTACACAATTGTAAACGTGATTTAAGAAAATATAACTCTGCCTAACTTTCCACAGCATCCATAATGTGGGCAATTATAAATACTTGTCTACCATATTTTCTTTTTCCTTTAACGTTAGCCCAACTCTACAGAGATTGGAAAAAATAGGCATTCCCATAAGTTACTTTGCTGTGCGTTTTGCTGTTGGTATATTTTTTGGGTTACAAAAAACTCAAGAGAGACTTCTGTCCAATTGGGTATCCAAAAAGAAATATTTCAGAATTGAACGGCAAATTTGAACCCTCCATATTTAATTGGAATTGTTCAGGTAAGTTTGTTGATCTATGTTTGCAAAGATTCCTTTATAACAACACGTTAGTTGGGATGAATAGGCAATTTTGATATAAGAAAGAAATATTTGGTATATAAACTCTTTACTAGATGCACAAAAAGGATGGAAGTTCTGGTACTTATAAAAAAGTCAGAACTCTCATTTTATTTCATTGAAGGTCATCAAGCTATGTTCAAAGTAACTACGGCATTCCATACTATAGACTTTTTAATTGGTTATAATTAAGAGTTTTGTTTGTGAAGCCAATAACTATGTAAAAAAGTACCATTAACAATAAACAACAATATTTCATTAATTGTTGCCCTTGTATCCTAGGTGACGATCTGATACTTCATAATATATGTGTATGAAAACATTCTAACATAAACTTTACTTATTTGATACAAATTGTATTGTAGATGCCCCTTTGAATGGCCACTCGCACGCTTCGAACCAATCACTAGCTTAGCTATCATACAAATATTATAGAGATGGAGTCATTTTTCTACATATTCCTCTATTTCAAATTTGTATATATACGATGGGGTATAATATTCACTTACAAATTGAAATTAAAGATTCTTTAAAATAAAGAAAGGGATCTATTGTAAAAAAAAAAGGAGTTACGATGAGATGAAGATGATGAAATACGCTTGGCAATTCATATAAAAATGTTAACAGTTGAAACATAAGGTTTCTTACTAAGTAACTAGAATGAAGTAGATCACTATAAACGAAATACCACATTTGTCAGTAAAACTCCAGAGGACAGAGGTGCATATATCTTGCCTACGGTTATTCTGCGCCCTGATAGTTATGTGGGGCATGCGAGTTTTACACTCGTGAACGGAATGTGAGGGTAATAATTTGTATCATTAAATTAATGCATTGTATTAACTATATAATTAAATATTTATATGTGTATACATACATTGTACAATAAATAACACCATGCAAGTTTCATACTTCGTAATTTATTCATTGACATGAGTGTCTCTATTTGGTAATAGTAATTGAGCCTATGATTTATTTACAATGTGTCTGTTTGAGGGATGTGGGTTCCAAAGAGATGGTCGATGAAGATATGGGGCGTTAATGATGAGGCGGAGAATAAATAAAATAAAACGAGTTTATTTCTTCTCTTCTCTAATTTTCTACTAAAGCATTCTTACATAAAGCAACTGCATCTTCAAATGCAGTGGCTTCATTACTTTTCATCAATCTAGCTCCTGCGACTTCCTTAAACAATTTACTACATTGATCCAAGTACTTGAAGGAATTATCAAATTGTTCTTCTAGTTTTGTAATCATCTTGTAAGTGTTGAATACATTATTAATTAATGCCATAGCATCACTCTTGGAGTTCCCATTATGCAAATATTTTTGTAAGAAAAATTCCCACATCATTGCCATTAGGATATTTGGTAATTCTAATTTGAAAGGCATCTTTGCAACAATGTCTTTTTGCCAATTATGATTGTCGTACTGCAATTTGTTAAATTCATTTGCTGTTAATGATGATACTAGGACAGCTTCAAACATATCGTTCATGTTTTCTCTGACAAAATCCAAATGATCTCTGAATGCTAAAGTCTTCTTATCAATAGGACCATGATAATTTGTAGGCTTTTGTTTGACTTGGTACAATGTCAACACTCTCGTTAATAAAAGAATGCTATTGGCTTCCTGTGGGTAAGTACGCAATGTATGATCGGACAATGCAGAATGAATCGAAGGTTGGAATTCTTCACTTAAAGTTAAGACGTTAGTTTTCAAAAACAATAATAAAATTAATAAATTTTCTTGGAATTGGGGTTCAATTTGTAAATTATTAAATTTTAAGAAAATTTCACCCCATGGGGTTGGTTTTAAAATTTTCTTATCAAAGTCATATTGAAAAAATTCTAATTGAACTAGAGTTCTTAACAACGTTGTAGCCAATAAATCAAAAGAATTATTTAATTTTTTCTCTAAAGGAACAGAATTTGGAAACAATACGTCGTTAGAAATAAAATCAGTAACTAAATCAGTGGAATCATTTAATAACTTAATGAATGAATCAATAGCAAATGATTTATTTTCGTCGCCACTACCAGTCTTAACAATCAAGTGGTTTAATTTATCAAATATCGAAGGAGTAGTTCTATTCAATAAAGTAGTTTTATCATCATTATCAAACCATTTTACTTGCTTAATCTGTTTCATTTGGAAATATCTGTTGATTGGTTGAGTCAATAGGTTTAATTCTTTATTCTTGAAAATAGTGACCGAATCAGTAACCAATTTTCTATATGAATTAGAGGCTCCGCCATCCAAAGGTGGTTCTTCTGGATATACACCAGTGGTGATTGCATCAAACAGTTTACCTGATGTCAAACCTAAGGATTTATAGAAATAATATTCATTTGGTAATCTTTGGGTAATAAAATCATGAACATCATTAGGTATAGGTAAAGTTCTAGTGGTTTCTGATTTTTTGTTATTGTAATGTTCATTCTCAGTTTCTCCATTTTGTGATAGTTTGTTTCCATCAGAATGTGAATTCATATTTTCGAAATCATTAATGTAAAGATCGACTTTTCCCGAGTCCTTCAACACTGGCATATACTTCAAATGAGATACACCTCTTTGAAATTGTTCCAAATAAGATTGTGTAGTAGTATCCATTTCATTTCCTAATTGATACAAATAAAAATTTGTACCTGTATTCAGAACCATTTCCAAAGCGATTTCGAATAATTTATTACTTGGATAAATCTGTAAAGGTGGTAAAGTAGTAGGTTGTAAAGTATTACCCAGAGTCATTGCGATATCAACAAATTCTTTTAAGGATATCCCCATTTCTTTCAATACACGATTTTTATCAATGTATCTAAAGTCCTTATTTGGGAATTCCATTCCAAGGATAAATCTATCGACTTCACCAAGCATCAAACAATCTGTAGGACCAAAAATTGCATCGATGTAGTCATGTTTGTAAAGGTATGCCAATTGAGACCATGCAACAAATGGTGCAACTTGATAATGTACTTCATGTTCAATGAAATATTGAATCAAATCCTCCTGATAACGACGGGGATCAACTGATGTATGGTAACGGAATGGTTCATGTGGTATTGGTGGTTGGTCAATATATGTAGATTGAGTGGCAGTGACCAGATTTTTCCATTGAGTCCATGCCTTATTTCTGTGAGCCAATGCAATATCTTTATCAGAAGTACCATTACTTTCTCTACCGTTAGTGGTTGCACCTGGGGCGTTATTTTGATCCATTGAATTTACAGATTTAACATTACCATTAGCAACAAAGTGACCTGAATCGATTAAATTATTTTGTGACAGAGATCCTTCAAAGATGAAAACAGGTGTAATATTATATTCTGCGAACACTTTCAAATCACTCTCCAAAAACAGGTTTAAAGATGTAGGAAATCCACCAACGGCGTCCAAATACTGTTCCTTCTTAGCTGTCAACAACCTGGACACATAGTGGCCAACATCAATCCCTAAAGTCGAATTTTTCAATGCTTCAAGTGGATATGAACCGACTAACCCGCGCTCAAACAAGAACAGCTCCAACGATTTGATAGCCATAGTCTCTTGCGCAACGATAATATGTATATATGTATGTGTCTGATTCCTCAACCTAATAAGAAGTTAATGCTGATATCAAAATGCTAACTTGGCCAAAACCTATAAACTTTTAACTAATAAGTATATATATTTTATATTTATTCAAAGGGTGTATGCCAAGTCAAAGCCCAATTGAGTATTTTACTTTTGCTTTCTTTGTCTCTGCCTCCGCGGTGTCTGTCAGTTTGTCTCGTCTCGCCATTCTATTCGGGGAGGGTTGTCATTGTGCACGGCTATGTGCCGGGTGACCCAGCCTACCAAGCAATTGACCATATATACATATATACTAACAACGACATATCCGCGAATACCTCGCTACGTACCCAATTGGTCAAGTATGGTATCACAGACAGTTGCAGAATGCAACACACAATGCCAATGCTTTCCATATCCACAGCTGACTGATCAAGACTGTTTATTTCCTCCACACACACACACCCTACAATTTCAAAGATAGAAACAAGTCCCGATACTGTTAGCACATACCAACTGCGGCAAGGACCACACACTAATACATACAGATATACCCATATATATATATATCATCTATGTCACTTGTCATCTATCAGTTGTAGCTCCAATCATCAACTCTCACCGTGGGAGAATCGCATTCCAAACAACAAAACGCGCGACCGCTCACTGTCGGCTTTCCGTATTGACGTGTCTCTCATTGGGAAACACGCTGAGCAAAAAATTGTTACGTTTACGTGTCCTGAAAAATATAAGAGCTTCTCATAATCAATATATATATATATAAGTAATCAAGGTTAAGTAATAATATTTATATCATAGATATCCCTGTTTGGTTTCGTAATTTTTGCTTTTTTAACGTACCTTCTAATAAGAGTAACAATACCCCACGTCGAAACACTCAATTCTACTATTTTAAAATGCTGCTAGATAGATTTGTCTCAGTGTGCATTTCTGCCCTTTTATTGGCCACCACTGCATTGGCTGCTACTCGTGAAGAATTGGCTATCAAGGCTCAAAAATCATCAAATGGTATCATCGAACTGGATGACTATAGTTTCAAAGACACGCTGGAAGGTCCTCGTGACTTCTACTTGATCGCTCTATTGACTTGTACTGAACCAGGTGTTGGTTGTACCGCTTGTTTTGAATTTAACCCAGTCTTTGAAACAATTGCTAGTTCATGGATTCATGATCACCCAGAAGGTATTTCTTTGGAAGATCCTTCAAAGGCTCTATATTTCGCTAAGGCTGATTTGAGTGACGCTTCTGCTGTGCCAGAAATTTTCAAATTCTATAATATTGAGCGTGTTCCAAGATTAATGTTCTTCACTCCAGGTGGTGATATCAATGATTATCATTTATTGAATTTACCACAACAAAAGGCTAATGCCGGTGCCAGTGAATTCATTGCCAATTTGAAGATTGCCGTAGGAATCAACGACTACCAAGTCTATGAACCTCGTGATTGGTCTACTGTCATAATTACTGCATTCTCTACTTTCGTTATCATTTATTTATTAAGAAAACATAGTAAGATTGTCACTGCTGTCATTTCTTCCAAATACGTTTGGGGTGTTCTATGTTGTGCTTTCATCACTTTGATGTCAGGTGGTTACATGTACAATAAGATGAGAGGTACTCCATTGGCTGGTACCGATAACAACGGTGGTGTCGTATATTTCTGGCCAAATGAATTCCAAAATCAATATGGTATTGAATCACAAATCGTGTCTGTATTGTATGGTGCACTATCTATATTGTTTTTGGCATTGGTCCTGGGAATTCCAAACTTATCCTCTTTCTATAAAGGATCTGCTAGTGGAACTATGATCGTTACTGTCATTTGTGCTGTATTGGTCGTCGTCATCTATGTTTTGTTCGCTGGATTGACTAGTCTATTCGGTATTAAATCTGCAAGATATCCTTTTGAACTAATAAAGTTAAGTTCTTTAATGTCATAAAGACGTAAATAAATATATACGTATATAAATAAATAAGAATAAAAATATTAAAAAAAAGAATTACAATAATATAAAAATATGATATGTTTTTTTCTTTATTATTATAACGTTATATATAAAATAGATAATTTAATACAATCACTCATTTATATCTATTCGTCACCATTAGTTTGTTTGGGAGTCTTGCTACTCTTTTTACGTTTTAAACCAACCGCACCAAATACACCTTTCCCAATCTTACCAATTGTCCCAACACCTGTCGACACAACAGTGGTTCCGACTTTCAAACCACTACCAATACCTTTACTGGCAACGTCACCTACTTTCTTCTCACGCTTGGCGACACTTAACACATATCTTGGTTCGAATTCAAACGTCATATGTAGAATACCTCCGTCACCACCATCATCACGTCTCACAGGTACATCCATATCGATTGTTTGACCAGGTTCAATACTAGATAATGGTATACTAGCACGACCAATGATATCATCAGAGGAGGCTGCATCCCAATCCATAACTTTGATATTAAGCATACTATTGACACGATCTTTCACTACAATCTTACCAGTGTCATTCCAAACCGGATTCAATGTCTTCTTTACGGTTGGTGTTTCATACAAATGATCCTTGAAATCATTAATATAGAATTTCAAATATGGATCTGAAAATCCATTAGAATCAGAAGCCATTAGATTTTCTGCATTCTTTGAAGAAATAGTCAAATCACCAGAATTACTCATCAAATCAGATGCTGGTAATTTTTCAACATCTAATGGGAACCACGAAACTTGGATCATTAATTTAGTTGCACCCTCACCACTCAAGGTAATGATCGATGGCTTATTATAACAGTTCTTAACTAACTCTATAGTTGGTAACGATACTTCACTGACACAACTTTCCACTCTGTTACCGTATCGATTCTTCGTCACTCTAAATGTAGTCATTGAATTCTTCAATTCTTTGACAGCAACATCACCTGTCCAACCATCTCTAATAATCCTTGAATTAATCTTAGGACTATTGAAACGTGAATGACCATTACCATCGAAAAAAGCTTGAACATAGTAACCGGCATCAGGCAATTCACCATTCAACACAGATATAGCAAGCGCACCAGATTGGAATTTCAACAATTCTTCCAATGATAATTTTTGTTTGTGAGAATACAAATTTGTCAATTCATTAAGTTCACTTTCTTCTGCTTCTATGATATCCTTTTCTACTGGAGCAATCTTGCTCATATCAATTTTAGCCTTCTTGTCTTCCAATTTTTGTTTTCTCTTTCCCACTTTTTCCAAATCTTGAACTTCCTCTAACGTCAATATTGGCTTAACAGGATAGAAAGAAGCATTATAGACCAATTGACCACTTGGGCCATCCTTACCTATCAAACGTACAGTTTTGTCGTTGTCATCTTCCTTAGTTATGTACTTACCATCATCATCCTCATGGACAAGATCTGAAAGGTCAATATCATAGATACCAACACGACGATCCTTGTTCACTGTCTCCACATCCATCACTTCCACAGAAATCTTTTGGTTCGGGGAAGTGATTGCCACATAAATAGAGAAGTTCCAAACAGGGTTCAAAGTTTGAGACTCATAATCAGTTCTACCCTTGGATATACCATTGACAAGTACTCTGGCATATGGATCGATATACCCCACAGTCTCCAGGTTTTTCAAGTTGACTGCCTTCTTCAAGAAAACTCTTACTAAACCAATAGGAGGAGTATATGCAATAGAATTATTACCAAGATCTAATCTAACAGGCTTCCAATATGTAGTGACTTTTAATTTAGCTTTACTACCTGGAAGGGGGATCAATAATTTACCGATTTCTGTTCTATCAATCAAATCATTTAGATTTTGTACCATCGAGGTAACAATCTCATCTGTGTTAGCATCCTTAACAATAAATCTATAACGAGACTTACGACGATCTGGGATCACTGATTCGTAGTCTTGATTAAAAGTTTGAATATCTTCTTTCGTTACCTTCGATGTAGTCAATACCAATTTAGCATTCAAAAACACTTCAATGTAATAGGAACCTTTCTTATTTTCTTCGTTCATACCGTGTAGTTCTTCTACAACAATCTTAGCAATACCAGTATTCAGATCTGGCAATTCTTCTACTTCACCAGATGGTAAAACTTTACGTTCTAAAGTCGGGAAGAATTTCAAATCAAAGGACAAATTACCAACGGGCTTAGAGTTTCTTAAGAAGTGAGAAACAAGATCTGTTTGAATTTCTTTATCATGCATGGAGTTTAAATTGTATTCAACTCTACCCATGACTTTATCCTTTAGTTTTTCTCTCTTGTCGAACAATGTAATCGTTAAAGGATCAGTAAATGACGACAGTAACAAATATAGAGTTTCATCCCAGATAGGATTCAATGAATCTCTAACTGTTCTAGTCTTACCCACAGTTTTTCCTGATAATTCGAAAGCTAAGTATGGGTCTATCGAGGCATTAATGAATGTGTTTGCACGTTTAATATCCTTAGCATTTTTTACAGTGACTTCCAGGACACCAACAGATAAATTAGATTGAGATAATAATTGTGGGATATTTAATTGTAAAGAAAAGGGGGGTAAAAACATAGGACCCATATATTTCTTTGCCAAAGTATTAATTGTGGAGTAAAGTCCCGGTATAGCTAATATCTCCCAATTAAAGACATTATCACCAAACAAACGACATACAAAATCGATATCAGGAACTTCTAACAATTGAACATTGATGGTTTCAACATGAGGAAATGGGGTCATCAATTTAAATCTTACTCTAGTGTCGACTTTAAATGAGATATCAGAGACAGCAACTGGGATTGTAATACCGAACATCTTGGCCTTGACTACAACTTTTTGGTTAACATAATTTTTCAATTGTTTTGCAGACATATCTGATAAATCATGAGGTGTATATGACACCGTCCAATCCATGACCACAATATCTGATTCTGTATTTTGGAATGTCTTCACCGAGTCAATTCTAAAAGGTTTAATCCCCAGAGTAAACTTATCTACCCATAATGACTTAATAAATGCTGGGACAGATGGGTTTGTAGCCAATTGATCGTTCACTTGAGTGACAACCATTTGGGAGACACTAGGTTCAATAATAGGCCAATATTTATCCAACATATTATTCAACCATTCCATTGTTTCGTAGTCATCTTCTATCTTTTGAACAGTGAATTCCTTTTGAATCAATTCTCTGATTGAAGCACGATATTTCTTAGCATTAGTACGATATAATAACCCAGTTAAGACTATAATAAAGAACACAGGAGCCAAAGAAAACTTGAAGTAACCAAACGTAAATGATAAAATACCAGCAACAAAGATGATTGCAACAAAATGGTACCAATCACCATACAAATAATCAGGTAAGACATTATTCAAGATAGTTTCTTGATCCAAATCTACCAATTCATCATCTAAGGTTAGTCTATCTCTTTCAACCCATCCTGACATTTGTTTCCATCCTACGTATGTAGCGTCTACATGAGGTCTAGTAACGGTATCTGTACCTACATTGGAAACTTTCGATTCTTCGATATCCTGACTAGTCTTTGTTCTTTTCAACTCTCTACCAGACTTAACATTATTGTTATTATTATTATCTGTAGTAGGACGAGAAGCTTGTTCTAATTGATCTTCTACAGTAAATGGTACTGGTTCTTCGACGACCTGACTTGAGTCTATCACCTCAACAGGTTCTATACTTGCCTGTTGTGCTACCATTTTACTCTATTATTGCTACGAGTCAAATTGATTGTGAATATTGTTATTTTATTTACAATATTTATACAACTATTATTATTCAGTTACGTTCAATAAAAGGGAACTGTAATATTATTCTTTTTTCCAATTGTATGATACAATATATTTAGCAGTAACCAATCTTATCAATTGTACCTTACAGAAACTCGTTCAATGGTAAAAATTTTCAAAATATAACGTATTATCAATTCCGGTATCTTCCTGTTTTTATATATCTGATTCTTATAGAATGTATATGTCAAAAAAATGGGTTCCTCCTTATTTCCCTATTTTAGTTTTGCTTGCCTCTCGCTCTCCATTAAAGGGAAGTATGCCCTGTTATATAAAAATGCATACCTTTGTTAAGGTTCAGTCTATGCAGTGCAATTTTCTTCCTCCAAAATTATTCATCATCGGGTATTTTAAGGGATGTGCGGGCTTCGCTTTCCTTTCCAAAATTTTGGCAGCAACATTTTCCTCCCTTAAGCAAGAAGCTGTTGCGGTTGGTGTCTGGCTTTAAGGTGGTGGTGGGTTCTCTCCCTTACTTTTTTAAGATTACAATTTTTGAGATAGCTCGCGGTCACGTGCATTGTCACATGGAATCGGGATTATAATGGCTGATTGACACATTACGAAGTTTGTCGATATATAATTTAGATCACACTGAGGAGATGATCATCTTGAATGATGTGCTAGTATGCTCAACAAGAACATAATAAAATAGCTGGTTAACTGTGTGAGTGTGTATGTTATCTAACAACTATCTGAGGTATGTCCGAAGTAGATATTTTGCCAATAAGTGTTAGGTCTCAGGACGATACTGTTTTGGAAGTGCCTACACCACGACAAGTATTACGAATTGCTATTAATTTGAAATATTTAATAGATAGTATGATTACCAGACATTATAATGATGGAGATATTGATGCAGTAATAACCGAAGAGTTTGTCACTTTGGCTTATAAAGCATGTGGTGGTGATGAAAAGGATACGCAAAGTTCTAAGAAATATCAGGCAGTTATAGTTTTTGCTTTATTGAATGTTTATTCTTGGTATCAGTCTATTATCAATGACGAAATTCATGAAATAAATTTTTTTATTACTAGATCCATTGTTGTACAAAAATTGTGTCAAATTATAATTGAAAGAGAGGAAAAGAAAAATATTCATTATTTGTTTAATCATATCTTGCTTAGACGTTATTCTATTTTTGAAATAGCAGGATCCTCGAACCAAATGAATGCAGTCGAATTAGCTACAGATCTTCATTGTACCATTATAGTCGGAACTAGTGGGTTTCAAAGATGTTTGGTATGGTTATGGGACGGTTGGATTATTCAATCACCAAAAAATCTTGACTGTTTCATTAAAGAAGAAATTGTTGTTTCGACTTCTTATTTGGATCATTTTACACCACAACGTATTAAGACACCCAAATATCAAAATTTCTTAACAATTTTATTCTCTGTCATATATTTAATTCTCTACAGTACAGTTATGAATGAAAAATTGATTATTAATATTGAACCTATAAATAAAAAAGAATTTTGCTTTATTTTGTTTACATTAGGTTATGTTATTGATGAAATTATGAAATTTCATTATATCGGTATTGCATATTTCCAATTCTGGACATGTTTTAATGATTCACTTTATTTACTAGTAACTTTATCAATCATATTGCGTTTAAAGAGTTTATATTTGAGTAATTCACCTAATGATACATATGGTGTCATCTCGTATAGACTTTTGGCATGTGCAGTACCATTGGCTTGGTCAAGATTATTACTTTATTTGGAATCTCAAAAATTTATCGGTATAATGTTAGTTGTAGTGAAACATATGATGAGAGAATCAATCATTTTTTTCTTTCTTTTAATTTTATTACTGTTAGGGTTCTTACAAGGATTTATTGCGTTAGATTTATCAGATGGGGAATTGGATGTCACAAATTCAGTGATTAATAATCTTTTGGCTACGATTATCGGATTTGGAGACTTATCCGTGTTTGAAAATTTTGCATCACCTTATGCAACTATCCTATACTACTGCTATTCCTTTGTCATTTCCGTCATCTTACTAAATATCTTGATTGCTCTTTATTCTAACGCTTATCAAAATGTTGTCGATAATGCAGATAGCGAATATATGTGTCTGATGTCTCAGAAGACTTTAAGATTTATTAGAGCACCTGATGAAAATGTGTTTGTACCTCCTTGTAATATATTTGAAATAATTCTATCCCTGATATTATTGGGCCAAAATGAAGCCATCAAACAAAGTGCTTTATATGTAGTAATGACTCTATTATATGCACCATTATTGATCATTACGTCATTGTGGGAGGTTCGAACGGCAAGAAGAATAAAGTATAATAGACTTTGGGGTGTTCCAGATGATTCAAATCAACAAGACACAATATGGGACCTTACTGATGGTTACGTTGAAAGTGTAGGTATTTCATTAAGAAATGACGCCGAGACTGGTATTAAAGCTACATTGAAGAAGAACTCAACTATGCTAATAGAACAATCACAAGAGGAAAAGAAAGACCCAAAATTTTCAGTGACTGAAGAATGGTATGACCGTCTAGAAAAGTTGAAAAATACATCAAATAACCCTCAGTCCACTCTATTGAAATTATTATATGAACAAAATAAGAATATTATTAAATTAACAAAAAAAATCGAAAAATTAGACAGAAAACTAGAAATATTGCAACAAAAGAAAAAGGACTAATAATTACAAAATTAATGTATGTTTGCCTATCTTTTATAAAAAAAATATAACCGTTAAATTAGAATCAAAAAGTTTTATATTTATTTATCATGAATAAGGTAAATTTTAGTGCGAATGTATTAAATTATATACCAATATATAGATTGAACAATATTCCTGAATGATCATAACTTATACATCATTTCATTAAAGTACTTAATTTAACAACTACAAGCAGAGGCATTTTCACTTGCATTAGCAGTATTTGCTAAGTTCACCCTTTGATCTTCAGTAACATTTAAACCACCATTTGTATGTTCATCCTCTGGACCTTTCAATGGAATCTTTTCACCAATACCAAGGAATACTTCACTAATATTTGTACCTGTCTTTGCACTAGTCTCAAAAAATAATAAATCTTCTTCTTCTGCTAATTTTTCGGCTTCCTCACGACTAACTTTTCTTTCGTCTTCATTATCCTCCAAAATATCGACTTTATTCCCTACAAGTGCAATGATAATATTTTTATTAGCTTGTTCATGTAATTCTTTAACCCAGTGACGTGCCTTTATGAATGATTGGGGTTTTGTAATATCATAAACTACTAATGCAGCCTGTGCATTTCTATAATACATCGGAGCCAAAGAGGCAAATCTTTCTTGACCTGCCGTATCCCATATTTCAAACTTAACTGTGTGATCATTAATATTAACTCTCTGTGTTAAAAATGCAGCACCTATAGTTGGCTCTTTGTTTTCTGAAAAATCGTTAGAAACAAATCTTAAGACGATGGATGATTTCCCTACTGCTGCTTCACCTAATAGAACTAATTTGATTGAAGTGATTGGATTACTCATTTAGCTAATATGTTGATAATGGTTGTGATTATTGTAGCGGTACGTTTAGTTGAATTTATTTTCTTTGTTATTTTCTTATAATAATATAGTAGCAAATCTCAATATATATATATAGTTGTAGTACAAACTTTGAGATGCCGTTTGTATAGTTTTGTTATTCTTGAATATATTATAAAAATGTGTATCTATATGAGTAAGTGACTATCAAAAATATCTAATTATAGGGATTGCCGGATATGGGTTTTCCAAATTTAATTTTCTTTTTGATTCTTCACGTTGTCAGTTTTGGATGTTTAACGAGTGCGGGCCGTTTCATCTGTTTTTCCTCGTTAAGCGAGATGGGCTTTGATAAAAAATCAGAAAACAATGCCAGTAACGGTAACGACTGATGGTTCTACATTTACTATACAAAAGGTATGTGTGAATCATTAAAAAGGTGCATTGTTGGACATCAGTTGTATATATAATACTTTTTTTACTTATAATTTTGGTTTAGGAGGAGTAGTAGCCTCATGGTTAATCTCCAGAGAACCATCTTTCTTTTCAGATTCTCCAAAAAATGCAACAGTGACAGTCAAATCATCTCTATATTTCCTGCTCATTGGAGATGGAATACTAGTTAAAGTAGACACATATTCCTTTTGACCACCGGCACTTAGCGCATTTCTGATTAGGTGTGTGGCCACATTTGGATCTTCTAATAAATAATCAGTTGCATTTGAATTGTCCTTTTTCTTGTATCTAAATGCAGGTCTTTGTGATGATTTATCCGATGTAAGGTCTTTAACTAATGGTAATTTACCAGTTTGCGCTGTTATATTTTTCCTCGTGCTTTGATTTTGGGTCATATATTGTTCTTGCCATTTAGCAACTAAACCAACAATTTCCTCGTTGGTTAATAATTCAAATAAACCATCAGAACCCATAATCATAAACTTTACATTATTGTGAACAGTAGTTGTAGTGATTTCAGGTTTTGATGTAACATAAGGTGGTGTTAATAAATCTCTTGGTTCACTTCTAAAATATATTTTCACATGATCTGGTAGATCACTCAATTTTTTACCGTCAACTTCTTTCAATTTGTAACGATAATCTCCAAACGCACGAGAAGGTTGTAAACAACCCAATACTCTACCACGGCGAACTGCATTAGGTTCACCAGGGTGTTCATTTTGAATTCTAGCAACTTCATCTAAATTATCACCGGTTTGATCAATTGATAGAGCCTTGACAAACCAATTGCTATTTTCATCAATACCACCGATCAATGCCCTGGAATCACCAGTGACAGCAACCTTCAAACTCATATCCTTTGAATTATACAATGATAATAATGCACAAGAACCAGATATAGCTGGTAATACATTTACCATGTTTTCTTGAGATGGATCCCTAAATAATTGTTTAAATGATTGTTGAATGATATCTTGATCCAATTGTACAAAAGCATCAATAATGGCAGAGTCAACTTGTTCGCTGGAGCCTTCACTCTTTGGTGATGAATAAAAAGGCGATAATTGTTTTGCTACGTATCTTACCATATCCTTCGATAATTTAGCAGACGTAAAAGGACCACTATGACCATCAAATATACCGAAAAAATATAGATCTTCTTCAGTATCCTTAATTGGTACGGTAATCACTTGTTCGATATGATTATCTTCTATTGGATTATTTGATGGAAGTTGAGCGACATCATAACGAGTTATCCCTTTATTTCTGTTAACAATATAACTTTGTTCCAAACCACGTAATTTCTTATCTATTTCAGAATCTGTCAGTAGAGTAATAGTAGCACTCTTATTAGCAACCTTTGTAGAATAATGTTTTATACCATCTATAGCGTCCAATGAGATTGATGATGAACCCAACCATGAATATGATGCTAACATTAACCCAGATCCACCTAATAAAGCCCACCCAATATCTTTAGAAAACTTCCTACTACGTCTAAATATATTCTTACCCAAATTTGAAGATGCAGTTGTGCTGTAATAATTGCATGAATTCTTGTGTTTTGAATTTGAGATGTAAGATCTGTGCACAAATCTACCTATCCATTCACCATGACGGCTGTACCTAGTAATAGTTCTATTGGCTCTAGGCAGTAACATTGTTATTCTAATGAGCAAATTATATATGTTTTTAGAATATATGTGTTCCTATATCAAGGAATGCAATGCCAGAATAAGAAAATATGATTCTTACTTTACTGTAGTTTGTAATCAATGATTGTGAAATCCATTGCATTTTATGGAGAACTAAAAGGATTTACCATTCCTTTTGCCGCGTGGTAAAAAAGGTCTGTGTTTTGTATATTTATATAGATAGACAAGAGAGATGTAGTTTAAGTGACACTGTGCTTAATTGCAAATCATTAGTGAACTAAAGAATGACAGTGTAATTGCATATATCTATATGATCAATACACGGTAATTGACAGGTATATGTTTAGAATAAGGGAAGTTAAGGAACTGAACCATATTCTATTATTTTGATTCCCTAATATATATACATGTGTGTGTGTGTGTGTGGATAGATAAATTTATTCATTGGAATATGTTTGTGAAATTAACTGTCTTTATGTTTCATTTATAGGACAAACTATACAGGTAATTACTAGATTATAAGGACTTTCCAATACAGGATTGGACAGGCACCTTTCCTATTGTCATATTCTTCTTGCATGTTCCAATCAACTCTGCTACATAGAACCTCAAGTTATAGCTAAGAAACCAACTCCTGAAAACCAGCTAGAAGCAGCTACATCCAATCCATGAATCGTGATTGTAACTGTTGGTAAAAATACATATTTTATATATCTTGATTGTTTGATTAATTATTACCTATTAAGATCACATTTCACGATGTGGTTGAAAATTTTTTTTTCTTAGTCCCATTGGCAATGTGCGAGTATTACTACCGTACAACGAACCACTTTGGCACAGACGAGAGAACTGGTTTGCAGTGATGACCATCAACGTTAACTAAGTTCATCTTATAATTGGAAGTATTACTATAAAAGAACAAAAATTAAAGAACACTTACTTACTAAAGGTTACATTTATTTTAAGTTAATATACATATATATAACATCATAAAGAATTATACATAACACCAGCAAGGATGCCTCCAAAGAAGAATAAGCAACAACAGCAACAGGCTAAGAAGAAGGACAATGTCGACAAAACATTCGGTATGAAGAACAAGAACAGATCCACTAGGGTCCAGAAATTTATTAGACAAGTGGAACAGCAAGGTGTTGATCCTGCAAAGGAAGACATGAGACGTCGGAAGGCTGAAGAGAAGTTTATGAGAGAAGCACAGGAAGCTGAAAGAAGATTATTATTTAATAATGTATCTGATCAAAGAGTTCGTGCTGGTGTAGACCCAAAGACTGTCGTTTGTGCACTTTTCAAGTTAGGGAATTGTAATAAAGGTGCCAAATGTAAATTCTCACATGATCTTAATGTTGGTAGAAGAGTTGAGAAGAAGGATCTGTATCAAGATGCGAGAAGTGAAAAGGAACAAGATACAATGGATAATTGGGATGAAGAAAAATTGAGAAAAGTTATTCTTTCTAAGCATGGTAATCTAAAGACTACCACGGATAAAGTTTGTAAATATTTCATTGAGGCTGTCGAGAATGGGAAATATGGTTGGTTCTGGATTTGTCCAAATAATGGTGATAAGTGTATGTATAGACATTCCTTACCAGAAGGTTTTGAATTAAAGACTAAAGAACAAAGAAGATTAGAGAAAGAAGCTTTGGAAAACCAACCAAAGATTACATTGGAAGAGTTTATTGAAACTGAAAGAGGTTTTTTGGATAAGACTAAATTGACACCTATCACTATTGAAAATTTCGCAGAATGGAAGAAAAGTCATATTATTGCTAAACTCAACGCTGAGAAGAAATTAAATGAAAAGAAGAAACCTTCTGGTCGTGAAATTATACAGAAAATGTCTAGTAATGGTGGTATCTTAATAGATGAACCAGTTGATGAGGCTGAAAGTGTCTATTCTCAAATTTCTAATGAAGAAGAAGAAGGATCGGCTTGGGATTTGACTGAATTCACAGATGCATTAAAGGTAGCTGATCATAAAGATGATAGTGGGGTTAAGGATTACGGTGATGGGTCCAATCCAACTTTCGAAATCAAAGCACGTTAATATGTTTGTGTTTTTGAACAAGAATAATTACATGTCAAAACTATTCATGTTTGCATTTGCTTTTATTGCCTTACGTAATATTCGAAAAAATGATAAAAACTAACGCACCTACCATATAGAGACATTCAAATGATATATGGTGTTATACTGTGACTGTAGAGATCTTGGTTGTGTAAACATCCCAGGGTTTTTATGTCAATTTATTATTAACATGGTTTCTAGATGGTTCTCCATTCATCCAATAGCATATTCACTTCTAACTAAGATAATTATAAAGTATATCATCTATTCTTTTGTATTTGGTATTCTTATATTTTTTATATTATCTATAATTATAATTATAATAATAATAGTAATAACAATTATTTAAATTGGAATAATTGATCAGCGTCGGAAATGGCGTACTATTTAAAATATTGGTTAAAATGTCAACGTTTTTATGCATTGGTTTTATTTACAAGCGTCGAATATTTAAAATTTGTTCTGATAAATATTTCTATATACCTTTTTATCTTCCCATAAAGTTTTGAATGCTTTTCCTTCCAAACCAGCTATATTACATTTTGTAATGATTCCCTTTTCACAAGATATAAACACTTGCTTATCAAGAAAAGCAACATCAAACTTGGGACCATTAAAGTACTTCCATTTATCATCTTTTAAGGTATTCATCGAGGAGTTTATTTCATCGTTTATAGTTATATCTTCATTACAGAAATAGACAGGTATCTCATGATGGTTCGCCCCTTTGAAATCAGTTCTAAATCCATCAATACAAATATCCATGAAATTATCTGTTGATTTTAATGAAATGTTGGAAACGTTGGATCTTACACTGTCGACACTCGGACTATCCCACTTTATTCCAGGTATATCTTTGGCTTTCAATAATCCATGAAAATTCCCTAGATCTGAATTCACAAGCATTGTACCATGATGATATGCTTTACCTTGAGCAATCTTGAATGCGCTACCACCACATTTCTTCCCATCAAATAATATATCACTCCTTTTGTTTAAAGTGACAGGTAAAGTTTCATCGTACGAATGTAGCCATTTTACAATCAATTCATTAAAAAAACTTGAATGAAATTCATTTCTGGATGTAATAAACGAGTAATTAACATTTCCCAGATCGTGTATGACAGCACCACCTCCTGATAATCTCCTTAATAATTCATAACTTTGCTCTTGTAGTTCAGAAAGATATACTTCCTGCCAAACGGTCTGATTTTTTCCAATAACTGCACATTTTTTATTAATATAAAACAACAATCTATGATTAGGGAAGACGTCATGACTAATTTCTTTGGATACAGGTGTCTTTCTAAAGACATAATCTTCCAGTGCCAAATTATAATAAGGGTTATTTGATAAACTCTTTAGGATAAATCTACCAGGGGACGTCACCTTGTGTTCCAATTCCTTTCCGGACAAACATGTGTTATCAACTTGAAATAAATCTTGAAATTCCTTATTCAATTTATCGCATTCAGATAGAGGGTTTGTTTCTCGAGAAATATCAGTATTATCATCTTTTGTATTGGTATTACTTAATGACTGAGAGAACATATCGGAATACATTGTGTTAATTCCTTTATATTGGTCATCAGTTTCATTTATATCGAAGGGGACTTTAGTGTTTACATACCGTTGGGATTTATACGTAAACGTGTTTAATTTGGAAAGTATGTAGCATCTTTTTAGCATCTGGATCTAATTTTTATTGGACATCTCAAATGTGTTCAATGTAACATAGTAATTACAAATAATAACCTGTTTCAATGTATATATCTAGAATGAAATGACAGACGGTTCTTGAAGTTCCCTTTTACGTTATTCAACTTCTTTCCGATTGTGTCTTCCAAAATGAAAAGACTTAGCGATGGAATATAAATTCCGACTAACAAATTTTTTGTCACCATATAGAATGATGAAGCCTTATAAAATAAAACAATGAATTCAACTTACAACTTCAACCGAATTATAGGATACTAGTTACGGTAATTTAAGATAGCAAGAAATAATTATTAGTTTAATATGGACAAAGCTCAATCTTTTATTAAAGAATGTTTATTCACAAAGAATTTTGATAACCCAAATAAGCCGATCGATGAACAAAGATTACAGCAAACATTATTGTTGATGCCTACCGATGGTGGGTTATCTACTCGTCTGAAGAGATACAAAAGTTCAACAAAGCTGACTGCCACTAATATCGAAGGTAATTCCAATAATCATAAACATCCTAATTATAGAACTGTCAATAAAAACTCAAAAAGTGCATTGCGAAATTACATTAATAATTGTAAGGACGCCTCAAAAAGAGCTAAAAACATAGCAAAAGAAAATAAAATTAACAATCGTTCAGATTTGAATAAACTATTACGAGAAAAATATAAAGATCTATTTGATAAACTACCTCGTTATGAAACATTCCTACCCATGTATGAAGATTTCTGGGTAGAGTATATAAAGGATATCCTTTCTCTCAGTTCTACTGTGGAATCAGGTTCACGCCCAAGTATTAATGCAAATACATCGTTAATGAAATTATCTATGGCCGACTATAATGGTTCACTATTAAAGATAGTGAAAAGTAAAAATAGGAATATGACAGGCATCGAGGGTATAGTTATTTGGGATAGTCAAAAATCTTTTATCATGGTTACAGAGGGTGACTTAATTGACGACGTAAAATGTATACCGAAAAAAGGTACTATATTTAGTTTTGAAATACCTATCAATGAAGAAGAGGCATTGCAGTATTCTATCTTAGGTGATAGATTTAAATACAGAAGTGTCGATAGAGCCAGTAGGAAATTTAAGGCTCGTAGATGTGATGATATGTTGTATCAGCTGCATGGGGAATTCATATGAATGATTTATCAAAAATAATAAAGCATTATATCCTGTCTATTGGTTATATATATTTATATCTACATCAGTGATTAAAAGAAATGAAAATCTTGAGACTTCCTTGGGAAAAAGGTAATATTTCCTTATATATTTATTTATAGAAGGTTGTTTAATATTTAATTTATGTGCCAAGATATACAAATATTTTGTTCTATATGCTACTTCTCATTAACATGTTATCTTTGATCAAATTCTGTTGTTCTTATACTTCATCGATAATCGTTGATATCTAACGCGACGGAAACTACGGCTAGATCTGTTAAGTGAATATAAATAAGATCAATCAGAATAGCTATAATCGAATCTCTTAAGTAACGGTAAATAATAAATTGTTTTAGCAATCCACTATAGCAATCTAAGTATGCTTAGGGAACGTCATTGTATCGATACCGCTATATATGGACCACCGCCAAAGGTTCCTACCACATTTAGTGTAAACGATTATGAGAATTCGAGAAGTTCACCTTCTGAGGTAAACGCTGGCTTTCAATTGATTAAGAAATGTTATGATGAATTGGAGAAGATAATATCTAAATTAGATAGTTCTAGTATTAATGATCTTAAGGACATTGATAGTGCATTAGTGTTAGCAACCGGTTTAACAACCGACGTAGCCATCAGAAGTAAATTATGGAGGGTTTGTCGTGAAATAACTCATCAAAAGATTACACGGCCAGATATAAGAACCAGTAACAATGGTAGTACTATTAGAAATAAGCCTGTCAATCAGGCTACAGTTATTAGAGAGTTTTGGTACTATATTATCTCTAGAATTAAAGGGATTAGTCGTGTTATGATTCAACGATACCAAAACATTCATGATAGAGTTGGAGATGGGAATTACTATGATTCAAAAATATTTGATTCTTTCTGTTTAAAATATGGATTTATTATGAGAAAGCTTTACCTAGTTATTACTTATGTTCTTGAGAATTATACAAAACTTGTTATTGGTGATCAACCGTATACCGATGGTACCACAATAATGCAGTCTATTTTGATAGGTTCGATGATGGAAACGTATAATGATAAATTTCCAGCATTTATCAACGAATTTTTGGATTCGCAGAGAGTAATAGGTTTAGATAAATATAAGTGGCGATCTATTTGGGTTCCATTAATTCGTGTTCCAGATACTGTTGATATGATGGCAATATATTTAGATAATGTTGAAAAATATTATAGTCGAGATATTCATAGTCCAGTATTTGTAGGCCCAACTTTTGCCACTGGTCTACAGGAGGTTATGGTAAATGAACTTGAATTGGCTTTACAATTTACAGAACTTAATCGGGAAACGTTATATCGAAAAGTTTGGGGAACTATATTATTTAAAGCCAATCTATATTCAAAGATGTTTGAACTTTGTAAAAATGATACCAGATATAATAAACAAGGAGCATTACTTTTCAGAACTGTCGTTACTAAGTTTTGCAGAAAAGTGAGTCAAAATGGGCGTATAGATTTAACTGATTATTTGAATGCCCAGACATCTGTCATCAATCGTTATCTTGAAGGATGTTTTAACCCAATTGATAAAGGTAAATTGATAAAGACAGTTTGTGATTTGCATGAATATTTTTGTGATCCTGATCAAGAAGAGATATTAAAGAATAGTGTAAATGATTTGTTGAGGAAAGAAAATTTATCTATGATGGATATATTCTTGGAAACATTTAAAAATGAAATAAGTTCATCAATTGAGGAGCTCAATAAACTGTCAGAATTGGCAAAAATTGAACTTCCATATAGTGATCGTAGAACACTGGTTAAATATTTAAGGCGAAGTCAAAAGCTGTTATTCCCCCATTCCTCCTATATAAATGAGTTCGTTAAACTTCCTAAAATCTTTAGATTCGGATCAAGTTTACCAAAGATTATATGTGATTATAGTTTTAAAGAACTCCTTCTTAATTTTAATGATTTTTCAATGTTGTTCAGAATACGTCGGAGTCCACTAATGAAAATGATTGTTGAATTGAATAAAGGCTATAGTTCATCTGATGATATGATTACGCTGGAAATTTTATCGAAGGAAGTATCTGATATGTCCAAGCTTGTTACGGCTTATAATCTTTCTAATGAACACGAAATGTTAAAGTCAAATCTAATCGTCTTACAAAGAAGCAAGTATAATGATCAGTTTTCAGAGAATGATTATAAAGATATAAAAGTACCTCCTGAGATCCATGAACAATGGGATAAATTAATGACATTCTATCGCCAAAGGATTACCAATGGTGAACTTCGGGATGTAACTCCAATATATCAGTTGCAACGTTGTGAAGTCAATTGTCCTTTTGCTGTTCCAGGGTATGATAAAGACGTTACATTTGATGTTACGCTAATGCAAGCATGTGTTTTACAAGAATTTAATGATAAAGATGAATTATCCTTTAATGAAATATATAAACGTACCAAATTGGATAAACATATTTTGCAAGCGATATTAAAATCATTTGTGTCATCAAAATTAATGATTAAAGAAGGTGTCAATGTTAAACTGAATTTAAATTACCAACCAAGTATAGGGAGGATAAAGAATGGTAGAATCATGATACCTATGGGTAAAATAACAGCTAAGCAACCAGTAATTGGATCATCTACAACTTTGTCTACTTCAAACACTGTTCAACATCCAGAAGGGCTAAGTTCGCAATGGAAGCAAGAACTGTTGAGGGCAGCCATCACGCGTACGATAAAGGTCTCAGGAGAAACTTTTAAGGAACAAGAATTGATCGCCTATGTTAGAGATCAAGTGACAGATTTCAGTGTTGGTGAATTCAAAGTAGCTGTTCAGTTTTTACTGCAAAACAATTATATTGCTGCAGATGGAGAAAATTATGCATACAATCTAGACTAGTATAAAGTATGTAACTTTTAAATGCAACTTATTAGAACCTATCTTAAAAAAAGCCATTTACGACTATGTTGATTATTTGTAAATGACAGTTTGACCAATTACCAAAACTGTCTGACTATTCCTTTATGGTTAATGGACTCTAAAGAATTGCAAAAGCCCTAACAGATTTGAATGCCAAACGGATATACGCACACTGCAAATTGAAGAGAGCAAGAAAGAAACGAAAAAAAAATTTGTAGTTTTCATTTGAGCTTCCCGTCGAGTATAAAAAGAAAGCCAACAAACATGTAACAGTAAAACAAAAAATGAAGTTCCTGCTACACTTTTGAAGGTTGCTAATTTTTGGTAGTTTTTAGTATACCGTCATCTCATGTATATGTGGGATAAGAATAAAATTTTAGCAAAGAATTAGAAAAAGTTACTCGCATATGTGATATTTTTAAATTTGGCAACAGTTGTTACCATAACTCATAAGTGAAATTTTTTTTTTAACTTTGTTATTATTTCTCTATTATATAATGTAAAAGATAAGATTTTCAAAAAGAGAGAGGATTTAAGTGATGATAATTTACAACAGTGCATAGTTCAACTGATTGTATTCAAAATGAAGATACCAAAAACATCGAATTTAGTCTTTCGCTCCTATCTGATTCCTCTCCCAATTGAAAATACATTTTATATATACTATCCTTAAAGTGTAGTTCTTACTAAAATTGGTTTATATATGTATATATAAGACAGGTATACAATTGAAAGTATTACTACTATTAATTGTTATTCTTGATACAAGAGGGTTGGTTAGGTTAATTACTGGGCTTAATTGCAACAAATTTCAGTGGGGTGAGAGATGATTATTTTATTAACGCAATGAAATAGGAAAACAAACGGGGAGAGGGGAAGAGACACTTTGAAGGATAATGCGGTAACTCCTTTAGTAAAGGAGGACCAAGATGAAAAGTATATATGTCTTAATTTTAAGTTCTGTCATCTCATCGCATAATATTTGTATAATTTGACAGCAAAGTATTTTAAAAAGAGACTACAATAGGAACTACTGTGCAATTCAGATTATTCACATTTTTTACTTTCACAACAACCCTTACTTAAGTTGGTTGCTATTGTTAATATATAACATAATCACAAACGAAAATACTCCATGATTTCTAACTTATTTTTAGATTCGGTTGAGGAAGCAGTCTCAGAATCCCTAAAATCTAACAGAACATTAGTAGTCTATAACAGCAATCAGTCAGATGATTGGCTCAATAAATGGTTCCAAGCAGATGATTCAAATGTTTCTCATTTAAAAGGGGCCGCAGTCTGGTTGAAATTGGTTAAGGGAACTGCTCAGTTTCAATATTTTGAACAAGTCTTTCCAAATGTTGTCGTGCCAAGTGTATATCTGGTACTTAATGGTAAGATCAAGACTATCTTACAAGGAGATGCTACTCATATAATGTGGGGACTGTTATTGCAATCATTAGGAATAGTCGCAGGCTCCATTCCAAATCATGAGGAACCAAAACCAGAAGTAAAAAAAAAGCCATCGGAAACATTTAGAGAATCTGTTCAAGAGATAAGCCAACAGGTATATCATGATGAAGTTGTGAAGGAAAGGAAAGCTGATAGAGAAGAACGTGAACGTATTTTGAAATTATTAGAGGCCGATAAAGAGGAAAGAAAGGCAGCAGAGACTCATTCTCAGGTTATGGATTCAGAACCTGTTGAGGTTCGTGATAATATTAAAGATAGAACAAGGTTACATACCGCAAATTGTACTTTACAAATAAGATTAACTAATAGTGAAACTTTAACGCGTACTTTTAAATCTAATGATATTTTGAACGAAGTCAGAACTTGGGTTGACGTAAACAGAACTGATGGAGATCATCCGTATGCATTCCATAGAAATATTCCTCGCATGACATTCTCTGATTCTGATGAAATGAAAACTTTGGAGGAATTGGAATTAACACCAAGAAGTGCGTTAATTTTAAAACCTTTGGATATTGTAGATAAAAATATAAAAATTGCAGAAGCACAACAAGCAGGTCTCTTGAATAAAGTTTATTCTGGGTTCTCTTCCTGGTGGGGAAGTGCTCAACAGCAACAGCAACAAAATATGCAAGTCTCATCCACTCCATATTCACGACCAGAACACAACGACTCACAGCAATCTTCGTCAAGGATCGTCCCTCAGAGTGATTCTCAAATCAATAGGGAACAATCAGAAACTAATATACAGTCAAGGTCGGTAACGCCAAATGTTTACCAATTGATAAATTCAGATGATGTAAATGATGACCAAGAAAAAAACACATACAATGGTAATAATATTTCTCTAGAGAAAAATGATGATGATAAATAGATATATTAAAAGTCCTTTAAGCTCTATTGTTTTTATGAAAGTATCAAAGATATATGCAGATACTATCGTGACATTTTGCTTTGTATTCAGAGAAATATATAAAGATATATAGTATATAAAAAGATCAAAATGTTTCATTTGTTTCATTTCTACAGAATCTTGGTTATTGGGTATCAACTTACAGGTTCCAGGACCTTTTCTTCCATTATTTTAGTATTGGATTCATGTTGATTATTTGGCTTGATAATTTTGTCTTCGAGAGTAACTGCTCTAAGCAATTCCATTACTTCAGTTTCCTCCGCCGAGGTATTTTCCCTAACCTCACTAGTTGATTCTTTTTGTTTTTCTGTCTTCATCTGTTTTTCTAATTCAGCTAATTCGTTGTTGACTTCCTCCTCGAATAAAGAATTATCTAGGTCATTCGTTTTCGATAATATTTCATTTAATTCGGTAGCTTTTTCATTCTCAACATCTATATCCTCTAATAATTCAGTTACTTTATCGATACTACCAATATAATCATTTATTGATGTAATTACGTCATGTGATTGTTTTAATGTGTCAAACATTGTTTTGTTAACCAACGACATGTTTAATTGTCTCATAATTTCTGTCAGATTATTTTTATTTCCTGATAGTTTTTCTAAGTATCGTTGTGAAATAATTTTGTTCTTTAGGATTCCTTTTTGAGTTGTCCTTGATAATGATTTATATTTACCGGATTGTAGTTTTGTTTCAATTTCGTTAATCTCATTTACCAGTTTGGATATTTGTTTGTTTAAATTATTCAGCGTATTTTTTATTTCCACTATTCCTATATCGATGTCAGTAATTTTATTATTTGATATCTCTAGTTCCTTTTTGTTTATATCACTGATTACCTTGACGATATTTTTATCGGTAATAATCAGATGAAGATAATATTCAAGATAAAAAAGTACTATATTTTGGTCTATTTTGTTCTTCCAGAGGTCACAGACTTTTGAGGATTTAAAAAATGTGTCTGTATTCATTACTAAATCCGTTAACTCGGAGGAATTATCAACGATATTTTTAGATATATTATCTGCTATTGTTCGTCCTGATTTCTTAACGTTATTGATGACTATCAATATGTCAGTCTTTAGATAAGTGTCATCATCTCTAGTAACCCGGGAAGTAAATTTCATTTCATTTCTTAGGCCCAGTAGCCCAAATAGTCTAGATAATATACCTATCTTGTTGGAACTACTATCAAAATCGATTTTATTTGTATCAAAATATGACTCTGATGGTATCAAAATATTTTCACTAACTAACTCGTCGATAACAATATCTATACTTTTCGGTTCACCATATATACTATCATTCAGTTTATGTAATAGATTCTTACCACAATGTACAGAGAGAGTGCTCGTGTCATTTAACAAATTATTGGTGAAATAATCTTTCCACGTATTAATGTTGGCTTGATATCCGTCAGGGTTAAGATCCTTAAGGTCTCTAAAATCTCTATAGAGAGATGCTAACCTACTAGTTGGTAGTTTAATCTTATTGCTCATAATAATATATAGAGATGTATAGTCAGTAAAGTGAAGTGATTTAGAGAAGTTTTGATCCTTAATTAATGTTGAGTATTTTTTAGAAAATTTTATGTTTTTAGAAATATCCAGAATTTTCATGCCGAAATCTTTATTGGTATATCAAGATGTCCCACTTAATAAATAATTAAATAGTACCCTATCGTGATAAAGTGGGAAATGTTAATATTATACAATGCTTATATAAGCTCATCGATGAACGTATAGATATAAAATGTTATCTATATAAATAAAAAGTATTAACTACAAATATAGAGAACCTGCAGAAACAATATCTCTATGAATCATCTTAACTATGGTTTCCATCTTTTCCTTTAAAGCAGTGTTACCAATTGTGTTAGCAACATCTACCAGTTCTTTAACTAATTCCTCCAGCCTCTTAAACATCCTGATTAAGGAACCCTCATAAACATCAGTCATTTTACAAATTTGAGTAAATGTAGCACCTTTACACCATTCATAAACTACTTCCATTAATTCATGTCTGAAACTTTCAACATAATCTTTTTCAACAACCTCTATCTTAGAATCCTTCATTATCTTCGCAATTTTAGAAGCTATTTCTCTCATGTTTTTTAATGGCTCAGCCAACTCTGGTTTCAATCTTGGGGCTTCCTTACAACGTTCTTGGAAAGCAAAGCATGAAAGCAAAGCTGCTGCTTGTTCAGGCTTTAATTCATTGAAGTTACCATTAAAAATCAATTCTGTTAATAGTAATTCATCACCACTTGAAATCTCGCACGCAACTCTACCCTTCAATTCAATGATATCGTTTGGCGTACAGAATCCTAACCTTCTCAATACCCTCTTTCTACGACGTAAATCATCTAACTGGATTATTGACTGGGATTCATTTATCTTATGCTTCAATTTTCTCATATCCTCTTGAAGAGCATGTTTCCTACTATAGTCGTTGTATAGTTCTTCTAATCTAATAGAGTTTGTTAAAGGATTGTTGATCAATTTCTCTTCCAAAACTTGTATCTTTCTAAGTAGTTTCTTAAAATCTTCATCTTCAATCTTCATATTCTTCACTGGATCAATCAAAGGTATACCATCCGGGAATCTACGTTTCACTTCATTTAAAGATTTACCAACAGTTTCCTTCTGACCAGCTGCTCTAATATTCTTTGGCATGAATAGACGTAAGTTACCGATAGCCTCAACAGAATTCAAAGTAATTGGAATCATGGCACAAATAGACTTCTCTCCTTCTTGGGCTGGACGAATACCTTCTGGGAAGACAGGGTTAAACGGCTTAACCAAGTTTACAGGGGAGTCAGCATACATGGTATTAACAACCACGTTAACAAAATAAGATTCATGGTCACTGTATTCTTCAGTAGGATTACGTCTATTGATTCTTTTTGCAAAATCGACAACAGCACCCCAACCGTAATCGGCTTTACCATCAATATTAATCTTAATTAATCTACCTGGTTGTAAGAAACTTAATGAGTTGGCAGGATGTGTAATAATTTTTCTGACGTCATCATTATAGCCTGATAGAGTTTGTCTTACTTCATAATAATCTTTAACATTAGTTTCATCTTCAATAACAAGTTCCTTTTCATCCTTTCCAAGTTCGATTAATTTCTTTTCCATAATTGGAACAGAAACAATATTTTGGAATTGGAAGAACGAATGTTCTAACATAAATTCAGGAGAGATACCTTCAACTCTCATTAAATTCAAGATCATATTGTAACCTAAATGGAAGGATGAATCCAACCTATCAGCTTGACCTTTAACCATACCCTTGGCAACTTGAGGTTCCATCTTTTCGTCAATCATCATAATAACGATACCACGATCATCTAAACCACGACGACCGGCACGACCAGACATTTGAATATATTCACCACCAGAAACCCAACGGAACTGCTGGCCATCCCATTTTCTAACGGAGGTGAAGACAACAGTCTTTGCAGGCATATTCAAACCAATGGAAAAGGTTTCAGTTGCAAACAATACCTTCAAGAAACCTTCTTGAAACAAGATTTCAATCACTTCCTTTAAAATAGGCAACAAACCAGAATGATGGATACCGATACCTCTTCTCAGAAGTGGTAGAATATGCTTGATCTGTGGTAATTCCCTATCTATCTCCGGTAGTAGTGCAATAGCATTATTGAAAATTTTTGTCAAAGCATCCTTCTCATCATCAGAGTTAAAGTCCAATTTAGACATCTTTAGTGCAAGTTCTTCACAATCACGCTTACTGAAGGAGAAAACAATAACTGGATTATATTTCTTCTTCCAAATCATTTTCACAATTTTATAAATATCACCCTTAGCATCACCTTTAGAAGCACCACCTTTGAATGTTTGTCCCTTCTTACCTCTCGATACAGTAGAACCAGAGTCATCACCGGTTTGATTACTGATGGAGGCCATAGCCTTTTGGAAATTTTCTTCTCTGAATGTACTTTTTTCATCGACAACTAAATAGATACCATCCCCATGTGCAGGAAATAAGTAATGCTGTAATGGTGTTGGACGGAAATTAGTGTACACAATATGACAAGGCTGAGTATGAATCTTACAAATCCATTCGGCAAATTCCATTGCATTGGGGATCGTAGCAGACAAAAACACATAACGGACCTTATCTGGTAATAGAATGATTGTTTCTTCCCAGACAACACCACGCTCCTTATCTCTCATGTAATGAACTTCATCAAAGATAACCCAGGCAACTTCTCTCATAACTTCACTACCTCTATACAACATACTTCTCAAAATTTCTGTAGTCATGACTAAACAACCAGCATCAGGATTAATAGTAATATCACCAGTCATTAGTCCAACATCACCAAATTCGGCTAATAATTCTCTGTATTTTTGGTTGGATAAAGCTTTAATAGGAGAGGTGTAAATAACTCTCTGCTTTTCTCTCAATGACTGAGCAATGGCATATTCAGCAACGACAGTTTTACCAGCAGATGTATGCGCAGAGACCAAAACAGATTCACCTCTATCAATACAAGACACTGCTGTGTCCTGGAAAGGATCTAATGTGAAAGGGTATGTTCTAGCTTGGTTAACTCTCTTGTGTTCTGCAATTGGCTTATAGTCATAATTTGGAGGTAAAGCAACTTGGTGACGAACTTGATGTAACAATTTAACCTTACCATCCTCCTCAAGTTGAGTTGTTGCTGCATTAGTTAACCCGGAGGACGCATCAACTTCTCTCGATGCCTCCTGCTCAAAAGAATCTGTAACTACAGGAACGGCTGGTTCTTTCTTCTTCTGCTTATTTCCATCTGAGGTCTTATTAGATCTTAACTTTTTGGAACTATCCTCGTAATTATCTTCCAAGTCATGCTTTTTGTTAACTGGAGTAACTTCATTTTTTGCAATCTCTTCTGTGTCTGAGATATCGATATCGATGGCTGGATCTTCTCCAAATACATCAAACAACCCGGAATCCATTTCGTGCAAAATATGTGAGCTTCCAACTGAAACACTTTTCTTGAACAAATAATTTCTGGGGTTCTTTTGTTTGTGCACCTAGCAATGATATAATCATTTTTATAAACATTAAGTTGTTAATGAATGAATCTCGTTTTCCTGGTATTACGTTAACGATTAGACAATTTGCAAATTGACTTTCAAATTTTTTCAACTGGTGCGATGAGGATGTATGGGTGTTTCACCCATGAAGTATTATAACAAATACCATATTGTATTTCCGATGATCTATCTAGGAAGATTCAGCGATTTCTTTTCACAGGACAGTTCTTCTGGGTATCTGAATATTTATGTATTATTAAATTATTAAAATTATATGCGTTCATTTTTACAATCAAGAAAATGAGATGAGGGAACTGACAAATGCCAATTGGTTTGAAAATTAAAGATTAATTTTTTATGAACCTTGTTAACTGCAGGTAATTAAGAAATGAATTCATCAACAACTTCTCCCATGGTTTGTTCGAGTTGAAGGTTCTGTAAGGTGGTCCACCTCTCTCTATCATACTCACCAACTACACTATCTGGATAACTTGGTCCTGATTCTTGTGATTCTATTGCGGAATCATCAGAAATTGCTTGCTCTTGAGATAGGGATAGTTCTGTTCGATGCTTTAGAGTGATGTTAAATAAGTCTTCGGAATTCATGAGATATGTACTATCTCCATGTTTATTTTGAAATATCTTACTAATAGTTCTTGTTGCACTTTCAGGGACGGCACTGTTGCGTCTACTGGAATTACCAATTGAATTTGTAGTCGTTACCGATTTAGAAGGTGAATGCTGGCTCTGTATTGAACGTAGATACGTGAAATCTACACTCCTTCCCCTATTATGCTCCTTTGCGTATACATTATGCATATCAAAAGGATGTTCAGTTGACCTTGAATGTGAATGGGGATCATTTAAATTTGAAATGGATAGTTTCTTACTAAATCTTTTAAAACTGTTTGACTTAATCGGGGATGACTGAGTTGATGATAAGATAGCGTTACTTCCGTTAGTAGGAAATCTAAAACTTACTTGTGAATTCGACTTGACATGTGATGTGGAACGATGTAATAAATTATTGATCGCATTTTGAGATTTCTGTTGTTTCATACTACCAGAACTAATTATTGAAACTAGCGATTTCGTTGGGGAATGATTATTTTCGGCATCCCTTAATTCCCTATAAGAATTTTCTAAAATAGTTGATGTAGGATTATCATTTCTAAAACTTTCTTCCAACAAATGCCCAGGATCTTCTTCAGTAATGCTTAATTCCTTTAAATAACGATCCAATTCACTTACTGCATCAGAGCTTGACATATCATCCTGTTGAGATATATGAGGTTCATTAGGGTTTTGGGGTGTTTCAATAATTTGTTTCAAGGGAAATTTAAAGTTGCTTTTCCTATTCAATACTGGAGAAATAGGTGTAAGAGGAGCTACTTCATCATTACCTAACTGAAATTCTGTGAATATGTTTTTATTTCGGTTTATACGTTGATTTTGGAAACTGTCAGCTCTCTCCAAGTATTTGTGACCTTCCTTTTCCCACATATCTAATGTAACATTTTGAGGTAGCTCTATATGTGTAGGCTTTTCCAACTCATATGAATCTTCCAAGAATGATTCTCCTGGGACTTCGGATATATCAGCGAGTTCGGTCTGTTCTAAAATATTTATGCTTTGCTCACTGAAGTCACCATATTTTTGTCGATTATCATGGTCCATATTTAATGTTCCAGTACTTTCTCCTTCGATTCCATCATCTTCATTGATTTGGTTTTGGGTTATTAAAGGTGACAAAGGACGGGTTGCCTCTGTCTTAATACTAGGTGCAGACTGTTCTATTGCTATAGGACAAGGGATGTTTAAAAATGATGGTAATAATGTGTGATCCATTCTCTCAATTGCATCACGTTCTAGTTTCATTTGGGATCTTGACTTAAGTAATGTTTCGTTTGATAGTGGCTGTTGATTTCTCATATTAGCAGATTCCATAACTGCCGAGACAGGTCTATCAACTCTGTTCACCTCAGTAGATGATGCGTTTGACAACATATTCAGGAAACTTTTTGGTAAATCAGAAATGGTTGATAATCTTGTCACATATCTGGCAGTTAAATTTGTCTTATTATTTGGTAATTTTTCTTCATTTTCTAAATTTTCCTGTATTACATGATTCTTCTTGTATTTGAATGGGGACTTCAAGTTTAATTTAGGTGATCTGAATTTGATAGAAGTTTTTTTGTGAATTTTATCTGTTGTACTGTTAGAGGTGGATGATCTCGATCTATATGGAAATTTAATGGGAGTCAATTGATGTCTAACAACAGAAGAATTAGATATTTCATCGGACACCTTAGTTTTACCAAACTCACTCATAACCCAGTTGGCCTTGTTTTCAGAATTAATATATCCATTAGCCATATCTGGGGTTAAAGTTTGTGTGGAATTTTTCAATGGGATAAATCTGTCGTTTATACCACTATCCACATTAAAAGATTGTAATTTCTTCTCTTCATCGTCTTGGTAGGCTTGTTGTGATTCTGTTTCAACTTTCCGTTCAGAATTATCACATCCTGTAAATATACCGTTAAAAAAAAGACTGAATAATAGTGCAGACTGAAATGCTATTGTTAAATGTTTGTTTAATTTGCTTAGATGTGGAACATGCTTAGTTGTTTCATTAAAATATTGTACAGAACATGCTAAAGTCAATATTTGAAAAAATATATTCGTTGATCGTATGAAATATTTATTCAAAGGCATGAATAGAACTAGTCTAATTAGAACAGTGAAGGAATATAAAATAGAGGAACATGCTATAATAATCAGTACAATTCGGTTTTCAGTAAACAATGATGTCAATGTGATAGCCAATGATCCAGTTACCAAAGATACCAGGAGACTGAGAAGTGCAACCAGTTCCAACATAACCAACTGTATTCTAGGTCTGATTCTAGTTATGCGATATTGTTTCTATGTTTAGTGGTGACTTTATCTTAACAACTGGGGTCAAATAACAAATAATTAAATAAATAAATAAAAATACGTACACAAACATATATATAATATAAAGAAATCATTACCTTACAGCTTATAAAATAAACCTGGAGATGTAAATATCAAATATTTCAGATTAAAATTTAAATTCTACCATGAAGGGAGAGAAAGATCAGACTGGCAAAACCTCAGATGTTACACTGTTTGAAGTCTTGCAATATTTCAACAGGGGCAGCTTACTATTTATGTATTTCCGCATTAGGAAAAACATCAAATTTTCAACTACCGAAGGGACCTTTGAAATTATTATTCTTTTTATTTAGTTATTGTCGCTGCAGTAACAGATTGCTGCGGACAAACAAACAAAAGAAATTAATAAGCAAGGATCGAAGCAGCTGTTGTCACAACGAATAGTGTTTACATGTTACGCAAATGTATAAGGTAACTCTATGCATTTACATTCTGTTGTACCTAAATTCCTGGCTAAAGATATGTTGGACTGTGCATGTACACGTACATGTTACAAAATGAAATACAGTTACTTCCATGGAGATCAAAAGACTTGTTTCTGATATACGTTCACGATCTATATATATAGCGTATATACATTCACTGCGACTATTATCTAGTACGGTACAGAACTATCTCTGATTGTTTAAAGTATCGTCTCCCATCCTCATCGATTATCACAAGACTTAAATAGTTCTTGACAGTAAAATAATTACAACTCATATTAGGAGTCAAGTCATAGCCTCCTAGGAATAAACGGATAGGTATCGTTTCTCCCTTCACTGGAGACCCATCCATTATTTCAAATCTAATTGATGTAGTATCTATAATCACACTGTTTTGTTTTACACCCGATGATTCTCTAGTTATTAAACTGAGCTCCATATACTTCACTCGAAGCCTCGTCAATAAAAAGTATATCCTCCCTACTATCACATCCTTCAAAGTATATTGAGATTTTACATACTCAAATTCTATATGCAAACAATTATCAATACCAATATCTAATTTCACTGGCTTTGGAACAACTCCATTTTCTTTAGATGCTACCGTATCTTTAGATTGTTCGTTATTGTTTTCATTAGTTTCAGATGCACTATTTGTTTCTTTTGGTTTATCATTATTATCTTTTCCACTATCACTAAACTCATTTATGATCTTTCTAGTACCCGTTTTAGTAGTTGTTAAGTTACTAGGAGTCTTCGAGATGTCATTGTATAAATATACCCAGAATCTTTTGACTTTAGAAATATCTGTAGATTTTCTGGTTACAGTGACTTTAATATAATATGAGACATCGACGTTTTTCCCTTTATATGATTCATACATCTTAGCCAAATCTTTAAAAGTAAAAGGGAAGCTCTGAGAATGTTGTAATTCACCTGGAGGACACAGATCATAACTTAAATACAAAAACTGATCTACTTGTCTTTTCTTGGAATCAGTAGCACTGTAATTCGAAGCATTAGAGGATGCAGATGAACCTTTCGATGCGGAGCTTGGTGTTACACCACCAACTTTTTGCATATCAATGGATCCTACCACAGATATTTTTACACCCAAATGCTCCACTCTCTTTCCTTCCCTAACACGAAGGGTCACAATCCCTTTTAACGATTCTCCATCTTCTATCAATGGAAGTGATTCCTTTCGTAATGAATTAGCAGAACCTGTTGTTATTGGTACGTCGACATGCTTCCGTGATTCTTCCCCATCTAATAGAATCTCAACATCGATTGGGGATTTAAAGAACATATTCATTTTTAAAAAACCTAAGAATTTAATTTGTATATCTCCTTTTCACTTGTTATTGTATAATATACTAGATTATAACTATTGCAAAATATCCAATTGTGGATAATATCATGAAGGAACTCTTGCATCTTTATTTCATTATACGGTTGTCAAATTCTTCCTTTGATATCTTAATTGAGTGTTTCGGTCCCTTGTTCTTCCTTTTTTTCAAGAAAGGGCGCAATACGATTTAATATATAAATGGCCTCTTTAACAACTACAAATCATGTGATCCACCGATATTATGACCTGTTTCTTAGTGCTTCTCTATTTCGCTTCAATAACTAAAATTGAGCAACAGTTTATATAAATATGTGTATGTACATGGTATATTGATATATATATATATATATATATATATATAGAGAGAGAGAGAAAGAGATAGAAATATATCCATTTTCCTAGTGTTCGTCAGATTCTTCTATTTGGGCTGGGATAGGACTCGTAATTTCAGCCGCAACAGGTTTATTACAAGTATGTAGCAAGGCTGAGACACGGGAGTCAACCTCAAGCGTCCTAGTCCATTCACTTTTCCTCTTTATACCTTGTTTAACCCATGAATTTGGCCAATCATGTTCTTCTTCTACTGCTAACTGTAAGTCATTTGGTATTTGGAATGGTCTTACCGATTCACGCTGTATCAACCCTGTCACTTCTGAACAAATTTCTTCAGTGAAATATCTTTTCCTATAAAATCTATAAATTCTTTGTGGAATGGCAATAAACCCAATTAAATTCGGAACAGGAATAACCAAGAGTGGCTGATGTACTAAGATCGGAACACCTGTTACGTCATCTGTAATAATGTTACCTTGAGAGTGCAATTCTAAAGGCGGGAATGGTGAACTTTCATATTCTGATGGTTGTATAAATGGATTCAGTACTGTTGTATCTATTTCCTTCTTTTCCGAATCATCTTGAGATGCAGTTTCTTTTGACTTTTCGTCAATAGAAGTCAAATCTGATGAAGGGACATTAGACTCTTCTAATTGTTCTTCCATAATTTTAATTTTTTCTTCTTGGATAGTAGTTTCATCATTTTTATTTTTATCGATAGTTATTGCAGATTCAGTAGTATTTTTTGATGGCTCTAAAGAAGCTTCAGGTTCCCGTGCTTCAAGAGGTCCAAGTAGACCTTCATGTAAACCTGTTATATATTCCTTATATGCCCCTCTACCTATACATATGACACCTCCAGTTAGTAATGGATCCGGATATCCCACATCCTCACTTACAATTGTTTCAGGTTTAGCATGTTTATAGAATATCCCGATTGCATCCCTCCAATCAAATTTTTTTTTGTATTCCTTTGCTAATTCAATCTCTTCTAATTTAGTCAATTCTTTTGCAACTTCTTTCGAGTTTTTCTCTGATTCTTTAGGCTTTTGTTTCTCTATAGAATTTTTTCTTAAAGCTCTGATTCTGTTTGCTACCTCCGTTCTTATCACTCCCTGTTTCTCTTCTTCAATAACATCGTAATCTAAACCAGCAAAATATATCACAGGTTTTACATAACGTCTCCATATCTTAAGTGATGTCTCTAGATAGTCACTTGGTGGTGGTGCAATAAACACAGTAATCTTTCTTGGAATTGTCTTGGTATCCATTTTCTCTTCAGCTAATGGCTTTACCATATTTGCATATTTAGTTATAATCTGCTTTTGTTGATATTTATCATAAGCAAAACCACCTACTGCAGTAGATACTGCTAGCCAAAAGATCGACCAGTTTCTTGATGGCAACTTCATTGCAGGTATACCCATGGCTTGAAATGCAGGGTTTGTAAATATTTTCTTTGGTGGTTTGACATTCTTAACAGGTTTTGGTGGCTTTACAGCCGTCTTTTCCTCAACCATGACTTGATCTAGTGCTCCTATATCCTTTAGGTATCGGCTTGTAACTAGTATATATTATTGTTTTATGATTCAAATTCTTCACTTTTTTAAAAGTCATCATTCTACATTTTGAAGGTTTTCCTTCCACTGGCGCTGTTTTTTTATTTATATTTTGCGCTGTTGAAGTTTTAGCAAAATTGAGTAAAATATAGATGTATAAGAATTACAGAACAGATGATTATATACATTATAAAATTAAACCAGGGAGATAGAGAAAAGAACCCAGAGAGCTTCATATCATAATGGCTACTCCAAAATCTGTTTCGAGTAGTTATTGTAATAAATGTATAACACGATCATATGATTAAGAGTTCATTTTTTGAACGCTGTTTTATAAGGTTGGTTTCCCTTCATCTTCCCATTTTAAATTAAATCTACCCTCAGGAACCTTATACTCTTGAATCTTTTGTATCACTTCTTCAGGAGTTGTTGCTACTTGAACGATATTACCATTAGAGTGACTGATAAATCCAGCTTCTATCGAATGTACAATAAATTCCAATAGTGAGTCATAAAACCCATCAATATTGAAAAGAATCACAGGCTTGTTATGTATCCCCAATTGCGACCAAGTGATACATTCCATAATCTCTTCAAACGTACCGTACCCACCAGGCATTGCCACAAATGCATCACTCTCGTCAGCCATTAATCGCTTCCTAGAATGCATATCGTTGACAACTGTAGTTTTACCGAATTTCCAAGAAATCGGGGTGGAACCCTTGTGATTATCCACATCCATCTTGATTTGATCTTCTAACTCTGTAGACTTAATTGAACTTGTATCATTTCCAGTATTATTATCATCATCTTTTGATTGACGTTCTTTTGAGACCAATGCACTGGGGATAATACCATGGACATGACCATCATAACGAGGACCCATGGTTGCTTTAGCAATTTCTCCCATCAAACCAGTAGTACCACCACCATAGACTAATTGCCATCCTAGCTTATGAAACAATTCACCAAGTTCCTTAGCATCCTGAGAATAAATAGGGTTTCTACCAGCGGATGAACCACAGTAAACACACACCGAACGAGGACTATCTGGCATACTATTTCTATAATTTATTCAGCGTTTGTTCCTTTCAAGTCAAATAAAACTTATACAGACTGAACAATTACTAACTTGTAAATAACTTATCTTATACTTGTATGAATATCGTAACATCAACTTTTAAAAACTGTGAGGGGAATCGTTAATCATTTAGGAACTCGTTGCCTCTTAAAATATTAAGAACCACGTGAACACACCATAAAAAGATGAATATCACTTCGCACGTGCGTCATGACTCTGATATCACATGAGAGGATCTGTTTTCTACAGCATTTTTTCTGGAAATAGTTGTGAATTGACTGAACGCGCGGTCCATGACCTCGATGGTCCCATTCAATAATAACGATATCTATCTCCTTTGGAAAGCGATGAATTAGATAAGCCAACTAAGGTTGCTAATGACATCAAAGCATCACAAGTTCTGTTTTTTTGGCTGATTGAACAGTTGAACTATAACCTGTGATTGATGAGAAAGTATAATAATCTCTAAATCAATACAAGTTTACCAGCCTTTTAGTAGACTGGCATATAAGGAAAGCAGTGTTCTTTCTATTTATTTTGTTGCAAACAATTAACAACAGTGACGAAGATGAAACTAAATGATACTGACTGCAAAGGTCAGTTTCAGGAAGGTATCGTGCATGGGCACATACACAATTTTAATAATATGACATATATCCATGGTCACATCCATCATAATGCATCGCATCTTCCAAATTCCGATGGCCTTGGGACAGGAATCACTTCAGATGATAATCTTAAAACAAATGATATATATAATGATAATGTAAGAACTAACGATATGTCACTTGGCGATGACTCTATTGGGGACTCTACGTCACATATGGAAATGAATCCAGAAAAGGTCTTAGAGTCTGATTTTATGGATTGTGAACATTTTGAATTCATGGACACAAATGGGACACTACCAGATAATTTTGCTAATAATTTTAACAATTCGTTCCATATGGATGGTAGTTCTGAATACGGATCGAATTGGAATAAAAATGGCCTGTTAGAGACGCACATTAATGATGGTAACAATAACAATGGAAGCAGTTACCGAATGTCCAAGTCCAAGAGTAGAGACCATAGAGTCTCTTTAAGTGACGATATGTTAAACTTACCACTATCGAAAAAGAGAAGACTGAGCAGTTCTAGTGACAAAAACCAAGATGGTTGCCCCTGTAATCCAAAAATGGTAGAGGTCTGTTGTAATGTCGATCATGCAGATATGCCTAAAGATTATCCTGTCGTAGAAAACATTTCATTAAACTCTCATCCCAAATTAATGATACCGAATGATAATGAGGTTGAGAATTTACCATATTATGGAGCCAGGTCATCATCCTCTCCACATTCAAAAATGTTAAATCAGTATAACACTATTAACAATGTAGCACCAATAACATCCTCCGGAAACATTCCAATTCGAAAGTCAAATAAAATAGGTGAATTAAACAATGATTTTGCCAAACAATTTTTAGATTTAAACTGTGACCTAACTTGTGAGCCTAATTGCTTAGATAAATATAGCCAAGCTCATCCCTCTAATACTCAGGGTAGTATGCAAGTTAATAATTCCATTAAACAAGGGAATGAAAAGATAAATATAAATATAAAACGAGAAAGGATCACTGCTCCAATTTTGACAGAGGATGGACCTATGGATACATCACTCGATGGGAAAGACGATATGTTAGAGACATTTTTCAAAGCTTGTCAAAGAGTTGGTGAGTCTAATGAAAATGATAAGTTGACTAAATCGAATACAGATACAATTAGTATACCTCAAATAAACCATCAATGCGGCAACAATTCAAACCAATATCACAAACATACATCTAATAGACAACTGGATATGCAAATCATTAGTGATATTTGTGCCATTTCATCTTTATATGAAATGCCATTAGCTGACCATATGAATCATCATCACCATAAACACAATGAAGAACCCCTTGCAACGGGAGAACCAATACCTAGATCTGAGAGTTTCAATTTATTGGAATCAGTGGTAAATTGCAAACCAACAAGAGTGATTTCAAAAAATAAATCTACATCGGATAGATTATCTCAGATAGATGAGAAACAATCTGTCCAGCAGCAACAACAACAACATCTCCATCATCATCATAAAATTCAATTTCATGACCATAATACAAGTCCAATTGAACCTTATCAAAGTGATAAAACTGTCAGCTGGGAACGTTTCAAAAAGGATTACAAGGGGTCTACTAATAAACTAGAACGTAGTAACCCAGCTGGAGGTATCAACTCCTCAAATGATGAAACTTTAATACTATACCACAATAACGAACAACGACCCATTGATCAAATTAAACTGGAACCCTTAAATACAATTCATTTCAATTGGAATTTCAAGACAAATGATCAATTCTCGGAAACTATAGAGTGTAAATGGGCAGGCTGTCATAAGAATTATAGTTCATTGATAGAATTACAACGTCATTTGTTCAATGATCATATTACTGAATATGAATTACCTTTAAACCCTAGTACTGATCCGACTAAAGATCCTATTGCTAATTGTAAATGGGAAAATTGTGATTTCAACTCCAATGATATATGTTCTTTTGTCAATCATATCAACAGTAAACATGGGATCAATTTTGATATGGAATTTGTTGACTCTGGATATACGACTATGGATGATAAATATAACGGTACGAAAACACCCCATCATATGTATCATTGTAAGAACACAGATTGTCAGACCACTACAAGTCCCGACTCCACAACGGCAAGAGAAAGTATTACGAGTGTAGATTATTCATTATCTCCAAATACAAGCTTTTCAAATAATACAGATATGAAACCCGTGAAGACAGAAAACACTACGGTTATAGATATACCCAAGGATTCATCGAATTATCTGTCCAAAGATAAGATCATTCATTGCAAATGGTTAGATTGTACAGCCATCTTTAAAAATGAAGCAGAATTAGATCATCACTTAGAGAGCTTCCATATTCCTAAGGGTCAATCCAGTTATCAATGTCACTGGAGAGGTTGTGATCGTACATTACCGACAAGACAAAAGATGGTTAGACATATTAGAAAACATTCCGGTGACAAACCATTTAAATGTACAGAATGTTCGAAATGTTTTGCGACTAAAGAAAGTTTGAAGCAACATGGGAGAACCCATACTGGAGAAAGACCATTTAAATGCCCTTATTGTGACAAATCCTTTGCAACTTCAACATTTGTCAATATACATGTTCGTATGCATACTGGTGAGAAACCGTTAGAATGTCCATATTGTCATAAGCGGTTCAGTGAATCATCTAATTTGAATAAACATATAAAGACCCATCTTAAGAAATATAAAGGCCAGGATACCAATAGGAGTCTTGCAACAGAAAATAGTGTTGCAGTGCAAACGCAAAATCTGTGAATATTCTCAATGATACATAACATTATTTCAATAGATATACATATATACATTCAAGCTAATGATTTATTTATTATATGCGATGATTATACAAGTTACCAAGATAGCAACCAACATTTCCAAGTACGTCAACTACGTAACATCATGTCTCAAAAGGACCTACCTCCCACATTTAGAAACTGTTCATTACCTTAATAAGATATAACCCATCATCTCCCCGATTTGCTTATTGTGTCACAATTTACTTTATTTAACTAAATAGAATATAATCGCATTGGTAGAGAGTGTGTATATACCCGGAAATCCCACCCTTTCCCATTCCCGCCGGGAAATCAAGCAGATCATTTCAAATGAGAAAAATCATTTTCCTAGTGGGTATTGTAGTTCTACGTGATTTAATTAACAAGTTAATACATAATGAGCATGTAACTACATTATAGATATGGTCCCAGTAGTCTCTGTCTCTGTCTCTCTTTAGACTGTGGTGATTAGTTAATAATGTATTAATGTGAATTTAAACCCACGTCTAACATGACATGAAAACATGATGATAATAATGATATCTACTCTCTTGGACAAAAAGCAACAATACCTCCTCTCAAACCAAATTAACGAAGTAATTAACGAAGTAATTGATGAAGTAATTGTATCGCATTATGCACGCAGATAGCAAGAAACTACAATAGCTTATTGAAGAGAAATATACGTTCTGCTCTGTCCAAATGGGTCATGCATTTACTTCCTTGGTGAATTTGTTCGGTTTGTTTACTTTATTCTTCCAACAAATCTACGTTTCTTGCAGGAACGTTTCTAAGGTCCCGGGATGAGGCGCAACAACTGCGAGAGAGCAACAGCAGCAACAGCAGCAATTTGTTCTTTTGTCTAAGGAGATCGGAAAAATAGTGTGAAATTTAAGTATAAGGTCACTCGATGGTAGCAAACAGACAGAGAGAGGGATGATGAACTGGAAGAAAATGGTGATTAGCTCAGTCAGTCAAATTGCTGACAGCTCTTCTTATTCTTATATACGTATAATAGTATTACAATACTATATAGATATGATTTTCTTTTTGCTCAGTTGAATGTAAATTTTGGATCCTTTTTTTTTGCTTTTTTGAAAGCTTATATATATATATAGTTACAATTATATAAGCTCAATTTTTAGTCATGGTAACTCTTGTATTCGTCTTATACGTTTGTATATTATCTTGAAAAATAAAATTACACGTGGTTGCTGTTATTGTTTGTTTCTCCTTTTTATCGTGGTAATAAATTGTCTAGACAAATAACACAATAGATAATTTTTTTATTTGATTTGATTTTATATTATAATCGTTTACTATGCTTAGATTGTTAACTAAAAGTGCTGTTTCTACACCAAAGCGTAGTTTTAACTGGAACCAAGGTGTCCTAAGACTAAACTCTACCTTCGCTATTCCAAAGACTCAAAAGGGTGTGATTTTTTACGAAAACAATGGTCCTTTACATTATAAAGACATTCCTGTACCTGTCCCAAAACCTAACGAAATTCTTATTAACGTGAAATACTCTGGTGTCTGCCACACTGACTTGCACGCATGGCAAGGTGATTGGCCTCTGGCTACAAAGTTACCTTTAGTCGGTGGTCATGAAGGTGCCGGTGTTGTGGTCGCTAGGGGTTCCGAAGTGAAAAATTTTGAAATCGGCGATTTGGCAGGTATTAAATGGTTGAATGGATCATGTATGTCCTGTGAATTATGTGAAACGGGTCATGAATCTAATTGTGAACACGCTGACCTTTCAGGTTATACACATGATGGTTCCTTCCAACAATATGCTACTGCAGATGCCGTTCAAGCCGCTAGAATTCCAAAGGGCACCAATTTGGCTGAAGTAGCACCTGTGCTATGTGCTGGTATTACTGTCTACAAGGCCTTGAAGGATGCAGACTTGAAAGCTGGTCAATGGGTTGCCATATCAGGTGCTGCAGGTGGGCTAGGTTCCCTAGCGGTTCAGTACGCTAAAGCCATGGGTTACAGGGTGCTAGGTATCGATGGTGGTCCAGGGAAAGAAGGTTTGTTTAACTCTTTAGGAGGCGAAGTCTTCATTGATTTCACTAAATATAAGGACCCTAAGGAGATGATCAACGCCATCAAGGAAGCTACTAAGGGTGGTCCACAAGGTGTTATCAACGTGTCCGTCTCTGAGGCAGCCATTTCTATGTCTACAGAGTACGTAAGACCAACCGGTACTGTTGTCCTAGTTGGTTTGCCAGCCCACTCCTATGTCAAATCTGAAATTTTCTCCCACGTTGTCAAATCCATTAATATCAAGGGTTCTTACGTTGGTAACAGAGCCGACACAAGAGAAGCTCTGGATTTCTTCTCCAGAGGTCTAATCAAGTCCCCAATCAAGATTGTAGGTTTGTCAGAATTGCCAAAGGTCTACGATCTAATGAAGAACGGTAAGATTCTAGGTAGATACGTCGTGGACACTTCTAAATAGATAAATATATATATGTAGATAGTTATATAGCCACAATGTTCCTTTTATCTAAAGATGAAAGAATCAAAATTTGTAAAAAAGTAAAAAGTAATGTTCTCATTGAATCTCAAACTTAGCCGACAATCGTTGTAGTTATAATACATCAGTTTCTTGTTCATGTGAACCTCATCGATACCATGTGTATTACGGAAATAAAGTGTATTTCACCCGGTCTCTTATAATTTCCCGTCTTTTTGTCGGGCACAGCGAATATATTCTAATAAACAAAACAAACAAAATGTGTTATATAACGGATGCATAAACCAGCAACAAAAGGAAGAAGCAAAAAATAAATAATGAAAAATTAAGGAAGACTTTCTGCATGAGAGAAGGCATTTCTAAAACATATTAACTTTTTTGAAACAAATATTTACATAACCATCAATAGATTTTTACAATTTTCAACTTATTGTAATTTTACAATTTTTATAATTCACTAAAATATAATTTCAATATCCCTGTAAACTATATTTCAATCGTTTCGTGTAGTTTCTATTGTTGTTGTTTTTGATCTTCAAATTAAAGGATTAATAAGGAAATTTCCCCATTTTAACACTATCGTTATTTTTAATTTTTTTTACATTTTATTGTAAAATCAGTAGAGAGTATTTGAAATCGACAACCAATCACATAATTGGATATTGATATACTCAATCAATTATAAATTTTTTTGTTTATAATATCATATCATCACGACCTCCTTCATAATTAACCATGTTTAGAAGAAACGATAATCGTTATCAATACCGTGTACCGGAAAAACCAATGGATTCGAGTGCATTAGCCGCTGCTAGTGCTTTAGGAAGAGCATTACATCCAGATGGGAAAACAGTAGACCATTCAAAATTACCTATATATAACCAACCTTCAAGGTCGGCATCGGCAAGGAATCTTAATAGACCGAAAAGTACAGTCGTAGTTACACCTCAATCATCAAAACGTTACTCTACTAGTAATAATAATTCTATCACCACATCTACACAAAGACATTCCTCTTTGACAAATACCACATTAAATAACGGTAGGACGAAAACGATAACTCAATCAAGAACAAATTCTGTCCATGCGGAGAGTAAACCACAATCAAGGACGAGATCTATCACGAGGACAGCACAACGTCAACAACAATCGCCACAGATTAAGAAATCAACGTCGGCAAGCAATTTGAGAGATTATCATCGGTCATCGAGTTTACCTACTAAGATGAATGGATCTGATATTACTAAGAAGCAACAACATGACGCTAATACAGCTTTTGCAGATTTCGGTGATCCACAATTTGTTGATGCCCTGGATACAATACCTTCACATCCTATAAAGATTAGAACAGTAAAAAAATATATTCCAGGTCCAAATGGTCTAATTTCTATTGAAGTACCCGTAAATGAACCTACAGTATACGAACATCATAATATGATACCCAAAAAGTCCTCTAGATCATCCTTGAAGATGTCACAAAGTGTTCATACTGATTTAAACACGAATAATATCAAGAACTCTTCTTCAATTCATTCCAAACCAAAGTCCAAGATAAAGCGATCCTCAAGTATGCATTACTCTTTAAAGACTGACCAAGATCATGGATTGCATTCCATGATTGAGTTAGATACAGGGGCTACGCATAAAGTACGTCGCCATGAACATAAATCTAACGATAAATTGGCAGCACATTCGAAAAGAGCAGCATCATTAACTAATAGAACCAAAAATCCAAGGCATACAAATATTATCGAAACTTCGATGCCTGAAGAAAACGAAACTACTCCACCTGTTGTAACATCTATAAATGAGAAGCCGAAGTCAACTAGTAGGTATAATTCTCTTGGTAAGGCTAATTCTAAGGGTTTAGCCAAGAAACATAATGTACAATCATATCAGGAGAAAGCATGCACAACAGTTTCTAAAGAAAAACAACAGATTCTTTCTGATACTTCTAAGATATCAAAACAAAAGAAGCAATCTGATTTTTCTAATGATTTTTCTGATTTTGCGGACAATAGTCTAATTACAAACTATGATATGGTTAGACCTATTGTTTTAGAGGACGATGACATTTCTGTTATTAAGAATGATTTTCAAGATAAAACTATTTCAGCGGCTGAAAAGGAGGAAGTTGCAGATAATTTATTGATATCCCAAGATGAATCTTATATTAAAGATAGTGAAGAAATTATTAGCGATCATGAGGTAGATAATGCGGAACCAACTACATTGGAACATGTTCTGGAAGATAAGCAAGAATCGGAAGCTGTTAAAAAGAACGAGGCCAGTGTTTCGGATGGTGAAGATAATACCCAAAGTAAAGAACAGATAAACAACAAGGATTTAAATGTGCTTGAAAATAACGACCATACGAATGACGAAACTGTTGTTGATGATATCAACATCGCAAATGAATCGAACAAGATATCTTCGACAGGTACACTCACTGAAAATGTGTCTGAGCCAACTGTTACAATCAACGAACCACTCTCTAACATACAAAAGGATGAGAAGTACGAGATATCACAGAGTATTAAAGATATAGATACAGCTGTCAAGATTGGATCAGGCGAGATTATAGAAAGTACAAGTGATATGGAGGTTGACGTCAGAGATAAGGATGAGAAGCCTAAAGATGATGAGATAGAATTAGGAGATCACCAGACTACCTCTGAAAAAACAGGAGATATCACCAAGGAACACATCGTAGAGCTGCCTGATATTGATCAAAATAAAAGAAGCTCAATTGTACCTGAAACGCCAACTAGCCTATCGATGAACGACTTCCACACCCCTACATTAACAACCCCTAGTGAGGTGACAACACCACCATCTGATACTTCTGCCTATGAAAGTACGGAAGATGATATAAATTTAAGAAATTCTGTTGAAGATATTATTGAATCCATGGATACGATTGACGTGGAATTGGGAGATAATTTAGATGTATCATTGGATGCAAATAAACATCTGTCACGAAAGACAGCGAACAATGTATCAGATAATATCAATAATTCTGAATCATCCACGATATTGAAGAAAGAGGAAAAGTCACATGCTACTTATATAACTAACATTACAGAAAATAAGACAAAAGAGCCAAAAGAGGTCAAAACTAATAAACATCCTGAACGAAAGCCTACTGCTGAGAAGGCATCTCCCAAAAAAAATGAGACCAAAAATCTTGCGCATCATCTTCGTTCAGCCAATCCCTACTTAACTATTCCACCCAAGAGTTCCAAAAGATTAGAAGATAAATTGAAAAATGATAAAAGGAAGGAAATAAATGATAAAAGGCAATCCATATTATCAAAAAAAGAAGGAAGTAGTCATACTAGCTCTAACCTTGAATCCATCTCAAGAGATACTTTAGAGGTTCCGAAACCCAAGTTGACCAAGACTGTAACTCCTATAAAATCTGCTTTAAAGAATAATCCGAATGCCAGAAGTAATAGCTCCTCCGTTTATTCTGATTATTCACCAGCAGAGGGTGCATACTTATCCTTAACGACTGCAGAAAATACAAGATTGAATGCCAATATTCCTGAAACATTCACTCCCCCAAAGAGACAAAATACTTCTAAAAGATATACAAGGCCTCGATCTATGGTCGCGAGAGTCAATCAGAGATCATCTTCACCTACCCCAAAGGAAAAAACAAGATTAAATCGTAATTCCACTATAGAGAGACATTCGAGCCAAATAAGAAATTCGCAGATGAACGCGTATAGTAATGAGCACATTACTAAGAGCACATTATCCACTTCTCAGTCTGTTAAGGCTGCATCCTTGGCTATTAATCCATCTAATAAAATTCAACATCCGATGAAAGAAAATGACAAGAATTCAAAAGCTGGAACAACAGTAAAAAATAGAAAAGAAACTAATGGGGTAACCTCGAATGAAGATCCTACTATAAGAAAAGTAACAAGAAACAATAGAACGTCTAAAATAGCAACAACAAGTGCTGCGGCAAATAATAGAATAGACCCTACTATGGTTGGTGTATTGTACCCACGAGAACCGCCACAAAAGAAATCAAGTTTTGAGAAATTAAGAACAAATGATGCTCATCTTGGTTTTAAGAAAATGTCTTTGAGGGATGAATCAATAATGAAAGATAATCAACAAGAGAATAATAAAGGTGAACTGCTCCAGGATGGTGAAGTAGAGGAAGATAATATTGTTTCAAATTTATTAAAGAGTGGTGGATGGACTTCTAGATTCCAAGATTCTGATGATGATGACGATTTTTCAGAGAAATTATCAGGCTCAAAGGGATCTTCTAAATTATCATCTCCATCAAAAGAAACTAAGACAAGATTAACAAATGGGTTTTCTATGTTTAAGGGCAAGCAAACGTCGGATAATACAGAACAAAACCATCATTCAAATTATCATGTACATCCACCTCATTCAATTAATATGCAAAGATCAGTTTCCACACCAAATAATCCAATGAATAATGATCAATACAAAAGTAAAAATGGGTCTTTGCAGCCTGTTGATCCAAGCTGTGCTAATTCTGTTCAATATTACCCAAATCAGACACAACAACGTAATGTCAATAATGATAGAAGAGTATATTCTAGTAATGTACAAAATAGTAACATTGGGAGAATGTCTGAAAGGACATTGACTAAAGTCGATAACGGTGATGATTCAAACAAGAAACAAGGTAGATTTGGTAAGAAATTGAAGAAAATATTTGGGCGTAAAAAAAATGATATATAGGAAGTGGGGATATATTTCATATAGTACATATTAATAATTTTAATATATAAATTTAATAGATTGAAAGAACCTCAACAAGATAGCTTGAAACTGATCCATAAAAATTTCCAAGAGAGGGAGAGAGAAAATCGCTAGATATAACCAAAATATCCTAGCCTTTCTTACAAATGTCGCTCATTATTATATTGCATATCATATATGTATCACTTATCAAATCATATATGATGGTTATACCGAACAGCTGAACGTGTACTTTAACCCTGAAAGGATATCATAACGTTCTCATATTATTCACAACATGGCCGAAAATTTATTACTTTCAAATAACAACACAACTTATTTCCTCTCACAAAAGATGCAGAGACATATGAATTTGGTGACACTTTGCAATCAAGGAGAAATGTTAGAAGTCCTTTGCATATCACAGTAAATAACTAATTACAAGGAGTGTAAACAATTACCAGGAGTAGTATTTACCAAGCATATATGATCGTCTAATTACTGATTTAAATATAATTTTCAATTATCGGTGTTTATTGTCGTCACAAAAGAATTTAATACATTAATCATTAAGAATTGTACAAGAACTCTCCAATGAGAAGTATTTCGCTGGTAGAAAACATTATATCGAGAATTTCGTGTTGCCATTAATCGTGTCTAGTTCAAAGTAACTTCGTTACTGAATAAAACATTCACAGGGAATCACAACGTGAAGTCTGCCTTTGACACATCTCCTACAATAAAATTCTTTCAGGACTAGCAAGAAATACTGGAAAGTTGGTTAGTAAGATTTGTAGTCAACGTCACACTCATTGTCTCTCTACGTTGTGTTCCGTCTCATTAATTTGCTCGAGAAGTTATTATATTCCCTGAAACTCAGTTTCTTGTTTATATCGCTAGCTCATCGATCTGTCGCTTTTAATCCGCGGACCCTAGCATTTCCGGCTTAGATGGTCTGCTAAAATATCTCAACATCGTCAAGGGGTACAACTGCAATGGAGGGCAAAGGATAAAGTACACGAAAGAAAAGTTTCCTAATTATAAGATTGTCATCACAATTATTGTTTTGGATGATAGAGGGATTGAAATTCAATCGTTTCACATATTTCATGTTTATAGCATTTTTTTTCAGTTTTTGCAGATCATAACACTTCCAGTATGAATCATCGTTCAATGAACCATAGAAAATAATCAACATCGTCAAATAATATGAAACCATTTCGTATAATATTATGTGATATGAATAAGACAGTAACTGAATTGTGGACCGATTTTATTCAGAAAACTGCAACAAAGAACCCTAATTTAGTATATATATATAGTGGTAGTTTTGACTCACTGATACAGAAACTTAAACAAGATAATGTTAATAAGACTAAAAGACTATATTCGGTAGTATCACCAGGTAATTCATTTGGTTACTTAGGTGGTGGTTTTGATCTAGCATTATATAATTATTTTGGTGGTGCTCCATTTGAAAAATGGTTTAGGAAGCAATTAAATAACGAATATAAACCAGTCGGGTCTATCACTATAGTAGACCTTAACAAATGTGAGAATAAATCATTGAATCCAACTCGAGATGGAATGAATTACATTGTACATTGCCCTACAATGATAACGCCAAATGGCCCGATATTTAATCCCTCAGAACCGATGAAGACAGGTGTCGAACCAGTGTTCGATGCTACTTGGAACTCATTACGTTATGCTCCAGAGAATACAGACGCCATGATAATATCAGGACTTTGTACTGGTTATGCAGCTGTACCTGAATCCTTGAGTTGTAAAAGTATGATATTTGCCATTAGATTATACTTGTGTGATGGCTTACTTTCCAGTGAATGTAAAAATGTGTTGATCATGCACTTCCTTGGGTCTCCTTATAAAGCATATTTCCCAAAGGAATGTGAAAAAGAATGTGAAAGGGTCGGTATTGATATGGAGAAATTACGGACATTTAATGCATTAACAGATTCCATTGATTCTATTTTACCACCTCACTTGATTATTGAATGATTATGAAGTAAAGTTTATAGATATAAATATATATTTGTAAAATATTTATTTATCGAATATATATTCCGTTTTTGTCATTGGTTGTATATGTCTGTTTCTAAACAGCTACTGTGTTCTTTGAAACTCTATCGTATATTCTAACCAAAGCCCAAAGAATTATAATACCACAGATAGCTAATGCAATATTTGGATAGTACGAAACAAGAAATGAACTTCTATAAACGTCTAACAAATCTTTCAAGACATCGGTTGGGAAATTTGAGGATCTAATGATTGCAGAATCACTGATCATTTTATAATATTGAGCTTTTGTAAATTTGTAAGAAGACGAACCATCTCTGCTTCCAAACATATAATTCCATAATAATTTAGATAGCGTATTCTCGTAAACAACTAGAGTTAAAGAGGCCCCAAGAACGTTACCGATAGATCTCCATAAATAGAAAATACCAGTCATTGTACCTTGTTGAGATTTTTCCACAGTGAACACGATACTCACTAGAGTAGCCACTAATAGCAATGAATACCCAAATGTAACAAAGACACCTGCGGAGATGAATAGGATTCTCCACGTGTATGATTCTGATTGAAATTCAAAATTCGACGTGGTTAGCATTGAACCAACAATATCCTTTGTCGCAAGAGAAGGTTGTAAATGACCAATCACGGTATATTCGATAATTAAACCAGTAAATTGTAGGATTATCCCACTAAATGTGATGATGGATGCACAATGAGCCATGTTTAATTTTGTTTTTCTTAAGATATGACCAGCAACGATTGAACCCACGGCAGTAGCCATTGAAGGGAACAACAAATATAGACCAGATTTCGTCACTGAAATATTTTGAATTAGTTGCATATAAATTGGAGATCTAAAGATATCCCCGAAGACAATAAACGAAGAGAATACTGTTGCGATTGAAGATAACCCAAATGGACCTTTGAGTAATTCGAACGGTATAATCCTTTCTTTGGCATATGATGTCTCTACCCATACGAAAAATGCAAAACTTACTATTATTATTATTATCAACATAATTTTATTCATATTTGTTGAAGTTAAAAATAGTATCGCACTAATTGTGACTACCAAACTACTTGAACCAAAGATATCTATTCTTGATAAATTCTTCCATGTAAATCTTTCTTTAACTGGTGGAACATGAACCAATTTAATGTTAACATTAACAGTAGTTAAATACGAACAAAACATAATCAAAGGTACTTGTACAGCAAATAGTGGTCTCCAACCGATAGAGTCCAAGAATATACCACCGATTGGACCGCCCAGAATCTGGCCTGTCCCAAAGACTATATTTGCATAACCTTGATATATACCTCTTTCTCTGGTGGTACAGATATCACTAGTCGTTATACTACTCATTGCATTGATACCCCCGCCGCCAATACCACATATGGCTCTTGCAATAGAGAATTGTGTCACATTTTGAGCAAAACATGTTAATAAACAACCTAAACCGAAAAAGAAATGAGCCGTTAAGACGGCAAATTTACGACCAGCGATATCTGATAATTTACCATATAGAGGTTGAAATGCAGTATTTGTTAATAGATAACTAGTAGCAATCCATTGTTTCTTATTCGATTCTTGAAATTCTTCAGCTACACCATTCATAATATTAGCTACGATAGTACTGTCAATGGAACTTAAAAAACTACCCATCCATAATGAAAAAATGATAGGTATTTTAGGTAATGATAAGTTATGTTCTGTGTAACTTCTCTCTAATGCGCTCACTGTTCTCTCCAATCTGTTATCCTCCTGGATTAATAAACTTGATGTCTCATCTAAAGGTTCCATCTTGAATCCTGAATTTTTTATGTGCTAAAAATGCAGAAGAAGTATGAACTAATGCAAATTCGGATGTTTAATTTATTGATATTTTTTTCCAGTTTGTTTGTGTATTATATTAATAACTATAACGATAACAAGTCTAAACAAACATACAGCTGAAAATCTTTATATATATATAATTTCAAATATTTATATTCATCAATAAATGGTTAATGTAATCACATCACGTATTGATTAGATAAAAACGGTAACGACATTCAATCATCGTCCCAATAAGTAGTCCAATGCAAATTTCAGTATCCATCGCTCTTGGCCTCTCTGTCTGTCTTCGCAAATTTCCGGTAAACCTGAACAGGAAAGGCAGATTTGGGCTGTCGATTATTTTTCAAATTCCGTGGATGTATACGATACAGACTGCAGCAGTTTCTGTGGGAAGGACGGCCGATAAATATATTGAGACATCCAGAGACACAGAGAGAGAAACTGTGGAAATTTTGGGCGGAGCGTTCCCTTGAATACTGTGGGGACCGGTCAAGGGCTTCCCTTCTTTTATGTTTTCATATCTCGGGAGAGATAACGAAATAATAGTCGATAGTCGATGGACTTGGACTTGGACTTGGGTTTGGGCGTTCATTGTTTCGTGTATTTTTTATTATGGAAAGAGCAGAGGTTCTCCAATTAGGCGGTTATGATAGTTCGGTGTATTGTCCTTTGAAGTAGATAAGACATTGATGGGTATGTTTGGTGTGTGTGTTTCTCTTTATCTCCGAACAATTGCTAGCACCACTATGTAGTAGGTAAGGTCCCGTTCGTTGTCTGATCGGATGAGATCGGAATAGATAAGAATGACATCAGATGAGGTCAGGTCATTTTCTATATACATGTCTGTTTATTGTATGTGTAGATGTTTATATATATATATACGCTTGTTATTCAACTATGTGTAATATAGTATGTTATGTTATGTTATGTTATGTTATTGTTGGGCGAGAGCTTTTCAATATTTCAATATTTCGATATTTCGATCGTAATTTTTGCGTTTGTTTAAGCTGCTGTACTTGGTTCATTATCTGGCTTTTTGGGGTCTGCAGGTTTAGAATCTTTGTCATTTAAATATTTATCAAATGCATCGTTCCTTTCTGGGAATGGACGTTTACCTAAAAGGTTAATCATATCTTCTCTAGTCAAGACCTCCTTACGTAATAACAATTGAGCAATCTTTTCGACATCCTCGGATTTCTCAGTCAATAGTTTGGCACATCTGTCTCTGCATTCTTGAATGATTCTATACACTTCAGAGTCAATTATGTCGCCGGTCTCTTCGGACCATGGTTTGGTCATATCACTATCGTCCTTCTTTTGGAAATTGATCCATCCAATCTTGGGACTCATACCAAGTTGCGTGACCATTGCACTAGCCATGTTTGTAACTTTCTTAAAATCATCAGACGCACCACTAGTAACAGAAGAAAAATGTAACTCCTCTGAGACTCTACCACCTAACGTCATAGTCATTCTATCTCTCAATTGTTGTTCACTCAATAAGTATATATCACCTGGTAAATATTGCGCATAACCTAACGCACCTTGACCTCTTGGAATTATACTTACTTTCAATAATGGATCAGCATATTTTAAATACCACCCACAGACTGCATGACCCGCTTCATGGTATGCTACTACTTTCTTTTCCTCGGCCGATAACAATTTCGATTTCCTTTCGACACCACCAATGACTCTTTCAATGGCTTGTTCGAAATCCTTTAATTGAACAGAAGTCTCGTCACCTCTGGCGGCAATCAATGCAGCCTCATTACATACATTGGCAATATCCGCACCAGAGAATCCAGGAGTTAATGCAGCTAATCTATTCTTCAAATCAAAAACACCACTAGCTAACTTCAATTTGGCCAAATGTACTGCAAAGATAGCCTTTCTACCTTCCAATTCAGGTTTGTCGATATTGATATGTCTATCGAATCTACCTGGTCTCAATAAAGCTTTATCTAAAATATCTGGTCTGTTGGTACCAGCTAAGACGACAACATGATCAGCTGGAGTGAAACCATCCATTTCAACAAGCATTTGGTTCAAAGTATTTTCTCTTTCATCATTAGCACCACTGAAATTACCCTTTTGTCTGGCTTTACCAATGGCATCAATTTCGTCAATGAAGACAATAGATGGAGCATTCTCTCTGGCAGTTTTAAATAGATCACGAACTCTAGCGGCACCAACACCAACAAACATCTCGACAAATTCAGAACCAGATACAAAATAGAACGGAACACCTGCTTCACCAGCAGTAGCTTTTGCTAAAAGGGTCTTACCTGTACCGGGTGGGCCAGACAAAATGGCACCTCTTGGAATCTTAGCACCCATCTTTTCATAACGAGATGGTTCCTTTAAGAAACTGACAAATTCCATAATTTCTTCTTTAGCTTCATCACAACCAGCAACATCTTTGAAAGAAATTTTAACATTAGTCTCAGTGTTAAATTTCTGGGCCTTTGATTTACTCATTCCAAAGATACCATTACGAGAACCACCTGCAGCTTGTGCCGATCTGCTGGTTAGCCAAATGATCCCAGCTATCATCAAGACAGTAGGTAATACTTGGAATAAAGTATGTGACCAGTTCCCTTCTTGAACATAAACAATTGGTACTCTAAAGGAATCATCTATTTCTAATTCATCCTGAGCCTTTTGAAGTTTACGTTCAAAATTTTCAATAGAACCAACTGTAAAATAATAATAATCAGCACCATTACGGTCTGTATGTGATTTACCGCTATCATTCAACATCACTCTTACTAAGGATTTGTTCACGATGATCAATTTAGATACATAACCTTTAGCTAAGAAATTATTATGGAATTCTTGCCATGTAATCTCATTTGATGCTTCTTTAGCTGCAAACATATCCATTAGTAAAGATAGTAAGAAGAAAAATACTGCTAATTGAAAGAAATTGATAGTCTTAACAGGTGGTGTACCATTTGGTCCTTCACCAAAGAAATTATTCATATTTACATTATTCTTATTCCCACCACCATTGTTACCATTTCCTGTGGTATTATTTTGATTTGATTGTGACGTCTTTTTTTCCTTCGTTTGTTCCTCTTGTTCCTCTTGTTCTTCTTGTTCTTCTTCTTTTTCTTCTTGTTTTTGTTTTGTTTGTTGTCTCTCGATAGTAGATTCTAATTTCTTTATTCCATCTTGAATAATTCTTTTTCTCTCAGAGAGATCCATATCTTTATGTATATTAGCATTCTTAATGTAGTTCTCGATTTCTTCTTTAATTACCCGTATATCTTCATCCGTAGCATCTTTCTCTTCTGTTGTTGATTTTTTATTGTTTCTTAGAATATTTGATATATGAATGTACCTATTAGTTTGAATAGGTTGAAGTTTATGTGCAAATTGTTTTCCACCATTATTTATTAATAGTCTTAAAGGATTTGGCGTTATCCCACTCCTCGTTATAAGTTTTATGCTCGATATCGAACTAGGCCTCAGAATACCTAACATATTTCCTTAAATATAATTAATTGAGGGGCCAAAATAAATGTAACAAGGAAATAAATAGCTCTATGGAAGGCTTATAAGTGCAGGTTATGGATTATAATAAAAATTTGAATATTGATACGTTGAAATGAAGAAAGATGGGTTTATCACTAGAACAGCACGATGATATTTTCTTACTGCGTAATAAAATCCTTTTCGATGGTGAATATGATACGATTAGTAAATATCTTGAAATGGAAGTGTTCTATGAAGATATACAAATGTGTGTGGGAATTACTGTATTGAATTTGATTATATCCCTTTTTTTCAAGAAATGGTGGGTAATTAAACTATCATAAAAGTACGTATAATATCTATCGCTTTTCTTTACTTTTAATTTTTTTATATTTTATGGTACTGAATCCGTAAACGCCACCGATTGGCAGTTCGGAAGTGCTTATATATGCCGTGTTAAGTGATACTCCGCATTAATTCATTTAAAATAGCATTATTGACATTTATTCAGGTATTTGAGACTATCATTAGGGTAAGATCTATATACGATTTAATCGAGATTTGAATTAAGTTATTGAAGAATAATATTATATTTCCTAGATTTTTATTCTTTGTTTTAATGAACATCTACAGAAATTAATAATTTGTCAAGTTTGACGAAATTTTAAGTAAGGGGTGGCATTTGACCAAATTTTAAATTACTTTCACTTATGTAACAAGACATTATGGAGGGCCAATTACGATAAATACCATTGGGTAGCACATATACATGATCTTAGCTAATACAAATTTTCATTTATCCGACTATTTATGAAAACACTACTAGTTGTACAAATCTTGTCTCTCACAATAATTTGAATAGCGAAGTGATCTCAAGTTACTTACATGAATTATTAGATTCTCAATCCCATTTAAAATCAATTGCTTACTAACCTCCTTCCTTTGACATTCCCTGTTCCTTGGTCGCCTCAAGAGGTTAGGAGAATTCATACACACACAAAAATGGTGCTTTACGATCCGCAGGTCTTTAGCCTCGTCTCTATGGAGATTCTGGCGGAGGGAGATCAAAGGGCATCGGGTAATACACGTAATTAGGGAGTGAAAAATTTAGTGAGATTACATAATGCATGAGAACCCATGTACATATATATAACACCGACAAATAAGGATTGTTATCCCTTTTTTTGCATCATATATATATATATGTAGGTAAGTGCTTACAATTGTATGTCTATATTCCTTGGACACTCTTATTATTCCTGTAATTGTAACTCACGAAGTATAATACAAATACAAAGTATCATACAAATATAAATACGAAAACAAATACAAATACAAATATCATATTCAAATAATGTCATCTCCATTGAAAGTTGCAATTGTCGGTGCCTCAGGTAAAGTAGGTTCCTTTCTTGTTCAACTTTTGAAAAATGATCCAACTCATTTCGCTACACCACTAGCCTTAGTCAGAACTGCTGAACAGGTTAAGCATTGGAAATCTGAAGTTGGTATTGATGCTAAATTGACTAGTGTTGAAACTGACGATGTCGATACAATTGCTAACGCCATTAACGGTGTAGATGCAGTTGTATTTGCTGCAGGTGCTGGCGGTAAGGGTGTTGAAAGAATCTTTACAGTCGACCTTGATGGTTGTTTGAAAGTTGCTGAAGCTTGTGAAAAAGTGGGTACAAAGAGATTTGTTCTAGTGTCGGCGATTATGGCAGAAAATAGAAAGTTCTGGTGGGATCTACAAGGTCTAAGGGAATATTACATTGCAAAGAGGTCTGCTGATCGTGAGATTAGATGTACAAAACTGGATTATACAATCGTTCAACCGGGTTGGTTAACGAATGATGATTCTACAGGTAAATATGTTCCTGCAGACAAAGCTGAATCTGTATTTTCAGATCATAGGGAAATTGCTAGAAAGGATGTAGCTTTATTTATTAAGGAAGCTTTGTTACATCCAAAGGAGACTAACAGAAAGACAATTCCGCTATTGAATGGCGATGTCCCTGTTCAAGAATTTGTTAAACAATTAGATTAGCTTTTTCTTTCCTTAACCTGAACGGTTAATTAAATGCCACAGCTATATATTTAACTTTATTCATGTCTTATAATTTTTAAAATAAAATAATAGTTACAATTCTCATATATAATAATTTTTCCTCATCTGAAATCTATGAAGATGCTTCAAACTGTTTCTGTTGTTCAATTTCATGGATCAAACTTTCGTCTAATAAATCTTCATATATTTCTTTCGGTATTTCGCTTAGACCTGTGCAGTTTCTAGTTAGATCTTGATTACGAATTAATGTTTCATACTTAATTGATGCATTATCAGGTATCGGCTTACCATCTTTTACTTTATAATACCCAATGACCTTGGAAGGTTGTGTATTACCAGGTATATGTAAGACATTGGTGTATGGATCCCTAATACCTTGACCTTCAATTAATAATACACGTACTCTATCGTAGTACATATCACTGTTGAACCTACTACTTGCAGCTGCGTGTTGGTATAACCAATTTGTAGCATTGATTTGATTATTACTAGGAGTCAAGGTGCTGTCGGCATTATGGCGGTGACTTTGAGTTCTTTCAGCGAAAAATTCAACTGTATTCTTCGCTGGATTTATACCATTCGTATTATAATATTCTGAACTTTCATCCGTGGACTTTGCTAAATTTTTCTTAGGTGGTTCTCTAGATAATGAACCTTCGACAACTTTCCCTTCTTCCCGTAATTTTGTTGCATAATAATCATCTGTTATATTCTTACCATTTTGAATAATTTTTGAACCAAATTCTCTGAAGACACTCTTTGCAGTAACAAGTGCAATTTGTCTACTTCTATACGAATATGGTAACACACCACGATCAATTAAACTATTTTTCTGTTCCTGGCTTATAATAAATTTATACAAGTTTGAATGATATTGGAAAAATAAATAAGAATCTCTAAACCCAACGGCTCTAGCAGGTTCTGTTGACAACATATATTTCTTATTACCTTTATCTGCTAGGGTAAATGAACGGACCAAGAATTTCCTGCCACCTAATAAATCACCATCCACATTAATCTTTGTTTCACCTTCTGCATCTTCTGGAAGGTCATACTCATCACCAACAACTGCTACGGGGTTCCCATCTTCATCCACTGGATAAGGGAAATGGTATCTTTTAGTGGCCGGATATCCATCAACAACCGAGTTACTTCTAGATCTTTCTGTTTCGGATGCATCTGTAACTGAGTTTCCATCTTCATCAGTATTTTTGTACTTTCTCTTTGGAGGTCTACCACGTCTACCGGCTGTAACTCTTGGTGTAGTTGAGTACTGTGTTTCACGAGACACTTTACCTTTTTTTTCATCATCTTCATCTTCATCTTCATCGTCACCACCATAATCATCACCATTATCTTCATCTTTAATAGCCTTTTCCTCTTCTTTATAATCGTCATCAAGGTTATCGTTTTCTGGGATATTTAGTCCAGTTTGATCAATGGCATAATTTGGCCTCTCGGAACCATTCCTAGAACGTGTATGGGACATTTTGATAAATGAGTACGTTAATTCGATGAGTGAATTATATGTAAGAAAATATGTTGTTTTAAAAATGTAGTCCTTTTTGAATAACCAAGATTTTATTGTTGATATTTATTTAATTCACATACCAACCAACAAATATGTTTTCTTTCTTTTATTTTCTTCAATCATGGGTTTTTCTTTCTCGCTCTTCTGTACAAAAATAAAGAGACACGCCTGCTTCGAGAGAATATTCCCAATAATGAAACTACGCGCTATTTCAAGTTAAACATATATAAACTTTTGATTGCGTACGTATGGTATATATCTATTACTATAGAAGCCAGTTATTATATGATCAGTACAAAGAGTACATTACTGAATAGTTTCAGTTACTCAAACTTTACCTTCCATGTAGTTAAACAACCGTCAGAACCAGCAGTTCTTAGAGTATCTGAGTTCTCCCATGCAACAACATTGACACCGTCCTTGTGTGCATTCATGAACTTGATGACCCTCATTGGTCTAGCGACAGAATAGATGCAAATATTTGTATCTAAAGAACCTGTAGCTAGATAACCTTCATCTTCATCATCTACAGCTGGTCTCCAGTTCATGCTGTTAATCTTACTTGTATGGAAGGCCCATCTAGATGTCTTAACATCCTTAGTTTCTAAGTCGAAGAGAATAATCTTACCAGATAGATCACCCGTAGCTAAATATTTCTCTTTAGGAGAAATAGCTATAGAGGTTGCATTTGCACGTAACGGAGTCTTTAATGTATAACTTACAGATAGATCTATAATCTTAAAGACTTCTATTATTTTGGAATTTTCATAACAAATGGAAACTAGGGATTCAGATATACCGACAGCGGATGCAGGTTCCTCCAATTTTAATTCACCAATGATTGTAGCTTCCGATGTATTTATAATCTGTAAAATATCATTGTTTGTAATTACAGATGTGATACCAGCAGAGTTGGTTTGAGAAAACTTAGGTTGACTTTCAAACTCATGCTTTGTCTCACCATTAATTTTGAGACTATCATCCCAGGAAACGGATGCAATCTTTGGGTATGCACTAGAGTCAATGGTGGAAATTAAATTAGTGTGTTCTTTGTATAATTTTGGAGGTTGAGCTTCCCAATCCATAATTTTACCATCGAATGAGCCTGAAATTAATGGGTTCACAGTCATTGCAGTGATACCTTTGTTATGACCCTTAACTGATTTTATCATTTTATCTTCACCCAGTTTAAAAAAATTTAAAGAACCATCAAGAGATAAAGAAAGTAATGTATCTTCACCAGTAGCTACTAATCCGACTTGAGAATCATTCAAACTAGAATCTTGAATTCCCCAAGTTTGTTGACATTCATTACTTTCTACATCGAAAACTTTCACAGTGGCATCAGCACATGCAATGGCAAATTTAGATTCATTCAACCATGACAATGCATGGATACCACCATTAATTGGTGATTTTTCATCTGCAATGTATTTTAAGAATTCACCAGTCTTCCCATCAAAACAAGCTATTTTTCTATCGGAGCCAACCGTTATAACAAAATTACCAGAACCTGGACTAAATTGAACATCCCTAATAAATTTCCCTTGTTCATGATGTGTTCTATCACTTGATGCGAACTTGAAAGGAGGACCTTGATAAAACACAACCGCGCCATCATCACCAACAGTCATAGCTCTCATTGGTCTAGATTGTTTCATGTGACAAGCATTGATACGTTGAGAATGACCAGATATTTCACCTAAAGAATTACCAGAATCCCACGAGATGAATGCGCCGAATCTATCCTTACCTTCACCAACAACACATAATCTACGACCTTCGAAATCCCATGAAATATCAGTAACTTTTCCGGCAAGGACATGGAATTCAGCCTTCACATTTATTTCGACAGAATTGCTTTCATTGTTTAAAGACCATCCCCAAACGATAACTTTACCTTGATCGTCACCGGAGACCACATATTGAGATTGTGGAATAGGTGAAAATCTGGCTACAGTTACATTAGCACCACCATGTCCGGTAAATTGGATAACTCTTGGAACCTTTTCAGAGGGTTCATCGTCAAGACTACGAATAAACGCCGATTTACCACTAGCGTAAGCTATACTATTCGTAGTATTATCATAGGAAAGTCTTGAAGTGAAGTTTCTCTCAGTGGAAGGTTGAGGAGGAATAACAAATGTTTTAGCAATGCTAGCCATCTTTAATTATTCTATTTTATAATTTTCACTGATGTAACACGTTAGTCAGCAGTGCACAAATTATTGTTATGGATATATATATCTATATAAACGCAATTGATATGCAAATTATTGAATAAATATCTATTGTTTAAGTCACCCCTATCACTGTTGTTGTAAAGGTCCTTTCAGAAATAGTGAAATCTTAATCCAATTTAGCTATGTTTGGCGCCACGGAAACGAAGCGAACAAATCATTTATAATGAAATAATTCTGCGGCAAAAACATTTCCTTACAAAGAGGGTAACAAAGAAACGAGTTTCATAAAGGATACTTATGTAATTTGACATAAGCATAAAGGCAAGTATTCATCTACAACCAAAAATTAATTGACGATAGGTTAAGTTATCCATTGAAAAAAAATTAGATTGAATAATTGAAGGTGCTGTCAAGTATTTATATGTATATATATATATTGTATTGGTGCAGGATTCAATCTGAACTTTTCCCAATGACAGCAAAATATAAGTATCAGTTAAAATCAATTATCCTTTAAAATAACTGAAAGGCATACAGTAACTTTTTTTAAGCTAATGAAACTATTAACCATATTTATATTCGAAACACTGTCTATACAAACTGGCATCCCTCGAGAAGTATTAACCTTCCGTTTGTCCATTCTTTTTAGCTTTTTCCCCCATATGTACTTTTACATAATTACATCTTCCGCTTTGAACAGTATACTGAAATATAGAGGAAAATTTTCAGTGAAATAACAGAAGAAACCGGAAAGAAAAGGAGGTTTTGAGGTTTACTACGAAAAGAGTTCCTATATACTGAAATTAATGTTTTCCATTTTCCAATTGTAAAATTGGTACTCTATTTGCATTGTTCCAGGCTGTTGGTCTTCCCATTAATGACATCGATGAGATTCTTCTGAAGCTCTGGTGATATTTTGATTGTCTGAAGATAATATTATTCTTGTATATATATACTTGTAAGGTATGAAAATCCCATGTGATGTAGTATTTGTTGCTCAATGTCTTGTAAATCACTGAGGTTTCGTTGATACGCATAACAATAATTTCTTAATAATTAAACAAATTAAGCTCAAATGGCTCAAGTTTTACAGTTGGACCAACAACAAGAACAACTAGCTGTCAGGATAAAATATTTAAAACTGAAAAGAATCAATGATCTAAATGAAAAATTAAGATCAGAATTAAGTAGAGAGAGAATAACAGCATCGAATGCTTGTCTCTCGTTGATAAATTTTACAACTAATAATACAGATTATACTTTACCGGATGTGTGGGGACATCTTGAACCTGGTAAAAACCATTTCCGAGAGACTGTGAGATTAAGAAGAGCTAATAGACCATCAGCATCGGCAGATTCTACAGGTTGTTGTACTATTGTTTGATCAAACATTCATACTAAATTATATATGCATACATTTCCACGTCATTCCCTTTATTATTTTGTTTTTTTAAAAACTTCTGTAAAATTATATACATCTCTAAATATTTAATTCATGATAATGATAAAACTAATATTATTGCTATCTCCTAAAACAATTATTATATTAATTGATTTTCCCCTGTTGGACCATCTCCACATCCACAATCATAATCTTCAAGAATATTTGAACAATCATAAATATCTTTCTTTAAATAAGCATTCACTTTATTGTGTATGTCGCACCCCCATAGTGCAGCAGCCTTTCTACTCGAAGTCTGGACTGGAAATTTCTGGAGCATTTTGACAAAATGATATGAACATTCACCACAAGGGTAAAGTTCTGCATATAATTGAATAAAGTTTCCTAATTTTTCACGTTCCGCAACAGTAGGCTCGTCAGGAAATCTTGCTAATAATGTATGGAAGTATTTCCATGAAGCATTACCCAACTCTTTCTTTGCATCTTGATCTGGCATAGATGGCATTATGGAACCAGGCACACGCAACATTTCATCAATCTTACCATTATTTCGAGATCCTACTGATGCAACTCTTTCCACTGATGCACCCCGTGTATCATCTACATCAACAGAGGCAACCTGCGATATTAAATTGTTATCTAATTCCTTTTTACGAATTACCCCCTTCGAGACAAACGCCAGTTCAATATCATTGAATAAAATATAAACCACAAAAATCGCAAGACATGTAAGAAAAACACTAACAAATTTTCTTCTGTTCCGTATCAACATAATATATGTAACACGATGGTAGATTATGTCTGTAAAATTCCTTATATTCTCTTAATTTGCGTTAATGTCTAATGCGTGCACCATTTAATGATGTCTTTTTAGTTATATATTTACTTTTTTAAAAATACATCAACTTAAAGGTGAAATTGTTTACATCCACATTTGCAAGAAAAAAAAATTAAAAAACAAAATAAGTTGTTACACCATAAGTAGATATATACCTTCAGGAGCATCATATATCGCAACAAGCAGATCATATTAATATTAAGCAGTGGTATCATTGCTTTTGCTTACATAATAATTATAATAATCGAACATAAATTTTTGATATTTTCTCCAATATGAATACAGATCGAAAGGGTTCTAATCATTACAGTGATGAAACGGATAGGATCAATTCATTTAAAATAACACATACAATAGAAAATAAAAAATATTCGTGGCGGTATACAGTTATCCCAGCAGATATGTTAGCAACTTTAGGCTATTACTATTACCCATCTCCAAACAAAGATAATGTCATTCAGGCAGACTCCATAAAATGTATATATTGCGATCGGACGACTCAAGGACTCAAAAAATGTAGATCCAAAAGCAAAGATGTTCTGGAAACTATATCGAATGTTTTGGAATTTCATGTAGCTATATCTCCAAATGATTGTCTACTATGTTATTTAAGATTGAAATTACTTAAGGATCACAGATTAAATTCAAATGCATCTGATTGGAGTAATGATAGATTCTTTAGTCAACCGTTCTCACTAAATTTATTAAATATCTTTAAACTAAGCTTTAGGAATAATGCTACTCGTGATAAAATAAGTGATGCATCAATTGAAACTATTAGTAGGGCTGGCTTAATAAAATATGATCCATCTTACACAGCATTTAAAGAACCGGGATTGTCCTCAAAAATTTCTAATAGAGCAGTAGTTACGTTCTGCATCTATGATAAAAAAATAATTTTCATTCCACAAAATATTTTGGATAATTCACTGGATAATTCGATGTCAGTAATAGAGCTTCATTTTAAAACATGTAACAATGGCAATTGCTATTTTTTTAAACATTTAGAAACCATTGAAGGGATTCCAAAACTAAGTCAAGCTTATTTTAGGACATTTCATTATAGGTATAAATCTGTTGAGAACAATTTAACAACTAACGAAAATACGGACAGCCATACAAAATCTTCCGATTCTGTGATACATCACACTGAAATATTTCAAACATCCGAGGAACAAGCTCCTTCAAAAACTCGCGATATAACTGATAATAACCTTAATCATAATGAGGAAATTAATGACTATAGTGGTGTAGCTCCTAAAAAGAGGAAAACCGAAAATATATCACCTCCAAAACCCCAAACTAGAAAGCTTCTGAGGTCTTCACCAAGGAGAATCTCCCCCACTGAATTTTCTTTTGCAGAAAATAGTGCAATTAATTCAGAAGAAGATGAAATACCAAAAGAAGTGACTATAAATTTCAAAGGTCACGTAGATAGAAGAGAAAAACAATTGAAAAGATCTAACAAACTACTGGACGATGATGGTGACAGTGATGTTTTCAGCTTCTCTGCTCATGGGCATAGTACTTTCGACATCCCTGCTCAAACTTCTATAGTTGCAAAATCATTATCAATTTCTCCAAGTAAGGATAACAATAAAAATAATAATAAAACTTTGCCATTATCAAACGATATAAACTTAATAACCACAACTCCAAATATTTTATTTTCCGAAAAGAAAATAGATCTATTACCAGAAACTCAAACACCTAGAGGGGCCTCTTCGCCTGATTTTGTGACAGCGTTATCTGTAGTTAGCAAAGTGCAAGGAACGCCATCAAAATATCCGGATGGCCTATCAGGTAGTCATCCAAAGAATAATTTAGGATTAAGTTTGAAAATTGAGGATAATTCAATAAATCTTGTAGATAAAGGTTCACCCGCTAGAGGGAATGAGTCGAAGAATGAAGCAAGTTACAGGTCATCTAAATCAGAAATAGTAGAGTCTCAATTAAACAAGATTAAGAGTACACCGCTTACAAAAAGTAACTTAGAGCAACATACGAACGATATTACTCGAAAAGTAAAACTTTCTAATGTACCGGCATCTGTCTCTTTAAGTAGGTCTTCAGAATCATCAAGCTCCAAGGGAAGTACATCCTCTACCCCGATCCCAAGTCCTCAACATAATAGTGATAAATGGGGAACGAATGTCTCACCTTCATACCAGCGTCTTAGGCACCTCTAAACATAGAAGAGTTTTGAGTATTACCCGTAACACTTCAGTTTTTCCTACGTTAGAATCCTCTCATGCTGTTACTCTCCCAGGCTTAAATGTTGGAGATGTACCGTTTACTAGTCCATTGAAGGCTTCCTCTGTTTCATCAAAACATCATACAGTCAATAATATAGATAATAGTCCATCTGATGAAACACCGGAAGGAATAATTGATACTGTTGAAAGAACACACGATAAAAACAATCAGATTTTGGGAAAACAAATGTCAATTAACAATGTGAATACCACTTTGGAATTACGGCATTCCAGAACTACTCCAAATGATATATCATCTCCTAAAAATGATGCGAATAAACTGGAATTGCAGGAAGATATACTCAATATAATTGACTCAGTCACTAATATGGATCAAAACACAAATAGTGCCAAGAAATACTTACACAATTTATTACGTTATATTAATTATAATAATGCGACTTTACATCATGACCAAGACGGTGATCTTCATTTCTATCTGAATAGAATGCCTGAAGAAGAAAAGAAATTGGTTTTCAAAGATTGGGTTCTTTACAAAAAAGATATGCTGAATGATTCATTTAACAAAAGGGTAGCGACTAAAACAAGTATTTTGAAGGACACATTTGCAACGTTAATAGGAAAAATAAAATTAATCGATGAAAATAATAATGACGAAGATGATTTTTTAATAAATATTTGTAATCACCTGGAACCCCATTAAATATTCTTACTGTCGCGCATATAATATTTTTCCTGCATCCTTAATTGTCTTTTCTTTTACTTATATACTATTTTTTGTAGAATTCAAAATAGAGATATAGATATATTTATATAATGTAATTTCATCCATTACAGCACCTAAAAGTGCAAATTTCCTTCTGTGATAGATCGTTAAAAACCTAAATATTATTATCTTCCGCGTTTGGCAGATCTCCAAACTGGGATGTACTTTCTTCTGCATCACCGCTTCCTTCGGTCTCAATATCATTTACATCTACAGCATTCTGCAGTCCAAATGGTACAGCAGTCACGGGAGCAGTCATATTTCTAGGAGGCCAAAAGTCACTAATTCTTGGTGAAACGGCGCCTGGATTTTCATTAGGCACTTCGTCTATATCCATGTCGCCGTCTGAGTCTGCCCTTGGCTGTAAATTATTATTACTAATCGTAGTTGCAGATCGATCATTCATAGACACGTCATCACGTATGGCTATTCTATTGTTTGCTAAAGCTGCCTCTCTCTGTCTAGTTAACAATGTAACACTATCCTTAAGATATAATCTCAACACAATTGTGGCAATTTTGTACCTTTGTAGCAAATCTGTAAACCGGTCGAGGAAAAATAAACGCCACACATAAAAACCTTTTTTATCCTTTTCGATTTCAGAAGAAAATACTCTCTCTTGAATATGGAGGGTCTGTCTATTCAATTCGGCCATTAACACGTATATTTGCGCCATCTCATGTAGTAAGAATCCCGTAAACTGGAACTGGACTCTTGATAAGCTGGCTACATTAACTTCAAAATCCTCTAGTCGTTCATCAAGTTCATGAAATTTTCTAATTAGGTGGCAAACTTCACCATTCAGAACAGATGTTGCACCTGGAGCAGCATCAGGATCTAAATCTTCAAAATCAGGACTAAATGGCTCTTCGTAAAATCTGCGATCAAGTAAAGATACAAGATGGTTAGTTTCATCCCTATCCAATGTGAAATTCTCAAGGTCTACCTTAGTCCAAGTAAATATGTCGTCCAGATTTTGAAATGGTATACTTTGAAGGTTGACATCTGCATTTAAGCCAGGAATTTGACTTAAACCAGAGGCGGCCAGAATAGCGGCAGAATCCTGGTTCAATTCAGATGAAATTCTTTGGATTCCATTTTCTAAGCTTTCTGATGGTTGCAGCAAGTTATTTGCCACGATGTATTTCGTCAAAACATCATTTATATCCGTTTGAGGACTATTTGTTGGAGTGGTCAAGCTCATCAGATAATGACGTAATTTGTGGACCCCTTTCCCCGAAAAAACGCAAAATATTTGGCGCTGGTTGTCACTAAAGTCACTCGGAGCTGGTCTACAAAACGCTGTGATATCAGGTCGTAAAAATGAGGGAACTGCAGTTAACGAGAGATGTGATAATCTAGGACATGCCATTAGTAGCTCGTATATTGGGTATATAGTTAGATTGGAACAATATGATAGATGTACTCTCTCCAAACAATCATTTCTACCTCTTAATGATATCATATTTAGCAACCCTTCATCAGTCATTTGGGAACATTTAACTAAACCAATTCTCTTTAATTTATTTAGGTCAGATAGTTCATATAATGTTCTATTCGTCAGATTTGTGCAACATGCAAAATCGACATATTGAATTCTTGGACAAGATTGTACCAAAACCCTTACACCTTGGTCAGTGATGTTAAAGCAATGACCAAAATGGACTGTTTGTAAATTTTTACCTAACTGTGCTAGATTGTAAAGAGAATTATCTGTAATTCTACTACATTTTCCTAAAAATATGTTCCTCAGTTTGGGTGCTAAAGTAACAAGTTTTTCTATGGTTTTGTCGGTAATATTATCACAATTAGAAAAATCAACTAGTCTTAAGGCAGGTAATTGATCAACGGTTTTGGCAAGTTCTAAGAATAGTTTATCTGTTATATTTGAATTGTTTGTTATTCTAAACTCTCGCAACTGTGGTAATTTTAAAAACAATTGTATTAGACTCTCATCATGAACATTTGGACTTCCCGTGATATCTACTTCGACTAGTAGTGGGCATTTTTCGGCCATGAGAGACACGAGATCATCATTAATTGAAGTGTTTCCTGTTATTTTAACCCTCTTTAGAATTGGAGCATGAATGAAAAAATTATTCAAAGCAAGCAAGGTTACCGACTTCGCCATAGGTACGTAAAATCCTTGTACTCTAGGACAACTCTCGGATAACGTATTAAAAACGTTATCCTGGACATCCTTAATACCTGTAATATCGACACTTTGTAAAAATTTACAATTTTCCAATACTGCAGAAACGGGGTTACTTGTGATATGCTTACAAAACACAAGTGTTAACCTCTCCAGGTTGCGACAACCGATAAAATAGTACAATTCTTTATCATGAATATAATCTCCCACAAATGAAAAATTAAGCCTTTTGATCATAAGACGATAATCAAACATCATTGCTGAACGAGGCATTCTCATTGTCCTAAGGAAAATATCAAGTTGGGATTTTTTGTTTATATGCGGTCTATAATATAGGAATTTAACAATTATGAGAGCCCATAATTTGCATACTGTCAATAGGTTTACAACATTTGATCGAGGACTTAATCTATCTAACACCAGATGAAGGATTTCGGAGGGAAGTTTATGCAAAGGAAATACCAATTTTGGCTGAGAATTTTGGAAAAAAACATCGGTGATGTTGGAAATATCATTTGGTATGCCCTCAAAATATGTATTTGAAGCCTCCCAATCTTCAGCCTCAAATTTATCAATCAATTGGGAAGTATAGTTCCGCAATTCTTGTAAACCTTCTGTTAATTTTTCATGTTGAGAGAAATCTATTTTATCTAACCATTTAAGGTAGTATTCGGTAGGATTTTGTAAATCTGACTTTTTTACCTTTTCCATACTGAATACAACCATGGCCGCTTTATAAGCTTGTACTAATTCGGTTATTTTTGACCTTATACGTTGTAATTCGACAGTCTCTAATTCAATTGCTCTCATTCTCATTTTCTGTAGTTTATTGATATATAATGCCATTCTTGGTCTATTGACTATCGTCAGATCGCGTAACTTAAGATTATTTTGTTCAATTTCTTTGATTAGTCTTTGACGATTTACTTCAACAATAGTAAGAAATCGTTTCACTTTAACTCGTAGCCTATTTTGGAAATACTGGATTAAGTCAAGATCCTCATGAGTCATCTTTCCCGTACGATCAATTATCCTTACCTCAATTCCTCTTAAAAATCTTTCAGTTGCACTTCCCGGTACGGCAAAAGTGCCATTACCGGCGGGAACTGGGACATTCCTTCCATGCATTCTACGCTGAGCAATTAGACTATTTGTGGCTCTTACACGAAGGCTTGTTTGGTCGGCATCCTGTGATCCTACGTTGGAATCCAAATTTTGGAAATCTAAAATAGGTGTTCTGGAACCTTGACTGTTATTATCATTGGCAATACTAATTGCACTTCCGTTACTAATATTCCCTTCCAGAGAACTTATATCGCCTTGATAGGGGCCTTGTTCGTTCATGTGATTATTATTATTATTATTATTAATGTTACCACTATTCGATTCTCCATTCATGACTTTAATTTTGTGATACTAAATGCAAATAAAAAGGGGAGTACTATTAAAAAAAAGCTTGGGAACACAGAGTGACTATGTTCAAATTGATTATCTTCAACAGATATATATAAATGTAAACAATTCCAGATCGTTTATATTTCTTAATAAGTTGGAGATATTGATGCTATATTTCCGGTTACCTTCCAATTTTGAATATTAAATTATAAATAACACCTGATACTGGAATCGTGAAAAATCGAAGGTCTCTTTTACTTTGAAATAGCCCGTAGTTGATTAACTATTTTTTATAAGTAGACTTCTAATACTTGAAAAGCCTCACACTCTTAGTCTGTATGAACATATGTCTTATTACATGAAATATGAAGAACAGTTCATGTGTTGTGTTACAATTCATAGTTACTTTTTTGCACGCCTCTTTCAACTACGTTAGGGTCATTTAACCTCGGAAGGTCTTGTACATATTCACAAAAGTAAAATATTAGAAAAATAAGAACAGTTGATCCTAGCATAAACAGACGTTTTACCGTACCGAACGACTAAAAAATAGTTAAACCAGAATGTATTTATAAGATCACAAGTAAATTGATACAAATGAATAGACCATCATTGATATATTGTTTAGTTATATTAAGGATATAAAAGTCCTATATTATATATATATATGTACATATATGGATACATATTGATGTGTGTATGTGAATATATTGTGTACAAGAGAATTGAAGTAAGGAATGTTTTATAAGTTGTAGTCTTTGTTCACCGTGGTGTCTTGTTCAAAAGTACCGTTATTTGTAGAACCATTGGATGCGGGACCTCTAAAGCTCAGTTTTGGAAGTGATAAGTGAGTACCATTGTTCAAATTGAGTCTTTCGAACTTGTTAATGATATCATCATTATCAATCATATTGGAACCATTTGATGCCCCAAAGAATGCTCCTGGGAACATCCCTGGATAATTAAAGTACGATGCGTTTGCAGCATTATTTGGTGGAGAGTTCGCAATTTGCCCCGAAACTGTTTGGGATACAATATTGGCCTGTCTTGAACCGTTACTGCGTGTACTAGATGTCGAAGGGCCTCTCATATGGCCGTTTGCTTCTGGGTTGAATGCGATATTGCTACTTGTCTTTCTATGCGTATGTCTATTCATATTTCCTTGAGAATGTGAACTGGATGGTGCAAACCCAATTTCTTCCATTAAACGTCTATGTTGTTGAGCCGACACAGAATCCTTGACAACTTTTCTAACTTGCTGAACAATATGTTGTCTTGTGTCTTCATCTAATAAAGGCATACACAAGACTTTGTAAATAAATGTAGGTCCGTAACTTGAATCGTTCAAAATTAATTTCAATGACTGAGGTGGTTCCTCAGATGTCAAATCGCCAAAAATTGCCTGGAGGGTAATCTTTCTGGCAATATCATCACCTCTATAATTCAAAATCTTTAGAACTGTCAAGGAAGCCAACCTATGGTGACATAATTCTATAATATTTTTGGTAATGTATGAGGCCAGCACAGTGTGTCTCTTTGGTAAAACACATGTATCTAAAAACCAAGTTAATAATAGTGCACTATTAGCATTGGTAGATAAATATTCCGAATACAATATAATAACACTACTCAATACCAGAGTTTGTTCCTTGGTAATAATATCATGTGCCTCAAGACATGCTCTAACTGCTCTTGCACCGTATCTATTTTGTACAATTGTCCAAAAATTAGATATAATACTTTCAAAAATAAAATTATTCCATGGCATCCCAAATTTAAGAACACATTGGATAACATAATTACCGAATTGATCATCAAATAGTGGAGTACAATAGTCACAGATCCCCGAAGTAACTAATTGAATTTGCCTAGGGGTATGAGCCATTGTAATTATTTTTTGACATGCCCATGTACCATTCTTATGGACACCCATTGAGGTTAAATACTTGGCGGTTTTCCTCAACATAATATCTTTAATTATATCAGAAGAATTTTCGAATAATTTTTGAACGATTGTGTTACCCAGGTAATCTGAACATAGTTCTGGTAATTCATCTAGCATTGTCATTGCAAGTTGTTCTAGTTCTATTTGAGGCATAGAATCGCTATCCATAGCCTTACGAAGCTCCCTCAATTTGGAGGCTTCAAATCCCTTCACTACATTAGAACTTGGTAAGGGGCCAAAATTACCAGTATCCGTAGTACCTTTAAAATTTATTACACCATTGAGTAAGTTGGTAACTTGTTCCTCGTCACGCACGATATCAAATGAATTGATAATTTTCTTCAAATCACCCATTTTGCTTATTACAGAGGGTGCAGGAAGTGGGAATGGACATTGTTCCCTTTCTATTGAACCTGAATGAGTATGACTAACATGATTTTGGTGATTGTTTCCATATTGTTGACTATGTGACTGTTGAGATGGTTGTTGTAATTGTACAGAATATGGAGTTTGAGGTACTGATTGACCTTGTTGAGATTGGTATTGGTTAAACACTGGAATAGATACATTTCCTTGCTTCTGTAACGTAACAGATCCATTATATAGTTGTTCATGTAGTAATGGTTGAGAAATTGGTTCTGTTTGTGGAACTTGTTGTTTACTATAGTACTGAGGTGGTTGATGCATTGGTAATATTTTAGCAAATGCAATAAAACTTGGAGCTCCTATCATTGAGACCTCTTTACCTTGCAAAGCATTTAAAGCCTCAGAAGCCGCTTCTACAGTAGTAAATTCTACAATGGCCATGTTAATACCTTTGAACGTTCTTGCAGAGCTAACTTCCCCAAATTTGTTGCATAAAGTTGCTAAGGATGTAGATGTTAAATTGACAGCATTATTCAAATGAGGTTGTTGTTCTTGTAAAGGAAACACATTGGAGATAGAAATTGTATTTGTTGGAATCAATGTTGAAATTCTATTCATTGATGGTACGTTTGGATCATTCGACACCCAATTTATTGATCTTGGATCAACGTCATCTATCACTAGAGGTCCCTCGTGGTACGTTTGAGTTGATGTATAATTCGATTGAGCATGAGAATATAATGACTGTTGATCGAATGGTGCCGCGTCTAAATATATACTTGAACTATTGGAAGCAGATCTTTGTCTTGATTGTGCTGGATTTGCCCACATTGCTGTAGGAGGTACATTCAACATGTTAGTATTTTTTGTATGAATCGAGGCGTTACTATCCTGTACTGCACCACTGCTCATAGAAGGTAGCACTTGTTCGTAAATTGAATTGTTGTTGTTGGTAGTATTTGTATTTGTATTTGTTGATTGATGTAACGAGTCATCAACGCTTGGGTTTGTATTACCCCAAATGGCTCCTGCGGATACTGGTCCTGGTGCCATTGAAGATATGGACGTAATCTGTGAGGACATTGTATTGTTACGAGTTCTATTCATTGGTTGTGATAAAGTTGTACCTACTGTGAAGGAATCATTTGATCTTCTCGGCGCACTTATCAAATAATCAGCCGACGGGGGGAAATGTACCAATCTATCAGAATCTTGTGGAGGTGTAATATTTTCAGCTTCGTTAATACTTATACCCTGATGTAACAATCTATCTACCTCTGCACTTCTTCTCATTATTTCGCCACTGATACGATAATCTAAATCGGTTTGCATATTGGTATCCATAGGGTTAGAATCACTAGGGACCACTTTACCATTTGAACTTTTCTTTGCATGATGTAACTTTGCACTAATGGATGGTAATAAATTACTTAAAGTGTTTGAGAATTTTCCAGCACGTACTCTATATGAACCTAGTTTCTGTGGTTGTTGAGAACTTAATTGATCTCCTGGTTCTTCCATCACATCATCAAAAATAGGGATAGTGATACCTGGATCAATAATATCAGGTAATGTTGGGTTACCATTATATTGATATTTATTTTCCATGATTTCTAAGGATTGAATTAACTCTGATAATGGTAGGGAAAGTGATTTCGTTAATAGTTAGTGTGTGTGTGTGTTTGTAGTTTTAGACAGCTAAGTATATTTTCAAAATATATGTCTATATGTATATCGTTGAATTGGTATGATTGAAACAGCTAAAGTAAAAGATGAACCTCCTTTTCTCCACAAATATATTAAATTAACCTCTACTTAAAAAAACTGAAAAATAAAAAAGAGATCTATAGCTAATTGAATATTCAGCAAATTAAATGAAGCAAACAAAGATCCAATTTCATTAATGGATAATTATATGTATATATAAGTATATTGTATCTTGCAAGAGACTTACAAAAATGAATTACGTAAAATAAAATCAAGTTCTTCTTAAATCTGAAAAGGTATGTTAAATTGTGGCTTACAAGATGTTAAAAATATGCCATGCTGTGTGAAAGGAACTATTTGAAATGGTATGGTGGGTTTTCATTTGTAGCTTAATTTGGTGTAATGTGTAAAAGGTATGTTGTATTATGCGCGCAGTGTTATATTGTCACCCTATAAAGCGTAGTTCGTTGTTTTCGTCCTTTTCAAACTTTTCTTTGCCCCAGATTTCAATATGTATGTATTTTTGGCGGCGGTGGTAGTTGGCCCCTATCTCTCGCTCTCTCGCTCTCATGTTATCCGAGCGATTCACGGTATTATTATTGCTATTGTATGGGGAAATATAAATGAATGAATAAATGCACAGCTGATGGGGATTCAGGTTGTTTTGGTGGATGGGCTGCGCATCCTTTATTTTTTTAGTTGTTTTCCCTTATGTTGAAAGGATAATACGGTAGGTTTGATGCCAGACACTGTGACACACTGACATTTTACAAAATAGAGATGTTCACAGTTATGTAAGGTTACTTGACTAAACTGGATGTTTAATGCCACGAAATAAATAGTAATGATGCTATTGAATTTATCTTTTATATATATATATGTATATGTATGCATATAAAAGTTGCAAAACTATATAACTTGATTAGTACTTGGGAACTGCCTTAACGGTTAATTCCTTTTCAATGTGATAATGATGAAAAATAGACTTACTATTGGTTCATTCGAAATACACTTTGAAGTGACCATTATGTTCTTGGGATTATTAAGTATGATATTTAAAGTTTTTAGAATAAAGAGTTTAAAAATGGCATAAAAACAAAGAACTTAGATGTTCAACTTAGTTCTTCTCCAGTTTCTTCTCTTGGCGTTGTAACGAACAGTGTTGTTAGTTCTTAATCTAACCCATTGTGGTAATGGTCTGTTTTGCTTCTTAGCCTTAGCTAGTCTTTGCTTAGTTCTGAAAGATTTTTGAGCCTTTAATAAAAATAAAAAAAATAAAAAGTATAATGTTTTGATAAGTTAGTAATTAAAGAACGTATTTGGCAAATAATTTGGGTATGGATTTATGTTATATTCTCTTAGGAAAGAAAATACTGATAGGAAGGAGAAATTATCCCCAGATTTCACAGATATCTTTTCTTTTATTTCGGTATATTCATGTTCATTCAGTATATTTGTATCGTAGGTATTCTTACCATTATATAGTCCATTGCAATGTTTCTTGATCGGATACACGAACGTATACGAGGAAATCGGGGATCCGAACACTATCTTAACAGTCTAGTATAGTTTTGTATCCCCAATGAGTAGTCATTCTCGTTATATCTACTTCATCTTTATTTTCATGCACGTAAATTCCACCTCAATAACAAACTTGTTATTTCTACCTTACAGAAAACATAAATCATGGAACTTGCACTATTGAAGTAACAAAAATTTGCTGGTTTAACATACTGGCATTGCTAATTATATTATTGTTGATTTTTTATTTTCTTTAACCAAGATATTAAACAAATCTAATTCAAGTATATAAGAAATATATGGAGTTATTGATATAATCAATCAGCTACTCATCGCAGTGTTTCTAACGTGTATGATCGACTCACACAGAATATTTCGAAAATTCCCAGTTCTACTACTCTACATCCATCTCTGACGTTTGCATATTATTCAATCTGGCCAATACGTACATTTGGCAGTTTGAGTTTTGTTCATTTCCTCTGGATAAAATTTTGTGAGTGAAGGAAGCTTATCATAATGAAAGAATTCACATTTCATAAACAATAGAACGACCCGTCGTACAAAACTATATCAGTTCCGATCTATTAGGTTTTCAAAAATTTTCACATTTATTATTTTCTAGCATGTAAAGAAAACGAGGAGGAGAACGGAAAATTGAAATTATACACCTGTTATTGTTTTTTCAATTTATTAATTCTCAGATATATGATTGGAAGAATTTTTATAATAAATTTTGTGTGTAATGTAAGGATGTACAAGTCTAACATCCACACACCCCATCAATAAATTAGCAAACTATAAAAGCTAGTCTAATAATTGATTCTAATTTATCGTCATCTACTCATACATAAAATGGGATACATCTAAATAGTTATAAAACGAATAACGACGTTTGATTTTAAAGTTGATACGATATATGTATTCTATTATAGACAATTAGATGTCTTATGGTTATATAATATACATACACACATTATATGTAAAAGGTGAGTTTTTTTTAATAGAGTTAAAATTATGACTAAATTCCCAATATTACTTGTGAACCAAATGCGTTAAAATACTATTGAACCATCAAGTATCTCTTGGGATTGTAATACAAAAATAAAAATTTTGGATAATGTAAACAAAAATACACTTTTGTAAAAAACAAATCATAATCTTCTACCTCTTCTACCACCCTTCTTTCTGGTAGAGTCAGATGGAACTGGAGTAACATCTTCAATTCTACCGATTCTTAGACCAGATCTGGCTAGAGCTCTTAGAGCAGCTTGACCACCTGGACCTGGGGTCTTGGTTCTAGTACCACCAGTGGCTCTAATCTTGACATGGACGGCAGTGATACCGACTTCCTTACACTTAACAGCGACATCTTGAGCAGCCAACATAGCAGCGTATGGAGAGGATTCATCTCTGTCAGCCTTGACCTTCATACCACCAGTAACTCTGGCGATGGTTTCCTTACCAGAAAGATCGGTAACATGGACGAAAGTATCGTTGAAAGAAGCAAAGATTCTAGCAACACCAAAAACTTGAGAGTTGTCACGAGCTTGAACGGTAGTCATTCTTGTTTGTGGATGGTGTATTTAAAGTAAAATAATTAAAAAAAATAACTATTAAATTTAAACTAGCAAGAGTGATATATAGTGAAACTTAAAGAACTCTAATATATAACAATTTAAAATCTACAAATGAAAAACTGAAAAAAAAAATTCAATATAAAATCTTGAGTGAGATGAAAAATGTTAGTTCATCGAAAGAAACAAATTGGTCGATTGTTACCAGCAAAAACTGAAAAATAATAAAATTTTTCAATTCGCTTCGCCTTCAAAATTACAGTCTTTCTTCTTTCTGCCAGGCCGGGGGAACCACAAGTTCTTTCCTTTTTTTCTTGCTTTGCTTAACAAATAGACGGACCTTTTTATTGTAAACCCTAAGACAAATTTATTAGGGCGTCTTAACCATTTGTTCAGACATAATTAAAGTGTCTCATTAGTACTTACGAACTTGAACTACACTGTTTATCGAAATTTTTGCAACGTTTAACTATAGAAGTCATCTACCTGGACCAAAATAAAGAAATGATAGTTATCTGGTAATTATGAATTTAGCGTATATGTTAGCTTCTTAGTTAACTACCCCTTTACCGATTGTTAATCTTTGAAAGTAAATGTCATGTAAGGCGACGAGGTAAATATGCTTGGCATCTTTCAGGTTTCAAGCATCCACCATTATGTCATCCCTCGAGTCAATATATATAAACGTTTATTTTGTGAAGAGTCGTTGACCACAACGCCAGGGTTCCTACATGTGTAAGTCAATTGTTATGCATTAATTTGATCGACCTGTCGTGCCAATAATTGTCTTTGGCTCGTATATATTCTACTGAAATAGGATTATAATTACACGTTTCCTTGTAAGGAGGTAACTTATATGTATATATTTAGAATTGGTTATTGTAATAGTAGGCTTAGTGAAAGCCACTTTTTAATTTCTGTTCCTAAAGAAAGTCCGCAGGGATAAAACAAAATAGAATATTTATAGCCATCGAATTTTTGATTTCCAGGTTCACGTAAATGAAAAGGGGAAGAAGGAAAAAAAGGGTTTCGATCAAGTCATTTAATTAATAATACAGAGTTATAATATAAAATAATAAATATCGAAACGATTTTAATTCATAAAATAAGTGATATTCTTAGAGAGGTATTTATGTTAACAAACGTGAAGATTAAATCGAATAAATATTGTACAGAAAACATAAATGACTGATGGAGAATATAGATAACCAAAGATTGTTAGATGTCCTCTCAAGCATTCTATCTTTGACCCAAAGTGATGACGACAGGAAAACTTCTATCAAGGATAATATAAATATAATTTTGACAAATTCACCTTATTCATTCAAGGATGAATCCATTGACAATATAGCCAAACTTGAATCCTATGTAGAAGAATCTATGATAACTTTCTTTATTACTTATAACACAGATAATAGTTTTATTTTTTCCAGCATTGACAATTGGCTGAATTTACTTAGTTTATATCCAACTACATCGATTAACGATTATATTATTGCATTACAAATCATTATATATCTTACAAATGTCTCATTTATCAATAGGCAAGCATTAGCATATCAACCAAGCATTAAAACAATATTATTTGAACACATATCTGGAAAAAAACAGTCCAGTAACCAAACTAACATATATTGCCCTATCATTCAATATCAACTAACGGAATTATATGCCAGTATATTATCGCTTAACTGTAGGCCAAGAGAGATCGTAGATATTTATGATAAAGTTTCAGCAGTTTTCAAGCATCAGTTATTGACTACATTAGGGAACCATGTATCAGACCCTTTGCTACAAAATTATCTACAGTTTGAAAACTCAACGTTACCACTCAACCCAATAGACCTACTGTGTGATGACACAATAACTTTACAGTTGTATATTGAATTTGGCAATGTAGCCTCTAATAGATTTTTATCATTAGGGGATAAAATGTTCTTTGAAATTAATCAAGGGAGATTTACCATTTCGAATTTTAATGGGGTGATCGAGAGTATATGTGATTATGAGTTTGAAATAGAAAAAGAATACTTATTAATCATAGAGATTAGCAATGAGAAAGTTACTTTTTATACGGAGGGAAATTACATAAATAGTATAATCTTACTTCGTGAAACTTCAACATTGAATTATTCGATGGAATTAACAATAGGGTCGATGATTTGTTCGTTTAAGTTATTCAAACTTTACGTTTGGAAAGTTGAACTCCCAATAGAAGTAATAAAGATGATGTACTTATTAGGACCACTATATCAAAACTCATTTATGATACCATATGATTATAATGGAATCCACTCCAGTATTGATTCAAGTATATTTAGGGAAGTATATCAAGATTCTGAAGTAGCCAGCTACACTTCTTATAATGATTTCTTGAATAGATTGAAAATATGGGACACTAAATTTCTTCTAATTGATCTAGATATAGAAAACTTGATTGGAAAGTATCGTAGTGACTGGTTCCTTTGTAAATTTAATTATGATTCAGAGGATATCCTTGGAAAATGTTATTATTATCATAATTCAAATATTGCTTCAGTATTTCATTCAATTAATTACATTGAATTTACTATTTACTCTATTGAATCAAGTAAAAATTGGGACGATATATATGATAGAACTGAAGAGTTAGTAATATTATTGAGGGAACCAACATTGTTAAATTGGTTTGCCATTGAAAACGGGTTTTCCATTTTAAGTCATACCTTATATATGTGTGTTAAAAAGTACCTGCATGGCCTCCCAATCCAGTTTATGAATCTCTTTCTGAATAACTTTTGCACAAACTATGAATTACAGGAAAATTTGTTAATAAAAAACGAATATGCTTATGAAACACTTATACTAAATTTTGATTTATGGTATTACAAGTCAGAAGAGGATTTGATAAAGAGTTCTGAACTTGAATTATTGAGATTTGTATGCTTCCATATACACATTCTAATTTCATCATCTAAATATTCTGTCCATAACATGAATATTCTGCTGAAATATAGTATCATATCTAGATTGCTCTCTTTCCTTCACAATAATCCAACCATTGAATTATCTTTACTTTATGATGATATTATTTCAATGATAAATCCTATATTATACCATGGAATGTCTCATTCTAAGTTGAAAATGATATTAGATTTTTCTTTCCTAGAATTAGAAAATGGAAACCCTAATAATAGTATTTTATGCGAAGGCTTAATTGATAGTGTCTTGAAAACTTCATTGGTTAATTCAAATGCAGCTTGTGTGGCCTTAGTCAATGAGATTATTCATCCAAGAACCATCTTATTATTGATGAACGAGCAGGTAAAACATGGATTGAGTCCGACACGTTCATCGCAGATATTGGCGAGATTATTTTCCTCGAACAGGGCATTGTTTGTAAGTTTTGCAAAAAGTAACGGTAATCTTCTTTTATTGCATATATTTACAATTTCTCCAGAACAATATTATTTAGATATTGTTTATTCTTTATTTCTATCCTCCGTTGGGTTGAATGATTTTCCAATAGACGAAATGTCTCATGATTACTTTTCACTCCCAAAACATATCAGCATTACGTACCCAGAATATATTTTCTTAAGTCTTACTTTCTTAGATTGGATCGTATTTAATAATACAAATTCTAAAAATCTGGCTAGGTTAGATTGTTTCGCCCAAAAATATTGTTTACAGATTTCAAATAACAACTTATCTTCAGTTCAATATCCATTCATGAATAATGCTATTCGTCCTCAAGTAATAAAAATGTTAACACTTTTGTTGCAGCTTCATATTTCATTGGAATGCCCAAAGAACAAAGGTCACTGTTTTGATTCAGTATTGACAACACGGAATATCATTGCATCATCGATCTATGAAACAATAAGTGTGGTACCTAACTCAGTATTTGAGGATTTATTAACAAGTATAATGTTTCCTATCAAAAGTATTATGTTAGATGAAGAAGAACTGGCACACGATAGTTACTTAGATCTCTCGTTTTTTTATAGTATTCTTCCGATTATTTTTGATAAAATATTGAAAAATGGTACTATTACAACCTGTACGGCATTGGTGCATTCAAACATTGTTACTTTATTAAATATATTTTTAAATTATTTTATGACAATTAAAGTGGAATCTTCGTTCCTTCTAGATACCTTTGATATCTTGGCACAGTGTGTTCAGAAAAAGCCTAAAATGAGTATTTTCAACTTTCACAACAGTAAAAACGATATTGATATTGATCACCTGTTTTCTAAATTCTCTTATTTGATAATTTATCTCCAACTTACGAAACAGTTGAAATGGGATAAGAACGAGGTGAGTAGATTTTGTATCATTTTAGAATCGAGTAATTCGATAATATTCTCTAAAAATCGTAATATTGGAAGCTATACTCTGACAGCAATGTATTATATATTTCTCCAATGTCAATTAAATGAGCACACTTATATTCCTATTGTATGTCACACAATAAGGTCAATCCTGAAATTTAAAGAAAACGATATCAGTCATGTTATTAGTATTCTTGACCCAATGCATAAAAGTGAATTGGAAAATTCCTTTAAAATATTACTACAATCTAAAGGAGATGAAGGATTTGCATATATTCTATCTCTTGATGAATTTCTTCTGAACGATTCCAAAATATCACGATTTTTGAATTTATGTAAGTCCGAAGCTTCCATATTGTCTAATAGGCTTTCGTATGATGGTGATAAACTTTCAGATAAAGTATATATCAACAAAACTAAAGACCAAAAATATTTACAGAATAGTATTAATATACTATATGATGATTTTATAGAAAAGAACAAAAACATGAGAAAGAATTTTGTTATATCCGGTAATAAAGCGATGATTGATTTACTGTCAGATATTGAAGAAGAATCAAATTATTATACCAATATATTTTATAGGATTAGAACCAACTTTACACATGTACATGAGGTTCAAAATAATAATACCCCAAAGATTTTATGGAGATTAGATGGTGTAGAAAATATCAATAGAGCAAGAAGAAAGCTACTCCCAGCACACGCTTACAGTAATGATGAAACTCTACTGATTTCAAGTGCAGTTACTGGGAGGGATCATATTGGGGACTTTAATGAGGAAACTTTAACCGATGTAGCACTCGGAAAAGATATCACAAATGCTAACTACGAAAATGGGCTCGATAATTTAAACCTCAACAATGAAAACAGAAAAATTTTGAAAATATTAAAAGATTCAGATGCTATAAAAGCCATATGGAATACAAGTCTGGTGGTTGGATTAGATCTACGAGAAGGTATATTGATTCTTGGTCATAAATATTTGTACTTTGTGAGCAATTATTACTTTTCCAACATCGAAGGTAATATAATGAAAATTAATGATGTACCAAAATCTTATAGGGATGTCGATATTGGTTTGATCATTAATCATTTTGAGTCAGCTCAGTTGGAATCAAATAAGCCTATTGAGGTTAATAGTTGGAGATTAGAACGACTGGCCTTTGTTACCAAAAGACCATTTTTACTTAGAGATGTTGCTTTAGAGATATTGTTTGATAATAATACCACTTTATTTTTTAGCTTCAAAAAGAGTTCCATTAGAGAAAAAGTGTATCGCTTATTAACCAAGGTAAGTAAGCCACATTTTTTGGATCCATTATATGCACATGTTTTGGAAGAATTGAATGATCGAAGCAACATGATTGGAACGCAGAATGGTATTGCTAAGATAAGTTTAACTACAAGATTTGTTAACGTAATGACACCTACTACTAAAAACAAAAATATGTTCGAGGTTACAGATTTATGGAGGAAAGGTAAAATTTCCAATTTCTATTACTTGATGGTAATAAATACGCTAGCTGGACGATCATTTAATGATCTCACCCAGTATCCGGTATTTCCTTGGGTGATTTCAGACTATACAAGTGAAACACTTGACTTAGAAAATAAAAACTCATTTAGAGATTTATCAAAGCCCATGGGTGCACAAGGCGATAAAAGGAAAATGGGTTTCATTGAAAGATTTAATGCATTGAAGGCTGTAGATGACCCATTCGCCCCACCATTCCATTATGGTACACATTATTCCTCGGCGATGATTGTTTCTTCATATCTAATCAGATTGAAACCATTTACAGAATCTTTTATTTTATTACAAGATGGAACATTTGGACATCCTGATCGTCTTTTTAATTCAATTGCGAGGACCTGGAGATCAGCAGCTCTGGAAAATACGACAGATGTGAGAGAACTAGTACCTGAATTTTATTTTCTTCCTGAATTTCTACTTAATATTAATAATTACGATTTTGGCACGAACCAGCAAGGACAAAACGTCAACGATGTAATACTACCTCCTTGGGCCAATGGTGATCCCAAGATATTTATAGCCAAAAACAGATGCGCACTAGAGAGCCCTTATGTTTCTAAACATCTTCATGAATGGATCGATTTAATTTTTGGATACAAACAAAAGGGTAAATTGGCAGAGGAACATATTAATGTTTTTAGTAAGATGAGTTATCCTGGTGCTATCAATTTGGAAAAGATTGATGATGAAAATGAAAGACGTGCTGTCGCTGGTATGATCCATAATTTTGGACAAACACCTTTACAAATATTTCAGGATGCCCATCCTGAACGGATAGTCTTGCAGTCCAGTGCATTTGATTTTGCTGCTCTACAGGAATTGACAACAATTCCAAGAATTGAAAATAACAATGAACTTTTGGATCCCTCGGCATACTTGGTTTATCTTAATGATATGAAATTCCATACTTATTCATTTTCGAAATTTTATGTTAGTGGCAAATATCCGGATTATTTGGTTGAAAGAATAGGTAGTGAATCAATTTTAATTGATGGTACTAAATATAGAAATATACATTTGAGTGAATTAACAGCTTGTGTACCATGGGAAAATGGTATATTTATTACAGGTGATGTCAATGGACTAATAAAGTTGTGGACAATCAGTGGTAAAGGTATTTCTGACCTTCAACTAACTCACAAGACCACCTTGCATGGTCATCTTCACGGCATAGTATCGATTCAAATATACCCTGAATATTACACGATGATCACATTGGATTCTCATGGGAACATATTTGCATGGGATATGATATCAAATGAATTAATTCGTTGTGTCCATAGGGATGCCAAATTAGTGACTGTTTCATTACTTCACGGTTCAATGTTAATCTTAACAATCAATAATAAATTAAAAATGTGCAATATCAACACCCTAGATTACACCAATATAAAAGTTCCAGAAGAATCTAAAATAACGAGTTTCCAATTTTTAGACTTTAAGACACAGGATCCATATGCTGGTCATATGTACCTGGATCAATTAGAAATAGTATGTATAGGATACAACGATGGAACTATAAGAATATTTCAACTTACGATAAATCAATGTAATGAATGGGAATTAAAAATTTTGAAAACACTGAGAGTTAAAAGTAAGTCCCCAATTACTACCGTAAAGGCTGTGACAGATGTCACGTACAGGATACCACAAGATGATACGTCGGGGGTATTCGCACCAACCCTTACAAGTTTACAAATAGCCTGTGGTACAGCAAATGGAGAACTATTGACTTGGAAATAGATATGAACTCAAAATTTTGTAATTGCATAAATATATACATTTGTGTATATATATATTTATAATTGTAATAAGTATTGCGCTTCATCATTATACAATGTTCTGTCAACTCATGGTTGGATTCCTTTAAACAAGCCTGATGACTTTGTTGTTGTTATTCGCGTTTGTTTACCCGGATAGTCACTATTGACGATATCACATCAAAACCTCGCAGAAACTCCAGTAGAGAAAAACAAAGATGACGATGTAATTAGACATAATAATCATTACCTTGGGTAGTTTCTTAACGTTGTCGCTACATCAAATATACAAAATATGATAAATAGTGAATTGAGTACTTTCTTCTCTTATTTTTTCTAAAATTTTCTGTCTTAAAGAGAAACAAAGAAAGGAAAAACAGAGAAGAATCAATTTAAAAAGACAATAAAAAGCTTAGTAACAAAGGTTCATTTTAGCGGTGCAACTATTGAAGAAGTTTGCCGAAAGAGGAATAAGAGAAGAACGTATACAAGTCATACTAGTACCGTCTTTCGTCAAATCTAGACCGGAGCCTAATTGACTTTTAACATTACTCTAAAAATTTAAAAGAGAGAACTTATACATTTTGAAGTTTCATTCTCCCCTCCTCGTTGTCTGAACTTTATACATACATATATTATTTTAACAATTTATTTGTATTTGAGTGTATTATTGTTTGTGAGTGAGAGTCCTTTTTTTTTGTCAGGAGATCATATTTGCAAATACTATTCGTATTCAACCACTGACAGAAAATCGTGAGTAAAAGAGAGTTTATAAATTGGGGGAATCAATTCCAACAAAGAATACATACCAGTTTCATAACTATAATAACAATAGTATGGCTTATCCGCCACCTCCTCGTAGGTTGAACGACAAGAAGAGGTACTATTATTCTAATAATCCAAATAGAAGACATACTGGTCCTTACCCTCATAGACCTTATACTAATAGTTATTCTAATAATTATCCATTACCTCAAACTGCAAATGAAGTTCCAGTGACTAATAACTTGAAAAAGAGTCACAGTATATCAAATTCCAGCGGGAACAATACAAGTCCATTGTCACAATCATTATTAGAGTCACATAATACAAGTATGAGTAAAAGTAATGATGTTAGTAGACCGTCTAGGTATAATCAACCATCCAGTCGTAAGGCATCTGTATCTAGTACCGTTGCGTCGACTTCGTCTGTTCCTTCTGCCCCTGCTCCAGTACCGGTAACGAAACCAACGACTACTATGATAAATAACAATAATGCTGTACCATCAATCCCAACTACACCATCTGGTAATAAACATTCAAATACTAGTAGATATAATTCGGATTCACATGAAACAATACATCAATCTATTCCAACCCAATTATCTAATCAGTCTCATAAACCTATTCCGACAGGTACATCAGGTGATACTGCAACGCACAATAAATCTCGTTATTCAGCAACGAATAGTACGAGTAGATATAATCCACACACTCCTAATGTGACAGCAAATGCTGTTACTTTGCAGAAGAGTCAATCACAACAACACATAAATTCACAAAGAAATAGACCAAGATCTATGGATTCTCTTCCATTTGAAAAAAGTTATAGTGCTATTGTAGGTCATCCCACAGTACCAGATAAACCATCTTTCCCAACTACAAATAGCATATCGACACCAACCTTTTTTCAAAGAGGCAATAAATGGAGATCACATTTACCACATGCAACTTCGGGTACAACTGTTGATAGTTATTCAAGTAGTCAATATCAAAATCGTAGAACAAATTTTTGGAGAGGAACCCCAAATAAACAATCGAATTATATGATTGGTAATGACCCAATTATAAGTTCAACTAGGTTCAACTCTAAATCAATCCTAAGTGATGAGCATTTTACTGATTCAAGTGTAAAACAACAGAATGATAAAGAAGTTAATACTGTGGATCATAAAAAGAGTTCTAAATTATCACCAAGATCAAGTTTAATACATTCCGTACCACAGACAACAAGGGAAACTACAACACATATTTCCGCAGGAAATAAAAATTTTGATTTGAAAAGAAGTAGAACAAATACACCATTAAGCTCAGTTGATGATAATGACACGGAAGAAAATATAAGTGAGCTAGGTGTCACGTTACCTTCTGCAGCAACAAATTATCAGCTAAAAGAACAGAATGTCAAGAATAACGATCTATGGACCGTTGAACTAAAGAAAGAAGTTACCGCGGAGATTACATCATTAGAAAAAGATGAGGAAGATATACCCTCTGATATTAAACTTCCAGAAATGGAAAACGTTATCCTCGATAAATTAGAACCAACTAAAAATGAAATTGAAAAGAAGGATAAAGTGGTATTACAATCCGTATATGAATATGTCAGTGATCCTTCGATGTTAAAAACCGATATGAAACAATTGAATATTGTTGATACATCAGGTCCATTTAAGGTTCAATTTCCCGAGCAAAAGTCATGTATATTTCCATTGAATAGAGTAGAAACCAAATTCTGGGAACTCAAAAACAGAGATAGGAGCTATAGAATTTCGAAACAAAAATATCTTTTAAAAAGACCAATTAGGACTTTGAAAGAGTTTCCATTTTTTAAGGTCAACGTGGAGCGTTACAAAGATGTTATCAGAGCTCGATTGCAGTCAATTGGAAAATCTGTGGATAAATATAATCGTAGGCATCTATTATCTCTTAAGAATGACTATAATGGGTTCAAGAATTTATGGGAAAGGGACTGTAAGAGTATGGAAGAGGTGAATACGAAGGTTAGAAAAAATGAATTAGAATTCAAACAGAAACAAGATGAAGAAAAGATCGAAAAAGATAAAGAAGAAAAGCGTTTAGATGATCAAAATGCCAATTCATCGCGTAGAAGAAATAGAGCAGACTTTGTGGATGATACAGAGATGGAAAGTGTTTTATTGCAAATTGATCCTGATTATAAACACGTCCAAGCTGCAGCAACAATTCCTGAACTTGAATTGGATTCAGTCAATAGGTTTGCTATTAAATTCAAGGATGTTAACAATCTATCTACGGATAAAGATAAATGGGCCTCCAGATTGCTGACAGATGGTATCGATAACTTCTCTGAACATGAACATGAACTATTCCTCGAAGGTTATTTAAGTCATCCAAAAAAGTTCGGCAAAATTTCTCATCATATGGGTAGTCTACGTACTCCAGAAGATTGTGTCTTACATTATTACAGAACCAAAAGAAAGGTTGATTACAAACAGTTGCTTCTTCAAAAGAATAAAAGAAGAAAGAGTAGTGCGGCAACAAAGAGACGTAAAAAGAAAGAAAAGGTACTTGATTCTGCTGAACCAGTTATTGAAACCGAAGTGGTGCAAGATAGAACAGAAAACATGAATGTACCTGAACATGAGTCTATTGAAACCGAGGAAAATTCAGATGAAGAAAAAGGAAAAATCCCAAAGATGGAAGAAGTTGTTGTGAATGTTAGAACACAACCACCTGTTGAAGGTCCGAGGGAACTTCCTGTTGAAGAGCGTGACAATAAATCTGTGCTAAATGTTGAAAACTCTGCTGAAAGATCAGTTGAAAAAGATATCAATAAACCTGTTGAAGAACTTCCAGAAAAACATGTTAAAACACCTGCTGTAGAGGTCGTCGAACAATCCACTGATATTTCATCCAAACCAATGGTTGAAACAACCTTACAACAAGCTAGTGTTGTCACTGAAAATGCTGAACAAAAAAAAATTGTTCCTACAACAGAAAAATGTATAGAATCGACAACTATTCCAAATATTGATGTCGCGACCCACCCTGTGGAACAAGAAATTATCATCCCAAAAAAGAGAGTTCACGATATAACACTTACAAGAGAAGATACAGAGCCATCATATGAAAACATTCATCAAAGTGAAGATATAAACAATAGGATGATTGACACAGACAATGCAGATGAGAACTACGATTCAGATAGTATGAGAAAGAAACATAGAATAATTAGTGATCACAAATCAAGTTATTGGAGTGTTAAAGAATCACAAGCTTTTCCTGAGTTACTAGAAAAATTTGGTTCTCAATGGTCTTTAATATCAGAAAAATTAGCTACTAAATCAACCACCATGGTTAGAAATTACTATCAACGTAATGCCGCCCAATATGGCTGGAAGGCTATTGTTGAGGATACAGACTTAAGAAGAAATGCAGGAAGTTCGGATTCTGTACAACAAACTCAGATTTTAATTCAATCTGAACAAACTCCAATAATTGGTGTATCTAATGGTATGCCTTTGCAACAGAAACCTGCTCTGGGATTTTTCTCAAATCAAACTGATCGTAGGATTGTTAGTACAGAGAGTTCAAATCCACAAGCATTTGTTGCTCTGGAAAGTAATAAAGATTCATTTTCAAATTCAAGTACACCTACTGCAACATTACCTCCACCAAGATTGCCCTCTATTCAACTGAGTCCTAACTCTGGTACAACGGCTAATCCTGTTGGTGTACCACCTAGACAAGCATTGGTTTCTCCAACAGATCAATTAACACATAATAATGTAGTTACCGTTCATTCTAACGAAAACAACAATACTACTAATATTGTGCAGAAGGAATCTGGTACGCGTACGAGTATCGCTGATCTAATGAATGTTGATAATCATAGGCCACATATAAGTAGTAGAACACCTACACCTCCACTTAAAAATATCGCTGCTCCAATAATGTTATCTACGATTGCACCACTTCCGCAGAGTCATCATCATCGTCGTACAGATTTAGGTATTAGAAATTTCCTAAATAATCCAACTTCTGAAGAATCAGTCTCGGTCATTCCTACATCTAATACAAGAGCAATTCCACAACCTACAAACATCAGTCCATTGACTACAAACAATGCACAAATGGGTAACAGTGTTGTAACATCTGCACCAACATTAGGTAATAACAATTCACATATTGTGGTTCAAGACATGCGCAACCAATATACTAAGCCCGAGAGTTCTCAACCAAGACTAAGTTCGATTTCTTCGTTATTGAACCCTGTCTCGAACATGCAAAGAAGGAATCTTCCTCCGATGGTATTTAGTGATTCACGAGGTACTGCACAGAGAAACCAGGCCACGAGCCAACCCAAACTAACAGTTCCTGATTACAATTTTGCAAATGATCCTCTTGCCGCATTGGCAGCAGTTGCGTCTGCACCAGAGACTCTCGCATCCATTGTACCTCAACAGAATCAAAACACCTCGCAGACTAAGTAATTAAATAATTATTTCTAAAAGGACTATATGTATAGGTGTATATATCGAGTAATCAATCAGAAGCTCATCATCATCCTATTCTAAATCAAATTATGAATATTCCAACGGGTTACAGGTGATTAAAGCCGTTGGCCTTGTTTCTCCCAGATTTCTTCTAACCTTCCAGAACGAAAAATTTTATCACACAGAAAATTTTGCGTCGCCAAAAAAATATATCGTTAAGCCAAACGCTGAATGTGCGAAAGGAAAAAAAATTTGACGGCGTGTAACCTTTGAGGAATTCGATGGTTTTTGATGAATTTGTTTACAATTGGATTCACATGGCGACGGCTGTTGAACAGACCGGACGTTACACTGCAATTGCAGGATCAGTTGGCATTGCTAAGAACAAGGAATTTGGCAAGGAAGTATTAGTATATATATGTATATAGGTAAAAAATTTATGTGATCAATTAAATTGTATATATATATATATTTATAAAAGTTTCGTGTTTGTTTATTTTTTTTGTTAGGTTTTTGATACAACTGTACAATCGTGTATTCAGCTATAAGAATACTAGATATATAAATATTTACTACATTTAAGATGGCTAACGTTATTCAGGAGTATGCTGGTCCACTTTTAGAACAATACCCTGTATTGAACGAGTATGTTCCTACTTTAGACCGTCCATTCTTTAATATTTCATTATGGAACAATTTTGATTTTGCTGTTACAAAGATCACTAATGGTAACTTCATTCCACATGAATTCGAATTCGTCCAAGGTGAATTACCTTTGAGTACTTTACCAAGTGTTGCTGCTGCCATTGCCACTTATTATCTGGTGATCTTCGGTGGTAGAGAACTTCTAAGAGGTTTCCAACCATTCAAGTTCAATCATATGTTCCAATTGCATAACTTGATGTTATCTTCTGGTTCTTTGCTTCTATTGGTTTTGTTTATTGAACAACTAACCCCTATGTTAGTTCGTCACGGTTTGTATTATAGTATTTGTAATATTGGTGCATGGTCTCAACCTATGGTTACTTTATATTATATGAACTATATTGTTAAATTTATTGAATTTACTGATACTGTCTATTTGGTCCTAAAACATAAGAAATTAACATTCTTACATACATATCATCATGGTGCCACTGCTTTACTATGTTACACTCAATTGATTGGTACTACTTCCATTTCATGGGTTCCAATCACTTTGAATCTAGGTGCTCACGTCTTAATGTATTGGTATTATTTCTTAGCTGCTAGAGGTATTAGGGTCTGGTGGAAAGAATGGGTTACTAGATTCCAAATCATTCAATTTATCTTGGATATCGGTTTCATTTATTTTGCATGTTATCAAAAGATTGCCTCTGAGATCTTCACCACTTTACCCCGTTGTGGTGACTGTGTCGGTTCCACAATGGCTTCTTTAGCTGGTGTAGGTATCATCTCCTCGTATTTGGTCCTATTCGTCAGTTTCTACATTAACGTTTACAAGCGTAAGGACACTAAGACTAGTAGAGTCATCAAACGTGCTAATGGTGGTGTTGCTGCTAAAGTTAACGAATACGTTAACGTCGATTTAAGTAACGTTAATACACCATCTCCTTCTCCAACTCCAGTTGCTAGAAGAAGAACTTAGTTACAATTGTTATATAAATCACTATATAATGCATATATATATATATATATATATATTTCTAAAGGCTATTTGTGAATATTTTTTTTCTTGTTACTATTACTTGGAATAATATGTATGTATATTGAAGTGAAAAATGTAAAATATTTAGTTATTCTTATTTTCTATAAATGGATATCTTTTGGGGGCAAAAATGGTACACAATGTAATACGTATAGTACTACTAATTATAGTACATTCTATATTAATATTTTAAACTTTTTGCACTTTTAATGATATATCGCTAGACCTTTGTTTTGAAAGAGTAATCGATCTCATTAATAACTCTTTTGTTATCTTGGCTCCACCACCTACGACACTAAATTGTTTAAATCTACCGTTTGGACATGCAGTTATTGAAATAGTTGATTTGATGCAAGTTTCTTCAGCTTCTCCATCTATATCTGCCAATAATACAGTCTTAGTTTCTAATTCTTCATCCATTGGAGCGTCAACATCATCAGTTTCTTCTAAATTTGCAATATCTGCTTCTGGATCCAGATTAATAGCACCATATGATGAGGCGTATGATATGCAATTTTCTCTTAATTGTAAATTAGTACTCTCATTTGGATCACACAATAGGTTATATGTCTCCATTACAACAGCATTTCTTCCTCTTGCTCTTACAGTCATCTTTAAATCGGTGGCACGTTCATCTATGAATGTCCTTGGTAATTTTACAGATTGTAATGCAGCCATAAGTGAGTTCCAACACATATCATAGACTGGGCCAGTTCTCCCAAACACTTCAATCTTAGCATATAACACATAAGACCACTTCTTCTTAGGCTTTAAAAGACTTGTAATTTCTTTATTCTTTTCGGAATCTGGATAGATGATATTCACAGAATCATCTTCATTTGTTATACGAACACCGGGTTCTACTCTTAATGCATTTTGAGTTAATATATGTGAGTGAAGTAACGAATCATACAAACGTTGAGAGGTTGTCATTTCTTCATCAGTACAAGCACCCATTCTACCTCTATTTATTTCGACCACTGGATAAACAGAAGAATATTTCGTTATATCAGAATGTTCTTCAGTAATTTCCAACAACTCTGTATCTTCCTCCATTTCCATATCGTTTGTTGACAAAGTGATGTCTTCAATTATACCACCTGTAATTTGAGTGATAACAAATACATCACCTTGTTTTAGAACACATGAACCAAGTACTTGTTTACCGTCATTTGAAGGTGTCTTCACTGCGCTATCATCAGATTGTGTATTGTGTGTCAAGTCACCTGTATTTATTATAACGTCTCTAAATTCTTCAAATCCTCTTGAGGATGGTCTAAATCCCAAAGATAAATGTCTTTGAAGGGATAGGTCGGGAGAAATACGAGCTAATATATCCGTGGGGAAGGACACCGGGTGTACTTCAACGGTTGATTCTTTAATGTCTGCCATGATTTAAATTTAATGCACAAGTTGTTTAGAATTAGTTTGTTAATTGTAATGATTCGGTAGATATCAAGATTTAAATTATTCTTATTAACAGAGCTCTCTCTCTCCTCTCTCTTTTTTGCTTTCTGAATGTCTTACCATTATAAATAAGATGAGAAAGCTCATCTTCAGAATTGAGATTCTTCACTTAAAATTTTTCAGAGTATTCGTGTTTCCTTTTCGGGAGATAAAAAGTGTCCAAAATAGGAAACAACTACCTAATTAGGTAACATCTTGGTTTACATTCCAGTCCAACATTGATAGCCGCTTTAATGTCAACCAAAAGACACTTTCGATGTTGTTTGATGAATTAAATATTTCATATCATAACTTCTTTAACTCAAATTGGTTCACCTTTTGATTACATTTTGATGTTCCTTTGAACAATTTCTAAAATTTCAATGAAAAAAGGGGGGTTAAATCGCACATAATTCTGGTGTTGTACGTTCGAGATGCAATGGATTTAAAGGAACAATACCTTAATTTAAGAGATTTACCATCGTAACGATAATAGAGATAGCTAAAGACAACGTGTTGGAATTCGTTCGGCATAACTGTTAAAAACTAGAATTATGGGTATTACTGTTATTGGGTCGTTAAATTATGATCTTGTTACTTACACAGATCGTATTCCGGAGGCTGGGGAAACTTTCAAAGCAAATTCTTTCGAGACACACACAGGTGGAAAAGGTTTGAACCAGACTGTTGCAATTTCAAAATTAAAACAAATAGATGCAGGTTATAAAATTCAAATGGTAGGCAATGTCGGTAAGGATGCATTCGGTGAACAATTGCTAGGCTATTTGAAAAAGAACAATGTAGAAACATCGAATGTCGGAACTCAATCTGATGTAAGTACAGGTGTTGCTACTATTCTTGTAGAGGAGAAAATGAGTGGCCAGAATAGAATCCTGATTACAGAGGGTGCTAATGGGAAGACTACCTATACCGATGATGAACTTGCTAAAATATTTAATAATGATGATGATAGTGAATCGAATCATATGATAGTCTTTCAGCATGAGATTCCAGATCCTGTATCAATGATGAAATGGTTTAACGCAAACAAGAAAAACTACACAATTGTTTATAATCCGTCACCATTTCACCCTTTACAAAAAGAGGATTGGTCATTATTCGATGTTCTAGTAGTCAATGAAATTGAATCTCTTCAGATTATCAAAAATATTTATCCACAAAATTATGTCGACATGGTCGAAACATCTATCAAAAATGGTTTTGTTGAGGCATATTTCAAGATTTGTGAAGAACTTCAAAAAAACGTTATGAACGCAACTAAATTAGCGATTGTGATTATTACATTGGGTTCACAAGGTGTTTTATTTTCTTCTGCAGAAAACCAGACAGTGCAATATTTACCTGCGATCCAAGTAGAAAAAGTTGTTGACACTACAGGTGCTGGTGATACATTTTTAGGAGGTGTTGTTACACAGCTATATCAAGGTAAATCTTTGAAGCAAGCTATTCAATTTAGTACATTTGCAAGTTCTTTGACTATACAAACCCCAGGAGCAGCAGAAAGTATCCCATACTATCCTGATGTGGTTTCGAACATGAATTCAAACCTAAAATAATTATATTGATGATATTTTTGTACCTTCTATCGAATTAATTAACTATGCATTGTTTGTTTTTAAAAAAAACGGAGAAGATAAGATAATATTATGTATGTAAATATAACAATTGAACACTAAATCCACATCCAATTATATGAAATTATGTAACAAATATGCCAAAAAAAAAGGAATAGATATGGCACTACGAAACATAGTAACTACCAAATCTTTAAACTTAAATCATGAGGAAGTTGCTGTAATGGCAGTTGTACTTCCATGTAAAACAGAGATCATAATACCATAACCCACAGTGATAACGCAGAGAAATGCAAACAATGAAGCAGGAACACCTCTAGATAAGAATGTAAGCACATCCAGATATCTATTTCCTTTTTTATCAGTTAACGATATGGCAGTAACATTTGGAAACCCTGAAGATGCAAGACCCATACCACAGGACGCCAATAATGAGCAACCAAACACCAATGTTGGCGCAGCCTTCGGATCGGCCAAACTATTACCAACTTGTTGAACTAATGGAACAATAATGATAGCACTAACAGTATGAGAAACAAATGTCCCAACAACTAACATCAGGATACCAAAGATACACAAGATTGCAAATAAACCATCATTTTGAATTTTCCTTTGCAAGGCAGTAGCAATTGTGACTAGTAGACCTGAGGAAGAAACTGCTTTACCTAGAGCAATACCACCCATTGCAAGGATAACAATCGACCATGGGAATGTATTCAAATCATTTGTAGACAACAATCCAGTACCAAAAAATAATACGATTGGCAAAACTGCTATCTGACCAGAGGAACCAAAGGCACCTTCCACTTGACCTTCTACACACCATAATAAAATTGTACCTAATGTAACAAAAACTATATAATATTGTTTCAATGTCAATTTAGTTCTAATCGGTGTAAATTTCTCTAGTTTTGTAGTATTGATCTTGAAAGTCAAGCACATTAAACCCCATGAACATAGCATTGCAAGTATACCACATGGTAATGCTACTGCAAAGAATTGACCCCATCCAATCCCGTAAGGTTTTAAGTAGTCCATTGAAATAATATTTTGTGGAGACGAAATTGGTGAAGCCATACCACCGATATCTGCAGAAAGTGCAACTCCCATTACTAAAGCTTTAGCAAACGGGGTGTCAGCATCAAGAGGATCAAGCAGAGGTGCTAGTAAAGAATATGTCAAAACTGGAGAGGCAACATTTGAGATCCACATTGATAGAAAGAAAACAACACCCATAGCCATTAGAAGAACATTTCTTGGTTTTGTACCGGCAAATGCTAATAACCAAGATGCGAGGATTTTTGCTATATTATATTGTGAAAGTACTTCCCCTAAGGTAAACCCAGCTAACAGAATCATAATTGTCGACGACCACATGGTAGATAAAATTTCGGAAGAAGCATCTGCAGCACCCATTACCTTCCCATCAGTTGTTTTTAAAACTTTAAAGAGTACTGTCAAAAGTGGGACTAAAAATGCTGTAACGTGTAATGGGATTGCTTCACTTGCCCAAAGGAATGCTACACATTCCACCAATGCCATACAACGACCTTCAACATGATCATTAAAGGTTTTTACACCCAGCAGAATGCCTGTAAATGTAATAATGAATGCTAATTTTGCAGCCTTTAAAGTGAAAAATAATTTTGGAACGCCCAGTCTTGCAATATTAATGGATCTCCAGTGTATCTCTCTTGGTAGATTCCAGTAAAAAAAATCAATCTCTAGTTTTGACTCATGTTTTTCTGTAGTTTCATCTTCTTCCATGTCGGTCATAATATTTTTATCTTGAGATACGAGGCCTAGCATATCCTTCCAAGTAATACTTCTCTCCCAAACTATGTGGTCGTGAAGAGATGACTTCAATTCTGCCTTACAAGTGTCAATTTCATTTGGTCTGTGTGTTATGAAAGAATAAAACTCAATTAACGAATGGATTTTTTCATTAAGAACGTTTAATGTATCATGTTGGAAAACGTATGTTGACTTGAAGAACTCACCACTTAGGATCAAGTCTTGTCTAGTGTTCATATGTAATACTTTATCAAATTTTTTAGTAATCTTACCGAACCCAATACGATTCAGATCAATAAATGATTTTAATTGGCAGAGATCGATGTACAGGTTTACAATTGAATGTTTTAGGATTGAAAGTTTTTGTGATTTAATATTAACGTGAGAATAATTTAAAAGAGCACTGTTTTCTTGAGTATCATCTAATTCGTTAAAGTCATCATCTTCTAGTTCATCCTCATCATAGATTTCTTCATCATTTTGATCGAATCTACTTCTAAGATAAAACTCGCTTGATTTATGTAAATCGAAGGAATTAGTCTTATGAGAAAGAACTTGGTTTATTGTATCTGTGGGCACGGTACCACTCTGTGAACGAGACGGTATATGAGCTCTTTGAGGACTCTCTACTGGATTGAAAGTTTCATTAAAAGTTGTTACACCTTCTTGATCCAGATCCTTTTTCAAGGAATTAAATCTTTCATAGAATTTAGCTTCTTGTCTTTGATAGAAATCATCAATTTTAGTCCTTTCATCTTGTAATTTATTGACAAAAGAATCATATGGGCTAAATAATGTTCTCTCATCACTTGATGAGGCGGAAGACGTAGAAGAATGACGTTTTCTATCAAATATATTTACTTTCAATTTTTTATTGAATGGGTTTGTTAGTTTCTTACCTCCACTATCCGTATTCTCCGGAGTGTATTTACTATTAGATGTACCCTTGTTATTATTATTAATGTTTGATGTGTTATCAAATGTTTCTAATTCGTATGTTTCTTCAGTAATTTGGCCCTTTTCCACCTTTGATTGATCATCTTTATCAGCAATATCATCGTCATTGGTATTAGTATTATCATTCTTATTATTTTTGTTCTTCTTAGAAGATCTAAAAAAAGTATTTCTTATTCTATTCTTCAAATTGTCAGCCCTCGATGAGCTTCCAATTGGATTTCCGTCTTCATCAACATCAATTGCAGCACCATTAATATTATTAGTTGCGTTATTAAATTCATCACCTAATATACCGCCATTTTGTTTAATTTCGTCAGCCTGTAGAGTATATATCAGATTTTTTAATTCTACATAGTCCAAATACTGATTTTGCCATTCTGGAACAGCATTATACTTCAAGAAATGAGAGAATCTCATGTCTTAATCTTGTGGATAAATGATTTCCAATAAACACTGGTCTATTTCTTTAAATCGAAAACCCTGGGTGATTATTTTTGTATGGAATCCACTACCTTGCTTGATTATTCTTATTATATATATATATACTAAAAGAGGTATATCTTTGAAGTAACAATTACGCCAAGATAAGATGTCTAGAGCACCGATGTGTCATCGATTATTGAAAAGTTTAAAAACCAGTAAGTCTAAAAAGTTGGCAAAGCTTTACTCAGCCCAATAACCTAAAAGAAAAAGAAAGAATTATCTTCCACTTACTACTTGAGAAGTTCTGAATAATAAGTAAAACTGAATCGAATCGAATCGAAATAGAGAATTATAAACAGATCCACTCTGTTTACTATTATCTGTTTACCTGCCGGTGACAGAGAGATATATGGTCTTGCAATATCGTCTTTCCTCATTCGGTGTTTGATACTTTGCCCTCTTAACCTCTTCCCTCCTCCCCCACGTAAGTGTAGCGTGCTTCAATTGCGTTGTTTTTGGAAATATTATAAACAACAGATTTTGCTTTACTGGACCGAGTTTCCCTCTATCTCTCTCAATTTGCGTCATGAGCGAGCCGAATAAATATTCAATGGGGAGGATCACACAGAGTGATAAGAGCGGAATCTTCTCTCTCTGCTACGTGAGGTTCCTCGGAATTCACGGGGAGGCAAAATAACAGGATCGATAACAAAAGACCGGACGGGTGGGTGGCTCCGTTCCGTTTCGTCACCAGCGGAAACGTTTCTATCTCCTCCTGCCAATTTCTATTGTGGGGGGACAACGAGTGGGAACGTTTTAGTCCAGTGGAAAGAGTTTTCTATTCTGTTTCTAGAGTGTTTCTGAGTTCTCTGATGTTCTAATTTGTGATTTTCTGAAGATTGCCACAAGATGATTGCTATACTAGCGGCCTGTACGGTAGGGTAGGGTAGGTACAGTACGGGTACGGGTACACATGAGCCCCAGCTGCAGAAAGAAGAACCCTTTGTGGAATTAGAAACAGTTGGGAAACAGCGTAAGAGAAGCAACGCATAAATTGTAACGGATACATAGAATATAGTACAGTACAATCATTCTTGCTAATTGAAGAGAAGACCGTAATTTGAGGAATAATTCGATTAGAACAATTTAGTTGTTTATATTGAATTGTATATGTGCGTTTACTTAAGAGCGGACGCAGCGCTATAGACGGGCTGTTTGACAACAGCTTACTGTAATACGAGTTAATGATGCTTTTGTTTAAAGAGTCTTTTATATATATATATATATATGTATGTATCTATTTATATATACGTGTGTGTGTATGCGTGTGTGCTTATGACCAGACTTGGATCCTACGTGACACTAGTAACTTACGTTCTTGGAATCATTTTCAAACTTAAATCATAACCCCTGGATGGGTTGGATTTATATGGTCTATTAACCCTCCATAGCTCAGATAGTATGACTTGTTGTAAATTAGTCGCAGGCGTAATGAAGTTAGTTTCGATGGTTAGTTGATCAGTTAGGTTAAAAAAGGAATCTCTTTTGTCCACGCTGTCATTGCTTGCAATGTAACCACCATTGGTCTCTGAACCATTATCATAATCAATTTGTAACAACTCAACTGAGTTGATTATATTGGTGATCCTAGTATATTTATCCACATTCACTAATTTGTTAGGTCTGAATGAGTCTGGGTTCCTAAAGTTTGGATTCCCATCTTCAACAAATGTTAGATCCTGTAAATATATGTTAAAGAATGGAACCGTTGGTAGCGATGGCTTGAGAGCCTCTGCGTCATCTGTGATTTGTTTTAATTTTGCTCTATACACTTTGTAATTATGGTTTGGGTATACTATTCTGGCAAGGTACTCAAATAATTTTTTATCCTTATTGTTTAATGAATTCCAGATCGGTTTGATCCTTGAAATAGATGGACTTTGCACAGCGGTCATGATCGATGCTAACGAATTGAAATTACGGAAATACAACGAAGAAAGTGCTATTCTGAGCCAAACATTAAGTCTAGAAACACGGAAATTTAACGGGATATTTTCTTCTAATATACTTTCAATGACATAGTTGGAAAGTTGATTTGTAAAATTCATTACAAGCATAATATGTGGACAAAGATTTAGTTTTCTATGGTTAACCAGTTCGAATTGTTCAACATTGTTGAAAAGATACGACTCGATTAAAGTTATCTGTTTGGCAACTTCCAGAGGATTCATGTCGGTAATATTAAATTTAATTGAATCTAATTTAGAGTTGTCAATATCTGATATATTGGTTATTGTTTCTAGACTATCCCAATTCGTTACCAAATTACTAATAGTACTGCTGTTCCCATGAAGATTGGCTTGATTAGTAATATCATCCTTAAATGGAATATAGGAGTCTAAAACAGATTGGATTGTATATTTATTTTCGCTGGTCAATAGTGTAGTTGTTCCTAAATTTAATACCGCTAATGGTAGCGACAATAGATTACTCTCTGAATTTTGAACATTTGTTAATCCATATTCTTCAATTATTCTCTCGTCCAGTGAGAAGGAAGAGTTTGTATTGTTAGATGAAGAAGAACTGGTTGATATGATGGATGTAGTCTTAGAGCGAGACACAGATCTAGGAAGTAGTTGTTTTATTGTGGTAGAAGATTCATCTGTAGTCCAGTGGTCCGAATAAGTCTCATTCAATTCAATTTGGGAAGGTGTGATCTTGTTAATAGGTTCAGAAAATTGAATCTTCGAGAATAATCTTGATGCAGAAAGTATAAGTTTTTTAGCTTCTATTGGTAAGTAATTTACAACAGCTTCATTGAAAAAATTAATTAATGTGGGTAAAACGACACAGTCCACATAATGATCCCAGAAACTATCCATCCACGTACTAATGATTTTGCATACCATCCGTCTTCTATTTTTAAGTCTGGAAGCCCTTGAGGAGTAATTCCCATTTTTGGAATCATATTCAAATTGTGAACTCTTGTCCTCTATGTCGAATCTATTTATCAAATTATTGGTCAAATCTATGGGTTTTGCAAATTTTCTGTAGTTTAATAGAACTGTAGATATAAGTAGGGTGCTTGGTTTCTCAAGTTCATCGGTTAATTTGTATACGAGGGCTCTAAAAGATGCACCAATTAGAGTCGCACTTTTGTCAAATAGTAATTCTGAGGACAGAATATCACCATTATTAATCGAATCGTCATTTTTAGACCAATCTTCATCATCCAATTTAAATTTTTCAAATATTGAATCTCTACTAAATTCCTTATTATCAGAGTTTAAGATTTCATTTAAAAATTGAGAACCCTGTGGAGTTAAGCTGATATTTTTGTTATTAGTATTTTCGTCATTGTTAACGCCCACTCTTATCGAAGAAAATCTAATGATACTGTGATACTTGTTGCTCTTTTTTATTTCTTCTGTGTTCATTATTTTTGTTTTCACTTTTTCTTCGTCTAATGATTTGGCTAGTCCCTCCAAGCATCTCTTAACAAATTCATCTGTAGTGATTTTGATACTATTGAAATCTGTGTATTGTCTTTCGGAACTTAATCTAAAATTACCGATCACTCTCAAGTAATTATTGCATCCAATTAACGTGTTAGATATGGATGTAGTCATTGAAGAAATGATTTTAATTAGATGTTTACCTTCAGCGGTATAGTGGTAAATACCTTCTTTTATAGTAAAATTATCGTATTTGTTAGGTTTATCTTGTGCAGGTTTGTATAAATCATCTTGTAATGTTTGAGTGACAAGGACTTTAATGCAGGAAACTAATTCAGATACTAAAGCCAGTAGTGGATCGAGATGTTTGTCGATGATACTCTCGTAAGCGTTGTTGTATTTTTGTTGCATTATTTGAGAGCATGATTTGCTGATATAGAGAAGTTCTCGTAAAAGAATAATAATTTGATGAACCATCAATTCCAATGTTTCACAACCGACAGGGTTATGTTCGATCAAATCTAAACGACCCAAAATAAGACTGGAGTATGTGAATAGTATATCATGGATTTCGTTCAATCTTTGGACGGCATATGGTGGTTCTGGAAGATAATTAATACTATATTGTTGATTCTGTTTATTATTATTATTGTATGAGTTGGCCTTAGGAACTTCATTTAATTTATTATTTTCTACTAATATTTTATCTGTTGACCAAACTTTGAAGAAATTGAATGCCTTATGTAGAACCTCATAAACCAATTTAACGAGGTTAGAAATGTCCTTTTCAGAAGTGGTACTTTTGTGTTGATCAGCTTTTATCATTAAGTTATACCAGTCAGCTAATAATTTTTTTCTTCCTTTTCTTACAGAGTCACTTTTTTGAATAATTTCATCTGATCTGGATACAGCTTCTGTCATTTCCAATAGTGATTTAACACCGTCCCGTATGTCATTAATATCTTCAATATTGAATGTATCGTTATTATAAGTTGTTCTGTGTGATTTGGGATTAATCAAAAATTTGGCTGCAGAGTATAGCAGCTTTCTTAATGGTAGTCTGGATTCTGCTATATCTTCCCAATAAGTTACACTTTTGGGTCTTGATTGTAAGTCATTCTCCAATATAGATGGATCTATAATATCTGTAAAATAGTTGAAAGGTACCCAGCCCCTCATTTGTGTACTAATAAGGGTTACTTCACCCCAACCTGATTCGTCAACGTTATGTACGAAAGCGTAGTCATCCTTTTTGAATGACAGACAAATATCGGCATCATCTTCGTTTTCGAGGTCTTGTACGTTAAACGAATGAGTTGCTACAATGAATAAGTATGTGTAATTTGAGATTTCATCTAGATGGGTTTTATTGCCAACGTTTTGATCATCTGAATAATAGTCAGAATCTTCTAATGTGTTTAAAGTATCGTCTCCAGTAAAGTTTTTATATTCATTAATAGGTTGTACTAAAGATTCTGATTTTGTATCCCTTTTTGTGATGGATGCTCTAATGTTATGTACAAGTTTGTTGGTGTCATGGATTTTAGGACTTTGCCCTAATTTTTCGCCCGATGTTATTATTCCTAGACCAAGGTTTTCTGTTGATATGTTATGAGTACTCTGTTGTTTAATTGTATCTATGAATTGATTGTTAATCTTTGGTGTTGTATCAGCCGTAATATATCCTGCTTTATTATCAAGGTCGTCAGTATTTAATTGAGGAGTCACTGAAGTAGGTCCTCCTTTTACTAATTTATGAAATACATGTTGGTTAGTTTGGTTTTCAGTTTGTTGATTCAATTGAATACGGCTATTATGTGATTGTGCTGTCTCGAAGGATTCTATAGCAGTAGCTAACGATGTAGCTGTTATGTTATTTCGTGGAAGCACAGGTGTGAGGTCATGTTCATCTATATTATTCTGTAATTCTAGAGATTTTGTCGGTGATATTGAAGTTGTAAATCTTTTGTCATCTGTAGTTGTCGCCTGTTTATCATATTTGAACAACGGTGTAGTTGGATTTAAAGTATCCATTGCTAATTGTGTTGTATTTTTAATTTTAAAAAGTCTTAATGAAAGAAGCCTGAAGAACTGATAAATTCGATATATGAAGACAGATCTGTTTTCTATAGTGGTATGAAACTTTGAAAAATGTATATTTTGAGTTATTGTGATGATGGTATCACTTTAAAAAAAATCTATTAGTTAATAGTTTTCGTGTATCTATTATTTTTTAGTTTCTTTTTGGAAATCGCATTCCAACGAATATGTAGACACGTTAATAATAGTTTTCCAAAAACAGCGTAGTAATTAATAACGATGTGATGTTCTCTTGCGTACCGTGAGAGAAAGAAAACTAGTCGAGTAAATTTTTATCTGTATATGGTGCAGTCGTCCTGGTTACAAGAAGTATGCTATGTTTTCACTGTAAAAAATTCAATATTTTTCAATCTAGAGTAAGAATCATTAAGAAATTACGTAGTTTAAAACAGGAGATGTTCATTTTTATAATTAGATTGTTTGAAAACAGTGAAAATTTGGTAGATGATATTAGATAGTATTCGTTCAATTCATTTTGGGCCAGGGGGTGAAGGGTGACAAAGAAACAGTAAGTCTCACAAGTAAAAACTCAGAGAGTTCCAGCTATGAAGCCGGAAAAAACAAAAAAGCAAATGTACGAAGAAAGGGACGCGAAAATGTTTGGTGGCTCACTTCACTTTTGTGTAGGTTCAAAATTTGCGCTCAGAAAACCACGTATTATATTGATGTTCTACTCAAATTTAGATTGGTACGAGGGCTTTTGTGCAAATGATATAGATGAGTACTAGGGTGGAAATCCGTTTTGAGTCGTTTCAGTGAAACAACTTGAGGAAAAGGTGAGTGTGATGGGTTGCGCTGTATCGGCAATCTAATGATATGCGTAATTTGAAGAGTGGTACGATTCTTTCTGTAGTTCAATGTAAATGCGAATGTGGTTTTTGGTTTTCACGCGAAATGTTTTTGATGCGAATTGAAATTTATGTTCTTTTTTAGTGTATTTGCGGACGAAAACGGAAAATAACCATCAAATCAAATCATGATTATAGATTTGTATGAGCGATGAGTTCGTGAATGGTGATATCATGTGGAACGAATATTTATGTATAATGGTATTGATATTGACAGTTTAAAGGTTTAACACCATGTAGCCGCTGAGAGCAATATTAAAAGTAAAAGTAACTTCAGAGTGGTTGTATTTACAATATTTTTAACGTTATAGTTAGAGATAACTGGAACAGAAACCTGTATGTGGTAGTATCGAAAAGAAATGGGTGTGCATGAGGAAACGATTTGGTGAAGTGTTCGTAATTTGCGGGACACCCATTTCTTTTCAACAAATCTTTGCCATGATATGGAGGTAATAGTATTGTTATGGAATTAAAAAGAAATAGTGCTCCTCGTAAGGGGCTTGAACCCTTGACGTTTCGGTTTCAACTTGTTTGAACTGAAGAAAGTAATAGTTGACATCAGTTGTTCTTAAAAGCCGAACGCTCTACCAACTGAGCTAACGAGGAATTATTTGTTGAAATGTGGATTAATATAGTAGCATTGTTTATTTCTATGAGATGAAATCCGTAAAGCTACTTTATTTGTTATTGTAAGTATTCCTTTTTTGACATGTTTTGAGGTTTGCATCCAGTTTAATTGATTGTTTAAATGTTACCTAGTTTTAGTTGTAAATATTTCGGTGGGGTAAAACATCGGTAGTAATCATTTAAAGATGTCTTTTAAATTTCATCCACATATCTTGGAATAGTATAAACTAGTTTGTAGTAAATGTGCCTCAAATAATTAGTTACTTTAGTTTGCTCAATACTGCAGTATTGGGATTTGAAATAACTGTTTTGTCGAAAAACACATATTTATAATTATTATTTACATATTTTGTTATGGTAGAAATAGTTGAACAGTAGTTTTATTGGAAAGAGGTATTTTTATTATACCAATGGGGGTAAAAATACTTTTTGCTATATATTTTTAAAAATGTATTTTTTTGTTTACAAATTATTTTACGTTTATTTTGTAAATATCGAATTTAGTAATATTTATAGGTTTGGCTTTTAACAACAAAGGCCAATTAAGAAGATTAAACAAAAAGGAGAATGTAAGGGTTAATATAAGTTTCGATAAGTTTTTGGGGGAAATGAATTTCCCCCATTCTTAAATTGTCTTGTTTTCAAACGCCCCATTACATAAAAGTGCACATAAATTGAGCTTTAGAGAATCGGTTTTAAAAGGAAAGAAGTAATATTAACTGTAAAAGTGTATATATGTATTGAATGCGATTTAAAATTGTATAATATTATTTAAGTATGTATGATGCTGTTAATATCAAGGAATTCTTTAAATTTGTTTATTTCATCAATTAGAACAAATTCATTTCCTTCTCTTTCAGCAAGATGTAATTTGCTGATCATCTTGATTGGTTTAATACTATTAGATGCAGTCTCACTATTTTGTTGTTGTGTTACACAAGCTGTCAACTTGGAATTAGGCGGTATTAGACTTTGGCTCAAAAGTTTTTTGCCCGTTACATAATTAGCAGTGAGCTGTTGATCAGCGAACGTGATATTTTCATCGTGACTGAAGTTATTCTCGAACTCACGTGTTTTAAATGATTTATTTACGTTAGCAGGTATGAAGTATGCTTCATATTTGTCAGTAGTTGTGGAGATATCTGATTTGGTCATTTTCAAGTTGAATTGGGCCGCTTTTATGTTTTGCTAGTTTCGTGTTTCTTTTTTGTTCTTATACATATTTTGTTTTATAATCGTTTTAGAAGGCTTAAAAATTAAAGAAAAATAAAATAAGTATAGTTAAAAAAATGAATCAAAATATATAAAGACCTTAAAGGAGTAAGTTACAGACGCAAAAGTTTTTGAAAAAAGGTAAACAAAAAGAGCAAACAAATAAGGATCAGATGAATATAGATATTGTGCAACAGAGAGATTTCAATTATATTAGCAAAGTATGTTAATTTGGGAAAATATAGAAGGGCGAGAATAAGTATTACTAACACTGTAGTAGGATATCCTTGATTCGGGACTTAGTTTGCATGAAAAGAAGGAACTTTTAAAAAGGTTGTACGATAACTACAACCTTCTGGTTGTACCAAAGAAACGTAAGAGAACCACTATTAGTAAGAGTACTAAAGAATTTTTGGAAAAAGTATTTGAAAAGAAACAGTGGATCACCAGGGAAGAAAGACAGATTGTGGCAATGGAGTGTGGTATCACACCATTACAAGTCAGAATATGGGTATGTTGTTACTTGTATACATTTACTACTCATCATTACATTTTACTAACAATATCATATATATATATATATATATATA